CCAATCTTTGAACCGAGACCATGATTTCTCGAGAAATTGTCTCTCTTCCGGACTCTTATCGTCCACGAAACGATATTATCTCTGTCTATATACTGGGTCCATATAGCTGATAGCAGCGAGGATCTTGCGTTCCTCTGATGAATATTTCTTGGATGCGCCTCTGAATATATATTCCAAATCGGTGATCTATTCTTGACGTTTTTGGAGGTTGAAGTTCAGGGCAAAGCGAGGGATATCTTTAAACTTGATCTCTCTCTTATTCTTTTCTGACTCGGGGGAGGATCGGTAGTGTCTCGAGGAGGTTTCGCTCGGGGAGCCATTCCTTTGGAGGTGAGCTATTCTTCGCCGTAAGTTGGTAGCTTGTTCCAATTGATAAACATGATCTTCTAGCTGTTGAATCTCTTCAACGGTGGGAACGGTATTCGGCGAGGGTTCTGGATCGATTCGATTGCTGAGTGCTTCTATTTCTTCACTATCTTCAATGGATGGCATCTTCCTTAGGTAGTCGAAAAGAGAAGGATCAGAATGTGATAGGATCTACTTGTCAGGGTAGAAAGCCTGTTGACTAGATAAGGAATCAACTATAAAACACCGTGTATTCGTTTGATAATGATAAAGGTAGCCTATATCCACGAGATAGACTGATCCTTGAAGGATCAGTAGCTCCTTACAGAGGGATCGGCACCTTATAGGTGCCGGAGAGGTGTAGAACCACTATTAATGACCTCACGACTCTCACAACCACTATAACACGTCATCCCGATGACACGACTCTCACAACCACTATAATACGTCATCCCGATGACCTTTATCCCGATAGCTGGTTTATTCTATCACAATAAGATTCTTATTTAATAATATATATATTATATAAATTATAGATATTCTATATTATTTGTGCTGGGCAGAGTTATTAAGCGCTGATAAGTTAATAATTTAATTAGATTTAATTAATAATTCTAATATAATTAAAGATAATATCTTTATTATTAATTAGAGTAATAAGATCACAGTATTACTAAAATATATTATTAAAAAAAGAAAATAGAAGATAATATAATTAATATAAATTTTAAATTATAAAATTAAAGATAAATCTCTAATTTATTTAAAAAATAAAATAATTCTTATAGTCTCTGATATATAAATATATATAATAAATATATTTATTTCTGAGATATATAAATTAGTAATATTATTATTATATATAGATTACTAACAAAAAATTATACTAAAGAAATTATAAAATCTATAAAAAATATAAATATTTAAGATTATATTTTATTTAATATATAAAGATATTTATATAATTCCAGGCAAATAGATTTATATAATAAAAATAAATAAAAATAAATATATTAATTATTTTAAAGCCCGCTGAATAGTCTATAATAATTATTAATAAATAAATAAAGATTATAATACTATATATATATCTATAGTCTCTAATATTATTATAAAAATAGAATTTATAAAAATTATTATTAAAAAATTTAAATAAGAATAAGTTAATATAATTATTATATATCTATATATAGCTATTAATAACAGACTTATTTATATAAAATAATTAATCAGATTTAAGAAAAATAACAGTATTTATTTTATTAAATATATATTATATAGCTTAAAACAAGCAGATTATTTTTAAAATAAGATTTTTAATAAATAATTATAAATACTTAATTTTAAGAATATTATTAAAAAGCTCTATCTCTATCTTTAAGAATTAAGTCTAATTATATTATATATTAATAATTTTATTATTATAGATTATATAAAGACTAATATTAATTAGATATATAAATATTTAAACTAGAGTTTTAAAATAAAATATTTAAATACTCTAACTTGCTTTTTTAATTATAATATTAATAAAAATATTATAAAAAAAATTATTATTATAAATCAAAATATCTATATTAAAGATCTTTTAAAATATTATAATATAGATAAAATATTATTAAAAAATTATCTTATAAATTCTAAATATCAGAAATTCAGATCTAAGAATTAGAAATATAATAATAATAATATTAAAAATTATATAATAATAATAAATAAACTAAATTAACTATTAATATATATAAGATCTAATATTATATATTTTATTTTCTATTTATAATATTATTATTAAAGTCTAATATTATATAATATAATAATTATAAAAAATATTCTCTATTATTTTAAAAATAATAAATATAATCTTATTCTAGTTCTGAAGTATACTGATTTTATAAAGATATAATATAATATAATATATTAGAATTATTTAGATTATAAATTAACAGAGATATTTATTATTTTCTTTATTAAATTATTAATTAATTAATTAAATAAAAAGCAAGAGATTATTATCAAGTTCTTAATTTTAACTAAATTAATTATATATAAAAAGACTATTAAAGAAGATCTATAAATTAAGTAATTAATTAAAATATTTAATATATTAATATCTAATTATATTCTAGTTTATATAGATTATTAGAATATTATTAATCTAGTTTATAAGAAGAATTATACTTTAATTACTAAATAGCTTAATAATTATACTTAATTTATTAAAAATATTTAGAGAAAAGAATAGATTAAGTTTTATTAAATTTTTTTAAAAAAGAATATAGCAGATAGACTGACTAAGTCTTTTTAAATAATAAAATTTAAAATATTTAAGAAGATATTTTATTTTAAAGAGATAAAATAATAATTAAGAATTAAAAAAATAGTTTTTTTTTATAATTATTTTATTATAATTTTATATATATTATCTAGTTAGATAATCTGCAGGGCTTCAGAAGTTATAACTAAAAAATATATTAATAATAATTACTTTAGAATATATAATCACATCTTTTACTTTAGATATCAGGATCTCTGGCCCCTGTCCTTCGAATCAACTCATTGTTTCCCGTTGCCTCGTGTGGTCGCTTCCTACGTCTCCATGATTTACTGCTTTCAAGTTGGTTTCTCCTGTTAAAAGGCAGGACTACCTGCCTACAGCCACGGAGATCTGTTCGTGCTGTTCCGGGGTGGCTCAACATCAGTCGATACATGCCGATACCGTACGATTATACACACTTGTTACTTGAGCTCCCGATATAGGTACTGATATAGGTACTGGTGCCTTTAGTAGGTACGGAGTACCCCGTATCGTATCTATCTACTTTGACTACTTAGGTACCTACTACTGGGTAGATCATGCGACTCACTGGCCCACAAATACTGTGTCCAAAGAAAACATATGGGAAAGGGGGGGAAAGGGGAGTGGTTATTTCAACATTCCTCGGATACCCTGCCATTAGGAATGGGATTTATCCATTGATCCAATTAAACAAGATGAGACCAATTATGAGCGGAAAGAGGATATCCACCAGAGGAAGAAAGGCAATGATGTCACCGTGGGGCCTCTCTTTCCATCACCGCCAGCAGACGGTGAGCCATCAGCCTTCAACCATGGCTTTCCCCTCGCGTTCAGACCCGAGAATCGCCACAGGGTGACGCCCAACCCGAGTCTTGAGGTTTTGGTGAGCGAATCGGACCCAGGTGGACTTCAGAACTGGGATTGCCCCAATCCGAGATTTGGCAGACGACGGGGGGGGGGGGGGGAAGAAAGAGCGGAGGGGATATGTCAGATTAGAGGGAGCAAGGGAAAGTAGTGATGCAAAATGAGACATCAGGTAGGATCAAAAATCACGGTCTATGCTATGGCGCTGGACCTAGTTTCCTTTCTGGCCCTACTATCTACTCCGTATCACCCACCCATTACCTACATACCTTACTTAGGTACTTTGTATAATGTATGTGCAGGATACTATGCAATACCCACAAAGTATACACTTGACCCTGAATGCCGGCGGGGGCTTCGCACACTAGGTATTATTAACAGGGGAGGAATAAATACGATTGGCCGAGGATATCAGAAGCAAGACCGAATGCTTCTTGTGACTTATGTAGGTAGGACTACACTTCAAGGTGTTGTATTGATGATGTACTGGACCTACTGGTAGGTAGGCGCTCTTCCAAGTGCTTTCCCACAAGAGTTCTTATTACTGGCTTCATTCAATTGTTATATGCCAGGAAATAACCAAATCGATTACTTGCTCTCTAGACAGCGTGTCGTCAGTTTCAAAGTGATATTCAAGGCGTATAAAGCAAACTCTGCAATCAGATCCTGCCTACCGTACGTACAAAGTGTACATGCTGTAGATAGTCTTGGCGTGGTAAAGCGCTCAGGTGCTAAGGTAGGACACACTAAGACGCTAGCAACTTAGCAAGGACTGTAGTAATTATAGGAACCCACAGATGCCCACTTAATCGCGACACTATCACCATTTGGCCCCTGCTAGATGGATACTCCGTACAGGCGGGGTGGGTTCGGTTAGCGCCAACAGCGCTATCTTTTTAGCGTTGTGGACAGCCTCCGGTCAGTTGTATGGGGTTTTGAGGAGGGGTTTTACCCATTCGGGGAAAGCCCGAGGGGTTAATTCCCCGTTGGATGGAGCAATCACCGCAGTAGCAATCATCGTGGCTACAATAAAGATGCAGGGTTCTGCTATTGACCCTGTTTATGGGGTTTCTTTCCTCAAGGCATCCTATGTACTTGCCCCGAGGCGTTAGGGCTCTAGACTACGCGCCTTCGTGGCGCTCGGGAGGATGCGTGATCAAATAGTGTACAGATGATCTAGGAGTACTCCGTAGTGTGCAAAGATCGTTGTACCAACAGGAGTACTGCAAGATCATGTCAATCTTAGAGATATCCCTTGTGTAGCTATATGCGAGCCTGGTGAATATCTAAATACTGCCAAACGGCTTGGAAGGATATTGGTCAGGGCTCGCGGCGGCATTATCCTTAAACCACAGGCCTCAACATCAGCAATGGGAGCTGATTTTAAGACACTCCCCGATTGACTCAGGTCAGCCCCCCAAAGATCCTCTGCTTACGCAAGTAACCGATCCTGAGACTGCTCTGGCCTCTCGGCACAACCAGATATCGCAACACCGCCGCCCCAATCCCTTCTGGGAATGAAAAAAGTACTGGAACTTGTTTTACATTGCCCCATCTATGATGCGTTCAAACGGCAACAGCGAACAGAATGCTTCCATGCATGCCTAACAGTGCTGTCCATCAGCCAAGATAGCGGTCGTGAGAGAAGACAAAGAAAGAAAAAAGAAAAAATAGAGTAACAGGAACACAAAAAGGATGATGGACAGTCATAGATGAAGGCACAGACAAAATCAAAGATATCTCGACTGGACCGAATAGGGATCTATACAAAACTTGGTTCCGTAGCGCCAACCGGCTGCCTCCCTGGACCAACAAACCGCATTCGTGGGGATAAATCGATGTGATACACCATCTTCCGAACATACACACGAGGAGAGAAGAGCTACTAAAACAGATAGTGAAAAGGTATAAGCCGAGGACGGATGCAGAGTGATAGCGTCATCCTCCCACTTTTGCGTGGGCCTCATTAGCCCCAGCTACATGTCAGGGCATATTTAGAAAGGCGGAGGAATCATTCCCTGGGCCTCGACCTTCTCTTGCTGCTCCATCAATTCCTCGCCAGCGATCTCGAGGGAAACAGCAAGACCGAGCTTGGCAGTTTGCTAAAGGGAGAGACGCATGTCAGCCATTGATCGAACGCACCCTAGTAATACCGAATGACATAGAGGGATGTTACTCACCTTGGCCTGGTCGATCTCGCCGGCAAAAGTAAGAGCAATAGGCATAGCTATCCGCTTCTCGAGAAGGCAGCTAACCTTTCCAGTGCTGTCGACCTGGGCACGGAAGGTGGAAGCGCGGAAATCGTACTTGGCGCCAATGGCAGTGGTACCATCCTTGCTGGGCCCGCCCATCATCACAGCAGCGGCGTTGGGGGCAAACTGGAGGTTCATGTCAACACCGGCCTCGACCCGTTCGGAAAGCTTCTTCCAGTACGAAGCTGTGAAGACACCCTGAGCCTGCAGCTGAGCACTGGCAATCCAGTCATCGGCCTTGTAGCGAGCACCGTAGGAGAGGGCGGATTCCGGGCGAGATCCCATGCTCTGACGCTGCCAGATCGCCTCGAAACCAAGAGCCAGGCTGGGGGTCACGGACTGAAGGTAGCTACCGACAAAAATTCCGGTAAGACCTCCCTCCAAGAAGGACGGGTTGAAGGCCTTGAGGGACGCGGAAAAGTCATCGCCCGTGTAGTCGTTGTCGATCTGCATGAGACCCTGGCTTGCTCCGGGCATGATCTGGGTGTTGGTCTTGGTAACGAACTTCGGGGTCCAACGGTAATTGCCGACGGCAGCAAGGCCGCCATCGCTTCCGAGGTTGCCCTGCATAAAGACCTATATTTCCCCGAGACACATCTTAGCCTCAGACCGGTGACAGATACCCGGATAGACCAGGGCGATTGCATCTTACCTTCGGACTTCCATACATCGCCGAAAAGTTGTACGGAGGCAGGTTCCCGGAAGAACCCATGGAGAACGCATGCGACACGCGGAACAGAGGGGACATGCCGAAGACCTTCGTCAAATCCGCCCGAAGCCCAGTGAACATGAAGTTGGACAGCAGAACATCCTTCTGCACCTCACGACCGATGTTATCCAGGGTACCTGGGTTGGGAAGGCCGAGGGCGGCCCTGCGCTCGGAGAATGAGGCGTATGCATCCTTGACGGTAGCGGCGGCGACGTTATCCGTCAGGAAGGAAGGCAGAGTAAACTCGGCCATTGTGAAATCTGGAGAGGAATTAAAAGTCGCTAAGGGGGACAGGAAGGGATCGGAGATAAGTCGTCACGCCGTCGTGCCTCGAGGAGGAGGAGGAGGAGGAGGAGGAGGTGGTTGTTGTTGGGAGGTTGGAGGATGAGAGGAGAGGAGCTTGTTGAGACCAGCCCTTGGGGGGAAGTCGGGGGACCTAGTCAAAAAAAAGAGCAACGTGGGCTGTAGCACGACGCTCTTTCTAGAGATAGACAAGGGCAGTGTCCGACCTGCTCGACAAGATGGGGAGGAAGGGAGGGAGGGAAGGGCAGACAGGACAGACACCAGAGGTCAGTGCTAGTGCTCGAATGCGAGAGAGCTTTCTTCGGCCTTGAAAAAAGTCGCTGGCGCTTTTCCGCCCGGGCGACGGTTTAGGGGGCTGCGGCTGCCCGTAGTCGGGATGGGATCTTCAGTTTGACCGCGATGATCTAATCCGTCTGTCCGTCCGCCTTGCTTGCTTACATCTAGTACGTTGTTATGGTAAACCACCACTACAATCCATTGATTCATCTGGCTATTATTTCCGCATGCTTACGGAGGAGAAACTTGCCCGGGTCTGTCGAACGTGAGATCTACCACTGAGTACTACTGTAGTGTCTCATACACAGGACAGGACCAATCGGGGGTGGATCGTCTATCGTATACTAGTACTCTTTACCACCGCCAGTCCTTCTTCCCGAACCGCCATCTTCTATCCTCCGGCAAGGTCGACTTGAGTCGTGTCTGGTGCCTCCCGAATGGGCTGACCTGCCCTCCTCATTTCATACCCAGACGCCGATCTTGGTTAACCATCCAGGCTGGCTTCGTGACTGCATGCCCGGAGTGATTGGTTCCTGCCGGTGACCGCTCTACCTACCCCTCATCGGCTCTGGCCTTTTCTTCTGCCGTCCTATTTTCTCTCCTGATCATCCCAGCGTATCGATATTGCTGCCATGGATACACTATTGTAAGTCCTATTCATCGGATCTACTCCCCTCACCTCCTTTCTTCCCCGTGGTGGATCCCAGCGTGTTCTAACGTAGTTCAGAACTGCGGACATTATCGCCAACTCCCCGCGATTCCGGCGGAAGTCATCCACGTTCGTGGATGCGATCCATGACCTACCCGAAAAGGCGGATCTTGCCCCGGCTCAGCTCTATAGCACGGAGTCGGGCCGCCTCTTCCACTCTGGTCGCATTGTCATCATCACCGTAGGGTTACCGGCGAGGGGCAAGACGTTCGTTTCACCATACCCGCTCGTATTGGCTCGTGGTTGAACTAACCCCTCCCCAGACATATGTCAGTAGCCCTGGCTCGTTACCTTCGATGGTAAGTCAATTGGCAGTCGAAGCTGGAGCGCTGCTAGAGTGCCGACTGAACACCATCACAGGCTGGGTGTGAAGACAAGAATATTCCACTTGGGAGACTACCGGCGGGCTACTATTCCATATGGCCAAGATATTCCCGACGATTACTTTTTCGTCAATGGTAAGCGACATCATTTTATTTTTTCCCTCTAGGTCATTCCTCTAGAGACTGGATTGGCGAAGTGGCCGGCTGTGTCCTTGGCATGAGGGTCTCGTTGACTGATTGCGCATAGCATCGGCCTCATCGGTGCTCCTGAGACAGAAAATAGTGAAAAGATGCCGGGAAGATATTTACCAGTTCTTGAATCATGAGAACGGGCAGATAGCGATCTACGATGCCGTCAATCCCATTGCATCCGGACGACGGTCACTTGCAAAGGAATTTGCGAAACATGATATTGAGGTACATTAAATCCTGCAAACCCGCTGGCTTCTTTTGCCTTGTGCTGACCATTCTCGCTCTGGCCATCAGACGCTATTTATTGAGTCTTGGTGTGATGATGAACGTATCATTGAGGAGAATGTCCGACGGGTCAAGATCTCTTCACCGGATGTGAGTATATATGGGTGCTTTCTACCATTTCTATCGCGCAATACTAAACTGTTAATAGTATGTAGGGTGGTCTTCGGAAGATGCAGTGAAGCATTACCTGACCAGGATAGCCGCCCGTATCCCCCAGTTTCAAACTATGGAAGAAACGGACCTTAATTATATAAAGGTACCTGCAAACGACCGCACGACTCATCACGGTTTTCTGAAGCTAACCCCCGACTAGATGATAAATGCAGGTGAAAGGTTGATTGTGAACAACCGCAGCTTTGGATATCTTTCTCATCGAATTGTGTTCTATCTTCTCAACCTTCACATCAAATCGCGACACACGTATTTTGCGAGGGTAAGTAGATCCTGACACAATCTGACTTGATATCGTACGCGGGTGTCTGACAGAAATGGGAATTACCAGGCTGGTGTTTCGTTGGAAGCAGATTCCTACAAAGCGGATGCTTCTTTGTCCGAGAAAGGAGAGGACTATGCTCAAAAAATGACCGAATTCCTACTGCAGCACAGGGAGTCCGAAAGACAGGCTATGATCGACCAAGGGGAGAAAGACTACGAGCTGAAGCCCCTGACAGTCTGGACATCTACGCGACGGCGAACAGTGGAAACTGCAAAGTATCTCCATGAAAAGGGATACAAAGTTCGGCAGCGCTCGCAGATGAGCCAGCTGAACCCTGGTGTTTGTGAGAAGATGTCGGAAACGAAAATCCGGCAGGAATATCCGGACGAAGTTGCGAAGCATGAGCTCGATCCCTATCACCATCGATACCCTCGGGCAGAGGTGATCATACCCCTATCCCCTCTTGTTACAGTATTTTATGGCTGACTGGACTGGCAGTCCTATCACGACCTCGCGGTGCGGCTCGAGCCGATTATTCTGGAGCTTGAACGTGAACAGAACGATCTCTTGATCATTGCGCACGAGAGTGTACTAAGGGTTCTTTATGGGTATCTGATGGCCTGCAATGCTGCCGATATTCCATTTTTAGAATTTCCGCGAGATGAGATTATCGAGGTGAGGCGCTGTATATAGATCTAGTGGAGCTGGGCACCTCTAACTGACTTGTGCAGATAATCCCCGAAAGCTATCAGAATGAGGCGCGCAGAATCCACATCCCTGGTCTTCCCAAAGAGATCATTCCTGGCTCGCCCGAAGACATCAAGATCCCGGTCCCACCGAGTGGGATGACGACTCCGCTGGCAGGAGGACTTGGCAGTCCAAAAGAGGGACTCTCCACGCCGCAGAGTGGCCTTCGAACGCCGCGGGAACCCGAGAGGATCTCGCAGCAGCATGTGGAAGATGTTGTGTAGACCCGCGTTTCATGTTGTACATAGTATCCTGTGAACAGTGCACCTCGAGGAGTATCAATGGTATGATCGTGAACATAGACAGCTATTGACGCTAGCCCCCATGGAGCGTAGACACGAACACAATGGTATCATTCTTCTGCAGCTCGTAGGTCTCCTCGCCCTCGAGTTCCCAGTCGGCATCGTTGATGAGAACCAAGATTCCGGGCCGCCTTTTGGGTTTTCAGTTAGCGTATAGACGCCTGCCCCTGGGGTAATTGGAAACATACACATTGTCCTCCAAGATAAACAGTTCCTTCCTCTGATCCTTCATGCGGTGTTCCACCAGGTATGCTAGGAGAAAGCTGATATTTGGACGGCTTCCGTCTTCAAGTTGCGAAGGCAGCGTGATGGAATGCCTGCGCTCATTGGCGAAAAGGATCTCTAGACCTCCCCTGCATGGCGAACTGTCAGCAATGAAGAGAAGGGGGAAGGGAAACGATGGCAATGCGCGAAGGAGAGGGAGGCGGGGGGGGGGGGGGGGAACGAACGTGAACTCGACCGTGATAGAGATGGTGTCAGAACCATCTGTGGCTGCCATTGGGGGCGGTAGTGACCACGTCCGTGTGACTATGGGTATGCCTCGTGAGGGATAGTGGGGGAGGACAATGTCAACAACAAAAAAAAAAAAAAAAAAGAGGAGGATAAGGAGGAGGAGGAGGAGGGGGGGTGAGACGAAGAAAGAAGACGGAGAAGGCGGAGGTGGTGTTATCGATAAGCCCGCCAATCGCCGGCACGAAAAGTCAGCCGTGCGAATGATGTCCGTCCCTCTTCTATGTCCTTCTTCTACGTCCCTCCCTCCTGTCTGGCTAACAAGTCCTCACAGTTCTTGTTTTGGAGTCATTCGGATTGATTGACTGATTGACTGCTCGTTCGATTTACCGAGTCCCGACCGACGAGCTTCATGGTCTCCATCACTACCGAGTACATCAGCGCCGGGGGCAACAGGCACCCCGCCGCCGCCGACTGGGACGTCCAGTCCGGCGTGCTTGCCTTTGGTGCAGACAACAATGTTGCTCTGTGGGATCCTCGGGTAAGGACCGCCACTGTCATTGGAAATCTCTACGCAGTCTCCTCTAGGCCGTGCTCATGATACTGATCCCGTCACCCGTACGCAGGAAGATACCCACCGCGGGGTCTATTCGCTCCTCGTCGGCCACACCGACAAGGTCAGCGCCGTTCGCTTCTATACTTGTCCTGCTACGCAAACGAAACTCCTCCTGACTGGGTCCGTTGACCATACAGTTCGGCTATGGCGCCCCGACCCCGTTGATTCACGCAACTTCGTTCATGTGCATACCCTGGAAGGACATACAGGTTCGGTCAATACCCTGGCTGTGGCTGAGGGAGCGGGTATTGTTGCATCGGGAGCAGCAGATGCCAGTGTCAAAATATGGAAGATCACCACCGAGGGCGAACTAAAAGCCGAACTCTTGACCACTATACCCATGAAGCCACGGTTCTTCCCGTTAGCTTTGGCATTGACGTTACTTCAGACGGAGTCAAATGATGGGCCCGTTGCCTTGGCGGTTGCAGGAACCACAAATGTCGTGCAAGTGTATGTGGCGGAGGATACTCTTGCCAATACGGATTTCAAGCTCTCCGCCGTGTTGTCCGGGCACGAGGCTTGGGTGCGCTCCTTGTCTTTCACGCGGGATAAGCAAAGCAAAGCTGGCGATTTACTATTGGCCTCCGCTAGCCAGGACAAATATGTTCGGCTCTGGCGACTGCAGCGAGGTGAAGTCACCCCTACCATGCCCACATGTGATGATGATCCTATGCTCGGAGGGTTCGAACCGACCCTTTCAAACAAGGCGCATCAGTTTGAAGCCGCGAGATCGAAGTATTCCGTCACATTCGAGGCTCTCCTGTTTGGGAACGAAGATTGGATCTACACTACCGCATGGAATCCAGACCCAGAGCGCCAGCAGCTTCTCACTGCTTCTGCCGACAACACTTTGACCATTTGGGAACAAGAGCCAGTATCCGGCGTGTGGCTTTCTGCGGAGAGGATGGGCGAGATCAGTGTGCAAAAGGGCTCCACTACGGCTACTGGTAGCACCGGTGGATTTTGGATAGGTCTTTGGTCTCCAAACGGCAAACAGGTTGTCAGTTTAGGCCGCACGGGAAGCTGGCGCTCCTGGAAATATGATGCGGAATCTGACATGTGGACACAGTCCCTGGGTATTACTGGGCATGTGCGATCAGCCAATGGAGTCCAGTGGGAGCCGGCTGGAGGGTACCTCTTGTCGACAAGTGCCGATCAAACGACGCGCCTTCATGCCCAGTGGGTACGCGATGGCCTGAAGTCGTGGCATGAATTTTCACGGCCGCAGATCCATGGATACGACTTAAATTGCGTGGACACTTTGGGGCCGGCCCGTTTTGTGTCTGGTGCCGACGAGAAGCTCCTCCGGGTATTCAACGAGCCCAAGCCCATCGCACAACTCTTGGAGAAACTTGCGGGGTTCAAACAGTCCGATGAAGGGGCTCTACCGGACACAGCCCAAATCCCCGTTCTTGGACTGTCTAACCAGGCACTCGCGGATGATGCGCCTGTGGGCGAGGACGAAGCAGAGGGCGCCGAGATCGGGAAAGCTCAAGTAAGCCAGGCGCTTTTGTCAAATGCAACCGAGCCACCACTGGAGGATCAGCTGGCTCGTTACACATTGTGGCCGGAGCATGAGAAGCTTTATGGCCACGGCTATGAGATCTCAGCTGTGGCCGTCAGCCATGACCGCACACTGATCGCGACTGCTTGCAAGGCGAGCTCAATTGACCATGCAGTAGTACGTTTGTACGATACGTCCGACTGGCACGAGGTTCGACCGGCACTTGCTGCCCATACCTTGACCATTACCAGTCTTAGTTTCTCCAGAGATGACCGGTATCTTTTGAGTGTTGGGCGGGATCGTCAATGGGCCATTTACCAGCGCAGCGGAAATGAGCCTTCTATATTCTCTCTTCTGACGTCGAACCCGAAGGGACACTCTCGCATGATCCTCCATGCCACATGGGCGCCTACGCCGGCAACTCCAATCTTCGCAACCGCAGGTCGAGATAAGTCGGTGAAACTTTGGCAGAAGGTTGAGGACTCGTTCGAGTGCAAATGCACTATCCCCCTGAAAACACCTGTTACTGCCCTGTCCTTCCTTCCACGGGTATACAACGGCTCGTTCTATCTCGCTGCGGGTGAAGAGAGCGGGGCCATATCTGTCCATCAGATCGTAGTTGAAAGCCTGGAAACCAGTCATCTGGTGAGCGTCGACAAGCTGACATCGCCTTCCAAGGCGATCACGCAGCTCTCCTGGCGACCCGTGCTAGAAGAAACGGCAAGTGGGTTTGCGCTTGCGGTGGCAAGTGAAGATACTTCGACCCGGATATATAATTTTTCGGACATGGTCTCATAGGTTTTATGTATATAGAAAATCAAAACAATGATACAAAAAATTGTATATAATCGGTTGGGATCATGACAAATGTTGAAAAATGACTCTTGGGGTGTTGAATGTATCCGCCTCGTCTAGAAAATGTAGGAAAGATGTAAAGGGAAAAAAAAAGGTTCAACGACGCCGTAAACCCCTGCTTGCTATGCATATCCAGTGATATTGGTTGAACCGATGATGTTACAAGGCAAAAGGAAACCAGATGGCTCAGAACCATATATATGCATTGCACATTAGGTTCGCTTCTCCAGCCCATAGCCACCCAGACCTTCAAGGGACGGGTATGTCTTAGCCTGACTGGTGTACCCATTCCGGGGACCCCTGTGCCCCAAGTCTTCCTGGAGCCATTTAAGCACAAGCTCACCGAGCTGGCTATTCTGGGAGGACTCCTTGACCTCATCGCGGAACTTCTCGATGGGGCCCCATTGTCTGACCGAGCCCAGATGCATATGGACGAGGTGGGTTGGCCACAGGGATAGGTTATCCAGGATATGGGTGGCATAGACGATGGTGCAGGGTCTGGACTCGGTCTCGCGCTTGAGGAAGGCCAGGAAGTTGGCGCGGGACAGCAGATCCAGATCGACGGTGATCTCGTCGAGCAGGAGGACTTGCCAGGGGCGTAGGAGGCCCATGGCTAGCTGCACGCGGCGACGCTCGCCGTCGGACACGGCGTGCATGCGCCACTCGAGATCGATGTCCAGGATGTGGACGAGCTCATCGCGACGGTCCGGGTAGGCGTTGCCGCCGACGGAAGCGAGGAGGGTTGGCACGTCGATGTCCGTGCGGACGATGCCATTGAGCACCCACTCCATGCCCAGGTAGGTGACGCCTTCCAGGCCGTCCTTGAAGGGGTCTTTGCTGGCTACGGCGATGGTGTCGGCGGGGGCTAGGCGTTTGCCTGCCAGGAGGCGTAGAAGAGTGGTCTTGCCCGCGCCATTGGCTGTCGTGGTGTTAGCAGGGGATGCTTGATGGTCACTGGAATGCCCCGTTTGGTAGATGGGTGGATAGATAGACGTACCTCCGATGAGTAGAGTGCGACTGCCTGCAGGAACTTGGAGGTTGACATCGGTCAAGCCGGGCGCGCCGCCGGGGAACTTGAACGAGAGGTTCTTGACCTCAATTGAGGGCGAGGGGTCACTGTGATCGGCCATTAGAAGAAGTAAACTGACCAGGAAAATGCAAAGGGAATCCGGAGCTGGTCAGTCAGTCAGTCGCGGGCGGGGAGATACGAAGTGTTAGTCAGGCATAAACTGCGCACTCCATCCGTTCTTTTCCCGCTTCTCCTCCGCATCCGTCTGGATCGATCCAGATGGCAGATCCAATCCCATGCCCATTCTTCCCCGATCATTCGTCATGAAGCCCCTCATCGCCGTCGTCGGCTCGACAGGCACGGGCAAGTCCAAGGTGAGAGAGAACACCCCCACCCTCGCGCCTCGCGAGGAACCGCCACGAGCCTTGCTCGTCACTCCGGACGGACGCCTACTGACGGCTGTAGCTAGCTTGCAGTGGACCTGGCCTCGCGCTTTAACGGGGAGATCATCAACGGGGATGCAATGCAGATGTATTGCGGGCTTCCCATCATCACCAACCAGATCCCCGTCGAGGAGCGCAATGGCATTCCGCACCACTTGATTAGTTGCGTCAAATTGGAGGAACAGCCGTGGTGGGTGGGCCGATTCAAGAACGAGTGTCTCCGTCTCATCGATGAAATTCACGGCAGAGGGAAACTTCCTATCCTGGTCGGCGGCACCCACTACTACACACAACCGGTCCTATTCAAGAACCAGCTGGTCGGCGATGATCCCACCGCGGCGGAAGGGGACGGCGACAGGGATGATTCGGAGTCGTCGGCCAAATGGCCCATCCTCGACGCGCCCACCGATGTGCTTTTACAAAAGCTGAGAGAGGTCGACCCGGTCATGGCGGACCGATGGCACCCCAATGAACCGCGCAAGATTCGTCGCTCGCTGGAGATTTATTTCCAAACCGGCAGGCCCGCATCGGAGGTCTATGCGGAGCAGCAGCGGTTGAAGCAGGGTCAGCTACGGTTCCCGACCACGGTATTCTGGGTTCACTCAGAGAAGCAGACTCTCAATGATCGACTCGAAAAACGTGTGGATGCAATGGTCGAGCAAGGGCTGATGGGAGAAGCGAAGCGCATGTCGGATTATGTCCAGGAGAAAAAGGCGCAAGGCGTCCCGGTTGACCAGACTCGAGGCGTGTGGGTCTCCATAGGTTATAAGGAGCTAGCACCCTATTTTGAAGCATTATCCAGCGGTTCACTGAGCGAAACTGGATTGGAGTCTCTGAAGAGATCTTGCGTTGAGTCGGTCAAGAGCGCAACACGGCAATACGCAAACGCCCAGATCAAGTTCATTCGAACCAAGCTATGCAAAGCCCTCGTGGATGCGGGCGCGACTGATCGTCTTTATCTCCTGGATAGCACAGACGTTGAGTCCTGGACACAGAGCATCACAGAGCCGTCCGAGCTTATTGTCCGCGCTCTGTTGGATGATACGCCTGCCCCTGATCCGAAGTCGCTGTCAGAACTCGCACATACAGTTTTGGGGGCCATAGAGACAGAACCACAGAGCGAGTCGACCTTTATGACAAAATGCTTCACCTGCGACATCTGCCATAAGACGATGCAGGGCGAGGACCAATGGCAGATCCATATCAAAGGAGGCGTTCATAAAAGAACTCTCAGGAGGGCGGCCAAGCTGGCCGCCCGAGACGAGTATCTACGGCGGCAACAAGAAGCCCCCAAGGAAGAAGACGGTGTATCTACGTAGGGCCGAGCCAGATACTCAACCACACCCTTCCCCTGGAAATTCATAGACAGACAAACAAACAAATACACTCCCCCGGATGATCGTAAATAGCTTGGAAGATTTCCCTGCACCGATAGCGTAGCAACGCAACGTGTGGCAGACTAACTAAAGTGGACGCTCAAGTCCGCGCATGCTCGCAGCCTTCTCCTGACATGACCACACCGCATACTAAGAAGTGTATCTTGCTGAGAGCCGCAGTCCTGGATGTCAGACATGGCGCACGTCACCGTCATTCATATCTGTTTCGGTCCAAATATACTGAATAGATCTGAAGCCCCCGGCCGGCAAACAGATCCCAATTATACATAGCCAGACGCTGCAATAGCAGGGCACGTCATCCACCGCATGATGCCACTAGTACCCAGAGGTCTAGGTCAGTGGAGTGAGCGTTGAAGCTCAGCAGTTGTATGCTGAGTTGAGGAGCAGTGCTTTTCGTAAATGGTCTCTGCAGATCAGCCGTGACTGCGCAGCTAGGTGGGTGTCTATCTGTCTTCTCTCATCGTCCTTTGTGGAACTAGCCTGGACTGACCGAGCCCATCGAGAGAAACCCAGATCACGTTTTCGATCTCCAGGCTGAAAACGCCGGAGAGATGATATCACCGTTCCCACTCTCCTCCACTTTGAAGACTTCAATAAGCGACGATTTCTCACGTTTGCGGATTCTCCACGTTCCTTCTTCTTGGATGGTAGATTTGAGCCCTGTAGCGGTCAGTTCAGATTTTTCCTTCTCCACCACAGGTGCGAAAAGGGTATGTATGGAAGAAGCTCGTACATTCAAGAAATTCAGCCGCAAAGTTGATGCAAATATTACCGTCCCAAGTGCCTCTGCCAACCTTCTTGACCTTGCCCGGTATGGCAGCAGTTTCAAGCTCTTCTAGATGACGGACAATGCCTTGCTGATCGCGAAACCCAACAATGATTTTGGGCACTCCCAGAAGGAATGATTGCGCCCAGAACTTCAGGAGTTTCCTCTCGTACTTGACCATATCACGGTCGTTCCGAATCTCGGCCGAGGTCTTGAGTTCCACCCAGTGAATCGGATCTTCCTTTCGATCAGGCTTGCAATCCCAAACTGTTGCACACGCATTAGAACATGCCCCGTCCATCATTACTAGGTAGGGAAAGGGAAGAGAAAACATATGTGTATCTTTGTAACTTACCTGCTTCTACTTCGCCACCAATGACTAGCCGCGTCCGCCCTATTGCCGTTCGCACCACCGAACAGTATTGGGCATTGTTGTTCACAACAAGCCCTTCACGGTGTTCAATCTCCTCGCGAGAAGTTGAATCCCATGACTGGTTCAGCACAGACAAGGTCTCGAACTTGTAGCCTAGCTCGGTCAGTGATGAAGTCCGTAGCAAAGGATGGAATATCGCTTACCCCAGTAGGCCATTAGGTCTTGGGAAGCCATCCCGGGTGGCATCCTCTGGTTCTTTTGTATTTGCTTCTGTTCATTCTTGAAGCTGTTATTCTCTTCGATGAATCTAGATTGAAAATAAGGTCATTAGAGCTAGGCGTTTACCAGATCAGTCGATTCAAATGTACGCACATGGTCCCCTGGGAGTATGGCTGTTAGCGAGCGGGCCCGTAAAGAGTTGATATTGCTCATCTACATACCTGGAAGCAGGTCGCATTCATCTCAAAACTGTCAATGGGTCAGCGACGTGAAGTAGGCGATAGTCTGTGAGATATACACACCCGTTCATATGATCGAATGGTGCCGCGAGGATCTAGATATGAAACAAATGAGAGCGTGAGCCTGTCTTCGTAACCCTAACACAGCTGTGATCCAAGGAAACAGACTTACCTTGGTCATCATACCTCTCCAAGTGATAATGTCGGCTTCGCAATTGGTCCCCGTATCCTTTTCCAGCGCCGCGATTGTCTCTAGCAATGCATCCAGATGCTCATCAGCGGCATCGTCCAGCTTCTGGAAAGATTCAAAGCCAGTATTTAGGTCCGCTGGAAGAGGCGGAGGGTAGTAGTACTTCAGGGACGCATCTCCGAGATGAAATTTATGTTCCTCGTCATATGAGAAACATGCGATTTCCTAGACGAGGGTTAGGTACTATTCCATCAACGAAGGGCGATTCGCCCGAGCTCACTCACCTTTGGACGGCGGATGGCAGCACTGGAGCCATAGAAGCGGCCTATGGGCTGGATATCGAAGGCCTTGCGGTCCATGGTTCGGGGATTATATGGCTGAGGATGGGGTGGGTATGGGAGTGCGCAGGCACAGTAGTAATGATAGTGAGGTCACTCCCTGGCATGCGCGGGCCTGCGATCAAGGAGATCCAGCGAGGAAAACGCTCCAATAGAAACAAGAACACAGGCGCAAGTACCTAAACAGCACACAGAATCTCGAGACTCCGACCTCACCAAGCCAATGGACTGATGGGATTCAAGCGCAGCGACATGGAGTCATCGAAGGGAGGTTCCGTTCTGGAAGAGCCGAAGCGCGTCCCCACCAAAAGTCGCCTGCCGTCAACTTTCCCGCCCGCCGTCGCTTGACGTCGACATTCCCCCCCCCCCCCCTTCTCTTCGGTCTATGCTCTTTGCTTCTTTTGTGCTTCTTGTGCGCTCAACCATCCAAGGAGTTCTTCGGATCGCCTATCGTCTTTGGTATCTTTCCAACTCAACCTGTCACCGCCTGGTGATCCACTGATTCAAAATGACCTCCCGTATTGACAAGACTATTGCTCGACAACGAGAAAAGTAAGTCAGACCCCCCCTCCGGTTCCTACGCCCCTGCGCAGATCAGCATCTCTCCCTCTATCTGGCGCGATACCGAGAGAGCCACGACTAATCTGACCATCTCCGGTCTCCAGGATCGCATCCGGGGCCTACTACGAAGCTCATCAGCAACTGCGGGTCATCGCCGCGCGGTACATCAAGCAAGCGAACTACGATGCGGCAGCGGAAATACTGGCAGGCGGTGCCACTGCGCTCTTAAGGGCCGGATCCCAGCAGGGTGCTTCTGCCAGTGGTGGGGATCTGGCTATTATGCTGGTGGTCGAGGTCTACGTAAAGGCGGGCTGGGAGATTACTGGAGGCAATGATGATACGGAGGGGCGGGCTCGGAAGAGTGAGTCTCTGCGCGGTCGATCCCTTGTATGATCCCCTTGGCTGACGGGCGATTGTTCTTTCCTGCATACAGAGCGCCTCATCGAACTTCTATACGAATTCCCGGCCGAGGAGCCCACGCGAAAGAGGTTCATTCATGAAATCATCGGCTGGAGTGGCCGGTTCGGACCCTTGGAAAGAGGGGACGCCGACTTGCATCATGCCGCTGGATCGGTATACGCTGAAGGTATGTGGAGCTATGCTGGCGCGAAAAACAAAACAGGACTCCTTCTCAATGAGAATCTTAGACCACGAGCCCTATGATGCCGAGAAGCATCTCATCTTTGGTACATCGGAATCCGCGGAGACCCTCGCGAAGCTCGAGTATGAGTGGTACACCCAAGACGAACCGCATACCGCCGCAATTTATGCATCCCGTGCCGTATTCCCATACCTCTTGATTGGAAACCTCCGCAGCGCCAACAAAGCCTTCCTCATCTTCACGTCCAAGCTCTCCTTGAATCCCGCACTCAGTGTGCAAGAGGTCAGCAGCGCTAGCTCTGACGCACGTGTCTTCCCAGCATTGCCTTTGCTTAATTTTATAAGCATGCTGCTTCTCACGATCCAGCGCGGCAGTCCGGATCTGTTCAAACAGCTGACCGCGCATTATGCGTCCCAAATCCAAGATGTCGGCATCTGGGACGATGCGCTGGCCCAGCTGGGTGAGCAATATTTTGCAATCAAGATCCCGAGACAGAGCAACCCCCTGCTGGATATGATGGGCAGTATGTTTTTCGGTGGCGGTCAGAACAATGCCGGTGCGCAGCGGGGAACGCAGGGTAGAGGGACACCGAAGAAGGTAGAAGCGCCCCCGACGAGCATGGAGCTGGATTAGGAGGTTGGTGGATATTTTAGCGCAATGTAGATGAATGCAAGGTGGACATATTATATCGGTCATGCATAATGATGGGCATAGTCGGAATGAAACCATTAGACCCTCGTGTCGACTTCAGCTTCGTACATCCAATTGTCCTCCTCCAAAGCGGCCACCTTGTCGCGCAGGGTCTGGTGAATAAGATCGAGGATTTCTAGAAATGTAAGCCAAATCGTACTACTGCAGGGCTGTTGCTTTCGGTGTCGTTCTGACTCACCAGCTGGTTCGCTGCTCATTTGTCTGGTTCGATGTCGGGATATCATCTCCGCCAAGGTCGCCTCCATTTCTGAACATAGCATACGGGTCAGCACCCCCTCGTCACCATGTCACTCTGAACCGGTCAACATACTCTCTTTCTCACTTCCAGACATACCCGTCTGCCCGCTTCCATTGCCTGCCATGGCACCAGAACCTTCTATGCCTTCCATTTCGTCCCCATCTTCTCCAACTAGAGGCGGGAGCACAGGGATATCGAGCTTGTAGCTGCCATTCTTGTCCTTGACCACAATTTCCCCATTATCGATCGGACCTGAGCTCAAAGACGACGAGGAGTCAGATGAGGTAGACTGCGGCAGATGTGACGGTAGACCGGAGGCTCCATTGCTGGCATTATCCTGCGTGGAGGAAGCCGCGGGGCCGGTCGCCCCAGGGCGTCTGCTCAGATGGTGGTGGAAGAGATTGCGGCGGACGGAGGTAGTTCCCATTATTAGATATGGCGGAGATTACTACAGTAAGCGAATAGAAGAGATGCGCTCGTATCTAGGACAGGATCCGAAACTTGCTGTCTGGGCCCCGTGCTCCAGACGAACGCTAGTTCTGCAGGATAATGCGGGGATAGTCGCGAGTCCAGCACAGTGGACGAGGCGGGTTCAGTAGCAGAGTAATGATATAGAGCTAGAGCTGACCTTTAAAGGGTGAGAAACCAGTAACGCGATGACTTGACGAGAGAAGGGCATGAAGTAGACAGAACCGAATTCTGTGGTGGTGGTGAAAGGGGATGGAAATCCAGCCCGCGCCTTCCCAACCCGGCCGGGCGTGTCGTGTCAACTGGTCAGAGCAACATGGGAATCAGGTAAGCTAAGGCAGTAACTACAAGGATTACAGCTTCATGGATGTCATTGCATGCAAGGTACTGTCAAAAGTAATTAAGCCGGGGAAAATAGAGAGAAAAAAGGTATTCGTAGCAAAGTACTAAAGATGAACAATTAACTACTCTTTTGGGTCAAATCGCCCTCCCGACGCGTCTCCGCCCGACTTTCGCGTCGTTCCGCTCCAGCCCATTACCGCCCATTGTTGGCTCTCCGCTCTCCAGCTTTCAGACTGACGCACAACGGTCTCCGGCCTCTGAAATCAAAGCTATATCTGTCAAACACCATACTCTCAGCCATGGTTCAAGCCGAATCCTCAGCTAATGCCGGCCGCAATGGTCTCAAAGCGAGTACCGCGGGGGCTCCTCCCGATTATGAACTGCCCTGGTACGTACAGCAAAAGCAGACGCCGAAACCACAGCCAGATTGCAACGCCCAGATAGAATCTGACATACAATGATAAAATGCAGGGTGGAGAAGTACCGGCCGATCTTTCTGGATGACATCGTGGGGAATACGGAAACCGTCGAGCGCCTGAAAATTATCGCCAAGGATGGCAATATGCCTCATGTTATCATTTCGGGCATGCCCGGTATCGGAAAGACGACTTCGGTCTTGTGCTTAGCGAGACAGCTGCTGGGGGATGCCTACAAGGAGGCTGTTCTGGAGCTCAATGCCAGTGATGAAAGAGGTACAGCTACAAGATAACGGGGGTCGGTGAAATGAACAGGATCTAACAGCTCTTCAGGTATCGATGTTGTTCGGAACCGGATCAAGGGATTCGCCCAGAAGAAGGTCACACTGCCACCGGGTCGTCATAAGATTGTTATTCTGGATGAAGCGGACAGGTGCGTATCGAGACAGTATGTCGCACAGCCAGAATTTCGGCTCACGGACGGTTTAGCATGACATCAGGTGCCCAGCAAGCCTTGCGACGTACGATGGAGATATACTCGTCCACGACCCGATTTGCGTTCGCGTGCAACCAGTCGAACAAAATCATCGAGCCCATTCAGTCGCGATGCGCTATCCTGCGTTATGCCCGGTTGACCGATGCGCAGATCGTCAAACGATTGAAGCAAGTGTGCGACGCTGAGAAGGTGGAACACAATGAAGAGGGTGTTGCCGCTCTAGTTTTCAGTGCCGAGGGAGACATGCGCCAGGCCATCAACAACTTGCAAAGTACGTGGTCTGGATTTGGCTTTGTCAGTGGGGACAACGTCTTTAGAGTGGTCGACAGCCCGCATCCGATCAAGGTCCAGGCGATGATCAAGGCCTGCTGGGAGGGCAAGGTGGATGCTGCCCTCGAGACCCTTAATGAATTGTGGTATGTAATCACATTCCGACTACATGTCGCTCTTGAGCCCATTCTCACAGCATCGTTAGGGATTTGGGATATTCTTCCCATGATATCATCAGCACCATGTTCCGTGTCACTAAAACAATCACGACCTTATCCGAACACTCGAAGCTCGAGTTCATCCGAGAGATCGGATTTACACATATGCGCATCCTGGATGGCGTGCAATCACTGCTACAGCTCAGTGGCTGCGTTGCGAAGCTTTGCAAAGTTAACATGAAGCCGCAACTATTCGAGCCGCCTAACAATTAGTATAAAAGTGATATTTGAGGTTAGAAAGTGGCATATATTTGGTGTTAGGGGCGTTTGTACAGCAAGGCAAGGTCGGGACCTAAGATTACTAGCATATGGATTTTGCACATCACTTTATTGTTTTTCTGTGGAGTAATCAGGACGAAAATCTAGAACAACCAGTGTCATTTCCGAACAACAATTTCAACCATTGGAACATGGCATGCCAAAAGCTACGGCAGCATAGGAGGAGCTGGCATCTTCGCGCCCTCCGGCGGCTTGTTCTTGCTCTTGAAATCGTCACACATCTGCTCGAAAGTCACCCACTCTACACCCTCATGTTTGTTGATGTGCTCAATTATCCTAATCCAGTCAGTCTCCGTTCAACCGGCGCCGAGACATGAGCAGTCCGATAACTCACCTCTCATGCATCAGAAGAACGTGCGGACGACCCGACACATCCGGGTGAATCGTCATCGGAAAGACGAACTCGTCATACTCCCGGTAGAAATAATCGAAATGATCCTGCCGTCAACAATCAACACATCAGTCCGAGAACAGCAGGTAAAAGCCACACAACCCACCTTCCAGATATCCTCAACATCTCTGGGATTTACCCAGCCATGGCTGTTGGCCGACGACTTGATGAACATCATGGGGGGCAAATCATCAATGTACCAGTTCCCAGGGATCTCAACCAGCCCGGTATCCTGACCCCGAACCAGGGGCTTCATCCAGGTCTCCGCCTTCTTGCTGTAATCAATCTTGGTCCACGTGTCACCGGTCCGCAGCCAATACATCTGGCAATCGTGGTGCGACATGGAATGGTCGTATTCGATCCCGTACGAGAGGAGAAGCTCCGTCATCTCCGTGCTGGTCTCCCACCACGGAGCGACGATCCCGCGGGGCGCCTTGCCGCAGAAATCGTAAAGCTGTCTGTAGGTCTTGTCGAGGATATCCCGTTGCTGTTCAAGGGTCATGTCCGTAGGGTTTTCGTGGCTGTATCCGTGTAGCCCAAGCTCATGCCCAGCGTCGCGGACCATGGCGCACTCCTCAGGGAAGGTTTCGAGTGAGTGGCCCGGGATGAACCAGGTGGCTTTGATGTTGTACCGCTCGAACATTTTGAGGAGTCGGGTTGTGCCGATATGACCGGCCCATAGACCTGCAAGGTGGTAAGGATTCGGTCCTGGAGGGCGGAGGAGGGAGGGAGGGGGGGCTTGGGTTTCAATGGCCAGGGGCCTACTCTACTTACCTCGACTGATGTCGTTCGAACTGTCCTCTCCACCGTAGGATCCCAGCCAGCCGGCTACGGCGTCGATATCGACACCGTAGCTGACGAGAACGCGCTTCTTTCCCATGTCGATTATGGTAGCGTGGTGATGAGTGTGATTATTGAGGTAACTCGGACCGGGGAATGTATCGTCGACAGCGCGTTATAGAAAAGATATACCTCGAAGCGCAGGAGCTTCGAGAGGGGAAGTGGGGAGAAGGAGGGGCAAGAAATGGGGCAAGAAACCCACAAATCATAACATGGCAGGCTTCATCTATCTATCTACGGAGTACTACTTCCTCGGTGCTCTGATCAAAGCACGAAGATAAGCCCCGATAACGGTGTCTCTTTGGAGGGTATGCTTATTGTTGCTGTTGCTTATCAACAGTGGTCTTCGTCATTATTGGAAAGGAAAAGTCTCCAACTCAGGGCCTCTCCACTTCTGGCGTGACTCCAACTCGGGCCGTTGGGGTATCGCCGAAAAGTGGGGGTTGCCCCCCCCCCCCCCGAGATACGTAACGTACGTCCAAGAACCAAGTAGATATCATCTAACTCTTCCACATCTTCTCAATGACAGTCGCTGCTCCCAAGACCTTCTCTTCTTCCAGCTTCTTGCCGATTACCTGGACACTAACCGGATGGCCATCCATGGTATCCGCATCGTAAAGCTTCCAGTTCCACGCGTCGAGATCATTCCTCGGCTGGTAGTCCTGGGGCGGCGCGTCCACCTCGGCCCTCACTTGGTCCACAGGAAAGGTGACGGCGGAGTAGTCGAGGAAATTCCAGATCTTGGTATACCCAACCCACCGCAGTGTCCGGTGCGGGATGGCAGGATGGGGAGTCGTCGGGGCCAAGAGCACATCAACGGGTCTCCCGGACGAAGAACGGACCGCATTCCACTTATCCAAGTACCTCTTCTGTAGCGCCACCTTCTGCCTGTTGAGCTGCCAGTATTCATACACCGAAATGGCCTTCCCCCGATTCACCAGCGCCTCCACATGAGGAATCATCGGCTCCCCAGCAGCTTCCACGTCCCGGCGGATATCCTCACATCCGTCCACGGTGTAGAAAACGTCCATGAGTTTGATATAATCCAGGTGGTCCGAGGCATCCCAGGCGACTATCTCATGACCCTGCGCCTCCAGCTTTGCGGACAGGTCCCGGAGAGCTCTCTCGATCGGATGATGTACTCTCACCACGCCGTCGTCTAGGATCAACCCGATTACCAGAGGCCGATTTTGGACCTCCTGGAACGATTCTTCGTTCCAAGGCAGGGGTGTACATTTGGGATCTAGCTGCCACGGCTGGGCGTTGGCGACCAGTCGACTTACATAGCAGAGGGACGACAAATCCCGAGCCATGGGGCCAACTGCAGAGGGGACATGCTCCTGTCCCTCAGTTGAGACGGCGACACCGTGGTACGGGAGTCTGCTGCTCTGTTTGGAGTATCAGCAAAGTCCTTTGGGGTTAGATGGGCTGTGCGACTTACGCTGGGCTTCAAGCCGTAGAGTCCCATGAGACTCTGAGGAATCCTCACGCTGCCCCCGATATCCGTCCCATAGCCTAAGATCGAGCCGTGCAGTGCCAGCAAAGCGGCTTCTCCTCCTGTAGAGCCGCCCGGGGTAAACTCGGGGTCTCTTGGATTGGTCGTCAAGCCCCAGAGAGGATTCTCAGTTTCCGCCCACTGGCAGTGGAAGTTAACGAGTGGGCTCTGTTGGATTGCAGACTGAGAATACGGACCATGATACTCTGTGGCAAATTTGTCTTTGCCAGCACGATGGCACCCAGGTCCTTGAGCATCTGAGCGAGGACTGCATCTTGTGTAGCAGGAGCAAAAGCACGGCCCACATAGCCCAGTGTAGTATCAACCCCCTTGAGGTCGAACTGGTCCTTCAGTGTGACGGGAATGCCGTGGAGTGGGCCTTTGACCTGGCCGATTTGCTGAAATTCACGATCCAATGCACGGGCTTGCTCTAACGCATCCTCAAAGACCACCTCAGTGAGGCAGTTGGTCTGTTTGATTGTTTGGTTGGGTTAGTTTCAGCCGTAAACCACTGACTGCCGGCATATCAGACTCACCAGTTGATGTGCCGCCACGGCCCTAAGTACATGTCTTCCGTTAGCCGACGTTGCTTTTGCTTTGCTAGACAAGGGCACCTACCTCTTGATATACGCCAAAGTCGTCTGCTCTGCGGTGTACTGCCCAGTCTTTAGACGCTCGAATAGGTGAGGGATGTTGTCAATGTCGGTTATCTCTTGGATCGCAGGGGCATCCGGGACACAAGAACGGTCGTGGACGGAGTGGATCTGCCCCTTCCGTCGATTGACATCGTTGATCAGGTATGGGCTCAGCAGCTGGTCGCGCAATGAGCGCTTCTTGGAGACAGTCTGCTCCCAGGGTTGAAGGCTTCCCATGTTGGTTTGGACGGCGGGGACTCGGGATGACTCGACAATTGGTCTAGGGTGGGTGGGGGGAGGGGTGGTTGTTGTTGATATACAAGCATACTTATATGCCCAGCGCTATCCTCTATCTAGCTCCCTGCTTAGTATCCCAGTAGATACCACTAGGTGTTCCGTCTGTAGATACAAGATAAGCATCAGGCCGCCGTATCTGCACCCGCCGACCAGTGCGGGCCCGGCAGCAATGCTAATACTAGTGGAGTATTTGATTTATCCAGGGCCACAACCGTAAGCATGCAACAACAACCACCACAGCAGCTGCCTAGTACACATGAACTGCCCAGGGTACTTCTGCAGAGGAGCACGCTGTTCTGAGTACACCCCCTGCAGAAAGGGTTTCTTCGAAACATGATCCATCCTCCATGGTCCACCACCCACTGAATCCAGAAGTAACCGAAAAAAGTGGGTTCGATGCGACTGGGCCGCGCGGGGGGTTCCGCGGCCGGCCAGCTTTTCCTCGATTCTCCCCATCTTTCTTCCTCGCCGCCGACAACGGTCGACCTTCACCATGCTTCGGATGGGGTGGAAACAATGCGCTCGCCCGACTTTGAATCTCTGAGTCCTTGAGATGCTTTCGCCGATGATCGATCAGATCTTCCACTACTACTAAGGACCTGTGCTTCCTCCCCCCCCTCCCCCCCCCGACCCCGAATTGGGGATATGCCACCATGAACCCCCCGAGCTCTGATGTCGCCGCAACATCACCGATGACCGGTGCCATCCGAACCGATTCCCGAAGGAAGAATTCCGGCGCGATTGCGAAACGGGCTTGCGATCAGTGCAAGTTCCGCAAGATCAAGGCAAGCAATTCCCTCCCCTCTCTCCGTCACCCCTTCGCTCTCGGAATTGAATTCCTGGCGTTCTTTTTCGCCCCCCCCCCCCAGAGTCTTGCGAGCTAATCGCTCTAGTGACTACAGTGTAGTCTCTCCCAGCCATGCAGGGCATGTGTTTCTATGGGCTTTGAATGTACCTTTTTCCAACCTCAGAAGAAACGCGGACCCACTGGCCAGTGAGTTTCACCTCACTGCCTTGAATCTGCCCCATCTTGTTTGTTCCAGCAGAAGTTGGCTAATCAGATCCTGTCCATCTGTCGCGGACCAAAAGTCGCGTGTCCCAAATCCGACAGCAACAGACCAATTTGTCCGGGCTGAATAGTCCTCAGAACCCGGTACTTTCCAACGCTCTCCCAAATACTTTCCCCTATCAGCCGGACTCGCCGTCACGGCCCGATGCGAGCGCCGCGGCCGCCCAGCCCATGCAAGGCGCTACACCTTGGCCTATGCATGGTGAGGCCCCCGTACCCGTCGAGCTTGCACCACCCCATGCACCGGCGCCGATTGCGCCTGGCTGGAATGCGGAGACTTCGTCGATCGACTCCCACAACAACAGCGGTGTCAGCTGGAATGAGCGGAGTGACGTGGAGTACTGGCTTCCAGATACATTGGATGGCCAGATACCCATCTTTGACTTCCCAGGCAGCAATATCTATTTGAAAACATCTCTCCCATCGATCATCCAGACAGAAGCTACTGCTGCGGGTCTACAGCCGCATTCAGTGGAGGCGACCGGCGTCCCTCTGCCCGGTACGAATGTCTTGAATCCACCGTCGAACGAAACGAACACGATATGGCCCCCATCCATCGTGGAAGCGAACATGATTCCCTGGATAGACGTCTACTTTGACCGTTTACACCCCACATTACCGGTGCTAAACCGGTCATCTTTGTTTATCCGGATGCTGTCCCAAGAACACCGCAGGAATCCACAATTCGGTGCGATGCTACTGGCCCTATGCGCTTTCTCCCTCACCCAACCCATCGAGATAGACGAGCGGCCGACATCGTCGTCCCGAGCCAGCCAGGCTAGGTCTATGATGAACGAAGCAACCAAGATACGAAGTTGTTCGGATTTTGGAGAGCACCCAACGGTTGAAGCTGTTCTTACCAGCTTCTACCTGTTTGGGTGTCTTTTTGGCAGCAATCAACATAATGCTGCATGGCTCCGTCTGCGGGAAGCACTCGACCTGGCCGCCACATTGGGACTGAACAACCCGGATTCCTATCGAGATTTACCCGGCGACGAAAAGGGACAACGCTTACGGACATACCTGGTCCTGTCAATCACAGAGAGGTACTCTACTCTATATCCAGATCTGTCTATACATAGGATCACACACTAACCAGGAACCGTTTAAGGGCATATGCACTGCAACGAAGGCATCCAATCACATTTTGGGGACGGCCGGGGTTTAGCATGCGTCCCGTGCACGACTTCATCCACAGTGCCACCCACAGCCTTGTATCCGGCATCATCGTCCATAATGAAAAGGATGCCGAAGGAATGATGGGCCTGGCGCGCCTCATGGAATTGTTTGATGCCATTGACGAGGATGTTGTTGACTGTTGGAATCAGCGATGCAACATCAACACCGGTTATTGCGAAAAGCTCACGGATGCTAAGGCTTCGGCCATTCATCAAAACCTTGGCCGTGTCAGTGAGTCTGAACGATATAAAGGTTATGACTGGTTTGAGCGCTCCAAGTCAGCTCTCGGCGCAAACCAAAGCACTCGTCCCGCAATAGGTTTGAGAGAGACCCAATGCGCGGATGTTTTCATCACAAAGAAGTGGCTTCAAAACCGCATCTGGGTGCTCTGTTCCACCCACGGTCTGTTGCAGCCTACTACAGAACGTCGTGAATTCAGCCTTGACTATGCGGTCTCTGTTGCAAAGGAGACCCTAGATATCTGCCGATCCTTACGCCTGAGCTCCATGGAAGCACATGGAATAGGCCTTGTACGTATAACCCTTCCGGGCCATCTTTGGCACAGTGACTCATGAAACCAGGTTGAAAAGTTATATGACATTGCTGTCGGTGCCATTGGCGTTTTGTTTAACGTCCAGATGCCCCTTGCCAAGGGCATCACCGTGGCGCCACCTGCACAGCAGATTCTGACGCCACCGACGGCGGATAGCCGAGCGCTCTCTAAATCCCTAACTGAAGACTTTCTTCTGCTGTTAAGTAGCCTCCGTGGCGGGAACCACCCGTTTATGGAAAGATACAGAGCATTCTTAAATTCTCTGTACAGCGGTGAGAGCACCTGGAGCGCGCAATAAGCTAGGTTGTGTGGGTTGCCTGCCTCCTGTCTCACTCCCGAACTTCTTCCCTCTTCTGCCTTCCCTCCTCCTTTGCTTTTCCTTTGCATTTGGGTGCGCTGGTATCATTGTAACACGTTTCGGGGGCCACGCACTTTTTTGGAAAGTACGTTTGATTGGTCCCAACACAGTCTCATCGAATCTGGATATCTACTATACATTATCGCATTGTCTTGCCACCAAGTTGGCCAGGCTGTAATGAAATTCGAATACACCGCCATTCAAAAATGTAACATAGCTTCGTATCCTATCAATAAGGCAATGGCAGTGACAAGAGCAAAGCGAGCGGCCCATAGGCTCATTGTGTTCATACAGAGCGTTGGTACTGGCTCCACTTGGGCGCAGGGATCCCGGCCACGTACATTGCATCGATTTGCACAAACGTTCGACCGTTGGTCTCTGGAATACAAAGGTAGGCGAAAATCAAAATACATCCCATGCAGCCAGCAAATACAAGATACGTCTTCGGCCCCAGATTTGCTGCATCTGCGGCTGTTAGCTGAGGCACCACCAAAGTGGTAATGACCGCTGTTGTTTGAGCACAGGCGATCGTATACGCCATGGTGTGATGGCGCAGCTTGGGCGTGGCCATTTCAGAAGGCAGCAGAGTTGATATAGAGGCAAACGAGGAGGCCCAGAAGAAGTTGAAGACGAATGACAAGGCTGTAATGGCCATGGCCGAGCCAGTGCTGCCCTGGATAAAGGCCAGGCCACCAGCCACCGCGTCGATGATGAACAGGATGCTCATGCCGACTAATGCGGTGGGACGACGGCCAGCCCGGTCAAGCACGAAGGGAGCGGCAATTGTACCAGCAAGAGTGCAGCAAGCGGCAATCACAGTCCACGAGAAAGGCTCCTGGACCCCAATCTCAGACAGAAAGACGGTGCTGTAGGTTGTTGAAAGTATGATGCCGGAGATCTGGTTCAGAGAGTAGAAGGACCCGGCGATTAGGGTGCGACGAAGATGTCTTCTTGAGAAGATCTCCCAGAAAGACGCGGTGGCTCGAGAACCTTGCGCGCTTTGTTCGGATAGTTTCATTTGCTGGAGCTCATCGTCAATCCGCTGTTCGCTGCAACGACGAAGTCTCCGCAGATTTCTACGCGCCTGTTTCATTCTGCCCTTGGAGACTAGCCATTGCGGACTCTCCGGCAATGGTGATGTCCAGACAAGCAGGAGAGCAGGCAGAGTGCACTGCACCGCCAGAGGGATCATGTACGATCTGCTGCCCCCTAAGCTGTGGGTACCCAGCACCACGATTGTCCCCAGGACACCGGCGATCAAACTCAAGATATTGATCAATGACACACTCCGCCCTCTCATGGAGGCGGGCACGACCTATCAAACGATGAGTGGATGGCTCAAGACTCCCAAGGCATCGGTGTTCGTACCTCGGAAAGATACAAGGGGGCGGTGCTATTGGCAATCCCCATAGCGATCCCGTTCACAAAACGACCCGACACAAACGCTCCCAGCGTGGGAGCTAGCACTTGGAGCAGCCCGCCACCAATGGAGAGAACATAGGCAATTAGCAAGGGGCACTTGCGTCCCAGCCTATAGTTCAGAGGCGAGGAGACCAAACCTCCAAGGACCGATCCTACCAGAGGGACAGAAAATATGAGATTCTGGTTATGCGCTGTCAGAACAAGTTGGCCCGTCACTGGCTCGGGGCCCTGGTATCTATCGACCTGAGGATCCTGTCAGCATAATGGATCCACTTCAAGCCGGTCGGTTGCATGGGCTCATGTCGACTCACAAATGCACTCAGTGCTGCCACCGGCGAGATGATCTTGTCGTCAAAACCAAAGACCAATGAAGCTGCGCCAAAAGCCGTGCAAGTCACGACCAGCAAAGCGTTGGCTGCGCGTTCCCTTGACTGCCTGCTGCTCGGGGGAGCGAGATCCACATGTTGCACCTGATGTTCTGCCTTTTTGGCATCGGAGGGAGGGCCGTCCGATTCATTGGCCATTGCAAACGACCACTGCCTGCAGAAAAGCTGCCAGACTGCCGGACGAGAATATTCATTGGCCCCAAAGACGCCAAACGAGGTGGTATCACATTGACTGCCTACACAGCATACGTCGTATTCGTAGAGCTTGTCGACTCAGGGGACTTCCCCAGAGATTCCCCAGAAATTCCACCTCTGGTGACCGACCCATGGGGGAAGAGTCTAATTTCACCCTGAGCAATTGCCTTCCTCGTTTCCTCCGGAAAGGTTGAATGCGACGATGCTTCGTGGCTCCACTTGCCACGCTAGTGGATCCCTTTTGCAGCCGTCTCTTGGCCGAAACTCAATTATGTCGAACGGTCGAACCTAGGTAGTGGAGGGCTGGTCTGGTTGGGGTCGTGGATGATGGTCGCGTGGGCTGGCGTTGAATCCCCAGACTTCGAGATGGTGATCCCGGCTGGAGCATGAATGCAAAGTGCCATTGGGGGGGGGGGGGGGGGGATTGAAGCGGATGATATTTCCAACGACGATGTAAGGATGGGTCTGGGGAAGGATTTCTCCGAAGAACCGCCGGGGGGGCGTCGACTCACCATCGATCGCCTTGCTGAGGACAACCCGTTTGGTCCATTCGAACAAACCGCTGTTTCCCACCAAACACCCCCCAGGACGGCTCGAGTCGATGGGAGAGCCTGTGGACCCAATTCAATGACGATGGCCCTCTCGGGGGGCCAACCTTGGGGCGTCCCCAATGCCTATGGAAATCGAACCCATCTGGATCCTGGGTCGGGTGAAACGCCCAATCCTCACTCGGACGACGACCATCAGCGCTGGCGCCCATCGTACCATATCACTGCGCCCCAGGGGTGGTTGAATGATCCGTGCGGTCTCGGATATGATCCTGCAACCAAACTATACCACTTATCGTTTCAATGGAATCCGAAAGGCAATGACTGGGGAAATATATCCTGGGGGAGTTGCGTCTCCTCCAATCTCCTTACGTGGAAGATATCCCCGACACCGAGTCTGGAGCCCACTGCCGAATATGATCAGTGCGGCGTCTTTACCGGCTGCCTGCGACCAAGCTCCATTCACGGACACGCGGATGCGCTCACCCTTGTCTACACATCGGTGAAGCGTCTACCAATCCACTTCACCCTGCCATATGATTCTGGCTCCGAGTCGGTCAGCCTGGCTACCTCGCATGACCAAGGTCGGACATGGCAGCGCCTGGATTGTAACCCCATTCTATCATCCCCCCCTGGAGGGGTCAGGGTAACGGGCTGGCGAGACCCCTTTGTTCTGGAACAGCCCGGGGTCTTTCCATCCTCTAACCTCTGCGGGCTTATCTCTGGAGGCATCGCCGGAGAGACCCCTACAGCGTTCGTATACTCAATAAGCCCTGGGGACTTGCGACAATGGGCGTACCTGGGACCGCTGGTCCACGTTGGCCTCAACTTCCGGCCCTCTCGATGGTCCGGGGATCTTGGGGTGAATTGGGAGGTCGTCAACTGGTTGCCCCTGACGGACAAGGGGGATGTCCCGAAGTATTTCATAATCATGGGAGCAGAAGGGTGTTTAGAATCAGAAAAGCTTCGTCAGAAAAGAACTCCCCGGGAACAGATGTGGATGTGTATCAATCCCTGCCCTGGATCCCAACAGCACAGCACCGCTGTCCCTCTCGCGACCTACGCATTCTCGGGATTCCTCGATCACGGGTGCTGCTATGCAGCAAACAGCTTCTGGGACCCCGTCACAGCCCAGCACATCGTCTACAGCTGGATCACCGAGGAAGACCTGCCCGACGACCTTCGGCACCAGCAAGGCTGGAGCGGCATGCTGTCCATCCCCAAGGTAGTCAAGTTGATAACGCTTCCCCGTATCAAACGATCCCGGCACTCCAACCTGAACACCATCACGTCCATCGAGATAGAGAAGGAGGAGACGACAGCAACAGAGACCCAGCGGACTTACACGATGCGAACCCTGGGTATACGACCGGATCAACGACTGGAGGCTCTTCGAAACGAGACAGGCCGAAAGCACATCGCCGAGACACCTTTACGAAACCCTAGCGATAGAACCTCCCCCCCATCCCAAGTCCTCATTTCTCAACACCCAAAATGGGAAGCCCGGGCCGAGTTCTCCGTCAGTAATCAGTGTAAAGCCGTGGGGATGAAAATCAGCCATGGCGCCAGTATGTCCCACCCTCTGCCTATCTATCCCCATCCCACTCCATCTCCATCCAATCCATTCCCCCCCATCCCGTTCATTGACCCATCCCACCCAGACGCCCAACGCCACACAATCCTATCCTGGGACCCAACCAACGAAACCTTCACTATCCAACGGCCCCCACCCTTTGATTCCCGAATCAATCACTCCCCCGAGTCAGCTCCGCATACGCTATTCACCTTCGAGATCGACTCCGAGTCAGAACTATCAGAGCAAGAGGAGACCCTCCAGATCCATGCATTCTGGGACGCAAGTGTGCTCGAGGTCTTTGTGAACGAGAGGACAGCCATATCCACCCGGGTGTATCTTGCCCGTGACGAGCAGATTCAGTCGACCTTGCGGTTTTTCGCCGAGGGGGGGGAGGATGATCCGCCGGCTGTGCTTCTACAGGCTGATGTATGGGATGGACTAGGACTGGGTGATGTGTATGAATGAGTATGAGTATGAGTTGAGTTCGGATGCGAAAATGCTATGTCTATATAGCACGATAGCACAGGACAGCATGCTGGCAGTGACATGTCCAGTTGATAAAACAAGGGCATAGTGTATGATTCAAGAGCATACTAGTAGTTATAGTTATCGACATAACCATTCATGCAACCGGGTCGTCCATCCCACGAACTATCTATGAAATACATCATGCATGCACGCACCAGCCAGGAATCAAACGAACCTTTTAGCCCCCAAAGAAAAAAACCCTAAACCTACCCACCCACCCAGAGCCTCGTCGATCATATCTGATAGTATGCCAATGCGGAAAGAAATGCTTTGCAAGCCCAGTTTATCCACCATGCACCCAGATAATGCGAATGGGTATCAATCAATCAATTCATGGGAGGCGGCGACCTTTCAACCGGTTTAAGAGAAAAGAAAAAGAGAGATGATGGGATTGAGACGAAAGCGAAAAAATTAGTAAGAATGTTAGTTTAGGATTTCGTAAATAACCACCAGTTTGGCTCATAAATCACCGGGACTGCCAAAACTTCCAACCGGGAAACGCCTTTCGTCCGTCTCGTTTGTAAATGCGCCAGTAATAGACAGGAACGCCGGCCACAATGAATGCGACCACGATCAAGGTCTGCAGCGGCTCTGCGATAATCGCCCGACTGAGGAGGAAGAGACTCACACAGCAGAAGATGATGGGGGTCGAGATCCAGGTCTTGTACGGGCGGTGCAGGTATGGTTCACGCACGCGGAGCACAATCAGGCCTAGTACCGTGAAGAAGTAGAAGGTGTATCCGGCGACGCCGTAGAAGGTGACGAGGGTTTTGAACTCGCCGACTATGACGTAAATCAAGGTGAGTGCGCTGTTCAGTGCCATGGCGTTGATGGGAGTGAATCCGATCTGCGTGCCACCTCCGCATACGCGGGTGAGCGACTTGCTGACCCATGATCGGCGCTGCAGTCGATTCGTGGATGTGTCTCGAGTCCACAGGTTGCCGAAGACAGAGGGCAGATAGCCTTCCTTTCCGGCCGCGTAGACTAACCGTCCACTGGTGAAGGTCGTTGCGTTCAGAGCGCCGAAGCAGCTCGCGGACACCACCAGCGCGAACACCAGGGCCCCGACCGACCCGAACACCTTGTCGCCGAATTGGACGGCGATTGTGTTGCTGGCTTCGATGGTTGCATGGGGCAGAACAAGGATGTAGGAGACGTTGGCGAGGATATAGCTGAGGATGACCAGCGGCATGGCGGTGTGAATCACCCGTGGGAGATCACGGGGAGGGTTCTTGAATTCCCCCGTCACATAGTTCGTCTAAGGGCTGTCAGTCCAAGGCCAGGACGGGGACGGGGTTTCTGTAGAAGAGCAGGAGAACATACATTGTCCCACCCATCAAAGGCCCACAGGCCTGCGTATAGGGCTACAGCCCATGCGGATACATCCAGATTCGTACCTTCGAACCAGCCCGCCTTCCACTCCTTGTTGGCACTTCCACTTGACGAGAGGCCGGTGATTGCCACGATGATGCCGATAATTGTGACACCCAGCAATGCAACGAACTTGAAGAACATAAAGAAATCGCCGATGCGAGCGGCCACTTTGGTGGAGATGCAGTTCAGTAATGTCACGACAAGGATTCCACCGAACGCAACAGCCTTGTTGATCCATGGATTAACCGTCTCAACATCGGCACCAACCACAGCCCTGACGACGTATTCTCCAAAGATGATTGCAATGATGGCCGCGCTGCCGGGCTTCAGCACGAGAACGGCGCTCCATGTGAACAGGAAGCCTGCCAGCTCTCCGAAGATCTTGGACAGGTACACCTGGGAGCCCCCATTCAAAGGAATGGCACCTCCGAGCTCCGCATAGCTCGCCGCCCCTGTCCATGCCAGCAACCCAGCCACCACCCACGCAATCAGCGACGCCCCGGGCGACCCCGCATTGGCATTGACCTGGCTGGGAGAGGAGAAGATGCCGGAACCGATAATCAGTCCCACCACTAGGGACAGGCCGTTCAGGTATGTTAACGTTTTGTTCCTTTCCAAGGAGCCATCGGCGACCCCGGCCTCTCGGTCTGCGGAAGAGGCGCCCAAGGGTGCATAACCACCGGTCGTCTGCGACAAGGGGAACAGCGTCGCCCCAAAGTCGAAAGCGGAGGAAATCGAGTAAGAGCGGGCGGACCGGGGTCGGCCGGAGGCAGATTGAGCCTGTGGGTGGGAGCTGGAGAGAGGGTCCTCATCCTCGAGCGAGAGCTTGCGTGAGGACGAGATGCCCGACGGGGACGAGGAGCGGGATGATCTGGGGGCGGAGTCGGGCGACGAGGCCAAAGAGGCCAGTTCTAGGGAATCCCTGGGCGCATGGTAATTGTCCGACCTGGAGGCGGAATTCGAAAAGGCTACACGGGACATGCCGTGCACAGGAAGAGCAGGAGGTCGAGTCTGATCAGGAGGAGTTGGAAGGACGAGGGCGGGCTGTGGCTGAGACGGAGGAGAGGGTCCATGCGGGAAGCGACAAGGGAAAGGGAGTGGAGAAGTCACAGAATCCGGAGAGAGAGGGAGAGAAAGGGAGAAAAGAGGAAGAGGGAGAGTAGAAAGACGAGACACGAGAGAGAGAGAGAGAGAGAGAGAGAGAGAGAGAGAGAGAGAGAGAATAATAATAGTAAATGCGACTCCCTCTCCCTGCATCCGCCCAAAAGAGGCTAGCGCGGAGGGATCTCCGCCGCCTGCCTTTTTTATAGCGTCATTCGATCTCCTTCGCGACGCTGCAATTTCCCTCCCCCCCCCTCCCTCCCTTCCCCCCCTCCGAAGGTCTCGTCCCTGTCCCATGCCGCCCCGCCCATCCTGTTGGGGCCTGCGCCGCTTCAATGCCCCCTCCACCCTGGGGAGGTCCGTGATCCCTTCCCCCCCGAGACGCTATGCCTCCCACTCCTCGCCGCCGCCGAAGCAGCAACGCCGCCCATGGATCCGTCTCGCCTTCGTGACAGCCGCGGCAGCCGGAGTGGGCGCACTTATCAGGTCACAGCAGGTCCCGGAGTCGTCCACCCTGAATCCGGTCAAGTTCACCCCCTATCAGCTAGTGTCCCGCGAACCCGTCTCCTCGACCGGCAGCTTCTTCACTCTCCAGCCACCCAAATCGGATGGGAGCAATGACGAAGTCTACGAGGATGCCTGGAGGACGGGGATCTGGAGCGTCATGTTCAAGCAGCCTCAACTGCAGATTGGGAGAGACTACACCCCCCTTCCATCCCCGTCGCCGGATGGTGAAGAGGATGAGTGCCTGCGGTTCTTCATCCGGAAGGATACCTCCGGGGAGATGTCGCGGTACTTACATAGCCTGGACATCGGGGCGTCAGTTGAAGTACGCGGCCCGCGATTCGAGTGTGACATTCCCCCGGAGACGCAGCACATCCTGTTCATTGCTGGCGGCACGGGGATCGCCCCTGCGTTACAGGCCGGGCACACGCTTCTGCGCCGCACGGATCAAACGCACCATCCCAAAATACATATTATGTGGGCTAATCGCAGGCGAGAGGACTGTGTCGGCGGTGTGAATGACCTGGCCACCACCACGGCTGTACCCCAAAGGTCATGGTTTTCGAGACTTTTCACATCTTCAAGCGGCAGTCCGCCACCATCTGCTGACCCCCCGACGGACGTCGGGGCTTCTCTGATCGTGCGAGAGCTAGAGGCTCTTCGCGCACAGTATCCTGGCCAGGTGACGGTGGATTATTTCGTCGATGAGGAAGGCACGAGCATTGGTAAGCAGCTCATCCGGGACTCGGCCAACACTGCATTGTCTTCTTCCGTGGAAGCGGGCAAACGCAACCTCATTCTGGTCTCGGGACCGGAGGGCTTCATTAGCTACATGGCAGGACCAAAGCTCTGGGCCGAGGGAATGGAATTACAGGGTCCGTTACGGGGCATCCTCAAAGAGCTGGACCTGAAGGACTGGGCCGTATGGAAGCTGTGACAAGGGCGGTGTATAATAATGGGAGCCATTTACTTCTTGTACCATGTGTTATAGATGTACTAGTATAGATAGATTTGAAATGGAAACATTCCTAGTTGGATGGCCTCGCTAACCGCAGGCAAGTCACAAATGGCGATTGACGTCGTCCTGGTTAGTATGCGATCTGCTGATTTCGGTGGGGACGATGCATATATACTACGGCTGCTGCTGCTGCTTACTCCCCCTGCTGTCCCCCCTCTCTTCTCTCTCTCTCTCTCTCTCTCTCTCCTCACACACACACCCCCTCGCCACAACTGTTCCACAATGACTCGGGACACTTCATCGCGTCTGCATGGAGGTGCTTCCACGACGATCGCCTGGCCGACGAATGGGGACGAAGGCGCCGCCGCGTTGGCTGTCCGGCTGCAGCCATCCTCCCCTCTTAACGCCTAACCCAGGATGCTCCATACTTTGAGCATGCTTCCTTCTGCCTTCCTCCTGGCAATCCTGTCTTCTTTCCCAACTTCGGTTGGAGTCTTCTGGCGGCTTAACCCTCGACCGGAGTGTTTGAATTATAACGAGCCCCATAAGCAGGGCCTCCTCTCTCTCCACCGTCACACTGTCCTACTGTTGCCTGATGAACCATCCATACTGCTGATGGACCCCGTCTCCGCGATCGGCCTTCTTTCGGGCGCGTCTCAAGTCGCCCAATCTGCCAAAGCCACCGCAAGTAGGCTGGCCGATCTGTATGGCAAATTCAACAATGCAGACCTCACCCTTCAAGCGCTCATCGGCGAGCTGACGGCCATTCGATCATCCATCACCCAGCTGCATGACTGGGCTTCGTATAGTGTCCCCGGGTCAGCAGAACCTGACGAGTATGTTGAAGGTCTCGAAGTCGCCCTCAGCGGCTGTCGCGCGACCATGGAGGTCCTCTCCGACGAGGTATCGGCCCTGGCTCGGGGCGAACTATATAACGGCACCGGAGCTGGGGTTCGGGATCGAACGAAGGTTTCCTGGAACGAAGACAGCATGAAAGGTCATCAGGAAAGGCTGCGCGCTCAGGTCCAAGCGCTGCAGTTATTGCTCCAGGCCTGCCAGTGGTAAGGCTCCATATGACAACCAGAAAGATATCACTGCATGCTAAAGACTAGCCACTAGTCGGTCCTCTACTGAGCAAAGTGAACTGCTACGAAGAGCTGAGAGCCGCCGGATCATCGAGAAGGTCGCCAGCAAAACAGCAACTCTGCGGACCTCCAGCAGCTCCACAGCCTCGCGCGCAAATAGTGTGACCCTAAATCGTCGCCCGTCATCCGCACGGGAGGCTGTATTTGATTTCGACAGGTCTGTGGCTGGCTCTTTTCCGTGCCGTCGTATGACTATACCTCCGCCTACCACGCCCGCAGAACAAGCCAGCTTTGGTTACGACAATCGCCGCTCAACTACGGACGAAGGCTACGGGAGTAGCGCTGCGAGCAGTCAAAATCTGGGGGGGACCAGCCCAACCCTTTTAATGCATCACTCTGCGTCGATTGGCTCCAGTCATGGTCACTGCAAAAGCATGTCGCTCACTCCGAACACCTTGCCGCAAAGCTCATCTCAGGTGCGCAGGTGGCAGTCAGACGCGACTGGTTCTTCTAGAGTAACCCGCTCCTCGTTGTCCCGGCGAGAGAAGTTCCGGTCCATCCTTCGACAACTTAGGCGACCAAGTCTGTCTGCAGCACCGACGCAGCCCCCTGCGCGCAGCTCTACGGAGCGACGGCTGTATATGAGAGGCACAAATACTAGCATTGATTTGACATCGCCAGACGGGGCGTCCGTACCGCTGATCGTCAGATCAGCTCAGTCGGGCACTCGCTCGGATGTCGAAAGGCTCCTGGAAAGCGGTCATGATATTGAAGCTCGGCACGCTTCTTCCCGCAGGACTCCTCTTCTAGTGGCATCGCACTGTGGTAACCAAGCGGTGGTTGAATTGTTACTGCAAAGAAACGCCCGAGTTGATGCCCTCGATAAATTAGGGTCCACTGCCCTGCACCTGGCTGCCTCTCGTGACCACTGTAGCGTTCTTGAGTTGCTTCTCCCTGAAGGGTTGGACATCGAAGCACGGAATTCCAACCGCCAGACTGCTCTCTGGCTCGCAGCATATTACGGTCGAGTTGGGGCCACGCACATGTTACTCGCTTGCCATGCCAAAGTGAACACGCGGGCTGACAACCACGAAACCCCGCTGCATCTTGCAGCAAAACGGGGCGATGTGGTGATTTCCAACCTTCTTATCTCAAGTGGCGCAGACATGGAAGCCAAAGATGGAGCGATGATGACGGCCTTGCATTATGCCTGCGAGGGAGGCCATCTGGGCGTCATCGAACTGCTCCTTTACAACAAGGCCAGCATCAACGCGGCTGGAAGCGATCGCAGGACGCCGCTGATCTGCGCTGCCGCTATGGGTCAGCTGCTGGCGATGCAGCTTCTGCTCAAAAAGAAAGCGTCGATTCTATGCGTTGACGACGCTGCCATGACGGCATTTCATTGGGCTGCGTTCAATGGGCACACGGAGATAGTGGACATGTTAAGCCAGAAGAAAGGCCTGGTTGTCAGACCCAATATTGCAGGACGAACAGCACTACATCTTGCAGCCATGAATGCGCAATTCGCGGTGGTGGAGTTACTCCTCCGCAAGAAGATGCCCCTAGAAACGCGCTGTCTGTCGGGGTTCACGCCGCTCCACTACGCCTGCATGGCCAATAGTTTCGAGATAACAAAGCTGCTTCTCATTTCCGGGGCCAACATCGAGGCCCAAGCCGAGGTAGACCGACGACGACCGATCCATATTGCAGCTGTCCGTGGGTCGATGGGGTTGCTTAATTTGCTCTGTGACAAGGGTGCCTCTTTGGATTCTCGTGATGATGTGGGAGACCGAGCACTGGGTGTGGCATGTCGGTACGGACATGTTGCTGCCGTCCAAAGCTTGCTAGACTGGGGATCACCCGTATATCTCACTTACGGAGACCGCTCTGAGGAGGACTCTCCGTTATGCCTGGCTGCCATGGGAGGGCATCTCCCCGTGGTCACGCTTCTTCTCCGGCGAGGTGCGTCCGTCCACAAGCGCGACGAAAGGGGATGGCAGCCGTATCGCTATGCAGCTTATTATGGGCATGCCGCCGTTCTCCGCTCGCTCATGTCCTGCAGTTCAATATTAGCGAAAGATGACATGGATCTGGGGCTGGACTTGGAGCGAATTGGCTTCGCACCTTCGGCAGACATACCCCAGGACAACAAGCGGGAGGTGCGAAGCTTGCTGCATCAATTGCAACATCCGTCACTGCCAGTGGACAAAGGCCTTCCACCAGCCTGGAGTCCTGTGTCATCATCGGGCCTGACCTTTGCGGCTACGCCGGTAGCAGTCGTGGGCCCGCAGGAGCTGCCAGGGACCTTGGAGCAAGGACTCCCGGCGAGCCGATCTCAAACCCCGGAACACATGCGTCGAAGGGCGTTGGTCAACACGCGAGCGTCGGAATTTAGCGATGTTGCCCAGATCCTGGGGGCCAACGAACGGGCTTTTGCACCGGCGGATGAACAAATCGCCATGCCTCGTGCGCGCCATCCGTATGAATCGCCGGGTGGCAGTCCCATCACCGACAGCCCTTTCTTCGAGCCCAAATTTCTCCGTGCAGGCGAAACTGGGGTGCACGAGGTGAACTGGATACCAACCTTAGACAATGCCGGGCAGCCCCGAGAATGGGACTCCGAATCATCCATATCATCTGTCTACACTGCACCGGAGGAAGATATATTCGAGCTCCCGGCCTGATCGACCGTCCCATCGGATGGAACCCAACGCCATGCGTCCAGCATACAGCATACGAAATGTCCCTACTATCTAGTACGATTATTCCGAATATAACTCCGGCTCCAGGATCGAGATCTCGATCACCGACCTGTCGCGCCGAAGCATAAGTAAGAATAGCCCTGTATTATTATTAGCATGCACGAATGACAGGCCAAGAACGGCATGTCTCAGATCCTGATCCGTTGGTTAATCGATCTCGTCTTATATCCTCTTATGTAGTAAGCAAGCCCGGGCTGAGGGTGCCATGAAACCAGTCTGGAGAAAGCAATACTGTCTAAACATAGAGAAAAAGCAATATTCGGGCAAGGGTGGAAAAAAGCAAACATCTTTCTCTCCGAGCATCCGAGACATGCCCAGTGGCCCACACGCACACTTACAAATTCAAGAGATGGGATATCAACCACCACTACCAGTAGCCGGACCAGGAACTGTACGTAATGCTAGAGTTAACGATGATGAGTAGCTGGATGGATTGGTGTCTTTTTTTTTTTTTTTTTTTTTTTTTTTTTTTGGAATGGGTAAGTTTATATTTAGCATCTGATTGATCTGATCTTGATGTTTACCTAGGTACTTTGACGCCTCATGATCATCCCTCCATTGAGCGCGTTCAGGGGATGAGGAGGTGTTGGATAGCATAGTACTACGAGATCGGTGGTGGGTGGTAAGTGGTGGCCGTCATAGGGCGGACAGGCGGACCAGCCATCGGAGAATGGAATTGCTAGATCAGTTAAGCAGGAGTGCGAAATCAATCTGATCATATATAAGGATGACCTGACCTGCGGTGCTCTGCTCTGCTCTGCTCTACAACCTGCAACAAAGTACCAGGGAAGACACACACACACACACACACACACACACACACACATATCATATATCAAGCGATTGCTTTTCTCGCGTCTCTATATATTCACTATCGCTGCTATACCCACCTCTACTTATCTCTATCAATATCAGTACACTGTCTTCCGATAATAAATACTATACAATTGAGAGTTGGATTTTGGCGGCCCTCTTTCTTCCCTCTTTCTTGACTAGCCTGGCTCGTCTCGTTGACCCGACCTGTCTCTTTCATCATGGGTCGAGGAGCGTACAACGCCCCCGAGGCTTCGATGGCGGTCTCGCCGCTGGTTCCTGCCCTGTCGCTCTTGCAGGGTCGAGGTTGTGGTCGTGGGGGCTGCAACGATCAGTGCCCGGCTGCAATATCAGCAGCGGTGGACGCGCATTGTGAAATGAGCGTGTAATTGGATGTGGATATGGACGTGGAGGTTCAACAAGTCATGGTTTAGTCTGGATGAGGACGTGACCAGACACATTGCAGCATGGCCATCGGAGTCGAGTCGAGTCGAATTTAATGTGTCCTCCCTCATCACTTGCCGACACAGAACCTGGATTGCATTGCGCGGTTAGCCATGAACAACAGACGAAACATACATCACCAACGGAGCGGCACGGCATACTTCTCGAAGACAACCCCCAAGACGTCCTCCACGTCTCCACTGTCGCCTCTGCCGGTGATCTTGGCCAGGGAGTCTGCAGCCTCCCGTAGGTGCTCTGCGGCAGTAACAATGTCCACTTCCATCTCGACAGTCTCGGGATCTTGGCTGGCGCCAGAAAGTAAGACATCAGCATGGACAGGGGGTGTGGCGCTCATGGCTTCGTGGTGGGGATTGGATGAAGGAGGGTCGGCCTGGGCTAGGAATGCGTCCAATTGAGCCATGCATCTTTGTAGATTCGAGCTTTGTCGGTGTGTCACTCCCAGAGAGTCTTCCCAATACGATCTATCGTACTGTCTGTGCTCGTCCCTGTCAATGTAAGCGGGAGAAGCAATCTCTTCAAACGTCTTGATTAACCCGCGGAGGAATGCCTGGATTTGGCCCGGGTCTTCCTGACCGGACTCTGACAGGATGCCATTCAGGCAGGAGATTTTGAAGATGCTCTCACATGGCACATGGAAGAGCCGTTCAATCCCCTCGAACAACTGCTTCTTCATGCCCACATACTCGTGCGGCAGCCGCTCGGACTTGTTAACGGCCACAACGATGCGCTTGTGCGCGCGCGCACATTCGATGGCCGCTTCAACAACCTCGGGATCGACAGCCAAGCGAAACGGCAACTCGTCTGCTGGGCCTGCGTCTTCAACTGCAAGGACTACGATGACCACGTCGGACTCCAACGCGCGGGCTTTGGCACGCCGGATGCCCTCCTGTTCGACGGCGCCAATCACCACCGATTTCTGTCCCGTCAGATTGCTGATAGTCTCGGAGCGGATCCCCGCCATGTCGCCCAGCTTGCAATACCATCCCCCGATATCAACCCCGACGTCCACGATATCGCGCGTGGTTCCTTCTTCTGTGCTGACAATGGCGGCTTCCCGGCCCACGATGCGATTGAGAAGGGAACTCTTTCCCGCGTTCGGGGCCCCGAGCAGGGCGATCTTGATCCCGTTCCGCAGCAGCTCCCCCTTGGATGCGTTCATGATATGCATTTCGATCTGCTGCCGCAGTCCATTCACCTGCGCAACAACAGAGGACACCAGCTCGCGGGTGGACTCGTCGAAGTGCTGGTCCTCCGAGAAGTCGATCAACGCCTCCAGCTCGCCGCGCGCATACAGCAACTGCCGCCGCCATGCCTCGTATCGTTTGAACAGAGCATCACTGGCGCCCCGGACGGCCAGACGCCGCTGCTGTTCCGTCTCCGCAGATAATGTATGGCCCAGTGCTTCGATCTGGGGGAGGTCCAATCGGTTGTTCATGAAGGCCCGACGGGTGAATTCGCCCGGTTCGGCGTACCGGACCGTGTACTTCGGACCATCTGAGCGAGATATCGCCGTCAGGACGGACTTGACGATAGCCGGTCCTCCATGGAGATGGAGCTCGAGGACGTCTTCACCGGTGACTGTTCTGGGACCCGGGAACCAGAGGACTAGAGCGCTGGCATCCAGAACGTTGTTGGAGGAAGGCGGCCGTCGCGTGGGAGAATACAGGGTGCGGACGGCGGCAAGGCGGGGTTGGGGGAGCGGTTTGTTAGGGCATAGCGATTCGTAAATCTAAGTAAGAGGTGGAGATGGATGTCAGCATGGTTGGTTTCCAGGGCCGCGGGTTTAGCATACAGGCACACAGGCAGGACCTGACACTCGCACGACGGCGATGGCAGCCCGTCCGGAGGCGGTTGAAAGCGCATAAATTGTGGAATCCGCGTCGTTAACCGACCGAGCCGGTGCGGAGATCGAGAAATAGCGGCATGAAAGTCCCCGTGGAGTCAATCTGCGGGCATGGCTAGAATGTGAGAGACCGGCTCCGTTTCGAGCCAGCGCGGAGGATCTGGTGATGCATGGCGGGCCAGAGAGAATCGCCCACCGCAAGGGCCGGGCCACGGATGGTCGCATGCGCAGAACAGGCCGGCAGGAGACGCGTGCGCGACAGGCGATTGAAAGAGAACCGAGCCGGCTTCGAGGTGCCACGGAGGAGAGAAGATGTCGGGGCTCTCTGGTGGAGGGCGAGGCGAGGCGATGCGATGCGAGGCGGTGCGGCGAGCGAGGCGGAAGTCCGATGGTCACGTGCGTGCTGGAGATTCTATCCGAGAGAAAGGAATAAATACTCGGTTCTATTTATTATTTGATTCACAGGAATATACACATACAACTACTTCTACTCGCCCGGGGGAGTCAGTCAGTCAGTCAGTCAGTCAGTAGATGTATGAAAGCCATATCACAAGGTCCCCGGCGCCCCTTCGTCACGCCTGCGCGCCGAAAGACACTCGGCCATGCGCCACGGAATCCTCCACCGCAACAAAAATGCAACAATTGCTGGAACGACATGCAGATATAAACAGACACGAGGCACGGAGAAAAATGAAGAAAGAAAGAAAGAAAGAAAGAAAGAGAGAGAGAGAGAGAGAGAGAAATTATGTACACAAAGAGAGGGCCGGGAGGGGATATGAATCGCTGCATCGAAAAACAATGTACGTTCGAAGGGGAAATACATGGCACCGTGCCAGGGGAGAATCGAAGAGAGCCAGGAACATCGTCGGTCATATGCAGGCCATGTCCGATCGTGCTGGCTGAACTCCCCCCAAAAGCACAACAGAGGTGGAGAGAGAAGGTGAGGAACGAGGAAGAGAAAGAAGAAGAGAAAGGGAAGAAGTCGGGGACATGCGGCGGCGGAAGGCATATTGTACACTCAAACAACATAGTAAAATCTTTCCGAGACGACATGAGTCTATCAAACATTAGATTAGGAAAGAGGAAAGGCGTTCCTTCGACAAGGAGGAAAGGTTCAAGGAGAAAAAAAAAAAAAAAAAGAAGTGCAAAAGAAATGAAATCAAAAAAGAGGGAGGGGGTAGAAGGGCACGCACGACCCGACTACTCGACCGATCTGCTCGAAGGGGATCCTTCTAACGGTTCATCGTCACCGGGCGACCCAAGATGAAGGTCTGCATTTGGCGACACCACAATGGCCGGGGTCAGAGGGGGTTGGGGGAGGGGGTCATCGTCGTTCCGGGGGCTTGCTGGCTCCAGGTCAGTCCTGGGAGGCGAAATCGGCTCGGGCACGGACGAGGCGACAGAGCCATCAGCACTATCTCGACTGATACTTGTCGCTCCATTGCGTCTCCGCAACCGGCGTTTCCGGCGTTCTTCTTCGGCCGTCTCGCGTCTTCGTCTTTGTCGCTCGCCGTCCACGTTGTCTCGGAGACCTTGCAGCATACTGGCAGCGCGATCTGCAACATCTTCACTCTCCGACACATGTTGAGAATCCCGTTGCGTGGACTCGGACTCTGCTTCTAAGAGGGGAGGGCTCAGAAGGCCGGTCTCAGCAGGAGCGTCGTTGGTTTCATTGCTCGCGTTATTGCCGTTGCCGTCCCCCTCTGTGTCATTCGCCCCCTCGGGGGCTTCAGTTCCATCGGCATCCGGTGGCTTCTGACCCGAAGCGACGCGGACCTGGTGTCTCTCCTTCAACCTAGCACGGCGACGGCGATCACGCTGGTCTCTGGCCTGAGGTGCTGCGGCGCGCAGCTTCTCCAAGAGCGAATCCATTGCCCCGCTCGAGGCCGGTGATAGTGGCGCATCGCCTCCCGAAGGAGTGCCGTTGGCGAGACTGGCATTGATGTTACGCTTGCGAGCCAGCGACTGCTCCGTGCGTCTCCGGCTTTCTTCCAGTCCGACGTTCTTCTCCTTGGATTTCTGCAGGTTTCGTGGTTAGCAACAAGTCTAGGGGAAAGAATGTCGGCGAGGAGACTTACCCTCCACTCCAGCAGGAACGAGGCCAGTTTCGGGAAGAAGTCTCGTCTGGCACCCTCGTCTGCGTTATCCTCTCCATAGAAGACCATAATGTCGTCGTAGGATTTCACCATCTCATCCAGGTAGAGCTGCATCTGCTCGGCTTTGCGGCGAGCATCCTTCATACTACGTTGGACAATCTGACTGACGCGATCCTGAGGGTGGAACTTCTTGGTGTCACTCAGGTTTCCTGCATCCAAGCTTGCCTGCACATTCTTGACGTTATCAACGTATTTCTTGGCATCGGACCGCAGCTGGTCCACGTTGAGTTTCTGAATGGCGACGACGCCGTTGATCTGGTCGACGAAACCCTCCCATTCAGGGTACTGGTTACGAACGATGCGCTCGACCAGATCTGCGAAGGTGGTCTCGTTCTTGTCATCCTTGACCATGCCAAGACGAGCAAGGGAGCTCAGCTTGAAACCTTGAGCCTGCTTATTGGCATCGTTCATGAAGTTACCAATATCCAGGATCAGCCCGAGGACGTTCATAAGGGACACGGAGTCTCGGAGGGATTCGCTGACTTGCACAACCTGTTGGAGTTTCGCGGATATGTGCTCATAATCCGGTTCAAACGAGCGGGTCAGCGCGAGGGCACGCATTCTCGCCTTCCAGTAATGGTTCAACTCGAATGCAGTGTAGAGGTAGACTTGATCCTCACGCGTGAGCTCTGCAGGGTCTTGTTCTCGCTCAGCGCTGGCAGCATCTGGGCCAGTCCAATCCCTGCTGTATGGCGCCATCTGCTTCGAGATATTCTCGGGGATCGTGCACATCTCATCCCTCTGCAGGAACTCCATGACGACCTGATTGTCCAGAATATCTGTGTCGCAGTGGATGATCATCCGCACAACGTCGTCGGCAGGAAATTGCGAGAACTTTGCCATAGCAATCTGGAAGTTCTTGGACAACTCATTGGAGATGAGCTGCTTCTTGTCTTTGCGCTGTTTGGCGGCGGCATTGGCCCCGAAGATCTTGGTTTCCTTGGCCATGAATAGTCTCTCAACCTCATCCAACACACCCTTTTTAGCTAGCTCCACATACTTGTCCTCTTTCTCCTGGGCTGTAGGCGCATGAGCTGCCCACACCGTCACCTGGGGCGCATCCACCTTCTCCCAGTGCAGGGCCTTGAGCTTCTTCTTGGGGCGGATAGACGGCATGAGAGCGGTCTGGTGATGAGGAAGGGCTTGAGAGGCCATGTAATTAGCTCGCCAGCCTCCAAAGCCACCCGCGCCAGGAGGAGGCGGGGGAGGGGGAGCACCGAACGAAGCACCTGGTGGAGGGGGCGGCGGCGGCGGGAATCCAGCTCCACCGGGTGGAGGTGGGGGAGGGGGCGGAGGGGGAACCCGGCCTTTCCAGGGGGGGGTGGAGGGGGCGGCGGCGGAGGGAATCCTGCCTTTCCAGGCGGCGGGGGAGGCGGGGGAGGGGGTGGAGGCGGTATTCCCACGGCACCCGGTGGAGGGGGGGGCGGCGGAGGGGGCGGCGGAGGAGGAGCAAATCCCAGGGCTCCCGGCGGAGGGGGAGGGGGAGGAGGCGGGGGGCAGGAACGCCCTTGGCGTCTGCCTTCTCAACCTCGCTCTCAGTCTTGGGCTCTCCCGCAGAGCTATCTTCAGGTGCTGTAAGCCCAGGAATCTCAAGAGCAGCAGCATTGTCTTCCGCGTCGATCTTGGGCACCTTCAGAGCGATTTCTCCAATGAGACCGTTGGCCTGCTTGGGGTTCAGTCGTGGCCGGTGAAGATCCACAAGACGTGCCTTTTCATAGACAATCTCGCCATTCTCATCCACCTGGCCCTGTCCTTGGCCCTCGAGGTCATCTCTCTCCATGCCGGGCACATGCCTTTTCTTCCGATAGACGGATCCCAATGCAGGAACATTCTGGCGAGCCTGTTCTTCGAAGTCATCGTTGGGTTCAGCATCCCCGTCCATCTGCTCCCGTAGCTCACGCAGTCTGTCCGAGGTAACATGCTGGCCCCAGACCTTGCCTTCCAACTTGAACTGCGTCTTGGTTCGTTCAAGCTGCATCTCCAGTCGTCCCAGGAGCCTTTCCCTATCCAAAATGCCCCTCATATGCGACGGGTCGGCTTCTGCTAAATTGTTCTTCTTGGCGTTCGAAGCAGCGATATCCTGGGCGTCTCGAAGCATCAGGTAGAGTTCTCTGGTTTCGAGCTCATTCCGTTGCAGCTCTTGGGCACGGAGCCTTTGAACATCGGCGAGCTCGGCTCTAATTGCCTCCTCCCGTCTCCTTTGGAGCTCAATGATGCCGGTCTGTTCTTCGATTTGTTTCTGCAGCTTCTTAACTAAGCCGTCTGCGCCTAGCTCTATCTGTGCCTTCATCTCATCACGCTCGGCCAGGGCGGCCTCCGCGATCTGGCGGGCCTCCAGGGACTCATCGAAAGCCTGTCTTGCCTCCGAGTCTGTGTGCAGACGGTCCAGCAAACTCTGAACGGTGAACGTTAACCCTTGCCGGAGATCAAGATCGGGCAGTCTTCGGTCCATGGCAACATAGCTGAGCATGGCATCAACGAGCTGGTACATGCGAAGGCCATCCTCTCCAGAGTTCTCCCGAATTAGAAGCATGTGTTGCATGGCGGAAAGGAAGTAGTCATGAGCACGGCTACCCTGGATCCTTGATGCAATAGCGTCTGTAATTTGCATGGGGTCGCTCATGTCCTTGACTTCGCCCTCGATGCTATCTTTCATACTACTACTCTCGCGCTGCAGGAGATCCTCGTAATCAATGGCTTCATTCTCGCGGAAGCGTTCAATCTGCTTGTCGATAACCTCGTACTGGAAGCCCTCCATTTTGGTCATGAGACGCTTGATGCCGCAGGAGGTGAACTGGGCACGAATATGACATCGCAATTGCAGGTCGCTTTCTGGAGCATCCACCAACATATTGATCAAAAGCATAGTTGAGACGGCATATTCCATGAGGAGGTTCTCCATGCCTATGCCACCGCTGCGATATTCCTCGCTGGCACCCACCAAGCTTCCCATCTTCCCGCGGCCATCGATCGTTACCTCGACTATGCGCATCCAGGCATCAAAGCGGCCGGTCTCTCCATGGTGGTTCTTGACATGGTCCATGGCCTGCAAAACCTTTTGATGCCCGTGTCCTTCGGCCCAGTGACAGAGGAAAGTCAGAACTTCGCTGACCAACTTCCTTGTATTCAGCCGAGGAGATAGTAACGAGCTCACAAGAGCCACAATGACTTGCTGGTGGGCGAGGGCATCATCTGCTCCATACTTGTTGTTCATCAAAGCCTTCAAGCACTTGACAATATCGTATTCTCGGTCCAAATCTTTGTCCCCAGTTGGGGGCGCAGGGACAGGACCCGAAACCTTCCTCCGATTGATCTTGAAAAGAACGTTTGTCAGGGCTATTTGGCCTTGCGCTTCGACAAAGGCCTTCACCCAGCTGATTGGTTGAGTTCGAAGACTGACACTCAAACTAGCCAGTTGTTTTGACGTGATGGAATCGTCCATAACTTTCTTCACGTACCACTCCGGGCTCCCCTCTTCGTCGGCTCGCTCCAGGATCCCTGACGGCCCGTCATGACCATGTGCCTGTCGTGCATTTTGCCTCCGCTTCTGCTCTCCTTGTAATTCGGTCAACCGATCTTGATGAACAAGCGTCCACTTCTTCGAGGCTGGGTATGCAAGCATCTGCCGTTTGGCCTGCTCCGGCAAGTTCTGCCAACCACGCTTCTGCATCAATTCGAGGAACAGCTGGTCCACCACCCGATCGTCCCTAGGCCGGGCGAGGTACTGTTCGGGATTAGTGGGTATCTTCGCAGGCTGGGAGGGCTGAGCAGATTGCCACGCGGCTTGTGCGGTAGAAAGTCGGTTGGGGTTCCCTTGGGACGAGTAGGTGTTACGGTCGGCGGATTGGGAGGTGGTAAGTGTGCGTGAAGAGCCGTCCGATGAGAAGTAGCTCGAACCACGGGTGTTCGACGAAAGTGAAGAGTGAATGCTAGCCTGGTCGATGGACATTCGGGAATGAGTGGAGGAGTCTACGGTAGACGATGAGTTGTGGCTAAAGCCCGTATTGGCAGCAGAACTTCCCGGACGCCCCCACTGCTGATACCGAGCACCTTTATCACCCGTAGAACTGCCCGTCATGGTGACATTGGACGCATGCGGTGGCGGACGAGGGCCGGTGGGGTGGGAATAAACGTTGTTGTCCTTGATATTGGACGGGTTCCAGACGGGATACTGGTGGAAGTCGCTACCTCCCTTGGCAACATGGCTCGGCGACGGCTCCTTCCGGGGGGAGGTTTCGGCTTTGGAGAGATAGTCCACGGGGATCGGAGACTTGGTATCGGACGGGAGGCTTTCGAAGGGAATGGAGGTGATGACGCCGGCGGTCATGGATAGGGCGGCAGGATCGATGTCGTGGGGGAAATCCATCGACTGGACGGACGAGCGCTTGGAGTGGCGAGACGAGCGAGAGCCCGCGGCGCTTCCAGGGGGCGCGAGACTCTCGAGGCCGGTGTGTCCCTCATACCGATCCTCTACCGGCTTCTCCTTGTGCAGTTTCCTCCCGAAGAATGATTTGCCAGCGGAAGTCTGTCTCGATTTGTCAGGCGCGGACGTGGTGGTTGGCATCTTGACGGACGTCGCTGGGGAGACGCAGGGCGCAGCATGAGCGAAGTACTAGTGAACGGCGAGGCAAGTGCGTCGGGGGGTCGCTAAACTGTCTGGCGATGGGGTCCGTCGCTTTCAATCTCTGCGACGACCGAGCTCCCATGCAACTCAAGGCGACAACTTATTTCCCTGGACTCCTGACTAACACTAATTAAATAGCCGCTGCGGCGGAGCGGGAAGCGTTTGGCACGAGAGGAGAGGGGGGAGGAGGGGGGGGGGGCGAGAGGCAACGAAACGGAGACCCTCCACCCACAACACGAATATTGAAAGAGACAAGAGGAAGGGAGCGATGGGTGGTGACTCCCAGTAGGACTATCCTACTCTGGTAATCCCAGGATCGGGGGTTTAGTGGCTGGCGTCTTTTTGCACGTCAGGACTGAAGCACGGGCATCAGGGGGGCACTGAGGCGGCTCTAGAACGCGGTAGGGACCGCTGTGGCACGTGATGCCTGACTACGCCGACGGAAGTCGCCTCAGATTTCAGGAATCCGGGCCATGCAGGCCCCAATCACGTGGGGGGGGGCCATCGGCAGCCAATGCCGGAGCCAACGGAGCCAACGGAGGTTCCGGATCCTGATGGCGCTAAACCAGGTACTGCGTAGTATTATCGCCGCCATGTATCGCTGCTACTCCGCGTCCGGACTCCGGAAAGAGCTGTCAGATCGATTCATCTCTCTCTCCTCCGTCAATTTTCCCCCGAACCTTGCCTACAAGGGTAGCTGTCCACCTCGAGTTCATTCCAGCTAACTTTAGAGGTCATGCCCGGACTACGCTATTGAGATTGATTGGGGATCACCGCTCCTGACAGTCCAGTCCGTCCCTACGTTGCTGCCTGGCATTGCATTCTTGGAGCAACACAACACCACATGAGCATCCATCATCCACCACGATGGGATCTGCCACGAGTTTCGCCAAGGTATCTAGGATCCCCTGTACTTTTCTTCCTTCCCTCCTTCCTTTCTGCCGTCTACTTGGGATTTAACATAACTAACCTCCTGTCCTCTTCCAGACCATCATCGTCCCCGCGGTAATCTCCCTATCGCTGTACCTTCTCTTTTCGTTCGTGATCATTCCATTCTTCCGTCGATACCACCAGCGATACTCGCAATATCTTCCGCTACACACCATCTCCGCGCACACGACCACCCTCCGGGATCGCATCGCCGACGCCCTGATGCGTCGCTTTCTCCCATCATCCTGGCGCCAGTCGCATCTCGATGACCCCTCCGATAACATCAGTATCTACGATGAAGAGGGCGAGATCATGGTCGGCATGGACATGGACCCCTCCCGGCGCGAGGCGCTAGAGCGCCGTCGCAGTAGTATATCTGCCGGTGCCGAAAGTCGTCTCAGTCGGGAACTGGAGGCCGGGTTCATGGACGATAGCGACGAGGAAGGGGATCGCCCCCAGTCCCGGAGGGGGATTCTCTGATTTATTTCCTACTTGTATATAACCCACATACATACCTATTTATATAATGCGAACTATACCATATACTGCCTTTTAAAAAACTTCTCTGTATCTGGGTAATCAATCTTATGTATGTATGTATGCACCATGCACCATGCACCCGGAGTCGAGTCATTGACACCGAACCATCTCGGGCCTATGCAGCGAGACACATGCATCCATACTACACTCATCCATCCATCTATCCATCCGCCGACACCACAACCCTTACCCTTACTCTTGCCTCCCTCATTGAGCAACCTCTAAGACATAGGTACCCCGTACTTACTACCTTGGTATACTTGCACAACGACACCCCCTTCCCAGTCGCCCGTCCTACCATCCTACCCCCCGAGCTTAAATCATTCAATAATCAGAGTCAGACACCCCCTTACCTTCTTTGTTTCCATCCCACCCGGCCAGAACATCATATCGTCACGATCGAGACCTACCGAGATAGATGAGGACATATGTCTAGACTCTCTCCTTGCCAGTCCATTTATCTACCTATCCATCCATCCATCTGTCTGATTCCGGTTCCGACGCGATCACAATCAGCATCACAAATTGGACCTGCTAGATTTGCTAGGTTGTTTGTAGTATCTCCACTGGACTATAGAACTCAACATACGAATGTGTTCCTCCCTGCCAGACACATGAAGGTTGGTTATGGACTGACTATGTTTGCTGGTTGCATGGTTGGGGGGACTGTTTATCAATCGTATCGTCAAGCTTTGGGTTTTGGGGGGTTGGGGTTGGGGAGGAGAGGGATGAGGGATCGACATGCCCCACCGCGGCGAGGCGTGCTGCAAATGCAATGCGAGGGATCGAAGAAGATATGCACTTTGTACTAACATGCGTATGTAAGTGGGCACGATGTAGTTACGGAGTAAAAAGGAAGGAATTATTGCGGAGGAGCTCGGAGGGCTATTGGTTCTTGATTATTGGTGGGTACGGGAGATAATACTACTACGGTATTAAGGAGGGCTATTTTGAACGGTAAAAGGAGAGATGTATTTTAGGTATCATAGCTAATCATAACTGACAAGTGCGCAATGGCCTCGGTGGTAAGTCGAGAATACTACTACATCGACATATCTAGTCCATCATGGCATCCCCGGATTTAAGCCTTGGTGCGCTGACCGTAGGCCTTGGTGACGTAGTCACCCTCGTGGACGATGAGGTCCTGGGGGCGGTAGTCGTTGCGACCGGAGAAGTAGCTGTCGAGGATGGCCTTGGTGCCGTTGGCGTAGCGGATCTGGGCGTCGATGGAGGTACCGGACATGTGAGGGACCATGGCGTTGCCGCCGCCCCAGGGGCCCTGCATGGTGCGCAGGGGGTGGTCGGCGGGAGCGGGCTGGGGGAACCAGACATCACCACCGTATCCGCGGAGGTGGCCGGACTTGACGGCCTCGGCGACGTCCTCCTTGACGACGATGGCACCACGGGCGGTGTTGACGAGCCAAGAGCCTGTGAGGGAGGGAGGTTAGTCTACCGGTTGGATCGCTTCTCGGGGCGGGCGCCTGCTGCTTACCCTTCTTCATCTTGGAGATGAGCTCCTTGTTGAACAGACCGCGGGTCTTCTCGTGCAGAGGGCAGTTGATGGTGACCACGTCGCACTGAGCGAGCATCTCCTCGAGGTCGTCAACGCGGCGGCAGCCGATCTCCTTCTCAACCTCGGGGCTGAGGGGCTGGTAGTCGTAGTAGAGGAGCTCCTTGCAGTCGAAGGGCTTGAGACGGCGCAGCACACGCTCACCAATACGGCCAACGGCAACGGTACCGACGACCTTGCCCTCGAGATCAAACTCGTTCTTGGCGACAGCGGCAACGTCCCACTCGCCGCGGCGGATCTGCTCGTGGGCGGGAACGAAGTTGCGGACCAGGGTCAGGATGGTCATGACAACGTGCTCGGCGACGGAGGTGACATTGCAGCCAGTGACCTCCGCGACGGTGATACCGCCGTTGGTCTTGTTGGCAGCATTCAGGTCAACGTGGTCCGAGCCGACACCAGCCGTGACGGCGATCTTGAGGTTCTTAGCCTTGGCCAGACGCTCGGCAGTGAGGTAACCGGGGTGGAAGCTATGTCAGTCGGTCAGTTGCAGTTCCCAGAGGGGGCCAGGGAGTCAGCAATTGAGGGTCACGAACGGGGTGGTGATGATGACTTCGGCATCGACGAGCTCCTTGTCGAAGGTGGAGTTCTCGCCCTCCTTGTCGGAGGTGGTGACCAGAGTGTGGCCCTGCTCCTCCAGCCACTTCCTCAAGCCCAGCTCGTTCTCGGTGGTGCCCAGAAGACCGGGCTGCTGCTTGGCGTGCTCACCACCCTGTTATTGTGGCCGGTTAGCGACGATGCCGGGAGAGGGAGACCCAGAGAGGAGGCGCGGGTACTTACGTCATAGAGGACCATAAGAACCTTACCCTGTAGGTTGGCAGAGGCGGTTAGCGTACGTGCACCGGCAATGGAGTTCGCGAGAGGAGTCGCCCGGAATGGGCTGCTCGCAGCAGGCTGGAAGGCGCCCTTCGACGAAAGGAGGGAGGTGGCAGGCCGCCGAAGTTGACGGGAGAAAGAGCGCATAAATACCATTGTGAAGATGAGTTGATGGATGAATGAATATCAACTAAGGGGTGTGGGGAGAAAGGAGGATTGGATGTTGTTGGAAAATCCTAGAGCAGGAGGGTCAGCGTGGCACTTAAATACATCATCCATCCCGAGTTGGAGACGTAGATAAATGTAATGTAGGGTCATCGAAAGGAAGGCCCGGATAGCGATTCGGAGCAATCGAATGAGCGGCAGCGGCAGCGGCAGCAGCAGCAGGGGAGAGCGGGGAGACGGTGGAGTGGAGAACAGTGCAACAGGGCCAGAAGGCAGAGCTGCTGCAGGGTTTGTTGTGATGTATGAGGCGTGATAGGGGAGATCAGAGCAACTTACCGGATGCGGTGGAGAGAGGGGGATAACCTTGGTAGCAAGGAAAGGATGAGCGTATGACGATGAGGATGATGATGAGAGTGATGAAGAGGAGAGGAGGAGCAGGATGGACGGGGAATCCAGTCCCATTATATAGCTAGCTGATGACCGGATGCCCCTCTCCTCTCTGCCTGTGCTCCCATCCTGAACTCCCTACTCCTACAGTACTACAAGTTACCAACCGCTATCCAGGAGGGTGGGCATCTCGGGTGGGAACTCAGGCCGGCGGCCCCCACCACTCAGCATGATCGGCGGAGGTTGTTTTGCATCTCGGGGAGAAGCCACTTGATTGGGGCCACTCGTCCAGCCTTCTCCGCACGCGCGGCAAAGTAAGTAAAAAGTACATGCCTTGGTATATAGTAGTGCGTTGTAGATCGTAGTCGTCGAAGCTTGTCCCCCACCCGGGCCTTTGACACCTTCGAGGGGTAAATAGTTAGTTACACGGTCACAGGCACAGCAGAGTACCTAGAGCAGAACATCCCGGATGAGTTTCAACGGTTCAACTGTTGTGTGTCGGGGGGGGGGGGGGGAAGGAAGGAGGGGAAGCCCAGGCCCATGCGGGGATTCTAGAAGGCGTGTCGTCGCTGTGCCGGAATGAGGGGAATCCGAGCCATGGCCGAACGGGCAGCAACCCGGAAGTAAATCGGCTCTCTCTTTCCCTGGCCCGCCGATGTACGGAAGTACGGCTACGGCTGATCTAGTAGAATGAATGATAGAACGCTGGAAGAATCTAGATCGACGATCTATCATCGATAAGTATCTGGGTGACATTCGACCTTCCTCCTATGTAGCTTTACTTCGATAAGGGGAACTTTTAGCTGGATCCAGCTAGGCACGGACAGATTTACTGCTTGAGTTTGGGTGATTGATTCTTCTTGTCAGTTGTCCTTCCAGCCAGACCCAGACCGGACAGCCCCGCACCGCTCCCGATTGGGACAGCTTAGATGTCCCCTCATGAGGGGATGCTGGGGCCCGTGGCCACCATGCCAGACGCGGACTAGCTCCACCCAGCGATGAGGGGCAAGTTGGCAACCCCTCACCCCAAGAATGGTCGTGAAATACCACGCAGCAAACCACCAGACTCGGATCCAACATTGCCGTGGATAGTGCGGTCGTTCTCCTTCTGGCCCTTGTCATGGGCGATCCACCTTGTCTCCTTGGTACCGCAGGGAAGGGGCATATGGCTGCCAGCGGTTCCTCCTCCACAATCCATCGTGCCTGAGTCCGGGCCTCTCCGCTTGCACATCGTGACCCCAAATAATTGCTTCATTCGCGATCTGAAAAACAAGCACCGATTTACTTCCGTGTTTCAACCGACCCCAATCTCTCGAATATTGGGGGGATGGGGGGAGGTGATGGCAGGGGTCAGATCGTGGCGATGGGGTTGATTCATCATCGCCTCGAAAATGGAGACGTCCGTCTGTCTATTCTGTCAACGGTGTCCAACATACATCATCATCCATCATGAGGGGAAGACCCCATACCGAGTCTCCACCTCCTCCTCACCTCATCCGGATCGCGGCGCATCGCCCTTCCTGCCACATCACACGATGTTATCCAATCCGTTGACCCCAACTTTTTTTTTTTCACTATTGTTATTTTCTCACAAGGTAGCGCGCGCCATCCGGATTCACGGAGCTCCTGCGCCCATTACCCGTGCCAACCCCCAACCGCCCTTCCCCAAGGTATCGATCGCATGTCGAATAATGTCGCAGACACGACACCGTTGGACCGACCGACGGACCAGCTGTCCAGAGGACAATTTGAGCGAACCGATCTCTCCGTTTCCAAGACGGTCGCCACCTCGCAATATTCGATCGCATATGCCTTAGGAGAGTATATTGCATCGTCTAGTATACACACGTCTATCTATAGTTACATGGGGGGGTTTTTTTTTTTCATAAAAAAAATACAGCCAGAATTTCCAGACCGGGTACTATGTCCACGTTAGAAAACGACGTTGATCAACTTGCCGCCCTTGACGACAATCACCCGTCTCCGTTTCTCCCAGTCGTTCTTCTCCCGCAGCCAGACGCGTCCTTCGTCGGTCTCCAGCACGCGACTGATAATCCAATCTTGTTCTTCCGTGACAGTGCCGCTTCCTTCAGTCGTCGTCGTGGGGGAAAGACGCCGGGGAATGGTGACTGTAAACCGCAATTTTCCATTGACCTGGACCGCCACAATTTGTCCACCACGCGCAGATAGGATATCGGCCTCCTCCAGGGTCAGAAGAGGGGTTGGCCAGGGGCTGTCAAGTAAGGCCGGTGGGCTGGTGCTGGTGTCCGCCCCCGCTTCGGTCTCGGTCGCGTTCCCGGCGGTCACGGAACTGTTGAGTATTTCCCAGCATTCGGACGCCAGCGCCGGCGCAATCGGGGCCAGAAGACGGAGAAGAGATGAGATGGATAGATAAAGAACCTGCGGCGAGGTGGGCGTCGATGCCAACAGCGAGTTCGTCAATTTGGTCAGGTCGGAAATAACGGTATTCAACCCGTAAGGGTTCTTTTCGATACACTTGGTGACATAGCAGATGGTTCGGTGTGTCGCAAGAACCGCATCGGCATCACTGTCGCTCAACTCCTGCAAAGAGCTGGGAAGGCCGGTCGCGTGTCCGGAGGATGCTTGTAGGGCGGCTCGGTCCAAGGCCATCGGAGACGTAGCCAGAGTGTGCTGCGCATCGGCCACAAGCTTCCAGAGTCGGCTGAACCAGCGCTCGATGCCAACGATTTTCGTCTCATCCCAGTCGAGAACCTCGCTGACGGGCGCGGAGAAGAGGACATGGGCGCGAGTGGTATCAGCACCGTATTTCAGCGCACATCCCGTCGGGTCGACACCATTGTGCTTGCTTTTTGACATCTTCTCAAAGGACACGGCCGGTGTTACCTGGGTGCCTTTGATCAGCGGCTTGTCTGGGGTGGAAAGATCCATTTCCGATGGAAGCAAGAATCGACCCGTGGACGGGTCCGAGTACGTCCTGCCATGCACCATACCCTGCGAGAGGAGGGTCTTGAACGGTTCAAATGGCGTCGCGAGGTTGCCGTTCCGAGCTATCTCTGGGAATAGTTCGGTCTGGGAGAGGGCTTTGTAGATGAATCGGGCGTAAAGCAGGTGCAGGATGGCGTGTTCCACGCCGCCAATGTAGACATCGACCGGCCGCGCCGACGAGGGTGAAAACGGCAACTCCTTGTTCGCAGGGTCCAAGTACCGGAGGAAGTACCACGAAGAGTCGACAAACGTGTCCATAGTGTCCGTGTCGCGCTTGGCAGGGCCTCCGCAGCTAGGGCACTTCGTGTTCACCCACTCATGCGACGACTCAAGAGGGTTGCCCTTTTTGCCCTTCAGCCAGTCCCCCTCGATTTTAGGCAACTTGACTGGGAGCTGATCGGCCGGCACAGGCACAGGGCCACAGTCACCGCAGTGGATGATCGGAATGGGAGCACCCCAGTAGCGCTGTCGGCTGATCAACCAATCTCTCAATCTCCACTGTTCAACGAAGTCACCACGTCCGACCTGTTTCAGGTCGGCGACAATCTGCTTCTTGGCCTCGCTGGAATGGAGACCTTGATACTTCCAACACATTGCGTTCAGATAACCCTCCTGTGTGAAAGCCTTTGCGTCGGCCGAGGAAACGACGCCGGCGGACTCACTGTTTGCCTCGTCCTTCCGAGGCTCGACGACGATAGGTATGGAATCGGGATTGACGTTGTCTCTGAAAAACGCCAGGTCTCTAGAATCATGGCCGGGGACTCCCATCACTGCGCCTTCACCGTAGTCACTGAGAACGTATGGCGCTGCAAATACCGGCAGTTGACGAGCAACAAGAGGACTTTCCTTGTCGATTATACGCAAGGGATGCGACACAGTAAGGTCGGACAGCCGGTAGCCAGCTTTCGAGTCAGCTGGCAGCGAGGCGGCATTGTCCAAGAACTTGCGCAAGTCCGGGTCTGTTTCGGCAGACTTCAGGACGAGAGGATGATCCAAAGAAAGAGCGATATATTCGACTCCGTAGAGGGTATCTGGCCGCGTGGTGAAGACGCCAACGTCGATGCCGGTGCCTGTTTCGCCGTTGACAGTCACTGGGAACTTGATGTTTGCACCCTGCGATTTCCCCATCCAATTGCGCTGCATCGAAAGCACCCGCTCCGGCCAGCCGCCCGCCAAGGAGTCGAGATCTTTCAGGAGCATCTCCTTGAAGGCAGTGATACGGAAAAACCACTGCTTCAAGTTGAGCTTTTCAACCTTTGCCCCCGAGCGCCATGAGAAGCCATTGGCGTCGACCTGAACCAAGAGTAAGCCTTGCGAGACCATATTTAATCCATGCCTTGACACCCACCTGCTCGTTTGCCAGCACCGTCTTGTCCACCGGGTCATAGTTAACCAGCGCTTCAGCCTGGTAGGCAAGGCCCTTCTCGTATAGCATGAGGAATATCCGCTGGGTATGTTCGTAGAATTCAGGGTCGCACGTCGCCAATTCCTATGTTTCAAGAACCATACCGTCAGAAAAGCCGTATTGGTGCCAGAAGGGGGGGGTCATCATCTGAACCGCACAAGCACATACCCGATCCCAGTCAAAAGATGTCGAGATACTCCGCAATTGCTCCTTCATCCTAGAGATATTGTGTTTCGTCCATTCCGCCGGGTCTATCCCCCGTTCAATCGCCGCATTCTCGGCCGGCAACCCAAACGCATCCCAGCCCATGGGATGGATAACCTCATGCCCACGCATCCGGTAGAACCGCGCAAGGACATCGGAGATCGTATACACCCGCAGGTGGCCCATATGTAAGGTTCCCGACGGGTAAGGGAACATGGACAGGATGTAGGACCGGGGTTTTTCACCCGTCAACTTGGCGGCCTTCTCCGCCGCCGCGGCGGAGACAGCCTTCGAGGACAACCTCAGGGTATCCGATTGCCATTTCTCCTGCCATTTCTTATCCAGGGCCAATAGATCGAGCTTCTTGGAGAGCGCCGCGGAGGTTGTCGCATATCGGGAGGAAACGGTCGGTATGGGGATCGGGCGAGGTCCGCAGTTCCATCGTCCTTGGGTAAGCGTCGACCGGGCCGAGCTCGAGCTCAATCGGAAACGTAAGAGGGCTTGCATGTTGGCTGTGTAATCATTATGCCATGCGAACGGAGTACTGTGCCATTGACCGGCCGGGACCGGGTTGGGTTGGGTTGGATTGAAGCGGTCCAAGATTTTAGAATGGGAACTCTGAAGTCATCCCGCCCGATCGGCTGCCCCAATGCGGCTTAGCGATTCCTCAACTATGAACAGTCAACAGTCAACAGAACCCCGGAGGAGGAAGCACTGGTTTCACGACATCCTGTGACTTTGGCCCTGAATCTGTAGGAGACCTGATCCGATATGCAGGGTCGTTGCTTCAGGACTGCCTGCAGTTCTCCTTGGATTGATCTCAAGGCCAAGGCTGTTTTGGTAGTTTGGGGGGGGGTGTGGAATATATATCCGACAGAGCTTCATTAACATACCACCAAAAACATCAGCATCTTAAAACAGGACAATGGCAGTCAACATTCAACCAGATGAAGGTCAATGATGTGAATCTTGATATTGTCATGGAAATATCATGGAATCGCCAAGAAACCAACCCCAGACCATCACAGCCAGTACATCCGTACACCGCATGAATCAACATCTACTAGGAATGTAGCCATTCATTCGCAGATTCGACGAGCAACGCAGCCTCGGTACTACCTGAACCTGAGTTGCTGCGTTTAGCCTGAATTGCGTTACTAATAGAATTGGGCGATTGCGCAGCCGCAAATCTGGCCCTTCCCAATCACATGAAACCCTGACCCATGCATGGCGTCTGTTTACGCTCGACATCGACGGAAACGAACCTCCCTGAGTGCCTGGATAGCGGCGCTGGATCGTATAGTTGCCCGCAAGTTCGGTTAGACCGTACTAGATCTGGAACCGACTACGTACTTATCTAAATGACCGAGGGACGTAGGCAGGTAGATAGATTGCGAGCGTCAACTACGACGGAGTTCTCCGTACTCATATGAAAATAGACAGGAGATGGATGGCCAACGGACTTGGTGCTCTGAGGGAAAATGTCAATCCCCTGGATCGTGTCTCCGTTTACTGCCGTCGGGAGGAACCATCTGGGGCTGAAAAGGAGTCCGAGGCCCTAAGTATCGCGGATCCCCTCCGTTGCTGTGCCCGGGCCGGCGGTGGCTGATTCGGATTCAGGAACCAAACCATTGACTGAATCAATAATCCGAAATAGACGGTGGAAATGGGGACGGAGCACGGAGGTTCCGTGCTCCCCGTCGTCTCCTTTCTTCTCAGGGGGTGTGCCTCCAGAGTTGGTATAGGGAGGGGATAGATGGTTGGATAAAAAATATTGGATAAACAGCTAGATACTAACACTGGATGGATATACTATTATACTATGAGGATGACTGTGTTTGTGTCGAGGGATGCGGCGGCAAGTGGACTGGGCAAGAATTGGATCTCATTTCCTCCACCAGAGTTCCCTCCCGCCCGTGCCGGTCTCCGGGCACAGTGGGTGGGTAGATCGGATTCATCCTGGAAAAACTACCGTCCATGAACCATGAATCCGGTATCATCATCGTGACTAAACCCGTCCGTCGGATCCCCACCGTTGTCATCCTTGGGCAAAAGGATTAATATTAAGCAACTCTGGTAGCTCACCTCGCTAATCCCAACCGGCTTGACAGACCCCCCCCACTCTGGATGAGCTGGCAACCTTACGCCGTACCAGTTGGGATGATCCTTCCAAATCCCCCAATTGCCCCTTATCATTGGACTGCGCAGCTGACAAAAACACCGAATTTCCCCTCTCCACTGCCAATGAAACCTTCTGGAATCCGACTTCCCCCCCCCTCCCCCCTTCGGCCACCTCATCGGAGTGGATCTCGATCGCCGGTTCCTGTCGTCCTCCCTCGAGGTATCGCACTCCACCGGTTGGACTGGTCACAATCGGAACGGATGCCTCGTGGGGATCGATAGGAATCGTGGAAGGGAGAGAGAGAGAGAGAGTCTCTAGAGAGTCAAGGCTCCGGGAAACGTGCGATCGAGTACGGAGTAGATACAAGCTGGGTGGGGATCCAGTACAGTAGTGAATGCACCTCTGATGTACTACCGCAGGACCTTGCATCTCAGCCGTCGTGATTTGCTTCCCAACCGCCAAACCAATGTGCCCACCTTTCTTGTTCCTGCATCGTGAGGGGCAAGGGATTCATTGTCAGAGTCTTCAGTCCTCCTCTACTTACACTGTAGATTGGACTGAAGGTCGAAGGGTCGGTTGACTCGAGGGTCAACCCCCTAATCATGGAACTCTTGGTCTGAGTTTGATCGATTCTCCCTGGGCCTGGGGGATATTATTAGATCGCCCGGTGCGAATCAATATTGCGAGTCGCAAGACCTGATTTAAGCACAAGTTCGTATGATTCTCGGGCCAGCATTATTCTCAGACCTGACCGGCGATCGGCGACCCTATGTCTTACCGTCCTGGAGCTGGATGACGAGGAGAAGGAGGAGGAGGAGGAGGGGCCTCTGGCCAGACCCTCCTGGCGGCCATCGCGCGATCCCCGTTCCAGAGTAAGTAAGTACTTTGCTAGACAAATTGGGAGGCGGACGGACGGCTTCCCAAAAGCAGGCGGACGAGCGACGAGCTGCAGCCTGCAGGAGGAACCGACCATCCACCGGCCAGAGAGCCCTCCATCCCTCCCTTCCTTCCGCCAATCGTGCGGTTTCAAGTGGTGGCTCTGCAGCTCTAGAGCGTGCAGCGTGCAGCTTGCAGGGGCTCGAGGCCTGCCCCGGAACTCAGGCGACGACCACGGTTCACCGCCGCTGGGGACCCGAAGTCCGGGGCCTTTAAATACTAATCCGGCCAGCTCGTCGTTTCAGGTGGTGATCCCTTTGCTGCTTCCTTCCTTCCAGTCGCGCTGCCTTCCGTCGCTCTTTTCGAAACGTTTTTCGGTGCTTTTCTGGTCTCGGGTTAGACGCTCTTTTTCATCTCTGCTAATTGCTTTGCGAACCTGTCCCGCCGGTCGACATGACTCGCTAAGTCCAACCAACCACTACGGGCATTTTTTCTCTGTCGGATCCACTCTCTTTTACGCCCATGTCCCTGGGACTGCCTTGCTATCCGCTCTCTTCCCGTCGTTCTGTGTCGAGGCATTCCTTATTGCATCATCAAATTCTATACACAACACCACCAGCAACCGGCAACCGGTGCTAACCACAAACCACTATCTCGGTATCTCCAGGGTCTTCGTCAATTATCTACGCCCCGTTGTTGTTTGCTCCACAGACCCGCCCGGCCTGGCTGTTGTTTTCCACCCCCCCCCCCTAACCGAGCAGCCGTCGATGATCTTTCATCGCTTTAGTTTGGATTCCCTTCTAGTTATATGATCTCCAGTTCTCAACCTAGCGGGATCCTCTTTTTTTTTATTTTCTTTTTTTCGCGTTTCTTGTGTTGTTCTCAGTCCTTCCGGGGATTCCAATCCCCAGAGATCAACCCAACCGGCTTAATCGTGGTGTTTTAACTGATAATGAACTAATAATCCTCTCAACCCAACCATGCGCTCAACTGCCCCCTCTTCCAGTTCTCCCAAACGGAGAGCTCTCCACGAGCGCAGCCCATCCCACACGAACGAGGACTCCCCGCCGTCATCCCTACGCGCCGTCAGTGACAAGTACCACCACAACACTGATCCCGAGCCACACGATGTTTACTCGGCCACTCCCTACCCGACCAAGCCAGAGCAGATCCTCCTACCGCGACCCGGGAAGGGCCAGGACTTCATCCCGGACTCCCGGTTCCATGTCGATGAAGCGCCGGACCTTTATGCGGGGAACACGTCGACGGAACTCAGTCACATCGCGGACAGTAGTATGATCGATCGCTCGGTTAGTGATCCCTGGGACTTGTCGTCGACCTTCGATGCCGCGAACACCCCGTCTCAGGTCTGGGAGGACGATCCATCGTCGAGCAAGTCTTCCTTTCCGGAGCCCATGCTTCCCGACCACAAGCCGACCGACCACAAATCCGATGAGGGTTCTGATGTCGCATACTCGGATGAGGAGCCCAATACCCTCCCTCTACCCAAAGCCGCCCCGACCATCAAAACCGTCGTGTCTCAACCGCCGTCGCGGAACCCGTCGGGTCCAGAGACTCTGGCTTCAAGCAACTCGAGCCCCAACGTGGTGCCCATTGGGCCACCTTCCAGCCCGAACTTTGTGGCGCTCGACAGCTCGAGTCTCAACTTCGTTCCTTTGGGTGCCTCTTCTAACCCCGGTTCCCTCACACGATCGAACTCCCTGTCCTCGTTGAACTCGCTAGGCACGGTGATCAGGTACATCGGAGCTGCCCAGTGGACCCATGGCTCGTCCTCGGAACAGTCCAGCTCCTCCCGCTCCCGCTCCCAATCGGTCCGCTCCAACCCCCCCTACCAGGTGCCCTCGGTGCGGTCAAACTCCCTGCAGGCGCGAGATCGGAGTCATTCTGGGTCTGTCAGCACGTCATCACGTAGCGGACCGTCCTCTGACATCCAAGCCATTGTCGATAGCGGAGTGTTCATCCAATACCCGACCATCCGTGCCCCGTCCTCGTCTAGCTCAAGGGTTGATGTCTCAAACCACGGGGATGCATCAGATCCGCCTCCACCGGAACCCACGGCGGATTACGCTTCCGACCGCTTCAAATCACACCTGTCTACGGTCACGTCTAGGTGGTCCGCCGAGTGTGACTCTAGAAGCATCTCCCCGGCCGCAGACTCTATCGACAATAGTCTGGGGCATCCTAGACGGCCTTCGCCGGCGCTAGCCCGCCAGCACCGAACCTCGTCCTCGATGTGGCTAGTGACGGACTCGGATAATGACGAGCAGATGGATAACATCTCCAGCTTGCCCGCGCGTCCCTCAAACCCAGCGGTTCCTTCCAGTCTTTCGTCGGAATCCCGAAAGAGCAGCATGCGGAGCAATATGCGACCTCCTACCAGTGGAAGCTTTTCCTTCAACATCCTCCCTAATTGGGCCAGGGTGTACTACCAGTCCCACGACCAAGCTGAGGATCCCGCCGTACCCGGAACAGACGCCGGTCGTCCATCATCTGCACGGCCCACGACCTCGCACACAACCCACACCAACCCTCTCCACCGTTTGCCGACGGCGATGAGTCGTTCGCGGACGAGGACAATGGGCAGCGAAATGCGAGAAAGCGTGCGGTGGAAACCCGACCCTCGGGACCCGCGGAGCCACTGGGCGAGAGATCCAGAGGCGGAGAGACGAGAGACCTCTCGCCATCGACTGCGACAAAGCTGGTCTCCGCATCTGTTTCCAGACAGACGCGTCAATGGTCCTAGAGCAGGCACATGGGGAGCGCCGTCGTTGGATTCTCGGATGGAGCCCCTCTTCGGTCGGAGGAATATCCAAGTGTGGTCGTTCTGCGTTGGTTTTGTATTCCCACTCGGTTAGTATATCATCTGTTTCTATCTGGAACACATCACTTACTCTTTTGCCAGCCTGGCTCATTGCGTCATTCCTTCCCCTGCCGAACCAACCAGACATGACTCTGGCGGAGGGGGATGTGGAGAACCAGCTCGAAATGACCCTGCGCATGCGGTTGCGCGATCTTGAAAGAAAGCGATACGAAAACGCCCGCTGGTGGAGGAACCTCAATCGTTGGATGAACCCTCTAGGGCTGGTGATTATCACCATCGTTGTTAGTACCCTCTGCTCTCCTGTGTGCCGCGTTTCCACCTCTAACCTTTTAATAGATCACACTGGCTGTTGTAGGCACAACGGTGGGCTTCTAAAGCAGACATTATGACTGTCAAGTCCAGTCAACATACCTGTCGCTCATCCGCCTACAACTTCCCTCTAACGCCTTGCATTACTATTTACCCCTTACCACCCCTCGCGGGCTACGCCTGCGCCTATTCTCGATTGGATCGATCTTGCTTTCACCGTCTGGAGTCGACTCCATTGATACCCCTGCCCTTCGCATCCCACCTTGCGCGTTCGACTGCGCCGCATCTCACTTCCCCGCGGCTGCTTGGTTGCTTTATCTTCAAACACTCGACACGAATTATACGACGTAATGTTTCTAATGTTCATTTCTTTTGTGCCTTATATTCCACTTGGTGTTGGGACTCTGTTTCTGCCCGCTCTACGATCACCACCCTCACCACTACCACAACAACAGAATGGTTCGTGGTTCGTGGTTCGTTCTCGAGAGTGCGAGGCAACGAAACAATTGGGGGCTCGGCTCACGAACACACATCATGGATTAGATATATGTCATTCCCCCCCCAATTTCCCCCTCTACATCTTCTGGCATCTTCAATTCTCCCCCCCCTTCAACCCCCCGTGTACTTATGATACATGTTTTGACTATGACACCGTGACCAGAAAGTCACCGTATATATTATTACCTACCTACCGTTCTTGATATGACTAATCTAGACCAAGTCTTGTTTGAGAATCATCTGCTCTGCGAGTCTACCCACTGCCATGTGTGTGGAGTGTACATATGTACTCTATCTAGCCAAGCTATCCAGACTTGGAAAGGAAGAACGAAAGAGCCAAGGAGAGAAATAGAAAACAATGACAAAAAAACCACGTTTCACAATATTAAGCTACTCTGGGAGTTGTTCAATGATACTAGAGACTAGACTATGTCAAGCTACTCTGAGAGCTGATCAACAACAACAGGACTAGTACTGTAGATTACGCTTACCATTACTCACGCGTCATCGCTGAACGGGCTAATAAACCACCGACGAGAAAGACCAGAGAGGATAAACAGAAACGGCATATGTAATAGAGACAATAATCAGGACCAGGAACCCGAAAGGAGAGAAACCAAGCACGCACACGCCGTGCACATGTCTAATATACATACATACATACGTCATCATGGGTTCAATCTATCATCGTATCACGCAGCAGTAATCTTCATCCGACCCGAGAGGATTCATCGGATAAAGTACAGTGCGTGCCAAGCTCGGCTTGGATTCCAAAAACACAATTTCACAGCCCAAGGCCGTATATTTAATTGCTGGGACGTGGCGCAGCTCCGAGACAAGACACACACTTGATCAAGAGAGCTTGCGACCGATCTTGCTTTCAACTGCAGCTCTCAAGTCCTCGCCCGTCGGCATGGTGACCACACTGCCGCGTCTGCGGCGGGATTCGATCTCGGCCTTGATCTCCTGAACGGCCTCGTCGATGGCCTGCACGGCATCGCTGGGGAGACCCAGTGTCGGCTGCTGCAGGGCGTCCGAGCTGGTTGTCCGCGTCATGTGAGGCCGGTTGCGCGACTTGAGTTTCTGCATGATCATACCCTTGGCGGGGCTGGCGAAGAAGGCCAGGGCAGCGGTGTTACCGATGATTCCATAGAAATAGACACTCTGCCAGACGCTGATCGACGTGCCAAAGGAGAGGAAGATGAAGGGCATCACGGTGAAGGAAAGGGTGATCTGGGTCACGAGCCAGCTCGCAATGTCATAGTACCGCTTGTACGGAGTGGGCTTGCTGCCATCCGGGGTGAGGAAGAAGGGACGGACATAACGACGGAAGTCTGTGCAAATTAGTATAGGAGGTCACAGAGATGTATCCAGGGTGGAATGACGTACTCTTGGCAACTGTTTGGATGAAAGATCCCAGCACAAAGGTCAGGTAGTACCCGGGGTAGAAGCCATGCCAGAAAGCGCTGGTCCCAAAGGTGGCCAGGCTGGCACGGAAACCTGGCTTCTTCCCCTTGGGGGTCACGCGCAGGTAAACGTAGTTGCGCAGCCAGTGGTTTGTGTTTTTGTTCCAGCTGCCGAGATAGGCATGCGAGTTTTGCGCAGTTTCGAGACTCCACGGGTCGACATTCTCCAAACGATTCCAAAAAACCTTGCCGGACGTGGGATCGAAGCCGTTGTATCCCATGCCGGACAAGATGCAGGCACCTTCCGTCAGAGCCCAGACGCCATAGTACTTCATCCGGGTGGTCATGCCGACCACATGCATGATCCAGACCCGTCGGATGAGGGAATATTGCATATAGCTGCTACTCAGGATCGTCTCCTGATTGTAGTAGGATCCCAGCTGCAGGAATGCGAAAATCCAACCCAGTCCAATTAGAGCCTTCTTGGTAGCGGGGGTTCCGCTACGGGGAATCTTGCGCTTCTTCCGGGTCGGGGGCACCTTCGAGGGGTCAGTGCCCGGGGGTATATCGAACAGAGTGGTGTCGATCCAGCGGCGATAGTCAACAAACTCGAAGGACGGACCGGCGAAGAGCGACGGGAAGAACAACACGTAACCCGTGTAGTCCAGGATGCTGGGGAACTTGGTGATCGCGGCATACTTTTGCGGATCCGACAGCTGGCTCTGGGGCAATCGACCGTCGTGCACATTCCAACAGAATGAAGAAAGTTTCATGACCAGCACCATCTGGGCGCCGGTGATATCGACCACCTGATTATCATTGACCATTTGTCTATAGATGTGGCTGATACTCATGTGCCCCATCAAGAAAACGAAGCCAATCCAGGGCATCAGCGAGCCGTCGATATAGTAGGCGATCAGGTAGACTCCGGCGGAGCTGTAGAACAGCGTGCGCAGGCCATCCCACAAGTCAAACAGCCCGACGATATAGAACAGGGAGACGGCGATGATGAAGGCATTCTTCTTCCAGGGTTGGGCGTCGGGGATTCTCTTCAGCAAGCCGGCCAGAGGATAGGACAGGAGGAATGACGCAATGAGCTTTACTATTGGCGGGACCCATCAGCGGTGAGGACAAGCTTGAAGGAGGATGAGGACTGGTAGATCGGGGGTAACATACGCTCATCGATCGAGGCTCCGGTAGCCTTGGCCGGGTATTCGAATACTGGAAGAGGACATGGTCAGTAGGAGGTCTAGATGGGGGTTGGAAGGAAGGGCCGAGGATGGGACCCAAAATGTTGAGAAAGAGCTAGCTCACAGAGGTTGATGAATGATAACATGGTGATGATGACAACGACAACGACAACGACAACAGCAAAGAAATAAAAGGGAGGCCACGAAATCAACCTGGGCGGAAAGACATTTGGGAAAGAAAATTGGCTGGTGGGAGAAAGAGACGAGAAAAAGGGAAGGGAAGGAAAAGAAGGAAAAGAGAAGCGAAGGAGGAAAACAAACCGTTTGGGCGGCGGGCGGGAAGAGCATCACATGTCCCCTCCCCTCTCCCCCGTCACTCACTCTCACCAACTTATGAACTTCAAACTTCACCCACCACCCCCGGGGCTTATGTCGTCACGCGCTTCCTCCCCTTCCATTCCAGCTCCACTCCCCTTCTCTAGCCACTAGATCCTCTCTTCTCTCCTCTCCGCCCCTCCCATCCGCCCACCATGGATGTCGTCGCGGCGGTGTCCGGGTACATCTCCAAGATGGTCACCGCGGGGGACCCCTCCTCCTCCTCCTCCCCCGCCAAGATGAAGATTCTACTCCTCGACAGTGAGACAGTGGGACATGCGCTTCTCTCATTTGTGCTGCTGCAGGAGGTGTGCGCTGACCCTCCTTGCCTAGGTGTCTATCGTCTCCACCGCCATCACCCAGTCCGCCCTATTGAACCATGAAGTCTATCTGATCGATCGCCTCGATAACGCCGCTCGTGAGCGCATGCGACACCTGCGCTGCCTCTGCTTCGTCCGACCCTCGCCCACCTCCATCCAATTCTTGATTGACGAACTGCGCGAACCCAAATACGGCGAATACTACATCTACCTGAGCAACATCATTCGCAAATCCTCGCTTGAACGACTGGCCGAAGCCGATTCCCATGAGGTGGTGCGCGTGGTTCAGGAACACTTTGCCGACTTTCTCGTCATCAACCCGGACCTGTGTTCCCTGAACTTGGGATTCCCCCAGCAGCGCTTGTGGGGCCAGTCGCCGGACCTCTGGAATGCGGATGCCTTACCCAGGGCCACAGAGGGCGTCATCGCGATGCTGCTGACGCTGAAAAAGAACCCTCTGATTCGCTACGAAAAGAACAGCTTGCTGGCCAAGAAGCTGGCCACGGAGGTCCGTTATCAGTTGACGCAGGAGGAGCAGCTATTCAACTTCCGCAAGACCGATACACCACCAATCCTGCTGATTCTGGACCGCCGAGACGACCCGATCACGCCGTTGCTGACACAGTGGACATATCAGGCGATGGTGCACGAGCTGATGGGCATCCACAATGGGCGCGTGGACCTCCGAGACGTGCCGGAGATTCGGCCGGAATTGCGGGAGATTGTCCTCTCCCAGGACCAAGATCCGTTCTTCAAGAAGAACATGTACCAAAACTTCGGAGATCTGGGCCAGAACATCAAGGAGTACGTCGAGCAGTATCAAACCAAGACGCAGAACACGATGAACATCGAGTCTATCGCGGATATGAAGCGCTTCGTGGAGGACTATCCCGAGTTCCGCAAACTGTCGGGGAACGTCAGTAAACACGTCACTCTCGTTGGCGAACTCAGTCGGCGCGTGGGCGAGGAGGACCTTCTTGATGTGAGTGAGTTGGAGCAGAGCCTGGCCTGTAACGACAACCACGCCAACGACCTAAAGGTATGTACATGCGCGCGGTTTCCATGGAACGAGTGAGCCTTGAAACGGACTGTTGACCATCTACCTGCAGAATCTCCAAAGGATCATTCAGTTGACTAGCGTCCCCGCCGAGAACAAGCTGCGGCTCGTGGCGCTGTACGCCATTCGCTACGAGAAGCAGCCGTCAAACGCACTCCCAATCCTGCTCGACCTCCTAGTCACTGCCGGGGATGTACCCTCATACAAAGCGAACATCATCCCGAAGCTACTCGCCTATCACCACTCATTGCAAGCGCCCCCAGTCGCCGGAGGATTTTCCGACCTTTTCGAATCCACATCCCTCTTCTCCGGTGCCCGGGACCGGTTCAAGGGTCTGAAAGGCGTTGAAAACGTATACACCCAACACTCGCCCCGGTTGGAGGCAACTCTCCAGAACCTGATCAAGGGCCGATTGAAGGAGCTCCAGTACCCATTCCTGGAAGGCGGGGGCCACACGCGCGACAAGCCCCAAGACATCATCATCTTCATGGTGGGCGGCGCGACCTACGAAGAAGCCAAGATGGTTGCCCAGGTAAATGCCAGCTCGCCTGGTGTGCGGGTCGTTCTGGGGGGCACCACGATCCACAACAGCACGAGCTTCCTCGAAGAAGTCGATGATGCTGTGAGCGGCTGGCCCGAGCCCGGCCCCTCGACTGCCGCTGGACGGCTGCAGAGGGCAATTGGGCATTAGCGTCGAATCCATTTCCCCTCGTCTGTCGAATCTGTCTTCTGTATCTGTAACCATCTATAATATATCCTGGAAGTTGGCAAGCTTTCACTCTTGCGCGCGAGACTCTGGAATTCATGCTATGTCAATCAATCGTGGCGTCGTTCATAAGGAACTACCGACTGGCTACTAGCTGGTTTGCCTGTATTTTAGTTAAGACATGTATAGCCACTTGTGCAGACAATCAATTTAATACGACAAACCTTATTGGCAGACGATCGGGTATGCAACCACCCTAGAATAAGTAAATTGATTTATACTGCGAGATAGTAGTGCTAACTAGCCATCTAGATGCCTTGATGTGAGGAACAAGGACAGGTACAAAGCCCTAGCTTCAACTAAGCATGGCCTGCAACAAACATCGCTTGCCATGGTAACGGAGACGCTCTCTCCATCCGCGAAGATAGTCTAAATAATAGATAGATAGAGAGAGAGATAGATAGATCAGATCCACCCAACAACACTCTTTCTTTCCTACTCGACGATCCGAAGAAGAGAAATAAATAAATAGCACATGGTTGATTGGTTTCATTAGCCTCCAGCGGAAGGACATCCGATTGATACATGATTCGTGATTATCATATATGTCTGTTCTGTGCAGGATATAATTGCAGTGTAGGAGTAGGAAAAGGAGTAGTAGAACAGGAAGGGAGAAAAAACAAGCAAAAAAGAAAAGTTCTATACAAAAAAGTGCTGTTGCATTGATGTCGTTATGAAGATGGCCAACCGAGAGGATTTGAATGAGTAGAATAGGATAGGTTGCAGATATGAAGTATGAAGTCAGAGCACATCTCTCTCTCTCTCTCTCTCTCTCTTACACACACGCACTCTATTCCCTACTTCTCCCTGCAGACGTTCAGTCATGGGCAGTCATAACACAAGTCTCTTTAGCGTGCCATATTCGTCGTTTCTTAGCCACATCCACGCCGAAGGTATCTGTGATGATGCCCTCGTCGTCGTGGAAGGCCGCTTGAGCAGGTGGATGAGCGTCGCCTTCGCCTTCGCCTTCGGAGTCGGTGGATGGACGCAACAGACGCAGCTCCTCGACGGTAGCGCCGAATTCGTAGTCTCCGCGACAGAGGACGGTGACGCCAACGGTGGCAGTGCTGCTTTCTCCACTGCGTAGGACGGGGAGGACCTGCTGGAGCATTCCGGTCCAGGCGAGACGCCGGGAAAGATCCAGGGCGACGTTGCTGGGCTGGTGACGAAGGCTCGGCTGGAGTCGGAGAAGAGGGTGGATGGGCTTGGAGGAGCGGTTGAGAACCGTGACGGTGAGATTGAGGAGGTCGTCAGTTCCAACCTCGTACTTCGAGCGCCCGGTTTGTACCACGCTCTTTGTGTCGTCTGGGAAGGAAGGCTCGAGGGAGAATGTCACGCCGACATCCTCTAATCGGAAGGCCTCCACCATCCGTGCGTTCAGACGCAGGTTCCGCAGGTCGATAATACCTTCGCGCCCGCCAACCTTCTCCTTCCAGAAGCCGGAAACGCGCTGGAGGATTTCTTCGCGATACCAGAAGGCCTCACGTGTTGCTGCCTCGGCTTCGAAGGTGAGCTTGTTGGCGCTCACAACGAATTGTCGCTTGACACCGGTGTTCAGGATGGGGATCGAGGCATGAGGATTGTCTAAATAGGCTCGGGGGAGAACGAGAACAAATCGCGACATCTGGCCGGGCTGGAGCTCTCCCCGCACCGAGTATTGACCATCGCCATCCTCAGGAGCGCTGGATTGCGGTCCCAAGTCCGACTTGGCGGCGTTCTCACTGACCTGTAGAGACACCGACAAGGGGTTCGGCCAAGCATTGCGGAGATCAAGGAGAAGTATACAGTGGTCAGGCCCATATCCACCTCGGGCGAGGTGAGAGAGCACGGGGGAAAACGGGTCAGTCTCCGTCGATTGAGGTACAAGCGCGGCGCTGGTTTGGCCGGACTCGGGCTTGGAGACGCTTTCGGGATTGTTCCACCATGCAAAGTCGCTGCTGAGGGGCAGTATATCGCAGCGAGCGACTTCGACACTGGCATTCACCGTCGCAGTAAGTGGGACAAACAGCTGACGGGTATAGAACACGTCGGGCAATTCCCCGGGGGCGAGTCCAAGGCAGGAGTAATCGATCTGCACCGTGGTCTCTTGTAGGCCAGGCTTTCCGGTGATATCGATGGTGAAGGTGGCGCTCTGGCCTGCTGGGATGGAGTAGTCCTCCGGGTTCAAGCCTTCGCGGCGCCACCGCAAAGCCGGCTTTGTTAGGTTCAGTTCCAATTCATATATCTCGACCGGCAGCAGGTCCTTGTTGCTTAGGGCTGACTGGACCTGTTTTGTCGTGGAGTCCTGGAAAGTAAAGAGGATGAAGTCGAGGGCGCATGGCGACATATTTCGTAGGGTAATGTTGAAGGAGCTGAGTTCTCCTTCCAGCACCATCATCGCGGACTGGGACAGCGACAACGATTCAATCACTAGGGACGGCTGTTGCCCAATGACTTTGACTTCGCAGACTGACGTGTCCGGGCCTTTCTTCTGGAGTTGCTTTCCGTCTCTCGCAGTCGTCGAGCTCCACGAAAGAGGTCGTTCCACCGTAGGCCTCTTGGCCGCCAATCCGGTTCGCTTAAATTTCCACTCGGCTTCGGGCCTCCAGAAGTGTTTGAATATTGGAAATTTGCGTTCTCTGCAGTGTCGCACCTTAACGATGCAACCAGTGATATTGAGCGATCCCTCTCCACTGGCTTTCCCGTAGACGGTGATATCTTGCAGACATAACGGAGGGATCAAGATCAACTCTGCTACCGCCTCTAAAGACACGCCGTCACTGTCGAGACGGAGCCTTTCAATCTCTAGGTCGAACTCATAAGGGTTCTGGAGGGTGACTTGGAACGCGGCATATTCGCCGGCAACCATCAACGACTCGAGGGCCTTGTTGCTGGCCTTGGAGAAAGGATTGTATAGGAAGGGGTCCTTTGTAGGCTTTTTGCGGCTGGCTGTCACGGCATCCAGATCAGGTTTTGAGCGACGGACAGGTCTTCTGGGGTCCGGAAGAGACAGCAGTTGAACATCGCGGACCAAGAAATCATCCCAGTACTCTGCCTCAATCTCCGAAGCACCGAGTTTGTTGGCTGCACCGACAGTTCGCTTGATATTGTTTAGCAGCCGCACCTGGTCGTCTCGTGGTAGATAGGGTGGGTGGTATTGAGATTGCGAGAGCATCAAGTCCCCTCTGATGGTTTGCAGAAGTTCTACCGTGAAACGAAGAACACCGATGAAGTCAGGCAGTGCCTCGCAGGAGCTGATGCACGCTTTGAGGACATCGATCTTCAGATTCAAATCACCGTACCCATCAAGAATGGTATGTCGAAAGGACCGCTCAACAATGGCAGTAATCGAATCATATTCGGGGAAGGGATCAGTCCCACTCGCGGTTGAAGATCGCCGCTTCTCCCATTCGTAGAAAGACGAGGGTTGAACACCATAAATCTCGCCTACGGTTGCAAGTAGGGAGCGCATGCTTTCCTCCATGTTTCCCGGGCCAAGATCGAGAGCATTGACGTCAAACGCCGTGTCGCTGAGGGATGCCAACCCGGCGGCAGGATGAACACCCACTTCTGCCGCTCCAATCTTGCGGGCTTGGACAAGGGCTGGAACCATGATGGACACAAGCTCTCTCAGAATGAATGCCTTCTTTCGTGGTAAATCGAGAACATTCAGGACCGAGACAACACCGATGATGATGGGAATGGCATCTGTCGGAGGCAGATCCGAGCTTGGGGAAAGAGGCAATGCTCGGAAAAGAAAGTTGGCGATCTCGGATTTGCGGAGAATGGTGAGTCCACGAGGCCGTTCGGGTCGGAGCAGAGGGGGGAGAGGCTCGTTCATCACGACATGCTTCAGGGCAACGTCATCTAGTGCGCCATCGCGAATACAGGCTGCCGCCAATAGCCTTGCCAGACGAATCACTGTCTCCGAGAAAACGAGTTGAGGCAAGGAGTCATCGGTAATGTTGGCGGCACGGTTGTAAAGATTCAGTATGTTGTTCGCAAGGTCTGGCAATAGATTGGACAGGTTCTGCAGTGAGATGATACGGTTCCCCGGCGATGAATCCAGGCTACTGCTATATGATAGCTTCGAGGACTTGTCGGCTACAGGGTAGCAGACCGGGGGGATCTGGAAGTCCATTCCAGCCCATGCAAACATTAATAGGCAGAGAAGGATGGATTCCAGCGCCTTTGCATGCCACACATAGTCACTGGTTGCCCGAGCATTAGAGGCGGCTTCGACCAGTTCTTTCAGAGCGTCTGGCCATCTGCCTGCTTGAAGAAACAAGGTCCCAACAACAACACCCGTGCGTCCTTTGATCCGATTCTTTGTGCGATCCGTCGCGCTCATGCCGCTCACGGACATTCGGTCTCGGCTATGCTCTTTGGATGACGGCAGCGAGTTGACCTTGCCGAATGAGTTGGAGCGGTTGGCGACTTGTATCGATCGGGTGATTTCATCAAACGTTGTCGGAGTCTCATGGTCACTGGGGGCCGGCGAGCCCTGGTTGGAGCTCGAGGGGGACTCGGACACCCCGTTGGGGTGGGATGGGAGCGACGGCATGGTCATCCGATGAAACAACCGGTCGGTCGGTCGCGGGCGTATATCTGGACCTCGATGCGGACCCCAAGACGACAATCGGGGCGACTCTATAGAAGGTATACTTTGGATGGTCTTCGCAAGCCCGTCTAGTTCGGAAAGGAACAGCGACGTAATATCACACAAGACAGTCTTCATTGTAGTGGCCTTGGATGCTTGAGGCCGTGGTATCCAGAGGACCTCCCCCGGGCCATTGGTGAGCTTTTTCACCCCATCATAATCAAAGATCAACAGTTGATGTACCAGTGACCTCGGGTTGCTCTCCTTTACGGTTTCCAGTTCATGTCGCAGCTGCTCCAGCTCGCCGGGAGTTGGGGGCTGATCGGCCGACGATCCTGGCTCACCCTTCTGCACACTTTCGCTGAGTTCTGCTCCATCGGCTATCGCAATGATCACCAGAGGCTCTCGGAATATCTCGAAGGGAAATAACTCTAGGTGGGACGTTGGGGGGACGGAGTAGGACAAGTCGTAGAGGATCATCCCGGTAGGGAACGCGAGCGGGGAGAACATATCTAGCACGAGAATCAGTCAACTACTGCGCGTATAATAAGGCCGGGCAGAATCCCCCGAAGCCTCAGGAGCTTCCTCTACTGCCGACATGGGAATCTGGGTGCTATGCCTACTTCGATTGGGTCGCGCATCAGGACTAATGTCCCCCAAGCGGACAACATTTTCGGCCTGAAGCCTTGCGGCGAAGCTCAGGAATCTGGAGCGCTTTATCTTGCCAATGGGTAGCAACAGCGCCCGTAAGCGCACTGGAGCGATTGGGGAGAGAGGATCAACCCCCATGGTGTCATCTGCGAGACGGACTCGGAGGAGGGGAGACAGTCGGCGCGGAGCTGCTCAGGGCGGCTTCCAAAAGGGCGGGCAAGCTTCCGGAAGTCATACGCCGCAGCGCTAAACACCAGGAGAGATTGGAAAGGCCACGGATTCACAGGCCGAGGCCGGGGGGAGGGGGGGGGGGTGGGTGGGAAGCAGTTGGCTCGGGATGTCATTGAACACAGGCCGACTCGACAGGGACCCTTTGGTCACCGTGACCAAGAAGAAGAGTACAGTTCAAAAGAACAACAAACAAGCCGGACGGTGGCAGATGAAGGCTAATGAAGGGCAATGAACCCCCCTCAATCATCACGGGGAAGTGGGCACAGCTGACATAAGCAGGGCACAGGCAGGCGATAAGGCGATAACTCCGCATGATTGTTCTCCAACGTTAACAGGCAGATCGGTCATCGGTCCTCTTCCTCCTCTCATCCGGTGATTCCTCTCTCGTGTTCTCTTACCCCCCCCCCCGCCTCGCCCCCTGTTGTGTTTCCAATCCTCTCACAAGTCGCTTCTCATCCGTTGGTCACTCTTTTGATCTGTCTTCCCAACTAGAGTTACACAAGTTATCGATCTCCCTCTGTTGTCTCGGTTACATTAGTGTTGTTGTTATCAATCACCGCCCCCCCCGTCGCATTTCCACCAGATCGATGCCTCTATCCCTCTGTCGCTAGTCTGTTTACCATAGTGTCTTGCTTGGGGGCGAGGACTCCGACACACTCGTTTCAGTCGCAAACATGTCACAGAAGATAGATTTCAATGCCCTCAGGGCGCGGACCATGGGGTCGGGGAATGATGAGGAGGCGGTCACGGTTGACACTCGGGGGTTGATCTCCAAAGTGCTGGCACGGTACTCGGGGAAATGGTATGTGTCCGATCTCTCCCTTCAATTATCATCAGAGCGATCGCTGACTGCAAACAACCAGGACTGTTCTGCGGGAAATGATCCAGAACGCTGCCGACGCCAATGCTACCAAGGTGACCATCAGGTTTGAGACGCTACCATCGACCACCGTCCCTCTGCCTTCAGCGGCTGACGAGAGCACTTTGATAAAACATACCATTTCCAACCATACCCTCAGGCGTCTTCTGATATCAAACAACGGACTTCCCTTTAGTGAGAAGGATTGGGCGAGATTAAAGCGTATCGCGGATGGCAACCCCGACGAGACAAAGATCGGGGCGTTTGGTGTTGGTTTTTACAGTGTCTTTGACGACTGCGAGGAGCCTTTTGTGTCTTCTGGAAAGGACGCCATGGCCTTCTACTGGAAAGGAAACGCTCTTTTTACCCGGCGGCTACAGCTGAATGAAGACGCAAACCCCGAAACCACATTCGTTCTAGACTATCGCAATGATACTTCGCCGATTCCCTCGCTCATGCAGCTCTGTCAGTTCCTGTCCAGCAGTCTTACTTTTGTAAGCCTCGAGGGGATTGAACTATGGCTGGACGACTGGAACCTGTTGCGACTCTCGAAGAAGACTGCCCCAAGTATCAATCTGACCATACCAAGAGAGATCGAGACCAAGACGTCGCAAGGGTTGATGAAGATCCAGAACGTTACACGCGAGGTTGCCCAGGTTGATGCCTTGTGGATGCGGGTTGTTGAATGGAACCCAAATGCGAGCATCTTCCGTGAAGGGCTGAGAGATACGACAGGTTCTTTGCGAACCTTCTTCTCTCGACTCACCGGCCAGAATGGGGCAGAAAGCCCCGTGAAGCCCGAGAAGCAGGATAGATCCAGCGACCCCACCGGGGACATGACCAAGACGATAAACGCGTCAGTCTTCCTACATATCAACACCGCCACCATTCAAGCTTCCGTGAGCCAGTCTTTGAGCAGCGAGCTTGAGCGGGCTACGCGCAAACCCCCCCCTAAGAAATCCACCATCGCCGTATTGACCCCTTCGTATGATACGACCTTGGCCTCTGGGGCGTCTGGTCTACAATCAGAGGTCCTTTCTTCTATTCTCCCTTCCAAGTCCGGGAGAATCTTCATCGGGTTTCCCACTCATCAAACAACGGGTCTCAATGCTCATATATCGGCACCCTCCGTGATCCCCACTGTGGAACGAGAAAGCATCGATCTGAATACTCGTTACATCAGCAAGTGGAATCAGGAAATGCTGAGAGCAGCGGGCATTGTCTGCCGAATCGCTTGGACCGCGGAGATGGCATCTATAACAGCCAAGATACTGTCAGGAAGAGAGCCATCGAAGTCTACGAAGATACGAAAGGACGACATAGTCGGTGTTCTCCCAGAGGCTGTTCACACCGCGAACCAGTTCGTCTTCCGTGAATCGACGCCGTCTTCGCTTCTAGGACAAACCATCGAGGACGCATTTTGGACATGCAACAAAAGTTCTTCCATCGAAGTCCTCTCAACGTGCGGCGTCATACAGAGTCACCAAGCACGTCTTGCTCCGAAGGACCTTAGCTTCATGGATTCTATACCCGTGCTACCGGATGAATTTGTATCGGGCGCCAAAGACTTCGTCAAGAAGCTGACAGACTTTGGCCTGGTTACCGATGTAACGGTCTCCGATATCAAGCGGGAACTAGAATCCGGCACACTACGGTCTAGCCAGGTTATTGAGTTCCTTGCTTGGCTGGGCCGAAGGGCTGCCTCTGGACAGCTTGACTTATACTCCGTTCAAAGCCTTCTGAGTGTTGCTGTGGCAAGTGATGAAGATGACAGTGGCCGTCAAACCAAGTTGATTGTTTTCGCCGGCATCAGCAGCTATCTAAATCCTCAAAAGATACCCGCTAGCCTGCCGTTGCCACCATCTGTGGCGCCTTTCAAATTCACGAAATCTCTCGGGAAGCAGGAGCTGGAAGCTTTTGGCTGGACCGAGTTGCAGATAGTTCCATGGGTTCGCTGGCTGGTCAGCAATGCTGGCAACCGGAGTCTTCTTCCTGCTGAACATGATATCACGCAAAGCCCCTCGTTTGCCGGGCAAGTCTTGCCTGTTCTATCTAAACAATGGGAATACTTTAGCCAACAGGCCAAGCAAACACTGGTGGCTCAACTACAGCCGTACACGGTCATCCCAACTAGACTTGGGATGAAAGTTCCTGCCGAGACTTACTTTTCCTCTGTTCGGCTGTTTGATGATCTTCCTGTCATCCACGGTCTTAATGGGGTCAAGGAGAAGTTTTTGGCCGCGCTGGGGGTCCGCAAGACAGTCGAGCTTGGTGTCATATTCGAGCGTCTCTTGGACACTGCAGAATCCGCCGATGCCTCCAGCAAGAACCGGACGAAATGGAGCCATGTTGACTTAATACGATACCTGGCTTCTGTCCGCGACGATATCCCTGCGAGCGATATCAAGCGGCTGAAAAACACCAGCTTGTGCACCGCGGAACCAAGCAATGGCAATGGGAGCGGCGATCTCAAAGGCGCGAATCGCAAACGCTACAAGATCTTTGAGCTTTTTGAGCCGAAAGATTCCTTCAGAGCTTTGGGGCTACCTATTATTGAGTGGCCTGGTAAGTACCAGCCCAGCAGTAACGAGGGCAAGTTCTTGTCTACGTTGGGTTTGAGAAGCTTTCCCTCGGCTGCTGAGCTGGTACAGATTATGGCCAAAGCAGCAGCGGAAAGCCACTGGACCCTTCATACGAAAGCGATGGCGTATTATATCGCCGAATATCATACGAGTGGGTATGCTACATTCGACTGTGGCGCGGCAACTGTTCCGTTTCTTCCCGTTGAAGGGTCCGGTGGTTTAACTGTTCCGAGTAAATGTTTTACTGATGAGGGCGCTACCCTGTTTGGGTTCGAGATCCTTCGGAGAGACCTCCATCCCCACGCACCCAAGTTTGGAGTCAAGCAGCATCCCGGCTTGAGCGATTGCATCGATAGTCTTCTACGTCAGCCGCCGTCCACAAAACGCGACGCCAGGGTGCTCTTCAAGTATTTGGCCGGGAGAGTGTCGGAACTCAGCGCGCGGGATATAGACCGCGTCGGCGGTGCGCAGGTCGTACCCGTCTCGACTACATCGGATGCAACGGAGAAGAAGTCCATCGTGCGTCGCGTGACGCCCAAACTTTGCTACCTCGGCGAAGGCGAAGATTACAAAGATATATTCGACTTTGTTGACTTTGGTCAAGAGGCGAATCTCTTCCTTATGGCAGTTGGATCCAAGCGAGAGCCGACCAAGGTGGAACTTGCACGCATGTTGGTCAAGGAACCAGCCAGGATATCAGCCACCTTCCAGAGCGCCGACAAGTATCTCAAATTATTGAGGACGCTTGCCGAACATGTCTCGGTTCTGAAAAGGGACCGAGAACTCTTCCAGGAAATGAAGAGGTCGGCGTTCCTACTCGCCAGCAGGGACATTACCACTCTAGCACAGGCAACAGCCGCAAAAGATGGCCCGAATGCCTCCGATGATGAGGAGGAAGATTCCAGCATCAAGGAATGGACGTTAACGGCTGCCCATGACGCAGTCGTGGTGGATGACTTTCAGAGCTTCAACCTCTTCAAGGAGCACGTGCTAGCCGCGCCCCAGGAAGAGTTGCTGGAGAATTTCTACCAATCCCTTGGGGCTTTGCCGCTGAGCGGCCTTGTCGAAGAGCGTGCGCATTGGGGCGCCGTGGCTGCCGACCAACGCCCGGCAGCCAAGTTGCAGAAGTTGATCCGTGAACGGTCGAGGCTGTATTTGCATGACCAGTCCCCCGACCTCATCCGGCATGACGTGCGATGGCTGGAGAAGCATCTGCAGGTGCAAGTGGTGCACTCGATTTCTCTCACGCGGTCTCTCAAGGGTCGCCGGATCTCCCACACCCAGAAGCGAAGTGCCATCATTACCCAACAGGCCCGAGACTGGATTCTGTGGATATGCCCCGGCAAATACGACCTGTACGAGATCAGCCAGGCCCTGGTGCATCTGATTCTTGTCCGGCCGAAACTGCATTCCACCCTCACGCTGGAGATGCTATTGAAGACGGATCTGTTGGAACTCAAGGCCCGCGGGTATAACGTGGAGCGCATTCTCAAGCAGAAGGCCCAGGAGGCCCGGATGGCGGAGGATAGACGGCAGAAGCAGGTCGAAGAGGAGCGCCAACAACTCCAGGAGAGGGAAGCTGCCTGGGCTCGCGAACAGGCCCAGGCCCAGGCCCAGGCACAAGCACCCCCGACCGAGAACGAGCAGTTGATGCCGGGCGATTTCCCCAAGTCGCCCGCCGGCAAGAATGCGAGCCGAGATGTCCAGGCCGAAGGGCCCGAGCCGGCTCCAGACCGACGCCCACGCGGCTTCTTTGCCAACCTGAGCAAACGGTTTGGGCTGGAGGGGAATCGCTCGCCCTGGAATGCCGTCAATGGGGAATCCTCTCAACCGGCTCTGCCGGAGTCCTCGGAGACAGCCACTCCTCCCCCGCCGCCTTACTCTGCGGAGGATCCCCAGAAGAACCCCCAGGAGCCCCGTCCGGAGGCGCCTGTCAATGTCGGTTCCCCCCATCGACTGCAGACGGAGCTGCTGTCCGCGATCCAAGCCTGCCGGCCTCACGGCTCGTCGGATGTCTACAGCCGGCCCGAGGCCAACCAGATCAGCGAGAACAAGTCCTATTGTGACGAAAAGCCCAGCCACGACCTGGAGTTCGTCGCGACCCTGGCCTGTGGGATGAACGTGCTGTTCGTGCGGACTCTCCCGGACCGCACGAGCTTCCTGTCGAAGAACAGCGTCGGCATCAACGTGTTTGCTTCCATGCTGATGGACTGCGCGCAAGTGTTCTCGCTGCGGTCGGACATCCTCAGCATCTTCTATGACCCGGGGGGCAAGACCATCGCCTTCAACCGAGCGGGGAGCGTCTTCTGCAACTACTTCTACTTCCAGCAGCTGCACGAGAAGGAACTGCTCGCCAACCCCACGGCCGATCGGGCGGATGCGCTTGTCTACTGGTGGGTGATCCTGTGCCACGAACTGGCCCATAACTTGGTGGCCGACCACAGCTCGGCACACAGTTACTACACGTACGTATCCTTCCCTGCGTCCTTTTCTTCTTCCCAACGGGCTCTATCTAACTCTTGCGCAGCGAGAGCTTTGTTGCGCAGTACTTCCCGAAGATGATGGCCACGCTGGCTACTGCAGCCCCTGCAGCCCCTGCGGCCTCAGGAGCCAGTGCCTAACCTAAGCTTACGACCACTTTCTGTTCGGGGGATTCTGTTTGCTGGATGGAGTAGGGTGGGTGTACATTATGTTTGACGAACTGTGACGGCCAGGCGCCGTCATGTACATATTTGGGATAATTAGAACCTTTTTTTTTTTTTTTTTTGAATAACGGGTCTCTCCTCCACTCTCACCCTCTCACCCGCGTAATGCTTAATTATCTACTAGAGTCTGTCTGTCTGTCAGGGTCTGGCAGAGGCTGACAAGACTGGCAAGACTGGCAGGCCAATCCAAGGATCGCCGGCGGCGACCCGCGGGTCGCCGCCGCCTTTTTTTCCTTTCTCTCTTTCTTTCTTTTTTTTTTTTTTCCCTTTTTCTTTTTATCAACTTTCGGAACCTTATCGGCGACAGAGAGGCAAACCCCTCGGGGGATTTATTCCAATCTCTTGCCTCCTTGCTCTTGCTCTTGCATCGTGCGGATGGAGTCGAACTAACTGTCTGCAATCTGGTCAACGAACGTTTCTTCATATTGTTATTGTTAGCGTCGCCACTCGGGGAGTCGCTGCCTGCCATCAACCCATCAAAGGGTCGCCGCGACCCGCTTTGCATCGGCCCCATTGTTCATCTTCGGGTTGCATTCTTCTTTTCCAATTAATTGTTCTGCATCCGTCTACCCTCGTGCATCGCTTTGTCTCTCCTGAACGACCGCAAGTGCCTGCCATTATGGCGCCGATGCTGGGCAATGACTCAATCGATGACGGGCTACCGACTGCCCAGACCCCAAGAAAGAACATCCTCTACATCGACGCGTATGACTCCTTCTCGTACAATGTCGTCGCCATGCTCGAAGAGCTCCTCGAGGCCCAGGTGACCGTCCTGATGATCGACTCCGCCTGGCCGAATGGGAATATGGTCGAGTTCCTGCAACATTACGAAGCCGTGGTTCTGGGGCCAGGGCCTGGAGACCCCCATGCGCCCCCCGATGTAGGCATCATGGGCGACATCTGGACCCTGAGCGCCGCAGACATGCTGCCAGTCTTCGGGATCTGTCTCGGCTTCCAGAGTCTGTGCCTCCGCCATGGGGCCACGGTGGGCCGGTTGCCATACCCGCTGCATGGCCAGGTCCGCCGCGTTCAATCCGTCCAGGAGGACATCTTCGAGGGCCTATCCGATCTGGAAGTCACGCTGTACCACTCGCTATACGCCCAGATGGAATCCGTGTCGGATGGCGGCAGCGACCGAAGGCTCATCGGCCCCGCGGCGCTAGAGCTTCATCTTCTGGCCTGGTTGGCCATCGAACACGGCGACCTTGCCGGCGGCGTGCAGCTTCCTATGGCTGTGCGCCATAAAACCAAGCCGTTTTGGGGGGTTCAGTTCCACCCGGAATCGTGCAAGTCGGACCGAAACGCATGCAGTAAGCTCCTCAGGAGATGGTGGGAGATGGCTCGCCGTTACAAAATTAACGGACGAGGCGGTTACACGAGCCTCCCCAATGGCATCCTCCCGTCACTTAATGCTGCGACGAGGCTCCCGGATATCGCCCACACCATGTTGGACTGGACGGCGTCGAGCTCGAATCGCTCTTTCTGCCGAGACTTCATCACCTCGGAGCTGGACGCTGAAATGATATGCGAGAGTCTCAATAGTCCAGGCTCGCCCACGGTGCTGTTCAAATCCAATGGCCGATACAGCATCGTGTCCGTGCCAAGTCCTTCCAACTGGAGGTTGGAGTACTTCGCGCAGAATGAGAAGTTATTTCTGGAGAAGATGGGAAGTGACGGAGCCGGCGAACGAGCAGTAGTCGAGAGGTACTTGCCGGTGTCTCAATTCTGGGATGTACTTCGGTATGTCATGGACACGAAGAAGGTCGACTCGGGGGACAGTGCCGTGCCCTTCTGGGCCGGCTTCTTGGGATACTTCTCGTACGAAATGGGGCTTGCTTGCCTCTCTCGTCCGAAGGAGCACAGCCAGGGCCACCCAGGAGCTTGTTCATCCCCAGACAACACGTCCAAGGACGATCCGGCAGATGCCAGTTTATTGTGGACGGAACGGAGCATCATACTCGATCATGAGACGGGCCGTGTCACCGTGCAGTCTACGCGAGAGGCCGACGACTCACCAACTGGATGGCTCAATGAAGCGGTGCATTTCTTGCAGAAGCTCACGTCTGTCGACAAGATTGCAACCGACACAGAGGTCTTGGACCCCATTCTTAGTCGAGGCGTGGTGCAGCTTCCAAACAAGGAAACCTACTGGGAGCAGTTTGAGGCCTGCAGGGCCCAACTGCAGGCCGGAGAGTCATACGAATTATGCCTTACCTGCGAAACCACCATAACATTACCTTCGCCAGACACCGACTATGCGCGCATCCACTTCCCGTGGGGGCTGTATAAGCGCCTGCAAAAATATAATCCTGCCGCGTTCAGTGCCTATGCGAGGCTGGGAAGCGTGAAGATCGTCAGCAGCAGCCCGGAGTGCTTCCTCAACTGGGACCGCGAGTCCACCCTGGAGATGAAGCCGATGAAAGGCACGGTGAGAAAGACAGGCGACATGACCCTGGAGAAAGCCCGGGCGATCTTGGGCTCGACCAAGGAAATGGCCGAGAACCTGATGATTGCGGATCTGATCCGACATGACCTCTATGGCATCTGCGGCTCGGGGGGCGTTCGAGTGGAAAAGCTGCTCGAGGTGGAGGACCACGGGCGGGTCTATCAGATGATCACGCACGTCAAGGGACAAGTCGATCCAGCTCGACCTGGATTTGCGGCGCGAGACATGCCGCAACTGCATTCCGCCGGCATGTCCGTCTATGGACTGACCGCGCTGCAGAGATGCCTTCCTCCGGGCTCCATGACCGGTGCCCCAAAGGAGCGCTCCTGCATGCACCTCTCCTCGATCGAGGCCCGCAAGCGCGGCATCTACTCGGGCGTCATGGGCTTCCTCGACCTGGGAGGCGGAGGAAGCTTTTCGGTCCTGATTCGCACCGCCTTCTCTTCCTCTGGTGACCAGGACAGCGAGCACACGTGGCGGATCGGGGCTGGAGGCGCAATCACCATCTTGAGCACCCCCGAGGGTGAATGGGACGAGATGTTGACCAAGCTGAGGACCGTGTACGGGGTCTTCACCCCGGCAGGTACGAAGGGACTACTGGGCTGAAACAGTCCCAGTTCTTGTTTTTCACTTTTTGTCATTGGTACCGGTGCCAGTGGCTTCAACACTTGCATATATGTCTTGGATCGAACATAGACGATAGAGACACTTTCAACATCCAGCGTTGGTTACAGACGGCGTTCTTTGGGGACTGATTTGATTTGCATTTGCATATGCATTGTTTGAAGCAGACGAGAGTTTATCACTTTCTCGAGCCACCTGCGCACTGTTTTCTATTCAACAAGATACCCTGGTGGGGACCCCTGAGGGCTCCATGAAGTATATCCACAAATACACATCTATCTATCTATCTGTCTATCCACTTTGTTCTTCAGTAACCGTAACAACTGGCGAGTTTGTAGGGCCAGGCGGTGCAAACGCGTCAAACATCGGCCTCACCTCCGCGGAGAGTCGCGAGCTGCCCTTTCTTCTCCATCTCCCATCTCCCATCCCCCATCTTCTTCCCAAAGCTTCAATCCAGTCTGCCTGTCCCAGGTCGGCCCTGGAATTCCGGGCGCATTGCCAAACAGAACCTCGTGCATCGCCGGCTGTCATGGCGGGCACTCCCGATGCCTCGATGGAGGAGATCCTCTGGCGATCCCCGCCTCACGTCCAGATGATGGGAGGGTACCTCCACTCCAACAACAGTAAGAGACACCCTGAAATACCCCGAACCTCGTCCATGCCGCTAAGATCATCGGCACATAATCAGTCCTTTTCTATTTCGCCGAGTCGCCCTTCTTTGACCCCACCTCGAACAACGCCTCCCTCGCCATCCAAGCCAACTACAATGAAGCATTCCGGCATTTTGTCGAGACGCGAGAGGCCTTCGAGGGCCGGCTCAAGACCATGCAGGGCTTGGAGTTCGTGGTCTCGTACGATCCAATCCAGGCCGCGGCGCTCCCGGACGGCCGTTTTGCCTTCGAGCCATCCAACGTCTGGGTGATTCGCAAGCAGAGCCGACGCAAGCGGACCGGTCACGAAGACGAGGTGGAGGTGCTATCGACCTTCTTCATCGTCGGGGACTGTATCTACATGGCGCCCTCCGTTGCGAGCGTCGTCGGGAATCGCATTGTACGTTCACTCCCCCGCATCCTCCCCCCGCGTGCCGCTCGAACTAACGCATAGACTTCTTTTTTCTCGCATAGCTGTCTGCAGTCACATCGCTCACTAGTCTACTGAAGACGGCGTCTACCCTACCTAGCTTCACACCATCGCATGGCCATACCTACCTGCCACCCGCGCCCAAGGCCGCAGACGCAAGCCAGCCCGGATCGCAATTGCAACAGAGCAAGGAGAACACGCCCATGCCGGACGCTGATGCGGCGGCGAAAGCCCCGCTTGTCGGGGCTGCATCGAGCATCCAGGATTCGCGGACATTCGCGGAGTCACTCAGTCTGTTTTCGCGGTATGGGGAGGAATTTATGGACGAGCATCCGCTGGTGGGAGAGCCCGGCTCTTTCATCCTCTCCCGGGTGACTGATGCCGATCGGTCCTCGTCAGCCAAAACGGGGCCGAACGCTGGGGCGATTAATGCAGCAGGGAGGGTTGGAACACCGCAGGTCAAGGTTGATACACCGGGGAAGGCGTCCGAGAAGGGGGTGGCTACACCATCGGGCTCCGATGAAAGCAAGATGCGGAAGAAGAAGGGCAAGATGGGGAGCTGAGCGTGGGAGGGGGAGGAGGAATTATATGATACCCTATTGAATTGAGAGCCGAATTCTCTTCATTTCCGGTCTGCAGCTGGCTCGTCCGATGGGCAGAGTGGCCTTCAGAGTCCGGACTGAGCATCCTCTGTACATAGTCACCCGCAGAGACGGCCAATCAGCCGAGGAAAAGTACAGCCAGCTAGCCTGATAGACCAGGCCAATCTTACACGCCCTTGTGAGTCATCGCATGTCGTCGGGTCTGCCTGCCACCCATTCATCCATCCTATAAATCAGTCCGGGTTGGAACCAAACCCCAAAGTCTGGGCAGCCGACCCTCTTCACGATTACATCACTGATCCGTGATCACTTGCAAAATACTCGCTCTGACGTGACTCTTCGCTCCCTCCTGTCTCCCAGACACCGTCCTGCCTCGTTGCCAGAGAGTCACCATGAGTTCTGAACCCGTCAAACCCGCCGTGGTGTGCGTGTTGTACGTTGTCCATCCTACCCCTCTCTCCCCCGCACCGTTCCATCATCAGTCCGAGACCATCAACCACATCCCCAACCACATCCACAACCACATCCATCATCCCCGCATCCAAGTCCCCTTCTCTCCTCCCCAAGTCCAACCCCCCCCCCCAAAAAAAAGACCAAACCTCCCCACTAACTGAGTCAGCTGCGGCTCCGTCGCCGGCACCAACCCCCGCCACATGGAAACCGCCCGCGCCCTCGCGCACGAATTCCACAAGAACAACGTCCGCCTCGTCTACGGCGGCGGCACAGCCGGGCTGATGGGCGAGCTAGCACGGAGTCTCGTCCAGCTGTCCGGCCCACAAGCCGTGCACGGGGTGATCCCACGCGCCCTCGTAAAGATCGAGCCGGGGTACGACAACGCCCAAGAACATCAATCCCAAGACGACACCGACACCACCACGCAATCCACCTCTGGCAAAACCGCCGAACGCATCATCACCTCCAATTCCTCCTCCAGTTCATCCTTCAAAGAATCCGCCTACGGCACCACCACCATCGTCGCAGACATGCACACGCGCAAACGCCTGATGGCAACAAAGGTCGCCGAGGGCGGGCCGGGCAGCGGGTTCGTGGCGCTGGCGGGCGGGTTCGGCACGATCGAGGAAGTCATGGAGATGACGACGTGGAATCAGCTGGGGATTCATCGGTTGGGGGTGGTGCTGTTGAATGTCGATGGGTATTGGGATGGGTTGTTGCAGTGGGTGCGCAAGGCGGTCCAGGAGGGGTATATTGGCGAGGAGAATGGGAGGATCCTGGTTGAGGCGCGGGATGTGGCTGATGTTTGGCCGCGGTTGGTGGGGTATCAGGTTAGTAATGGGAGGATGAGGTTGAATTGGGGGGAGGAGTGAATATTACTATTAATGTGAATGAATTAGGAGAAAGGGGGCGTAGGTATGGTAGTGTAGAGAGTGGGGTGGTTGATAGATGATGGGATGGACACATTCATATGCGGAGATAGAGTTCATGAAGTATAATAGTACATATACATATCCCGGTCAAAAGTCATGTATTATCCGAATCGTGAACTATAACAACCAGAACAGAAGAACTACTATTCTTCAGCATGGGAAACTAATAGTCTATGAGTCGACCTCCATCGACTCCTCTTTCGTCTCGCCCTCCTCCGACCGCTCCAGCGCCTCCAGCAGCGGTACGAGCAGCTGACCCTCATATAGCTTGAAGCTCTCAATACGGCCCTTCGCGCCCTCAGCCGCCAAACCCACCACACCAACCGACGTATTGTCAACCGTCAGCTCCTTATCCTGAGACAGGGTCTCCTTCAGCGCCTGCAGACCGTGAGTGATGAGCTCATCGCGGGTCGTATCCTGAAGCTTATCGAGATTGCGCTCGAGGTAGGTGCGGGCCATCTGGGAGCGGGCGCCGATAGCGCAGGCCAGCATCTCGTGGGTCATGCCGGAGGGTTGGAACTCGAAGAGGTGGGGACCGGCCTCGTCGACGCCGGCCACGAGCAGCCCGACGCCGTACGGCCGCTTGCCGTAATGTTGGGTGTTCGTTTGGGCCCGGTCGCCGATCTGGCTGACGATGCGGTCGACCGGAAGGGGCCGTCCGTAGGTCATCCGCGAGCTGAGTGACTGCTGCTTCATGAAGTTGGAGAGAACCCGCGCGTCTGACGCCAGGCCCGCGATGGCGATCCCCATGTGGGAGTCCACTTCGATGATCTTCTTCTGGTATGAGGAGAGTTCTTCGGCGTTACGCTGTGGGGTGGTTAGTAAGGCTGTCTGTCTATGCTGGGGGCTGTGGTGGTGGGAGTATCGGAGTATAGGTAGTGGTGTGCGTGGTAGGGTAGTGTAGGTAGGCATGTCGTCGAACCTTTAAGCCGACCAGCACGGCATGTGTCTTGTTGACCAGTCCCACCACGACGGATCCTTGCTTCACGGCTTCTTGTGCATACTCGACTTGGAATATCCGGCCTTGCGGGGAGCTGTATCGGGAGCAGTCAGTGATGGTGAGCTAAGCTAAGAGCTTTGTCTAGCTGGATGGGGGGGGGGGGTGGAAGGGGAGCTGGGAGTCCATACAAGGTGACCGCATCGTTGTCGTAGTTGTTTCTGAACATGGTGGAACCTTCGGGGGGAGATGGTTGCGGGTGGAATGATAGGTCTCGCTCAATTCAATGAGAGGGTGTTAGGGAGATGGGCGGAGAGATGAGGGGGGAATGGGGGGGGAGATGGGAGAAGCAAGCGTTGGAAGTGAGGAGGAGGATGATGCCGTTGACTGACTGACGGTGCTGGGCAGGCAGTGAGCAACTGACGCGGTGACTGCCTGCCTGGGAGCCTGAAAGGCCTGAGAGCTTCGGGCGGTCCTGCTTGGCATGGTGCCTCAGGCTGCTACGCCATCCAGGCAGTCCCGCATTGGCTGCGGCTGCACGTCACCTCCTCCTCTTACACTAAGGCCGCTTGCTTGCCTGCTGCTCCATCCAATCTCTCTCTCTGCTGCTCTCCGTTCCTCCTCCTCTAACAACTCCCCGTCTTCATGCTGACAGCCCTCTGACCCTGTTGTCCCTCGTGCCTGGTATTCCAGCCTATCCCCGCTAGCTCCTTGAGCTTTGTTTGCGCAATCAACTCCTCGTTTCCCTCCATTGCTCTGGACCTGGACGGTCCTGCTTTACCGCAATCATGACGGCCGGCCTTAAGACGATCATCGCACTCTCCTTTGTGAGTCTCTTCTGGAGGGTTCCGACACCTCTCCAATCGCACCTCTGGCTGACCTCTCTCTCTTTGCACAGGTTCTCGCCATTGGTTTCCTCCTCGTCATCCTCTCCTCCGCGCTCTGGCACAACTTCCTGCCGCTGATCGTCGTTGCGACTTACGTGGTTGCTCCCCTGCCCAACTGGATCTGCTCGCGATGCGCAAACCCCGATGATTTCATGGACAGTTCCGGCAATGCTGCCGCTGACTTTGGTCGCTTCCTCACGGGTTTCCTGGTCTTGATGGGTATTGGTGAGTGACGCTCTCTGGCACAATCGGACTGGACTCCCAGTCGCATTTATCTCTGCAGTTGGAATGCACTGGGCTGGAAGGAACACCGCTCGTCGTGTTTCATCGGAACCACCCGATCCCAAGCTGACTGTAATCGCCTGATCCAGCCCTCCCCGCCGTCCTGGCGCACAGCGGCGCCATCGAAATCCCCGCCATGGTCATGTCCATCATTGGCGGCCTCCTCATCTACGGCACCATCATCAGTTTCTCCATGTTCTTCAAGGAGCAGGAGGACTTCTAAATTGCCGTGCGCCGCAGATATCCGCAAGACGGGCTTCGCATTGGATACCCGCCCCGCAGAGCGTTGCGATTGATCTTTTGAAGCCCCCGCCTCCATTTCCTCGACCAATGCACCTTTTATGAAACCTCGCTTTGATTTGATTTGCCGTACGCTAGGAGTACTGTTGTGCCATTTGATGCCCCGGGCTTAGCCGTTGCTTCCGCTGTTTCCTGTTCGTTGATACGATTGATGTACTATAGCCAGTATGGGGTTATATAGAAACTTGCCAGCGCAGTTTGGACCAGTTATTTAATGACCGTGCCCGTCCACCAGCAGGTCCTTCCGGGCCCTGGGGATGCCGATGCGTGTCGCCCTGGACACCGTAAGCATCCCCCGCTCCCCTCGTAGACCCAGGTCACGTGGCCTCGCGCCGAGGCGGGCGCGTCGTAAATTTAGCCGCGCCGACTGGTGAATGATCGATCCATGAACGACCCTCCGCCGTCATGGATCTGCAGTAATATGTGAGCTTCACGTCCATCGGTGGTCGAAAATGAATGTCTGGTCCGGTGCCATCTCGCTGGACGGCGGGGTCCACCTCCGAGGTAAATCTGCCCACGACCATCCCTGGTTGCATGCGTGTGCTTATCACCAGGTCCAGGCCTCCAATTGATTGATCGATCATCGAACTGGCAATCGGACTTTGCCAGCGACTCCACGCTCAGTCTTCGCTCCTTCGTGAACCCGGCCCTCATCCCCCTCTACGCACGATGTGGCCCGAACCTGGAATTCCATACGAGTGACGCGGAAGCCGCGCAATGGCTGAAGGACAAGCTGACGGGCACCATCTGGCTGGAAGAGGATGAACCGGACCGTCTTCAGACGCTGCAATGCCCTGTTGGACTTCTGTTGGGTGTTGGTAACGATGGGCAGGCCACAGTCCCCGGATCTCACACGACCGACTTGTTGGTCCATGGGATACTGTCAACCACTACGTCGATCGAGCGACCTCCCACGCCGCCGGTCTCGTCGCCCGAGTTGGAAAATCAGCTGGCCCCCGTCACTAGGCAGGAACTGAAGATATATGCCACGCCACTTTCTGCGTCTCTCATCGCCAAAGCCCAATCCCTTCCCTTCCCACCAGACTCCGACGAGCCCACCGGCCATGGACAGTTCGCTCAGTTCCTTCCGGACATGCGCTCGCCGAGTCCCAAGCGCAAGCGGGTCGCGACGCTCTTCGAATCCGTGGCGCAGCATCACAAGAGAGTACGACAGAGGGGAGGAGAGGCCGTGTCGCAGCTGATGGCGTGCTCTCTCTCGCAGTCCTCCCAACAATTACAAAGCCTCCGGGTCAAGCGCGAGTCGGAGGAGCCGTCTCTGCCCCAGCTGGACCGGATCGTTTCGCAACGGTCCCGGTCCCTCTCCGTGGGAACGAACTTCAACGCCAACCTCCTGGAATCTCGGTCAGAACAGACGCGGCCCAGCAGCCGACGGGGCTACGTGCGCGAACCGACTTCCAAGAGGAGTACGCCAAACCCTTTTATCGAATCTTCGTTACGGCGGGAGACCGAGCTGTCCCCGTCATTGCCACCCGATAGTAAGCCCGAGTCACCAGCAACGCCACAGGACGCGGAAGTCATCATCTCGGAAAACAAAAACACCATCACTCGGACCATCTTAACCTGCATGCGTTTGTATGGTTTCAACCGGACAACGACGCGCTCTTCCGGCTCTAGGCCGCAAACTGGGACGAGTAACCATGACATAGTCCCTGGTACCGGCGAGGACAAGGATCCGCGCATGGCCATGGCCGACGCATCCAATTCGGAAGAGGATGAGTTCAAGACCATGTACCATGCGACCTATCGCGCATCCACGTTTGCGTTGCGGAAGTATTTGAAGGAGCCATCTGCGGGCGAAGACGGCTCGCGGAACATGCCGCTTCTGCTGGAGAAGGGCAAAGCAATGACTTATATTGACGAGTTCTTGAGGCTTTTCTGCGAGGAAAACTGAGCCTGCTGGCACGGGTTATGATTTACGACGTGATGAAGTATATAGCACAGCGATATCCTAGGAATGAAAGGACCCATATCCTCCACTGCGCGTACAGACCGAGAGGTGAATCTGTATTTGATAGCAGGTGTAGTTTCCCAGCATCTGTCAAGTAGACTCGCGCATACATCGGGCGAGGGATTTTCCGGGCTCCGTGCGGCACTGCATCATCGCATCGCCGGCTTCCCCGACAGCTCCCAGCAACCAAGTCCCTCGATACTACTTATCTATCTTCGATTCTCCTGCATCACACACCCACCAACCATGGACGTCTCCAGCAACCGGCTCTTCCGCTGGTCCAAGCCCGAATGGCTGAACAACTCCGCCGTTCGCAACGCAGGCGTCTACACCTCCGGCGCACTGGTAAGCTACCTACCTACCTCTACATCCCACCCCCATCCACCACAACGTCAACCCATCGCTAACTCATAGCCCCGCCCAGTTCTCCCTCGGCTTCTTTTTCCTCATTGACGCCGCCGCCTTCTCGCACAGCTCGCGCAACGGCTCCTTCGTGCACGTCAAATTCGTCGACTGGATCCCGGGCATCTGCTCCGCGCTCGGCATGCTGGTCATCAACTCGATCGAGAAGTCGCGTCTCCAGGCCGACAGCTTCAGTTACAGCGGGAGCGGGGTCGCGTGGAAAGCGCGCTTTGTGCTGTTCTTGGGCTTTGCGTTGTTGGCGGGTGGGTTGGCGGGGAGTGTGGTTAGTATCCATTTACCTTATCTTCTTTTATGGAGTTTTTGGAATCATTCGTGAGAGGGGGTGGTGGGGGGTCGGTCGGTCGGTCGGCTTGGATTGTGGATTTGGTTTGTGAATGGTTGCTGACGGGGGATGGTGTAGACGGTCATGGTCTTGAAGTATATCATAAAGGGGTATCCGTTCCCGACGCTGTACTTTGGCATTGCGAATGTGATTGCCAATGGGTTAGTTATGATGAGGTATGTGTTTGTAATGCTTGTGCTTGTTGGAATTGGGATGGGGGCTAATCCAGATGGCACTTCTAGCACGTTCGTTCTCTGGATCTCGCAGAATATAGAAGACGACTATACCTATAATCTGGCGCTGTGAGGGGGTCCCCAGGGGTTATTGAGTTGCGATTGAGTGGTAGATTGGTCGGTGGATTGGTCGGTGGATTGATATGAAAATGGGACTCTTGGACTCGGTACTTGATCCCGTGGCGATGCTGCCAGGGTTGGTTGTTGTTACTATATCATGGATTTGTCCTTTGTCCCTCTCTCTCTCTTCCTTGCTCCCTTCCTTGGGAGATTGAATGGGCTTCTGGTGTTGTTGTGAGATACATGTGCAGTCTCTTTGTTTTTTTCTTTTCTGCGTTCTTAGGCAGTTTAGCATGTTTGTTTTCTTGTTTTTTACTTTATTTTGTTTTATCATGGTATGATTGATGCTTGATTTGGATCCATTTCTAAGCTCCTGATGGAGGGATAGTATTTTGTATGCGTAGGGTGGGCTAATGGGTTAACATCTACAGACAGGCGCCTAGGAAACATTGTCGTAATCGAAGCCGTCAGAGTGCGAACTTTAGTTAAGACTAAACTAACTACTACCTACTTAGGCAGTATGCCCTGGAGTGAAGTTGCATGCCTAGTAACAGGCATCCAGATAACCACAAGTCCTGAACCGTACTAATCGACAGGCAACAGAATACAGTCTTGGATCATCTCTATCAGGCTACGGCCACCTATAAGTGTTACTCCGAGATATATAATGAATTATCCTTGGCAGAAAGTATGATTCCTAAATCAAACTGGGTGTATTTTTGATCCATGTACTCCCCCGCAGATCTGCATAGCTGAGAACTATACAGTAAGTAACCATGCGCCGGCTTCCATTCGACCTGGCCACGCAGACGCAGGTAAGATGAGATAGTGTCCGGGGAGGCGAATCTCATCTCATCTCATCTCATCTCCACCCGCGAGTGTCTCGGGGATGAGAGGGAGGGAGAGCCTGTCACATTCACATTCACATTCAACATTCACATCACAGCGTGCCCATCAAGGCCGCGTGGTCACGTCACTGGTAATCGCCTATCGCCTATCACCTATCGCCTATTCCATCCAGATTGACATGTTCAAGGCAGGCGGACAATCAATCAAATCGCCAAGCCGTACCTTGTAAGACGCCGCGCGTATGGAATGTCTGTTGCCTGCTTGTGTGTAGGTATGTATCGGCACGCGCTACGCCGAAGGCAGACAGAAGAGAAGGAAGGGTCAGCTCGCTCGGTCACAGCATCACGCAACATTACACGTTCACGTTCACATCCACATCTGGTGTGCAGATTCGTTCGCTCGGCTCGTTCAAGCAGACGCCTCGACCGGGTGAGCGCGCAGCTTGTCCATCAGCGCGTCCACGGCCTCCATGTCTCCCGCGTCGATCTTCTCGCGGGAGTATCCCTCGGGAAGGCTCTTGGTGACCTCGTTCATGGCGGGCTGGTAGTTGCGCACAGCCGAGGAGATGGCGTAGACGGCCTTCTTGCGGACGGCTGGGGTGGTGTCGGTCGTGGAGAGGGTGACCAGAGTGGGGAGGGCGTTGAAGACGACCAGCTAGGAATTACCTCCGGGTTAGTCCCTGCAGACAAATAACAAAGGGATGAAGCGAAGAAAGTGCATACCTTATCCTGAGCCTTCTCGTTGTTCTGCACGGCAGTTCCGATACACCACGCAGCCATGCGTCTCATATCGGCTTCCTCGTGCCGCAGGAGCTCAACCAGAGGGGACCACAGACCCAGCGGCTCGAGGTTGTTGGCGTTGTCGATGCCCTCGATCAGCTGCTCGAAGTTGTCGAAGGCGATGAGCTTGTTCTCCAGGTCGACCTCGTCGGAGCGCAGGGCGGCCATGGCGGCCTTCATCAGGTCCGCATCGGAGGGCCCGCCGAACAGCGTCGAGAGCATCTGGGGGGTGAGGCCATTGCGGGAGGATTCGTTTTTGGTGGTGACGCCGGTGGCGCCGGGACCAGCGGCGGCAACAGCGTCAGCGTTGTCGGCGGCCTGCGCTTCGGTGGAGGCCTTGATGCTCCATTTGAGGAGGTTGTTCATGTTGGGGTCCATGGTGGGGGGGGGGTGGTGAAAAATTGTCTAGTGGTTGTGAAGTGTTCTATTACGGGATGGAGGAATCCGGATCCAGTAAAGAGTGGGAATGTATTATAGGAAGGATTGAGCGATATAATTTAAGTAAATTCAGGAGATGGAGATGCAGAGAAGATAGTAGTATTGGTGGGGGGGGGGGGAAGAAGTGGTGGATGTATTGTAGCAGAATGCGCCGGCAGAAAAAAGACGGGCCGTTTGTTCTGGACGGATCCCGAGGGTTCATGCGGCTCCGACGGCCTTCCACCTCCTTCCAGGCTTCCAGGCCTCCAGGCTTCCGGGCTTCCAGGAGACAAGGCCAATGGTTATTGTGCCACTGCAACTGCCTGCCTGCCTCCTGTCAGGCTGCCCGAGAGCCGAGAGACAGGGAGAAATTTGATCCAGGGATGCCATCGACATTCGACGCTGCCCTCTGTTCAACTCCCTCACGCCTCGTACCCCGCCATGTCGGATAACCCCGCGATGCGGTCATACCTGCCTGTCCAGTCCGTCCAACGCCCCCGATATGCTGTGTCGGATTGCCTTGTTTTAGCCGACCGACAGACTAGGCACGAGGCTGGCGCAGATAAACATGCATTCCTTTTCCTGCACCGTTGATTGATTGATTGGTGACATTCCAATTTCCATCGGGCTGCCATTCCCATCACATCCACATCCACGAGCCCCTCCAGGTTGCGCGGACGGGAATTAAAAAAAAAAAAAAAAAAAAAAAAAAAAAAAGGGCCTGACTGTATACCCGGGTAGAGAATGCTGCTGGCTATCTATCCATCCCTGATGTTCATGATGAGGCAGACAGGCTACGAGTACGAGAGGGATAATACCCCGTTTCTTATTGAGTAATCTTGTCAAGAGGGTCAAGAGGTGGTGATGGGATCAGTCAGGGATAAGCAACCTCCACGCTAGAGACTCCGAACGAGGGGCAAAATGCCAGAACCATGAACAGGAACCCCCTTAAGGGCCGGATGCCGGGCTCTCGTTGGTGGGCGGGCGGGTTCAATAACGGTAGCCAGGAGGAAATAATGGATCCAGAAGCCTGAAATTGGCCCGGTCGGGCTGGCTACGGGCATCATCGTCGGCACGCATGCTATTATTATCTATCTATCTAGTAGGCATCTCTTCATCATCATCATCATATTATTATTATTATTATTATTATTATTTTAATTCTGCGGTACGGAATATACCTTAGGCTGAGCCATTGATGGCGACAACCTTGGATTCGGGTCTGCCCCACGAGGATGAGCAAGTCGTGGTCTTTTTTTTTTTTTGGCCATCATCTCGCCTGGAAAGGCCACCTCAGCGGATTGTTCGGGTCAGCAAGACAAGACAAGAGGAAGGGAAGAGAGGAAGGCTACAATCATTCTGCCTAAAGGCAACCACGGAGTGAGGTTGACATCATGGGAGTCTATATAAACGAGAGAAAGAGGGGGGGAAAGGAAAAAGGAGAGAGAGAGAAAACAGAACAGACAGACAGACAAACCGACATATCACCCCATCCATTCATAGATATCAATCCGTATCATCATCTCCTTTCTCGCTCCCTCCCTACTACACTACACTACGTTGGCCAGATTACCCAGACCGAGCCAGTTCCCAGTTCCGTTACCTGACCAGCCCCTTACGGTCTTACCGTACGCGCAGTACCGGGTCTTACTGGGTCAGATACCTTGCTATACTAAGTGTGGCGGTGACAGCCCTCGGACTAAACGGCACTAGCGCTCCCGGCGGTTCAATCACCGCTGCCGAAGCACCCGCGCTAGACCCGGCAGGGACTAGAACGGACCCCACCCTCCCCGCCTGATCCAGTCCAGCCAGTCCGACTCTCCCTTTTTCGTTCTCCTTCCCCCTCTTCCCCCTCCCCCTTGTTCTCCGGCCCTTCCCTTGGGTTCGCTCAGTTGTGCTCTGTGCCCACTTCAGGGACTCAACGATTGACCGTCATCCAGGAAGAGGAGGAGGAATCCTGGTACGGAGTAGATACTCTGGCCATACCCCCAATACCTGACTGGACGTAACCAGGATACGGCGGACACGCCAAACCCGACCGGGCCAAACCCTCCCCTAAACGCACCTCAGCTCTCTCTCCGGCCTCCCCCCCATTCTCGTCCTCCCTCTGCTCCAGCCTACTTACCTCACCTCTCCTCGCTCACCTCAACTTACCTTCTTAACCTTCCCTTCTTCTTCCATCCCCCCATCTCCATCCCCATTCCCCCATCTACCACCACCCACCACCCACCACCTCTTCTCCTCTTCTTTCACGCCTCTCCTTCTCTTTCTTTCCCGTAGTTTCATCTTAATCCCACAGTCATCATGGAAGGTAAGCTTTCCTGCCACCTTGCGTCTTGCCTCGTCGTGTCTCGCCCCGTCTCGCTTCCAAGCTCGCCCTCCCCTCCCCCTCCCTCCCTCTCCGTGTCGTGTCGCCCAACCCCCTCCGTCGCCCCTCCTCCCTCAACATCCCACTCCCTCCCCTTCAGTCTCGCTAACATGGTGTTTCCCGCTCTCTAGAGGAAGTTGCTGCTCTCGTCATTGACAATGGGTACGTTGACCTGGGTTTTTGATGCATTGGTCGATGGGTTTCCGGCCCTTCGTTTGTTTTCGCTCCATCGAGGACGGAACGTGCACCACATACGCCTTCTGTCCGCTCCGACTGCGATGATGGAATTCTTCTTGAATCGTGTCGGCGTTGTGCTTCCAGATCCTCCAGTCATGGCTGGGGAACCCCCTCGGACAGCCCATCGACCGGCATGCGAGGCTGTGGCGTGCTCGGATATACTGACACCTGTTTCTCTAGTTCGGGTATGTGCAAGGCCGGTTTTGCCGGTGACGATGCTCCCCGTGCTGTCTTCCGTAAGTCAACCCCCACCACCTGCTGTGTTGTTCATCCCCTCCTTTTGACCTGGTGGGTTTGATTTGCTGGCTCCCAATGACAATGCATCCGGTGCCTCCTTGCGTCGGGTATGCTCGCTCTGGGGGCGGTGAACAATCTGTCATGTCAGCATTAGCTCGATCGGAAGACTAACATGCTGAATAGCCTCCATTGTCGGACGTCCCCGTCACCATGGGTAAAGCCTTCCCCCCCCCCCTCCCCTCTAGCCCCCCTGAGGCCTGATTGGCCCGATGGAAAGTATCTCCTAACATCTCCCGCAGTATCATGATTGGTATGGGTCAGAAGGACTCCTACGTCGGTGATGAGGCACAGTCCAAGCGTGGTATCCTCACCCTCAGATATCCCATTGAGCACGGTGTCGTCACGAACTGGGACGACATGGAGAAGATCTGGCACCACACCTTCTACAATGAACTCCGTGTCGCCCCTGAGGAGCACCCCGTCCTCTTGACCGAAGCCCCTATCAACCCCAAGTCCAACCGTGAGAAGATGACCCAGATCGTCTTCGAGACCTTCAACGCCCCCGCCTTCTACGTCTCCATCCAGGCCGTCCTGTCCCTGTACGCCTCCGGTCGTACCACCGGTATCGTCCTGGACTCTGGTGACGGTGTTACTCACGTCGTCCCCATCTACGAGGGTTTCGCTCTCCCCCACGCCATCTCGCGTGTCGACATGGCCGGTCGTGACCTGACGGACTACCTGATGAAGATCCTGGCCGAGCGTGGTTACACTTTCTCCACTACCGCTGAGCGTGAAATTGTCCGTGACATCAAGGAGAAGCTCTGCTACGTTGCCCTGGACTTCGAGCAGGAGATCCAGACCGCCTCCCAGAGCTCCAGCCTGGAGAAGTCCTACGAGCTGCCCGACGGACAGGTCATCACCATCGGTAACGAGCGTTTCCGTGCTCCTGAGGCTCTGTTCCAGCCTAGCGTCCTGGGTCTGGAAAGCGGTGGTATCCACGTCACCACCTTCAACTCCATCATGAAGTGTGATGTCGATGTCCGTAAGGATCTGTACGGCAACATTGTCATGGTACGTTTGACTGCCCCTGGATGCGCCTGATGGTCCCCATTGCTAACGACCTCTCCAGTCTGGTGGTACTACCATGTACCCCGGTATCTCCGACCGTATGCAGAAGGAGATCACCGCTCTTGCTCCTTCCTCCATGAAGGTCAAGATCATTGCTCCCCCCGAGCGTAAATACTCCGTCTGGATCGGTGGTTCCATCCTGGCCTCCCTGTCCACCTTCCAGCAGATGTGGATCTCCAAGCAGGAGTACGACGAGAGCGGTCCTTCGATCGTTCACCGCAAGTGCTTCTAAGGTAAAGCTGATGCGCTGTCTCCCCACTGAATGTAACCCCCCGGCTAACATGACCGTGTCCCAGCTCTTGCGCATGATTCGTTTCGTACTCTCGTATTCCCCCATGTATTAAAAGACCCGACGGAGACACTGGTGGCTGGCGGGCCTCTCTGACTCGCACTAGGAGGAAGATCGCCTGAAACAGGAACTTTTATTTTAGCTGTGGAATAGAGATGGTTTATTTTTGAACGCTTGTCACTGGGCCCAGGACCACCTGTGGCAGCAGCGAGTAAAAAGGACCGCGGAGTAGGGGAAGGATGTACATGGGACCTGTGAACAGCGCGGTGAAAGCTCTCTTTCATATAGTGTTCTTTCTACCCTCGTGTTTGACTCCTTTAGTCTCCTGTTGGGCCGTTTCTTTGCAGTTCTCGCCGTCAGGACTGGTTCTAGCCTTAAAACACTGCTCGGATTTGCAAATGCTCATTCTCATTCTCATTCTCTTCTCTTCAGCTTGGTATGATCGTAGCTTTGACCTCATGTCCTCGGTAAATAGAGGAGCAGCAGCAGCAGCAGTCGCAGCCCTTGAGTAGATAGATATCCATGAGTCGCCTCCAGCTTCAAACCCCGTGACACAGCCAGGGACTAGGGACTAGGTAGGCCATAGCTCCTGTAGCTCAGCTCCTGTAGGTCGCTGCCCGAGTCCTCTGTTTTCGCATGATGTCATGCTAGTCTTCTAGACTGCGGGGGGAGAATCTGATCTAGCCAGTAGCCAAGCCATGTGCTCGCGGATCTGATACCTGTCACAGACTCAGTGCCGGCCGGGGCTTACCCCCATCTTGGTGTGTTTAGTGTGTATAGGGTGGTAGGAAGGTAGTATGGCCATGAATGTGAAAACATGAGCTTGAGCTTGAGTGTTAGCACTAACCCACATGTCTTTTAAAATAGTGTATGTATCGTTGGTATGTATCTCTGGTATTTGATTTCTCTTACCCACCTACCTTGGGCAGGTAAGTAGGCATCTAGTAGGTACATAACCCCATCCACCCACCCATCAAAGCATCAATCCCATCCAATAATGCAATGAATGGGATTCAGTCAATCAGCCAGTAGTCAGAGACAAAACGAAAAAGAAAAAGAAAAAAAAAAAGAAAAGGAAAATGAAATCATGCTTGCATATAATCCGTAAATAAAATGTATGAAACAGCGTGCGCACATATCATCCGACATTTCAAGATAAAAAAAAAATATAAATCACCGGGCCTGCCTCTGCCTCATGACGAGGTATCACAAGAAGAAAAAAAAAGAAAAAAAAAAGTTAAGAAAGAGAAAAGAAAAGGTCTTCATTCACGTCCCAGAAAAAGAAAATTTAAAAAGAACTTTTTTTTGTTGGGGTATTTATCATCTACGCATCCCAGGATTCCAATCCGGAGAGGGTACAGCCCTCCTCACCCTCTTTCCTGGCCTGGAGTTCACCGATCTGGTAGACGGTCTCGCCTTCCTGCTGGAGGAGGGCGGTGATGGCGGCCTCGGAGCCCTTCTCGACGGCAATGATCATACCGACACCACAGTTGAAGGCGCGGGCCATCTCGGTGGCGGTGACATTGCCGGTCTTCTTGAGCCAGGCGAAGACCGAAGGCAGCTGCCAGGAGGCGGCGTCGATGTGGGCGGTCAGGGTGTTGGGAAGCATGCGGGGGACGTTGTCGACGAGACCGCCGCCGGTGATGTGGGCGAGACCCTTGATGGTGGGGCCGGCCTGGGCGAGGGCCTTGAGGAGGGGCTTGACGTAGATGCGGGTCGGGGTGAGGAGGGCCTGGCCCAGGTTCTGGGGCCGGTGGCCGAGGGCATGGTGAAGGGGGCGGCGTCCTGGAAGGACAGGCCGGAGCGGTCGACGATCTTGCGGACGAGCGAGTAGCCGTTGGAGTGGGGGCCTGAGGAGGCCAGGGCCAGCAGGACGTCGCCAGCCTTCATGGCCGCGGTGTCGGGGAGGATGGTGCGGGCGTTGGGGCCGGTGGTGTTGATGGCGCCGACGGCGGCACCGACGGCGTCGTAGGACTCGTCGATGAAGAGGCCGGGCATCTCGGCGGTCTCGCCGCCGATCAGGGCACAGCCAGCCTGGACACAGCCCTCGGCCACGCCGGTGACGAAGGCGGAAGCAGTGGCGACGTCCAACTTGCCGCAGGAGTAGCAGTCCAGGAAGAAGAGGGGCTCGGCGCCCTGGACGACCAGGTCGTTGACGTTCATGGCGACCAGGTCAATGCCGACGGTGTTGTGCACGCCCGCGGCGTGGGCGATCTTGAGCTTGGTGCCCACGCCATCGATGGCGCCGATCAGGGTCGGGGATTCAGGGTGGTAGGCGGTGTTGGCAGCGGCCAGGGAGAAGAGACCGCCAAAGCCTCCGATGACGGCGTCGGTGCCGGGGCGCTTGGTCCGGCCGACGGAGCTCTTGATCTTGTTCACGAGGTCGTTACCCGCGTCAATGGAGACACCGGCGGCGGCATAGGTGAGGGACTCCTGCTGGGCGGCGGCGGCGTCGCGCTGGCGGAAGGCCCGGTGGGCGATGTCCTTGCGGTAGAACATGTCCTCGAAGTGGATGGTGGAGATGCCCGCGTAGCTCTTGCGGACGGCCTCCTCCAGGGTGGAGGCAGTGGCGGTGGACGCAATGACGCGACCACCGGCAGTCTGGAGCTCGTCGCCGGCGAGGGTGGTACCAGCGTGGAAGATCAGGGTCTCGTCGGGCACGGCATCCAGGGTGATCTTCTTGCCCTTGGCGTAGGCGTTGGGGTAGCCACCCGCCACGGCGATGACGGTCGTGGAGAAGTTAGGCTTGATCTGAATGGAGACGCCGTCGAGCCAGTGCTCCGTGCAGGCGACCATGATCTCGGCCAAGTCGGTGTCGTCGCTGAGGAGGGGCAGGAGAGTCTGGGTTTCGGGGTCACCACCGCGGACGTTGTACTCGAGGACCTTGGGACCGTCCTTGGTCATCATCAGGCCGGTGAAGAGGATACCGACGAAGGGGAATCCTGGAGACAGTTAGTCTAGGGCACGGGGCCGGAAGGCCTGTGCAAGAACAAGGGCGACGGACCGTCTCTTCTCATGCCATCCACGGAGGGCTGCACGATGGTGCGGTCGATCTCGTCCAGGACGGCCTTGGAGGAGATGGGGGTGGGGGCATAGCAGCCCATGCCGCCGGTGTTGGGACCCTGGTCGCCGTCGAAGATGCGCTTGTGGTCCTGGGCGGCGGGGAGCGAGCGGATGGTGTAACCGTCGCTGAAGGTCAGGATGCTGAGCTCATCGCCCTCGAGGTACTCCTCGATGACGACCTCGCTACCGGCCTGGCCAAACTGGTTCTCGACCATCATCTCGCGGAGGGCCTGGTGGGCTTCCTCCTTGGTGGTGGGGATGATGACACCCTTGCCGCCGGCCAAGCCATCGGCCTTGATGACGACCTGGTGGGAGACGGAGTCCAGGTACTGGCGGGCGGGCTCGTACTCGTAGAAGTTCTCGTAGGCGGCGGTGGGGATGTTGTGGCGCTTCATGAAGTCTTTGGAGAAGGTCTTGGAGCCCTCCATGCGGGCGGCCGCCTGGGAGGGGCCGAAGCAGCGGATGCCGACTGTATGAGGGGAGAAAGAGAATCAGGGTCAGCCATCGAGGCCCGCGGGGGGCGTGAGGAGTGACTCACCGGCCTGGAAATAAGCCTGGATGCCAGCAACGAGGGGAGCCTCGGGGCCGGGGACGACGAGGTTGACGCCATTCTGCTGGGCAAAAGCGACGAGGCCGGGGTAGTCGTCACCCTTGACATTGGCGTTCTGGATCTTGGAGGAGGCACCCCGGGCAGTGCCTCCATTGCCGGGGGCGACGAAGACGATGTCGACGCGGGGAGACTGGCTCAGCTTCCAGGCGAAGGCGTGTTCACGACCGCCATTGCCGACGATGAGCACGCGCAACCGGTCGGTAGTCATGATGAAAGGTGTGAGGGGGTACCTGGGAGAAGGAAGGGGGAGGGGGAGGTTAGAGAGGAAGAAGAGGAGGAGGAGGAGGAGGGAGAGGAAGAGGAGGGAGGGAGTGTGGAGGAGGAACAGTCGTAGTGGAGGAGGGCAGGCAATGGAGGGGCACGAATGGATCTCTCCACCAGCACAATTGTGTCCCTCATCCCAAGCCCCAGAAACCACCGCAACCAGACCCAACACAGGCTGTTCTTCGGACGTACCTTCAAAACCAGACCGCGCAGTGACGGCAAGCAAGCAATGGAGCTGGAGGGGGAAGAAGAAGAGGAGGAATTGAAATCGTGAGGGAATGAAGCCTCTTTTCTTTTTTTTTTTTTTTTCTTACTTTTTTTTTATCGATTGGGCGGGACGGCTTGAGGCGGGGCCGCCGCGGATTGGCCAGTCGCCGCCGACCCCGGATTACACCAATCACCAATCACCAATCAACATACCTGTATTGAGGATAGACCTGGAAGGATAGATATGATAATCAGACGGATATTATCATAGGGGTATCATACTGATATCAGATTGAGAGAGTGAAAGTGGTATTGGCATGTCATGGTATGGATGGGATGGCTGGTATCACCGAAGCGGTGAGCCCCTGGTGATGCCGGCAGAAAAGCCATTTACCGCCCGGGCGCAAACGCGGCGAACGGAAAAAAAAGCGTCTCAACTCATCTCAACTCAACTCATCTCGTCTCGCCTCGTCTCTCCTCCGACTTCCCCCAACTGGCCGTTTCTCCTCCATCGTGCCATTGATTCTTCCAATTCTTATCCTCCTCCCCTCCCCCCCTCTTCGTCTCCCCCTCCCTCCCTCCCTCCCTCTCTCCTCCGCCCTACCATCACTTCGCCAGCCCCGGATGTTGCGGCCCTCTCTGCGGTCTGTCTCAGGCCCCCTGCGCGAACATGTCTGCCTCTCCTGCCGAACTCACACTCGCCGCTTCCATGTCTCGCCCCGCTGGCGAAATGAACCTCCCCAGTCTTCTCCAACCGAGACTCTCCATGATTCGTTGAAGGTTCGTGAAGCGTGATGCTCCCCCCTGGACTCCTGCCTCCCTGCTGATGCCCGCCCATAGTCTTTGCCATTCACAGGGACGCCACCGCCGCCTTCCGTTCCAGCAGGTAGCAAGCCACCGACAGATGAAGCGAAACCCCTGACAGAAGAAAATCAGTCACCGAAGGGAGCAGCAAAGAAACCGGAACAAGCAGCGAAGCCATCGAAAAAAGCAGTGAAGCCATCGGAAAAAGCGGCGAAGCCATCGGAAAAAGCGGCGAAGCTCCCCATCAGGAAGGTGAGTTGGTCCCTCCCTCCCCCTGTAGCGACCGACGGGGGACTAACTCCCCATCAGATTAAGGCACAACCAGACAGCGGGTCTCTTTCATTTCTCCAGAGCTCGGTCATCGATAAGGAAATTGGAAGAATCACTGCGGACGGCCAATCCATCAAACGTGCGTATTGGGAAAATCCTGCCATCAACTCCGTCTGGCTTTGAACTGACCGTCGCACAGCCCTCGATGTGCCATGCCCCCCAGTTCCCCGACTCGCGTACGGGTTGGACCGGGTCTTGTTCAAGTAGGTGGCCTTCCATGTATTATTGTTATCCCAGACGGAGAGCTAATGCGGTGCCTCGCCCTCCCCCGCAGCCCCGGAGTTTACCAACTGCGCGATCCCCGCTCCCGGGTCTACAACTTTGACCCGTATCTAGGCTCCATCATGCCCGTCACCGAGTTCGACTTTGATACCTTGAAGCCATATATCACCTCGTCCAAGGACGTGCAGCTCCGCGACCTGGCAAGGCAGGAGAAGAAGAAGTATATTGGGTCGTCGTCCAGTATGACCTCGGTCCTTTCACAGTTTCACTACCTCCTGTCGCAGTGGCGTGAAGTCAACACGGAGAGCTTGTCGCGCTCCTTTCCCGAGGACCTGAAGACTTTCACCAGGCTCCTGCGGGCACCCTCGGCTATGTTTCTCCGCTACCAGGATGGGGCCTACGCCATCGATGCGGACAAGGAACACGACACGGCAAACATCCTCATGAACCTGGGCAAGTCCATGGAAAAGCTGTTGACGATGCCCAAGGAGGAGTTTGAGCGCTACCGCCGATCCAGCGAGAATAAGATCTCCGTCGAGGAGGAGCAGGCCATTCCAGAATCCTATCACTACTCGACTGCTGGAGACTTCCTGATGCGCTCGCAGCTCGACGCCTATGACCCGCGACTTCCCGGTACCGGCATGTTCGACCTCAAGACCCGCGCCGTGGCGTCGATCCGCATGGATGCCAAGAACTTCGAGCATGGCATGGGCTACGAGATCCGGAGCGCCCATGGCATGTTCGAGTCGTACGAGCGCGAGTACTACGACATGATCCGCGCAGCACTACTCAAGTACGCCCTGCAGGTGCGCATCGGCCGCATGGACGGCATCTTCGTCGCCTTCCACAACATCGAGCGTATCTTTGGCTTCCAATACCTCAGCCTGTCGGAACTGGACCTGGCCCTGCACGGCCAGGAAGACACCAACTTGGGCAATCGCGAATTTCTTATGAGCCTGCAGCTGTGGAGCAAAATCCTCGACCAAGCTACCGCCAAGTTCCCCAAGCAATCCATTCGCCTCCACTTCGAGACCCGCGAAGCCGTCCAAGAACCTTTCATGTATATCTTCGCCGAACCGGTCACGGAAGAGGAAATCCACGCCATCCAAACCAAGAACCAAGCGGAGATCGATGCCTACCAGCGCCGCGTGCTAAATCTGTCCGTCCCTGACGAAGCTGGGGACGCTGCTGCCGCCGCCGCCATGGCCAGCGCCAGCGCTGATGCTGAAGAGACTTTGAGAGAAGAATCCCTGAACTCCGCCGACGAGTCAAAGCCGGAGCCGGAGACGCAGCCGGAGACCAAGACCGGGGCCAGCGAAAAAGAGATCTTCGCCATGACTCTCTCGATCAAGAACCTCGTGAACGGGAAGCAGGTCCCGCGGCCCGAAAAATTGAAGGCCTCGCATCGTTGGTGTGTCAACTACGAATTCCACCACATTGGACAGGAACGCGCCCGGAAGTTGTACACCCTCTGCCAGAACCGCCGGGAGAAGGCCCTTGTCTTCCGCGATGAGGATGGCGATGTACCGACCAGCCACTACATCCGCAAACTCCGTGACATCGCCTCGAAAGGTCGTCAATACCGCAAGAAACAGGACCTGCGGGATAGCACCGAAGAGCCTGTCATCTTCGGACACTCCTCCTAGTCCCCGCCCCCTCTTCTTTAGCCTCCCTCGGCCTTCCCTGCCCCAGACCTAGGCATTCACCTTCTCCTCCCTCTCCTTCCATAGCCGGCGTTGGTTATATTCTGCAATATATGCAGACGGGCGGTACATGCGGTGCGGTGCGGGGCGGTGCGGTGCAGTGCAGTTTTTCGTGATTGCATATACGACTTTCTCGCTCACTCTCACTCTCCGCTCCCCTTCACTTTCACTCCCTCGACCCGTCCAACGATATGTTATATAGATACCATGAGACCTTCCTGTATGTATGTATTATGTATGTGTACTATAATCGTTTTCTTTCTTGCCTGGATTCTTGTTTCTGGTGATTTGGTGGGCCGTTGGGGAATGAACAGCAATAACAACACAAGAGCGGCTGCGATAGATTAGTGTGATTATTGGATATTCATCGTCCCCTTCCATGTCTGGTTATTGTTTATTTGGTTGAAAATGGCATTCATTGAGGGGTTTGGAGTTAGTTATTCATTGGTTTCTGTTTTGGTTCTGGGTTGTTTTGTTTCTATTCCGGTGCGAAAAGTCGATCCGATCGATCAATCAATCAATTGGCAATCAATAGATAGATAGATATATATAGATAGATATCATTCTTCTCATCCACACCTAAAACTGAATAGATCGCAACGACAGACAGACAAGACAGGCTGAATTCAATTGAATAGAATCAAATAGAATAGTGATGTGATTCCATTGACAGTAATATACATATTCACAGATAGATAGTTAGAGATATAGATGGATAAGATAGTGAGTGATCTTTCTCAAAATCGAAAGATCATATCAAAAATACACTCACTCACTGACAGACAGACAACAGCTCAACCCAAGACAGACAAGACAAGACAAGACAAGTACAATCCACTCACTCATTCACCATGGGTAACATGTTACATGCATGATTCTTCTTTCCGGCCCCCGGATGGTTGGTTGGTTCAATCAATCTTCTCCGCGACGAGCGAGGATATACTCTATGTATGACATTAACAATTATGGCATCATGGGGCTCAAAGCAATTGGAAATGGAAATAGGAATGGAAATGAACGCCGCCTAGCCCACGCGCCAAACAGGCAAGATGCGAATCCAAGTGAGATATCTTTCTTGCTTTTCCCGGGAGAATTGCCTTTCCTGAGGCAGACAAATGGGAACGGAGATGGGAGGGAGAGAGGGGGTATAGGAGGGAGGAGACGTGTTGAGGGACGCGACACGCCAGAGTTCGGAGGGCCAGCAGGAGAAAATGCAAAGATGTAAAAAAGAAATTGGAAAAAAAAGGTGGGCGCTCGAGAATTGAAATTCTTTCGCAAACTCCAAGAGAGGGAACATCAACGGTGCCTGCAACGCAGGTGGTCCGGGCCTCGGTAGTGAAGAGAAAAGAAAAGGCAGGTGAAAGTAGGAGGGACACAGATGAAACATCCTGTGGCGACGGCCTCAAACACGCGGTGTATCTTCGACTAGCGAAAACTGTTTTTCTAGTTATCGTGATTCGATTCATTAATCATTGTGGAGTGAAGAAGAGCTGGGACGTCTTCGGGCCCTCGAAGGAGAACTACCGGAAGTTTCCTAGATCAAACTGAGGGGGCGCCCAGTCCAGCTTAGGTGGTCTCTCATGCGGCACACACACTGCCCCAGACTTCATCTTCTCCATCTTCTTGCGTTCTTTCGAGGCGCTTCCGCTGAGAAAGCCTCTGAGTGTGGAGGACGCTGACCCGTAGGCACTTCGCGCACTGGTCCCGGTCCCGGTAGAGACTGTACTGGAGCTGCGAGCACTGCGGACACTGCTGGTCTTGTTGACAACGGGTGGTATGGCCGGTACCGGCACCGCCAGGCGTGAGCTAGAGCTAGAATACTCCAATGGTAAGGCATGAGAGGCGTATTCGGGGAACGAGAAAGGTGCCGTCTGCGGACGTTGTCGAAGCTCAGCAACCACACTACTTTCCGCATCCAGGCCATTAAACATCTCGAGGTGATCCTTTGGGCTATCTGGGGTAGCCTCTTGCAGTCGTTGCGCGGAAGCTTGCGGCGTGGGCTGAATCTCATGTTCAGCTACCGTCACGTCCAATTTCATACTGTCCAACATCATTCCAAGGCTGTTTGCTGTGGTGGGACGTCCATCACTAGAAGCGTCATCATCCGCACCAGCCAGACCAACGTCGAGACCATGAGCGATATTGTAGTTCCGGAAGAGATATCGACGAAGACGAGCGACCTCGGCATCCCATTTCCGGCTCAATGAATGCAGAATAGCCTCCACGTCCTGCTGCATGACTGGGGAGGTCTCGGATGAACTAGCCAGGTGTGGGGGCACCGCAGAGCTATAGCGGTGGTTGGATGCCTGCTGCTGTTTGGACTGCTTGCTTGACCCCGACTTGCCATTCATTGCTACATAGATGGACCGGCGGATAGAACTGGTGGCGGAGCTCTGGGCAAGGTTTGCTTCCCGTTTGACACTTTGAAACTCTCGCCGCACGCGTTCCAGGGACTGGATTCGGTCACGATCCATGAATGACAGGCTCAATAAAGATCTGTTGCGCTGTAAGCCGTTGACCAGCACCGTAAATGATTGCAAATTGATGTCGTTGTTTTCACAGTAGACCTCCCGGAGGCAGTCGTTCTCCTCCAGGACAGATGCCAAGGTATTTGCGCCCTGGAGACCCAGTTTCTGATGCTCAATCCGCAAGACTTGCAAAGACTTATTCTTTTTCAGACCAGTCAATGCCAAGTTGAGGCCAATTCCAAACCGGGCAACATCCAGATGAGCGCTTTCCCCGCTGATATCCAAGTCCTCCAGCGTCTCGTTCTCTTCGAACATCAGCTGCAAGGCCTTGCACGTCTCCGGGCCAGCATCGTACGGAAGCGATGCCTTGGAAATATCCAAATACTTCAACGACCGGTTCTTGCGCAAGGCCTCCACCAATTCCTGAAACTGCTCCTCCTTTTTGAAATCGATCATTCTCATAGACAGGTGAGTCGGAGTTTTGCTTTGAGAAATGGCTTCGAAGAGGTACGAACAGCCGGAATCAAGTCGGTTTTCGTTTACATAGAGATGCACATCGCGAGGGGCCCCGCTAGATGCCATCGAATGCAGGAAGATGGCAACATCTTGACCGCTGAGCCCGCATTGGTCCAGTCGAAGCACCCGGAGACCTCGGGACCGTTCACTGGCCAGATATGTGGCAATAGCATCGACAGTCTCCCGGTTGACCACCGTCCGGCTCAGCGACAGCTCTTCCAATCGCCAATTGATCAACGTCTCGGGCGTGAGGAGAGGATCCAAGTTCGATGTGCGAGAAATACGAGACAAATCCAGCGTCTTGATCTGACTGAAGTAGCCAAGGTACTGCTGCAATATGTCGGGACTCAACCGGCCTTGTACCCCAGAGATGTTGATTGCCTCCAGAGTCGACGACTGAGCAACAATGGTGGAAAGCAGTAGATCAAGATCGTGAACCGACAGGCCGCAATTACCCACTTCCAATGCTCGCATGTGACTTGACCGTTGAGAGGCTGCGTCGACGAGATAGTCGAGGTCAGAATCTCCCAGCTTGATTCCATTCAGAACGACCCAGTCGACGCTCGTCAGCTCTCGCCGACAAATGGGGAATATTGCCTCCGGTATCCCGCACCCTGGATCATGACTTTCACTGTCCGACTTGGGGACGCGGCTAAGAGTGTAAGAAAAGTCCAGGCGCCGGAGCCACTTGCTTTTCAGAGTCAGGGCCCGCACTTCTTGTGATAGGACCGACAGATTCTCTTGGCCGGGGATATGGATCGGGGCACCTGAGCGACTCAACAGAGCATCCTTGTCTGATCCGTGGATGTCGCGTAGGCCTTGGAGTGCATCCAAGCTGACGCCACTGAAGGAAATGGAACGGAATGACTCGTTGTACCGGAGAGCCCGCATGACGGCAATCAATTCCAAGGCAGTGTATTTCCTCTGGCGAGTGGAAGCTGGCGGCAAGAGCTTGAAACAGGGAGCGTCATCACATTGCACGTCAATCGTGTATCGAATATTGGAGGTGTCGATGTCATAGCTGGCTGAATAGGCGACCAATGTGCGGTCGAAACAGCCGTAGTCTTCATCGAGGCTCACCGGAGGAAAGTTGTTTTCGTTCCCAAGGTCCCGGGGAACGATGAAGTCATATGGCCGTTTGATCCACAAAGGACGCAAAAACTCCGTCTGTTGCCGGATCCAGAATGCAACCTCCAGCGAATGCACCGACGCGAGAAAGACCGAAAATGGTTTCCGGAGTGGAACACGGAATGTCAAATGTAGACTATCGTCCCCCCATTCCATCGATAGGCAGGTCAAATTCATCAGGCCAAATGATGTGGTAGCATCCAAGTCGCTCAATGACACCACCGAGCTGCGGCTGGAGATCTTATGCAACGGGATGAGGTGGAGCTTGTGTGATCCGAGGGCGAGATAACAGCCCGTCGGTGATAGTTTTGTGAGATCCTCCGACGATGCCCGCGTCGGGGACTTGGTCGACGCCATCTGAATCACTCGGAACATACGAAACGTCTCCGGGTCATAGTCTCGTTCGTAGTCAAGCATCCGGACCACACAATCCACCGTCTTCTGGTCAAAGCCCAGCGGGTCGGCCCCGCGGATCAGTTCAGCGGCGGATCGAATGCCCACCATCCACAGGCTCAGTTCCTGGAAATCGGGCGTTTGCATTTGGATAAAAGTGGCCTTCTGCGCTCGCTCATCCACATAGGCGACCTCCACTGTCGATGACGGTCTGCCGTCGTCCAGCATGTAGACGGCAATGATACTGTTCAGGGGGATTCCCGCAGAGGAATCGCTCGGGGCCGAAAGCTGGGGGTCCTGTAAGGAGCTGATCGAGGCGACCGATTGGCGATTGTTGGCCACCGAACGGGAGAAAGAGGCCGGGATCGAAGGAAACATATCGGCAGCTTTGCTTTGGCTTTTGAATCGGACAAGATGGGTGTCAGTTAGGACCAGGTAATGACTCTTCTTTCGCCACATTCCTCCCGTGATCTGGACCTCTCCATGGTGCAGAATAATGGAGCCAATGCCATGCCGAAGCTCGGGGGGATCCTCGTCCAGGGATGAGCCTTTCGAGCGGCCCTGCGAGCGGTCGTCATCTTCAAGGGAATGCAGCGACCGGAGCGACCCAAACACGGAGGTTCGCCTCTTCTGCAGCGACTTGCGTCGGGAACGAGGCCCCTCGAGGGCGACGGTGGGCACGGGCGTCATGCAGGCGGTCGATTCCGAATCGGCGGTGCCAGGGCGACGCGAGCCATAGCTGCCAGACGCGCTCGGGGGACTAGGGTGCCGGACCCCAAAGAACCCTGAGTTGCGTCGCGATTTCTTCTTCGGGGCGTGGGCGTCGTCCGAGGGAGACCGTTCATGGGCCACGGGACCGGCGTAGGAGGCCGTCGTCGACGACGGAGTGAAGACGCTGAGACTTTTTCTCCGCTCTTTCTTCCCCAGACTCTCGGCCATGACTGGGGGAAGGAGGAGGGCGGAGACGGACGGAGCAAGGGAAGGCTGAAAAGCGCTAGAGGCCGAGGAGATTGACAGAGATCGCAGATGGATGTGGGCGCTGAAATCTCACATCGAGGACGCGGGCGTCGGTGCTCACTAGAAGGAAGAAAACGGTAAGAAAAAGGCTGGAAGAAGCTGGTAGCATGACGGGGCGATAAGAATGGAACGGATGGATAGACATTGCAGCAAGACCAGTCCAGGAGATTGAGACCCAGGTGGTGACTAGTTGAACTAGAGGGGTGGAGCAGGGCGAAGGAGCACAAATGAGGAGCTGCGGAAGGGAAGAGGGGAGGGAAGGAAGGTGGAACATACAGTAGTCCGTCCAGCTGCCATGGGAAAGGCGAGAAGGATCGAGGAGAAGCTGGGGGGGAGAGAGGGGGGGGGGGGATGGGCAGCAGATAAAATAAAATAATAATAAAGGGCGCCGGAGAAGATCCAGATAAAAATGGCGCAATTGGAGAATGAGAATTGGCACCGAAAAAAAAGGATGGCGAAAGAACAGGTCTCGATACCAGATGAGACACTCGGCGATAATAAACAAATGCGACGAGGAGTGAAGGAGGGGCGAGGCAGTGACTCGTCACCCAAGTTAAGCCAAAGTCAAAATCAAATGAATGGAAGGTGGAAAAACCAAAGAATATAAGTGACAGGAAAGGTTGACAAGGTATAGACAGAAGAAGCAGAAGAAGAAGAAGAAGAAGAATCAACGTTGGGATAGCGAGGGACAGCAACAGGTAGTAGTAGTATAGGGTGGTGGTAGTGGTGGTGGTTCCAGAATTTTGCAACGAACTAATAAGCAACAGCCCACCCCAAGCGCAACAATGCAATGGTGGGGAGAGGCAGCCAAGAAAGACTAGGCGAGAAAGAGGCAAGAAGGGTCACAAGAGTAAGAAGAAGAAGAAGAATTATACGTGGAAGGTTACAATTGAGGCCGCCACCAGGGGACGAGACAATGGAGACAATGGGCCAGGGCAGCCGGAAGGAGAAAGGCCGGCGACGAAAACAGACAGACGGAGAGGAGCGAGAGGAGCAGCAGCTCTGCAATTGCTTTGCTACAGCCTCGACGTCCCACAAAAAAAAGGCCGACCCGGAGAAAGCGATTGTTGCCCGGGTGTGGGGGGAGGAACCTGGGACCTGGACTAGGGGAGGTGGTAGTGTGGTAGTAGTGGTTGGTAGGCTCCAGTTCCTGACGGCAATCAATCCGGAGAAAAATGAGGTCAGAAGGGGCAGCAACGGTACAGCAGCAGCAGCAGCAGCAGTATGTATGCAGTAGATATGTAGTAGTGGAGAGCAAGCAGTACAAATAAGAAAGATGGGAGGAAGGATTGAGATTGATTGATTGATTGATTGATTGATTGATTGGATGCGGAGGGGGCCAGAGGAAGCAGCAATGATGTCAGCGCCCGGAGCTTCTTCGGGAGCCCACGCAAACGATTACTAGCAGGGGAACGAACGACAGAGCAGTATACAGCAACAAAAAAAAAAAAGAGAAGATGGAGAGGTTGAGGAGGGCGAGGTGTGTATGTGGGGAAGGAGAGAGGGGGGGAGAGAGAGGGGGGGAAAAAGAAAAGAGAGGGACGTATAATCAGGGGAAGTGTGTGTGTGTGTCTGGTGGAAAAGGGGAGGGAGAAAGTGAGTGAGTGAGGTGGTGGCAATGCAACAATATGGGGGGGGAAGAAGGAGAAGAAGGAAGGAAGCAGAAAGAAAGAAGGAAGGAAGGAAGCAAAAAGCAAAGCAGCAGAAGCACAGCAGCAGCAGCAATGTGAGGGAGCGCAAAACAAGTTACTTGGTTCGGCAGGAACGGCCGATCGCCTGTTCGCCGGATGCGGCCTCAAGGGCAAGGCAAGCAGGCAGACGGAGTACTACCCTCTACTGAGTACTACTATCTAGTATTACTCCTCCAACAACACCTCACTTTGAGGCTTGAATCATATCCTCATCAACTACCCCGTACCGACTCACTACTCCCTGTCTACTCCTCCATACTAGTTAGGCCACCCATCCACTCCGACGCAGTCAGCAGAAATCCAATCCTCTCCCCGTCATAACTTTAACCTTCCCACTCCCACTGGCTGGATTAATATAGCAGCAGCGCCAGCAGTCAGTCGGCCAACCGCCTCACCCGGCCGCCTACCGATGTCCGTTGTCCGTTGTCCGTTGCACCTACGGAGTACCTACCTACTTCAATCAAACCACTTACCTAGTTCATCTGTCTAGACTCTAGATAGGCTCTAGAGCAGTACTGTCTTTGATTCTCATTTCCCTCTCGTTCCCCCCGTCCCACCCGCGCGCCCCCAGATGGAGCCCTGAAAGTCGATCGCCAGTGGACACTCACAGGAAGGAGTCCAGGACAGGACTGAAAGTCTGAAACGCGTTCGAGAAGCCGATCTCCAGCCGCGTAACCGCTGCTCGACTGGCCGGCGCCCTGGTCGCGGCTCCACTTCGCCCCCAGCGGCGCGCCGGCTGGACATCGTCGTCGCCCGGCGTCGGGCTCCTGCGCTTTCTAGCCCGGCCTTGTCCACGGTCTGGAGCTCAGGGAAAACATGACAGCTGGTGGGATTAGAAATGAAACTTGAGGGGGGGGGGGGGAGAAGGGGGGCGGTGGGATCAACGGGTTCGGCTGTCCTGGGAAATATTGCTTTTTTTCCCCTTTGGATTAGATATTAGATAGATGCTATTTTTCGCGCCGTCTCAGACAGGCCTGCTCATTTCGGCCTTCCCAGTCCGCCCCCCCTCCGTGCCTCCCTCCGTCCCTTTCTCTCCCGGCCCTGGGGTCTGGCCCGCTGTTCTGTTCGTCAGGGCCTTTCTTGTCTTGACCCTCGCCTAGCCTAGGGCCAAGATATCAAAGAGAAAGGAAAGGATGGTGCAGTATTCAGAAACGCCCTCGCAATAGAGCACACAGCCCCTGAGTCGGGGGTCTTCATTTAACGCAAGATCTACTCCGTACTCCGTACACAAGAGGCCGCCGATTCCGATTCACCCATCCCGAGATCCTCCCGTCTCTCCACAACGGCTGTTCAGGACGGCAACATCGATTGTCCGGGACCTACGCGGCCGACCGCCAAAGGCAAACCCTCCTCCCATCGGCCTGTCCGCCATGGCAGGCCTGGCCCGTATCGAGGTATCCGTAGCGCGTTCCAGCCGGGGGCGACTGCGTTTCGCCTGAACCCTGGCAACACGGTAGTTGAGGATCGGTGGAGACCCGAGGGCCCGGGCTGTCGGGTACATGACCGTCACCTTGGACAAGAATAGACGCGAAACCCAGGGCAGAGCAGAGTCAGACAGCACGGATGGGAAGTTGGCAGTGGCTGTGCGGCGGCCGGGGCGAGTCAGTAGTGCAGACTGCGACCTCACGCAGTACGCACAAGAAATCACAATATTGAGACTCTCACCCCTCTCCCCCCCCCCCTCTCCCTCATCGCTCCGGCGTTGCACTAGGAACTCAAAAGAACGACCTGGTTGGGAAGCTTTCAGACCCAAACACGGCTACTCCAGCCCTCTGGCGGCTCTCTCGGCCTGGACCTTTTCAGCCCGTTTGACCTTGCGGACGAACTTGATGTAGTCGTTGACCGTCCTCTCAGCCCAGATACATCCGCCCAGGGTCATCGCCGCGATCTGGAGGAAGACCTTGAACTGCGGTGTCAGGCCGCGGTAGACCCGCGATCCGGGGGACAGCCACTCGGAGAAGCCCTCCAGGGGGCGGTAGAAGAGCCGAGAACGGATGATCTCTCTGGTGAGGAGCGATGGCCGGGGGGACGAAGATGGTCGAGATGATGAGTGGGAGGGGGCTTCCGCGGGGATCGGGGCAGAAGAAGGCGACGAGAACTTGAAAGGATGCGGGAGGATCATAATCATATGGGCCAGTATTGAGACGGAGCCAAACTATACCAGGAATTGGTTAATGGCACCTCTCAGCATGAGCAATTGGAGATTTAAGGTTGTGGCCCCCACGAGGGCCATGGGGGAATGGAGGGGGAGGGGGGAGGGGGGAGGGAAAAGTCATCGACATACCCGAAAGGCACCCATCAGGAACCCGCGGACAGCCTCGGAGGTGATCTCCTCAGGAGGCTCGACGTCGCCTTTCTGATAGGAGGGAGGTGGCATGGCTGTACAGGTGGAGCGGGTGTGCTGTACGAACTACGAGGGAGGATGCAAGTCAGTCGTCGACTTTGATGTAGATTGGAGGATTGTGTCAGCCGGAAGCTCGCCTGCCATGACGCATGACACGCCCCGGCCGGATCAACCATTCCGCCGGTCTCTATTTTCTTCATCCAAATCGGTCGACTGGTTTATATCATATACAAGTTCATGGATCGAACAGTAGGGGAGAAAAAAAGGTTTCATCGTCTCATCAGTGGCAAAACCACGGCGGTATTAGTCTCATCTTTTCTTTTGCGCGACCCCAGCTCGCTCCAGGCATCTGTAGCTGGAAAGGCAACTAGCCCTCGCCCTCGGCATCTGTCTTATACCCCCCACCTCGAAAGCAAGTCTATATATGTAGTAGTAATGAAACAAAGAGTAAAAGGTGTAAGGTGTAAAACGGACAGTTGAGAATAGAACAAGAGTGCGTTCAAGAAGCGAATGTTCTTGAAAACGAAGAAGAGGGGGGAAAAAAAAGGAAGAGGAAGAAGAAGAAGAAGAGGAAGAGGTAAATCCAAACATCCAAGAAAGAGAGTCAGATACAAGACGAGGGTGCTGCCTAGCAGATCGCCTCGCGGACAGATCGAAAAATCTTGCCAAAACATGTACAAGCAATCATTTTGCTTCGGAGAAGCACTTCGGTTTAACCCATGCCCCGAAACTCCGTACATGCACCCCAGAAAGCAAACAGAACTCCCTGAGCGGACGAAAGAAAAACACCTGAGGAACGGCTCCACCGAGGGACCGGCAAGCACAGGTCGTGCGAAGAATAGTGTCAGAGCGCAAGAAGGCTGGAAAGGCTCGCAAATCAGAGTACATTAGACAACATTTAATCGCGACGGCTGTAGAGCTCGTACGACGTCTCGGTGACGCCCGCGGCTTCTTCGTCCTCCTTGAAGCTGACCCGGCGGAGCAGGGTGGGCATCATGCGCCGCGACGCCCGGGTCGGGGAGGACAGGCGGGAACTCGAAATGAAAGCGGGAATCTTCGAGTAGCGGTAGCGGTACTTAGAACTCAGGGACACCAGGCGCGCGTACAGCCACCAAAGGCTGAATCCGACCACGGCGGCCAGAAGGAACCCGCAGACGGTCAGGAACAACCAATGCTGACCCATCCAGAAGATCAACCGGGCATCCTTGCCGTGCCAGCTGTTGCCCACGTGGTGCGTGAAAAAGCTCCACGAGTACTTGTTGTATTCGTCTTGCATGAGAATCCGGACGCGTCCCGACTCGCTGGGGTTGGTCTGCATGTATTCTTTCCAGATCACGGACAGGAACAGCGGACCGGTGGAGTACATGACCGTAATGTAAGGAAGGAGCCAGTGGCGGTCATAGGATTGCAGGAGTTCGATGGTGCGAAGGAAGAACGGGTGTTGGGGAACCGAACCCATGGCATCATTGGAGATACCGGTAGGAACAGTGCGACGGACCCAGGCAGGGTACGCGAGAAGCGGATCTAACCGACGGTTGCATCCCTGATCGTTCCAGTCAGCATGAATCTTTCAATAGGCAGCACAACGGATTATACGCACGTCGTCTAGGTCAATGTAAGTGCCACCGTAGTGCGCCAGAACAAAGTAGCGGATGGAATCCGCGCGCTGGATGGGGTACTTGTATCCATCGAACGTCTCGAGGAACCAGGGGTATTCGTTGGCAATAAACTCGCGCGATTTCTCGTTCGTCCAGAGCTACACAGAAAGCGAGGTGTTGTTAGTCAAAACGTTCTGACGGCGCATGGTGGGGACTGGGGACATACGATGTATTCATAGTCAGGGTGCAAGTCAATGCAGCTCTGCTGGGCTTCTCTCCACACTTCCGGGATCGTCTCGTTCTTGTATGTCTGGTGAATGATCTTGGGGATAACCTGGGGCCGTTGTTCGATCAGGCTGGAATTGGGCGAGGGAAGCTCGGCGCGGTGGATGGCGTCGGCGGAAGCATCTTCCACGAGCAAGGAGAGGAGCGTGAAGACGCTGCGCACGAGGAAGGAGACGACCAGGAGATTGACGACGAGGAAGATTAGGACACCGCGTCTCATGGTGAATGACGGTGCAGGGGCCTGGACGACACCTTCTCACGGTAGGAATGGGCGGGGAGACAAGGGCGAGGACGGATCAGAAACCCGACAGACACAGAATCTCCAATTGGGACAAATTGTAAGTCGCAGCTTCGAGCGGGTGTTGCGAAGGCAGGCGCAGACGGGCCGTGGCTGCTGCTCTCCAAATACGTCCCGGCGGAAAATAGATGCGAATGTCCACACTAGCCTGCCACTATAGAGCGTCGAGGGGTCGGCGAGACGTCTCGGGACAATTGCAATGCGAGCGTCCGGGTCGTTGTCGGGGTCGTCGCAGGTGACTTGAGGGAACAAACGGCCGTGAAACTTCTTTCCCGTTGCTTTGTCCCCTTTTCCCTTTTGGGGGTGCGTCGACGATGAGGCGGCAACGGACTATTGGTGACCGACGTTCGAACCAGGAAAGGACTGGCGTTGGAGGGAGAAGGTTTCGACCACGAGGGACCGGATGGTGATAATGGCGTTAGTAGTTGTAGAATGTGATCCAAGCCCCCAATGATGCTGGAATGGGAGAGCGGGGGAGAGGGGGTGTGGGAGGGAGGAAGGGTTGGTTTTAATGGGAAGGTGACGAAAAGAGGAGGCCAGAGAGGACCAGTTTATAGCAAGTAATAGTAGGAAATAATAATAATAATAATAAAATAGGGTAAAAAAAACAATTAAAAGGAGTGCGTAATTTACGTCTCTTGCAGGGGCGGAAGGGGGAATTAAGAAGAAAAAAAAAAAAAAAAAAAAAAGAGGGAATGGAAATTGATAGGCAGAGCCAGGTACTTGGGAAGGAACGAACGATGCCTTAGCAACAAAGCTGCGGCATCAACTAGTAGCTAGCAGTACTAGTGGTGGTGGTTGGGGTGGTGGACGAAGGGAAGATCGAGGGAGGGGGGAGTCGATACTGGGAGTGGGAAAGAGACAGCAGGCAAGTGGTAAACTAGAGAACGAACGTGTCGGGAGGGAATAATACTGACTGGGACGGAGAAAGCGAGCGAGAGAGAGAGAGAGGAGGCGGGCGGCGAGCGTCGAGCGTCAAGCGTCAACAACGGGCCACGGTTACGGGGCTCAGCGGGCTCAGCGGGCTCAGCAGGCCCCCAGCAAAAGCCAGAGAGGGCCCGTCACAGGCCAGGGGACGCCGCGCCGGATTAACTTCAGGTGGTTAAGGGGGGGGGGGGCGCGCCTCTGGGGAGTGGGGCGAGGCTGGTGGGCCGGGGCGGCGAATGTCTTGCGGATGGCCGACAAACTAGGTTGGCGCCAATGCTAAGCCTCCGCCACTATCGCCTTTTCGGTCGTGATTCATCCCTGTTGCGGTTAGGCCTCCAGCCGACCGCACTAGCCCATCTCGGAGTGCCTGGCGAGAGTGGCAGTCGTAGTCGTACTCGTCTCTCGTCTCGTCTCGGGCTCCCCCACGATGGACCCAAGACCCAAGACCCAAGACCCAAGACCCAACCATCTGAGGTTGCAGCGTGGAAGAACACCCTGGGCCCGGGGGTCGGTCGGTCGGTCGGTACCTTACCTACGATGTGGCTTGGAAGGTACTAGTACTATGTAGTACACTGCCATCGCAGTGGCTACGTATGTACGGAATAGGTAGGTACCGTACGGTGTTAGGGAAGAGGGAACAAACCACCACGTTGTTTCTATTTTCGGGAGGGGGGGACACCACGTCAGTCAGGTACTCGGTCGGTATGGTTGCTCAAGCCTCAAGCTCCAGATGCCTTCTCTGCTGAGCCCTGTTGTTCAGCCGAGGATCGACCCTCCTGCCACTGCCAGGAGGGTTTAGCCACGCCGCAGCGGGTGAACAGGAGAAATCTGGTTCCTTGGGGCCTAGCGGCTCGTTAGAAGGAGCGCTAATTACCTCTGTCCCAGTGTCCCTAACTCTACGGTGTACCTATCCACGTACCCAGCAGTTATTATTACTGTCAAATTCCCGGAAAGAATCGCCATGATTGGCAGCGCCGACGTGGGGCCATCAGCAACCAAGTGACTTAAGCCCTCAAAGTCTCAAACCCTCGAACGACGCCCACGGGGCCCATGGGGCGACGGGGGGATATATCTAGTTAACTACTAGGTACGCCCGCTTACTTAAGGGCAGAGTAGCACGGCGCTAGACCCGGAAAGAACCTAGAGCCAGAGGGGGGGAAAAGCGAAGCAGTTGATTGATCTCAAGGCTCTAAGTAGTTCCGCCAAACCATTGAGGGGCGATTACGCAGGCCGACCCTCGAATGCTCGAATGTCGAGGCTCGACTTTCAAGAGAACAAAACAATCGCGCCCAGCTTGCCCAGCTTGCCCATGGATCTGTGGAGGTCAATTCGCCCGGGACGTGGATAAGAGATTAATGTTATTGCACCCCTCGTCATGGCTCATGGCAGCATGTGTGGAATCTCTGTTGCCTAATCCAGCCCTCGGTATCGGTATCGCCTCCAGGCGGTGATGTGCATTTACGCACATCCACAGCCAATTAATGGCCGGCCACTCAACCTTCGTACCCGAGGGCCTGTATTCTACCTACAAAGTACAAACTAAAAAAAAAAAAAGTCAGTGGGAAATAATTTATGGTTCGCAAAGTACTGACAAGATCAACATAACGGTCGCAAGCTTTACCCTTCCAGGCATCAACATCTGAGTACGAGTAAGTACCGTAGGAGGGTCAATTTCCCGGCAAATAATAACAATGATGATGATAATGTGTGACGGACTGTTGAGACCTGAGACAAACTTGTTGGGGCAGCAAAACAAACCCTAGATAGCTAGCCTAAATCCATAGCGTAGCACGCTACCTGCGGCAGTAACGAGGCAGATACTCCGTAGATACGGAGGAAGTAGATAGAGATAGCGATGCATAATTTATTGACTAGACAGATCCTAGTCGGACTCGGGATCGAGCCATGCTCGAAATATCTTCCTGGCCGTAGTTCCCAGTACCGCGTCAGTGTCAAAACTGTCAAGGGTTTCGTGAGGCCGCATCGAATTACTTACCGAGGAGGGTATTCTGCGCGTGGTTTGAACTTTGGACAGACATCGGCTGCGGAGTAAAAAAAAAAGGCAGCTACTTTACTTACATAGGTAGCTAGGCAGCTACCATATCCCATGCGGTTGGCGATCTGCTTGCTCTTTTTGATGTTGTTGCGACACAGAGAGAGAGAGCATGACACCGCAGCTGCAACATTGACTACGTAGGTACAGTGATGTGACAGCCCTAATGATTGTCAACAATGCCAACAACGATAATAATAATAATAATAGTAGTAGTAGTAGTAACGCGATGAACGTTTCTAACTTTAGGTATGCAGGCGGGTGCGGACAGTTTCTAGACGCATGATAAGCATGGACAGGACAGGTTGTGTTCTTTGCTTGCATTTCAGTGTGATTGGACATGGGAAGATGCAAGTTTGACCCCCGACAGTACTTAGAGTATGTATCTACCTAGTAGTATTAACTATCAGATCAGACAGACCATCTTGACCTGATCTTACTCGTACAGTGCCGCCAGCTATTGCCAATTGAGGCAGGTCTTTTACAGTCTGACCTGACCTACTTACAGACATGCAGCCATGTCCATGACTCGGTGGCCAGTGACGGTGTACACCTCGGCGGCTGTGTGATGGAGCCGACAACCACCTGATTGGCTTTGGCACCGAATTGCCGAGATAGTATCATCATCATCATCATCATATCGGGATACGTGCATCCAGACAAAGGACAAATGGTGGGAGAAAGCAGGGCGGGGAAATGGACAATAGGCACTATCTACCTCGTGCTGCCAGGCCAGCCTACCATGCATGTCACCTTGCACCGAGCAGGCAGAAGTGAATGTGAGGGAGTGGGAAACGGTTTATCCAGAAGGCTTGTTTTTGTTTGTTTGTTTTGTGGTACTATGGGGATGGACCCATAAGCGGACCGCCTCTTCACCAGGAACGAACGGCTTTAATGACATAATTAGATAGTTCCAGCATCCAGCCACAGCCTCGTGGCTGGGAAAGATCCAATGCATTTTTTTTTTTTTTTTCAATTTTCAATTTTCAATGTTTAGAGAGTAGTAGTACTATGGGGTCCGTATCTCGTGCATGCTACTGTCCGCCGCCGAACGCCTGGATGCGATTCGGCGCCGAATCCTTAAACGAGTACGATGGTCGGTAAGTCGGGAAGTCGGTAGGCAAACCGCCGACATTCAGGCGGTGGTCGGAACTGGCCAGTGGCCATACGCCGGGCTCCACCGATATCAGATTTGACAGATTAATCGGACTTGCGTGGGTTTTGCGTGGGGGCATCTCATCTCATCTCATCTCGACCCTCTGAAAGAAGCTCGAAGAAGCGTTTCATTTCCGGCCACGGACAACGTACGTACTATCTACTCAGCATATCCAACAGACAGACAGTAGTCAGTCTCGACACCTGCACCGAGATTGTTTGCCACAGCCTTATCTTTCGACGTTTCAACCATTAGATACATAGGTTACAAGTGGCGCCACGAGGAGGGGTCGTTTCATACTTTATCCGTACCATCGAACCGAGAAGATTGATTATCCCCCGAGGGGGAAAAAAAAAGGGTGGTCGAGCCTGAGGGCTGGGAACCGGGAAAGAAGACGAGGAAGACGAAAGAAATCTCCTGCTGCGACGACTTACGAGACAGCCAATAATGAATGGGTGGCTGGCTTGCAGAGACCCACGAATGCAGGACCGTCGGAGGAGGAAGCATGGCAACGACCCACGGGTGACCGGTTCCAAGCCTCTGAAGCCAGATCCTCGGTCGCGGTTCGTCGGTGGGCGATTTTGGCGACTGTCAGACGCGTGGACAACAAATACTAGATAGATTAACCCTGGTTGTTTGTTGTTTCAACCCCAGGGACCAGCCGAGTAGTTAGTCTTAGATACGTAGCTGCCTCGGCGTCCCGTCGTATGCGTCCCTGCCAATAGTAACAACAACATGATGATCATGGAGTGGAGAACGGCATCGACAGATGCGAATGCGATGGACGGTGTTAAACGAGATGCTGTCGGTGTAGATAGGGTGTACACCGTACGGTACAGTGTAGAAACCAAAAAGAAGCCTTTCTAACCGTCGCGTCCCAAAGCCAAAAATAGACAGGAGAGGATTATCATCGACTTTCCCTCGCACCTGATTTGGCCGTATTGGCCGTATCATGACAATCACCTCCACCCCACGCTGATGATCGGTCGGTCGGTCGGATCCCGTGTACAGGTACTAACATGTAGACAAGGACAGAGCCTCCATCCAACGTCCACGCCGACCAAAGCGTCTGGTTGATCGGCGGCAGATGATCATGACGTGGGCCGAGAGAAAATAAATGATGCCTATCGATCTCTCTACTCCGTGCATCCATCAGGAAAGGGAGAACTTAGATAGAAGTCATGCCGTCATCCCCCGGCAGATGGAATTAAGGTACGAATGCGGAGAATTACCCCAAATTCCAGACGCACCGCACCCTGGATCTACACGTGGACGGTCCCCTTCGAGTCACTGGTCGGGGTCGTCGCCTTGGGCGCCCAACTCCCCCGGCCATGCAGGTGCCCCTCCTTTCACTTCCTGAACACACAGAAAGAAAGACATCATCTGGAATCACCTGTCTATTTTCATTGCTTGGTCGATTGATCGTCCCTTTCCACCAGGGAATGCGGACATCGGGTTGATACGTGCAGACTAACATGTACATCCAAGTCCCAATTGAACATCCGCGCAAGTGTCTCCACGGCTACTCGCATCCCCGTTCGCATCCTCTAAGCTCTTCCCCACAAGTGATCCCAACTCCTCAAGTGGTTTGGCGAGATAAGGGCTCTGTCTCTCGAATGCTACAGTACAGCTCGAGACTGGGACAGACCGTGCAACATTTCTGCAACCTCCGAACGAGAGGCCCCGTGGCGCAAGTAGTTCTGCAACAAGGGGTCAAATGACCTCCCAGATGAGCCACCCAATGCCAATTAGCCAGAAATGCCGCCGGAATCCTTGCTTATATCATGACAGTGTTAAATATCATTGCCCCGCGTCTCAACCATTGGGCGCTGGAAGATCGCAACGTTGTTGAAATCCCAAGGCCCACTATGTCTGAGCGGTTCCGGAGCACCGCGCAGATAATATGGAGTACTTGCAGATGCCTCATCGGACTTCAGGTGCGGCGGCGGCGGCAAATTCCCCGTTGACGTTGGCACCCGTGCCTCGTACCTCCCCAGTTCTCGGCTCAAACAGGCGCACCCACCACATGGGGGGGTCGAGAGGGCGGTGGTCACCGTGCAGAGAGGGATAAACGTCGTTGAAGAAGTACCAGATGTGACCAACGACGACTCCACAGATCTCGTCCTTCGGCACGATCCCATGCACGACCAGGCTGAAGGCCATCAGGACCCAGGGGAGGTAGGGGGCGGTGAAAACCAGCATCCCCAGGAAGCTGAGGCGAGTTTCCGGGTTGCGCCGACTCCAGATGTAGACCAGGCTGGAGGAGAGGGCCGTGCCCAGGAACGGGAGGGAGAGGAAGGGCGAAAGGGCGAGCAGGGAGGCCATGGCGTAGAACAGAAGCCACGAGAAGTGGGCGGGCGAGCGACCCGACGACTCCTCGAGGAGGCGCGAGTATCGCTGCAAGAAAAAGACATGGAATAGTAGGTCGAGGTTGAGCGGCCCGAAGTATAGGAAAGTTGTGAACAGACGCCAATACTGCGCGATTGTCAGCCCTGTGATCTGTGACCCGTGACCCATCACTCATGACCCGCACGCGGGTCTATCTGCGACGCACCTGGGACTTCACATAGACAGCTCGGAAGCTATAGAACAGCTGGAACGGGGTCAGAACGTGGCATTGGACCAAGACCGAAGTGACCACGGTGGCGGCTGTCCACCACCGGGTGACAGGAGGCATTTCATAGAACCATTGCTCCAGAGGAAATTGACCCGCCTGCCCGCCATTACCCCAGATGGCGGCCATGGCGTTTTTGGGGGGGGGGGGAGTCTTGAGCTGTAAGTTCTGGTTTGTTGGGGGGATGTTTGGGGGATTGGTTCGGGGTTGCGGGAGGGCAGCGACCAAGAATAAGTGGAGGACAGCACGAGATCAAGAAGACCACTGGAGGGGGGAGGGGGGAGGGGGGTGGGTTTGGCTAGAACAAGAATGGGGGTGAGTGAGTCTGGAGGGAAAGTTGATTGATAAGGCGACAGTTCCGATAATAATTCGCTCACAATCACCGCAGAGCTCCAGCTGGCCTTTTTGCCTCAGGCCGGCGGGCCAGCATCGTCATGCCGTCTACATCACGTGACAACACTGACGGCCTGAGGCACGACTGTCCGCTGTCAGTGTCAGCGTCAGCGGCCAGTCCATTATCACGTGCCAGCAGCCATGCCACCCGCGCGCCTCGAAGCACGACGACGCGCCACGCGTCTGGCCGGTAATTGGGATGGCTGGGAGAACTCAGCAAGAAGCAACGCAACAGCATCTCTCTCTCGAGTCGCTAGTCGCAACTGGCCGGGGTCCCCCTCTTGACCTGACCCTGACTGAACTGAGTTCTACTCATCGATCCCATCCCATCCCATCCCATCCAAGGCGGTCACCCACAAAAATCAAAACAAACCAAACATTCTTGGCCTCGGGGTCCGACGACTACTCCTCCCGAGTCTCAACAGCTCCTGTCCCCCAGCTGAGCTGACGCTACCCCTCCACCCTCCAACCTCTAAGCACTCAATTCCTCGTCGACAAGATGCCTCCCAAGACAGGCCGTGGTCGCAAGGCGATGGCCGGAACACCGCGGAAATCAACAGCTGGCGCTCGCGCTGCCGCAAGCTCATCCAAAGCCCCCGTGACGGCTGCCCCGGAGGCATCTGCATCGCCTTCGTCGCCGCGCGTGCGCAAGACCACCGCCAGTCAACCCCGAGGCGGCAAGCGACCAGCCGCTGCAAAGAAGATCGCCAAACCGAGCAATGTTCAACGTACGTACTACTACTACTACTACCCCACCCACCACCATCTCATAATACCTTATACAAGGTACCAACTCACACCCTCTCAGCTGGCGACCCCACCCCCCGAGGACAAAAGCGCCGCTACAAGCCCGGCACCGTGGCGCTGAAAGAGATCCGCAAATACCAGCGGTCATTCGATCTCCTCATCCAGAAGCTGCCGTTCGCCCGACTGGTTCGTGAGGTGGCCATGGATCTCCTCCCTTCAGAAGTCGGCTCGGAGCTGCGGTGGCAATCGCACGCCATCCAAGCGATTCAGGAAGCCGCAGAAGCATTCCTGGTGCATCTGTTCGAGGATACCAACCTGTGCGCGATCCACGCCAAGCGCGTGACCATCATGCAGAAGGACATTCAATTAGCTCGTCGCATCCGCGGTGCCTGGGGTGGTTTGGGCTAACTGCTCTTTCGCGAGCGGAGGGGGATAGGTTTTGAGACTGATGAGACGAGGCTTGACTCCCCTATCATGATTGATCAATGATCGAACGAAGGCAGTGACGAGAGAGAAAAAACTGATCTCAGAAGAAATCAAAAGGAAAACAAGGAATACACCCATGCGCAAAGTTTCACTCCCACCCAACCACCCGCCCGGCTATGGATGAAACCAGCCAAAATAGCAAACAACCCCTCTCCCCTGCCTCTCTCCCTCCTTGGCCTTCTTTTCCCTCTTCTTCCTTTTTCACTCCCCCTGACTCACCTCCGTTCGGCCTTCGAGCTCTACACTACGATAGCCAAGAAAAGCCTCGGGATCGATTTAAATCTCAATGTCTTCATTTTTTGTTAACCGTTGGTGCGCGCGTGGTTTATAGGTTAGGTTAGGTTGCAGGCGTATCGCGAGTCCGGAGTCTTTCTTATCTTTGTTTATCTGTCTTGTCTTGTCTTGTCGACCTAAAGCAGGTCAGGCCGCAGGTTTCAAGGTTTCCTTTTTCTGTCTCTGTCCCTTCAGGGCCGTTCCATTCCGTTGCTTTGCTTGATGCGTTAGTTAGCTATCTATTCCCTTTCCTGCCTGCCTGCTTTGCTTGCATGCGTTGTTTTTTTCCCGTTCTGTCTCCGCTTGTGCGTTGTGTTGTGCTGCGCCGCCTGCGCCGTGGGCTGCAGGGTCTGGATCTGGGTCTGTCAGCGTGCGTGTATGATAAATACAGTGTCGTGTTGTCTTGTGTTGTGTCGTCCGTTGAATCGGGCTTCGGATATCGGATATTGAACATCGAACATTGAGGTGTGTGTGTGTGTGTGTGTGTGTGTGTGTGTGTGTGGCGAGGAAAGATAGCGAGGGTGAAGGGGAAGGGGTCTATCATGTCTAAGTTCGAGAGGTACCTACCTACCTACCTACCTACTTACCTATCTATGGCTTGCTCGCTTACTTGCTCGCTCGCTCAATATGATGTATGTAATGTAATGCAATTGAGTATTAAGTTGGATTGATCATTCTATTCTATTCTATTCCATTCCATTTCATTTAATTTCTCTATCCATCAGTCATCCATTTCAATTCAATTCAATTCAATTCAATTCAATTCAATCCATTTAATTCCACTACCCAGACCACCAACAGATATCACAAACACACTGACCGCTTACATACATCTACAGCCACCAAGTAATCTTGGACAGTAAGTAGTAAGTAGTCAGCAGTAAGTAGTAAATACGGAGCAGTAAATACCCAAGAAAAAGCAATATTTGAAGTATTTAACAAAGAGCCGACTTCACAGACGCTACTTATGATTCCATTGTATTGCATTGCAAAGCCCGGTCTAGACAGACTCCCTACCCCTTTTATCAATCAATCAATCAATCAAAATCAATCACAATCACAAGAACAGAAACAAATTGCGCCACGCCGGAGAGGATACCCACCCGCCCGCCATACACCGCACACCGCACACCGGGGAAGAATGAGAATGAGAATGAGAATGAATATGAGAATAAGAATGAGCCCACAGATACATACAAACAAAACAGCCCTAACATGGTATCATGAACTTCAGCCGCAGGAATTGCAGTAAAGCAAAGTAGGAGGAGGCAAGGGAAAAGATAATAGCCGGATCGGGGAAGGGGAAGATTGTGGGGGAGAGTGAGGGGGGGAGAGAAGGAGAAGAAGAAGTAGAAGAAGAAGTAGAAAAAGAAGAAGAAAAAGAAGAAGAAAAAGAAGAAGAAGAAGGTGATGATAATGATGATGAAGATAGTGGAGGGGAAGAAGGATTACAAGGGTATATAAGGAGTATGCTAGTAGAAAGAAGTTACACGGGCCGTTTCAAAGGCGGCGGTAAACCCATCATGACGCGATGGCCTTCTTCCCTGACCCCTTGGGCCTCGTCGTTCTTCCCCTGACGTTCCAGGGTCTCAGCGAGCATTTCGTCCGTGACGCTGACCCAGAGGCGGTCGTTGGCTTTCTTGGCCATGGCGCGACCGGCTCGGGCGCTCTTCTCCGCCTGCTCGCCGACGACGCCGCGGAAGTATTTCCAGCTCATGAAGGTGAGGGTCATGCAGGTGATTTGGCTGTTGCTGATGGCGGTCGCGGACTGCAAAGCTTGCTGGAGGTACTGCTTGGTTTGGATGGTGGATTCGGTCTGCACGGTGGCGCATACCAGGTAGTAGGCGGCTTGGATGTATTTGTTGGGGCTGCCGGTGCAGAAGGAGTCCACAGAGTTGAGGAGGCTGGGGAGGTCGGAATGGGACGGATGTGTGGGATCGCGGAGGATAAGGACGGTGTTCAGAGCGGCCAGGATGGAGATATCGCGACGGGGGTCATTGCGCGCGGTCTTGCTGAAGGTGGTGGACAGGGAGAGGAGAGGGGACCGGAAAGAGTTGAGCGCAGCATTCAGATCGCCAGTCGCTTGCGCGATGGCCCCTGCAGCGTACTCCATTAAGCATCTGATTGTATCTGAGAGATTATCACCCAGCTCCTGCGCTTCTTGATGAAGTTCGTTCAACGTCTTGATGGCCAGATCCCAGTCCGTGCGGCCGCAGGAGAGAAAGACCTGCTGGATAAGAAAATTACAGTAGAGTGTCCTGCGCCACTCAACACGCCTGTTGGCATTGACCACAGACTCCGTGATCTCTTGCGGTGCCTTGAAGCTTCCTATGGAAAGTCATTAGCGACGATTTAGACAGGCTGAGTGGGACGGGCCATGGGCCAACTCACCTTTCAACATGCGCGTTCCCTCTTGCAGGAACTTCTCTGCCTTGCGTCCGTCATACGAGTTCTTGCAACTCAATGTGATGGAGCTGAGAAAGTAGCAAAGCGCATAGAGATCGTGCTGAGGCAACCAATTGAAACTCAGCAGTAAGGTGCCGCTCTGAACCTGAAGGATGTCCCCCGTATCTATGGAAGAAGGCCCGGCCGACTTGCCGTTCAAGGGGATAGAAAACGATCCGTCGCTGCGCCAGTTCGAATCATTCAATCTTTCATCCATCAGGTCCTGCATGACCTTAAGCTTCTGTGAAGACTGGTTGATGTCGTAGTCCAGGAGGCTGCAGCAAATGTCGACAATCTGAACCAGTGTCGTCAGCTGGGGAATGTGACGAAGCTCGTCGTTCAGTTGATGGCTTCGTGCCACCGCCACCGCCCGCTGAGCTTGCTCAATCGAGTCGAAGCCGGATCCTTGCTGGAGGTGCGCGAGAGCTTCAATAATGGCGGACATCGCAGAAACTGCCTTGTCGCCATTACGGCTGGCCATGTTGGAAATTTTGTGAAGGTGCTGCAGTGCCGACACCGAATCTTGGTGCGCCGACGAGGACAGCGAAAGCGAGACACGGAGGAAACGAAACGCGTATTCCCACGCAGAGTGGCGGTAACTGTTCAAGTTAGAACGTGATCGCAGTGCATAGATGCGAACGGTAACCTACGCTTCGACTTCCTGGATCGTTTTGTCAACATTTTTCAGAGAAGCCTTGGGGTTCGTCTTGTGCAACATTCGTGCCAACAGATGTTGCATACTATACTTCAGGTCAAGCATACGGTTCTGCATCTGTTAGTTCCTTTTTCTCGAACACTGGCTGCGCGGCTAGCAGACGACGCGGGGTAGACGTAGACTCACTCGCTCGCAAAGGTCAATCTATCCAGAATGGTCAGTACTGATGCCAGAGGGGTATTGGCGGATTGGTGCACATACGCCTTTACTTAATGCTGTCTCTGCTTCCAGGTTATTGTCGGTTTCTTCGAATAATATTCGCGCGTATCGTAGGCGCACGAGGGCTTCAACCCGGGGTTGCAATCTCCAGTTCTATCGCACCCATCAGCATCTCCACATGTTATACAACCAAGTCCCCACGCACCTTCAAGACAGCCTCCAGGCAGCCCAGCCCCGTCGCAACCAGCTTATAGTATTCGTCCATCTCCATCTCCCTCCGCAGCAAGGCCACCATGGTCCCGTGGCTATGAGCCGCATTTAGATACTCATCCGCCATGGCCAGCAGCAGCACCTGGTAGTCAATCGGGGACTTGGCCGGTTTTTGCGGGGGATGCTGGCCATTTTGTCGCGGCCCTTGTTTCTTGGAGGACTGTCGCTGCTGCAGCTTCTGTTGCACTTCCGGGGTAGGCGCTGGGATTAGCACCTGAACGGGTTTCGGTGAGGGCGCCGGGGGGGTTGCTACGACCGGTTTGACGGCGATCGGTTTGGCGGCCACCGGCTTAGCCGCCACTTGCTTTGAGACCACGGGCTTCGAGGCGACTGGTTTGGCGGCAACAGGTTTGGGGGTCACTGGCTTCGGGGTAGCTGGTTTGGGAGCGACGGGTTTAGCGGCGGGAGGTTTGGCAGCGACGGGCTTCGCAGCCACGGGCTTGGGAGTGACTGCAGGGGTAACTGTAGGGGTCACTGATGAGATCTGGACGGTAGGCGTCGGAGGCGTGGGTTGGCTATAGGCTTGATTCCCTTGGTTCGGGCTTGGAGCGGCGTAGTACGTTGAGGGGGCGGGGGTGGAGGGAGGGAGAACCGGGGACCGGCTGTTGCCTGCAACGGAGATCGCAGGTTGCGCAGCATACTGAGACGGGCTATTGGTGGTGAACTGGGGAGGCGAGGTCGAAGGCAGAGGGGGGGGTTGGAAGAGGTCGGACGGATTCACATATTGCTGTTGTGGCAGCTGTTGGGGAGGAGGAGGTTGTTGCTGCTGCTGCTGCTGCTGCTGGGGGGGAGGCTGCGGCTGGGGCTGCTGTTGTTGCTGGGGGGTGTAGGACTGCGAGTAGGCAGGATAGGTGGGAATCATGACCTGGGGATAGACGACGGGCTTCCCATATTGATATGGTGAGCCACTAGGGTCGACATTGCTGTTGTACAGTAGCTGCTGCGGGTGGATGGTCTGCTGGTGAAGCGGCAGATTGGGGGGTTGCTGCATGTACTGCGGAGGATATTGGCCGTTATGGGGTGGTGGGTAGCTCATCGCCCCAGGACGCAGACAATGCTCATGAATCCACTGCGGTCTGCGGTGCCCGGGAGGAGGGGAAGGTCTAGATAGAGGGTGGAGGCGATGAGAAGGCTTTCGACAACAACAATAATAATCTCTGGGGTTCGTTTCTTGTTCTTCTTCTGATCGCGCCGCCTTTTCCGTTTCCGCGTTCGGGTCGGAGAAACCCGCGGGCGGTCAGGTGAGCAAGGCATTATTAACCAGCAGCAGCACCACCACCACCACCACTATACTACTACTTTACTTCTACTCTCCATTGTTCACTCCACCCAGTCAAGGCTTGATCTGAAGGTCCAAATTCCGGATTAAACACACATCCTACATTCATCAGCCCCGAGTCCCCCGTTCTATGTATATATGGCAGACCTCCCGAAGACGAACAAACCACCAGATACTCAATCAAACAAAACGCCAACCCAATCCGTCTAATACTTGTCACGCGCATGAGATTCGTAACGGGAACAACAACCAGCCCCAATCTAGATCATACTAATCGAGCTATACAACTGATTCATCGACTGATCTTGCATCGCAGGATCAAGGATGCCCATCCCCAATGTCGGCGGCTCTTCCGGGGGCGGGTGCTCTCGAATCGTCCACGGGCAGAGCTCACTGCAATTGGCGACATCGATCAGGTTCTCCGCAGGATGGATCCGTTGCACTGCCCACGCCTGATCCGGGACGGGTCCCGAGCCTCCCAGGCACCTCTCCGTCCAGAATTGATACGTTGCCTGGCCCGTCGCTTCGTCCAGCCGACAAGGCTGCTTGCGAGGACATTTCAGCGTGGCGTTGCACGTATTGCAGATGGATATTCGCTTGCAGGAGGCACAGTGATTGTCATAGAGCCGACAGATGGTGGTCTGGCAAACGCTCGCCAGCCATAGGTCAATTGATCGATGGGCACACCCAAACCGAGGCGTCATGTGCTCTTCTCTGCCGAGTTGGCCGGACCCCGTACTCAGGTGGTACTCAGTCTTGATCTTCAACTGATCCTCCTCGTCCAACTCCGGGTAGATCTCAATCTTCAGCTGCGTCGATCCATAGTCCTCGGTGCAGGTATGCCAGCAGAAGCGTTGCTTCTTAACCCCCTCCCCGAACTGCACCGTCAACGCGGCGACCGATTTCCGTCGCACCTTCAGAAGATCCGCCAGCTCCATCTTGTCCTGGAAGGTCAATTTCTTGCAGGGACACAAGTCCACGATGCCTGCAGAACTTCCCAGGTTACACGACCTGTCCTCCGCCTTGCGTCTCAGCTCTCTCGGGGGAAATGAATTCCGCGGGTGGAGTTTTAAGCATTTCGAGCAGGCTTTCCATCTGCCGTCCTCTAACAGGTTAATGAATTGCCAACGTGGGGTAACAAAGTTGTGTCCGTTTCGGTAGTGGTGAAAAAGCGGTGCAAAGTCTCGACTGAAATGGAGGGGTTTCGCCTCCAGGATAGGTGCGCATATCGAATAGAGCCGCCGACAAGTCAACGCCAGACACGCCTCGGGCAGCACGGATAGATGGGAGATGATCTCCAAGACCAGCTCCGTGGGCAGCTCCAGCAGATGGCATCTCCCGAGGGCGCCCGTATCGGCGGCCTTGCCGTCAGCCTGGTTCCGCGCCCAGCAGTTCATCTTCGCGATAAATCTCAATCGTTCCCCAGCACGACGAAACGTATATGCCATATCGATCAGTAGATCGGACTTCGGGTCATGGGTTGGAGCGGTAAGCGGGGCTCTGCGGAGGAGTTTCATCAAGTTGAGGTGGAGGTGGTTGGGGTGATGTCGTTGGTGGTCGTCGAGACAGAAGCTCATGGGTGGGATGAGAGCCAGCTCGTCTCCCGCTGGCTTGGGGAGTTCATGTTGTTTTGAGAGGAACACGGCAGGCAAGGCACATGACAAAAGCGTGCGGAAGGGGAAGGGGAAGGAGGGCCTTTTGACCCTCAAGCCGTCAAGTAGTTGACGCCCAGGCTGTAGATTTGCACGCAAACGGAGCACGCGCCAGGGTCACAGCGTCGTAGAAGCTGTCAGGATGATTACCTACTTACCTACGACTGGATGGGCCATCTTAATAATCGACTTATCAGGGCTGCATCCCAAAAACGGGGTGTTCCAGACTGCCATCCTGCCCGGTCGTTTGTCGACCACACCCACCCGGTTGAAGCCAGGCGGCCGAAGTCTATGATGCTATCGGACCGATCCTACCCTTAGACTTCCGCATCCGGGGTCCTTGTCTAGTCGTGCCGACCGCATCGATCTGTCTCCTGTCTCCTGCCCCACCCACGAGAATGTGCATGCTTCTAAAAACTGAGAGCCCGAGCAGTCAGTCAGAGTCAGTCAACAGGGGGTAAGTAGTCCCGAAGCGAGGGTGGGATGGAAGATGCAACCCCCCCTTCCCCCCATCAAGTGACGTCCTTGATACCCCAATGATCGAGGTCACGGCAGCTGACTCATCGGCCGCGCTGACTGATTGGCGCCATGCCCGATCGGGAAAGAGCCGAGGCACGTCCAGGCGTTGTAGGGCTTGCGATGCAAAGTGCCAAGTGCCTACCCAATTTCAATTATTTGCGACTTGCGCTGGCGCGGTCCCCTTCTCTTCTCTCCCTCTCCCTCCCTCTCGATGATCTAGATAGCGTGCTGGTTCCGATCCCATCGCACGTGGCGACCACAGTGTCTGTCTTATGTCATTTGTCCTGTTGACATCCTCCGCTCCTTCTGCATCGCCATGGGCCTGCTCTCCTCCCTGTCCCCGAGTGGGCGCATCGCCTACTACCACGCCCAAGATAACAACCTCCTGCTGGCCAGGAAATCCGGGAAGCCGGGAGCCACGGAGCAAGTGACATTGGCGGAAATCTGTCGCAAGGCGACTCCCGAGAAATGCCAGCTAAACCCGTTCCTGTTCAACGGCCACCTCCAAACGGCCTGGACGTCCGCGAAATTCGACAAGGTCCCCGTTTTCTACAAGCGTTGGATGTTTGAGGCCGACAGCCCCATGTTTAGCGGGCATTTTGCCGTCGATTTCGCCGTCGACCCCTACGAGCCACCCAACGACCCCCACTCGACCGATAGCGAGAGGAAGTATACCCAGCCGTCAGGGCTTCCCGAGCGGACGGCTTTCTTTTCGGAGGCCGAATTCGCGGCGCTTCCCTCGGATGACACTAGGCCCATGCTGGTGGCCCTCCATGGCCTGAGCGGCGGATCACATGAACTCTACCTGCGCCATGTGCTTGCGCCGCTGCTCAAGGATAAGACCTGGGAGGCCTGTGTCGTCAATTCCAGAGGCTGTGCCCAATCCAAGATCACCACCGGGGTACTTTACAATGCCCGGGCCACGTGGGACATCCGCCAGACCGTCAAGTGGCTGCGCAAGACATTTCCCAATCGCCCGCTGTTCGGAATAGGGTTCTCACTCGGCGCAAATATCCTGACCAATGTAAGTCACTTCCGAGCACCAAGATGGGAGGGGCTAATGGAGGTGGGTGTGAAGTTTCTAGGAGAGGAGGGCGATGCTTGCCAGATGACCGCAGCAGTGATCTGTGCCAGCCCTTGGAATCTGGAAATCAGCTCGGTGTGCCTGCAAAGCAGCTGGATCGGGCTGGGGGTATACAGCAAAGTGATGGGTACGAGCATGAAAGAGCTCTTCGAACGGTAGGTAGTGCCCTTGCAACCTTTGATGCGAACTTTGACCTAATAGCCCGCATTGCCAGGCACGTCGAGCAGATCTCCAAGAACCCTCGCATCGACGTGGATGAGGTAAGGAAAATTACGTATCTGCATGAATTCGACCGGTAAGAGCCCTATGCAAGCTCATTATTCGCAGAATTCTGACTCGAGTCATGCACAGGGCTCTGCAATGTGCCGCATGGGGCTACCCTACCGAGGGTGCATACTATCGCGATGCTACATCTACCGACTCTTTAATGGGCATTAGAATCCCAATCTTCGTTATACAGGCCGAAGACGACCCGGTGAGTTCAGCTTGTCCGCTATGGAGCCATGCATGCACTAACCGCAAGCAGATTGCCTGCTCTAAAGCATTACCATTCCAAGAGATGGGTCAGACCCCGTACGGTATCATGATGACTACATCTTGGGGCGGACACCTTGGTTGGTTTGAGCTGGGAGGTGAGCGGTGGTTTGCCAAACCGGTATGTGTGATGCCAGCGTCCTGCCTGCCACTACAGCGCTAACTGCCGCAGGTGACGAACTTTCTGAATATTATGGCCAAGGAAGTTGATCTCAGCGTACCTTTCACGGTCGAGGACCCCGAGAAAATCCCAGGTGGAATTGCCCACCACTATGGTCCTGGCAAGGACCTCGATACGGCCCCGAAGCCGGAATACAACCCTATACGACGCAAGCTGGCCTTGCAGGTTCCAACGTCGAACACCTAACCTCGCATAAACCTAATTGCTACCGATGGATACGACAGTGCGTCATTCGGAGGGATACTCATCATGAGTGTCATGCGCGCCATTGTTTTGGAAGACATAGACCAGTATAAACGCCAAAGACCCATCTAAATACATAGACCCGGTATAGACAGAATTACTTTTGTACAAAAAAACCACCTCAAGCAAACGAAACGCTCTTCTTCTTTCCTTTTGATTTCGACGACCCGCCGGACGGGGCATCGGCCTTGGATGCGCCGGCATCGCCCTTGTGCTTCTTATTCTGGCGGATCGATTGCTTCACATCGTCCTAGTTGGAGCAAGCCCGTTAGCAACCGCAGCCATGAAGCACCCCCCGTAGAGAGCCAAGATCAGTTAGTATACGTACCAGTTTCGACTTCTTCTGGGCCATTCTAGCCTCCGCCTCCTTTCTCTTGGCCTCTCGGATCTCCTCCAACTGGCGAGCCTTCATCATCTTCGACTCAATCTGGCCCTCCTTCTCCGCGTTGACCATCGCAAGAATGGTCATCATTCCCTCCTATCGAGACTTGTTAGCAACGCGCCCACCGTAACATTCCCCCTCCCCCCCCCCCCCCCCCCCCAACACACACACAGAGAGAGAGAGAACGGGATAAAGACAAGACGAGACCACATACCGCATCATCGACAAAAGTCTTCCCCTTCTTCTTGCCCTTAGGCTTCACCACGCCCACGGGCGTGATCGCATTCAACTTGGGCAGACCCAGTTCCTCCTCCGTGTACACTCTCTTCTTGGTCTTCTTCAACTGGCTCTTCTCCGTGCGCGCCTTCGACTTCATTTCCTGTGGCGGCGGGCGCTTGACATTCTTCTTGCTGATCTTGGTTCCGGACGAGAGGGGCTTGCCCTTCGAGGCGTCGCCCTTGGACGACGAGCTCTTGCCTTTGACGGAGGGCTTGGTGGGCGCCATTATTTCGTGTGGTCCGATCGAAAATCTGAACAACGGCCGTATAACGATCGAGAGTGGGGGGGGCAGGCAAATCGAGACAACAGACAACAACGATGCGACCAGCTCTCCCGGGTAGCACAGGATGAAAAAAATCAAAAGTCGTCAAACCGATCAAGACACAGGAAAAGAATAGCAGAACACAGCACCGAATCCTCCAACAACTTGCGCCGCCGAGCCCGACCCGACAGAGAAATGAAATTTTTCGAAACAGGCAGGCGGTGAGGCGGGTGGGCGGGCTTCCCAGTTCCAGTCCCATGCAACTCTCCTCCCCAATAGTACTCGTCCGTCACGCTAACTCAGACCCGGAACAACAGCAACCCATCCGATCGAACTTCCTCCCCTCCTCCCCTCAACAGCGTGCCATTGCGAATTCTCCATTCCCCCCCCCCCCCCCTCTCGCTCAATATGACCATCAACCCGACCTTCCTGGCGCAGCGCACGCGCTCCTGTACGTCCTCCCTCTCCCTCCCCTCACGGCGGTCGCCCCGACGATCCGCTTCGCTTTAGAAATTGCCGCAACGTCAATGGCCGGATCCCGAGCTGACCTTTTCTCGTCCCATGTAGCTGCCAACTGGGGTGATGCGAAGTATCGCGTCCTCAAGACGTACAGAGAATGGCTTAGAGCGGTCAGTGACTCCTCCTTTCTCTGTTATGCCATAGACATATATATCATCGTTCTCGTTTTCCTGGTTTCACGCATGCATGGATGGCAACGCCCGCGACAGAATGAAAAACCGTTCCAATTCATGCCATTATGAGTTATTCCGCGCAACCGAACTGACATTGATCCCATTGAGATATTCTAGTCTCCCGAGATCCAGACGATGTACTCTCTGAACCTCCCGGTATCCGCTATCCGGACGAAGATCCGCCAGGAGTTCGAGAAGCACCGCTACGTCAACCAGCTGAACGTTGTCGATGTGCTGCTGTACCAGAGTCACGCTGAGTTTCAGGTTAGTTCAATTGGGACATGGATGGATAGATGGTTGCGATCAGATCAATTGGATATAATCCGCCATCCATCCACCATCTCTCCATAACTCCGTATCCCCCTCATCCCATATCATATACTCACCACCACACCCTCCCAGGAAACCCTCAACTACTGGAAACAGCTGTCGCACGTGATGAAGTACTTCCGGCCGGAGGAGAACCCCGGCGCGCGCCTCCCCCCCAACTTCATCTCGGGCTTCCTGGAAGGCCGCAATTAATTGCGCTTGCACTTCTGATTGTGATTGTGATTGTGGTTTCCATCGTATCTTCGTATCTCTTTTTCCCGGTATTCCTTAGCATTGGAGGTTCTATTATGGCTACGGCTACGGCTGTGGCTGGTGGGGAGGGGGGTGCGACTCGGACTCGGACTCTGGTAGAGAGGGGGTTATGTAAATATTTGTTGTTTAGAAGAAGACTTTTTGGTTCGTTTTATGCTTGGTTGCGAGAGACGGAGAGAGAGAGAGAGAGAGAGAGAGTGTGTGTGTGTGTGTATGTGTATGTGTATGAGTGCATTGGGTTCGTAGCGTACCTAAAGTAGACTTGTGGTAGTATGTACCGTGACGTATATACTATTGTAGGCTTTATAGGTTGAGGTCTAGGTAGGTAGGTAGTAGGTAGTAGGGAGGTAGGTACTAGGTATGAATAAATAGGTCCATTCCATCACCCTACCTACACACATATATACGGATAAGAAAGACACCAGCATAACTCGAGATCTATATATATACCAACAATAATAAAAGTCACCAATCCAGTCACCAAAAAACGGTAGTATCCAACCTACTACCTACCACCTACTAAGCAAGTAAGGACAAGGGCAAGGTATAGTAATTAGGTAGGTATAAGTACCCTACCCTACCCAACCCCACCTGCATCACTATACATACAACACAACAAACCCTCTGTCGCACTCTACAACCGACCAATCCCAATAAAACAATAGAAAGATAAGAAAGAAGAAAGAGAAACAGGTATAACTTTTCTACACAAACGCCGACCCAAGACATCCAAAAGCAACAGACATAATGATAGATATACAGCACAGTACAGTGAATGAGTGAGTGTCTACGACTCCATGCGATCGATCTGGGCAGCGTTAAAGGCATCCCGCGTCGTGGTGAACTTGTCCGTCACGACGTCGCACAGGTCCATTAGAGTCTCCAGGCCCTTTTCGAGGGCCTCGACGGCGGTTGTTGATTCTGGTGGTGGGGAAGTCTATCAGCAAACAGACCCCAAAAGAGAAGCAAGAGGAGAGAGAGAGAGAGAGAGAGAGAGAAAGAGAGACGAACCATAAGTCTGGATACGAACGTTCATCTTCGGCTCGGAGGGGTGGGGGATGGTGTAGCCGCAGAATTCGACTTCGGGGCTGGAATATGGTGTTAGTATACATGTATATATATATATATATTATTGCCCACGTTCACATCCAAATCTATGTATATAGACATGACCATAGCCATATAGATAGACGTGGTTATATCCACAGCTTTGATATCTGCATGACGCTACCAGAGCGCACCATACACACCACACCCAAGCTAGCAGCGCATCGCAGCGTAGCAATGCACCGGGATAGATAGGAAGGAAGGGTATACGTACTTCTTCATAATCGCATACCGCAGCGCGTTACCGAGCGTGTGGCCCTCTCCCTCGAACTGGAATGATGCAGCGGTGTCGGTGGCGCCGGGCAGCTGTTATAACCAATTAATTCGTCTTGTGTCAGATGAGATAGGGACCTCAGGGGAGGCGATATGTGATATGAGGTGGGATGGGTAGGCTAGGCTGAGATGAACGCACAACAACGATCCGCTTCTCATCGAGCTCCAGGACGTCGTCGGTCTGCTCGACCTCTTCCTGCTGCTGCTCCTGGGGGGCGGCGTCCAGCATGGACTGGTCCTGTTCTTCTTGGGAGTGCACGGAGGAAGGCATTGTGATGGGTTGTTTGAGCGGGCGAGGGGGTAGACTGAAGAGGGAGAGTTAGCGATGTTCAGCTATCATGGTGTTGGATCCCAGGCTGCGGGGTTATCATGGTGGTGGTGGTGGTGAGTAGGTCTGGATGGATGGATGTATATACGGGATTGAAGGGATCGGGGCGGGATCGGGATGCGAGGCGCGATTCGGGTGTGCGATCTGAAGATAGTTCTGGAGGAATAGTCGGGACTTACCTTTAGCAGATGACCAGGAACCGGGAATTGACAGCTTAGAGGGAACTTCTCGCAGTTGAGCAACGCGCGACTCCGATGAGGAGAAAAAAGCGAAAAACGGTTATTCGGCCTCTGACCGCCTTTCGGGGTCGGAGATTATGTCTCACCGCCTGCGGGTTACGGGTTGGCTGTTTGTGCCTGGGGTGTAAGGTGTCTAGGTACCTATCTATGCTCATTCTGTTGAGGTTGAGGTGGTTGTTTGCTATTCAGTATTCAGTCTATCGTGCTCCGTACGACGTCAGGTGATAGGCCCTCCTATTCAAGCTCGCTGCATGACTACCCGTCGTCACCCTGGACTGCAGGACACATACAGACAGACAGAGCTGTCGAACGTATGACAACCGGGCGGACCAGTCACGACGGAGCGTCGCATTCCAACAGTCAAACATCACGCCCTGGATGATCTACCACCACCATCCACTACCTTGTGTCACCGTGCCGTGGCTATGTTCCCTGCCGACTAGGGGGTCTGTCTTTGTCTGTCTGTCTGGCCGGATCGGGCATGTCTCTCCTCGGTCCTCCCAGTCAGAGTGTGACTGCAGGTCATCCATCCATCCATCCATCCATCCATCATCCCTCGAGGGGCAGCGGAGATGACATGACCTGACCATCCATCGACCTATCTTACTATATTATCCATCCTCGGCATACTTGACTAGTTGACCGATAACTATTGATCCCGATTATTAATGGTCACTCTATTCCGTACAGGGTGAGCAAATCGAGTAGGAGCTAATAACGATAATAATAACCGCTGACAGGCGAGCATAGTTACTATATCGTTCATTGTACGTATATAATATCCCCATTATCTCCCCCCAATGAACCATCCCATAATCAACGTAATCCCGATCAATAGTTCTCGCAACTAAAATAAGCGACCCGGGGGGGAAACTACTCTCCGTCTCCATGATGAATTGATTGCTACTATTGCGATCGGCCAGAAAGCATATCGCTTGACTCAGGAGCACACACCCACCCACCACATGGGAAGCCATTATTAGTAACAGGGGCCGTGCAGAGGTGCGCCGTTGGGAAATAATGGGTCGGGCCCGTACACACACTTACACATCTTTATGGAGCAGGACTTAAGAGGGTGAGTTATTAACATTATTCTTTGTTGGGGACTGGGGACTGGGGACTGGGGACGGGGAGATGATGCGATGGGATGACGACGATGGAACCGCCGAAATAATCACCGTGATATTAAACTATTTCCTTGGCAGTTGGGATGTTCCGTGGTGGGTAGGTAGGCGAGATGATATGCTGTAGGTAGCAGGATATTTATGTACTATGTACTATGTACTATGTACTATGTATCTACTAGATAGATGGGTGTCCTTGTTTTGTTTGAGGGGGACGGCGTGTACTCAGTATGCATTGGCGATGGCATGTAGGCAAAATGTCATGGGCATGCAGCGTAGACATATCGATCAAGAAGATGCGTCGGTATCATCAAGTACTAGACACCACCATGTACATTTCCCACAGTATATCCGCCTAGCGGATCCTCGATCCCTCGGCAGCACGATGATAATCTATCTCACACCCCGAGGTTCAGCCAACGCGTTCATGAAGGGAAACCCCCACGGACGAAACACCGCGAGCGGCGAGCGTCGCGTCCCAACAGATTGCTTCACTCTGACTCTGCAGACTGCAGACCCTTGGACATGAAAACAACAACAACAACAACAATAATAATATCAATCGGCAGGAACAGTGAACCGAACAAGGTCAATAATTTCTGGAGACGGCAGGGCCAGACCCATAAACTAGTGGTTCATCGGACTGGATGGCAAGTTCGTTCCTTAATCTTATTTGCAAGGAGCGCACGTGGGCCCGCCGGATGAGGGCGAGTTATAGACCGGCATGCAGGAGTATTATTATTATTTCATTATCGAATATCTGTACGGAGTACTCCGTACTCGGTACCGCAAATGAAGTTCTGCTCCTGCTATCTAACCCGTGCTGCTACTGGCAGTTGCTAAATGCTATTTAGCGATCTCCCGGGGTCATTGAAATGGTCCCGTTTGATATTACTCTTGCCTCGTGGAGCGGAAATGAGGGAAGATCTCCCCATCTTCCCTGGTGATTGGCGCACGCGACAGACTATCCGCCGATGCGTTCGGACCTTGATAGGAACTTAGAAGACATTGATTATGGATTATTGACTCGAAGAGTCGAAGAAAGAAAATATGGATATCAAACATACCCATCATCAATCAATAATCACCAAACCAACCAACTAGATAGATCCACTCTCCACCGGCCCATTAAACGAGCCTTGAGGGAAACAAGAACAAGAACAAGAACAAGAACAACAACGACAACAATGATGATGACGATGATGATGATGATGATGTTGCATCGGGGGCTGCACCTGCAACAGGGATTGATGAAAGAAACCTCCCTCCCCCCAAACATGATGCAGGTCTGGCCAGCCACGGTGCTGGAGCCCATCTTGCAATCTGCATATTGCATAAACTATGTATGTATCTAACCAAACCCTCGCGACGGCGAGAACCCACTGCAGTTGCAACTGCACATCTTTGGGCCGCTGGGGGGTGTTCGGAAAGTGGTCCCGCGCGTTGGTTCCTGGCCTGCCATTCCGCCTGCCTTGCCTGCCTTACCTACTATCTAGGTAGTAGGTACAGTAAGCCAGTCGATGGAGTTTCACCACTGTCCGACCTGCCTCCAGGACATTAGGTTTGGTTCGGAAGGAAAAAAAAAAAGGTTGACAGGTTCCAAATTTGGCGTCGTGCCGGAACGGGCGAGGGGGGAGTCCATTGGCTGTCTTACCCGGAAGCCACCAGAGTTGCACGAGGCTGGAACAAAACCACCCAGTGGTTGTTACACCCGTACGGCATGTCGGCTATCTATCATCGAGACTAATTTATCAAGGTTGGGGATTTTGAGAGGTTGGTTGAGCGAGGTTTGAAGGTTCCAGTTCCAGTCCCAGTACTGTCCAATTTACTCCGCTTGGACTTGAATCTGTTGGAGACAATAGTGTTGTCGCAGGAAGCGAGCTAGGTAAACTAGATAACTAAATACCTTCATTCCAGCCCGTGTTGGAAGTCTGGAACTGGGGGGAAGTTGGATCGATCGTCAGTCCGTCGTCTCGGCATCCCTAGATGGATAACTAGCTAACAGATAACTAGATAGACAGATGGAACGGAGGACAACGCCTCCGTCCTCCGTCTCCGTGTCCGTGGTTCATGGACATGATGCATGTGCTCGACGGGGCCGCGAGATTAAGAAACACGAGACGAATGGAAGGCGTGGGAAGTCCTACCTTAGTTCGGCCGCTCGGGCCCTTGGGGCACGTCGTGAATCGTAAGGTATCTAGTTTCTAGTATCTAAGTAGCTGGTAAGCAGTGCCGGGCGATCATGCCTAAAGTTTTAAACTTGAGGCGGATGGGTGCGGTTGAGTAAGGGACATGGCGAGTCCTCATTTCACTAATGCTGCCAGCCCTTTTCTACTACTACTATGTATGTATGTATGTATGTATCTATTTCCTGTGTCGATACCGAGTACGATGGCTACGATTACTTACAGAATGGCTGACATCTAATATGCCCCCCCCCCCCTCCCCCCCTTCCCCTCTCTTATACACGGATACACAGGCATGAATTGAGGAGAAGAAGGAAAACGATCTATTTATTTGTTCGATGAAATGTCGTCTTACTCAGATTAAGGGCCGGATGACGAGAACCACCTCTGCTGGGGCCAAGAAATGACTCGATCGGGGAGTGAACAGATGGTCCTCAGGCAATGGTCCAGTATTATACTGGCGACCCGCCTCGGGCATGTCACAACTCACAACTCACAACTCACAACTCACACTTCACACCTCACCCACCTCACCACCACCCTATGATCCAGCCGATCGTCGGACTTTCCCGCGGGAGGATCGATCGATGGATGGATGCATCGTGGAAGACCGGCGGTTGCCTACTTCTTCCGGACATGGGAAACCCTCCTTCACTTTCCATCCATCTAATCCCTATCCGGACTTTCCAGGTGTCCTGTTCTGAGAGGAACGTGGGGAAATGTGAGACGTCAACCCTGGGATGAATCAGAGGTTGCCCATAAACTGTAACTTCACTAGGAAGATACCAACCAACCAACTTCTTCCGTCCTGGGGGTGCTAAATATCTAGTTCCTCAGTAAGTCAGTAGCACTCCGTACTAAGTATGACGAGGGGCGATGGGCAAGGGACAAGGTCAAGGTCAAGGCGACCAGGCTGACTGCCGCGGAAGGAGGGGAACGAGGAGCTGACAGAACCGGGTGGATTCTTGGATCGGGGCAGGGACTATTGTTTCCACCAGTTTGGCGCGGGTGGGTTCGGGGGATGGTGAGGGACGCTGGTGTCGCAGGTTGTGTCGCCACCAGGGGGGAGGAACCGCTCTTTTTTTTTTTTTTTTTTTTTACTGTGCCTGTGCCTTAAGACATCCGGATTCTTGCCCGGCTGGAATTCCGTGAGATCGTACAAGATACATACTGAATAAAAGGTATGTTTGGGCGAAGCGAAACCGAACGAGAATCGGAATTCTGGGCACTGGGGAGGGGGCAGAACGTGATGTTCCAGCTGTCGGACAACCAACTCTGACAAGCCCAGCGCCAGTTCCTGGATCTCCATAGGCCGGATCCCGGATGGGTCGCAGACTCGCAAGGAAGAGCCCCGACTAGGCTAAACAGTCCCTAACTAGGGCCCTTAGCGGACACCTGAGGCGGCCTTAGGTACCTCTACCTACAAGTTATTCATGGTTGGCATCGTTGGTCTGGTCGGGCCTGAAGATGATCTGTTGCTCGGCTTTCAATTTCAAGGTATTGTAGGTAGGTATGAAGACAGGTCGGATTGGTCTGGATGATAGGTAGATAGACAATGAAAGAAGACGGAGTACACAGAAGCGAAACCACTTCTTCAAACTTCCTTGTAGACCAAGTTGGTAGTAGTGGGAAAAAAGGCTGTCGGCTGTTCTACTGTAAGGTAGGTTGGATGCAGCAACCGCCAATTGTCACAAAAGTGTCACATCATTAACGGACAAGCCCTGGGCGGAAACAAACCATGTCTCAGCTAGTGCCAATCAGGTGGGATCCTCTCCACCTGGTCTGAGCATCCAGGAGATTACTGCGTACTTACAGATCCCTTTGGGATTTTTTTTTTTCTTTCTATTTTTTTCGATTCTTTTTTGGAACAGTCACAACAGTTGGATACTGAAGAGCCCTTATAGTACAAGCTTACAAGAGCTGATATTCTACCCCAACTGTGTATGTAGGTAGATAGGTCCTGTATGGCTGTCGTACTGCGCGTATCGTGCGCCTTTCCTCCCCCACACCCATTCAATCCATTGCAGCCCAATTAATTCCCACTCCTCGTTTGATGATGATTAGGATGGATTATTGCCGACTGCTAGTATCGAGACTACTTACCTTACTAGATACTATCTATCTATCTCGCACCCTTTGACTTTTGGTCTTTGGAGATTGGGACCTTTGCTTCTGATTTTGAATTTTTTCACTTTTTAATTTCTTGACTTCCCTTCCCCCCCTCCTTGTTCTTTTTGTCCTCCTTGTCCTCCTTGTTCTCCTGCTGCCCCCCCTCCCAAACCTGGCCGCGTGTCTGATTCACTGACACGGTCCAACCGAGCGTCCTTTCATCGTTCCATCCCTCTGCCTTCTGCTGCCACCGTCTCATCAAACCCGTAAACCCACCCACCCACCAACCATACCATACCGTACACCCCATAACACCCGTCCGTACATACCTGCCGACTTACTCGGGTAGTAGTACCTACCTGCCTACTTGGGCAGGTCCCTGCTGAAAGGTACCTACACTGCTGGTCCTGGCAGTACCTTACCTCTATCCCCATACATCCCATACATCCCATACATCCAATACATACAATAATCCGGTCTCTCTCTGTCTCTCGGCCTCTCTCTCTGTCACTCTGTCTTCCCTTCCTTCCCTTCCTCCCCCCAATTTCTTCCCATTTTGCTTTCTTCTTCTTTGCTTGCGTCTTGCTTCGGTTCTCTCTTCTTCTTCTTCTTCTTCTTCTTCTTCTTCTTCTCTTCTTCTCTTTCTTGATTGTCTTTTTTCCCTTTCTCTGCTCCCTCTTCTGGGCTTCTTGAATTCCTCCCCCTCCTTCCCCTCCTTCCTCGGGCCAAATTGTCTTGCATGGGGGCCAGACCTGTCGAGAACCGTTCCATTACTATCGCTTGTCGCTCTGGATCACTCCCGGCCTGACCGACCTCTAATCGTTGTCACACTGCCGCCGGCCAGCCTTAGTTAACCGCCTCCCTCAAGTATCTGACCACTCCTGCTCCTCGTCTTCTCCCGCCTGTTTGACGACTTTCTCTGGGGTGCCACACTGGCGTTGTCTCTTACTTCGCCTACTCCCCTCCTCTTCGCCCCCCCCCCCCCCCCCCCCGTCGCCTCCTCTGCCGGTCGTCTGCTGGTAGTTCGTTTTTGGGTTGGCTCCGTCCGTTCTTCCAACCTGCGCCGCTTCTTCCCCCCCCCTCCAGAGCTTAACCTCGACCTCCCCGAACACCCCAATTAGCCGCCTCCGCTACCGAGCTCTTTGACCCGCGCGCTCTTTCATTCGGTCTCGCCGAAACCACCCCCCCCAAATAAGGCAGACGTCTGTCAAAGAAAAGCTTGATACTCGGCCTGCTTCAGGCTGTGGGACCCTTGGGTGGCACAGTCTTTGGGACCGTGTTGGAGGATACTATATATACAGTGGCTGTGTGAGACAGCACCCGAGGGGGTTTCTCGCTAGCCTCTATATTGGTCGAGGGCCGGAACCATCGTTCCCTTAACCCACCATATCGTCCGGTGAACTGTCTTTTACCAGGGAGCTTTTCCGCTCCTTTGTGTTCAGCCGAATCGGTCTCCCTCGTTGTCATTATGTCGACCGCAGTTGCGCCTGCTCAGGCTGCTCCGCTGACTTCTCCGCGTATGACCCGTGATCTGAGTCCGAAAAATTGCCCAACGCTGGCACCTGCGACCTCGAATAACCAGGCGAGTCCCACGCCGCCGCGGCTGTCTGCGCCCTCCCGGGATGGATCTTCCGCCAAAAGCTCGCCTGCAGGAAAAAAACCCACGTCACCTTCGTAAGTCTACTGGACTAGACTCATTCGTTAACCTTCTTTGTCCAGGCGCTGACGTTTCGCCAGATCACAAGCCGGGTCCAATGCCGCTCGAGTTATTGTGAAGAAAGAACCCCCTTCCTCGCCTGCCATGCAGATCAACACCCGACCTCGCCCGCGGAGGTTGGACCTTTCCACTAGCCTTCCGAATTCCGGAGGATTATCCGCTCGAGCTCCCGGCGGTCCTATGACGGCTCGTGAGGGTGTCAATATGCAAGACGTCGGTATCGCTTGTCTGTCTCCCGGATTCCAAACCCACAACCCAGCGATGAGGGAACAGCTGCAGCGGAGCCTGTCGGTTCGGGATCAGCAAAGATCAATCATTGAATCGCGTCTCCAAAAGTCCGCCAAGGATGATGGACCGGATGGGGTCAAGCCATCGGAAGCATTCGGCGTTCCCAGGGGCAGTGTTTCGAAGAGAAGACCGCCGCCGGGGTTGTCAATCGTGCCCCCTTCTGCGGCCCAGTTTGCAAACGAGCGTGTCATCCAATCCGCACCGTTGCATCAGACATTCACGGGTCGACACGAGGCACAACCGCTGACTCGCCACGTCGTTAACCAAAGTCCGACTTTAGGATCTACCTCCCACATCCACCATGTCCCCGCCACTCAAACGAACAACCGTCTTCCGCCGTTGTCTGATGTATTTGGATCCGATGCTTTGGGTGCTCGTGATCGTGATGGGAGCAGAGGATCATACTACCCCAACGCAACTGGGAACAACCTCCCCCAGTCAAACAATCTACCTCCGATCCCTTCGCCTCGGATATCTCGGGATGCGGCGCAACCCCCCAAGCGGCCCAGGGAATACCGCTCCGCGGAAGAAGCGGTCCAGGAGCTGTCCGGTGGACGAGAGGAACTTCTGCCGCGCATTGTGCACTATGGTGGTCACCAGCCCCCGACTCCGCCATCTCCCCGTGTGGCCAGCCGCCCGCCGAAGTCCGGTGTACCCCATTTGGATGCCGCGCCCATGACAACCGTGCACCCTCCGCCGCCGGCACTATACCCGTCGGAGGGCACTGCCCGTCGTCGCTCGAGAAACGAGTACGAACATGAACACGGAAGTCCGCCTCTGGGCCACGGCCCCGAGCCACAATATCGCCCTAACCCGGCCTTGGCCTCTGGCGCAAGCGCTAGTCATGGCCCGTTTGGTGCGGGGAGGGACTCTCCCGAGACGCAGCGCAAGAAGAAAGAGGAATTCCTCAGTCTCTGTGCCCGTGCATGGGACCTATTCCATTCTTGATCCTTCACTCACTTTTGAGGGTTTCTGTATACCTAGTCTTGCTCAGACTCGTGAGCGTACTTCCAGACTATCCCTAGCCCTGGTGCGCGGTTTCCAGTGTTGCCGGACTTGGCTTTTGCTCAAGGCGCAATCCAGCAGCGGGTGATTGTGTGAAAGCACTGACCCACGGCTGGACTGCAAGCTTACAAACTTACATAATTAAGTGACGTGTGGAGGAAACATGTCGGCAGGATTGTTTCTGTTCTGGACATGATGAATATGCAAAACTACGACTATCTATATGAACAGCATGAACAGTCGCTCCTTACCTGCAGGGGAAGGTGGAACCTGTCCCCTCACAACCTTGTCCCTGATACCTTTCTGCATCTTATACCATCCAAGGCCAGACGCCTGCATCATTACCGTTTGTTATTGAATCTGCTCTTACTCCTTCGTGTTCGACCTTCCCCTCTTCTTGTTTCTTCTTCTTATTACACTTCTGAACCCTCCTTCTGGAACCGTTTGAATCGATACGAGGCGTTATTTGCTGGGGGCTCAAGATCGTGTTCTTCAAAGAATCTTGTCCATATTTGCTGTTTTTGGGGGACCTCATATTTCGGCGATCCTTGTTGTTGATCCATGGCTTGTTGCGATACCATTTGTTTGACTGCCTTTCTTATACATCCGTTTTTCTGAGGAACAATCATTATTGGATGACTCAGTTTCTCCCTGCCAGTTGGCATTGATAATTATCTCTTAAGTCTTGGTATACATTGGATGGAGCTCGGACTCCTTGGAGGCCGAGTCGGATTGTTAATGATGAGCATGCTGTTTTGGCTTATTGGCTGCCATCGTAAATAGCATTGATGTTTCCGAGAGGGTGTATCTGCTGAAGTCATAGACAGGGGAACACTGCGAAGTATATACATTAATAAAAATCAGATAGAAACGCCGTCAGACTAGTACTCGTATCGACGGCGTTTAAAGCCACCACCGCCGCCCGGCCCATCATCGGTTTCGAACGCTCTCCGTTCCCACGGCATCTCCTTCCTCTCCTTAGCCGTCGTCTTCTTCCGCTTCCTCTCCATGGCCTTTGCCCGGTCCTTCGAATTCATACTCTCGTACTTCTTGAGCAAGACCTCCTTCTTCAGCTCCGACTTCTTCATATAGTACGGGGTACTCTTCTTGCCCTCGCGAATAAGCTGCTTCTCCCTCTTCTTATGATCGGCCAGGATCTCCTTCTCGCGCTTCCTATTCTCCATCGTCTTGAGACGATCCTGGGCCGACCGAATCGCCTGCTTCAGACGCTCCTTCTCCTCAGGATTCTTCGTCCGGGCATGCTGCGCCTTCAACTCCTTCAGCTCATCGGCGCGGTACTCATCCAGGAATGCGTACGCCTTGCTCGACACCTGGGGATTCCGGTGTCCGTTCTGGCTCAGCACCGCCGGGTCGAACCGGGGGTCTCGGGATTTGGCCACGCTCGGTGGCTCGATGACTGTGCGCTTGCGCGAAACGGCGTATTTGGACGATTGCATGGCGGGCGCGTGTTTCGACGACCGGGAGGGTCTTTCGCGCTCGCGCTCACGTTCGCCGTCATTGGTTTTCGATAGGCCTTGGCGCTTTTGTTCGCGCGCTTCGCGGATTCGCGCCCGGATGTCGTCGAGGGGGGAGGGAGCTGCCGAGGTGCCAGAGTCGGTGGTGGCGGATTTGCTGGTTTTGGAGGTGCGTTTGGATTTGGGGCCGAGGGAGGCTTGCGCTTTGGCGAGCGCACCGAAGGAGATGCTGCTTAGGGAGGCTTGGACGTCGTCTTCGGGGGCAGAGGTGGAGGAGTTGTCGGAGCCCGAGTCGGAGGCTTCATCTTCGTCTTCGTCGTCGAGGCCATCTGCGTCATCTTGGGACTATGGAAGCATTAGTATATCATGTTGCTTGGTGCGCTGTGCTGGAGCGAGGAGACAAACCAAATCGTCATCCTCCTCGTCCTCTTCCTCAGAGCCATCGCTGGCGTTGTCCGACTCCTCGTCGGAGTGGCCATCGTCGCTCGCCTGGTCGGACCCCGTCTCGTCCGAATAGACTTCCTCCTCCGCCTCCGGTGCGGCGCGTACACGGCGATTCAAAAGATCCGAGATAGCCATATTGATCCCAGTTGCAGGTTGTCAGTCTGGAATCTGGAGAGTGGAGGGAACTGAAAACCCAGGCGCGGAGGCGGTGAAGTCGGAAACCCCCAAAAAAAAACCGAAGCGTCGAATCTGCCGGGCACACGGGGCGGTGGGGAGGGCGGCTCGCGGGGATTTTTGTTTGCCATCCGCAACGGGGTTCCGCTCGGGGCTTTGCGCTGCTTCACTCTCCGGCCTGGTGACGGAGAGAGAGAGAGAGAGAGAGAGAGAGAGTGTGTGTGTGTGTCAATCCATCGATTCTACACTCTACACTGCTGGGCTGTTGATGTTGTAGGAGCTCGCCTCTGCTATGCTTGCCATTAGGCCGCCTGCCTCCGTCGCAGCTTCTCTTTCCCGGCCCTTTCGAGGCGGGGTGTCTTCCAAGGTGCGTATTCTGGCCCGCGATAGACTGGACTCTGGACTTGATGATCGCATGGTGTTAACAATTTCATAGCTCAGGCTGAACCCCGTCGCCTTATGTCATCATCGATTCAAATCCCGTTCGACCTTCCTCACATCCTTCCTCGGGGAGCAACACGTCGAACCTAAGACCCCTCCGCGCAAAGTGGAGTCTCCTCTCAGAAACGATACGGACACTCCTGTCGTCGACTGCCAGATTGAAGATAAACCCGACCAATCCTTCCCCGGGGCGCAGTCCGTCGAAGACACGACCCACTTCCGCGAAATGCATCCTTTCGGAAATAATGCCCATGGCGCCAGTAGCCAGATGAATTTTGGACTCAACCCGAATGCGGAGCCATGGAGACCATATCAGGATCGTTGGAGAGTGACAGAAGGGCACCATGGAGGTGCAGGGGAAACGGGTGGGGTGATTGCCGAGGATAAGAAGCAGAAACAGGATCAGGCAAGGTTATCAGACGCAAGCCTAGCTAAGAAGGTTCGCGCTGATGAACGGAAGGCAAGGAAGAAAGCGAAAAAGGCGGCATCTCGGGAAGCAGCTGCTGTACAGGCTGCCGAGAAAAAGCACATTCCTGAACCCCCAGCGCATAAGTCAAGGAGGGCGGCGCCTATACCAAAGAAAGCATATCTGGACCAGGCAGCTGGCAAGCCTCAGCCAATTCGCCAGCGGCAGCCTTTACTCATCGTTCTCGACCTGAACGGCACGCTTATTCACCGGTATCGGAAAGGCGTCCCGCTCCGCTTCGTTTCAAGGCCGGGACTGGATGAATTCCTGGACAGGTTGCTGAAGGAATACCGGGTCCTGGTATGGTCGAGTGCCAGACCCTTGAACGTCAAAGGTATCTGCGACACGGTCTTCAGCAAGGCCCAAAGGGAACAGCTACTCGGGGAATGGGGCCGGGACGAGTTAGCCCTGGCACCCGAGCTTTACAATGCCAATGTGCAGGTTTACAAAACCCTCGACACCGTCTGGGAGAACCAACCCATTCAATGGTCATACAGACCGTTTCCGATCAGACGCCGCCGTGAACACGAGGAAGAGGATGACAATGATTCAGGAGACGCAAACACTCAAGCCGCCAAGGCTGACGCGGGCGCGGCCACCGAGGACGCAGTGCAGGCCTTCATGAAGAGCGGCAAACTTGCAGACCAAATCAAGATCTGCTGGGATCAAACTAACACCATCCTCCTCGACGACAGCAAGCTCAAGGCCACCTCCGAACCGTACAACGTGATCGAGATCCCCACGTTCACACGAAACACCCGCCCCGATGCCGATGAGCGAAACATCCTGACCAAAGTCCTGGATCTCCTGGAAATCCTATCCAGCCACGAGGACGTCAGCACGGTACTCCACAAGTGGGACATGACCGTAGCCAACAACCCAAAGATGAGTAGCATATTCGATATCGGGAATGAAGCTCTCGAGGAAGCTCAACAACCCGATCCCACCGCGAACGTTCCCAGCCTCATCCGCCGCGTGCACAACCTGAGGCCCGAAGAAAAAGCTTCGCTGCCGGCATTAAACCGCGAACAAAATGCCAAGAATGGCAAACGCAAGAGGAAGGCTGCTCGTCGAGCCGCCGAGGAAGCGGCGAAGGCTGCAAAGGCTGCTTCTGCTTCCGAGGGAACGAGAACGCCTGCCACTGCTACTAGTACCACGCATGGTGCTCCTGCAGTTGCAGTCGCATCCGCATCAGCATCAGCATCACCACACCTCCCTACCTCTCCCGCGGGCGGCGCATCACTCCTCCTTCCAGAGCGGAATAAACAAGAACATGAACAAGAACATACCACCACCACCACTTCAAATACAGATACCCCAACCAATCGCCCCTCCTCACCTGCCTCGTCCGTGCAATCTGAGAACTTCCTTCTAGATGAGCTGGAGAAGTCTCTTTACAACTAACCAACCAACCAATTGATTCTGTCTGAGTTGGTCTGCTCTCTGATTTATCAACTAGTATCGGTTTGGGAATTTCTTTACATATCATGTCATACGGAGTACCATCATACCATATTTTGCATACCTTGCATACTTTGCATACCATACGCGTCATTCAATCCCCTACTTACATTAACTACCTCCCTACTTTAGACCATTTTTTTTCTCCATGATGCTTGGTTGGTTCTTGGTTTGTAGATACTGTTTGGCCGTGTTTGGTGCAGTTGTGGGCGGGGAGGGGGTTCTTTTAGGAATTGAGGGAGTTGAGGAGTTAAAGTCTAAAGAGGAATGAGGACGGAGGAGTATGTATGTATGTATGCATGTATGTATGGATTTATCTTATGCATTTTTATCACGGGTTCCGGGTTCATATCTACTACCTAGGTACCTATTCTGTGTGTATGTGTATGTGTATATGTATTACTATAGACAAAGAGGGAAGACTTATCAAATACCCAGAAAGATAGATCTCATATAAAAAGTACAAGGTATAAATAGTACTGACTGACTGGACTGGATGAACACCATGAATAGTTTATATAAATACCATGTTTGAAGTATGGAGGGAAGGGGTAAAATAAGAATTGGCACTGACTTACTACGTACGTACTGGGTGCATGCAACCTGAATGAATGGTTATTGGACATTTTTGGACATTTCTCTCTCTGTCTGGGCTTGGGTTCTGTTGTACTATCCATGTAGTTATGGTCAGGCAGTGAGTATAGTTCTGAATACTCACTCTCACACTCGCCCAGTCACTTACTACATTTAGACAGATGAAGGGTAGGAATTGCTTGTATAGGGTAGGGTATTGTTTGTTAACAGGTTACACACACACACACACACGGAGAGAGAATACGAATTAAATTACCTAAGAGTACATACTACGAAGTACTACAATCAGAAATAGTGGAAAGCTCGAAGCACTAGTTGGGAATTGTTTTAACTAGATACTAGTATGGTCCATCTCGATCGTAAGCGTGACATTACGCGTAAAACAAAGGTGGGCGTGATGGGTGGGTTCATTTGAAGAAGGGAGTCTCCAAAGAATGAAAACACGTAAACCAGTCCATCAAGGGCAAGGCAACATGAGTGCGGGAAGGTGAGTGGGGGAAGGACAACCAGACGGAAGGAAGATGATATAGACTGGACGGGAAATAGCGCCACAGGCGAACATCATGCCTTGAGGGGGATCCGACCAGTGCCCCTCACCCGAGGGGAAGGGGGAGGAGGGGATGTAGGGTGGTTATTTGGAGGCCAGGTTCATCTGAGAGACCACCCGACGACGAGAAAAGAAGAATGGGATATCATGATCATGAGTTGGCTATTAGCGCACACGCTTATTTGAAGACGTGGCCGTCAACGTTGGGGAGCTCCTTGCCGTCAACGACGAAGGGAGCATCCCAGGCCCAGATGTCCTCGATGAGCTTGCGGTCCTCAGCGTTGGTGTGGTCGAGCTTGCGGAAGGTGTAGCTCTCCATGTCGGGGGCGACATCGAAAGCGGGACCAGCCTCCTGGCCACGGATGAGGAAGACACCGCGGATGATGCAGTCGTTGTTGGTACCGAAAACGGCCTGGCAACCGAAGATGTACTTGCGGGAACCCTCAAGACGGGCGTGGAAGCCACCGATCAGGTTGTTGGCCATGAAGGTGAGCTTCAGCTCGTTGTCGTACTTGTAGTCGACGGCCCAGAGGGAGTACTCCTCGGGGTTGTAGTTCTGCCAGAACCAGGGCATGGCCACGGAGCGGGTGTCCTCGTTGGAGTACTGGCGCTTCCACTCGTCAAGGACGAGGGTGGGGCGACCGAGAGCCTCAAGAGGGTGCTTGGGCTTCTTCTCCTCAGCGGGAGCAGCCTCAGCGGGGGCGGCGGCGGCAGCAGCGGGGGCAGCCTCCTTCTTGGGCTTCTCCTCCTTCTTGGGGGGAGTGTACTTGATGGTCTCCTCAACGAAGACGGGGTTCTCAACAACAGCCTTGAAGGCGGGCTGGTTGACGATGGTGTTGTACCAACGGGTCAGGCCAACGTGCTCCTCACGGAACTTCTTGTCCAGAACGGTAGCGAAGGCACGGGTGAGAAGGGCGGCGGTGAAGAAATCAGCCAGGGTGATGCGCTCGCCAACAAGGTAGGTGTTGGCAATGAGGTGGGTGTTCAGAACGCCAGCGTTCTTGGTGGCAGCCTTGGCAGCATCCTCAACGTTCTTCTTGTTGTAGCCGTCCAGACCCAGGAGAGGGCGGTACCAGGCACCGAAGCGGGGGAGGAGCTCCGAGTTGGCGAAGGACAACCAACGGAGGATGGAAGCGTAGTCCTGCTTGGTCTTACCAAGGAGGGTGGTCTTCTCGTTCTGGGAGGTCACTTTGAGACAGTTAGCTTCGGAGGCCCCGCAATGAAAAAAAGGCCCGAAAAGCCAAGTGGCCACAAAAATCTCTTCACCCCAAGCGGGGTAGGCAATCAATTCAGAGTTACATATTATCAACAGCTTGCGTATTTTATACTTCTGACAGGGATAACTTAAAAAACATCTCATCATGTAGATGCCAGAGACAGCCAGACGGGGGGCGCGGGGTTAGGAACGTACGGTAGACGGAGACGGCAATGGCCTCGGAGAGAGTGTAGCCATTGGCACCCTCGAAAGCGGGGACCTTGCCGAGGGGCTGGAGCTTGGTGTACTCAGCAGACTGGTTGAAGGCAGCAGCCGAGTTGGGCTCAGTCTTGACCAGCTCAACGTCAACGTCGTTGGCCTTAGCCGCGACGAGGGCGGCGATGGTGCGACCGTTCTCCTGTTGAGAGTGGGTTAGCAGCTGGTACGAAGCCGGAGGGAGAGTTGCAGATCAACCCGAAGGGATGCAGAAGGGGAACATACAGCAAGACCGTAGACCTTTCCGAAAGACATTGTGAAGGATGTGTGGATGGAGAGGAGAAGAGGAGGGGAAGAGAAGAAGAGAAAAAAAAAGGAGGGGAAGAGAAAGTTGTGCGAATCACACCAGACCGCCTCGGACCGGAGCAACCCTGTTCCGCAAAAGCACGTGATCCGGCTCGAAAAACCTCAGGATCTCCCAGTTCGGCCAGCCGCGACACGCCGGTCTGGGTCGTTGTTGAGGTGCTCGCCATATTCCCCCCCTTCCTCGATCCCTTCCAGAATCCGGCCCCTGCCAGCCGGTTTGCCCCCCGTCATGGCCTGGCAAACCTCCAATGGCCTCGTGCACGCCGTGCACGCCGTCCGTCGAACTGCTCAACTGCGGCCTCTCTCCGTGCTCTCCGCCTCCACGCCCCTTACCCTCCAACAAAGACAGCCCGCTCGTGGTTATGCGACTGAGGGGTCGCAGCAAAAATCCGGTGCAGCCCCCGAGATCGACTTCTCCACGTTCAAAAACACGCCCTCCCGGATTGTCCCCGTGTCGCCGGCCTACTTCTCCGGCAGCCCCAAGTTCATCGACCATATCCTGAACCTGGAACACATCCTCGCCAAGTATGCGTCATTACCGACGGTGGCCCCGGGCACCGCCCCCCGAATGGCCTGGTTCAAGCTTCTCCAGTTCCGGGAAGTCGTTGGCGAGCCCGTCCCCACGAAGAAGTACAAGAGCCTTCTCGCGATCCTGCAGAGACTCAACCGCATCGAACCCAAGCTCATGCCGGATGAGGTGCAGAACGCCATGAATGTCTTCCTCCGGCCGGGCAACCCGTACGCCTTCAAGCCCGTCCCCGCGACGTTGGATGAGAGGGGCGTTGCCCGCGGCAAGGGCAAGCGCAAGGCGGCCTCGGCGGTGGTGCACTTGGTTGAGGGTGAGGGTGAAGTGCGGGTGAACGGACAGACGCTAGTCGAGGCCTTCCCCCGTATACATGACCGAGAGAGTGCCACTTGGGCTCTACGAAGTACGCAACGGCTGGACAAGTATAATGTGTGGGCGTCGGTCCAGGGCGGAGGACACACTGGGCAGGCGGAAGCGGTGACATTGGCGGTTGCACGGGCTCTGATGGTCCACGAACCTGCTCTGAAGCCTGCTCTGCGCAAGGGTACGTACTCCCCACCCCTCACGAGACGCTGGGCACTGCCCATGGTGGAATTTACTGACCGAACCTCCTTACAGCTGGCGTTATCACGGTGGATGCTCGTCGCGTGGAGAGAAAGAAGCCCGGTCACGTCAAGGCGCGCAAGATGCCCACCTGGGTCAAGCGGTGAAAGCGCGGCGGACTTCGGCGGGGGAGACGTTGTATCGCTTCTTCATTTTCTTTTATTTTCCTGGTTGTATTATTCCACTTGGCCTTGTGATTCTCGACGAAAGTATATCCTGTATTGCAAGCATCCCAACCCGGTGTCACGGGCGTCGTTTCAGGACACGACACTGCATGTTCTCGGCGGCAAGCATGTAACTATTGGCGTTGAACAATTGAACCGAATTATAGTGCAGACCACCGACCACCTGTGCGACGGTGGAGTTCGGGGTGATTGGAGGAGGCCAAGAGGCGCCGTAGACTAAGCGGATTACCGGACGTGAGCGGTTTGTCCCACGGTACTGGGAAGGGTCCAGGTGAGATCTTCGTGTCGTTGGCCGCATCTCGCCGTCGCCGGTCAACAAGGCCGAAAAGGGGCGGGGAAGGGGGGAAGAGAAGGGGGGGGGGATAGAGGTCCATCTATATAGGGGAAAAGGGGAAATGGACTATCCACAGCCCGCTGTCAGTCCTCCAGGCAATCGACGCCGACTAGCACATCCACCTTATTCGACCCCGACAATTGAATCCGGCCTGATAACGACCCAGCGCCTCGTTACACAATGAGCCCAAGCGGTCGGTAGTGTCAGAGACCAAGACGCGACTATTTCATAACGTGGCGCCCTCCAATGATCTGGAGGGGAATTGGTGAGCCTGATGGGGTGTTCGTGTCTTGATCGAGTTAAGAAAGACTGGCTGACCGGCTGGAACCTGAAGTTGGTAACACAAGGAGGAAGCGAAGTCCCAGGCGAGCGAATATCGCTCTCTCCCAATGTTCGAGGTGACGCGATAGGATGGTCTATACGGCCGGATTTTCCTGAGCTGCCCGGCGTGTCGTCATCCGTTCGATTGGGAATCCTTCCCTTCTGGAGTCCTTACGCCCTCATCGTCATGGCCACCGTCATCCTACAGCCTGTGCCGGGCGGCACGAGATCCTGGAGCGAAATCAATTATTGTGCGAGGGCATCGCGATAGAGAGTCAGTCCAGTGTGGCGGAAAGCACGGCAAGGTTGACGGCCGACCAATTGGATAAAATGGAAGCAGGATAGAAGAAAGAGGGATTGGTCTGTTCTGGCCTATGGGGAGAGGGGGGGGATGATTGCCTTGGTGATGCGTTGATGCTGTACGGAGGGATCGGTCTCTGTGCGAATCATGAATCAGGGGGCATGACATGTTTGGTACCTTCTGTCCGAGTCCAAGTAGAATGCCTCAGCAGGGTGGAGAAGGCAATCATAATAGCATTATTATTATTATAGTCGACAGGTTTATTGTTGCAGCCTCTCCCTCGTGTGGCTATTGTCCAGCTCCACGAGGGCACGATGGGTTTCAGGTTCATGGCCTTCTTCAGCCGCGAGCATGCAGTCGAAGGCTCCGCAGACCAGCATCCGCTGGATACCGAAGGGAGATCTCCAGATATCGCCGCGACGCCGACATCAGCCCCATACCTTCAGAAGTACTGCACTTGCCTACTCCGTCGTAGCTCCTGAGTGCAGCGTCCTCCCGAGTAATGACAGGACACTCGGATCCACCACGGGCACGAGCTGCAACTGTCAGGCCGGGCACGAGGCAAACCCATCGCCTGTCTCCCATCCAATCATCCCCGATCGGATGAAGATGCTCGACGGCACTGATGAGTTCCGATCGATGACGGCGATTCTGAGATCTCGTGGGCGCGGTGAGGCTGGAGACGCCTCACTTTCGCGTCCGTGAACCTTGAATTCCATGAAGTTCCCTTGGGGCCATGATTTGGAATCCCTCGGGCTGGCGACGCCGTACGTACTTTCTGCGCTGGGACCTCGGCAGCTGACAGAGAGACACTCCCAGGCGGCGCCCTTCTATCTAGTGCCCCCCCCCCCCCCCCCCAAATGAGAAAAAAAAAAGGACCCAAAACCGGAATGGAATTAGTTCCGACGTGCCCTTCCTGGCTTCCTGCGGGCTAAGTTAGCTTGTTCTGACTTCCAATTGCAACGATGCAGATCCCCTGCCTGGTCGGACCAGCGCGGCCTCAATTGGTCGGGGCAGGGACACGCCCTTCCCAGCAGGACGGAAGGTGTGCGACCCGGCGGCTTAGCCAGGCACGGCGCGATCATATACTTCAACCATCGTGATGGGCCCTGAGGAATGAGGAACCGAACCGTTCGTATCTCGCTACGCGCAGTGCCTTGGTTTCCCGATGACGAAGCCAGATCGGATCTGGCTGATGCGATGGCGTTCCGATCACCAGTCACAGGAGGCCCCCGTGGTCGCTGGGCGGCTGCATGATGCAAACCCCATTATTTCTCCGACTCAGGGCTCCCGAGTCATAGATGATAGATAATGGCCATTCAAGGCGAGCCCTTGGACGGTCCACCACCCAGCTCCCCGGTGTCATCGCGTCCCAGAAAGCGGTTCTTCCCGTTGTTCTAAGTCGGGGGGCGCAGCGGATGGGTTCCACGGAACCGGACCAAGGGGCTGCTTGCCTCACTCTGGGATTTTCCTTCTGTATACTCCGTACTTCTGAGCCGGGTGTTCTACTTTGGCTCTCTGGCGCAGATCTCCGCAGCTGCGCGCGCGGATCCAGGAGACTGGTTCACGGTTCTGTGCATGGACCAGAAGCCGATCACCGAAATAGTGTTTCGGGAGGGCTTTAACTTTAAGGGCCCCTCGGGACGGGCAGTCAATCAATCAATCAACCGAACAATCGATCCATCAATCAATAAATTTGATGGATGCCAGGATTTGGAATGATGATGAGCGGAGGGGGGCCAGACTAGGGGTTAGTGTCAGAGGCTAGTCTGGACGGCCTGAAGGGGTAAGTGGTGGTAATAAACCGGGTGGATGTATCCAGGCAGCTGCTCGATATAGATAGACCGGAGCTGTCAGGAGTAGGGCAAAAGTGTCAGCCTGTAAGGTACATGGCTAGCGGGCTAGTGTCGAGACTATAGCTTACCTGGCCCCTGGGAACCCGGTCAGCCAACCTTATCGGGACTGTCAAGTCCACGGAGATGCGAGAGACGGCGCCGCGCCTAGTCGTAGGTGTGCAGCCGCCAGCCAGCCCGATGGATCGACTTTTGCTGGCTGGACTTTTCAGGCTTTCAGCCCGGCCAGAAGCCCCGAGTAGCTCCGCGCCTCGTGTCGGACCCATCATCGCCCACAATACATTCATTAATTTTTTTTTTAAAAAAATATCTCTCTCTCTCTCTCTTTCTCTCTCTTTCTCTCTCTCTCTGTGTGTGTGTGTGTGTGTGTGTGTGCATGTTGTGTGTGCGCGTGTGTGTGTCTGACTCCCCTAGCCGCCTGGGAGCGGAATGGATTGGATGGATCTGAAGAGGAATGGCTGGTTCCCTTCCTGTGGGGGCGACCATAATTCGTCCACCATTGTGTGCTTTATCACCACCACCACCACCGTCACTATTTGCCATCCTTGGCGTGGAGTCCCGATGGATTGGTCCGCAAAAGAAAGAATGGGTGATCATTTAGCTCCGGGAGAGGGTCCTGGGAATGGTAGGTGCAGAGGGCAGTCAGGGCGCGTGCCATTGTAGTGGATCTGGTGTTTCTTGGTGGTGGGGCTGGAGTTGTTGGAGATGGAGGGGGAGTTGAGGGAGGGAGGGAAAGAGAGAGAAAGAAAGAGGGAGTGAGCAAGATGGAGTGTGTGTATAAGAGAGAGAGAGAGAAAGGCAGAAAGAGGAAAGCAGAGCAGGGAAAAGATGCCTCAGGGTTTGAAAGCGTGCTGGCAAGCAAACATGCCCTCTTTGCTTCTCGTTCTCTCTCTCTCTCTCTTTCTTTCTCTTACTGTCCTCCACTTACTCCCATATTCCCACATATCTTGTACACAACCTGTACACAAATCTGATTCTCAATCTATATGTGACCCTCTTTCCCCCCCACATCACAATGGCTCATCCACTCGTCCTCCCCAGCCAGTAATCTCCAGAGGATCGATCCCCCCTCGCTGTAAGCCCAAACCAAAACCCCAACTAAAAGGCCAGCCTGAAAAATAAAAACAAAATAAAAAAAAAAGGAAAAGGGAAAGGGAAAGGGAAAAAAAAAAAGAAACGAAGCCTCCAGCTGGTTTGATTGCGGGTTTCTTTTTCCAGCTGCGGCCTCGTTTGTTTTTCTCCCTCGTTTCTCGCGCCTTTCTAGCTGCTGCAGACCCTCTCATTTCTTTTTCCTGCACGAGTCCCTTCCGTCCTGGTGGTGTTTGGGGAGGGGACAGGACAGGACAGGACGGGGTCCTCTCGGATGGTTCCTCTCTCTCTGACTCCAGCACGAACTCTTCAGAGACGCCGAAGAACAGGAAGCCCGAGGTTTCAGGGACTGCGAGACTGACTGATCGACCGGCCCCAGAGGCTTTCCAATAATTCCCTGCGGATCATCCCATCTGTCTTCCTCAGGCTGCCCTGCTCCTGCTGCTGCTGCTGTTGCTGCTAACGACTTACTACTTCCTACTTCCTACTTCCTCCTTCCTCCTTCCTCCATGCTATAAGTAATCCGTACATCCCAAATCCTGCATACCCTCTTCCTCTCGTCCATCTGTTGCACCCCTACCCCTCCCCCCACTCTTCTTGCTTCCTTGGCTTCTTCTCCCTTCTCCTCTTTCATCTTCCTCTTCCTCTCCCTCTTCCTCTTCCTTTTACTCTTCATCCTCCTCCTCCTCTTCTTTATCTTCCTACTTTAGTGTCTGGGGTTTGAACCCGAAAGGCCTTATTCCTCCAGACCAACTTTGGGCTGCAATCCCAAACATCCACCACGGACCTGGCTTCCAGAGGCCCCCCAACCATCCACTACGAGGGCTGTCGACTCGTCATTCAATTTTCTCTCGATCATCCTACCCGTCTATCACCGACCCTCGCTGCCTGTGGTTGAAAGAGACCCCTCCTTCCGCCCCTCGCTGCCCCTCCATCGCCCGGCCCGTCTCTCGGTCGACTATCCCCAGCCGTGCGGCCCAAGTATATACGCACCCAATCACCACCTAGGATCCATCCAGGCTTTCCCATCAGGTGCGCAAATCCTCCAGAATCTTCAAAAGCAGACCGGCCTCTCTGCCCCGGGGTTTTTTTTATATCGCGACGGCTGATCGGTGTGTGGCTATATAGATCGCGTGCGCTGGTTGTACCCGCGTCCCTGCGCAAGAGTGAAACCGTGAGACCTTCGCGCGCTTACCTGCGATTCTTGTTGGCTTGGATCTCAATCCCCTGCTAGCAGCAAAAGCCCCGGAGCGAATCGGCTCGAACATCCCTCTCTCGCCTCCCCAGACCCGGCCGATCGGACAGCCCGCCAAGCTGGAATCCTACGTGAGCCCGCCGCTCTCCCCGCTCGCGCATTGGTCGTTCGACCTCGATCCAGTGCGTAGGGGAATGGATGGCGAGATCCGGCGCATGAAGCAGCATGACCCGCACGCCCCCTTCGCGGCCAGATCTGGGATGTCGCGCCGCGCGGCGGATCGCTTCAGACAGGCCGGGGCGCCGGCCACACGTGGAGACCCATCCCAGGCGACAGGGCGGCCTCGCATGTCGGGCTACCTGGACTACGGATACACAGACGCTCCCTTCCAGGGCGGTCCGTTGCAGGGAGACGAGTTGCAACCGTACCCGCCGACGTTGCGCGACCAGCAGCGCCAGCACCAGTCAGTGCACCAGCCCTTGGCCCCCTACGATTCCGAGATGGTATACAACCTCAGCCAACAGGGCCCGGCACAAGCCCCGTACGAGGTCGTGCCACCCTACCCATCACGGCAATCTGCAGCGATGGAAGCCCTGTCTAGCCACTTTGGCGTTCCACAGTATTTCCCTCCTAATGAACCGACGGGCACCGCCATGGAGTCGCCCTACCTGTCATCGCCGATCCCGCTGGCCGTTTATAACCATCCCGGCGCCATTGGCCGCTCGAGCGCAACGCAAGTCTTTCCCCCAGCCATGTCCGATCTGACCTCGGTGGGCGCGCCCTCGCAGCCGCCGCCGCAGTCATTACCCCAGCCGTCGCGGGCGGAATCCGAGGCAGCCAGCATGAAGGAGTCGTATGCCTGGTTCCAACGAGTCTTACGAGAGGCCTTCGACCGCACGCGCGCCGGCCGATTGGTAGAGGCTAGTCGATCGCTCTTGGAAATCTCCGAGTGGCTTGTGACTAATGCGCGGGAGCTCGGTATGTCCCTTTTAGCGTTCTCTTCCATGCCCACCACGCCAAATGTTTATCCACCCTTCCCCTCCTTAATACTGTGCTAGGCTTCTTAGCGGCCTGCGACGTACATGGCACCGGTACGTCATCGTACTCGCGCGCTGCATGGGCCTGAGCGACAGTCGACAGTCGACAGTGAGGCTAACTGGTGTCTTGACTAGGGATCCTGCGGGATGACCAAGTGATGCACTCGGACCGACTGCAAATCTGGAATGACTTCAATATTTGCTGGCTGGCGGTGTGCCAAAAGCAGAAAGACCTGGCCCAGGAATTGCTGCAGACCGGTCGCCAGCCGGCCCAGACCAGTCTCCTGAGTGGCGACGCGATGGACAACCTGGGCAAAGAGCTGATCCAGTTCTGCGACCGGATGGAGCCCCATGGCTTGGTGGACTACCAGATGGGGATCTGGGAAGAGGAGATTCTGTCGGGTACGTGAGCCGGGGAATGTAATTTTCGAGGCGATCATGCTGACCTGTAGTCTGACATAGTGCTGGGCCAATGCCTGGACCTCATCGAAGGCCGACCCGACGTCTTTCGCACGGCGGGCTCACGCTGACGAGGGACGAGCAGTCGTACTTTTGTGGTGGCTTGGCTCACGCAGGGACTAGTTTAGTTAGTGCCTGCCCGACGACGCCAGGGCGGACTATCGAGTGATAGATGGATTTTCGCCGTCTGTGTCGGTCTCTCTTTCTGTCTCTTCTTTCTTTTCTTTTTTTTTTGGTTGCCCCCCCCTCCGCATCCGACCAGTCGCCAGGTACCTGCATTCCGGCCCCCACTCCTCGTGGTCAGATCGTCCCGGGGGTGGGATCCGTCCTATCGGGACGAAAGAAGCAGGCATGACAGCCCAAAAAAGAAACCTCGATCACCCCTCGGCGTTTGAAGGTTTGTTAGACGCATACCACACCACTGTTTCGCATATAGGGAGCACGGGTTGGCCGGGCGCACTGGTTGGTTTCAGGCTATAGACCTTGCTTGACTGACTGATTGATTGATTGGACTTGGTCTGAGGATGGCTGTGCGGCTGACCGTCGACAGTTGCCGCTCGACACGCTTAAGATCGGTGGTGCCTGACATGCATACAAACATCGGCAGATGTTCTGATGTTCTTCGAATGTTCCATCACCTTCCGACCCAACCTGGATATTGACCGGGGGGGGGGGGGGGGAGGGATGGATATGATTTTCCTTTTTTTTTTTTTTTCTTTTTTTTCCCCTTTCCTATCTCTTCATTCCTATGTCTCTCTTCTGTACTATATTGCCACACACCTATTTGTGAAGATGCCCCATGTATTATTGTTAGTTAGGATGCGGATAAGATACCCAGTTAGTATAATATAGTTATTCCTTTTTTTTTTCTCTCCTACCCTTTTTCTTTTTAATTATTAATAATGTTGTAAGGGAGTTCTTTGGAGAGGCTTTGATTGATTGATTGATTCTTTTCAGAAGCAAAGTTCCTTGAAAGAGAGAGAAAGAAGAGGAAGAGATTAGATCATGCAGCTGCATACATACATACATACATACATAGTGCATGCCATGACATGCAGTAAGCAGCTTGTTGGAAGCAAACCGACCACCCCATCCCTCAAAAGTGCACAACAACCAGCTCGTCCATCCTACCCTACACTCTACATACCGTACTACCCAAGGTAGGTTTTTACTATATACTCAAGTACAGACAGACAGACAGACAGGCTAGAATCCGAATAGAATGATGTTCTGTCCATCTCAACTCAACTCAACTCAACTCAGCTCAGCTCAGCTCAGCTCAGCTCGGCCCAGTTCGGCTCACCAGTCAGCCAGGGAAGCAGCTATAAAGACAAGGAGTGGAAACAGAGTTAGAAAACAAAGCTATTTACCTATAAAGACAGGGTTGGGGTGCAGAGTGCAGGGTGCAGTAGTGTGTTTGTGTTTGTGCTTACATGCAGGAGGAGGAGGGAGGTACCTACTTAGTACTAGGGACCTAACTGAGGGACAGGGTTGAGTCTAGAATCGCCTACCCAGCTAGAGTACCTACTTCTGTCTGCCTGTCTGTCTGTCTGGATGTTTGTTGTATATTCATCTATTTACTTGGTATTTGTCTCTTGTCTATGATCAATTAGGAAGGAGATACCCAATCGAGACAGAGCTAGTGTCCAGTCCAGTCAAGGGCAAGACAGACGTTAGAGCATTCGTTGGGCAGGAATATCGGGGTTTGGTGGCTGGTTCTATATTGAGGGGAGACGGGAGGTTGGGTATCCAGCTAGCTAGATAGTTAGCTAGATAGTTAGCTAGATTAGTAGTCTACTAAGATAAATGCAAGGGCGTATTTTCTACAGTCGGTACCTGATGGGTTGGGCGGCGTGTTTGACGAGCCGGGGTCGGGATCTGATCTGGATTGGATTGGATTGAGTGGAGGGAAAGGGGGTGGCGGCGTCTATTTTGTTTTTTTCTTTTTTTTTTTCCCTATACAACCAACTCAACCAACTCAATTAACTTACTTATTCAGGATGTGTGATGTATGATGTGCCAATACTATATTCTGTATATAGATGGGGATAGGGGTGTACATGTAGTTAGTGAGAAGAGAGACGGAATAAGTATGTAGTTTATTAACTAGCTGTGGTGGTGCCGAGGTACTTTTGCACAAGTAGTCCGACCATCTTTCTACCATCTCGGCGTCAGGGACATACAGACGGTGGAGGTTTCTTTCTACCTTTCGAAATTCTCAGTAACGCGTTCATATTGGCCTAATTTGAAAAAAAAAAAAAAAAAAAAAAAACATTCCAACTACTTCATCCATCCAATCCTCACTGATACGCCCGCTACTTCGCTACTGCACTCCATCTCGATGTTTCGGATAGGGCTGACCAAAAGGCAAACCCTAACCAACTCATCCACCCCCCTTGCAACCATCCGTGAACCCGCCCGCCTTCATAGCAACCTTGTTATTATTGAAGCATCTCGCCGCCGTCCAGATCGGCGTGTTAAAGGTAACCTTCCACTCATTGCCATCACTGTCCGGCTCATCCAGATAATTGAAGTCCCAAGCGGTAACGCCCAGGCCCACACAGCCCTTGATAGCAGGCAGCAAAGTATCCTGGCCCCAGTCGGTGCTGGCCCAGCCCCTGCCACGCATCTCATAGGAATCATAAACCACATTGTAGGAGGAGCTGCAATACCCATTGAGCTCCTTCATGGGCGGCCACGGGCGCTTGACGGAGTTCTCGACGTCAAGCTGGTAGATGTAGTTTCCGCGGGTCCAGCGGCCCCCGAACTTCCAGTTGAGCGGGTTCTCGGGGTCGTTCCCGTCGCAGCTGTTGATGATGCGCTCGAAGGACTCGACGCAGTGGGCCTCGTCGAAGGTGTTGGCGCCGCCTTGCAGGGTGATGCTGAAGACGTGCGCCTCGGGGGTCTGCGAGTTGAACCAGCGTTCGTCTTTCCAGTTCTTGTTGTGGTAGTGCCGGTTGACTTCGTTGCAGTACGTCTTGTAGTTAGTGTTCAGCAGGTCCGGGTTGGCGTAGTCCTTGCGCCCGTCTTTCTGCCAGCAGCGGAATTCGTTGGGCGACCGAGTGCAGGATGGATTTTTCTTTCCGAGGCGCCCTGATCGTTGATTGTAGATGCCGTCGAGAATGAAGGAGGCGATTGCGCGGTGGCCGATCTCGTTTGGGTGGAAGTATCGCCCCCAGCGGTCGGGGAGGCCGACGCCGAAGGAGATCCCATCATCGCCCGGGCAGCCAGGGGGGGAAGGGGTGCGAGGATCGAGTCGGTGGAGGACGGCAGCACCGGGGTTGGGCGAGTTGTAGAGGGTGGATTTGTAGAGGGCGGAGTTGCCGATGTCGATCTCGGCTTTGTGGCCGTCCATCAGGCTGATGTCACGCTTCTTCTTCAGTTCGCGCTTTCCGCCGATGGTCGTATCGGGCTTGAAAAAGGCGAGATTGGGCTGTGAGGGATCGGGATACTGGCCGGTCGACTCGGGACGGCAAAACTCGCCGTGGAGACCTTCGCGCACGAAGGCGTCCCAGTCAGCGGTGCCGATGAAGGGATAGGAATCCGTGCTCGGGCTAAGTTCATGCACAACGTCCTTGATGGCCTTGTTGATGTTCACGACCAGCGTGTTGAACTTCTCGCGATGTTCCTTGGTCAGGGCAAGGGGGCTGATGGGATCCAGGCGCGGGAATGCCCAGTCCTGGCTGGTGGCGCAGTCGTCGTTCTCGGTGTTGAAGAACTGGCCGTAGAGGGCGTAGATGATGACTCCGTTGTAACCCATCTTGGTCTGGAGTGCGGTCAGGATCTCGCGGACGTTGGGCTTGAGGATAGTATCGATGTTTTCCTGCGCCTTGTTGATGACGTCCAGGCACTTTTGTTCCCCTTGGAAGGGCAGGAAGATACAGGTTTTGATGATGTCGCTCTGTCTTGTCAGCCCAGGTCTGTCTGTCGACTGCTGGACGAGAGAGAACCTACCAAGCACAAGTCGTTTCCTCCGGCCGTCAGGACCACCAGATCAAGGTTACCGTACAGTTTGTTCACCTGATCGAATATGTCACCTGTGCGAGCACCACTGCACGCGACGTACTGGAATTCTTTGGCCTGTGGTCCGAGGGCATGCTGGAGGAGGGACGGGTACGACAGATCGTATCGAGAACAATCGTAATCGGCTTGCTTCTCGCTGTACAAGTCACCGGACCCGATGCCTGCAGTATAGCTGTCGCCGACAGCTGCCCAGCTCCCAATCCAGGTAAGGTCGGTAGGGTCCAGGTCCACCTCGATGTTGGAAGTGTTCAGGTCGAGAGCATGGCTGATGATGAGGTTCATCAGCAGAAAGAAAAGCAAGATCATGTTGGGGGTGGAGCTGCCAACGACAGCAGATGGGATAGATGGACAACAATCTGAGCTGACAAGATGAAAGGAAAGGGTGTGGGTGGGTGGAAGAAAGGATGAGAGATCGAGGGGAGGGAGTGGTGCTTTATAGACGGGGAGCCTGGAAGGCAAGCACTGGTGATGAGAGTCTCATTAAAGGGAATCATCGTAACTGGCTTAAACTTTTGGCCTCTGCGGGGTCCAAAATGACTTCATATAGGAGTCTAGGCTTGTTAGAGGGAATATATGGGGCTAGCAGTCACAGCAGTGTTGTAATTCATCCCAGGCAGTGTAAAATCGTTGCCTAGTGCTGTTGATGTGGGGTGACTTGAAAGTGTAGATGTTGACAGAAAAGATGACGGCATTGGTTATAGCAGTATATTCACAAGGGCAAGCTAGATTCTAAAAGTCTTAGATCTTCAGATTTGTTGGTCGTATGGCTGTAGCAGAATATCCCCGAGGGCAAGCTGATCTCTAAGGTAATTTAGACCTTCATCCCGTGTTGCTGATCTCAAATCACTCCAATACATCACTGCTCAGATGTAGTCCGGAGTTTGTGGTAGACTAATAAGAAAGGTAATGACAACACTGGTCGCAGCAGTATATTCACGGAACAGTATATGAGGGCATTCAAGCTACCCCTCTAATTAGTGTGGCTGTGAGATACCTTCACGTAGATCAGATGCAGTCTGGATCTGGCGAGATCCTGGTGACAGCTAGTCAGCAGTATATCCGCTACTTCATAAGCTCTAAGCCGGTGTCGATCTTCAGCTAGTATGGGGATATAGATTGAATTGTCTCAGTATGTCACTGTTTAGATGTAGTCCAGGCTGCGTGGTAGATCCCAATAGGAAAGGCGGCAGCATAAGTCACAGCATGTCAGGGATCAGTGCGGGATTTATTTGTCTGGGTCAGTATGTCATCTGAAAGTTGGTAGGGTATAAGGAATAACATGGCGACATCCAAGCTAGTGTTGATTTTGAGACAGCTTTTCTGGCACAGAGTGAATATATTATGGTCTAGATGTGATTGACTGTCCAGGTTTGCTGCAGGGAATATCCACCCATAAACTCTGGGCTAGCGCTGCTATGGCAGTGTTTTCCTGGGTTAGTATAATGGTATGAAACCATAAATCAGACACAATCTAGGCTTTGGTAGAGGGCAGGCCCGGTGGCAGACCAGTCAGTAATATCAAGAAACAGCATATGAATGCATCCAAGCTAGCGTTAGACTTTGACTAGCGTTGCTGTTAGAATGGCGCCGATGTAGATCAGCAAGGGAAGGTGTTGGGCTGCATCTAAATGCCCTCATGCCATTCATCTTGAGAAGACTGTCCCATGCTGTGAAAGCTGAACCTCTCTGTAGGCAGCAGTAAGCAGGCAGTCTCGTGAATAGACTGCCAATGTCTATAATAAAGGCCAACTCATCCCCCGATCTCCTGCAATCCAACAAACTCCAAGACAATCGCGGTTTACGTCCAACATGGCTACTCCATCGGTTTTCTCTTACCTTTTGTTCCTCCTGCTTGGCTGGCAGCTGGTCTTCAGTGCAGCCTTGTCGGACAACGTCACCAATGCGGCTTTCCCCTCTGACTTCAACAACCTCCTCGTGGCCCAGGAATACACCTGCACCAAGTCGCAGAGATGCGAGCGTGGATGCTGCGGACCTATGTACGTATTCCCACCTACTAGCCTTCCTTTGCTGATCTCTGGCAGCGACGACACTGGTACCGGCAACTGTGGCTTCGGCCCTGACTTCTGTGGCGACAAATGCAACTCTGACTGCGACCGCAAGGCCGAATGTGATCCTGGTTGGGGGACGCAATGGTCCCAGATGTCTACTTGCCCGCTGAATGTCTGTTGCAGCAAGTTTGGATTTTGCGGTGCGTTTCTCCATACAACCAGATGTCCTCTGCTAATACCAGCCAGGAACTTCTCATGACTTTTGCGGAGATAAGGTCGTCGTCTCGCCTCAGTGCAACGGTAACAGTGCCTCCAACCGAACTATCGGATACTATGAAGCGTGGAATCTGGAACGCCCATGCGGAAGTGAGTGCATCCTCCCCTCGACATGTCAGAGCTGATATCTTGTAGAGATGGGCCCGAAAGATATTCCTCTAGGATATTACACCCACATCAACTTTGCCTTCGCCTACATTGATCCTCAGACATTCCGCATCGCGCCCATGGATAACACGACAGCGCCACTGTACAGGCCCGTGACGGCGCTCAAAGGTCGACAGTCTGGTTTGAAGGTATGGATTGCTGTTGGAGGCTGGGCGATGAATGATCCCGGTCCGAGCAAAACCACGTTCTCCGACCTGGCTGCTTCCGAAGCCTCTCAGGACACGTTCTTCGACTCGTTGCTCAGCTTTATGCAGAGTAACAACTTTGATGGAGTCGACTTGGATTGGGAGTATCCAGTGGCTGATGATCGCGGTGGCCGCCCTGAGGATTTCGCCAACTACGTGACCCTGCTGAAGCGACTGCGCGAGCGGTTGAACCAGAGTGGCAATCATTATGGCGTGTCTATCACTCTGGTAAGTCCGGACTATGTTTTGAATTTGAATACACTGTGGTCCTAACCTAGACAGCCGGCATCCTACTGGTATCTGCGCGGGTTCGACATTGTCAACCTCGAGCCGCATGTCGACTTCTTCAACATAATGACCTATGATATCCGTGAGTCTTCTTCGCCAGAGCAGACTTCGAGTAGCTAACAGCTTCACCCTTCAGATGGCGTGTGGGACTCCACCAACAAGGAAATCGGATCGTTCGCACACGCTCACACCAACCTGACGGAGATCAACGCGGGACTCGAGCTTCTGTGGCGCAATAACATCAACCCGGAACGCGTCAATCTTGGGCTGGGATTCTACGCCCGCAGCTTCACGATGAAAGACCCGAGCTGTATGAAGCCAGGCTGTCCGTTCACGGGTGGGGCGCGTGCGGGCGAGTGCAGCGGCACGGAGGGGGTGTTGGCCGAGTACGAGATCAACAAGATCATCCAGAAGGGCGGGGCTGAAGTGACGCTGTACAAGGACGAAGCGGTCAAGGTCGTGACCTGGGACAAGGACCAGTGGGCCAGCTGGGACGACCAGGAGACGATGAAGCTGAAGATCCAGTACGCGAACCAGCGATGCCTGGGGGGAACGATGGTGTGGGCGATTGACCTAGACGATGGGACTTTGGTCGGGGAGTTGGGAAAAGCACAGGGAAAGAATCGGTCTCACACCTTGCCGGAGAACCCTCAGCTGTTTCCAGACTTGGGGACGGTGGACGTCGATGACTTGCTGGGATGGAAGAAGGCGACGGACAACAGAACAGGGGGAGGAGAGTGAGGAGAGTGAGGTGAGGATGTGAAGAAGTGAAGAAGTGTGAAAGTGAGGGAGAAGACGGGGGGGGGGGGTCATGTGGGAGCCGGTCATGTGAACTCGTCTGGATTGATTGATTGTTTTGTTTTGTTTTGTTTTCGCTTTCCATCTTGTTCTTCCCTCCACACAGAAATAAGCCACTTTATCGCTACATCACGTTCTATCTTATTATTTCTCTTCATATCCAAAGCAAGAAGGAGCCACAAATGCCTCATGGCCGCTTAACATTCGTGTTTACCCTTTAGACATACGTGCTCATCATGCCTCCGATGGCTGACCCTGCCAGCTGATGATGGGGATTGCGTGCCCATTGCTGCTTTCAAATGCCTCAGATGGCCGTTCTTGGTTTTTTCAACTGGTGATGGAGATTACGTGCTCATCATGTTATCTACTGTCTATCTGATTATTTCCATCCTCAGCAGCCAAATGGCTACTATGCTAGTCCAGCCTATGCTTCACTATCTCAGCCACTTTCCCATAAATGCCTCAGACGGCAACCTTGACCTTCCGGCTGGTGATGGAGATTACGCGCTCATCATTTTCTGTCTGGCTGGCCTACATCTCCAAGCCCAGCGGTTGAATGCCTCAGATGATTGCCAGCCGTTCCAGCTAATTCCTCCAACCACTTTCCATCCCGTCCGCTTCACATCCATCCATGAAGTGAGCCGATGCAAGGCCCAGCAACCTTCACCCATTCCACTCATCATCCCAGGGTAACTCGGGGACCTAATTGTTTCTGTGAATCACTAGATGGAGTCTCGACCGATCGCAAGCTCCTGCTGTGGGTTTATCTTCCCCCCTCGCCCCCTTCTTCCTCTCCTCTTTCTTCTCCACATCGCCCGTCCTCTCTGTTCTACAGATCTCTTATCTTCTTCCAATCTATCTCTTTGCTGCTAAGCCTATCAATCATCATGGCCTCCCTTCCCTTGTGGATATGGGTGGCAATGCTACTCTCAATGCTGCTTCCCAACGTCCATGCCGGCCACCCGACCTGGGAGACGGCTCGTTTCTCCACCCCCGACTGGATTTCCATCCGTCCCTGGGAGGCCGACACCCATCTCTGGCCCGACGCAATCCTCCCGTTCTGCTTTGATTCGGACGCCAATTTTGAGAAATACAGACCCCGGATCGAAAGTGCGTTTGATCTGTGGTACGCGGCGGGGCTGCCTAACAAACTGCGGTTCCGCTACCCAACTCAGGAGGCTTGCGAGGAATACCCCTATGTTACCATCCTGGTCAGGGACACCCCATCGATGATGACCGCAACCACCGGCGTGTCTGTTCCCACCGTGGGCGACGATGGGTACATCCCCGCTGCCGGGCCCCCAACCATGTACGTTTCCGTCGAGGAACAGGACACCTGGGAGGATAACATCAGGAAAATCGCACATCTGATCGGCCATCTCTTTGGCCTGCATCACGAGCACCAGACCCCGTCATTTTGGAACCCCAACACCAGGGATTCCCGGCAATTTGACTTCTGGTGTGAATATCTGGCGGATTTCGAAAAGAAGACCAAACAGCTGACCTATGAGGAGAGATGGGGCACTGTAGGCATCTGCCAGGATCGGACGGCTGCGATTCTATCGGGCTTCTCGGCGGCGAACTTCCTGCCCCTTGAGGCGAACACCTATTTTACCGACGCCCAGTGGTGGAGTACGCCCGATTGGAATTCCATCATGATATACAGTTCCTACGTTGGCGGGGCTCCCGATAGACAGGTTCTCCAGAAAGCAAATGGGGGTATCATCAATACCAATTATGTGCCCAGTGCGAAGGACGTCGCCGGCTTGAAGTTCCTCTATACTACAGGCATCTACGAGAATCCGTTGTCGCCGTTCTTCAATAACCCACTAAGCCCGTACTATGGCACCTTCAGGATGTACAACGGTTGCAATGAATAGGTTACCAACGACTCATGACCTCAACATTTACAGTGGATGATGGGTAGGATCGATCGAACGGCTTCAACAGCTTTGTTGGTCACCGTGGACGATGAGAGAGATGACTGGGATATTATGTTTGTTATTTTCTGGGATTTCATGATGGCACTCAACTTGCTATGGATACTGTAGTGGTGGTGTGGTTGGTTACTTTGGCTGGAATATCTAGGGTGATGATCACTGGATTTGTCTAAGGATCTGTAGCTGATGTCAGTCAAGGCATGATGGGGATGGGAGAATAGTCTGCAGCAATGGTAATGATGTTATGTTCACTCTTTGTACAGGCAACAGTAGTGATCCCGCTGCAGTTCCAGTAAAAACGGCCCTAAATCAACTCCCCTCTATCTTCTAGCAGGTGGTCCGGTCTGGCTTGGTCTTTTTTTTTTTTTTTTTTTTTTTCTCTTGTTCATTTTGCCCCGCTTCTATCTGATCTTGTTTGCTGTTCCTCTCTTGCTATTTCTCTTTCGGATCATCATCTTTCACTCGCGTGCGGGCAGAAGTAATCCAGCCCGCAGTTCCAGTGACCACAGCCCTAATTCAATCTTTTCTCCCACCGTGAAACTCTCTTGCTGTTTTCTTAGCGCGGCTGTCTTCACTCTTGTGCAGGCGGCAGTTCCGTGGGCCGTCTTTTGAGTAGATCCAGTCCTAGTTGCATTCCTCCATCTCCGGGAGGTGATCTGGCTTGATCTATTCTCTCGCCCATTTAACCTTCGTGATTGAATCTAGTATATGTCTCTTTGGGAGGTGTTCTGGTTCGATCCATTCTGTCATACCTGTTCCACATTCTTGTTTTCTTCTCTACCCTGCTGTCTTCTTCACTCATTATATAGGCAGCAGTAACCCGTATATTCCATCGGCCATGAACCAACCCTAATTAAGTTTGCGCAATCACTCTGGCAGGGGCTGGTCTGAACCATTCTCTCCCAGCCCTTCACCACGCTGTTTTAATCCCTCATCCAGACCTTTTCACCTGATGGTCTTCCCCTCCCACCCGGTCTTTCTAGTGTCTCCCCTCGACTATTTGACCCCCCTCCTCTCCCACCCTTCAGCTCTCTCTTCTTTCTCTCTCTCTCTCTCTCTCTCTCAACCCTCTTCTTCCCATCTGCTCATCATCCCATCTTCATACCTTATACCCACTCTCAATCTGTTCACACCTCATCACAATGTCCATCCTGCCCCTCCTGCTGGCCTTCCTGCTGGCCCTGCAGGTGGCGGCCCAGTCAGCCACGCCCACGGCAGACCCGACCCCCAACGGCCCAACCCTAACCGGCACCGCCTCGAACTGCAACAAATGGTACACGGTCCAGAAGGACGACACCTGCGAGACGCTGGAGAAGGCATTCGGCCTGACCCCGGAGCAGTTTCAGCAGTGGAACTCGGACGTGCCGGCGGACTGCAGCAAAAACTTCTGGGCGGGCAATGCATACTGCGTCGGGGTTGGCGATGCATCCACCACCATCACCACCACCCCCACCCACAAAAGCACGACCTCTCTTGCCTCTGGACAGGTTCCCTCTCATCTGGGCTCGACTGGCGCACAGAAGAGCAGCACCACCCTTGCGTCAGGCCAGGTGCCTTCTCATCCGTCGTCGACTGGTCACCCATCGTCCACGCCCATCAGTCAGTCGTCCTACTCGACTCGCAACCCGATCACCTCGTACAATATCACCTCCACCCCGGTCGACGATACCTGGCCGCCGAAGAAGACCCAGGCCGGTCAGCCGGATACCTGCAATAGGTGGCATCTTGTCTCGTCGGGAGATACCTGCGATACCATCCAGCGGCGCTATTCATCGTCTGTGAGCAAGGATGAGCTGTAAGTATTCTCTCTCTCTCTCTCTCTCTCTCTCTCTTCCTCGACTCATCTCACTAACCCTCATCAGACTCGAATGGAACCCATCCCTCAAGGCAGACTGCGACTACCCATCGACCGGCTACTGGGTGTGCGTGGGGATCCGACGGCCAGCCCTAACGGCGTCGTATCCCACGGGCGATGGCAACACGTCCGTGGCCATTCCCGATCCCACGCCCTGGACGCCCTGGCCGAAGCCAACCGATAACTCCACGAATGACTTTCCCCCGACGAAGACTCAGTCGGGTCTGGCTCCGAGCTGTTCTGCCTTTTACCAGGCTGTTCCTGTATGGGCCCTCCCCTCGAAAGAAAAGAAAAGAAAAGAAAAACTGACATAGGATCATATCAACCAGTCCGACACCTGCGACCAAATCCTCGCCGCCAACCCAGCCCTGACATCCGATCTGCTCCACGAGTGGAACCCATCGCTGAAAGACGACTGCTCGGGCATCCTGCCAGACTACTCGTACTGCATCGCGGCGTACAACGGCACCAACGTCCCCTTCCCATCCACCGTCAGCTCGCCCCCGTACCCGACCAAGCAGGGCACGGCCGGGAACTGCACGGGCTGGTACCAGAAACAGGCGAGCGATACTTGTGATCGCATCGTGGGGATGTTCGAGACGTTTGACAAGCAGCAGTTTGTGCGGTGGAATCCGGATGTGGGGGTGGACTGCAAGGCTCTTCAGGTACGCTTTCCATCGATTCTTTGGGTAGAAGAGGAGAATGACGAGGAGCTGACTGGGTGGACGATCATCTAGAATGGCTACTGGTACTGCATCTCCGACTCCAGCACGCCCAAGACGCGCACCCGACCGGTCTCCGGGGTGACTTTCCCCACGGCGTATCCGCGCCAGCCGGCCGTGACGAAGGCTTGTATCAAGTGGTGGCTTGTCAGTTCGTACGTTCCATCCCATTCAATCCCAATCCCAATCCCAATCCCAATACTAATCATGATCATGATCATAACCAAAGATCCGACACCTGCACCACCCTCACCAACATCAACAGCATAACCCTCTCGGACTTTTACACCTGGAACCCGGACATCCCGGGCCCACGCGGATGCCAGAACCTGATTCCAGGGACGGAGGTCTGCGTCGGGGTTGCGAGTGGGAGTGGCAGCAGTAGCAGTGTTATTCCAGGGAGTCGCAGTTATACGCCTACCCCTGGGAGGAGCAGCAGCAGCAGCAGCGGTGCTGGTCCTGGTGGCAGTGTCCCTGGAAGTGAGAGTTATACCATCACCGGAAGACGCAGCAGTGAGCCGTTTACGAGGAGTAGCATTACTCTTCCCAGGACTAAGACTCTCCCTACCGGTGGAAGCGGTGGCATCCCGACCTCTATCCCCGTTCTCGTCCCCGTTCCCATTCCGACCTCCGGTGCTGCTTCTGCTCCAGTTTCCAGCCCCGGTGGCTCCGGTCTTCCCTCCACCTCCACCTCCACCCGCACCGTGCACATCGTCACCGTCACCAGCACCGGAACGCGAACAGTCACGGACTGTCACATCCCGGATCCGGCTCCGGCCCCGACTCCCACTTCCACTCCCAGCGTCAGCGAAGGCGTGAGTGTGACTGGGGGTGTGGGTACAAGTACCAGTAGTATGACTGGGAGTCTGAGTGTGACTTTACCGACTTTCAGATGCCATCATACGGGATGCCATCATACTGGTTCGAGTGTGGGTGCCAGTGCCAGTGCCAGTGCCAGTGCGAGTGCGCGTGTGCCGGGTCCGCAGTCGAAATCACGTCATGATACCGGTGGGGAGGATGATGGGGAGAATGTCGGTGCGACGACAAAGATTAAGACTAGGTCAAAGTGTCGTACGACTACCGCTACCGCTACCGCTACTGGTGGGACTTCTTCTTCTTCCTCTTCCTCTTCCTCTTCCTCTGAACCTGTGTTTACCATCGTGTGAGAGGGGGGTTTTTATCCTATCTATCCTATCCTATCCACTGATGGTCGGTCGGTCTTTCTGGGGACGTTGATGGTGATTATCTGTCTCGATGGTGGTGTTAACTATGATATGATTGTCTTGCTGTTATTGTTGCTTTTTGCTTTTGCTGTTTGCTTTCTTGATTGATCATTGGTGATTTACGCGATGTTACGGAGATGATAATGCTACGAAACCCATGAATGGGAGAAAAGGGAAGGAAGTAGTTTAGTTTAGTTATTATCAAAGGTATCAAATCAGAATAGTCAGTTCAGCTCAGCTCAGTTCAGCTCAGCTCACTTGCGTACAACGTCTGTCTTTCTGTCTGTCTGTCTGTATGTAATATGGACATTAAATCATTCGATATCAGTCATGGTCGTGATCATGGTCATCATCTCATCTCATAACATATAACATGCACATCATGTCACGTCATCTACATACACCGCTGGAATCATTATATCCCATCCACCCCTTCAAGCCCTCTACTCCCTTGGTATCATCATCATCATCACCACCACGACGTCAAAATCTCCCTCCCCCCCTGACCCAGCACCACATCCCGCCCCGTCCGCATAACAACCCGCATCTGCCGCTCCGTGACAATAAAGAACTGCATGCTCGTGACGCGATGGTCCACGCAGACCCATTTCCCACTGCCGCTGCAGCCCTCCGGGCTATAAAGGCACTGCTCTTCGAGGTCCATCACCCGCTGCACCACCTTCGCGCCGCTCATACCCTCGCAGATGCCCTCGCGGCGGGGATGTCGCTTCAGCAGCTGCAGGGCCTGGCGGCGGAGTGTCGGCTCGCGGCAGCGGGACGCGATGAGGAAGAGCGGTTCGATAACGGTGGCGGCGAGGCGGAAGGTCGGCTGGGCGGGGGAATCTATTCGCGACTGCATGGCATCGTCGAGAATCTCACCCGCGAGCTGGAGCATGTCGGCGTAGTCGTCGATCAGGTCATCATGGGCGAGTTCGCCTTTCGAGGGGTCCAGGGACAGGTAGATGCGGGTGAATGCGCGGCGGATATTTATAAGCCTCAAGGCCTGCCGGTCACTTGGCTGGGGGGCCATTTGCGACAGGTAGTCGGCGAGTCGATCGTCCCATTGGTGGAGATCGTGGACGAGTTTCTGTTTCTTGGAGAGCGATTCTAGAGTGGGGTCGTATGTCCGGCTCATTACCAATTGCATCATTCTGTTGAAGTGCACCTCCAAGGCGATGTACGCCTCCAGGAGGGACTGGAAGGGGGGTGTCACGGGGGGGATGACGACGGGGCTTTCCGTCCATTGCAGATTGCCCAGTCTGCCGCAGATGTATGGCCGGGCCTGGGTGTCGAGCTGGGTCAGCGCGACGAGCAACATCGTCATGTCCAGATCCTCCTCCGGCGGGCTTCGGTCCCCAGACCCCAGGTTCCAATGGTGAAGGAGCTTCAGCCCGCTGTTGATGTGCATGAACGCCTGCCACTGGCGGCCCTGCAGACTGGACGAGCAGGTGAATAGGATACAGATGCTCAGAACCACCAGCCGGTCCAGACTGGTCAGGGCCGGGCCCGCGAGCATATCCCGGAGGCACTGGATGGAGGTATTGAATTGCAGCAAGGCAAAGCCAATCTTCTGGCTGTCCTCGGTGCGGGAGGCCATGATCGGCGTGGGGTCAGTGATAAAGTCCCGATGAATACTGCCCAGCGCGGTCATGGCGTGCCAGAGCGCCGGGTAGTGATGGGCGACCTGGAGCAGGCGGCCGGACCAGAACCCGGTATCAAAAGGCGCGGCCAGGTCGGGGGTGGTGACGTCGCAGAAGAAGCGGAAACTGTCGAGCTCGACCGGATTGCCCGACACCAATTCCCAGGGCGGGGGCATCTGCACGGGGTCGGGCGAGGAGGTCTGCTCGCGCGGAACAGGGTCATAGCCATCGCACTTCCGGCCGGTGGAGGAGCATTTCAGGCAACTACAGGGTCAGAGGCATTGTTCGTGATATGAAGCACGGAGTCTTCCGTACATATCCATCGTATGCGACTCACCTGGGCTTTGCTTCATCGCACTTCACCCTCCGGATCCTGAGCCGTCAGCCCCATTCCGATGCTGTCACGTCGATCGCAATCCCAGATGTCTGGGGATCCAAACCTACCTGCAGGTGACACAGCCAGTCTTCACTTTGGGCGCCCACTGCTTCTTGCGCACCTTGCCGGATCGGTTCAAGCGGGAGGATTCGGCCGACGCTACTGCGATCGGAGAGCCACCAGCACAATCCATTTTGATATCCGGACAATCTCACCCGGCGGCCAGCACCAGAGCTTGAGTCGAGCTGAAGCCGATGGCGGATGGGATTCATTGCAGGGGCGGGCATAATATAGGTGGCAGCGGGGAGAGGGGGGGAGGGGTTTTCTCCGCGGGTACTGGACAGGGAAAGGAAGGGAAGGATGAAGCCTTGAAGCGGATGATGGAGGAGATAACTAGTTGATTGGGTTGCCTGTTTCCCCGATCGGGTCTAGGGCGAGGCTAGCCACATCTGGCAAACCGTTTACTGCCTGATTTGGTAACCGCATCAATATCTCCGGCAGCAACTCCCCACCGGCTTCATGGCGAGGGAGCGTATCACGTCCCCAGCCCAAGTCGGTGTGTGTGGCTGCTGTGGCTAGTCGCCCGAGTCGCCCGCGGTGGTCAGCGCTAGGAGGTCCGGACCGTGCCATCGCGCTTCATCCATCACAGGCTGCCCAGCACATGCCATATCAAAAATTACCAGTTACTACTGCTAAGTACTATAACTAGGCGGCAGAAGGTAGCGAGGTAAGTAAGTCTTGAAGGAGAGAGAGAATAAACTACAGTTGTCATCGCTATCATAATCATAAGAAAAGAAAGAATCCCCGCAGAAACAGAAAGATGAGGAATTCTGTTCTCTGCCTCCTTTCGTCTGCCCATCCATCCATGCCTTTCATCTTGTCTGTTCTGTCAAGAGCACCCGTCCATCCATCTGGTCTGTCCACTCTGTACATCCATCCCGTCCGCGCATACATGCACACGTGCCCGCAGCGCATTGCATCCTGTAGGTAGCTGCATCCAGCCATCCATCCGCCCATCAATCCCCAACCACAATCCCACCCAATCCACCAACTCAGATCTGGTCTAAACAAACAAATTAGCCCACACCCCCTCCCCCCCCCCCCATCTCAACAAAGAAAGGCAACTTACTCAACGTCATACTCAAACTAACATCCGTATTCTCAACCATATCCGTAAACTCCTCGAAGCTAATCTTGCCATCGCCATCCTTATCGGCCTCCATGATGGTCTTATCGACAATCTGCTGCAACTGGACGTCCTTGAGATTATTCCCGACCATCATCTTCAGCACGATGAACAGCTCGCCGTTGGAGATGTATCCGTCGCGGTCGATGTCGTAGACCTTGAATGCGAAGCGCAGCTTTTCTTCCTTGTTGCCTTTCGAGCTGAAGGCCGAGAGACCAGACACGAATTCCTGGAAGTCGACGTCGCCGCCGCCGTCTTCGTCGAAGATGGCGATCATTCTGTTTTGTTTTTGTCAATGGTTAGCGGGGTGGACGGGTTCAGGATGGGATAAATAGGGGACTGGTTGTGTTGTATTGTGTTGGGGTTTGTCTGTGTATGTGTTGTATTGGGGCTGTAAATAGAGATAGGCGTACCTCGTAGCAAGCGGGTTGGATGACACCTGAGGGAGGGAGAGAAACTCATCGCGGTCGATTGTGCCGGAGCTGTCCTGTTACAGATAAGATGGGTCAGTAGTGGAATGACTGACTGAGGGAAGGGGGCACCCACCTTATCAAGCTTCATGAAGCGCTTGCGCAGTCTATCGACCTCATCGCGATCGACTAAGTAGCAACAAACACCTGTCAGCCATGCAACCCCACCACACTCCACCCAACACAAGGCGCTACCCACAGTTCGAAGCGGAGACAATGTTATCGAAGAGCTGGGTGGTGCCGACGGAGCCGCGACGACGGCGCGCATCGTAAAGGGCGGCGTTGTTGGGGGCACTGGAATGGTCCATGGCGGAGGGGGGGGGGGATGTGGATGGAATGTGACGCGACTCGGGATAACAACAGGACAGAATAGGATGATTCAAGACCAGACCAGAACGGTGAGGGTGAGGGTGACCACAACAATAGATTCGATTGAATGAATGATGTAATTCACAGAGGATCAAGGGCCGCCAGTCAGTCAGTCAGTCAGTCAGTCAGTCAGTCACTATCACGGCGGCTCTCTCCCCAGCCGGAATTTGATATCGGCAGCCCCGCACTAACCCAAAACGGACCGGCAAGCGAACCCCTGAGGCCGTGCGGCGGGCCAAAACAGGCCACCGGCGGGTGACATTGCAACGTCAACTCATCCGCCAGTGCGATTGCTACGAGATTTCCGCCGTCGCTACCAACCACACCACATCACCTCGCATCAAATAACTACGTCTACGATATTCTCCAGAAGCCAGGCTATCGACTGACCCCCATTTTATCCCCCCTCGCCCATGGTCGTGGCCCGATTCCGCGTCCCAAAGTGCGATGACTAGGTACGGGGGAATGGGTCGGACGCGCCCGAAAAAGCTCACCTCCAAGGCCTCGATCCCGATTGTCCGCGAGGACGAGATAGACTTGATCGACGATGAGATCCAAAATGCCCTCCAACAGATCGAGACCGGCGTGGAGAAGGCCGAGGAATCGGTAAGTGTTATCCCCCCCCGACCGTCACTAGCATCCCTGCACATATCACGTGACATCATCCCGACCTCACCCCATCGTGAAAATTTTGCACCCCGGCCCAAACGCCGCAACAGCGCCCGCTAATGGCTGGTTTTGTATAGGAATTCCATCTCCAGGTCGCGATCAACGCGGCCGCGCAGGGAAAAGTAAAAGACGCGCATATCCCGACCCCCGAAACCCTCCTCAGTAACCTGCGGTATGACGAGCTGTACCCGCCCATCTTCTCACAACCCGCGACGTACATTCGCTTCTCTGCTACGGTCGAGGACTGCTGCGGGCCTCCGTATTGCATGGACGAAGAGGATGATGTGTTCCTGAAAATCTTCAACCAGAAGCGCGATGCAAACGGCCGGTGCACGGAGGACCAGTTCGAGGAGGTCATGAGCTTCTTCGAGCTGACGTCGCGGAAGGAGCAGCCATATGCGTGCGTAGATAACTCGCTCATGAGCTTCGACGATTTCCAACAGGCCATGGACCCCGCCGTAGAAGACAGCGTAAAGCGGTTCGCCAAAGACATCTATGACCACTGGAAGTCGCGGAGGGCCAACAGCGAGAGCGAGCCACTACTACCATCCCCCAAGGTGAGTCTCGCCCTGGCCGACAGTCCCAGCGTTCGTGCTAACCTGTCCACAGGTCGAGGCGGGTCGCGACACCGACGACACAGACCCCTACGTCTGCTTCCGTAGGCGGGAAGTGCGCCAGACACGCAAGACGCGCGGAAGAGATGCCCAGAGTGCCGACAAACTGAGGAGACTCAGGAAGGAGCTGGAAGATGCCCGGCAGATGGTCGCTCTGGTGCGCCAGCGCGAGTTGGCCCGGAAGGAGATGCTCTCCATCGAACGGCAGGTGTTCATGCAGAGGTCCGAGGTCAAGGAGATGAAGAGGAAACTCAACATCAAGGACGACGATGAGGACCTCATCAACCAGAAGGTGAGTCCAACGCACCTCTGCCCCGTGCATCCGTCGCTGACAGTCCCGCCACAGCCAAAGAAGAAGCCGGTAGAAGCGCCGGCCGTGCAACGTCCGGCCCCGCCTCAACTGCGCATGCCTCCCAAGACCAGCAGCACCCAGGCTGCGGAGGACCTGCAGCTGCTGGAGGATGTCCAGGCCGAGAAGGAGAACGAGATCGTGTTGGACATCAAGCAGAACATCACGAAGCACATCAAGTGGAACGAGGGCTATGTGGATTTCACACGAGCGCCGCTCTCGCCGTCGCCTGAGCGCATGTTCGACGCTGCCTTCCGTCCTGCGATCACCACCCAGCTGCCCACGCCGCCCTCGTCAGAGAACTCGGACAGTATGCTGGATTCAACCTTAGATACCACGAGTGCCATTGCCCTCCGAGATAAATTAGCCCCCCATGCCATGGAATTGAGCGAGGACACCAGCAAGATGCCCTCGTTCCGGCGACGTATTGGGCGCGGCGGTCGTTTGTGGATCGATCGTCGGAACCTGGCGTCACGTTGTAGAGTCGACATGGATGCGTGGAAGGCGGACCGATTCAAGTTCGATCAGGAGGACTCCGACGACGAGATCGAGTATTGCCGGGACCCGTTCGATATCCAGATCATGCAACATCGGGCGATCATGGCGGCCAAAGCCCGAGACCAAGCGGCGGCAGCTCAGGCGGCGGCAGCTCAAGCACATGCGCAGGCCCAGGCCCAGGCGGCCCAGGCCCAGGCACAGGCTCAAGCCCAACGGCGATTGCAGGAGCAAACTGCCGCCAACAATTCCCCAAGCGGAGGGCAACCCATGGGATCCAATCCCGGGCCTGGTGCCGTTGCATCCGCCTCCGAGACCTAAGCTGGGCTTGTTTCTCTATCCTTTTAATCTCCTTTTTTGCACATGTTGCATCTGGGAGGCGTTAACACTCATGACGTCTCCCTTACCCTTACCCTTTACTGTACTTTTACTCCCCGACACGCCCATCCCTTTCCCTTCACCTGCAACAACATACCCCCGAACGCCCTTTCTTTCTGGAGCGCCGGAACAACATTCGGATCTCAGGATAATGTCGCCCGATGATTATTTCATGACATGACCACCTGGCTTTATGCGAATGTTAGTGTACATAGCCTGTTTTTGCTTTCTTTTTTTTCCATTTTTCACCCGAAGCAGTCGAAGGACGCATGTACGGATAGTGAAGCTATGAGGTCAGCAACGAAGAAAACAGAAATCTATATTAATTAGACAATAACGAAAAGAAACTTTTGATCTTATCCATCATTATAGTAAACAGACGCCAGTTCCATGAAAGGTCGAGCGTCAGCGGAGGCTTTGTTCGAGCTCAGCGAAGAGCTTTGTCCGAGCATCAGCGAAAAGCTTTATTCCTAGGCTGCTCATCGACATCACCATTGGCGGCCCGCTTCAAGGCCGAACCGCCGTTCGTGTGGAGCGCAGCGCCGAACTGGTTGCTGAGGATGTCGGCCAAAGCGTGCAAGATCTCCTTTTCGCCGATGCGGACCTCGATGGCCATCTTCTTGCGACGGAGGGATCCCTCCAAGGGGCCGAAGGCTTCAGCTTGGCGCAGCTGGGAGAGGAGTTCCTGGTCCTGGGGGATGGAGGTGGCGTAGCGCGCCTGGTTCAATTGAAGCGCTCTGGCGATGATGACTGCTTCCGTTTCGCCGAAGGCCGGTTTCGGGGGTCTGCTCTTCGATCTGTACTTCTCCAGCTGATCGGCGGGCAGCGACAATGTCGTAAGCAGCAGGAGAAGTTCGTCTGGGAGGACGTCTGTCAGGGACTCTCCGGCGGATGGCCGGGGGATGGCATAGCCATCGTCTAGCAGTTCGATCTCCGCGAGGAATTGGAGCTTGCATGGATTAGCCGGAGTGAGACAGCATGACCAGAAGGAATTAATTACCGGAGGTTGGGATTCGACATCGGCACTGCCCAGACCGGCAGCCTGGCAGATTTGCTCGAGTGATAGTTCGATGACATCGAACGGGGCATAGTTGCCCGTGACGTACCCGTAGCGCCTCAGGAGGTCCGCACGCGGGATCTCGCCGTAGTCGTTGAAAATCTCCTCCCCGGCCTTGATGGGCTTGATGGCTTTCATGACGAGAGACTCTTCCTCTTGGAAGAGACGGGCCTGGTAGATAATAATTAGCACGTAGACGCTGAAATAGCCTCGGACAGCACCCACATTGTTTCGATCAGCATCAGCATTCAGCATATCAGCCAGCGGGACCATCCCCTTTGACAGGGACTGCTCGTCCTCTTCATCGGTCAAATATCCATCCTCACCGTCGCGACCGCCTTCCTCATCCTCAGGCTTTTCGATATCAAAGGCATACGCCATGATCAGCGAACCCATAGTATGGGCAAGGATAAGGAGTGTCTGGGTGCCCGCCTCTCCCTCATACGACGCCACCCCGTTAACAGGAGGGAACAGGGTCGGGTTTGCCCTTACGATAGGCGCCACCATCTCGAGAATAGATTCATCGGCACCTTGCTTTCCGATCTTATCGACAATCGCGCTGCCCTGAAGCTCCTGCAGCTCTTCGGGGGACCAGAACATCAGGGTGTCAAAACTGGGCGGCAGCACCTTGAAGTACGGAGCCCAGACGGACTGATCACCCTGGAGGTACTCATAGATCATGACGACGATGAGAGACAGCCAGGGACCGAGGGACTCGAGGTCCTGGGGGAGACGGGCCTTAAGGAGGGAGTTCTGAACGGAGAGAACGTGTGCGCGGGGGATGGTAAAAAGCTCTTCACCATCGTCGAGATCGGAGCGAGCCACTGGGAAAAGTGACACGATGATATCAGAGAGGGAACCACTTTCCAACAGACGGGGTTTAATGAGACGAGGACCAGCGGGAGGAAAATCTCGTTTGGGATGGGATTGGGGGGGGAGGGGGGGAGGGGGGGAAGAACTTACCGACACCTCTGCCAGCAGCTTGGGCTCGCAGATCTGCGATCTGAATCTTATGGTTGATTCGGACGCCGGGCTTTCCAGCCAGCCAGGTGAGGAATTCATCTGACTGGCTCTGGAAGGTATCCGAACCTGGCAAAGAGGATGAGGACATTTGGGGAGAGGAGAGGGAGGAGAGGAAGTTGTGTGAATGTCGCCGAGAAAAAGGAAATGAAATTCAGGACCCCACTCTGGTTAATCTGACAGCGAGTCAGGAGAAAGAAGAGACAAGAAGAGACACACCCTTCTAGAGGAGCAGTAGATGGGGGGGAAGAGAGACGGGGAGGGGTGGGAGGAGGATGAGGAGGGCGAGCAGGCAGGATGGATGATGGTGTGGGCTGAAGAAAGCGAGCGAGAGCGACGGCCGTTAATTAGTTTCGGGTGGGTTGATTTGATAGCAGCAATAGTCCGGTAGGTTAATCCCGCTGCAGTGAGCCAACCATGGACTGGACGGGCTGACAGACACCGCCTATCTAGATAGTCGGCCGCCGCCCTGACCGCCGGGCGGAGATTCGCTGCACCGGCCAATCGCTGCCGCGGCTGATAAACCCGAGCCACCACCGAATTTGCCCCTCCGCCAGCCTTTCTGCCGTTTTCACCCACCTCCTTCCCCCCCCCTCTTGAAGAACGAGCCCCTCACCTCTTCACAGGCCAGATCAAAATCCCGCCGCCATGATAGCAATCGGCCTCGAAAGCTCCGCCAACAAACTCGGGGTGGGAATAATCCGCCACCCCGACGATGGCAGCACTCCGCAGGTGCTCTCCAACGTGCGACACACATATGTGACGCCTCCGGGCGAGGGATTCCTCCCGAAGGACACCGCGCGGCACCACCGCGCGTGGGTGGTCAAGCTGGTGAAGAAGGCGCTGCGCGAGGCGCGCGTGCTGCCCCGTGATATCGACTGCGTTTGCTTCACGAAGGGCCCCGGCATGGGGGCACCGCTGCAGAGTGCCGCGATTACGGCCCGCATGTTGAGTCTGCTCTGGGGGAAGGAGTTGGTGGGTGTGAATCATTGTGTCGGACGTATGTATATCATATTTATCTTGTTATCTGTTGTTTGTTGGGTATGGCTTTGGTTATTGTGCCACCACTACTCCGTATCTCTATCGGGTTTATGCGGGGGGGGGGGCGAAATGCGGGTTTTACCCCCACCCCTCCCTCTCTCTCACCCATGCGCGAGCGGAAAGACGAATCGCATACATCCCCTACACCCAGGAGCTACTACAGTCCACCGCTAACTATCTCTCTTTCGGTACAGACATCGAAATGGGCCGACTAATCACGGGCGCCACAAACCCGGTGGTTCTCTACGTGTCCGGCGGAAACACGCAAGTGATCGCATACAGCTCACAACGGTACCGGATCTTTGGCGAGACGCTGGACATCGCGGTAGGCAACTGCCTGGACCGGTTCGCGCGGACGCTCCACATCTCGAACGACCCGGCGCCGGGCTACAACATCGAACAGCTGGCCAAGAAGGGCAAGAGGCTCGTGGATCTACCGTACACAGTGAAGGGGATGGACATTTCAATGTCGGGGATACTGGCCGCGATTGATGGGTTGGCGGTGCAGTATGGGTTGGACGGGGAGGGGAAGGATGATGAAGAGGATGATGCAAGCAGCGAGAAACCGACGCGGGCGGATCTGTGTTTCTCGCTGCAGGAGACCATTTACTCCATGCTGGTTGAGATCACAGAGCGGGCGATGGCACATGTTGGATCCAAGGAGGTGCTTATCGTTGGCGGGGTGGGGTGTAATGAGCGCCTGCAGGAGATGATGGGCATCATGGCCCGGGATCGCGGGGGCACCGTCCACGCGACGGACGAGCGGTTCTGCATCGACAACGGCATCATGATCGCCCAGGCTGGTCTCTTGGCATACAAGGCCGGGGTCCCCACGCCCCTGAAGGAATCCACGTGCACCCAGCGGTTCCGCACGGATGACGTGTTTGTCAAGTGGAGGGATTGAGATCTAGTCTTTTCTTTTCCATGGATGGTGATGATTTAGATGAATGAGATGAACATAATCTATAGAATCATAAGCAAAATTCTTCGATGACCGAAGCAAGTATAACGTCATCCCGCGCTGGCTAGATACTCGAGGCACAAGGCAAATTATCAAAGCCCAATATGAATCTATTCTCGCTGTTTTAAGTTGCGAAGTCGGAACCTATGCAATGTCGCCGAGTTTCAAGGGTCGGGCCCAGGGTAAACATCCAGTCGGGGGTGGCTCCTCGGGGCCTCGACTAGTGAAAGGAGTGTCGGATGCGCACCATGCACTCATGCTCGACTGAAAGCAGCAACGCCTATGTGACACAGCCGTACCGGCCGGAAAGCGGTTAACAACAGGGGCTTCGCCTCCAAGGAATCCTATCACTAGCCATGCATCGACACCAAAAGCAACACGGTTCGGGGGAACGCTTCCTGTGCCGCAGATAGTTCGGCATCAAGCAACCATGGGAAACGTAGGCTTGGTATGAAGGTATTCGGGGTATATGTATGTTTGCGCATGACCTGGAAAAGGCGTTCTCAGGTTGTGTGCAACTTCAGGGCAATAATTATCCTTCAGCTCCATGTGCGGAGAAGACCGCATCGACCCCGGCGCAGAAGTCTCGGCCCCGCACCTCTGGCCAGTGATATAGCGCGTGGCCAACGAAGGCATGGATGTGCGGGCCCCTCTATGCACGGACTACTCTACCCCAATATCTCCTGTCGGCTTGTACAATATCGTGGTAACGTACTGTCACGGTCAGGTGGATGTCTACAAATTCAACTCGGGGCTGCACTTACCTTTCGTTTGTACCGGGTCGTTACGCTCGTAGCAAGCACCCCGTTCTTGATGCTGCTGGTGGCCAGATGGTTGAGAACGGTATGGTTGGGATAGTTGAGAACACTGCTATCGTCCTTCATGGGCGTGGTGCCATTCAAGATGGATTTTCCGAGGAAAAGTGGCAGACTGGGCGGGGTGGGAGCGTCCCCGACGATATTCACGGCTTGCTGGTACTCCGGGGTTTCTTCCTCTCGATCTAGATCCAGCAGGAACTGCGGGATGATGCCACGGAAATCGCCCAGCGGAATCTCCTCCGGCTCCTCCTTGTCCTCCGGCTCCTCCACGGTCGATCCGTCCTTGGCCTCGTCGGCTCCCACCGGGTCGGGGAGAACCTGCGGGGGGCGGACGCCGTCGGGGACCCCACTCCGAGAAATTCTATCGCTCTCTCTCCGCGACCGGTTGATGTCATCTGCACTGATCTCGATGTAGTTGACCAGATGATTGGTGAAGTCTACGGCGGTGGGAAGATTATCTGAGGCGCGCATTTCACCATCGACAATGAACTTCAAGTGATGCGTGCCCGGGCGGAGACTCAAGGTGGTGGACATGATCCCGGGGTTGTTCTCGCTATTTAGGGCACTCAATTAGCCTCAAACCTAGCTTGCGACATAGGCGCATTGGTGTGAGATAGTACAAACGTACCTTCGGTGCAGGCGGAATTTCTTCTCCCAGTTGACGAACGTTCCGGTGACATAAACCTTGTCGCCGGGAGCCGTCCATTCTATCGGAGTCGGCACTGCTTTTCCCGCCCCGCTGGCAGTGTATGGCTGAAGCTCGTCCAGCGCTTCCTCATCTTCGATCGTGGTGCTGCCTGTGCTGGGATGTCTCTGGTCGATGTGTTCGTCTAACAGATGGTCGGGAAGGGGGGTTCCCATATAAGAGTCCTCGGGTCCAATGATCGGCGAGCCTGGGATGGTAGTAGCATCCCCAATCGGCAGAGGCATGCGCGGGGGGCGCTGGAGATGGACGGAGGCGCTGTAATAAGCATTGGGAGGATGGCCAGAAGTTGTTACCGAGTCGCGCTTAGCGGCCGCCCGAGATCCCGGGACTTGTACAGGGTTGGACACATCGGCAGAGGGAATGTCTCGGGGACGAGCGTCAGGCTTCCTGCGGTCCGAGCGATCTAGATTGCGCGTCGGCGAGTCGGCCACAGTGCGGGACTGGAGACGCTGCTGGACTGACGGCTGATTTTGTGACGTTGGGTGGCCGGTTGCTGTCTCTCTGGTGGCGGAAGGGTCGGCGGCGGTGGCCTTGGTGGTGCCCGACGGCGCATTAATCGATGGCCGGCGAGCTACTTTCCTGTCCCCCGCGGACGTCGCGAGGCCCGAGGGCAATTGGGCATCTCCGGCAGGCCCTTTGGACGGATTGTTCCCCATCTGGACGAGAAGTCGCTGTGGGGGGGGGGGGTGGGGGGTGCTGAAGATATGAAGTGGTCGGAGCCGACCGGGGAGGTGGGATAAGTGACAAGAGGCAACGCGGAGGGGTTATATTGTATTCAGGACTGAGATGCCAGCATCAGAGGGTCGGCGGTGGCGGGCGGAGGGGTAACCGAAAACCAGAGGGAACGTGGAGGGGAAGAAGAGGGGCCTCCAGGGTATGTTCGAAAAGACGCGGCCCGTGAGTGAAAGGAATGCAGCGGGTCAGGTACGGGGTCTTGGGGGTCTTGGGGGGGGGGGGTGATATCAACAACAGCGCGAGGGCGGAGGAGACGAGAGAGAGAGGGAGCGATGGATGGGCAGCAAGTGATGATGTCGATGTCGTCGACCCCGGACGCCCAGCCTGGGCCGCGCTTGGCCTCCTTAGGGCTTAGGGTTCCCCTCTCTTCTCTCCTCGGCCCCGGTCGGCTCTCATCTCCGCTCGGGGTAGTAGTGGTACGGAGGAGTGGCTGTGGATAGCATGGGATTGACCTTCCAGCCATTGTGTTCCATTAGAAACACGTCTACTTGCTCTGCTGCTTCTTGCTTCTTGCTTCGTCCTACTGCTTACACTATCTCCGTACAAAGCTACAGACTGCAGACACCTGAGGCAGGGTATTTTCTGCCGGGACAGACCGCCTACTCGACTGGCCGGTGATCATCGATCACCTCTGATGTCCTTGTCCTGCGACGAAGCACAACAGCGATCCAATTCGATTCCGCTACATGGACCAGACGGCGCGATAGCTCTACTGTGCTTCCGCGACAAACGCTGTCCCCAAATAATGCCCTTCCAATAGTTACGCCTTCGATTATCCATATCCGCCCGAATGACTTGGGTTTCAGTCCTCAAAACCATCCTCTATGTCACACTCTACCCTCTGATCGTGCTTCTCGGCTGGGGATATGGACTGCTACGAGCGATAGTGGTCTTCCCATTGGTGCGACTGGGGGGTTGGGTGCTCCATGTCGTTCTTCTCCCGTTGAGGCTTCTCGCCAAGTTCGAGGTACGAGTCCGTAGTTGTCCAGCAACCCCCTCACCAGCAGGGATTGGTCCAAGGCTCATGCTCTCATAGGCCATCCTTAGCTTCCTGGCAGTCGCAGTGCTCACGGGGATCGTTCTGGGGGTGGTGCAATACTATGTAACCCGGATTACGGTGAACACGCTTCACCGATGGGCTGGGTATATCTGGAATACCGTCTTCCGCCGCAGGAGAGAGCCAGCGCAAAAGAGCGCAGGTTCATCTTCTCCGAACGATAATGATTCTCGTTCATCCAACGAGTCAGACTACGCGAATGGCGGCGATGGCTGCGATGAGTCCTTCTCCGCCTGGGACATGGGACACAAGCCATGGCTGCCGAAGGATAAGGATGTGGGACTCCTCTCATCGACGATACTGGAAGAGGAGGAATTCAGCCAGGAATCCAGTGCCAGTGCCTCGTAGATAGGGTGGACGAGAGTAAGGGAAGGGGGAGGAATGGGACAATGAATAACTAATCTCCGGCAGATATTGACGCAATCAATCCGCGACGGCCGTGGTTCTTGACTGGGGCGATGGACCCTTCCGCCGGCACCGTCCCGGTCGCCGCAGCACCACCGGTTCGTTTAATTAATTAATCTCCCATTAAACCCTCATTAAACTGTCAGCCAGGCAGAAACATATCGATGGACTGACTGTTTGGCTGTCTAGACGAATGCTTGCCATCTATTATCTAGGACAATTGAAATGGTCTGACCGTCTGAGTGTTCAGAGTCGAGGACATACATACATCAGGGTCTTCTGCCCCATATCCACTCCTCGGACCCGGAGATTGACTGCCTGTTTGACAGTTTGACAGCATCACCACTTTTGCTGGCCTGGCTTATCACCCATCGCGCGGTGGGTCGGGCTCTCAACGGTCGAACAGACCATCCTGTAATCTGTCCGGCCCTCGCTTGCCTTTTTAATTCTTCCTCTTCATCTTATTATTCCCCTCTTCCCCTCCCCAAACGCCAACCGTCGCATCCGACCGCATGTCTTCTCCGTCGCATTCTGCCCTCGCCCTCCTTGCATACTCGCCCACCCCATCTTGACCCCCCAGAGGTGCTTTCCATGCCTCTTTCCTGAGATAGCCGTTTATTTCCGGCCCGTCTGCGCGAAGCAATCGCAGAACATTCATTCCACCGAGAGCCATTGGGGCCACTGTGCAACCCAACCAGACCGGTCGTCACCTCCGCTCCCTCCTGGTCATCGCAACCTGCACTCTTTCTTTCCCCACGCAGCGATGTTTCCCGCGCGAACATTTCTACGAGCGCGGACTCTCGTCCTTGCGCTGATCCTCGTCTTCGCCTTCACCTGGTCCTACGCGCACTGGCAGGACTTCCCATTCCCCGAACAGGACCACCCCGCCCAGTCCGAGACTGGGACTGTCTCAGACAAGAAACAGACGGGGAAATGGCGGCACAACCCCGAGGGTCACATTGAATTCTGGCGCAAATTCCAGCCACTTCTGACGACCCATCAGCCGAAATGTGAGCCGCCGTTGAGACTCGGCTCGGCGCCCTCCATCCGATTCGAGCAGTCCAACCCCGAGGATCGGCCAGAGCTGCTGGACATGCTCCCGTTCGACGTGGACGCCATGCGGAATGCGCACAGCGGCTTCGTCGACGCCATCAACGCCCACCCGCCGCAGCTGAACTACACCCCCAACACGCGGGGCTTGGTGTCCACCGCCGGAGGCTCCTACCTGCCGGTGCTGGTGATATCCCTGCGCATGCTCCGCCGAACGGGCTCCAAGCTGCCAGTGGAGGTCTTCCTCGCGAACGATGATGAGTACGAAGACCACATATGCGACGTGGTCCTGCCATCGCTGAACGCGCGATGCGTGGTCATGTCAGAAATCCTGGACGCCGTCTCAGGAACCATGGAGATTCAAAAATACCAGTTCAAGCTATTCGCCATGCTCTTCTCCTCCTTCGAAGAAATCCTCTTCCTCGACGCCGACGCCTTCCCACTCCAGCAGCCCGAACTGCTATTCACCAGCGAACCCTTCGCCTCAACACACATGGTCACCTGGCCTGACTTCTGGGCCTCTACCATCTCATCCTACTACTACGAGATCTCCTCCCAGCCATACCCCGAAACCGCCGTCCGCCAATCCAGCGAATCTGGCGAGGTCCTGATCTCCAAGAAAACACACCTGAAAACCCTCCTCCTGAGCACATACTACAACGTCTGGGGCCCGGACTTCTACTACCCCCTCCTATCCCAAGGCGCCGCCGGCGAAGGCGACAAGGAAACCTTCATCGCGGCCGCCTCCCGCCTGCAAGAATCCTACTACCAGGTCTCGGAGCCGATCTGCGCCATCGGCCACGGCACGGAGGGCGGCCTGGCCGGCTCCGCCATGGTGCAGTTCGACCCGATGCAGGACTTCGCGTTGACCCGGAAGGGCGAGTGGCGCGTGCATGGCTCGACGGCGCCTGCGCCCCGCGCGTTCTTCGTCCACGCAAACTACCCCAAGTTCAACCCGGCCACTGTCTTCGAGAAGCAGGCCGTCAACCCGGCCTACGCGGATGATGGGAGCTATACGCGCGCGTGGACTATCCCGGAGGACGTGATCAAGGCGTTTGGGTCTGATGTTGAGAAGGGCTTTTGGGAGGAGATCCTGTGGACGGCTTGCGAGCTGGAGGATAAGTTTGGTACATGGAAGGATGAACGCGGTGTTTGTCTGGGGGTGAAGAATTATTGGAATGCCATGTTTGGGATTGGGCATTCTTGAGGAGTCCTTTATCTCGGCTTTCTCTTCTCACTTGAGACTCGCTTCCCTTAAGAGGACCTGAAGTACTAGTCGGGATACCTCAAAAGCAGTTGGCATACTGTATCCACTGCTCCTGCTATACCTACCATTGGTTCCTCGAGACAACGGCTCACGCAGACTTTGGCATGCATGCGCACATGCATTGACAGAACGCCACTGTCTCTTTCCACCGGGCAAAAGCCCTGCTTCCGACTCGACTCAGTCTTGATCTCGGTGGACCCACCCGCTCACTCAACTGCTCAGAATCAACCTCGACTGGCGCTGACACTGACCTTTGAGACCGTATGCTGCCTCTCCACCTCTGGCCACGCCCACCCAGACAGATTCTCCGGAGCTCTTAGGGAGTCGGACAGGTACATAGCGAAGCCATCAACTCAGCATCAACATCGACGTCGATATCGAAATCGGCCACACATCTCTCAGTCTTTCATTATACAGTCGAACCGAATCAACCACTCTTCTATTCATGATGAGCGTGGAACCCAGCTTCAGACTGGGTACCGGATATACAACCCACCTATGTAGCTACATAGCTAGCTACCTACCTACCTACCTGTATTATCAACCCGAGATTTCCGAATTTGTCACTTTCACATGACCGTATCATATCACATCGGCATCACCATCACCCTATGTCATTTCATAACATATCTCATCACATCTCGTCTCAACTCATGTACCACGTCATATCCTATCACATCCCTCATGTCAAACTGTATCATTTCATATCATATCATATCGTATCAAATCAAATCAAATCAGATCAGATCAGATTATAACAGAACATGTCAGATTATGACAGAACAGATCAGAAGACAACAGAGCAACGTATCCATCTGTACTACTATGCATGTACACATCGCACAAACCAGTCATGGACAAGACAGGTTCAAAGTCCTCTACTCCGTACTCTACCTGCGTATCATATCATACCTATCGCAATGAATGAATGAATGCATGCATGCATGTATGTATGTATGCACATGCAAGAACTTTGTATTTATACATAATAACAACATCCACACCAACATCAACACCAACATCAATTTAATATACAAGAGTGGATAATACAGTTTCCCCCCATCACATTCCCTCCTATTTCCCCTTTCCACAAGAACCTAAAACCACACAACAACCACACAACAACACCAATAACACTCACTCTCCAGAGCAGACAAACTCACCCCACTCCCTACCCTACATAGTAGATAAGTAGGTAGATCGATACCAATACACCCCTTGCCCCCTAATCCCTAAGCCCTAGGACCCACGCCCTAAATCGTCCCTGCGCGCTCCGCCCCTCTCACCGCATCCCGAAACAGCTCCTTACAGGGCACCCTACTACCCAACCTGGCACAGAGCAAGAACGCACCACTCAGCTTCCTGTGCAGACTATACGTCTCCTCCGGCGGGGGGGTCAACCTCTCGCGAATCATAACGGGAATAAGCTCACGGACACGATCCGTAATGGTCTGGTTCCTGAAATCATACACATCGGGCGAATCATCCATGAAGGGCTCCGCGATGGTAATGACCGAGGTGACATGCGCGTCGACCATAGCCTGGGATTCGTGGCCGGTGAGATAACCCAGCTCGCGAGAGAGGTCTGCGCAGCGGAGACGGTCGTTCCGCGAGGCGGCGATGAGGGTGTTGATGTATTTGGAGATGAATTCGGTGGGGTATTCGCGGGAGGCGCCGAAGTCGAGGAGTTCGAGACGGTTTGTCTCGGAATTGTAGAGGAAGTTGGTCCAGTTGGGGTCGGTCTGCATGTATTTGAATTCGGTGATTTCGCGGAGACAGAGACGCAGGATTTGGGTGCCGATCCAGTCGCGCTGGGATTGGGAGAAGGTTTGGATCTTGGTGACGGGTTGGCCTTGTAGGCGTTCCATGGTGAGGACCTGTTTGCCGGAGGCGTGGGGGATGATGGCGGGGACGTGGAAGACGGGGTCGGAGGATAGGAGGTCCCGGAAGTGTGCGCCGCATTGGGCTTCGCGGAGGTAGTCGCATTCCCAGGCCAGTTCGGTGCGGGCGTTGGCGATGGTCTTGTCGAGGTAGAGGCCGCGGGGGAGGAGGCGAGATGCGGTGAGGAGGATGGAGAGGTTGCTGAGGTCCGAGTCGATGGAGTCGGCGACGCCCGGGTATTGGATCTTCACGGCAACGGGCTGCCCGGTGCTTTTGAGGACGGCGCCGTGCACTTGTCCGATGGAGGCGGCCGCCATGGGAATTTCTTCGAACGAGGAGAAGAGGTCCCGCCAGTTGGGGCCGAGGTTGTCGGTTAGGACTTTGTCGCGTTGCGAGGCTGGCATGTAGTCTGCGCGGTCCTGGACTCGTTGCAGGACCTGGTGGATGGAGTCGGGGAGCATTTTGGTGTCTGGCTGTTCGTTAGATTCTGGAAATTGTAGGTGATGTGGCTGGAAACGGACCTTGGATGCTCAGCATCTGTCCCAGCTTGAGGGCGGCTCCGCGCATCTTGGACAGCTTCGCGACGAGGCGTTCTGTGTTCCCAGCGCTGAACATGAGAGACCCGGTGCTTTCGCCCTGGCCTCCAGTCACTCGGCGCAGACTCTCGCCCACGGCTCCGAACGCCATGGAGGTGGCCAGTCCACCGTACTGCCACAATCTCCCGATTCGCGAAGATGGCACACGCGACTCCATCATCTTGTAGGTCTCCTCCTGCTTGAGGGCTGCGGCGGTTTCCGATTCTACCTGTTGCGGTCATCAGAATGGCTCTTCCGGTTCCTCGTGCAGGTATTCAACATACCGGCGTGTTGCCTGAAACCATCTCCTCCACAACCCGGGCCTCCTCTTTCAGTAGATCTTCATTACTGACTGGCTCCGCCTGACGAGGCATTGCGCTTCGTCCCTTATAGCTCAGATCCGCGGCCGCCTGCCGAGACAGCATCTTCGCAACCTTCGGGCTGTGGAATATATCCTGCATCATCTCGTCCGAGATCTCCCCTTCCTGTCCCACCGTAGGCTTCTCAGATGACACAGGCTTCTCCTTGCTGACGGGGGAATTGAAAACATCGGCGTTGATATTGCTGTCGACGGCGGTTTGGATGTCGCTGGCAGCCTTGGGTAGTTTGACCCTGGGAAGGCCCGACAATCCCGGAGTCGTGGTCTTGGAGGGTTCGTAGTACACATCCTGCTGCTGGCTGACATCCAATGGATTGGGAGCACCTCCATTATGGCCCGCCGCCAAAGACGGGATCTGATCCTCCGCCTGCCGTTGTGCCTTCCTCGCCTCGTCCGGGGAGAGGCTCGTTGCGCGCGGTTCGGTGGTGGTCGGACGGGGAGGTTGCGGTGAGGGGGCCGGTGCGGATTGAGAAGCGGAAGGCGACGGGGAATCGTTAAATCGCTTTGCCAGGGCCGCCGCAGCCTGAGCGGTCAGACACAGCCCCTCTACCTGGCTCTGGATGCCCTTGGTGAGGGACGAGGTTCTGGTGAACAGATCGAGCTGGCGCTGACGCACGGCCAGGTGCTTGGCCGCGACAGTTCCAGCGACATTGCACAATTGGATCGCGTCCAGCAGACGCTTGCCCGACATGGTTGGTAGACGCACAGAGATACCCGGAATGGACTCCGATCTACCTTCTTCGCATGATTGACGTGAAGGTGAAGGTGATGGATGGGATCGTGGACTGCCCTGCCTGGGTGCCTCGAAAAGCCCCGGCCGCTTTTCTGCCGCGCCCCACCGCCGACCGGGCAGTTCCGGCGGCGTTTTACGGCGTGGGTCGATTGATAAGGCTCTCTCCCCGCGGCTCTCCCGCTGCCTCCCTTCTTTCTTTCTTGCAATTGCCATGCACTATTCCCTCGACCCGCGCGATTGACCGTGCTGAGGGCAAATGACGGTGAAGACCAACGCGCACGACATACAGCAGGAGATCGCGGATCTCGAGGCTCGTCTGCGCGATGCCCGCTCCCGCCTAGCCTCCACGTCCCCAAATGGCGGGGATTCCTATCTGCCGCTACCGGAGGGTGCGTGACAACCCTTCCTCGAGCTGTCTGTCCATCTATACGGCCCATCACCCTCTACCGACAGACAGACGGACAGACGGACAGATAGACAGCAGACACTGACTGACTTCTCTACTCTACAATCTAGAAACCACCCCATTAGCACCCACCCACGCGCTACTCCTCCTCTCCGACTCCGCCCTCCCACTAGGCTCCTTCGCCTACTCCAGCGGACTCGAGTCCTACCTCGCACACAACAAACCACTCCCCCGATCCATAACCGCGCTCGCATCCTTCAACCGGTTCCTCACACTCTCGATCGCATCGATGGCAAGCACGTCGATTCCCTACGTTCTGGCCGGGTACCGCCACCCGAACGATCTGGAGACACTGGACAACGATCTCGATGCGTCGACGCCGTGCATCGTGGCGCAGCGGGCGAGTGTCGCGCAAGGACGGGCCTTGCTCGGGGTGTGGGAGCGCGCGTTTCGCGGAACCTATGCGGCCGGGCTATGCGTGGCGGGTGCGAAGGCAGTGAGGGTGATCGAGGCGTTCTCGGACGCGCTCAAGGGCTGTCTGGATACGGTGCATGAATTGGGGCCCAAGGGACACTTTGCGCCCTTGTGGGGGGTGGTCTGTTTGGCTATGGGGATGGATGCCCGCCAGACGGCCTATGTCTTTATGCTGAACCATGCGAAGGCGGTGCTGAGTGCTGCGGTGCGTGCGTCGGTGATGGGTCCGTATCAGGCACAGAGCGTCCTGGCTAGTAGAGGCCTGCAGGATATGATCACGCAGCGGATAGATCGGGAGTGGGATACCCCCGTAGAAGACGCAGGGCAGATCGTCCCTCCGCTGGATCTCTGGGTTGGGCGACACGAGCTCCTATATAGCAGAATATTCAATTCATAAACGCGTCGGTCCACATTCAACGTTAGGCTTGCACTGGGAGGTCATTCCTCTAGGAACATTGCTGCATTCATCATCCTTTTCTCATCAGGGACTGGCTAGTTAATCCTACATCTCGCACCATATTGTCCCACCCAGGTGCCGCGGGAACACTGACGTGGGTATCCAAGAAAACTCCTCTGGACCGGAGAACTGAAAACAAACAAGGGGGTAAAAAAAAATCAAACAGAAAAACCGGTAACCCGAAGACCAACAACCCGGCCACTATGCAAAGACAATATCTGATCAAACGAAGCAGATTTAGATCGAACGCCGGCCCTCTGAGATCCTATCCTGCTAAACACAGTAAACACCGCACCATGAGCCCTTTTCCATGATTATAGGACGAAACAGGTAAAAAAAAAAAAGCAAGGTAATAAAATGACATAGGTGGGGAAATGGGGAAGGGCGAGAAGATCAAGAAGGGAAGGGGAAGAAAAGAAGAGACTATAATACACGAGGTTTATGGGGGGGGCAACCAAAAAGGCGACATCACAACGTGATGTGCATGTAATCGTTATTGCCGAATGATTTGTTGCAGTTGGGGCACTTCCGTGACCGGGACGTGAGGCGTTCTTCGACGCACTCTTTGCAGAACACATGGCCGCAAGTCTTGATTGCGGTGTTCTTGAAGTTCCTGCGGCAGACAGTGCAGAGTGCGAGAGTCTGCAAGTAATGTTAGCAGGACTGCACCAAAATGCATGTGACAAAATCCTTACCCTCAGCATTTCGTATTCGGACGATGAGTTCCCGAGACTCTTGTTCTTCCAGTTCTCCAGGCTCTTCTTGGTATCCGCAAGGCTTGCTTTCAAGCCCTCGACCTCGGTTTCCGCTTGACGGCAAGCGCTCGAGGCGCTGGCCAAAGTCGAATCCTTGGAAGTTGACAACGCCTTGAGCTCGCCGACCTGTCGGTTCAAGCCGTCGATGATGATGTTCTTCTCTGTGACCTGCTGCTGGGCGGCGTAAAGCTTGCTCATCACGGAGTTCAATGCGTCTTTGGTCTCGCTGACTTGCTTCTCCATATTCGCGAGCAGAGATCGCGTGGCTGCCTCAGATTCCTTCAGCTGAGAGACGATGTCCGAACTCTTGGAGTTCTGCATTCTCAGTGTGCGAACTTCCAGTTCCCGGGCTTCCTTGCTCTTCATCGCAGCGAAATACTTCTGATCGGCCTTCGATTTCTCCGCAACCAGGCGCGCGACCTTCTCTTCCAAGACACTGAAATCGGTGACTTTTTGCGAAGCCAAGGAAGAATACTTCTTGCACGCAGTTTGCATCGAGGAAAGCTCGGTGTTGAGCATCGCATATTGACGTTCCAGGTTCCCGAATTTGGTGCGCAACTCCTCGGGCGGAATCTCATCCACGCTGGCTGACGTGCTCTTCTCCTTCTCGACCTCCGTACGCAGTCTTTCCACTTCCGACTCCAGGGCCGTAATCCGAGCCTGTCCGGCCTCCGCAAGTTCCTGCACCTTCACGGCAGACATCTTCTCCTGTTCTTGCGCCGCCTTCCGCATTTGCTGGTCCGCCAAAAGTTCGTCGCGTGCGTTGCGTATCCGGGCCAAATCCGTTTCGGCCCTCATTAGCTGGGCTTCCTTCTCGGCGATCGCATTCTGTGTCTCCTCATCCACTTGGTTACGGTAGGCCGTTCGTTCTGATCGGAATTTCGCCGCCTCTTCTCGTAATTGGATGTTGGTCGCTTCCAGGTGATTTATCCGAGTAACAACATCGTCATATTGGCACTTCAACTGCTTGAACAGATCCGTATGCGCGTAGTCGTCGTCCGTTAGTCGTGAATGCTACGAAGACACGTTAGCGTTACGAATGTCGGAGGCCAAACGGGGTTGGCGTACCTTGACATTTAATTCTGTAATTTGAGTAAGTAATTTGGCATTTTCACCCTCCAACTTCTGTAGCTGCTCCTTCTGCTTCTCCGATATGGCAACAAGCTTGTTGTGTGCTTCGTCCAGTGCCGGACTCCGCTCGCCGCTCGGGGTCGCGCCGTTGGAGGCAGAGGGTTCTTCGCGAGGCCCGGACGCGCTGTCGCCACCAGGTCGCTGCGCACCTAAGATATACTGTTTCTCTAATTTGGCGACTGTCAAGCTGCGCGCACGGTCCAGCTTCTTTTCGGCAACCATATACCGTAAGGAGGCTTCTTCTAGGCTTTCTTCTAATTGCTGTTTTTCGGACAGTGCTTTCTCCAGTTCGGTGATGGTGGCTTTCTCTTCGGCCAACTTCTTCGCGAGTTGAGTCTGCAATTCGGAGACTTCGGGTGGGGCTTTGGCGGACTTGGAAAGCACGCCGGAGATGACTTGGCGAATATCATCCGACCGGGATTTCAGGTGTTTTTCGAACTTGTCGTTGTCGTCAAACATCAGGCCGCTTTGAAAGGACGGACGGTCTGGGACTTCTTTAGCGTTTCCATGTAAACCACCGGCCGGCATGAAAGGGGACCCACCCTTGGCATCCTCATCCGAAGCGCCCAGGAGCATTTTGACCTCGTCGATTAACTGGCGACGTGTCAGAGGCTTCGCACGGGATAATGCAAACAACAGGGCCTACTCACCTGCTTGTACCAAGCATCGATAATACGAAGGTGGTCATTATGATAGGTGGTCGTCTTGGACATCTCCTTCAACTTGGCCTCGAGGGACACCTTCTCGCGCTTGTACTCCTGCATCTGGCGCCATATTGCGTCCTTCTGGAATCGCTGCGACGGAGAGACGTCAGCATGTCACCTGGAGGCTAGCAGGCACAGTCGACATGGCGGTGCAATACTAACTAGGGGAACCCTTGGGATAAGTTGACACCCACGTGGGCTGGTCGGGGACTTACCTCCAGGTCATCCTTCCAGGGCATGTCAGCGTCGGGGTGCGGCTTGCTGCCACCATTGACCGAAGTGGCCTGCTTCTTCAATGGTGGAGCCGAGTCATTGTGGTCATAGGCAGCGGCTCTCTTCCGGTCGTCCATCATGACAAGACCGGAATCGGAAGATGCGACGGGGGATGCTTCGGCGGCCGGCATCAGTGGCTAAAGAGGCATACGTGAGAAGAGGCCGTCACCACTGAGCAGCAACGGGCCGAGAGCAGGGACCACAACAATATCCGACCGTGTAAGAGTGATGGGGGTGGTGGGTGGAAGGGGGAGAAGGTGGGAGAGGGGGATGGGAAGGAGAGTTGAGATAAGCAAGACTCAAGGAAACCAGGAGGATTTTCCGCCTGGGAATTCGGCGGGCTTAGCGCCTCCCACGTGACCGCGCCCGCTTTCCCCAGGAGTTCAACTCGTCTGCCGGCATCTAGAACTTTGCCTTCACCACGACCACGATCGTTCCATCCTCATCCTCATCCCCATCCCCACCCTCTCGCTGCTGCTTCGGCCTCGATTGCGCGCGGCGATGGTCGCACCCCCACGATGAAATCCTTTTCGAGTTCCGTCATCAGTAAGAACCCCTCCCCTCCCCTCCCCTCCCCTCCCCTCCCCTCTTCCCTCTGTGTCCTGAGACCCGCTTCTAATCGCGCCCGTTCTGCAGATAAGTCGGGCAAGAAGTTTGCCCCCAAGGCGCCCGCCCGACGCGCCCCAGCCCAGCCTGCTCCCCCGAGACGACCCAGTGTAGCCTCCCAGCCGTCTGCGTCTGCATCTCAGACTCCTCAACCTCAGCCCCCGACCGAGACTGCGACCCCCGAATCCGCTCCTCCTCCGCCCACTCAGCCCCCCGTTCCTGCTGAGCCCTCCATCCCCAATGAACCATCCGTTGCCCCCAAGGAAGATGCCGTGCCTCCTCGATCTGCGACTGCCATTCCCATCCCTCGTCCTAAGCGGAAGGCCTCAGTTTCGATAGCCGCTCCTGTGACGACGGAGGAATTGCCTACCCCGCCTCAATCTACCCCGCCCATACCTGCCCCATCCGACATCTCAGTTGAGCAGGCGCAAGTCGTGCCAGATGTGGGTACGTCTGCGCCTCCCTCTCAGACGCATCTCCCTGCCGCCGACGATGCGACGGAGATTCGCCCATCGAAGCGTCCCAAGACCACCACCAATTCCACAGCCATCCCGAAGCCCACTTCTGCCGCCACCTCCACTGCTCCCACCCTCACGCACACCCTAGAACTCGGACCCACCGACACCAATCCCCAACTTATCACTCCTCCTGCCACGCAGGCGACTGCGACAGACAGTGAAGAGACAACAGAAAGCCGTGCCAGGGCGGAATCTCAGAGCACTACTGCTGGTCAGACGCGAAAACCGACGAGGGCGAGGAGGAAGTCGGTCAAAGATGGCAATGATGAGAGCGCAGCCGGTAAGAAGAAGGAAAAGAAAACACGGACGCGCAAGAAGCGCGAGCCGACTCCCGAGGGCTCGGAAAATGTCGAAATCGCCCCTGGACTTGTTAAAATGTCGGAGCTCTGCAAGGATATGCGAACAGGGAGAATGTCCAAGCGGGAAACCGAGCTGCGCAATATGGAGCAAGCCGAGCTAGAACGGAAGCAAAAGGCACAGGAAGAGGGTGACACAGAGGCACCAGTCAAACAAAATACAGCCGAAGCATCCCCGGCAGAACCCAGCAACGACACGGCGGGGAATAAGGCGCCGGCAGCAGGACCGGTGATGAGAATTGTTAACGGAGAGATCGTGCTGGATACTGCTTCCTTGCAGGTCGATCGCCACGCCGATGCAGCAAGAAATGCCGATCTAGAGGATGTGGTCGAAAATTCGCTTACTCGGAAGATCAACCAAGCTACATACGGAAAGCGCTCCAAGACCGAGTCTTGGGATGAGGAGATGACGGATCTCTTCTACAGAGGGTTGCGCATGTTCGGCACGGATTTTATGATGATCAGCAAGTTCTTTCCTGGGCGCTCCCGGCGTCAGATTAAGCTGAAGTTCAACAATGAAGAACGCCGTGACCCGCAGCGTATCAAGGAAACCCTTCTAGGCCCGCGCGAGGCGATCGACATCAACACCTACTCGGAGATGACCAACACTGTCTATGACGACCCCAAGGTTATCCAGCAACAACTGGATGAGGAGAAGCAGCAGATCGAGGAACAACACGCCAAAGAGAAGCAGGCGCAGGAAGAGATGCTTCGTAATCCTGACGGCGGTACCGATGGAAACAACGATGCGCCCGCTAAAGTGAAGCGGGTCAGCAAGAAACAAGCCATGAAGGCCATGGCCGGAGGCACTGAAGAAGTCCTGGGCACTATTGATGACATGTGAGTATATACGGCCGATTCGGAATCGCTTGGTCATCCAGATCGTGCCTTAGTACTCGGTTTTATCTAGCAAAAAAAAAATTTTGAAAAGCTGAGAGGCTCGATTGAATGGCTCCATGGTTGCAAGAACTGGCTATCACTAGACATAACTGCTTTTTCCTGGATTTCACCTGCGCCTCGTTGAGCCAAACCCGGTGCTGGTGCTCGGGCTTGAGAAGCGCGGAGAACGCGAACCCGAACTTCCTTCTCCTGGATCATCCCATCTCCTGAACGAAGAAGGCCGTCTCCCCGCGATGGGCGAACCCGAGCGATTGCTTCTTCTCCCCAGTCCATAGCCAGCCGCCGCACCACCCAAAGCCCCCGACCAGAACCCAGGTCTCCAACCCATGTCCGACCCCGAAAAGCGAGGATCCGGCGATCTCGTATACGGAGGTGGAGGTCCAGGATAAGGGCCTCCACCGCCGCCGCCACCACCAAATCCACCCCAACCACCACCCCCACCATTCTGGCCTCGTCGATTCCCCCGCAGCCCAAAGCAGTCTCTCAGCATCGGCCACAGGATCATCACGAAGCACGCACCCATGAAGCCAAAGAATATGAGATTCCCGATGGCCCCAAAAACGCCACTCCAGCCGGCCCTGGACGCATTCTGAGGCCAGAAGCTGTCGCTACTGCTACCGAACCTCTTCTCTCCCAGGTCCGTCAGCAGCAACCGGTATTCGACACCACAGCTGCCCTTCAACACCCACTTATCGTCCGCGTTTCGGTATCCCTCGCACACTACGTCGGTCGCGCCGAGCTTGAATTCGGCCGGGAGGGAAGTGGTGCATGTCCATTGGACATCTTCTTCATCGTAGTCGTAGCCTTCGTTCGTGCACCGCATCGTCTCGATCGGGTACATATCGCAAATCCGCTTGGAAGGTCCCGTGCATTTCAGCTGGGGGATCGGGGGGACGCGCCGGGAGCTTGTGAGACGGTTGTCGCGGAGGGTGAGCGCGTGGACGCGAGAGAGGAGGATGGCATCTTTGCCGGGCGGTTTGGCTGAATTTCCGAGTGACAGCGCAGGAGAAAGGAGGAGGGAGAAGACAAGCTGCAGGAGGAGTAAGTGGTGCATGATGGAGAACGATGGCTTTCCAGATAGCTTCGGTGTCAGTGAACTGAAGATTGCGAGCATGCGATGGCATTAGACCATGATTATATATTATGCTGAAGGTATCGGACAAAATGTGTAGGTAATGTGGCAAAAAGCCGGGCCTTGTTTCGTTTCTTTTCTAGGCTGTAGACCGGAGGAAGTATGACTCAGTTAGCAGGCTGGAGCAGAAACTGGATGATCCAACGTGTCCTTTCAGCAGCAGCCGAAGCAGAAGGTGAGACGAACCGTGAACCTTGACGGGCGAGAGTCCCGCCGATAAACGCATAGCGTCGCCGAGGCGGTGCCTCGATCGCCTTTTCGCCGCCTTTTGTCTCCAGCTTCCCACTTCCCACCTCCACCTCCACTTCCACTTCCACAATCATCCACACCTGAGGCATTTCCAGGCGGTGGTGGAATGCGCCATGGGTAGAAGCTGAGGCATACAGTGACAGACAGAATGTCTTTCCAGCAAAGTGCGAGCTGTCTCTCTTTCCAACTGGCTCTGGAAGCCGACGAGCTGACGATGACGACCTACTAGGTGAACTGGTGCCCGTTCCGGCTCAATCCTCGTACGCCACCGGTGGCCTGATCTCCTCTTGTCGTTCGATCGAGGCTAACACAATGGTCTAGCTTGTCGTTCACACAGGGTTTCCTCCTCGGGCAGCTGTCCGTGGTGCTACTGATCGGGGCCTTCATCAAGTTCTTCATCTTCGGCGAAGCTCCTCCGCCGCCCTCCCGCGGCCTTCGACCCTCGACACACCGGCGATCCAACTCGATCTACAACATCAACCCCAACGATGCAAACTCCCGGTCCCTAAGAGAAAAACCCTCCAACTCGAACGTTCTCCGCCCGGTGCCGTCCTCCTCCACCAACACCCGCTCCATCCTCCGCAAGACCTACTACAGCGCCATTCCCACGAATCCCTCGAAACATGGCAGACACAGGATCCATCACTCCTCACACCAGCCAGAGTCGCTGGACTGGTTCAATGTGCTGATCGCGCAGACCATCGCCCAGTACCGACAAACAGCGTACCTGTTGAAGGACTCGCCGACGTCCTCGATTCTCAGCTCACTCAATGCGGCACTGAACAACCCGGAGAAAAAGCCTTCGTTCATCGACAAGATCAACGTGACGGATATCTCTCTCGGCGAGGAATTCCCCATCTTCAGCAATTGCCGGATCATCGCCGCCGATGACCCCAACTCCGACGGAGGGCGACTCCAGGCCTTGATGGACGTCGACTTGAGCGACGACAACCTATCCATTGCCATCGAGACTTCCCTACTACTCAACTATCCCAAGCCCTGCTCGGCGATCCTCCCAGTGGCTCTGTCTGTTTCTGTCGTCCGCTTCTCGGGGACACTGTGCATCTCTCTGGTCCCCGCGTCCACGCCCCCTCTCGACACCCCATCGCCATCCCCGCCTCCTCCCACCGCTGATGGGAACCCGCGCGGCAAGGCCCCCGGAGATGCCACCCAAGAGGCTGCCAATGGAGCGGAAGACGGACTCCCTCCGAAGTCCAGTCCCAAGAGCAATGTCGCTTTCTCCTTTCTTCCAGATTACCGACTGGACCTGTCGGTACGATCCCTCATCGGCTCACGCAGCAGGCTTCAGGACGTGCCCAAGGTCGCCCAGCTGGTCGAAGCGCGGGTGCATGCATGGTTCGAGGAGCGGGTCGTTGAGCCCCGAGTGCAAGTAGTCGGACTACCAGATCTATGGCCCCGCATGGGTCGGACCGGCGTCCGGACAGGCGAAGAGTCGGAAACCGGCTCAAACGCCGCCTCTCGGGGCGCCATGTCCCCCGATCTCAACGACCATCTAGGAGATCGAGAACCAGACGGACTGCGATTCCGGGGAGGCCTGGCCTCGCGGCCGCAGTTCGACAGCGTCTCGCGAACCAGCAGCTACAACGTCGAAACCGGCGACCTGCGCAGCCCTAGCCTGGTTCGAGAGGAGAGTTCCGGGGCCCTGAGCGATCAGTTCCACATGCCTGGCTCTCTGTCCGGACCGGCTGCTCACTGAGACGGACCGGACAATCTTGGCTACATGTACCATAGACGACTACGAGGTTGACCTGCATATATAACGAACGGCGTTACTACAGATAGGAGTTGAATGAGACGTTGCGATTAGACCACCCAGTTCAAACAGTTGTCGTAAATGTCATTGTCATGGTATATCACATAGTCATCCAGCTTCAAGCTTACATACATGCCTTTCCTTGATCTAGGGCGGAGTTAACCCGCCCTGTCATAGTCCAGTCGATCCGACGCCCAGCCACCACACCACCCACCTAGACAGCAGCAACAGAAGCCTGGCCGAGGGTACCGAGATAGGAAACGCGGTGCGGGTTCCCATCGAGATCGGTACTCCTGTTCAGGGGCGTCCACTTCGGCTCCTCCTGGAAGAGGCGCATAGCCTTGACATACTACATCACCCCCCCCGACACATTAGCACCCATCCATCCATCCATCCATTCATCCCCCAACCCCAAACCCCAAAGCTGAACCAGAAAAACTCACATTATTCTCATCCGTCGTAAAACGATGATAAATGCCCGCGGGAAGAATGATCAAATCATCCTTCTTCAGGCGAATACGGACCCACTCGTCCTCCGTGCCGCGGACATCGAAGTATCCCTCGCCGTCGCGGATGTAGCGGATCTCCTCGTCCTCGTGCAGATGCTCGTGGAAGAACATCTTCACCTTCTCCTCGTACACGTCGCCCATGGTCTTGGGGGACACGGTGACCTCATCGCGGTTCTTGTAGCCGCGCTCGAGGGCGAGGGCGTCGACGTCGGCGATCGAGGGACAGTAGCGGTAGAAGACGCCCAGGGAGGCGAGGTAGGATTCGTCGACGGGGCGGCCGTCGTCGTGCGGTTCGCGCTGGTCGCCCTGGGTGGTGGTGGGGGTGGTGTTAGCATAGCACCATTACCAGCACCGTGAGTATGGAGGGGGAACCGCGAGGAACAGGAACCCCGCGGGATAACAGGCCAGGTACACAGTCACAGTCACGATCACGATACAGGGAAGGTGGTACTCACCGGCTTGTTATCGTACCAGTAAGCCTTCATATTGCTCAACAATCAACAGTTCCTGACAGAGAGAGAGAAGAAGCAAAAGGCCTCGAGGTCTTCGTCCCGAATATAAACGACGACCCAATGAACCGCGGGGCGTGAAAAATGCAGCCCCGCAATTGGCCCCTCGGCTTATTTCGTCATTACGTCAGCAAATCACATCATCTCACCGCCCTCGGATTTAAAACGCGGCAATAAGCCCGACGGCACGTGATAGCAATCAACCTTTTTTGCCGATTCTCCGATAACAAACCCGAAGCGAAGACACCTTGTCGTCGTCACAGCCAGATTTCGAATCATGGCGTTCCGGGCACGTTCAGTTGCTCTGTTTCGATGGGGCTTGGAGCCCCGGTTCCGGTTTGGGGGGAAACGGGGACTAGCGACCGTGGCGGAGGGGACGAGGTATGCGGTTTCTTGTTTTTGGTTCTGGTTCTGTTGTTGAGGGTCGATGCTGATTGCGTTTCCTGCTTTGTGTATAGGTCGTTCGATGTGGTCGTGATCGGAGGAGGCCATGCAGGCTCGGAGGCGTGTGCTGCAGCGGCTCGATCCGGAGCCAGGACGGCGCTGATTACACCGTCGCTCTCGAACATCGGCGTGTGCTCGTGCAATCCGAGTCTGGGCGGTATTGGAAAGGGCACGATGATCCGGGAGATTGACGCGATGGACGGAGTCGCGGGACGCATTGTCGACAAGGCGGGCGTCATGTTCCGCACGCTCAACCGATCCAAGGGTCCGGCGGTTTGGGGGCCTCGCGCCCAGATCGATCGCGATCTGTATAAGAAGCACATGCAGGCGGAGCTGCAGAGCACGGAGGGGCTGAGTATCGTGGAGGGGAAGGTCGCGGATATTGTGCTGTCGAGGGAGGGCATCGAGGATGTTCCGGGGGCGCAGGGCAAGATTGCTGGCGTCAGGCTGGAGTCCGGGGAGATCATACCGACGGGGAAAGTCGTTATCACGACCGGGACGTTCCTGGGGGGCGAGATTCACATCGGGCTGAATGCGTATCCGTCCGGACGGATGGGTGAGGCCGCGACGTTCGGGCTGAGCAAGTCTCTCCGCGAGGCTGGGTTCCAGCTCGGTCGTCTGAAGACAGGCACGCCTCCCCGGCTGGACAAGAAGACGATCAACTTCGCGTCTTTGGAGGTCCAGGATGGTGATCATCCACCGCCGCCGTTCTCCTACCTCAACGATCGGGTCGATGTGAGCGACGAAGACCAGCTGAATTGCTGGTTGACCTACACGAACGAAGCGTCGCATGAGATCGTGCGCGCCAACCTCGACAAGACGATCCACATCCGCGAGACAGTGCGAGGGCCGCGATACTGCCCATCCCTGGAATCCAAGATCATCCGGTTCGCGGAGAAGCAGCGGCATCTGATCTGGCTCGAGCCGGAGGGATTCGCGCCCAACGACGTCGTCTACCCCAACGGCATCTCGATGACCATCCCCGAAGACGCGCAGTACGCCCTGCTCCGGACGATCCAGGGACTGGAGAACGTGACGATGCTCCAGCCTGGCTACGGCGTCGAGTACGACTACATCGATCCGCGCAACCTGCAGCCCACGCTCGAAACCAAACTCATCAGCGGCCTGTACCTCGCAGGCCAGATCAACGGCACGACCGGCTACGAAGAAGCCGCCGGACAAGGCATCATCGCGGGCACCAACGCAGGACTCTCCGCCCAGGGCCGCGCACCACTCACCCTGCGACGGTCAGACGCATTCATCGGCATCATGATCGACGACCTCATCACCAAGGGCGTCTCCGAACCCTACCGCATGTTCACCACCCGCAGCGAATACCGGATCACGACACGATCCGACAACGCCGACCTCCGCCTCACCCGCATGGCGCGCGAAGCGGGAATCGTCTCCAACAAACGCTGGGAGCACTTCCTGGAGACCGAATCGCAAATCACCACGCTGCAAACCCTCCTCGAAAACACCAAAATGACCTCCCACGCCTGGAGCCGCAGGGGCTTCAAACCGCGTGTCGACGCCTCCATCCGCTCGGCGCTCTCCCTGCTCAGCCACCGCGAAACCTCCATCGACGCCATCATCCCGCACCTCGAATCCCCCTGCGGCACAGCGTACACCGCGAACTCCTTCTCCCCGGAGATCCGCGCCCGCGTGGCCATCGAAGGCCGCTACAGCCCCTACGCCATCCGCCAGCAGAACAACGCGCAGAAATCCCTCCGCGACGAGAACCTCCTCGTCCCGGCGGACTTGGATTACTCGGCGATCTTTGGCGTCAGTATCGAGGAACGACAGGCGCTGGAGCGCGTGAGGCCCACGAGTATCGGTATGGCGAGACGCATCGAGGGCGTTACGCCGGAGGGTGTCCTCCGGCTGCTGATGCATGTGCACAAGACGAGTAGGAGTCGGGAGAGGGAGGGAGCAAGGGAGATGGGGAGAGGTGCTGTTCCCCCTCCTGCGTCGGAGGGTCTGGAAGAGACGCCTGAGGACATCATTCAGCAGGCGCCTTGAATTGCACCTGCATCTATCTGAAAAGAAAAGAAAAGAAGGAAAGAAGGCGGGAAGGAAGAAAGGATATCCCCATCCATCGTCAATTCCTCACGGTATCATTGTACGACTATGACTATGGCTATTACTATTACTATTTGCATATACTTGACAGCGAGAAGGGCAGGCGAACGAATTGAATCGACCATGGCTGGCGTATTGGGAACTTGAGTTGAGTCGTGTACTTTTACTTACCTTGCTATGTTGCACAGGACCCGGGGTGGGGGGGGAAGGGAGGCAGTCAGTTAGATTGGGGGATCATGGATAACATATCAACTTGCTAACACTGTATTATATACTCTTTTTTTTTTTTTTCTTTGAATTGCATTTCTGGAAATATCCCAATACCGACTTTTCTCTTCTTTTTTTTTTGTCGTAAGGATATATATACATCATACTATACTACATACCATGTTGGCTGGATTATCTCTTCGCCATGAGTAATACTAACTAATACCTACCTACCTACCTAAAAGGCATATATCTGAAAATATAGAAACAAATGTAGCAATGTAAAGTACCTGATCCTATTCACCGATTCCTACCCGCCAACATAATTCTGCATATTCGTTTCGGTTGAACAAAAAAGAAAGCAGGTCGCGGAGCGGATGTCCAATAACCGGATATGATAAATAACTGTTTTGCAACTGTAACACAACCTAACTGTTACAGTAGTAGGTAACAGTTTGACAACTATTATGAAATGGTTGGTGAGTGTGGCAAACTATCAGATATATATAAATAATAGTAAGCTACCATCTTTGACTTTAACTGAACTATGCTGTAACCCTCTCTACGCACGCCTCCGGGCCCCTATAGGCTGATGATAAAATATATAAGTAGATCGCATAACCATCACACCACACCACCACCAGCAGCACCACCCCTATCTATCTACCACTAACCAGTCAAAAGACCAATACAGTTACTTACTCATACAAACAAACACTCTATTACTATATACATACACACACAGGCACACTATTTATGACAAATGAAACGGATACACTACCCTACCCATCTACGACTCACTCACTCACTCACTCCCTTACCTCTCTACCCACCCAACCAAACCTAACCCAACCCGAAATCAAGGCTTCTTCCCGGCAGTGTTAGTAGCAGCAGCGCGAGAAATGCGCTTCTGGATCTCCTCCTTGGTAAGAATCTTGACCGCATCACGAGAAAAGACGTAGCTGAGGCCGGACCAGAGGGTTGTTGCGGCGACGAGGTATCTAATGGATGGATAGTAAGGTAAGTAACCATCAATTAGTTCAGTTCAGGGGTTTCGCAGTTCATGAGTTCATGAGTTCGGGTAATCATAATATGATGGATGTATGGATGATTTGCATGCAGGTTGGGGGAGAAAAACAAAAGAAGAAGACGATGGATGATGGATGGATGGGCAACCAAAAAAAAGAAGAGGAAGAAAGAAAATAAAGCGAGGGAAAAAAATTGGTGAGCAAAAACATACAACAGAAGGGATTCGCTGGTGGTCACCCACCCAACTACTAACCTCCCGGCGTGTGGCTTAAGTACGGCTGAGCGGACGGGAAGCCCTGTTCTCCACACCCTATGGTCGTATGTGACAGATAGATCTCGGGAGAGAGTCACATAGCGCGTTGGGTGGGTACATCACCCGGTACATACTCATGATAGGTAGGTAAACAAGGGGGGGGTTGGTGGTGGGTGGTAGAAATTTAACGGGGGTGGAAGGAAGGATGGGTATGTATGGAAAGGGCACACTTACTGGAATCCGGTCATCGCCTCATTCAGATGCCAGGCACTGATGACAGTCTCGGGGAGGACGGGGAGCGCGATGGCGCTTCCGACGAGCAGCAGCTGCAGGGCGGTGTTGATCTTGGAGACGGTGGTGGGCTTCACCTCGGCGGATGGGAGGGAGAAATCCCAGTACCGGGCCATGGTCTTCGGGGGCGGGAGGGAGATCCACCGGTAGTAGATAGCGGAGATGGCGAGTCCAACGTCGCGACCGAGGATGATGACGGCGAGCCAGACTGATCGATCTCTCAGCATATGGTGGCGGATAAGGGGTGGAAGGAGAGACAGAAAGGTTGGTAGTGGCTTACCTGGGATTGAGCCATTCACAGCCAGGCAGGCGACTCCGATGGTCATGAGTAGCTTGTCGGCCATGGGGTCAATGATGGTTCCGACGACTGTCTGCAGGTTCCACCGTCTTGCGATCCAGCCATCCACCAGATCCGTAACACCGGCGTAGGCGAAGAGACCCAGGGCGGCGACATGGTGGTCGTGGACGAGGAAGTATCCTACCAGAGGCGCGGCAAGGAGACGGGTGAAAGTGAGGATGTTGGGGACGGTGTAGATGTTCTCGTGAGTGCGGTTGGGGAGCTTTGAGAGAATGGTAGGCTTCTTAGGCGCAGGCGGAGAGCTATACTGGTGTTAGGATTGAAGGACTGGTGGTGGTTGATAGATATATCGAATCGCAGGCGGTGCGATGAAGACGATATCGAGTACAAACCTTTGAGGACTAGGATCGGTCGGCTTCTGGGCAGAGTATCTCTTTTGTTGGCCAATGATCCGTGACTCTAGGGCGCAAACCACACTGGTCCTCTTTCGCAATGAGCTAGAGGCCTGGGTTAGCTTTCTGGATCATGAGGACTCGCCACAGATCAAGATCCCACCTCGTCTGGATTCTCGAGCGACTAGCCAATGTGACCGTTGAGAAGTCGCGAGCTTCTTTTGCCGACAAGCCCACCCATCCCCTCCGTGAAAGAGGAAGAGAGACCAACGGCGAGGATATGACTAGGCAGTTTAAGCGGGTGCATTGTCTGGATGCACGTAGCGGCATCGGTAGCATTGCAATTGCAGCCATGATGGGTTGCTAGCGAAATGGTCGGATGACGTCACTCGTTCGAGATATCAGATACAAATTAATGATAGATCGACGAGCCGACAGATCAAAGCGTCACGAAACGATATCTCAATGGTATATCAACGACAGCAACCATGTCATAGGATGATGTCAATATTCAGATCATATGACGATGCGAGGCCGAAAGGTTGGGCGGAATGAGCGAACCCCAAAGTCAAAAACCAATGTATGTTTTTGTTGCAGCCGAATATAAACCAGCCGACTGCAGATATACCGAAGCGACTCTCGATGGGGTTGAACGACCGTATATATGTATACCTTCGAGCGGCCAGATTATCCGACTCCGGGAGGCTCCAGGGCACGTGAGTCTCGGGTCAGAGGGCGAGCAGTCCGATGGGCGAGGGAATTGCCATCCACGACCGTGGGCAGTTGAGGACTGGGGAGAACGACCCGGGAGGGACTGCAGACGGTCGACCTGGATGCAGAGGGGAGGCACAGGAGTTGTATACAGTTGCTGCCGACGCTCGTGGCTGGAGAAAATGCCCCCGGAGTTTCGGTTCCTCCGAGGTCACGTGTCACTCTGTATGGACTACGGACTACATGATGGCTGGGATTTGGGGGGTGGGGGGTGATGAGGAGAGGATATAAGAGTACAATTTGGTATACGAAACGATGTACGCACGGTCTAGCGTCATCATTGGTAGGTAATATGAGGGGACCTTTTCCTCCTGAAAGGGTCCCCAGCCTGGATTCGAACCCGCGACCAGGCGGCAGAAGAGGCACCAAAAGGGGCATCAACCCCGATTAGGAAATGTGTATAGAAACAAGATCCTGAGTACAGACCATATGTAATGTTAAACAGCAATTATCAAAAACAATCATCTCTACAAGAGACTGAAGACTCCGCTGATCAAGAAGGAAGCTCTCGAGCCCAAGAAGAGTCATGCGCTGGGAGCTCAGCCACAGGGGTACCCTGAGCTTCAGCTGGAATACCCTCCTTAAACTGATCCTGCATGGGACTGCCGTACGCACTTATCTCCCTCGAAGGATCGTAGACGGTTACCCCACGGCTCACGACCGAATCTCTCTGTTTCTTTTTCCTCCTGAGGAACCAGAACACCCCGGCTGCGATCAACGCGCACCCGGCCACGGCACCAATGACTGGACCGGCAATCCATGCCTTTGAGGAATGAGATTCTGGACTTGAGCTCGCTGGGCCAGCCGTTGCGGTAGAAAGAACAGCAGTGGAAGTAGAGGAGGGCCCGGCTGTTGCGGAGGGAGCCAGAGTGTTTTGCAGCTTTTCAACGCCGGCCGTAACCAAGAGGGAGTCGTACGTGATTTGCGCCGGACTCAAAGTCACAGTGGCCGTCTTGCTCATCGACGTGCTTGTCGAGCTGTTGGAATACCACCAGCTCGTAAAGACCACACACGAGGCACTTTCCGTCGATGAGATGACCACGCACTCCTGCGTTTGGACAAAGATGGTGTAATCCGCTGCCTTCTTTCTGGTTGAGCTCAGGCTCAGGGAAAACGTCGAGAGACCTTTGGTGACAGTAATCGGCAAAGCATAGGACGAAAACGAGCAGTTTGCTAGCAGGCTCTGGATACAGTTGACGGCAATAGTGGTTTGGTTGTTGGTGGTGTCCACCGCGACAATGCTTCCAGCCATATCGCTAAACACATTGTTATTGACCGCGATGTTCTCCTCAAACACTTCCACGTATGTTGTGGTGGGTGCGGCGGTTGTCTGCATCGTCGAGGATGTTGCCATCGCGTTGCGCGTGAAAAGCTTGGATGATGCGAGACCGGATGGGAAAAGGGCCGTAACAGCAAGGGCCAGGGTTTTGGAAGATATTATACCCTGTTGTGCCTAGACCTCGCGATTTTTAGTGCAGCTGCTGGGGATCCGGGTCGATCGAAACACGACCGATCAGTGCTTATTTGATTGGTAGCCAAAATGGTCCTTGACGGCTTTATTTCAGAAAGGTGGCTCCGGTTGAAAACGAGACGGTCAAGGTTGTTCACGAAGTGCGGAGAAGCCAACAGACAAAGGTCGACCAGGCCACACAGGCAGCAGGCACCCTGGCTAGCTTGGAATAGGTCCGTCCATCTCTGGAGTGAATCGTCGGCGATGAATGCTCGCATCGCGGCGGCTGTCGGGGATATGTTGGTGTGCGCTGAGGTCATACCCACGGGCAGCGGCAAGATTCTAGATGAATGCGAGTAGACAGGAAGTTCCATCAGACCAGTTGATGATGGTGAGTGGTGGGTGGTTGGAGATGTTGGGGAGGCGCCGGACGGGCCCCTTCTTAACCGGGGTGCTGCTCGACAGGGATCTTTCCTCCTTCACTACTCCGTACTCCTCACTCCTCCATACCCGGCTTGCCATCCTGCCACGGTGAAGCCAACGTTAGAGGTCCAAAGGTAAGGCAATCTTCAACAATGTCCCCCACGCTGCTGATGACATGGTCGCATGTAGAAAAACAAACCTGATCTGGATACCTGCATGCCCATGATGACGAGGGAAACCGATTTGAACAATGCGCTGCTCGACAGGAAGGCTTGAAAGCAGCGCATTCGAGAATACAAGCTCGCTTGCCCGCTCCTCTCTCAGGTGGAATCAACCTATCCCGCAGTCAAAGCAGCAGTTCAATATGTCCAAAGATTGATGTATACTCATATGCATCTCACTGGGTATATACCCAAGCTATTACTCAAGTATCAGATGCGACCATAGGGTGTGGAGAACAGGGCTCCCCGTCCGCTCAGCCGTACTGAAGCCACATATTCCCCATGGTCAGTTGTTAAAGAGCCCTATAGCTGTCTAAAACTATAATTCTCAATTAGTAAGGTCTTGGGACTGGGTGCTGGTGATTGGGGTGTGATTACTTTAATAGTCATCTCCAAGAATGAGCATGTATCACCCCCCCGGGGCAATACATGCTCATCCCTCCCCCTGCGGGTGATGAAAGACTGGTAATAAGATAGCAAGAGATTTTAATAAACAGACCTATCTTATTATAAATAGACTCTAGATTTTTTATATTTATTTTTAAGTTTTTTTATATCTGTTTTGAGATCTAATTATACTATCATTGTAAGACAGCAACCTAGGGGAGTTGTTGCCACTGAGCCAAAAGGCTAACATTACCCGCAGTTACCTGCGGACCCCTAGAATCCCATATATAGTATATTCAAGTACACCCGGGAGGAGATGGGCTTCACCCTTGTAAGTATGCATATCCCGCGGATATCATCCCTTACAATAGGGCGAGGAGGTGATGTAGGATTTGGATTAGAGGCAATTGTTGTATTACTCAAGACAGCCCCATACTGCTGAATAATAATAGTGTTGTAGTTGAACTCGGACCAGAGAGTAATATTTGTGATATCTTGGTTCACCGTGTTCGAACCGGTTGAAGTATTTTGGGTAATAAGCCTGGGAGGAGCTTCCCTAGTCAAGTACTCCAAGAGACTCTCAGTAGCCATTGTGAATAAGAAAGTTGAATGGGAAAGTTATAGGTAATTATTGCTGGGAGTTTCACAAATCTTTCTAACGGGCGAGTCTGTTTTATATCTGTAGGATATTCTGTCGGCGTGTAGACACTTGATCTTAGTATGGCTAGTTTGGAAGTATGTCTTCTTATCATTGATGGGTTTTCTTGATATGGACCTCCCTACTGAATTAGGTCAATTGCATAACTAGGCAGAATAACTGCAGGTTGAATCACACTGTCACATTGATCTTGGTAACATGCTGCTCACTAGAACTGGTTCATCTTGAGAACAAACTCTGAATCTTTTCGCATTAATACAGCAGTGGCCATCATCTATACGAATGACGTATAAAAGAGAATCATTATTTATTCTACCAAAGTCTCGACTTCTACAAATTCAATTTATTGAGAGACTACACATCACAGAAACCTCTGAAATCTTTCGGGTTCTACTTAATAATCTTGAATATTGTTTTAAAGTGGTTTGTTGCTTGAATACTGTGTCAAGAAGTTCTAGAAAACTAAGATATCAATATATTCATATGAAAGATGATCCAGGTTTTGCAGATGATGGCAGAGATCTTTGTCGATATCGTTGCGAGTCGCAAGCATATCAGGCCTTACATATCAACGGCATCTGCAAGCTAGGGATTGTGCCATATTTTTATGGTATATTTGAATCATTTGATCCCCAACTGCTTGGATCTGCCCTTGAATCATTTGAGAAATATCATAATCTTCCATGTGCGATTCTACTAGAATATCTACCGAATGCAACAAGCTTTGAACATGCCAGTCTCTCTTCAGAATCTATCAGTACAGCAATTTTAAATCTGAAGATTATTCATGGCGCGCGTGTTGTTCACAATGATGCATATCCAAAAAATACTCTTATAGCCCCGGGGACTAGATCACAACGCGTTGTTTGGATAGATTTTGATGTGTCCATTGTTTTTTTCATCTGAAGAAACCCGAGGCCTGCTTGACTTCAGTAATGAAGCCCAGTGGGAACAAGAAGTATTTAAAAGCCGCGTCCGCAAATTGGTAGAATTTCACCCTTTATTATTGCTCTGCTCGTCTTTACTCTTGATCTGTCTAATATCTGTACTAGAATACATAATAGGACTCGGAGTTTTGAATGTCAGTGGGACATTCTACTCCTACAATATTTTGTCATTCATAGTGACTGTACCAAGATGTGCTTCGATCACTACTCTAATAGCTCAGCCCCAAAAGGCGCATGGCTTTTAAGGGAGGCTGAACTGAGCGTCACGTGCAAAGCGCTTTCTATGGGTCTTGTGCGACTGTTCTCACGCAAGAATGATTCATATACGGCTTAATTAATCAGCATGGGCCATTTGAAAATACCAATTTATCGCTCTGGACCGGCATTCTACACTTCTGGCGATTGCGGTCTTTTGGAGTATCCGATCTCTCACAGGGACTCAACTTAAGTATACTGAGTGATCTACTTTGTGCCGTGCTTGACGAATAAATCTGTATCTTGATCCAAATGGATAATTTTCAAGGTTGAAGCAATGTTCACCCTACCCCAGTTTGATGGAGAAGCTTGGCTGGACAACCATGTTATATCTTAGTATGTATGCCTTATGCTGTTACCTGAATTAGCAAATTTTCTGTTACTTGACTAGCTTCACTTCGAGTACCCACTTTATCAAGAACCTGGACGTGCACACAAGGGCCACGCAGATTGCCCTCCATCCCTGTGTAGGCTGTCTCCATCATCGACGCTACTGACCAGGAGCTGCTCTCCGCTGGGAGAGCGTACAGTAAGAAAACGATGCTGTAGGAGGAGAGCTGCACGGACGGGTAAAGTCATGCCATTCCAAGCAGGGCCGACTCTTGTCAAGGGCCGCCCTACGTCCCAATACTCCGGACGGGACTAGATATCGTAGGGGATAATCATAAATGGAGGTATGTCAGGCCTTTCCGTATGCCTTGGACAAAAACATTTTGCCTCTGGTCACATATCTTATACTCTGAGGGTGCCTTACGTGTTGATTCAAGTACCTATTTACAGCAAAATGTAAGGGTTATGATGTACTCAATGGGCAGGAACCACTATTAGAATATTAGTAAACCCCGCTAGTCTTTCACTATTTCAACGAGAGTCTGAGAGGGTAGCGTTTTCTAATTGTCAGGAAGGCCTTTGAAATTACTGCCCTTCTTTATCAGGAGACTTTATTCTGTATCCAAGCTGTGCAGCTAACTCTTCATGGGCTCGCAATTTGCTATCCTTCAGTTTTGCTTTTGCAATTCTTCTGTCACTACTAAGAAACCTTGCCCCGTCGACCCACGACCTTGCACGGATTTCCCTGATTCTAGTGACTTCGCAGGCTAGTTAGTCTCAAACCGCTGAATCGGCCATGATACAGTCAAGAGCCCGTCCCAATCAAATTAGATGTATGCAGAGTGTTCTAGACCAGTATTAGACTGATTCTGAAAGAAGAAATTCTTACTGGACTGCTTATACAGGATAAAATTAGATCTTATCATGTATATCTTCTATCGCAGCAGGCTCTAGCAATCTCTGTCTCTTTTCTGTGAAATCTTTGTTGAAATAAGATATTATAAGAAAATATAATAAAAAGATCTTGTTTCTCCAGCTGAGAGCCTGAGCATCACACCAGCTATTAAGACTTGGCTTTGCTGATCAAATAGTTGCGTATCTTTGATCGAGTATTATAACTTTGAATCCTAACTAAGATTGCTTCCTTGTTATTTCTAAGCACTTTGAATATCTCTTATAATTATATATATTATAACAGACGCTTCCACGCATTACTTCAGTCTTCTTCTTACATTAACAACAAGATCCTCTTATAAACATACGAGGTTTACTTCTTGTCCAACTATTTTTCGAGAGATCTCTGGCCCGTTGATACATTTGAGGCTGTGGCATCGTGCGAAATCCTCCTGTTATTTACAAAGAAAAATCTCGAAAATAAGATATTCCAAACTCTTTCTCAGCTTCAATAACATCTTTCGGCTGTGCTATTGACCAGCCTGATCGGGATATTGATGAAATATTCTTATATTTTGTAATAGTTTTTTTTTTTGAATCATCTCAAGAGCTGTTGGTTCTATGGGTGCTGTGGTGGAAATAAGAACTTTCAAATATTTGACAAGGCTTGTGATGCAAGACATGTTGAATCGAGAGAAAATTGCTTCGGATAAAGACAGCTATTGATTGGAACAAGGGCTTGGCCTGATGATGGCCTGGGATTTAGCCTCTCGGTTGACTTGACCTCAGCCCGACGGATCACTCGATTACTCCTGTATGACTTCATATATGCCTTGTTTCTGCCTGATTCTATGTCTATATAGCCCAGCTGCTTGCGCAGCAGTATCGTAAATTCAGATCTTCATTGCTTCATCTTACTAGCCGCTACCTAGATTACCAGAGTTGATAGTTATGAGCCCGGTTCGCTACACCATTTGCAAGCAAGCATCTATCTATCAATCAACCAATCAACCAATTGATCAACAGCCCCAAGAAGCGGTCAAGATGTCTAAGACAGACAGACAGACAGACAGACAGACAGACAGCAGTTAGCCGATGATATTGACTCCTCTCCCTCTCCAATCAACAGGACAGGACAGCTGGCAGACAAGATACATGGCAGCTGGTGAGTGAGTTGATGCCCTACGATAATCTCTCGCCGCCTGGATGTTTCACCACTGTCGGGAATCGGACTAGGCACGGAACGGGACTGGTAACTACACAAATAAACAAGTCACTAACAACTGCCTACGGGGTTGGTTGCTGTAGCCGTGGCTGGTGCTGGGTGATCAAGCTGGGTTGATAGGGTGGGATTCAGGTTACCCGAGACATTGTGCTCTGGTCAGGGGAGTGGGAGTGGTGCTGGACCTGGACCTGGACCTAGGCATGGATGGCGTTTGATGGCGATGAGGGGATTAAGGGCTGACTAGGCTAAGTGGCATTTCTAGAGGGAGGTACTTTGGGCCTTCATGCTTTTACTTTGGGATGTACTCAGTACTCGGGATGGTGGGTGATCAGGTGGTTTAGTAGTTGGGATGGATATCCATGTGCATACATCTTTTGTTTTGCATAGTTGCCGGTAGAGATATATATCTACGGATACGAGAGAAGAAGAAAAGATTTGTCGATGGATGGTTATTTGTGTACCATGATTTCTTTCAAGGGTGATTTTTGGCGAGGTAGAGATACTACTACATAAGTAGTTAAAAGGACGAGATTCTTCTTGCCCAGCTGGGGGTACTGGGTATAGGATAGGGAGGGCATAGAGGGTATGAGAAGGCAAGAAGAAGTTGTACACAAGTACAACTGGACTTGCTATTTACTCGTCCGTTAACTCGCCAGGGGCATTAAATATCAGCTACTCAAAAACTATACATCCTACCAATCAATCAACGTCTTCCCTAACCATCTATCTATCTATATATCCATCCATTCTATACCCAGTACTAGAATCCAGCATCACCACTCCCATACATACCACGCATGCACTGTCCAGAACCCACAATCTCAAACCCCGGTAACACAAACCCCGTGTCCAGTCCACCCCATCCCACCAACCCCGAACAAACCCCGCGCAGAAACCAAATCCCCCGACGATCAAGCGCAAACCGGGAAAGCTTCACGCATGCATGGCCTCTCCCCAGACGCAAGGATGGCCTGTCTAGTGTGTATCTATCATTCATCTATCTATCTATTGAGCTAACAGCTAATCTGCCGCGCGCTGCCGTGCCTTGGTAGCACAACCTACGCCTGCACAGCTAGAGCTACGCAGTGACTACTGTACGATACGGTGCGGAGCGGTGCGGATGTACATTGATCATGCCCAATATCATCATCATACATACCTACCTACCGGCTAGGGCAGGACAAGGTTCTCAGCTTCTCAAGTCAGCCTTTGTGGCCATGTGATTGACATCCATCACTGCTTGGGTGAGGGTTGGGAATATGATGATGATCAGGCACGTACAGTACCGTGTCTACTGTACTACACTGCCTAGGTGACTGACTGGTCAGGGTACATTCCACGGTTCACGAGATCTGCTCGGGATATACTCGGGATATGGATGTATAGATAGATAGATAGATAGATAGATCAATGGATATGCAGACAGACAGACCGGGAAATGAAACAGTGGACCAGGTGGGTAAGAGACGGGGGGGGGATCTCTGAGAACCTGGATCTGGAGGCATGGTACATAGTACATTGAATACCTAGAGCAGTTGCAGTTGGTAAGCAGACAGCTCGAAGTAGCTACACGCATCAAGACACGTAAGTAAGCCGGGCGAACAAAGAAAAGGTGGGAAGAGCCTTGCATGAAGATGAGCCATATTGTCAGTGCGCATGACACTGACACCCCGCCACAGACATACCTACATAGGTACATACTGGGTCAGTACCGAGGTAGGTAGGAAGAAATATCTCTTACCCAAGAAGTAAGTCAGTCAGTCATGAGTATTGACAGTTAAGCCGCAGATGGGGAAGGTCATGTTTGGGTATCCACACAGCGAAACCGGGTACGGAAGTTGGCAGATCGAAGATGAAGGGCGAGATCTATCGACTACTTGCCCTAATCTGCGATCTGACGCGATCGGACAGACATACATACTTTCACCTTAGGTAGCTACTACTGTAACTACAGTAGACTGAAGAAAGATCCTGATCAGATTGCATTTGACTTTTACCCCTTGCATCTTTTCTTTTCTTTGTTCGCCGGTAGACTGAACTGGGGGGAGACCTGCATGAAGTTACTCCGTTACTGTATTACTTTACTGTATGTATCTTTCTTCTGGTAACTTTTACCTATAGTACATGGTACCGAAGAACGCCGTGAAACCGCCGTTGTTGGCTGCAGACAGAATACCTACTGCTTTCCACTTCCAACGCCGGATATTTTCCTTCTTGCGGGGAACCGAGCGGAGAATCATCCATTCATTCATTCACTTACTCACTTACTTACCTGGGTTATATGTACTTCCCCGACTAGATCAATTAGGACTGTAAGAACTCAAGAAGTACAAGTACCCCGTATTCACAGATCACCTCAGCTCACGCCATCAGCCAAGCTCGAGTTATGCCTGGGGACCGCTGCCACCTCTTGACTATTTACATCCACATCCACATCCACTCGGCTGGAGGGGAGATGAGAATGATAGCAAGGGCGGGTCTCGCACCTCTTGCAAATCCCGAAATCGAGTCATTCGAGGCAGAGACAGAAGCTGTATACTGTATGCAGCAACCTGCATATTCCAGTAGCAGCTGGAAAACGGGGATAGAGATGATCGGGGATCCTTTAGCTGAGCCTCTTCTGCAGCTTAGCGGGGCAGAAGCTAGTTAGTTGGGTAGTTAGTTAGTTGATGAGTTAGCTGGCAGCATTGCTTAAGTGCCCGTTTGAAGCTTAAATGATGCCTATCGTCGGATTGTTTGGTGGTTTATCTAGACAGAGTATAGATAGCAAACATGGTCGAGTAGAGATATATATGAACCATGATTACGATGACGATGACAATTATGATTATCTACCATCACCAATGACAAGACTAGATAGTAGGTACCACTAAGATACCAAGAAAGCCATGACCAGCAAAAGACGGTGAAGAGGACGAAGGACCGAGATGCGATCACCGATCACTCCGAGGAAGTATCGAGTAAGCCCCTCTCAGCAATAATAACAACAGTAATATAATAATAAACCTCCCATATACCCCCCCCCCAATAAATGAGAACCACATCTTGAAACAAAACATTCGAGTAAGTCCAGTAACTCACTCATCATGCCGATCTACAATCTATCTACTCCCTATCTACTAGCCATCTCCCTAGTCTAGTCTAACAACCTGCACAACAAAACCACCATGTGTGTGTGGGAACTGGGAAGGCGAACCCCACCGTTATTAATTTAAAATTAAGAAAGCCGCGATGACGCCGATGACGATGCGAGGGGAGGCCCCTATTATTGCAGTAGTACTATCTACGAGTGGTTAGTAGATAGTACACTAGACTAGACTAGACTCGATGAATGAATGCCTGCCTGCCTGTTTAGCGCTCGGAATTCGAATTCTCAACTGCTCCAGCACAGCCAAGTAAGTACTATCTGTTAGTGGCGCTAAAGCATTGAAGCGGGAATCTGAACCCCATCCTTTATTTTATTTTTTTTTCTTTCTTTCTCTGACTCTGTCGATACTTTCTATTATTGTCGATTTATTATTATCGACAATACTTACTCCGTACCTGGGTTAGTATACTAAGTAGCTAGCCAACTAGCTAACTAACAGTCCGATTGATATCCACCAGCCCACCCACCCTGTGGCGAAGTCGCGCTCCGAGACATTTCGCTCTCAAACCGGGATAGGAGAGCGATACATAATACATACATCCATACATAAATACATACCTACGCAAGCGCCAACGTCTCCCTTGGGCTTGGCTGTGAGATGATGTGATGAGATGAGATGAGACGAGACGATATCGGTAACTAGGTGGGTAGGTAGGTAGGTAGTATCGGTATGCATGCAGATCGATCCAACCGGTTACGCAAAGTCATCCATGTCCATGTCCATGTCCATGTGTACCTAGGCGTGGATGTGGATGTGGATGTACTAAGTAGGGATGTAGATGATGTACACATGGACAGCACAGCACAGGACAGGGGAACGGAGTACGGGGGGGAATACCTAAGTACAGTACCTACCACTTACCACCTACCACCTACCACCTACTAACCTACCTACATATGTACACTGCACCCATACCTTGGAGAGAAACAGAGAGGCGGGAGGTTGAACCCCGTGTACTCCTCCGTACTACATACCTAGGTAGGTACATACATATGTACGTAGTTTAGGTAGGATAGGATGCTAAGGTGCTCCGTACATGCATGCATACCTATCCTATCTAGTACTAGGTACAGATTGTATTGCCGTCCATCCCCTGTCTAGCGTCTATATGTCAAAGAGGTCCTCCCTCGTAATGAACAGGGAAGATTCGGCATCCCCGCCACACACAGCGAAAGAAAGAAAAGAGAAAATCAAAGAGACTAACTCACGCGCGCAAAAACCCCTCAAGTTGAGTTGGGCCAGGTAAGTTGTTACTATGAGCAATGTTCCGATTTCCGAAGCTAACTACCTAGTTACATCAACTCCAGATCAGGAGGAACCCACCCAGTTCTACCTAGCTAGGTAGGTAGGTAGGTAGGTAGGTAGGTAGGTAGGTAGTCAGCCATCATCCAGATGATGAGCCAAGAATATTGTCCCTAAAAGTAACCAAGTATGATGAGAAACAACACCGCCGCGCCAAGTCGACCGGCCGAGACGAGACGAGGCGAATAATGAGGGATAAGCGATGGAAGCGAGGACCCTAGCACTAGTTATCTAGTACTACTCAACCATTTTTTCTAAAGTCTAGATAGAGTCTAGACAGCTATGAAACCTACTACCTAAGCCCGTAGATACGATACTATAGTAGATAGGTAGTCCTAGTAAACACTAGATACTCGAGAATACGGACTGACTCCCCAGTCCCCAGTCCTCTCCCGGCATCGGCTTAATCCTCATCCTCATCCTCATCCTCATCTCGAAGCCAGCAGCTCGCTAGCTATCTATCTAGCAGCCAGCCAGCCCGTCGCAGAAAATTCCGCAAAAGTATTTTTTAAAAAAAGAATTTAAAATTAAAACTAAATAAATAAAAAAAAAATTAAAATTAAGACACGCGCCGAACCCCCGAGCCACGTTTTTCGCATGATGGTCGGGATCTGGATCCCTGACTAGACTGTGGGGGAATGGAAGAATAAAAAAAAAAAGTGGACGGACGGTGCTAAGTAGGTAGGTATCTACCTATCTGGCTAGCTATCTAGCTAGGGTAGTTAGGCCATGCTGATGAATCATGATGGATGGATGGATGGATGGATGCAGCGTCACTAGAAATGCCTAATGGTGTTTGCAATCGAGCTTAGTTACTTACTTGCTATATACAGTATGTATGTATGTATGTATGTATGTATGTAACCTGTACATAGACAGGGTATGTGATTTGTAGGTTGCTGGTGTGTATCGGGTACTAGGTAGGTAGGTAGGTAGGTACTCCGTAATGCGACTGACAAGGAAAGAAGGCGTTGAGATTTGAGAATCAACCTATGGATTGGTTCATAAAACTCGGATGGGGTTTCCACCAAGTTAGAATAGAATATCAGGCCCCGAAATAAAAGAAAAAATTTTTTTGAAGAAAATACTATACTATACTATAATACCGGTACATAAGCAAGGGGAAAGGGAGGGGGGGGGGGCTGGTGCCTAGAAGGCGAACCAACAAGACCTAGAAGCTTACTTAAAAGCATTGCGGGTGCCATAACCTCCGCCGGGGTGCATGCGGGTGGACAAAAGCAATAACATAACACACAGCTAGTTAGCTAGCTAGCTAGCTAGCTAACTAGCTACTACTCCGTAGCTACCGTAGAAATGGCTCCGGAAATCCGAAGGAGATTATTACTATTGGATAGATTGGTTGGTTGCGGTGTGCACCAAGAATCAGATACTACCTAGTCTAGTCAATCAGTCTAGTCAATAATAATCACCATGTGCGGGCCGGGGGTTGGGGGTCTTTGGAAAATCAATTAGAACGACCGCCGGTCGATGTGCCTAAGCCCAAGCCCACGCCTAAGCCTAAGCCTAAGCTAAGGGCCAGCGCTAATTGACAGTCGAGCAGCCATGGGCGCCGGGGCGGGCTGGTGGACGCCTTGGGGATCAACACTGCATCATTAGAAGCCACTAGACTTAGTCGCGATAGCCACTTATACTATTAGTAGCAGCCGGGCCCCTGCTATGGTTCTGACTGGGTGTCTTCAACCCTTAGATAGAGTCTGCCTAGTTGGTCCAGCCAAGCACCCTAGCCATTTTGCGGTCAATTCCGAGGAGTGAGAGCCACATGGTTCTAGGATCACCGACATGCTAAATTAAAATTAATCTAGATACGGAGCACCCATCTGGTATCTACCCCATCCATCTACCGACGGAAACAGGGACGGTGCATGGATGATGGGGAGGGGGGGAGGGGGGGGGGGGGGAGATGACGCCAAGGAAGGTCCATGGGGCATGGATTATGGAAGAAGAATGGATACTACTCCGTACCTAGATAAGTAATTGACTAAGTCAGTGAATGACATTAATACCGGGTGGTATAGGGGATTGGCGCCTCGGGCCCGAGGACGATGAGATGGCCATGGCTGATCCACATCCACCCAGCCCGTAACTCAGAACTCCATCCAGCCGGTGCGTCAGCCAACTCGAGAGCCACTCAGCGCTGCCTATCCCCGGGGGACACAGACAATGGCTCTTCAGAAGTTCAGATAACGACTGATGGTGTGTGTGTTACCGTCCTCATCCGGGAAAGCATTAAAGATGCTGATAAACCTTCCCCGGGGCTGTGAAACATACCACAGACTTCTGATACCGTCGAGAGACCGCGCGCCTACCTAGTGTCGCTCTCATCCTGCAGGGCGGCCAGGAAACACAGCAGGAAAAGAAGAAATAAAGAAAAGAAAAGAAAAAAAAAAGAAAAAGAAAACACGACAGGTCATGTCCCCAACCCTATGACCCGTCATGCAAATTATTGTTCCGGGCGGATGGCATGCGACGACGACACGACGACCGACGCTGTAGGCAAAGTATGTAGGCTGGTGATGGGAGCAGTAACTGTAGTACTCCGTACTGTATGTACCATCATCAGACATCATCATCGCCTTCTGGTTGCCTTGCCGTGCCGTGAAGCCATCCCATTGATGGGATTCAGGGCCCGGTGGGTATCTGTCGTAGTCGCCGTCGCAGTTCATCTGTAAGTAAGTAAGTATCTATCTGCTGCCCTGAAGCATTCGTCGAAACCCGAAAGCCGCGCGCCAGTATCTATCTACCTAGTCAGTCCCGCCGCGCAAAAGCCGCAGCGATCGCAATTGTTGGTAGGGGCTAGGGATTAGTAGCGGTTGATGGCGTGGGCCTACCGAGGATTCCGTGGGATCTCCATCCGAGGGCGAAAACATGGCCAGTCAACAGTCAACGACCGGCGTGGGACTTGCAGCATAACTAGTTCACTAGTCGCCTCTTCCCCTTCTACCAGCTAGACCAGACACTCAGAGCAGAGAGAGAGAGAGAGAGAGAGAGAGAGAGAGAGAGAGCGCAATGACTGTCCTGAGTAGTAGGTCAGGTCTGGCTTTCTCCGCATAAAAACCCGCCGGAATGCTTGGCCCCATTCATGGATGATGGTGGATGTGGATGTGGATGTGGATGATCTGATCGCAGCGACGTAAGTAAACCGCCCGGACGAGCGCTATCCGGAACTATTGCCCTCGGTGGATCCCCCTCGTTGTTGGATTGGTACTAGGGCCCATCGCCTGGGAGCGCCCGACCGATCGCCGTAATTGGAGATTTGAGGGCTGGACAGCACGCTAGAGGAGGTCATTCCGAGGATGATTATCATGGACCCCGTCCTTATTCGCCAAACCATGAGGGAGAAGAGGGGGGGGGGAACACGCCGGTGGTTTAACTGGGTCAACTGGTTTATCCCACTTCCACCTTCACGACGACAAGCAGCGGGGGAGGCTGGAGTTGAGAATAATAATAAAAAAATAATAATAATGAGACTAGTACCCGGTTCCCGATTTTCGGATGCCTGCCAAGCCAGAATTCTGGAGCGTCCGGTGGATACGCGGCCATGTGTGCTTCGGTGCTACTCCATAGGCCTCGTATGTATTATCATGTAGTTTGCTCAATGCTAATGCTATTATTATGCTTCTGATGCACGGAGGGGAGATTTGAGATGTGGCTGTCCCCGGGACCCAGGTTGAGGGAGGGGAACTAGTAGATAGGCTAGGCTCCGTTCCTAGGGAGGTACATACTTGGTAGTAGCGGTAGTCTAGGTACATATACTTATCTACCTACCTAAACAGTTTGATGGGGTTTGATGGGGTTTGATGGGATTTGATGGGATCCCTACCATGGAACCAGGTCAAGCTCCATAGTAGCACTGTTTACCTGCAGGCCGTGCTATACCCGTGACCTTGAAGAGACGCACCAGGGCAGCAGATGACCCTCCGAGGGAGGAGGTCGAGTAATGACAATACTGTGGCAGGAAATAACCCTCCCGTGCCCAATCAGAAAATGATCCCACGAAACAGGAGGCTTTCCCCCCCCCTGGTTGATTCGCGCCCTTTTTGGGATTGCCACCATGACCAAATCATATTGCTACACGAGCTCCGGGCGTGGCACAATGCATCCCTCGTCCATGCGGGCTAACACCGTCTGGGGCCCTATCATCAGATCAGTTCGCGGATGGGATGGATCATGAGGGGGAGCGCGGTAATTCATTCCAGAATAGACATGCTGCCAACTTGCCGCCGTCGCCCTCGCCGCCGCCGCCCTCGGGGCAACGGACGGGATGTGGGCATCGAGGACAAGGAAGGAAAGCCGTGGCGGACGCAAGCGGAAATTGAAGGCAAAGAAAGAAGTTGCGGTCACAGAATAATGCACAGTGGGAGGTGGTTTGGGTCCATGGAAGTGGATTCGATTGTTGATGCTGGGACGGAGTCCATTATTATCACGCCCATGCATCGTTCCCATCCGGTGTAAGCACTTCCATTACTCGAATAGGCCGCCTGCGTTAAGCGTGCAGAAGAGGCACAGTATCCTGTGCCCTGCATGGATCCTGCCTGATTCCTGGATGGGCAATGCCAGTGCAGTGGCAGTGGCAGTGGCATTGGCATTGGCATTGGCATTGGCATTTCCGTCCTTCTTCACCCGGGGCATCGATTTGAAATTCGGTAGAATTCGGGGGGGGGGGGAGGCGTTCCCTAGCCTGTACTTACTAGGACGGAGAAAGTAGTCGGTTGGTGATGTTCTGGATCATGCAGAGAAACCAGGCTCTATCTCCTAGTCGGCTTCTTAGGGCCCGTCCTGCCAGTGCTGGTATCTAGCCCATAAGGGGGGTGAGGGAAGGGAAGGAAGGACTCGGACGAAGAGAGGCAGGCACCTTCCCTCTTCCGTTTAATTACCGTTACCATGATCTACTACACAGTACGGACTAGTACTAGTTGATACTAGTGTGGGAGTGAAAGAACTCGTGTCTGCTTTACGTCGCCCCGTTCTGGCCTCTGGCCTCTGGCCTCCTTGGTCGAGGACATTCTTGGGGCGCGATGATCGCCTGTTAGTTAGTTAGTTACTGTCTGTTAGTCAGTTAGTCTACTGTGAATTAGCCTGTTAGATCCAGGCGACCCTGTCATTGTGCGGCATTTCTCTGGGCAAGACTCCGTAGTGGGCGAGATGTCAGGACAGCGCCACTTTCCGCCGCTCGGTTTTCTAATCAAAGCTGCCTAAGCCCCTCTCCGGTCTAGAGCCATAACTAGTGACTAGGTACTAGGCACTAGGCACCAAGTAGGTAACTCCTGTCCTTGAAAAACCCCCAATCACCGTGCCCAAGGTGCCTGTCAGCGTTACCCGAACGGGACAAACCCCATCCCGGCTCTCCGTCGCCAGGAGGGCCCAAGTTCGAACAATGGTCGACCCGAACAAATTCTCGGGCCCCTCAGGTCTTGAGGTCGTCTCTCTCTCTGCTGGCCCAGGTCTACGGTTCACCGTCCGTGGCGTTACGGGATGCATCTACGGAGTACCTCCTACCTACTTTACCTCCAGCCCTTGTTTTCTCGTACGAATCGTATCGACTGCCTATCTAGTGCCGCCCATCCTCGCAGTCTCGCACCCTTCCTGATCTCACTAACCGCCGCGGACACGCGGTATGGGCCCTCCCCCAAGGTACTACCTGGGTACTATACTAGTTAGTCCCTAGGGCACTAAGGAACGTGGGGACGTCCATCCATCGACATCCATTGATTGATTGATTCGGTGGAGTCATCGCAAGCCCAGAAAGAAAAAAAAAGGCACGGACACGGATTTCATTCTTGGGAGTCTGGGACGGACCCAGACCGGTCGCGTCGGACTCAACTATTGGGATACGAAGCGGTACATACAGTACCTTACGGAGTACTCCATACGGAGGTGAGAAAGAGAGGAAGGATGATCTGCCACGCAACCCAAGTCCCCTCCTCCCCCTTTGCTGAAATTGTCCACGCACTGCAACTGCATCCTTCGCCCTCTATCTAGCCGAAAAGCCGTCCCGAGGCTGTGGTTGAATACGAGGGATCTTTGTCCGATCGAACGTAAGGGATATACCGAGGAGATAGGGGGGAAAGGTGGAGGGGAGGATGGAAACCAGCCGAGCAGGCGTGTCTACCGTCTACTGTCTACCGGTAGATAGTGTTGACCATATACTCCGAACTATATGGATATATATGCACGTCAGTTCATTGTCTGGGGAATCGGCATATTCGGCATGCCATAGATAATGGAACTAGAGGAATGGAGGGAGGTAACATTAGATAGGTAAATAGCCCCGAAGGTTCTCTGTCTGGAGTGCATCAATTGAACCACCCACCGCGTCATGCGACTTTCCCTGCTGGTCCCTTTCGAAACACTGGAGTTTGCTGATCCTATCTATACTTAAGAGGAACTTGAAGTTTATCACCGCGCGGCTCCCCAAGTATACATACTTTGTTACCAGTCATCAGCGTAAGTAACTATTGCGTCCTCCCTTGACGCTTCCACCCCCTGGCGCTTGCAGCTGCATGCAATATCTACTTACTTAGGTACTTAGTAGTAAGTAGTGGCCCCTCCCCTCGGTAGCGATTTGAGTTTCTCTCGAGTACATTCTCATATCAGGCACTTGTTGTACCTAGCCAGTCAATCGACCGCGTCCGATATCAGCTTCCTATCCTGGGAAACAATGGGATGTGGTGGCGGCTTCAGGGCCCGTCTCCAATGAACCCCAGGCGTCTACTCCGTACGTAGGTAGGTATCTGTCCGTGGGGACGGGGGAAGCAAACAATGACATGCCCAAGTACGGAGTAGATACATGATGATCGGCCAACAAAGACCATGGCTCCCATGGAAAATGAGGCTCGAGCAACCCCTTCATAGAGTTTGAACTGGGGCGGCGATTGCTGGCCCACTTACTTTGTAATAGTACCTCTCCCTCCGGAGGAAAACTGTCATCAACCTGTCAACGATCGAGATCCACGATCCGCGACTGGTGACCGAAGAACTATCGATGTAGTAGTTATCTATCTATCTACATCGTCTGTTTATGGTTTTCTCCAGAGGTACCCTGTAGATACACGGTACAATGATTGTACATATACAAAGTATAGTTAGTACATGACTGACTGACTGACTAAAGCGGGTCTCTCCAGTACCGGCTCGCTCCCCCGGGGACGAATTGAGTTTCGACCAGCAACCCCCCAGTCAGTTGCGATCGTCTTGTTGTTCGCCCACTTCGTCGGGTCTCTTCTCTTACCGGCTCCCCCGAGCCTCTCACGACCCGGCGATTCACCATCGCGAGTCGTCAGCCCGGATGTTCGACAAAGTTCCAAAAACACCCTATCTATCTATCTACAGGTATCTACGGACTACAACTCGATAGATACCACCTAGAACCGCCAGGATGGTCAACCATGCGACCTTGTTATCGGCCCACCGAGGGGATCCGCAAGCTGCGACTCCGCGGGGCCGACTTACGTAGCGTAGAAAGATAGACAGACAGACAGACAGACAGACAGACAGACAGACAGACAGACAGACAGACAGACAGACAGACAGACAGACAGACAGACAGACAGAGAAAGATATCTATCCCCATGGCTCTGGATCTGCTGGGGATCTCCCGCGAAGGTTTTGGCGACGGTCCAATATAAGCTCTAGGAACGGTGCCCCCTGAATCCTGACGAAGTTACCGACAATTCCAGTCGCTCCAACTCTAAAAACTTTAGAGTTGGACATGGCATCATTGGCCCTTCCCTTCCCCCTAAGCGACCTACCACGACGCCTGCCCTCTTGCGTCTGCGTCTGCTGGGCTCACAAGCGATCGCCGCCGCCGTGTGGGACGACATCTGGACTTTTTTCTTTACTTGCTTGCTTGCTTGCTTGCTAGCTTTCTTTCTTCCGCTTGACTTCCCTTTTTGCCTCCCCTCGCTGCTCAACCCGGTCGGTCTCCACGCCCCTTCGTATTCCGGCGTGGCAGAGAGGCACGGTGCTAATGTGTAGGTAGGTAGGTAGGTAGGTAGGAAGAGGCAGAGAGCCAGCCTTATTCCAGACCCAAGTAAGCAAGTACCCCGGGGATCCCTGTTAGGAGTGGGAGTCAAAAGGTTTCTGCACGGATCCCGACGGAGCCTGACTGGAACAGCCCGCCGGGCCAGTGGAAAGCTGCCTTCTCGACTCTTGCTCTTGCTGCATAGTAGTACTGTCTCACAGGGATCATGCGCGTTGCCATTCAGGCTATTATGTCATTTGGGAGCGCCGTCATGAGGTACGGTACTTCAGGCAGGCAGACAGACTGACAGACTGACAGACTGACAGACTGACAGACTGACAGCTTTTTTACCCCGGCAACTCCTGTCCGGTCCATCTGATCCCCGGCATCGATGCGGATGCGGCAAAAAAAAAAAAAAAAAAAAAAAAAGGACGCGGAGATCAGAGAGAGAGATGCGAGAGGCAAAGTTGACCGACGCGCACAGTCCTCTTGGGCATCTGGTCGTAAGACCTTCCTGTCTACTCGTCACAGACCACAACCCCCGGTTGTGCTGTCATCTACCCAAGAGCTCTGGACTGGCCCAGAATCCGTCCTTCTGGAAGGCTGACGAAACCAGTCCTTTCTTCCATGCGCTGTCGGGGGTATCTATTGGGCCAGGAATAAGAACCCGGGGGTGGTCGGTTTGGCTCGTTGACGACTGCTTACTACCGTGCGGGATATTAGTTAGGTAGGTAGTCGTAACTTGGTAAGTGGTATCGACAACCGAGGTCTCTTTACCCTCCCTCATCAGCTGTTCATCCATGTGCGTGCTCCTTTCAACTCTTAGTTTTTAATTTTTAATTTTATTTTTTCCCCTTGCAAATTGGTTTCGCTTATTCGTGGTTCTGTTTCTTAATTTTCTTGGACCATCTTCCCCTTCCCCTTCTTCTCCTCTCCTCTCCACTCCCCTCAGAGGTAGTCGACTCTCCGCTTCGCCATATTATTCCTAGGCAAGTTAGATACCATAGGGCGGGCATACCAGACCGACGGCAGAGCTCGGACCGCCGTTACTTGATTAGGAAGCGTCGCGAATCCGACCCGACGAAGAGCAGAGGGGGCAAAAAAAAAAGAGAAGAGGATGGAGTTGGAGGGAGAAGGCGCATTCCCGATTCGATGTGTAGCATGGGTGGATGGATGCGCCGTACATCGACTGGAGTCCTGGCGGCGTCCCAATCTCTCCAGACCCTCTTTTTGGGACCAATCTGAACCGTTGCCGCCTTGACGCCATGCAATAATAACCCGTCCGTTATTATTACCCCCGAGATCTGAGCCCTTGGCGCCGTTGCTCTTTCTTTTGCTCTCTCTTTCTCACTCACTCTCTCACTCACTCACTCGTTCAGTTAGTCGCTCACTCTCGATGGGATTGAGTTGTTCGTTTGAGCTATTATACTACGCTATGTACTGTATACTCTGCTCAAGTCTTTTATCTCTACGTGCGGATGGATGGATGGATGGATGGTTGATTGAATTATTGTTGTCTGATCCCCCCCCGATAATCAACCATCCCCCAAGGGAAGGGAAGGGAAAATCGTAAGCGATCAATTTGATCAAGTGCAGTGCATGCCGCTGGCTCACTTACTCGTCGGGACGGTGAATCGGTCGGTGTCAGTGCGGAGCTGAAACCGACCTGGCATTTGGGGGAGGAGGATTCACGGGACAGGCATGCGGAAATTGCTGATGCTCGCTTACTACTACTCACTCTTCTCTCTCGGTAAAGACCGAAGCTCCTTTGGGTAAGTGGGAGCTGCTTGATGACGGCGACAATGACGATTGGGGAGGGGAGGAGAACAGCAACAGCAACAGCAACAGCAACGCTGAACCACACTAGACCAACTGCAGAAGGCTACCAGTGACTTGGTCGATCGGCCTACTTGTTAAGGAAAAAGTGGGCTGGGGCAGCCCGACAGACAGACTCGATGACCGGTGCACATCAACTCTTCGTCAGGGGCGGAGCCGTGGTTGGGCGGCCGGGCCCCACCACTGCAGCCAACCCCTCAATCCCTCCGTCCGGCTGGTCGTGGATGGTGGATGGTGGATGGTTCACGGGCCAAATCCCATCTTCCTCTCCGCATCAGGGGACTGTCATCCATCCATCCATCCATCCAGCCTCCCAGGGGGGATCATGCCCGAGCATGAGCGTCTTCTCCTCTCCTCCTCTCCCCCCTCCACGATGTTATGTATGTGTGTTGTCGTCGATTGCTCATCTACTAAGTAGTACCACCATCTAGGTACCCTACCAGAGAGAAAAATGCGGAGAACGGACATCCCGATTAGATTCCTCACCATCGATAATAATGAGGATCTTCGCCCATTCTTGAGCTCTGCTGCTTGTCTGGAGGTAATCCGTAATCCGCACAGTGTGGATGGAGATACTCCGTACAGCCAGATACCAATACCGATACAGAGCCGACGGTACTGTACGACTTGCAAATGGCCTTCCTCCTACCACTTCTGTTTCAGTTTCTGATTTCTCTATCTCGGAGACCGCGAAAGATCTGGCCCTGCCGACCGCGCGTGGAATTGCCAGAAAGACCGAGGACCAGAGAGAGAGAGATACTAGGTCGTGGTCGTATAGCACTTACTCGTAGTAGTGTGTATCTGATGCCCTGGAAATTTCCCGCCTCCTACGAGCTCCTCCCCAAAAAAGCAGTAGCACTATTCCGTACGCGGCTCCCAGTCCCAGAACACAGCCTCCCCCTCCTTCTCTGGGCCTTCCCAAGCCCAAGTTCCCTACTTCCCAACCAAAAAAAAAAAAAAAAAAAAAAAAACCTCCCGCGCTACCATCCTATCCTGTCTCATTTCGATCCCGATGGTGGTGATTATTAGAGCGGTTATTAGGACTTCTCGGGTCAACGTGCTCCACCTCCACGCTTCCATGGCATCGCATCCCTAGTATCTACTACTCAGTAACTAGTTACCTCTTGGAATCCTAGATACTATCTATCTATCTACCTACCTATCTATCCAGTATCTGGAGGAACGACGACGACTAGTCTAGCGCTGAGCTACTCCGTACGATCTACCACTACCAACTTACCTGGTTGGATATACCGGCCGTCCGCCTGCCGGACGACCAGCTAGTAGCATGGAGACAGACGTATTGCCTACAGTACCGACCACTGCTACTGGGTTACTAGTCGAGTAGCACTGGCAGTAGTAGTTGTTAACTTACCCCGGGCTTTGGCTGACATCCCTACGTACTGCGCAAGTGCACACGGTACTTTACATACTTAACCCTATCCTATCCTGATCCCATCCCATCCATCCCATCCCATCTCATCCCATCCCATCCCACCCCGTTCCCTTTCTCCTCTCACACGGCTTTGTTCTGCCCGAGTCTATCCGCCATCATCCCCCACTTCCTCCCACCCGTCTTCACCCTATACGATAATCCAGTCCCCTAGTCCCATGCCCCGTCTATCCCTCCTTCGGGTACCTGCCACTGAGATTACCGTCCTTCTGGGACACCCCCAGCGCTTGTCTCATCTAGTTTCCTGCCTCAAATCGGTGGTCCCTTAGCGATCCACCCGACGGTCCCCTCCTTCCCCTCTTTTCATTATTTTAACTTTGTCTTTCCCTACCTTATCCCTTTAATCTTCCTAGAGCTTCTTGAAAGTCGTTACATGCACCTCCGATCCTAGCGACTCTCCCCTACATTGGTTTCTTTTTTTTGTTGGATCACCCTGCTCGGTCATTGTTCAATCCCATCCCAGAGCCCTTGGACACACGGGAGGGAGAGCCGGAAGCAAGAAACAGCGAGCGAGAAGGCGAACCGAAGACCAGACCCGACACGACGTGTGAAGACCCGATAGTACTATACTATAGTCAACAACGTCACTCCGCGGCCACGGCTAAGGTTGGTACCTACTTAGTAGTTACCAGCAACTCAAACCCCCCAGCAAGTGAAACGGGGTACCTGCTTCTCTCATCCCCGCTTGGCCTGGGTTCACTTTCTTCAGTAAGTCGGTTCCCTTAAAAATCACCATCATCAATCGGTATTGGATCACCACCACTACCACCACCACCACCATGCCTATGCCTATGCCTATGCCTATGCCTACCACCTGCCACCAGCAGATTGGTTTCCACACATCATCATTCGGTGCCGTTGTTTCATGAGTTTTCCCTTCCCCCCCCCCTCTCCCATGTCTTGCCTGTTCCCCAGGACCTAGACCTTTTCATGCCTGCCACACTGGTAATAATGGTCTCGTCCTGGGTGATGCACACGGGTCCTTCACATCGAATTGGCCATGGCCCGGCTACCCTTGTTCTTCTGCCCACTATTGTGTGGGTGACTCCCCGAGTTGCCTGTACATTTTCCCCCTTCCTTGCCCAATGTGTTCCTTAGTCCCGATAAGATGGATGGATGGAGGGAGGGAGGGAGGGAGGGTGGGTGGTGAGCTGGGATGGGGTTTGCCCTTGCCTGGGAATGACCTCAAAAGTTGCCTCCCAAAGGCGGTGCCGGCTCAGCCCTTCGGCCCTTGGAATGGAGCCCGCCGATGGCCTCATGGCCGGAGAGATCCACCGTCGGCGGTGCCTCTGGCGGGCTTGTCCTGCTCCTTGGGATCACTAGTTGCACCCACCCACTCTCTCGTTCCCAATTTCTGCCTTTCTGGCACTTGCTCGGGCCTACCAGTCTGGGTCGCCCCGCCTGCAGGCCGGTCGCTCTTCATGACGGAGTCCAAGTCAGGTCAGTCAGGTCAGTCCAGTCAGTCTTCGGTCTGGTCGGTTCAGTTGTCTTGTCTTGTCTTGCTTGTTCTTGCCTCTGAGCATGGCCGTCCGCCCGCCTCTGCCTGGTGGCCGTTTGGCGTTCCCTGCAACCCGCACCATGCCCAGCTCTGGCCTAGTTTGACTGGTTTCCGCCCATTCATCGTCTGCGATGTTTCCTGGTTTTTTTGATCACCAGGAAGGGGGGGCCGCCTCTTTCTCGTTCTCTTCTCTCTCTCAGTCTCTCTCTCTCTCTCTCTTTTTTTTTTTTTTTTTTTGGAAAAAATATTATTTCCCTTTTTTGTTCTCCCTCTTTTTTTTTTTTTTGCCCCTTTTCGGGTTTATTTTATTTCCCCTTGGATTGATTCCCGTCCTTGATATTATTTTGTGAAGGGGAGGGAGGGGGAAAATAACTAATGGGAAATAATCATTATTATTTTCCTTTTCCCTTTTTTTCCTCGTTTTGGTTTGCGTTTTATTATTTGATGCTCTTTTTTGATTATTTTTTCTACACTACTTGTTGTTCCTCCCCTTCCAAATGACTAAACCATATTCTCCTGTCTGTCTGTTTTGGGAAGGGCCCCAAAATCCATATGGGCGAGTACCATTTAAAAAAAAAAAAAAAAAAAAAAAAAGAGAGAGAGAGCAGAGAGCGCGAGAGAGAAGAGAGAAGGCCCATGACAATACCTTACATGGATACCCGGCCACAACTCCATGAGTCTGGATGATCTCTGCTGTTCCCCATACCATACCAGAATTATTCGTCGTTGCATTCGAGTTGATTTTATTTCTACTTCTCCCCATCATCACCATCATCATCACTATCATCATCATCATCATCCCCCCCGATCCCGTCCCCATCTGATGCTGGAAGGTCAACGCCCTCCCTACTAGTATCGCCCCTCCCCCTCCATCCCCCCCCAACCATCCTCACCTGGCACTTGAAACATTCCTGGTCGTCGCGTTCTGGATTCATCGAAATTGGTTTCGCATGGCACGGGTGGCTGTCGTGAATCTCCAGAGTGGATAAGTCGGCTTACATACCTGCTCCGAAACAGGCTCCCCCGAACAGCTCATACAGCGTAAGCTGCGCAGTGCTGCTCACTCACTCACTTTCTCACCACTCTTTCTCTCGGTCTTCCATTGCGTCGCTCGCCGGGTTGAAGAAATTCCTGGTCCCAAGGGTATTTAAACTCCCTGTCAAAAACGGGTTTCTCCTTGCCAGCAGAAAGCTTGGGAATTCCCGCAGCTTGGTCTGGTTGGAGACTCGACCTCCTCGATCCGATCGCTATCCGTGGAACCGCAGCTCCAGTCGACCCAGCTTCACCACTAGGGCCACTGGCCCAGACGCTGCTCTCCAGATTCAACCCTTCCCTTTCGCGAGCACTTGGGAAAGGACGGGCCCGTGCTCAGCTGTCGATCCGGGTCACCCAAGTTTGGTAGTAGCCCTTAAACTCAGAAGGAGGGGGGCGCTTTAAACTTGCGCCATCGACCCTTTCCTACGGTTCACCATCGTCGTGAGCTCCTTCGACTTGTCATTCCCTCACCTTCGCGCCGGAGGTTCCCACCCTCGTCTACCACAGGTTATTTGCCTCCCCCTCCCTGCTTTTTGGAGTCCGATTCACTCCTTTCCTACCCCCCCCCCCCTCCCTCCCCTCCATCTTTAGCCCGTTGAGATCATCCTGGCCGCAAAGGCAGAAAAAGGAGAAAGCGCTCTGGCAGTCGTTCGAACGGCATTGTTCAATCTCCCCTGCTGCCTCGCCTCTGCTTTGTTTCGGAAGCCGGCGTGACAACTCTTACCCACCACCCCCTTCCCCCCCCCCCTGGTCGACCGTCTAGCCGAGTTGCTGGCAAACCTTGATCAACGGTGGTCTTAACTTTGATTGATTTTACCTCTCTGGCCCCTTTCAACTAGGTTCGAACCTACAAACAAACGCAAACAATGGTCAACGGCACCGCTACGGTGTTGGAGCCCACGTTCACGGGATACGTCGCGACAACACAGGATGCGCTGGTTCTGTTCGAGGCCTGTCTGACGGGCGTGCTGCATCATGTCCCTCGTCGGCCGCACGATCGGGAACGGGGTCATCTGGTCCGCAGCGGCAGCGTGTTCATCTACGAGGAGAATTCGTCCGGGATCAAGCGATGGACCGACGGCGTGACCTGGAGTCCCAGTCGGATTCTGGGCAACTTCCTGGTCTATCGAGAGCTGGAGAAACCGTTCCCCCCGGGCGAGAAGAAGCGAGCGATGAAGAAGGCCAATCGACGCCCCGTGCCTCCGTCGAGGCCGGGGGAGCCGTATCCGCGACAGGACAGCAGCGGTGGATACTCGCCTTCGTCGGCAACAACCAGCCCCTATGGGGACCGACCTCACCAGACGGACGTGGAGAGAGCTCTGGTAGGTTCGCTAGTCGACTCATACGGGTTCAAGGATTCGGGATTGGTCAAGAAGACGATGAGCGTGACGGTGTCGGGGGTGACGCACCATCTGGTGTCATATTACAGCGTGGAGGATGTGATGCGGGGGTTGTTGAACCCTCCCTCGATGGTCGACTCACTGCGATATGTACGGCCTCGTGCGGAACTGACACAGAAGCAAAGCTTCCGGGCACCGATCGATGATCTGGAGACAGCAGGACTGGAGGCGAACGACCCGTCTGCGCTGTATGGATACCGACCGCAGCTGGTAGCGCCGCCCGGATATGCGATCCCCAATCCTCATCCCGAATTCTACATGCATGCCAGCGCGCCTTATGCCGCGACCCATCCTCCGCCGGCCGCGCCCATCTCGGGCTACTCCATGGGAGGGTCAATCTCTGCGCAGTCGGCCCCGAACCCGTATCTTCCGGCGCCTTCAGCTCCGACTCAGATTCCGCAGAAGCCGGACGACTACGCCCAATTCCGGACGCCCACCCAGTACGGCACGAGCTTTGACGCCCTGGGCCACAGTTCTCTGTCATCGTCGATTCCGTCCGCACTCAACATGCCGAGCTCCCTGAGCGACCGCAACCGATCCCAGTCGGACCACAGCCCGTCAGCGTATCGGAACTCGTCAATATCCTCACGCAGCGTTGCGACCGACGCGACCTCGCCCATCGATCCGGCGACGCCTGGCACATATTCACGGGGCGGGAGTTTCAGCTTGGGCCCGCTAGATGGACCGCACCAGGCCTTGGAGCAGCGTGGGATGGCAGCGTTTGACCCGGGCATCCCTCGTCGGGAGTCCAACCCCATGCCCACACCCTATTACACGGGCGCAGACCGACACCCGTACTACGTGGGCGCCACGGGCCCGGCCGCCCACGCCAACTATCCGGTGTCGACGTGGACGACTGCTGCTCCGGCGCAGCCGCAGATATGATCTGATCGAAGCCAACGATTTCCTCTCATCATCAATTCTTCGCTCACTCGCCTTCGTTTCTCTTCACCGGACACAATTTTTACCGTACGCTTTTTTTTATTCTCTCTCCAGAGGGGCGGCAATTTGGGAATAGACTATGCATATAACGCAGTGGATGATTACCCGGGTGGAAAAACGCTTCTTATTAGAGGAGACATCGGTGGCTTGTTTTTCCTTGTTGATTGTTGTTCCCTTGTTGCTGCTTCTGTTTTTTTACCCCTACGATGATACGATGCCGATCGAAATACCTTCTTTCTAGCCTTTTCGCGCGCACAATTTGTTTGTTCGTGGTTAGTTAAGTTACCCTGGGGTGGTTTTCTCTTTTTTCTTTCGTTTTATGGGATTTTTTTTTTCAATTACTACTGTCGTGTCGCTATATTCCCACACGGGGGGGAATATTGTTTGTCTGTCCTTCTTTCTTTCCTTATTCTTTTTTTCTTGTTATGTTATGTGATTATGAGCAAATGGGTCGGGTTCGGGTGGCATGGTCTGGGGCGGTTATCTGAGAAATTCCCTTTTTATTTACACACAAGTTAACTTGTATCGCTGCTGTGCTGTGCTGTGCTGTGCTCATTGCTCGCTTGAAACACCGTTACTACCAATCATCAATATCCTTACTCAGGTAGATTTGTCTGTCTGTCTGCTTTGTTTCCAGTTGTCTTGTTTGTTACATATGGGAGATGCCATGGGTTAAGGTACTTACTGGTGTACATGGAAACTTTTCAAGCGCGAATGGCGGCAACTGGGTCGGTCGGACACACAACACAACACAACACAGCACAATTCTAGGGTTCCAAAAGCTTCTTCCTTCCTTCCGAGGTGTATGAATGATGACGTCGACTGGTACCTACCCACCTACTTTGTCTGGATTGAGTGAGAGAGAGATTTTTTTTTCTTCTCTTTGCTTGTGGCTAGAATTGAATTCTAGAATTCTAGATAATGGTACCCATCCACATATATGGCTACGGCTACTGTTGCTGCTACTGCTACTGCTACTGACTGGTTGGTACAGTATTCGTTCATCTTGGGATTTACCTACCACCTTTGAGAACCAAGGTACCTGAGATGGAGATGGATTGGATATCTAGATAGTGTGGCGAGAAATAGAGGGAGGGGAAGATGTAGGTAGTAGGTAGGTAGGTAGTTAGGTAGTATTTGGTTGATAATGTGGAGGTGAGGTGAGGGAGGGACAATGTCACGGTAACACCCACCTTACTACCTAGATACTACTTACTACTTACTACCTACCTTACTTACTACATACAACCATACCATAGTTATTATATCATACTTAGGTAAGTACCTATCTACCTACCTATCTACCTACCTATCTACCTACCTACTTGATACCCTAAGTTCCTACTTACTACTTAGTACGGTAGTACCTTAAAGCACCTGCTAGACTGCTATTGAAGCATCTACTACCTAAGTAGTAGTAGGTACATAGTACAACTTACGTACTAGGTAGCCAGCCGGCCACATGGTAATTGGTAATTGGTAGTTAAGATATACTACAGTATATAGATGATAGTAAGATGTAGTGTTTATAGTAGTTATATCTTCTTGTAGTTAGGGTATATATGTACTTGGGCTTTTGGGATGTGTTTGCTCTATTTTAATATAGTTGGTTAGTAACTAGTTGTAGGTAAGGTACTAGGTATATATTTATTTAATGTTTATCATTAGTTGGCAGGATCCAAACTCCGAATCGAATCGAATTGAAGCAAATTGAATCTGACCTGATCGGATCTGATCTGATCTGATCGGATCGGATAAGATCGGATTGGGTTGGATTGAGATTGAGATTGAGACTGAGTTTCAATCAGAGATCGATCTCTGTCTGAGGTTAAATTATCTCTACTACGGTACTACCTAAGGATGATAAGGTAGGTAAGGTATGTGAATCTACCTAACTACCTATCTAGGAGTTAGAATGTCATGTCTGTAGTGAGTAAGGTGGGTATGGGTTGTTTTGGTATGGTATGGGCGTATATCTATCTGTATTACCAGGTTTACAATGTGTATGTAATGTCATTACCATATCTTACATTAGAGTATTACCTTACGTTACTAGCTAGGCTACGCAGTACCTTACGTATGTACCTAGGTATATTTATATAACTATCTGCCTAGTAGCAAGCAAGCACTGCATCTATCTATATCTATCTATATCTATATCTGCTACGTAGCTACCTACGTACCTACCTGCCGAAATGCTACCTAGAGAGATAAAGTATATATAAGAAAGAATTTAGACTTAATTGCCTGCATTATGTAAGGATATCTCATCTCATGTGGTATGTCTAAGGTATCTATACTCTTCACTGTTTGTTTCTTCTTGTGTTAAGTAGTACCTACTACATACATACATACTTACTATCTACCTACCTGCTTACCTGCCTGCCTGCCCACATACCTAGGTACGTACGTACCTACCTACTCAATCGACAAAGGTAGATACTGGACTTTCCGAGGCGGATACATAGGTACATTATACCTATAGATCTGGACTGGAAGTGGTATGTAACTATCTAAGGTACCGAAGTTATCTAGATATCTTACCTAGGTAGGTACTATACTTGGGCGTGGGTAGGTAGGTAGGTAGGTAGGTAGGTAGGTAGGTAGGTAGGTAGGTAGGTAGGTAGGTAGGTAGGTAGGTAGGTAGGTAGGTACTTAGTAGGTAGGTAGGTAGGTACTTAGTAGGTACCAATAGTATACTATAGTTCTTTAGCTGGTGTGCGACGATATCAAGCTACCTAGCTACCTAGCTAGCTAGCTCCATAGCTATCTAGATAAGCACACCATGCAACAGTTTATTCTATAGTAAAAGAGATCAGACAGATTCCACTCAAGTATTTCGGAAAAGAGAAGAAATCAAGTAATGTATGTACAAATGCTCGCTGGAACAGGGAGGGTATCGTCATGCTAATTAGTAAGTAAGTGAGTAAGTAGATCAGTCCAGTCCAGTCCAGTCCAGTCCAGTCCAGTCTATCAGTATCAGCTGATCTCCAGCCTTATGCAAATAAAGTCAGTCCGAAAAAAAAAAAAAAAAGAAAAGAAAAGAGGATGACACAGCCCGCCCCAACTCCCAGTCCCATCCACCATGCACGCCATCCCTAAGCCCGGGTCGTACTGCGTCTCACCTCTCGCGAACGTGTCGGCTCGTCTCGTCGCGGCTGCCACTGCTGTCCCCCACCCCCACGCACACTGGTGGTCACCTCCGACGCCACCTGCATGTGTTTGCCAGACGGGCTCGGAGGATTATCCACCAGCAATCGCATCGTGAAGGATCCCGGATCGAACCCCCCGACGGCTGTCTTCCCGGCCAGCGGCGTGGCGGCGGCGTTCAAGGCTGGGATCCTGCGCACCGTGCCACGCAGCGGGTCAATCGTCAGATCCCGGGTCAGGGTGACGTCGCGTCGGATCTCGGGGTCGGTGTTGTTGTTGTTGTTGTTGTTGTTGTCCTGCGCGGGTCCGCCGTCCGGGGATATCTGATGTTCTTGCTTAGCCAGAGGGCACAGGAAAAAAAAAAAAAAAAAAGGGAGATCCCGCTCAGACACCTACTCCCGTCGTGAACTTCCGTCCAGGCATATATACATAATCGTCGAAGGAGCTCTCGAGGGCCGCGAAATTGAACAACCCCTTCTCGGCCGTGAGGGGCTCGAAGCGCTGTCCCACTTCCGTCCGGAAATCCACCGGCCGTCGCCGCACGGGCTTATACCGCGGTAGGGCTAGCAGGGGTCCCGGGTAGTTTGTGAACCAGCATTGCAGGACAGGATCTATGTCTAGGGCCAGGCGGATGCGGCTCTCGGCGCGGGGTTTGGCGACGAGCACGGCGAACGTGAATTCACGTGGCAGTCCAGACCGCTGGAGACTGTTCTCCTCGAGTGTCCATACGATTTCGCCCCCCTCGACGTCAAAGTTCGGCCCGCGCGCGCTCTTGAGCGACCGCACGGACCCCTGGATTCGCATCATCTCGTACCGCTTGTAACGCCCGTTCATGCCGCCGGAGGGCGCGACGCTGGCGATCACGGGGAGGTCAGCCACACCCAGAGAGCCGCTGAGGCTGTAGTTCCACTGGAGGGTTTCGGGGGAGACCGCGCCGTAGAGGAGGTGCGGGGCGTGCATGAGAAAGCGCGGGTTTCGGGTCCGGTTACTCGACGATGACGTCTGGTCTCTGGTACCGTGGATGGAGGCGCGGATGGTGGCGGCTTTGAAGCGATGGGCGAGGGTGTTGGCCGAGTGCAAGACGAAGGTGATACCCAGGAAATCCACGTGGCTGTAGTCTTGGTTGGACACGGCGGGGCTGGAGTAGAACCCGTGCTGGAGGCGCTGGATGTGTGCGGTGATGTAGGCATCTCCGGGGAGGTGTCGCTCGTAGACGCAGGCTCCGTTGACGAGGAGACGAGGGTTGAGGAGGTTTGGGTCGGGGGTTGGGTCGGAGGGGGCTTTGGTCTTCTTGGACAAGTCAGGGGGTTGTTCAGGACGGGAGGAAGACGGAGGAGCCGGAGCTGAAGCTGGAGCCGCAGGACGGTCGACGGTCACCATGGCCATTGTCGGGGATCGCATCGTGAAGGATGATGGTTCTGTCCCGTCGACAGCGTCCCGGATTCCCATTGCGATGGTGCCAGGGTCCGATCTCCATGGGAGGGAGATGCGGAGAGGGTGTGGTGGTGAAGAGGCTATGGGGTGCTGATCGGGGTTGTTTTTAGCGCAGAGCAGTCCGGGGTAGGGGTCCTTGTCGAGACGGTCATTTTAAGCTGACGCGGAGGATCCACGATGACGACAGGGAGGGAGGACATCTGATGAACGGCGGGGCTCTATCAGGTGAGGATGGCCGGGGCGCGAGTCAGATGAGAGTCGCGATGGCAGCATGTGTTCGCGGGCGCCAAGAGGGGCGGAATCAGTCACTCGCGGTCGCCGGACGGGACTTGTCAGGTGGGGGAGGGCCAAAGGGGCTTTGGAGGAGATGATTTGACCTGACTAGAGGATGGCTGAGGGCGAAGAAAATTGAGGATGAAGTTGGGGGGAGAAAGAGAGGGAAGATGAGGCGGAAGCCCCGTCACGTCACGACCCCAACGGCCACTACAGAACCTTATTTGGCCCCGGTTCGGATCGGCGGGAACCCCAGCGTTCAGGCCTTTCGAGCCCTGGATGTAAGGATATCAGACATATCCTCCCCTGAAGTCCCGACGTAACACAAACGCTGTAGGGGATATTGGCGGTGACATCAAGCGACTACGAAATGTTTTAGATTATCAAGTCTATCATCAGATGAGGATCCGATTACACAAAGATACGAACGACAGGTGGGTCAAGCCCACATCGAGAGTCGCTTGACCGAGCCTCATACTCGCTGTGGTATACCACAAACTCCTCACCGGTCAGACAGACCATGTGAGGAAGACCCTGCATTATCACAGTTATTTATCACACCAGATTCAGTTCGATCTGCAAGCGGGTTATCAGCCAGCTGGACTGACACGCGGAAAGCCCGAAAGGGTCCAGTTTTCTGCGCCTGGGTGCAAATGCCTTCAGCCCCTCAAATGGCCATAACTAGACAGTTGAGACTGCATGCGACATGGCAAGACAAGTCTACGAACCACTAAGGCACATCGGAGTGAGTGATAAGAGCATGCGTGTCGCTCCCTCGGTGACTTATTTGCCTGCTTCGACAAGTTGCTCCCAGCTCATATCGCTGGACGTCGGAGGGCCTGTGTTTGTGGTCTCGGTATAGGCAATAATCCTTGGTGGGACCGTCGAATCCAAGCTTGGCAGACTATGCTCTAGTGCACGAAAACTTGGGCATAAAAGTCAACCGCGGTTCGACTGGCTGGGTCTGGTGGTGGCCTGCTGATGCAGCAGTTCCGGGGATTGCTTCGTGCTGTTATACGCGCGGCCATTCTACCCGGTCGAAGAAAGCAGGTCCTCTGAAGTCAATACAAAGTCGGCGGGTAGAGATCCTGAATCAGGAATGAGACCGGATCGTGGCGTCTACGGACCGTGGGTTTTCTTCAACACGTGGGATGTTCCTGTGTTTCAAAACTATGAACCCCGACTGTCATGTCAGCTGATACGAAGGGATTGGATATATCACTTCCAACGTCAGAATTTGGACTGAGGTAACAGAGCCATGTGTGAGTCCGAGGTACCAAACAACCAGCTGTGTCACCGTATAGACGCCACGCACGAGACAGAGGGATTCACCGCTATGGATGAGCTGCCAACAGCGGAACAGGCTGTACCCAGGCGGCTGGATTGGAATCTCGGCGATGACACTGGGATCCCCAGCCAGTGTCCGCGACAATAGACCTCGTGCCATTATGATATTCCCGGGTGGTAGGACGAGCCTCTCGGTCGCGTTTGGTGCCAGTGCAGTCGAATACTGAGCCGAGTAACACGCCCTGTCGCGCCGCGATTCCCGGCCGAGTTCGAGGGAGGTGGGCGCGATTTCAGACGTCCGATATTTGGAAAGCAAAAAAGAAAGCAGACTCAAACATGGGACACGCTCTGCGCTTGCATAGCTGCCTGAACTGACCGCAATGCGCACATGCGCCTGTCTGCGTCTGGTTGCCAATCGAATGGCTGATCAATCACGAACTAGAGTGGTCCGTCAGCCGGGGTATACCCAGACGTGCCGTGAACCGCCGCCTTGGTTGGGGAAGAGAGGGGCTTTGACGCGGAGAACCGTGCGGTGGGAAGCCATCATTGGTACGAGAACCCAGGCGGCTGCATGGTCCAGATAGTCGCTGTCTGTCGCCAGGTCATCTCGTCACCTCGTCACCTCGTCATCTCGTCACCTCGTTGCCAGGGATGCTGAGAGGCCGAGATCCAAGCGGTGTGACGGCGCAGGGGGGGGGGGGGGGGAACAGGAAGTGGAAACCGTGCTTCGAACGGTGGGAGAACGCATCAGATGTGACAGATCGTAGCCTGGCCAGTCAGCCCCAAGAACACCAACACTCCTCGACAGTATCTAGTCGGCAGTACTCCGGACACTGACAGAATAGTACTCCGTACTTTGGACCGTGAGATAGATCAGCACGGGGGATGGGAGGAAGAGAGAGCTGGGGCAGCTTGTCACGACCACTGGCGAAGCAGCCGCTTATCAAGCTGCAGGGGAACCGACCGGTCGGCGCCCGACTGAGTCGCTGGTTGGGGCGGGCGGGTAGGGAGGGAACCGAAGCACTGACTCGGGAGCCGGAGACCCTCCCGAGTGCCGAGAATGCCAGAATATTGGTGACCATGGTGACCATGGTGACCAGGTTGACCAGGCTGACCTGACCGGGTTGACCAGACTCAGTCTCAGCCCGTGCATGCGTTGCTGGCTGCATTGCAGGCCGGTCCATGGACCACGGGAAGTCAATAATGACGAACGATCCAGTGGTTGGTAGATAGATAGTCAGGATGAGAGATTATCAATATGATGAAGGAAGGAGGATGATGATGCTCGTGTGGGACTAACCCAAAGGGACGATAGTGCTCAGTCTAGAGGGGCTCTAGAGGGGCCGAGGAAGACGAGGAAGACGAAGAAGACGAGGAAGACGAATTATTCCGGTGAGCAAATGATTCACGCCTAACGCCGCCGGCTTATCTCCGGCTTCTCCGCGCCTGCCATTATTATTCTGACTGCGTCTTGCGTCGCTCCTTCCACTTGGAGGCCTTTTCGCCTTGCGGGCCCAGCCGACCCCTCCAATCAGCAGCCGCGATTGCTGACATATCCCGCGGGACTCATCTTGACTCATGATGGCGCTGGCTGGGCATTCCAGCGATCCATTCTTCTGCCTTCTTCCATCCGCAATCGCAATTGTCAGCTTGCGCTCCACCCAGCAGCTCGGCTATCTCCCCTCCGTCTTTTCCTGCCCGGCGATTGGCTTTTTGATGGACCCTGTGCTGGGCTGCTCCGCCGCGAGTCGTGAGAGATGCGGATATCTTACAAATCCGCGCAATCAAATTTTGCCAAAAAGTCGCCCTCAACGCCTTAGTCATCCCATCGGGCCCCCGTTTATAACTAACCATGATGCAACAACGTCCATCCGGTTCGTCCTGGCCTGTTCCTTCTCATCATACATATTGTTGGGCGCGTCGCGGTTCCTCCTGTGTCCTTCCACTCCCTCCCCCCGATCTCATCCAGACCCTCTCCCCTCTCCCCCCTTCCAGGCGCTGTGCCGGAGCTCCTGGGGCGTCATAGATCGCTGTTGCTTATCATTACTGTATATATTCTTCCCCCATACATACTCAACCAAGCACTTGCAGCAATCCCTTGCGCTCTAGTCCCCTTCATAGCCATTGTTTTTTTCCCCTCTTCCCATCCCTTTCGGCATCGGTGTCGGTGTCCTCCCCCGACTCTCAATCGCCTGGATTGAGAAACCATTCCGGTGTGCCCGCCCAGTGCTATTATTAACTGCGGCCTCACCTCCGATCTGCATACCTCCACGTTGGAAACCCTCCTACAGAAAGAGGTGTCACATCCACCATGGCCGACGATGCTCGTCAGCCGGGTGCATTGCACCATGAACCGACCGCAACACAGGACAGCTCATACTTCCAAGAAAGCTCCAATGTCATTGCTTCGGACCAAGCTCTCGCCTCCCATTCGACCAGCGTGACCGACCTCTCGTCCGATGGTCGCTGGGGAGAACAGGAAGCCGAGCCTGTCTCCCGCCGCGGCGCAATGGAGGATTTCGAGGAAATGCGACGAGAATTGACCCGACACAGTCTGCACCAAACCCGTTCCACCACCCGAGATGCCCAGCGACTGCGCTCTCGCGCCTCGCATGCCAGCCAGGCCCGCGATGAAGAGAAGACACTCGATGAGGATGAGCTGTCCGGCACCACCGATGATGAATACGGGGGATTTGATCTCAGCGAGTTTTTGGTGGGCGGTCATCTTGAACGACGGACGACTGCGGGCGAACCGGCCAAGAAGGTGGGCGTGGTGTTTAAGGACGTCACTGTGAAGGGTATTGAGACGGGCGCCTCCTTTGCTCGCACCCTTCCCGATGCCGTCATTGGTACATTTGGCCCCGATCTCTACAACATCGTTTGTAGGTTTGTCCCGCAGCTTCACTTCGGCCACAAGCCGCCCGTGAGGGACCTGCTTCATGACTTCACGGGTGCTGTCCGGGAAGGTGAGATGATGTTGGTGCTGGGGAGACCCGGTGCTGGCTGTTCGACTTTCTTAAAGACGATTGCGAACGACAGGGGTGCGTTTGCGGGCGTCGAGGGCGACATCAGCTATGGTGGCTTGTCGGCCAAGGAGCAGAACAAGCACTTCCGCGGTGAGGTTAACTATAACCAGGAAGATGACCAGCATTTCCCGAACCTCACTGTCTGGCAGACGTTGAAGTTCTCCCTCATCAACAAGACCAAGAAGCATGACAGGGCCAGCATCCCGGTGATCATCGATGCGTTGCTGAAGATGTTCGGAATCTCCCACACCAAGAACACGGTGGTGGGTAACGAGTATGTTCGGGGTGTCTCCGGTGGTGAGAGAAAGCGTGTCAGTATCGCCGAGACGCTGGCGACCAAGTCCTCGGTCGTCTGTTGGGACAACTCCACCAGAGGTCTGGATGCTAGCACAGCCCTTGACTACGCCAAGTCCCTCCGCATTATGACCGACGTCAGCAAGCGGACAACTCTGGTCACCTTGTACCAAGCGGGAGAGAGTATCTACGAGCTTATGGATAAGGTGATGGTGATCGATTCGGGGCGCATGCTCTACCAGGGACCTGCCAACGAAGCCAGGCAGTACTTCGTGAACCTTGGTTTCTTTTGTCCCGAGCAATCCACCACGGCCGACTTCCTGACTTCCCTGTGCGACCCCAACGCTCGTCAGTTCCAACCAGGCCGAGAAGCGTCTACCCCCCGGACGCCGGAAGAGCTCGAGTCTGTCTTCAGGCAGAGCGAGGCATACAAGCGGATCCTGGATGACGTCTCCGGTTATGAGAAGCAGCTACAGGATACCAACCAGGAAAGCACTCGTCGGTTCGAGAAGTCTGTCGCTCAGTCCAAGAGTAAGACGGTATCGAAGAAGTCTCCTTACACTGTTTCTCTTGTTCGACAGGTTGCAGCCTGTGTGCAACGTGAGTTCTGGCTGCTATGGGGTGATAAGACTTCGCTTTACACCAAGTATTTCATCATCTTGTCCAACGCACTTATTGTCTCGTCTCTGTTCTATGGCGAGTCGCTTAACACCAGCGGAGCTTTTTCGCGTGGTGGTGCTCTGTTCTTTTCGATTCTATTCCTCGGTTGGTTGCAGTTGACGGAGCTGATGCCGGCTGTCAGCGGACGTGCCATTGTTGCACGCCACAAGGATTACGCTTTCTACCGCCCATCTGCTGTTGCCATTGCCCGTGTGGTTGTGGACTTCCCGGCGATCTTCTGCATGGTCGTACCTTTCACTATCATTGTCTACTTCATGGCAGGGCTTGATGTGGTTGCCTCGAAGTTTTGGATATATTTTCTCTTTGTGTACACGACAACCTTCTGTATCACGGCGCTGTATCGAATGTTTGCGGCACTTTCCCCATCGATCGATGATGCTGTTCGTTTCAGTGGTATCGCTCTCAACGTGTTGATCCTGTTCGTTGGCTATGTCATCCCCAAACAAAGTCTCATCGATGGCTCGATCTGGTTCGGGTGGCTGTTCTATGTGAACCCTCTGTCTTACAGCTACGAGGCTGTCCTCTCTAACGAGTTTGCTGGTCGTGTCATGGAGTGTGCGTCTTCAATGTTGGTACCTTCTGGCCCAGGGTTCGATTCGAGATATCAGGGTTGCTCTCTCACTGGGTCAGAGCTCGGTCAGACGACCGTCTCGGGTACTCGGTATATTGAATCGACCTACTCGTTCACGCGCCACCATCTCTGGCGCAATTTCGGGGTGGTCATCGCTTTCGCAGTGCTCTACATCTTGGTGACCGTCTTTGCGGCCGAGCATCTCTCGTTTGTCGGCGGTGGCGGCGGCGCGTTGGTTTTTAAGCGCTCCAAGCGTGCCAAGCAGCTCAAGTCGCAGGCCAACACCGGGAGTGATGAAGAGAATGGCCAAGGCTCAGGCTCCCAGGCACAGTCCAACAGTGGCAATGGCGCCTTCAACCGGATCTCGTCTAGTGACCGGATCTTTACCTGGTCAAACGTCGAATATACGGTCCCTTACGGCAACGGAACTAGGAAGCTTCTCAACGGCGTCAACGGCTACGCGAAGCCCGGACTTATGATTGCTCTGATGGGTGCTTCCGGAGCCGGCAAGACCACCCTACTGAACACCCTGGCCCAGCGCCAGAAGATGGGCGTGGTCACTGGTGACATGCTTGTCGATGGCCGTCCTCTTGGTGCGGACTTCCAGCGAGGTACCGGCTTCTGCGAGCAGATGGATCTTCACGATAACACCGCTACGATCCGCGAGGCCCTTGAATTCTCAGCCCTTCTTCGTCAGGATCGGAACACCCCCCAGCAAGAGAAGCTCGACTATGTCAACCAGATTATCGACCTCCTGGAACTCGAGGAGATCCAGGATGCCATTATCGGCTCCTTGAATGTTGAACAGAAGAAGCGGGTGACCATTGGCGTTGAATTGGCCGCCAAACCTAGTCTCCTTCTCTTCCTTGACGAGCCTACAAGTGGTCTGGACAGTCAGGCAGCCTATTCCATCGTTAGATTCCTGAAGAAGCTCTCCCAGGCAGGACAGGCTATCGTGTGCACAATCCACCAGCCCTCGTCCATGCTCATTCAACAGTTCGACATGATTCTGGCCCTGAACCCCGGTGGTAACACGTTCTATTTTGGTCCTGTTGGCCCCGAAGGTCGGGACGTGGTCAAGTATTTTGCGGACCGTGGTGTTGTCTGTCCGCCTACGAAGAATGTTGCCGAATTCATTCTGGAGACGGCGGCCAAGGCAACGAAGAAAGACGGCAAGACTTTCGACTGGAACGCAGAATGGAAAAACTCGGACGAAAACCGCAGGATGTTAGACGAAATCAAGGCGATCGGAGAGGAGCGCAGCAAGATCCCAGTGGCTGAACAGGTGGTGCAGTATGAATTTGCCGCGCCTGTTTCAACCCAGACGTACCACCTCATGATGAGAGTCTTCCGACAGTACTGGAGAGACCCATCGTACTACTATGGAAAGCTGTTCGTCAGTGTCATCATTGGAATTTTCAACGGTTTTGTAAGTGCATTGCTACCAAACCCCTCATGGATGCCTGCTGACTTGTGTAGACATTCTATATGCTCGGTGATTCGATTTCCAGCATGGAAGACCGCATGTTCTCGATCTTCCTGATCATTCTTCTCCCGCCAATCATCCTGAACAGTCTTGTTCCTAAGTTTTACATCAACCGGGCTCTCTGGGAAGCGCGCGAGTTCCCCAGTCGAATTTACGGATGGATGGCGTTCTGCACGGCCAACATCATCTGTGAGATCCCCATGGCGATCATCTCCGCCCTCATCTACTGGCTGCTGTGGTATTACCCTGCCGGATTCCCCACGGACTCCAGCAGCGCGGGATACGTCTTCCTCATGTCGATGCTTTTCTTCCTGTTCCAAGCCAGCTGGGGACAATGGATTTGCGCCTTTGCCCCGTCATTCACGGTGATCTCCAACGTAAGTCTAACCACTGGCAAAACCATCTCAGACCATCCAACTAACCAAACCTCAGACTCTTCCCTTCTTCTTCGTCATGACATCCTTGTTCAACGGTATCGTCCGGCCGTACTCCGAATACCCCGTTTTCTGGAAATACTGGATGTACTACGTCAACCCGGTCACCTGGTGGCTCCGAGGAGTCATCTCCACCGTGTTCCCAAGCGTCGACATCCAGTGCGCTTCCGGAGAAACCACCCACTTCAACCCCCCGCCCGGTCAGACCTGTTCCCAGTACGCCGGCGACTGGGTCAGCAGCGCCGGCGTCGGCTATCTGGTCCAGCCCAACGCCACCTCCGACTGCGAGTACTGCCCCTACGCCAACGGCTCCCAGTACATGCACGCGCTGAACGTCCACGACGGCGACAAGTGGCGCTGCTTCGGCATCTTCCTGGCCTATGTCATCATCAACTGGTTCCTCGTCTACTTCATGATCTACTGCGCGCGCGTCCGCGGATGGTCCTTCGGAATGGGATACGTCTTCGGCGCCCTGGGAGCGGTGTTTGGCGGTATCAAGAAGCTGTTCTCGCGGAAGTCTACCAAGACTGAGAACTAGCTCTTTGATCCCATGACCATCCACTCACTCCCTTTCCGACAATAATCGTCGACTTTGACGTCAAAGACAAAACATACAACAACAAAGAAAAACCGAAAGCGCAGTACCTTGAAAATACTATGGTATTAAATACGATATCCAAGAAGATGAGCAAAGAGAGAGACGGAAGGAGAAGAAAAGCATTCCATTGATTCATTTTTTCTGTCTTCCCGGTCTCGATTCGATTTACCGCCCGGATAACTAATTAGATGATGCATCAGCGTGTGTGTTGGTTGGGTAGGTAGGACCCTGGCTTGGCCCTGGATTCGATTTCTTACTTGTTTACTTTTTTTATTTACAGTTTTTTTTTATTTACAATTCTTGCAAGAAAGAATATACTAGACAGAATAGATAATAAATAGTATATATTTTACCTACTGAATAGAATCGAGAGAGGGAGCGGGAGAGGGAGGACTCATTGATTAATTGTATCCTATTCCCGTCTTCGTTCTCGTTCTCGGTATCATTATGGATGGATGGATGGATGACATCGAATTGACTACGATAGATACTAGATACTAGATATAGTACTTGTTTGTATGCCTGTTTCTGTCTGTCTGCTTGCATGCTTGCCCACCGACCAGATCAACCTTGACTCTTGAAGCAAGCAAGCAAGCAAGCAAGCAAGCAAGCAAGAAAGTACTATTCAATGTCCTCCCTCCCCTCTACCTCCACCTCTACCTCTACCTCATCAAATACCACATCACATTCTCCCACCCAAATAAAGCACCTACCCGACCACCCAACCACCCAACCACCCACACACCCACTCACCCACTCACATCTCCCCCGACAAACACCACGGCTTGCGCGTCCCTCCATACTTCAGCCCAGGAACACGCATCGGCACCGGAACCAGACCCCTAAACACAGTCGGTAAAGCCGAGCCATCGTCTCGTGCTAGAGCTAGAGCCTGGGCTGCTGCTGCCGATTCCAACTTTGGCTCTGAAGTAGAAGATTCCGAAGAAGATGACAATGATGATGATGATGCCAGTGTAATACTGACACTCTCCTCCTTCTTTTCGGCGAGGTCGTTATCCGGACGTGTGGGGGCGATTTTCTCGATAACGGGGACTATGACGCCGCATTCCCAGTTGCGGCAGTTGAGTTTGGGGGTTTTGGTTTTGCGGTCTTGGATGATGCGGCCCCTTTGTGGTTGGTTGGTTGTGTTAGTGTGGTGTGGTGTGGTGTGAGTGGGTTATTGAGGTGTGGGATGGTTGTGAATGGATAGATGGATGGATGAATGGATGGATATGGCATGAGAGGAGAGAGGAGAGAGAAGGGGGTGAGTGAGGGATGTGGAATGAACGTACCATGCACTTTCCGACAAGTTGGCACTTCCGACATAAGCCCAAGCTCGACATTCAGATGTATCCGATAAACGGATTGGGTTATCCGGTCGGACGTAGAGGATCTAATAATACCATAATTTGTGAGTAAGACTGAGGGGGTGGGATGTAGAGTGCAGTTCGACGGGTGGAAGTGAGGTGATGTGATGTGATGTGATGTGATGCATACCTTGCTATGCATCAAAAGCCTCGGTCGTTGACTCTCGCAGTCACGAAGCGCCTGGCGCGGAAACTTCTCGCCCTCGAACCACCTTGACTGGCAGCAGATGGTGCCTGCGCAGCGGGGACCGCCCTTCGATGAGAGCACCGTCGATTGGGAGGGGTAGTAGATGCGGAAGCGGTCTTTGGATTCCGAGGCCAGATCTTTGGGGATGAGGTTGTTGTGGAGTCTGGCGGGGAAGGATTTGGAGGTACGGAGGGTGTAGTCGGTTAAACCGATGTCTCCTGTGAGGTTTTTGTGTTAGATTTGGGGGGTCGGTGGGGATATTGGGGTTGTACTGACCTTGCGAAGCGAGGTAGAGGGAGCGAAGGAATTCGTTGTTTATGTTGCCGAGAGAGGAGGTCTAATGGCTCGCGGTGGTTAGGTTTGTTTCAGGGAAAGTCTAAGATCTGAGTGCTTACGACGTAGTCCAGGTTTAACGGTTTGGACGTGGATAGTCCCAGTGTGGCCACTGCGTGTCCCAGACCGCAATAGCCAGTCTTCGTCCATGCCGCTCCTGTATGTGATCCGCCGCTACCTCTATATTAGATCTGGTCACGTTTCGAGTTTTAGAGTGACTCACATGGTGTGGACGAAAGCATATTTAGATGTTTTGCTAAAGTCGAAACCGTCCATTTTGGCGATGACATTGTCGTGGAGAGTGGAGGCTTTCAGAAAGTAGGCCAGCTCCTTGTAGAAGGCAGTATTGGGTTTGTTGGAGTCTGTGCCGTTCTTTTTGGGAAGGTCGATGAGGAAGACACTCTGGAGATGTGTTAGTCGTATTTCTCTGGGCTGATTGTGCCATGGTTCGTACATTCTCCATGACTCCTTCCATCTCGCCCCAGTCAAACGGCACCAAATTGGCGGTCGGGACCACGATGCGGAGATATCCAGGATGAAAGAGCAGCATCAATTTCGAGTGCATGCACTTCACCTGGCCTTCCATTGGTGGGAAGCACACTCGCACGTTAGGGACCTCTGCTACGTCGGCTTCCAGCGCGCGCCTCTTTTCGTTTCATTAGCTTCGCTTCCAAGCTATAGTCCTGATGCAGTAAACACCGGAGACTACGTAAGCCCATAGCCATGAACGGGCAGCACTCACCGTAGAGTCATCTGGGGCATGCATCACCATGATAAAGCGGGTATTCTTGATATCGAGCTTGCTGTAAACCCAGTCCGGATCCCACATGAAGGAGCTCAAAACAGCAAGCTCCAGATTGGACTTCTGGAACACCTCCTCGATCCTGATATCGTCATTTTGCCGAGCACAGCCAGACGCCCATGTCTTCTTGACCACGCCGTCAGGATACTGGATTGATGGTGTCATGGATGGCGTTGCCCAAGAGCTTCCAGCCCGGGAAGCAGCAGCCATGTCCCCGGTACGCATGTTTAGCTCAGAAACACCAGGCTTTCTCGATAGATCCACTTTCGACTGCTTCGTCTGAGGCTGCTCACTCACCGCAGGATCGTCAGCCTTTCTTTTCGCAAGCCGTGCGAGACGCTCCTGCTCCATCTGCTTTCGATCCAGGCCCAATATACCCTGAGGCTTCGCGGGCTCCTGGTCGTCTGTTTTGGTCTTGGTCGCTGTCGAGTGGAGGGGTAAGGCACTCTGGCTCTCGCTGGTGTCTGAGCCAATAACTTGCCAGGGCTCAGACGGATGATTGAAGTTCCCCCCGATCTCCTGTAGGGATAGTGCGATGGCCTTTTTGATGTCTTCGTCGTCATCCTCGTCGTCATCGTCGTCCGTGTCGGAGCCAATCAAGGACCTTGACTTTGGAAAAACAGGCCTCACATCATCCGAATCGGAGTCTGCAGTTAGGTCGACAACCTCAGACTTTTTGGGTCTATTGGTCTGGTCGGGATCGGAATGCTGACGATCGGCCATGGAGGCAGCGATGGCCGCTCTCAGATCCGCATCATCAAGCTCGTCTGGGTTCATGTTGGATGGTAGTCAAGAGGGGAAGAGGGGGGGGGGGGGGGGATGTTGATGAAAAACGAAGAAGAGATAAAGTAAGAAGGAAAGTGTGAGAGGAAGATGGATTCTCAGCGCGTCGCGCCTTTATTTGAGATGGGGGTCGCTTCTGCCGGCTGGTGTTTATTGTCCAAAAGGTCCGGGATGCCAGAACAATCCCAACACTGCTGGAATAAACACAAGAACCTCAACCAAACAAAAGACAAAGACTGGGTGGGAGCCAACGCATCAGCAGGTCAAATGGATGGAGCCTGGTGAAAGGGCAGGGGGATTAAATGAAGGCGAAGGTGAAGTTGTTGTTTGCAAGCCAAACGCCCTGCACCCTCGCCGCCAGCACGTGACCGAGACGGGGCCGAACTGGAGGGACCAGCGATTATAGCACCAGAGGAACACTCATTCACTACGGTGGGTTTGGCATGGTGGTGTGGATTACCATTATCATTGCAGTGTGGGGAGCTTAAAATTGTGGTAATTCCCCCGCATGTGTCTTATCCAATTCCATTCGCCATCACAGGACCTATCCATCGGAAGTTGGATCCCAGCAACCGTGCATGCAGAGTATGCATCTTGCTTAAATCAGGCGACACCAAGGCCCGTGGTTCGCTTTGAGGAGTTGGTATCTAGCAAAACACAAGAGCATGACCTGCCAAAGAGAGGTGAAGCGAGGAAAGTCATAAGAACAGAAGACCGGACTGCGATGCTAATATCTAGCGTCCCTCATAGATCCAAGTACATGGGTTTCTTTCCACCGCGAAGAACTTCACAAGTACAGGGTTCACAACTCTAACAGTCTTCGAACCTGATCTACCATGCGGTCCCAATTGCCCTTCCAGTCGATAGCGTGTCATTGACTCATCTTCAGAGGATGACGCTTCTTTTCAGGCATCCCCTCAGGAGCTGGAACACTGCCATCGAAAGTGGTAGGAAACTCTGCATTGGATAGAGACCTTGAATCCACTGCACTTCACTCGGCGACAAGATGCACAAAGTAGAAGTGTCGTGTCGCTGAGACTTTCGGTATACACCGCTACCTCGAACAGGGCTGAGCATCTGAGCGTCCACAATTTGATTATTGTTGCGATTCACGATTGATACTGAGTTTGATGGGGCGTATTTCGTCAAGAGGTTGTTCAGCGAGGCATTCAAGACCACTAGAAGGCTCGCACTCAAAGGCTTCATCAGGGGGGGAGAATCGTCCCATCGGAGCTGTGGCTGCCCCAAATCTCTCCTGTGCATCTATGCAATGTAGCAGGAAGATCCACGGCGAGGATTCATGGCGCCGTTTCCTTGAGCGATGCTTTCTGCGAACTCGTATCTCAATTTCTCAGAGACACTGAAGCACAAGATCAATGATGGCAAAGAAGACATCCCGATCAGCATCGGCTGTCGCCAGCCCAAGTCCGACGACCAGCATGCGCTTCTCGTCAGGAGCCTTCGTCACAATGGCACTTGCTATTTGACGAGCATAAAGCTGGCCGACGATCTCATGGCCAGGAGCGCGACCGCCCAGCAGGGACGTAGCAGTCAGGCTGTTGATTGGGAGCAGACTGTCGTCTGCAGAATCAGAAAAGGTGTGCAAGCCCTCAGTCCCGGGGTTTCTGTTTTCAAGCGGCACGTGAAGCTGCGGGTGGTTAGTTGAGATCTCAGGTCCAAGGGATAATGGATTAGACCAACCCAGTGTCCCAGTCGGCCTTTCTGCGAGATCGTGACCAGGATTCTGTCGCTAAATTTCATGAGCGTGACATCGGTGTGGACACCGTTGACCAGCCCAGCACTCTGTTTGGTGACTGCGGGGAAGGGCAGGTTTACTGGTTCCTGGAGTTGATCGAGGGTGAAGGGATCAGCCATGATGATTGCTGTTTCAAGCAAAATTCTGCAGGATAGGATAGAATTCTCCTCTCTTCCAGGGAAACAACCAAAAGCAGCTTGATATGTTGAAGCAGAGGAAAGGTACTCCAGGAGGGGGGAGTGGGGGGAGAGGGGAGAGGGGAGATGAGCTACCGCCCGGGCGGTGAGAAGACCCCCACCGCCTTCGGGGCAGAATGCCGCCGCTGCCTGATTTTTTTCGCGCGACCGTCCATCCAAGCTCAACTCCAGTCCATCATTGGGATCGTTCCTGGGTTCTTTTTCACGTTGTCTCCCGGTAGAGACAAGGTATCCGAGTCCCGGCCATCATGCCCAAGTTTGTTCCCCGCCAGCGGAAGCAAAAGCACCGGCAAAATGAGGCAACAAGCGCCCCGGTAGACACCAATGTCTCCGAGCTTGCGCCTGTGAGCAAGAGCGACAAGGAAGCCAAACGGCAGAAGCTGAAGGAGGACTTGCGGGCGCAACACACTCAGATGTCCTCGAAGAAGCAGAAGCGCCTGGACAAGTATATTGTGCGTGGAGCGCTGTGCCGCACCGATCCATCAGAATGCCATTTCTAACACTTTGCGCAGGAAACCAAACTCAAGAAGGAAGAGAACCTCGAGCTGCTGAAAAAGCTTGCCGAATCCAAGGTTGACACCTCGTCGCTCTTGAAGTCAAGCGAACTGGGCAAGCGCAAGAGGCAGGATGACAGAGCCCCGATACCTATGGACCATGACTCCCGTCGCGATTTGGACTTGTCGGACGACTCGGACGATTCTTTGCCCCCGGCGAAGCCATTGCCCTCAGCGAAAGCATTGCCTCCAGTGAAAGCACAGCCCCCGGCGAAATCACCGTCCCCGGCAAAAGCGACTCCGAGCGAGCCGAAGCCCGAAGAGCCTGTGCAGAAACAGCCGCAGGCTTCAGAGGCTGGTAGTGGGCTGAAACGCCCGCTTGAACTAGGCCCAGACGGATTCCCGGTCCTCAAGAAGCGGAAGCAGGTTGCAAAGAAACCGGAGATCACAATTACAATGCCAGAGGTGGCGTGGGAAGGGTTTGGGTCAGACGACGAAGATGATGATGAAGAAGGATCTGAAGATGATGAAGATGAAGATGAGTCTTCGGAAGAGGGCTCTGAGGATGGCTCGGGCGATGATGACAGTGAAGAGGATAGCGAGGAAGATGACGAAGAAGACGAAGACGAGGAGGAGGAGGAGGAGGAGGAAGGTCACAAGCTCGGCATGCCTCGACAATCCGCCTTCAAAACTTGGGCAAGGCAGCAAATCAACGAAGTCGTGGGATTCCAGCCTCCCACTGTTCCCGTCGCAGAGGAGTCATTGCCATTTATCCCCGAGGATAAGAGGCCGGTCAGAAAGACTGAGGAGGAGCCACTGCCTTTGGAGCTTCAAGTCACCAAAGGAGACCCCAGCCGGAAAGCTTTCAGTGTCCAAGTCAATCGGTCAGAGGAAATCCAAACCGCACGCCTGGGACTTCCCGTGGTTGGGGAGGAGCAGAAGATCATGGAAGCCATCCACAACAACTCTTCAATCGTCATCTGGGGAGCGACTGGTTCCGGAAAGACGACTCAACTCCCGCAGTTTCTTTTCGAATCGGGCTACGGCAGTCCGGACAGTCCCAACCCAGGCATGATCGCAGTGACCCAGCCCCGTCGAGTTGCTGCTGTCAGTATGGCCAAGCGCGTGGGTGACGAGCTGGGGCAGTTTTCCGACAGGGTCTCCTACCAGATTCGTTTCGAGAGCACAGCGTCCAGCAAGACCGCGATCAAGTTCATGACCGATGGTATTCTCATCCGCGAAATCGCCGACGACTTTTCTCTGAGCAAGTATTCGATCATCGTCATCGATGAAGCTCACGAACGGAGCGTCAACACGGATATCCTCATCGGCATGGTCAGTCGCATTGTTGACTTGCGGAAATCCATGAGCGAGGAAGATCCATCGGTGAAACCTCTGAAGCTTGTGGTCATGTCGGCAACCCTGCGCATCTCCGATTTCACGCAAAACCCGAGCCTCTTCCGTCACGGTGCTCCGCCGTTGGTCCAGGCAGAAGGCCGTCAATACCCTGTCACAGTGCACTTCTCGAGACGGACCAACCGCGACTACGTGGAAGAAGCGTTCAACAAGGTGTCCAGAGGTCACCGCAAACTGCCTCCCGGTGGTATGCTTGTGTTCTTAACGGGACAGAACGAAATCCGGCAGCTTTCCAAACGTTTGAAGCAGGCCTTCAAGCCTACGCAGCGGGGCGAAGCTACCCAAGCAAAGGTCCAGATTTCTGCGAACGACGCACCACTCGAAGCGGAGGACCTGGAGATCGGAGGGGCAGACCTGTCGACCCTTGGCAACCAGGAAGATGATGACAGTGATTTCGAAATCACTGGACTAGACGAACCCGATGACGATGATGACGAGTTTGACCTGGGCGAAGAGGCCATGAGCTCGTCAACCCGGGTCCACGTATTGCCGCTATACTCCCAGCTTCCCACCAAGGAGCAGCTCAGGGTCTTTGAGCCCCCACCGGACGGCTCGCGACTGATTATCCTGGCTACTAATGTGGCCGAGACCAGTCTTACGATCCCGGGCATCAAGTACGTGTTCGACTGCGGGCGTGCAAAGGAGAAGCAGTACGATCTGGGCACGGGTGTCCAAAAGTTCCAGATCGACTGGATCAGCAAGGCCAGCGCCAACCAACGAGCTGGACGTGCTGGTCGTACTGGGCCCGGACACTGCTACCGGCTGTACTCGTCGGCCATCTACGAGAACGAATTCGCCGAATACACCGACCCAGAGATCCTGCGCACGCCCATCGAAGGCGTCGTGCTCCAGATGAAGAGCATGGGTCTTCACAACGTCATCAATTTCCCATTCCCGACGCCCCCTAGCCGTCAGGGCCTCGCCAAGGCCGAGAAGCTTCTCAAGAACCTGGGTGCCCTGACATCCGAAGGCAAGATCACGGCCATCGGCAACCGCCTATCTACCTACCCTCTGTCGCCACGATTCGGCAAGATGCTCACCGTTGGCCACCAACACGGCTGCATGCCGTACGTCATCGCGCTCGTGTCAGCCTTAGCCGTGGGAGACCTCTTTGTCTCTCAGAACCAAATCGACCCCACGCCCAAGGACGACAAGGAAGTCAAGAAAATCTACACAAACGCGGACCGCCTCGAAGACACCGCCCGAGAGCAGCGCCACAAGGACTACGCGCGAGCCCACCGTCTGTTCAGCAAGCACGACGACACCTCCGACGCCCTGAAATACCTCTCCGCAATCTGCGCCTACGGCTACGCCTCCGACGGCGACTCCTTCTGCGAGCAGATGTTCCTGCGCGCGAAAGCCTTCAAAGAAGCCACCCAGCTCCGCCGGCAGCTCACCGATATCGTCCGGACCAACAACCCGGGTCTCGTCCAAGAATACCAGGCGCGTCTCCCCGAACCCTCGGAGAAACAAGTCAAGGCGATCAAGCAGATCGTCACAGCCGGATTCATCGACCAGATCGCCCTCCGCGCGGACCTGGCGCCCGTCCCGCCGGAGATGCTGCGCACGCCCAAGCGCGCCATCGATGTCCCGTACTTCACCCTCATGCGGTCGCGCGAGGGCACCGCCATCCAGCTCGACGAGAAGGCCGTCTACGTGCATCCGTCTTCGCTGCTGGCGCAGCTCTCCGCCAAGGAAATGCCCCAGTATATCGTCTACTCCCATCTCCAGCAGTCGGCGCCGTCGGTGGTGTCGGCGGACCAGACGCCTAAGATCAGGATGTTTCCTCTTGCGGCGCCGAGTGGATTGCAGCTGTCTGCGCTTGGGCATGGCACGCCGCTGGTCGAGTACGGAAAGCCGATTGGGAAGACGGAGGCGATTGAGGGCAGCATCCCGGAGCGGCGAGCGTGCTGGGTCATTCCGTCCCTGGTGGGTGAGGCGGGCGGAGCCCGGTGGCCTCTACCGGCTAAGAAGGTCGTGCAGAGGAAGGATCCCAAGGAGGGATGGGTGATTGAAAAGTTTACCGCGTAATTATTGTATATAGCGGTGTTTGCAATGATGGTTAAAATGTAATGATATGATGTACACATCAACATCACATTCTTGCTCGTCGTCATGTATGTAACCCGTACTTCTTTTTCATACCCACGAACCTCATCCAGCTTCATCTGAAAAAAAAAAAAGAAGAAAAGAAAGGAAAGAACCCCATCAACTCCAAACACCCATGACACCACTGTACTTAAACCCAACCCAACGACTGAAAACAAAACCCCGGGTGGCATCGCCATCCCCAAACCGAACCAACAAATCTACCGCCTAAACCCGCCCGAAATCTCACCGGTCTCCCTATCCTCCCGAATCCCCAGGGCCCTCCTCAAGCGCTCACTCTCCTCAATCTTGGCCTCCGCAAGCTCATGAACCTGATAACTTTTGAGCTGTCGTCTCCCCTTCGCAGGGGGCAACATATCGCCACCCCACCTCCTCCCCCCCGCACCAGAACCACCAGAGCCACCACCAGAGCGCCGTCCACTCGCCCTGTCCTCCTCATTCCTCTCCAACTCCTTCAACAGCTTCTTCCGGAGAACTTCGCACCGCTCATCGATTTCTTCTTCGGAGAGGATCTTCGTTCCCTTCTTCTCTTCACCATCCTCCTCCTCCTTTTCATCTTCCTTTCCATCCTTATCCCCCTCCTCACCCTTCTTCCCCTTCTTCAGAGCAATAGCCATCTCCTCCAACCTCTCATTCTCCTCCTCCAACCGCTCCCTCTCCTCCATAACCTTGACCTCGACGGCGCGGCGCCGATCATGCTCCAGGATCTGTTTATCGGGCTGTCGCTGCTTGAAGGAACGGTCGGGGTCGGAAAAGGAGGAGGAGGAGGAGTTGGCGCCGGAGACGGGCGGGTAGGGCGCGCCGTAGCCGGCCGTGCGCGGCTTCATGAATGCGTAGTTGCGTTGCACGTAGCCGGAGGTGCCGCTGCCTCGGGGTGTGGTGAGGCCGACGTTGGAGGACATGTTGGTGTTGCTATAGTGCTGTCTTGGTGGTTGGTGGATGGTGAGGCCGGGTGGTGAGGTGAGGTGATACGGTGAGGTGGGTGGCAGACAGGCAGGCGGACTGTATACTATATGTATGTATGGCTAGCTCAGCTCAGCTCATATAGCGATCGGTGGATGCTGCAGCGCACTAGCTGAGTTTCGCGGGGGGCGGTGGTGGAGATGACCAGCTCGGATGGTGATTAATTTGCAGATCTGTAGACGGGACGATCACTCGATGAAGGAAGGAACATAGAGAGGAGAATCGTATCGGGCGCAGGAGTTGGTTGGGTCGTGGAGTCATGCAGGCATGCGTGAAGGATGGAGGATGGCAGTGGAAGATTTGCGGGTGGTCGAAGGGCCGACCGCCAGCTGGGGTGGCACGTGATGATGCACCGATCACTATAACTACTCAGGTTACTATATACTCCGTACTACTACGGTATACTGTTGGAATCACCAAGACCTTGGGAATCAGTTCGTGTTTGTGGGTAAAAGAAATACTACTAAACACTTGCGGAGCTGAGCTACCCTGCAGCGACTTCAGTAATCAATTGAGCATACAGCAACGCTTTTCATTCAGTTCATCTGTATGACAGCAAGGCCTCTACGCCATGCTCTAGGCATCCTTATATTCTCCCTATTTCCAGGTTTCCCATATGTCCATGTCCAAGGTCCCGTTTTGTTTGCAACCCGTCGAGGAAAAAGCAAGCGCGATGCCCCATGAATCCGTATTCACCAATTATGACGCCGGCCCCTCGCGTGGACAAAGAGAAACAGAAAACATCGATAGCAAGCTGGCAAGTAATAATGGTGGCGTGTCCTCGTTTTCATCACGTCGAACTTGTTGAAGGCGGAGTCTCCCACAAGCAATTAAAGAGGTAGAGGAAAGAAATTTCAAGAAGAGAAGAAGGGTGCGACGGAAAGGTGAAAGCAAAAGCAAAGCCGAATAGGAAAGGATGTCATCAATTCCCGCCGTAACCCTTGTTGCGCCATCAAGACATGAGATTTGGGCGGAAGAGCTTCATTTCTCCCTCAGGCCCCCCAGTATGTATACGCCCGGAATAAAAAATAAGTGGGGTGAACTCGAAACATCAAAGAAGGAAAGGGGGAAAAAAAGATTACAATTCAGAATGAGCAAGGGTAAGCAAGAGTCCCGAAGGCAAAGACGGACGGTTTAGCTGGCTCCCGCGAATTCGACGGGACCGCTCGAGACTGGGTCGGCAGATTCACATTCAACCAGCGGTGTCACGGTACTTTTGACAATGTTCTTCGAGTCAGAGCCATCGTCGTTGCCCTGGGTCTCGTTAGGGGGTGGGGTTGGAGGTGCCGCCCCGACCAGAGGCGCCCGGCAGGTCTCAACGCCATTCACGGCCCGCTTCGAGGGCTGGGGAGAAGACTTGTGGGAGTTCGGGGGCGTGGTGGACGTGGCCGTGGCCGTGTGAGATGGGACAGCTGCCCCCGGAAGGGCGAGAGCACCCGCCATCAGCTTCTCGATAGCGACAATCTGCTTGCCATAACTGATCTTTTTCGCATTCTCGAGCATGGGTTGGATACGCGCGATCAGAGCGAATTTCTCCTCTGAGCTGTTGGGCATCTGCGCGATAATCTTTTCTGTGTGGAAGTTAGCAGGCAGCACATGGCCCCCGTAGACGGTGGCAACTTACGGATAACGTAGTTTCCATACTGGTCCCGTATCAACGTGGACAGGACGTTATCGGTTCGGTCGTTGGCGCTCGTTAAGAAGTTGATAATATGCCGGCGTTGAGCTTCTTCTCCATACTCGATGCTCTTTTCCACCACATTACTCGCAAACTTGTGCTTCGAATAGGTGAGCAGTTGAGACATGACCACCGCGATCATCTGCGAACGGTCCTTCTCTTCGCCGTTTTCGATGACATGCTGGATCACATAGTTTCCAAACTGGTCCGTGATGAGCTTGGATGTGCATGCATGCAATTCGCCCAGGATGGATTCGCGGTCCGCAATCTCACAGTGCTCCAGCATCCGCTGGATGACACGGCATCCATAAGGGTGGGTGGCCAGTCGCTCAACTTGGCCCTTGAAGGCGTTGATGATGAACTGCACGTACTCGGATGGGACTCTTTCGATCGCCTTCTGGATGACGTGGTTCCCGTTCTGGTCGCGGACACACCGGAGAACATGCGACTCCAGTTCTTTGACCATCGAGGCTTGCTGGTCGTCGAGGATGTGCTCCAACGCCTGGGGGACATTAGCTGTCGTTGCAGTGCTCCCCGTGGGAACAATCTTACCTTCTGGACCACGCGGCACCCGTACATCTGCGTGGATAGGGACAAGATATGCCCCTTCATCTGGTTCGCAAGAATCTTCTTTTGCGTTTGGTTGCCGTGCTCGAAGAGCTTTTGCACAACATAATTTCCAAACACGTCCGTCATCAACTGCAGGCTGTTTGATTGGATCTCGCGGAAGACCTGCTCTTTCTCGTCGCTGTTCGCCGTCTCGAGCTTTTGTTGGATGAACCGGGATCCGTGCTGATCCCCACTAAATTCGACTATATGGGTGTATATATCCTGGAATCGTCAGCATACGTTTTCAACCCGAGACAACCGACAAACTAACCTTCAGCTCATAACGCTTGTTGCCTTTGTTCAGAGACCTGAACTCTTCCAAGACAGCGCTGCGAACCACCTGAGAGGGGTCATGTTCACGAGGGCCCCGCGAAATAAGAGCTGCTGCCCCAAGATGCGCCGCTGGATAATAGGGATGTTGCATGTTTTGCAGCCTGGGCGCTTGGTATCCAGCAATGTCATAAGCAGGGGCATATGGAACACGTTGGTGAAGCGGGTTGACGGAGTGTTGAGAAAGCTCATGGTCAGCTCTCAGCTTTTGCTCCAGCAGAACAGCTGCGTTGCCCGCGATTTGAGTTCCCGACCCGTTTCGGAAGTGTGCATTGCTGTCATGGGCATAAATCGGGCTGTCGATGCGGTAGTCGGTAGGCGAAATGGGGTTGGCTTCCGCAACACGACCTCTGTTGGGCTGATATGCCAACTGGAGCTCTGGAGAAACCGATTCATTCATATATGCTGAGGCGAGCTGGTACTCGGCTTCATCTCCGCTGTTTTGATATTTCAGTCGCGGGAATCCTGCATCGTAGGACTTATGGTTGAGGTATGCTGGGCGATTGATACCAGAATGCGTAGGAAAGCTCGCTTCCGCGATTTGCAGCTTGTTCAGCCCAGCAGTCAGGTCCACGGAGCCGCTGCCCGACCTACCCTCGAAACCTTGGCTTTCTGAGTGGAACGATGGATAAGTCGAGTGGGATGGTCGCTGCGGCGCATAAGACGCCGAGTTGTGCGCGGAGTGAGAGAACGTATTACGCCCGATGTGTTGCGTCATATAATCCGGAAGTGCTGTCTGCAAGTTTGACATTCCCATAGAGGAAGTGACATCGTCGGCTCTTTGATTATCGAGCGAGTTGGAGAACCCTTGCTTCATCGGAAACCCGGACCCCCCAAACGTTGACGTACTGACATGTCTCCTGCTTTCCCCATTTCTCAAGGTTGTGAAATTGCCCAAGCTTAAACCGTCTCCGGAAGGTGACATGGTATCAGACCCAGAGCCCAAGTAAGCCTTGTGTCCGGCACCCCCGCTCGAGGTTCCGATTCCTGACGACTTCTGAAGTGTAAAGTATGATGAGTCCGGAGCATCGGAAAGGCCAGCCGCGCTGCGGTCATTCGTACGTGTTTGGACGGGAGAAGTCGCCATTCCGCCGGTGTGTCCTCTCGACAAGCTGGCGGCAGAGGTGGTGTTCCATGGCATACTCGTGGCATTGCTCCATCCATCCGACTCTGAAGATGACAGTAAAGAGCTCGAACCGGCCTTGCCCTCGAAAGCATTGTCTGCGGTGTGTTGATCTGGGTATGTCACGTTAGTGATGTTTCCTGGACGAGGGCCAGTCAGTACACCCAGCTGCGTACCGTCAAAGCCATTCCCCCAGATACTGGGGTTCCAGCCGGCGTTGCCACTCGCAAAGCTCTTTCCCATGCCTCTATGGGTCCCCCGCGACCTCTCACCATTCAAAGCAGATGGTCCCACGTTGGAGGGTCGGTTTGAGCGAACCTTGTGGTGAGTCAGCCAGCCATTTCCCATGTCGCCACCCGACGTTCCACCTACATTGTGAACTGTGTTTGAGTTTGAAGCCATAGTGGCCATTCCACCAGGGGCCCGATTTGTAGAATGAATATTGAGGATATGAATACTAGCTCGCACACCTTATCGTAAATCTGGTTCGAGCTTCGGTTCCCTTCTTTTCCGCCTCGCTTTTCCGGATCACTGTATACTGGTTGAAGTGATATGGATAGGTATATCGACGTGTAGTTCGGGACAGAGGCACGAGCACACTAACTAATACTAGATTGCACCAGAGTCAGCCATATGATCGCACCGGAGACTGGCCACCGGGACAGGGTCACAAAACTCTCACGGGAGGGGGATCACTCACAAGAGAGCAAAAGCGAAACAACAGGATACAAACAGGGATGGAAGGGGAGAAGGCGGGAGGAAAAATTCTCCCCGAAAAATAGGACTATGGTTCCCGCCCAGATGGACGCGGTCAAGCGCTGTACAAATGATACAGGGATCACAGGGAGGGGGTCCGGAAGGGAGGAAGGAGCGTGGCAGGTTGAGAAATGCTCAGCGGAGGAAGGAGTTAAGGCTGTCGGCCAACGCAAGGTAACAGGAGCTTGATAAAAAGCCCTCTCGTTTGCCCGCCGAAAGTACAGCCAGTCGCCGTAGATCGAAATCGCCAGAAGGTATTGCGATGTGACTATGCTCCGTGCATACTCCAGTAACCTCTAATCTTGCAGATCGCCCTCATGTGCTCTCTGGGGGATGAGAGAGGGATTGCCGACGCGGGTCCGTTTAATCAGACAGACGTTAGGAGCTCGGATGATTCGCAGCGGCAAGGGGGAGGGGCGAAGGGTTGGAGAGATTGCAGCTGGTATGGGAGGAGAATGTGCTTGTTGCGCAAAAGGGCGTGTTTAGTGGAGCGTCAAACGATGGGAATGTGGACGAGAGACAAAGCACGGCATTAATGTAATTCGGTTGTGACACAGGCGAAAGCAAGCATGACACCCGAACTGGTTCGGAGCAGATCAGTCAAGCCTGGCTGCGTGTCGCTCGTCTGTCCGGCTTCAACCTCCACGGACCGCGATGAAGAGAGGGGGGTAATTGGGGGGGGGGGATAAAATAGTGCGATCGGAGGGATGTCAGCGATGGCAGAATGATGACAGAAGAGATGGAATAAGAAAAAAAGGTTTGTTGAGAGTGACGGTCGAAATAAGGCAGGGAAACCGAAAAGGTTATTTAGTTTTTTAGAAAATTGGGAAAATGGAAAATGGAAAATGGAAAAGGGAAAAAAAAAAAAAAAAAAAAAAAAAAAAAAAAGGGTCTGGTCAACCGCGAGGACAGAAGAAAGTTGGTTGCACAAATGAAGCACCCCAAAGACCTCCCGTCCTGAGAAGAAGAATTGGTAATGGTAATTGGGGGGGGGGGGGGGGGGAGGGGGGGAGGCAAAGAAGAAAGAGATGCCAACAGATGGTTATGAATGAGCCGGGGGGGAAGAAAAAAATCGGAGGATCAAGAAAGGAAGAAAAAAAGAAATATGAACCGGACCTCTCGCGCAGCGGCAGGAGGCAGAGAATGAGGATGGAGATGATAGATAAGCCGGGCAGTTCAAGCTGGAAAAAAAGATGCTGCGTGTCTTGCGGCAAAAGAATGGCTGCTACTGACTGACTGATTCTTTGGCGCCCAGCAGTATCGTTAGCATCGGTACCATCGTTACCGCCGGTGACAATACCAGGCGATCTTGTCGATCCGGGCAGGTACTTGGCGCCAGTATGGGCGTTGCCGCCCGGGGGTGAAGTACAGGCTGAAAGCCTGAACACCGGGCACTACGCCCGCCCCCTCCGTCAGTACCAGGATACACAGTACTGTACGGAGTACTCCGTAGTAGATACCTGCGATCCCATCATGATCCCAGACGCTGCTGAATCTGGGGCCGCCCAAATCGTTCCCGCCGCCGCTTCTTTTTTAGGCTTCAATCTAGGTCGGTGGCCCCTCCCTCTTCCTTTTAGGGCCGGCCAGTCCGCCATCCCATCCAACCTTCGACCTTGTCCCCATCATGTCTGTCACTCTCTGGCCTTCTTTACGCGGCGGGATGTCCCTCCCCGCCACTCCCTCCAACCCTCTACCAATCTACCAATCTACCAATCTACCAATCTACCAATCTGCTCCGTACTTCCCTCCCGCATGGATGTCGATTGTGCTTGAAATGAAATCCCCTTCACCTTTCCACTTTCTTCATGGGGAAAATCGGGGTTGCACGAACCATGCCGGGACCATCCAACCACAGGCACGGAACCGGTTGACCGCTACAGTACGTATACTCATCCTGCCCCTGGCTCCGGTTTCCAGTCATCTGCTGGGGGCAGCGCGTAGCAGCAGGTTCAGAATTATTACTATATCGTCTCGTCCCGTGGCCCAAAAGGCCTTTGGAACCTGCCAGAGGGACGGTGTCGTGAACAAAGGATTTCGGGATCGGACAACACTTCCTGGCCAACGCCGTCGGGTGAGTCACCGGTTTGTCGCCCCCCTCAATCGCTGGTCACCTACGAAGATGGCGACCGGGCGGGGTATTGGGCGACATCTCTTCCTATCTAGTCATCTTCATCTTGACTTGCCATGAAGAAAGACGGGATTGACAGCAAAGGTTAAGTGTGTTCGAGCCCGACCGATCGGGTGCACTAAACTAGCTTGGTTTTTCCTTACTGTGTCCAGGATCAAAGTTTATATACTCGGACAACAAAGACATTGGTTTCATGATGCCTCGACGATTCTGGCTCTCACCCGATGATTCGGCCCTTCCATCCCTGCGCGCGGAAAGAGCAGATCAAATGGCTGGGTTCGAGAGGGAGGAACCCTTCGTATGGACATCGGGCAATCATGGCGTAGGAAACCGCTCATAGCACACAAGTCAAGCAAGGTAAGCGACTTCTTCCCGCCCGATCAATCCCCAGGTCTGGCCCGGGTTGATTCCTGTTCCTCCAGTAAACGTGGGGGATCATGACACCATACCCATCTACCGTACCTAAGATAAGTACGTAGGTCGCTGCGTAATAATACCAGCATCGTGACCGTGACGTGACGCCCTTCCCAGCCTACCGAGAGAGTAAGTACATATGGTCGTGACGCACCCATCCTCTTGGAAAGCAGAGCTCCCTTCCTTCACGCATGCCTAGTTTTGATACCAGTTATATTATCGCCGTGACTGGAGTGATATGTCCCTGCCCTGCACTTGAAGTAGTAGTGGCAGGAAACCCCCACGATATCCCTATCTCCGCCGTGCCTCCCTCTGACTGGGTCCAGCACATACATCCGGTTTGGCTATCTAATCCCCTCTCACTCTCTCACTATACCGCTTTGGACCAGAAGCCCGCATGGCGAACAGCTTAGATCGACGACCGCGGGCGTCCCTTGCATCTGAACAGTTACATTGATTTAGGTCTCATCCGCCCTGCCGTTCTGACGGCCGGGGAACCAAGGGATTGTCCTGGTGTTGGCTACAAACCACCTCGTCGTGCTTTCAGTTTTCACCTGCTAGGGAATCTGATGGCATGCATGCATGTGTGTGATGTCGCTCTCGACTTAGCCTTATCATTGATCTCCTATCTGATTTGACCAGAGGTATGCCCGGAGGAAAACCCCGGATGGTACGGTACATACGGGGGAGGGGCCAATTGCAACGATGGCAACAAGGTGATAAAGTCACTTCTACCTTGCATGCACAAACAGCTAGCCCAACCCCTCTCTCCGATCGGAATAGGTCTTCAAGAGCGTAGAGCGTAGAGACTAGAGACTAGATACAGACGGACAGAAGGATCCGTAGAGCCAACGCTTAATCCTAGCTTGTCGCACTCGACTGCGGGAATGGTTTCCATCCATTCTTAGGAGACCCCTTCTTGGCCATCATCACATAACCCATCCGGTGGGGGATTGTAGATCCATGCCATGGGCCTATCCTATGGAGTTGCATGTCAACCCACAGCCCAACACCGACACGGGTTCGACGAATGTTCGGACAACAAACAAAGTCTCAAGTCAGTTCCACTGATTTGCGGGGGGGGAAGGGGGACTTCCACCTCCACCGGGGAGGAAGGCCTAGTAGGTAGGTACAATACTGCGGCCGTGACGCCGAACGGAGCAGGTCCCGATCCACAGATCTACAACTCGCCAGCTCTCTGGCTCCGGATGGCACTGCCGGGATGAGATGGGTGGGATACTCCAGGTTCCAGATTCATATCACAAGTCATCATGAAACCATGTCATTGTCACCCACCCACCCACCACCACCACCACCACAACCTACCGCGCCCGTGCTGCCATCGCTCAACCCGAATGGACGCTGACGTCCGTGTGCGACATGCATTTCCAGCCCATCGTCACTCACTCACTCACTCACTCACTCACTCACCCAGTCCCCGTCCCCGAGCCGTAAGTAGACGTGACATAGAAATAATTTGATCCCACGGATACTGCCTACCAGTGAGTCATCTTCCATCCAAGCACGGATACAAAATAAGGCTCGTAGCGTGTCTCCCAACCATGAACAGCATCCCCAGCGGTTTTGCTGCCCCTTGTGATGGTACATGACGTCGGAGACGCGAGGAACCGGAGGTGGTATGGCCGGAGGTTTAGCCGGTGTTCGGCCGGGGGGGGGGCGGGCTCAACATGGTTATTAGGGTTCGGGTGGGATATTTCTAACTGTGGCCGGTTATGTAGATATGTCGTACCAGGTGAAAGATATCGGAAATGCGAGCCGGGGTTGGGGCATGGAGATGTTGAGGATTGGCGTGTTTGAGGCGGATATATATTGGGCAGGACGGTTGTTGGTGCCTGAGGATAGTAAGTATAGTATATATTATCCCGCAGCGTGGTTGGATGAGTGAGGGAGAATCATATTGTTTGGCATGTAGCTGTATGGTTATAGATTGATTGAGTAGGATAGTTCTTAAGATGTGCTTGGTTCTATCTACTTGTTATTATAGTTTAATTTTGTTTCAACATAGACTGTTCAATTCCTAGTACCTCCTAGCTCATGGATTACATCAATACTATAAGTAATATCATTTGCATATGTTTACAAAATTATGGTGTATCCTTCTCACATAGACATATGTTTTAGGTGAGCGGAATATTGATAAACACCAATACATATATCATATTGGGTGCGCCGTAGGCTTTGCACCCGGGCAGTATGATCGAACAGCGATCATCACCCGATCGTGATATCATATATCCGTGGAAAAAATGTATGATAACTTTTATTCGGCCAGTACAGTATTCCTTCCTGTATAGAGTGTAAGCGTAGCATTTATCGGCTTCAATCTAATCTAGATAAATAGTGAGACATTTCAATTCTTAAAAGATCGGAAAGTTTCCGATGTATTACTAGTTGAATTAAAGCTAATATCATTCAAATTCTTCAATCTGAAAGTCTAAGACGTCTCTTTATAGAAAATGTCTTACCGATATTATGATAAGATGGTGTCTTACTTCTTTGATCTTCTCTTCGGATTATATTATATATACGAGTATCTGATATCCATTGGTCTTATGGAGTACTTTACACCAGTCCAGGTAGGCAGAGAATAATCATGATCTAGAGTATTTTCTCCACCGAACGAAGTATCTTAATCCATACAGGCTTACACCTGCATGCTAGTGCACAAAGTTCATGTCCCGGATGCTATGATTGACATCTGTCCTAGGGATGTAAAAGTTGAAGTGTGATTTTCTAGACTTTTAGTGGTGGCATTTCCTTCTATATAACTGGCATAATACTAGGGGCCGGGGTCTACGCTACGCGTTGGTGTCAATACTCAATAGTGAATCATTAGCTCTGAGTAATGTGTTTGTTGAGATTTCCTTTCGCATGAAACATTGAGTCATAGAATGATGGCCTTTGCTAACTAATAGTGACCATCTGAGGAATCTGGTCAGCAAACATATAGGTTGGTTACATTCCATTGCTTATGAAACATGTCCTTTGCGCTCCGAGATCTATCTTTTTATTGGGGTATAAGCATGCCCGACAACCCTGCTTTACCTTGCTTGGATGGATGAAAACCTGGGGAATATAACTCATTAGCCATTCTTTTACAAGGGCAGCCAGCCATACATCTGAGCTGCATTGTCTTACTCAACATGCTTGTCTACATCTATATTTAGCACGAACGAAGTGCTGGGCCTAAGTAATGGCACTGACGTGATGTTTATCTGCATACCAGGGATCACCGCGGATACCACATACCGGGCTGTTTATTTGTGTGGGGGAGCGTCGGTATGGAGGGGTTGATAGAGACTGCAGAAGTGACGTTGTTTCGATAAGAATCAAGCAATGGTCCAGGTCAAGCAGATAGAAAACTCCGTCTCCTTCGAAGGATTCCCACTGCGAGCTCTGTCCAACGCTTGGGCGAGATAAGGATCATGAGAGTGCTGTACATCGGCAATGCCCGGAGAAAATAGGTGGGTCCATCAGCACACAGAACAATGAACATTGTCGATGACCGATGAAAATGTAGCAGATTGATCCTGCCTGGATTTGCATTCAATTAACACAAGACGTAGATAGATACTAGATAGAATCATACCCAAATGCCAGCGTCTGGACTGTGGATATCATCGCCGTCAAAGTGTGGAATACGGAGTTGGCTAACAGCAGTTGTGTTTCACCATCGATGACAGATGGACCGGACCCTGCATCAGTACATGACAGGTGTTTCTGATGTCACGTACGAGATTCCGTAAGAGTTAAGACATGCTGGACAAGTCAGGACTACTGAACTCGAATGAGATCATGATCATTGCGGTGTTGTCATCGGTCGGACAGTCTTGCTTGATTTGGATGTTGCTGCTATCCCCACCGCGCACTGAATCAGAGCGACGGAGTCCCGTTCTATTTCCCTCGGAGTTCCCACACAGCCAGGAATAGCAGTAATCAATCCTTGGCGAGCCGGACCGTCGTTCGACCCCCCGGGGCATTTCTCATCTGTCGGGGGCATAATATGCTGGTAGTTATGCAGTTCCCAGTTAGTTACTCCATACAATGGCCTTCTTAGTAGGTCGAGACAAAGACCCTGGATGGCTGATGGCCACCCTGCGGCCTATTTATGGGAAGAAGAACGAGCAAAGGCCGCCAGCCCTGTGGCCTGTTGGCTGTTCGCTTCAGGGGCCAAACCGCCCAAAGACCTAAAAAAAGGAAACAAAGCAGGAGGGGATGCGCAGGCGGACAACGAACAGAACCGATCCAGCTAGCGCCAGTCGGTCTTCACCAGGGGTGGCAGCGAATGATCTTGGGTCGAGGACTCCAAGAATGGGCCCCCTCAGGAACGCGCGCGGGCTGATAGGCCAGGTGGCAGGGATGGGGGAGATTACCACTGCGACCACCAAACCTTAGCAGCCTTAGTCGCGCCCGCGCTAGGCGCAAAGGGGACAACCAAGTCACTGGGTCTCCACCGTCTCACTGCTAGTTCTCTCTCTAACCACCCTTGCGTTCGCTGGGTGCCCTCCGTTCATCTGGTCTGGACTGCTGGACGGCGCCTAAGCGCCCTTGCGCCTCGTTCCTGTCGTGCCGGGGGTGCCCACCACCACTGACCACCAAGCCCATCAGTCCGGCTTACTCTCCTCCTCCCCGTCTCCTCTTTCTCATCCTTCCTTCGCTCCTCTTGTTTTCCCTTTGTTCTTTTCTCTTATTCCCCCAGCGACAAACCATACCAACCCCCCCCCCTCATTCTTCCTCCTTCCTCACCCGTCACGTTCGCTCTATCCTAAGCAGGTGTCCGGCTTCACTCTTTCAGCTGCTCGCCTTGCTGTCCGTTCTTTCGCTATACCCCCCCAGCCTGGTCGATCTTCGCCAACCCACCCCAGTTCACGATACACCGTTTGACCACGCCAACCGACCGACCCGAAACATTCTCTCTTTTTGTCCAGCAACTCATCGTAACCCACTAGTCTCTCAAAAGGATATCAACATCCACTGTTTGGTTCCTGTGAGACTCCTGGGACACACCGTGAGTGATAATCCGCTACTACGAGTGATCCTGCGCGCGGCAAACCCATCGCTGACAACACTGTTGTCCCAGTACGACTTCAATTCTTGAGCCATATTCACCGCTTTTGTTGATAAGCACGTATTCACCGTATAAACGTTCCTCAGTTCGCCTGGAAGGACTGTCTCAAAAACAAACCTCGACCGTTTAAAACATGTTCATCCCCATTTCGAACCTCGCGAAGCGCGATAGCGATGATGGACTCTCCCCTGCTATGGTCGATCTCCTTATCTCTCTCCTGGTCCTCATCTTTCTCGGTCTTGCTCTGGTTGGTGCCCTCCTGGTCCTGCGCCGCAAGCGCCTGATCCGGGAAGAGAGCAATCTTCCTGTTCACAACGGCCAGTGCGTGCCCAGCCATCGCCGTTTTACGGTCTCCGCCTCGCCAAATGCCAGGACCGAGTCCGTTCTTGTGTACGACGAGAAGCGCAGCCTCATCGAAAACTCGTCGAGCCCCCCGTCCAGCCCTGTCCCCGAGATCCGCATTACATTCCCTGAGGAGGAGGACGAATCCGGAAAGCGCAAGTCTGGCCGCGTTGTGGTCGTGAGGATTACCGATGCCGGCGGTGTTGGTCTGGAACCCTGCAACGAAGAGCTCCCGCCTTATCAGTCAAGCGATGCGGAACGATTCCAGTCGTTGGATATCGAGCGCATGGGCGGACTGAAGGAGAAGGAAGCTACGGCTAGATGGTCTTAGAGGATCGACCGCTTGACGACGATGGCCGCCTGCTGTTTCTCTCCATCGACTGATACCCAACATGACCGACCCACCCGCTGTCGCTCCTGGATGATATTCGAAAAGCATGACGATATTCCGGCGAAGATTTGCTCCCTTTCCGCACCCATATTCAAACCGTTCTTCTTCATAGCACCCTCGCGACTTGCACATACGCAGATTACTCCGTCCTGTTTAGTCACCACCCTCGCCGATTGATCCCGGGTCTTAAGATCTCTCGCCCTCTTCGACACACGACATACCTTGACCTGTCGACGGGCCGACCTGGGAAACGTCCCAAGGCATCGTGGGCCGACTTTTGTACAGCCAAGGCTTGCTGATTTCTATTGATATTCCGTGCTTATTTCTCATTGATAAGGCGTTCATTTCTCGTGCTTGGTCACTTTGATCCTTCTTGCCCTGCCACGTTACTAGGGTAGAGAAGGCGTTTCGCACCGGCTTGGTTGAAGTTTCATTCTCGGCATTCTTATGCTCTTCTTCTCTTCTACAATTTTCTCTTCTACACGCTCACCCTTTTAAGCCCCCGGGTTGCCTTGAGGGTGTCTTACAGCGGGATAATGTATGTACCTAGTGTGACTATGCATTGAACGGCCGCCTTCGCCGGTGGGAGCCTCAATGGATGTGTTTATTTGATAGATACATGGCCTTTTCTCCTTCTCCAATTACTGCCCCTAGTCAGTCATCTCCGACCGGGACATTGGTCCAGCCAGCTGCATCTGGTCCAAATCGCCCCGAAAAGGGTCAGAAAAAGGAAAAAAAGTGCCTCGTGCCGTAAACAGTAGTCCCGAAGCGGCAAGGCCCCACCGCCTCAGGGTTCAGGATGTTCCGCGCCGCTCCGGCCAATCACAACGTGCGAATTCCCAGGATGAGATGCCGAAAGCGCCGATTCACTCTTACTAGCGGAGCGCATCTTCCGCGCGCTGCCAGGAGTCCTGCCCGTCGGCTTCCTTCTATTTGACCCTCTCTCGCCCTCGTCTCCAGCTCTCTGTCTCCCCGGCTGCCCGTCGATGGCCTCTTCTGTTCCGAATTGATGTACCCCCCACGTCTAATGGAGCTGTCATTGTAACTATGTGTGTGCTCTGTTGAATCTCAGCTCCCGGACCGACCGACCAGACCGCACGACAGCTCCAACGGAGAGAGAAGAAAAAGGAAATCCCAACAACAGACACCTAGGCAGAATCCAAATCAAGCTCGCCTCCTTTCCGACTTCAATGCGTCCACTATCCCTGGCCGCCTGAAACCATTGATCGCTAGCCCCAGACCGACCTTTCGAGGGAAAAAAAAACCAAAAACGTCATCAGTGGCCGAAGCCCTGCCGTCCCGGAGTGAGGGGTATTGCATTGGCGCACGGAAGTCCGCGCTTTGGATGAACAACCACTTGGGCCGTGAGATAACAATCACTGGAGATGGTGTCCGCAACGAATACGGGCTCAGGCCGTCAGAGTCTCGACACGAAGGGCTCACGAGCTCCAACTTCTTCCTCGTCCCCGACCATATCGTCCCGGCCGTCGGAGCGCAATGAGCCTCGGAAACCACAGGTGCCGAAGGCGCTGGCCGGAGCGCAGGATATCTACATAAAGGGATTGGAGTGGGAGTTCAAGCTCAAGCATTTGGGTGTGCTTGGTGTACTGGGGTGGATATTGTAAGCTTGCACGCTTCCCAGTGTTCCAGCTGGCTCGCTCCCTGGTGACAGATTTTTTTTTAACATGTCCCGTGGATGTACAGGTTCTTGCATGTTGTCGGAATATTTTTCTTTACCAAGGGTTTCCTGTTGACTCGAATGGTTCTGGAAAACAAGTCGTCTTGCGATGTGCTTCCTTTCGGCGATGCGGCGACATCTGGCAAGAAAGTCGACGGGTGTTGGCACCAGAAGTCGTTTGACAAGGCCGTGGTGATTATAATCGATGCCCTTCGTTATGATTTCACGGTCCCTTTTGCACCCAACGGGGATCTTGAATCGGCCCATCTGTTCCATGACAACATCCCCGTTCTGTACGAAACCGCTGTTAAGTCTCCGCAAAATGCCTTTTTGCTTCCTTTTATCGCGGACCCGCCGACGACTACGTTGCAGCGGCTTAAGGGGTTGACGACGGGAACGCTGCCAACGTTTATCGATGCTGGTTCTAATTTCGCCGGAACGTCAATTGACGAAGACAACCTGATCAGCCAACTGCGCGCAGCCGGGAAGAATCTGGTCCACCTCGGGGATGATACCTGGCACGCACTCTTCCCCGACTATTTCGATCCTGAGCTCACCCGCCCGTTTGATTCTTTCAATGTCTGGGACCTGCACACGGTTGACAACGGCGTGACCCAAAACCTGCTCCCTCTTCTTCACCCTGAAAACTCTACGAAATGGGATGTTATCTTCGGTCACTATCTTGGTGTCGACCATGCTGGCCATCGGTATGGGCCGGACCACCAGGCCATGGCTGCGAAGCTGCAGGAGATGGACCAGGTCATCCGAGATATCATCGCAAAGCTGGACGACAAAACGCTTCTGGTGGTCATGGGCGACCACGGCATGGACTCCAAGGGTGACCATGGTGGCGAGTCCGACGATGAGGTGAATGCTGCGCTGTGGATGTATTCGAAGAAAGGCATCTTCGGCCGTACGAGCGCGGAGACCGCCCTGCCGCCCAAGTTTGCTCGGGAGCGGTTTGTCCCTCAGATCGATCTTGTGCCTACCTTGTCTCTTCTTCTTGGAATGCCTATTCCCTTCAACAACCTCGGCTCTCCGATTGAGGAGGCTTTCATCGGATCCAAGGGGAATGATTGGAAGAACCTTGTGGCAGTCAACCGGCTGGCTTCCGCCCAGATCAAGAGATACCAGCAGGAGTATGCGACAACACGGGGCGCGGACGAGGACCAAGAGCCTCATACCCTGCATTTGTGGCAGGAGGCAGAAAACAGCTGGCAGAACCTCCCCATGATAGGCAGGGCCAGCCAGACAACTTTGCGCTCGGTTTCCGAATCTTACAAGCAATACCAACGGCATACCCTCCAGGTTTGCCGTGGGTTGTGGGCTAAGTTCGACGTACCAAGCATGATCGAGGGTGTTGCGGTGCTCTTTTCTGGGATTGTTTTACTGGCGTTCTATGCGCGAGGCATCAAGTCGGACCGGACAGAGCTCACAAACACCCTCCTTACTCTTGCTGGCGCAGGTTCTGGCGCGGGTGCTGTGGTTGGCGCTTTGCTGTCATTTTCCAGCCTGGTGGAGATGCGAGTGGTTGAATCGTCGGCCTTGATGGCTGCTGTAGGAAGCATCGTGGGCGCCTCGTGGGCAATTTTCGTGACCTCCGGACGCCTGTCAGTGCCTCTACCAACCAGTCTGTGGGGTTGGCTTGCGGTTGTCTTCACGGTCTCCCAGTCAATCGGTTTCGCGTCCAACTCGTATACGATTTGGGAGGACGAAATCCTCTTGTTCTTCCTCTCTACTTTCGGCGTTGTTGCCGGTATGTCCTCGATGCGACAGAAGTCCACGGCTGACAGGGTCCTGGGTGTCTATCATTCCATCCTCTTCGTCATTCTTGGAAGGATCGCATCGTTCTCTCGCCTGTGCCGCGAGGAGCAGATGCCCTTCTGCCGGTCTACCTATTACGCATCTGCCACTTCTTCCACCTCTGCCCCCTGGCAACTTATTATCCCCTTCCTCGTGACCCTCATCCTCCCCACAGTGGTAAAGTCTTTCTACGCCGGATCGAAATCCTACGAAGGTGCCGCTACCCTATGGATCGGCATGGGCTTCCGACTGGGGCTGTTCATCACCTCCGTCTTCTGGGTGCTAGAGGGCGCTGATGATGGCGAGTGGCTGCCTCTGAGCAAGGAGACCTTGAAGTCGGTCCGAATGTTCCTGGCTCAACTGGTGCTTGCCCTTGCGTTTGCAGCTGGCACCACGGCATACATATACTCGAAACCATGCATCAGCATCAGCGTCAGCAAAGGCAGCACTGAACCTGAAAACAAAGGCAGGCCCTCATCCCCCCAACAACCCGCACGCACGACCCTCACCATCCTGGGTTTCGGCAATGTCCACGGAACACGATACTTCCTCCTTGTCGTCAACTTCTGCCTCGGTATCGTCCTGATGCAGAAGCCGATGGGCCAAGGCGCCATGGGCCTTCTACTCTGGCAAATCCTGTCTCTGCTCGAAATCCTAGACACGAACGCACTGGTCCTCGGTAACTCCTCCATCGGCCCTACCGTACTGGGCCTTTTGGGGTCGTTCTACTTCTTCAAGACCGGCCACCAGGCCACCCTGAGCAGCATCCAGTGGGAGACGGCCTTCATCCCCCTCTCCTCCGTCCAATACCCCTGGTCGCCCATCCTCGTCATCCTCAACACCTTTGGCGCCCAGATCCTCACCGCCATCGCCGTCCCCCTCACCGTCCTCTGGAAACGCCCCCTCCAACTCAGCGACCAATCCTCCTCGTCGGCAAACGCCAGCAACCCCTCCATCAAACTCCTCTCCGATGTTGTCCAGGCCGCTTGCACATATATCCTCTACTTCGCCACCATCAACCTAGCCACCACCATGTGGGCCGGCCACCTTCGTCGTCATCTCATGCTGTATCGCATCTTCTGTCCGAAGTTCATGATGGGTGCCGCGGTCTTGGGCGTCATGGATATCGTCCTCATTGTCTTCTCTGTCGCTGGTGTGCGCTTTAGCACGTTGAGTGTCGGTGATATCTTTGGGTGGTAGTGTGGTAGTTGGCTATGGTGATCGTGAATATATGGTTTAGTCTTCCATATTGGCTGTTTATGCCATATGGGCGTGGCTGGGTTGTAGAAATTGCCCGGCAGGGCTTTTGATTGGGGATGTGTAATATAGGTCGTTGTTCCTCCTGCCCTTTAACGCTACACTCGAGCTTGTTGAGAGAGTGTGTTGGGGGAGGTATAGTTATTTAGCTTGCATATAGTTTCGTTAAAATAATACATAGTGAGTTCTGAATGAACGCTTCATTTTTGAGTCTTGATACCCTGCTTTGTACGTGTTGGTGATGTCAATTTGGCAGCCATGGCCATTTACCAGTCTACTGGTATCAACCTAGGGCCAAACTCTAGATTCTCATACACCCTGTAATGTGGACAGAGAGCGGTTACAAAGCAAATGGTGAAGTTTTCCAGCTGTGTATCGATCTGCGTGTTAGTCAGGTGACCCCATTTGCCAGTGAATGCCTTCTTCTTCTTCTTCTTCCTCTTCTTCTTCCACTTGGATCTAGCAAAACAGCTTCGATTTCTACACTTGGATCTAGCTAGTTTCATCTGATCCTGCACTCTACAGTGTCTCACAGAAAACCACCATAAAGATGAGTGTCTCCAAGAAACCGAGTTACTATGAGTATATTCTCGCACCTCCCTCTACATCCCCGGCGTATCATGCACTAAGATCTCTCATCCACAAGGTTCCTGAGCTCGGGCACCGTCTCACTATGCACACGAAGCTCGACGCGTTCGTTCCAGATCCACCGAGCCCTTCTGGACTCCAAATGCAAGGTCATGCGCAAGGCCCTCAACTCAGGGTTCTCCGAAGCTCGCGAGAACAAATACACCTGCGAAGACACAGCCGATGGGACCCTCGCGCGATTCGTCGAATGGGCCTACCGTGGCGACTACGTGGATCCGCTGAAACCACCTGCCGTGGGACAAATGAGACTGCCACCTCCCCTTGGACCGATGAAAGCAGACACCGGGTCCGGAGTCCCCAGCACCAACGACGACGAGCCCGCAGGGGAAGAAGTAGACGGGGCAAAGCTCACGGCTTACAATTACCTGCTGGTCACCCACGTCCGGGTCTACATCTTCGCCCAGGTCTACTTGATTGATGAGCTGCGGTATCTGGCGTATTGTAAACTCACGGGTTGCTTGATTGAGATGCACATACCGGTTGATTCGAACCAGCAGCTTGCGGTTATCAATATGCTGCATCTGGCGTTCGGCAAGATCCCGGCGAACGATGAGCTGCTCAGCTGGCTGGCGCAGTATGCATCTTACTATGTGGAGCAGCTGCGTCAACATCCTTGTTTCGACTTGCTCCTGCGCACATGTCCCGCTTTAGGCGCTTCGATGATGAACTCGCTGCAGCCGAGTCTCCAGCCCCCCTGGCAGAGTGGCAAGCAGACAGAGTCGATCCTGCCCTGTCAGCCGGCCAATAAACTTCTGCTTCTGTCACTCGTCGATAACCCCCCCGATTGATCTGAAGCTGCCAGTGGTCGAGGAAAACCGTCGTGATGACGAAACACATCCTGATAATTCGAGCACCTTACAAAGCCCCAGAAATACCTTGCAACGGGTCATGGCATCGGCGTGAAATAACTCAATACATACACTAGTACCACTAAACCCTCCCCCATCCCCGGATCTATACATCACGTGACACCGCGTAACCAGCTCGTCCGACCCGACAAGGCCAGCTTGCGTAACCACCACCAACTAACTAGACCACTACATACTTTACTTCCCCAACTTCCCTCCTCCGACCTCCCCCCAATTCCTCTCCAATCCGACCGAATCACTTCCGACCATGGCCCCGAAACGCACCCCAGCCGCTGCATCATCAGCAGCAGCATCAGGCAGCTCCGGCCCCGTCTCCGCGCCCTCCCCCCAGACGACCGCCGCGCCGTCGTCGCTCTCCTCCGGCCCCAAGACCCTCACCACCAACTCCTCCATCTTCGACATCGCCCACACCGTCTGGCAGCAGTACCTGGCTACCACCCCGCAGCGCACCCTCCTGCTGGACGCCTTCATGGCGTTCTTGGTCCTGGTCGGCGGCGTGCAGTTCGTGTATTGTGTGTTGGCGGGTAATTATGTGAGTTTACTGCATTGCATACATACTCCATCACCAGCATCCATCCACCCACCTACCTGGGAACAATGCAATATGCAGTTGGATATGTCGATATACCACGCAATTAGCACACCCACACCCCTCCCACACACATACACATATAGACACAGGAATAGTACTTGCTAATGCGATGCGATGCGATGAAATAGCCCTTCAACGCCTTCCTGAGCGGCTTCTCCGCCGCTGTCGGCCAGTTCGTCCTCACGGCTAGTCTGAGAATGCAGACGAGCTCCCCGTCCTCCTCGACAACTTCTGGTAAAGCAAAGGGGAAGAAGGGTGCTTCGGCGGCGGGTGCGAACGCGGATGAGGCGGGTGCTACTTCGCATGAGAGGTGTGTCTTCCTTCTTCCTTTCTACCTGCCTATATACCTATATACCTACCTATCATACCTTCCCACCACTCCTCCTACCTTCTTACCTAGCAAGCTACCTACCTAGCTAGCCAGCTAACTTACCCACTCGTCGTGCTCACATATTCCTTATTTGTTATTGGGATGGATGGAAATACTAACAACCATTAATAGGGCATTCGCGGATTACGTCTTCGGGAGCCTGATTCTGCATTTCTTCTGTATTAACTTTATTAACTAGTGCGATTATCTTGACTGGACTGGACTGGACTGGACTGCAGTCTGGCTGGACTATGGACTATGTTGTGGAGTGGAGGGAAAACAGGAGAGTGGGAGTGGGTTGGTTGGGGAAGGATCCAAAGACACATTGGGATAAAATGGGTGGGTGGCTGGTTCCCTGGTGGAATGAGCTGCGTGTCTATCTGTCTTGTTCGAATGAGCAGTCCTGCGGTGCTGTCTTGTCTGGTCTAGATCTAGTCAGTCTGATCTGCTCCGTCCAATCTGATCCGCCCAATCCGCTCTGCTACTGCCAGTGTGTGAATATGTGAATGTGTGAGTAAGTGAGTGCATGAGTGAGTCAGTGAGCGAGCGAGCGAGAGGAGATAAAATATCACCTGTTATCTACTACCCATCACCTATCTACCTACCTATATACCCACCCATCGATAACCTACCTTATGGATGGGTGTTAGTATTGTGTTGTGTCGTTTTTTATACCTGAACCTGAACCTGATTGTGACCTACTATATACTATATTCTATGTATGGGTGCTGTATTCCGAGCATGCTGGAGTACCTATGCAGGAGCATGTAGGAGCATGATAATTGTGACTGCGTGTTGGCTGTGGATTATATGGGTGGGGGAGGGACTGTGTCGTAGGCAGTAGGATAGACGGTAGGTACTAGTAGGGTAGGGTAGATGTTAGGGTATGAGTAAGGGGAAGAAGGGCTTGTAAGGGGCAGGGGGTAAGATAGGTAAGCATGTTGTAGGTGAGCGTGTTTGATTTGAGTATATGCGCTTGTAGTTGGGGAGGTGTATAAGTAGTACTATGGATATGTGTATGTGTATGTGTATAAGTATGTTTGGGTATATTCTAGCATCTATGGCACCTATACACGACATGATATAAGATGTACATCACTGTCCATTCCATTCAAAAAGCCCGACCAGGCTTCCTCTTAACCAGGGGCTTCTTTACCACACTCCCTCCTCCTCCTCCTCCTCTCCCACCACCAATACTCCCACCACGCCCACCACCATTCACAACACCATTCCGCGCACTCCCACTACTCGCCGACACCCCCCCACACGCCTCGGCACCACAACCGGTCTCCTCACAGCCGAAGCCCCCCCCACCTCGATCTCCTTCCGTCGGCGCGAGGGATCATTGCGCTCCTCCTCGCGCTGCTTCTCGGTCGCCGCGCGCTGGCGGTCCGCCGCCATCTGCGTCTCGATTTCCACCCGTCGGTTGAATTCCTGTTCCGTGATGCGGCGCTCACGCTGCGAGTACCCTTTTTCTTTCACGGAGTAGAAGACGCCACCGAGTTCGGCGAGCCACTAATTATTGGTTAGTTTATTGGTTAATTGGTGGGGGGGGGGCTGGATTGTAGGGAGGGAGGGATATTGGGGGGTTAGAGAGGTGGATGGAGGAGAGACTTACGTGTGGATCGACAGCAGTTACGGTGGACATATACTCCTTGCTAGTGAGAATGAGTTCATGGTAGACAACATACTCCGGCACGTAGCCCAGGCCGTACAGCGCGCTGGTCGGATGGAGCTGCATGCTGACGCTGGTGCGGAGGTTGAGAAACTCGCCGATACCCTTGACGCGGGCGGCCTGGTGGTAGAAGCCGGAGCAGATGCATTTGCGGATGACGTCCCAGTCGGTGCCGCAGCTGACGAGACGCATCTTCTGCACGGTCATGATGTCGTGCAGCTGGTCTCGGACTTCGCGGGCGCGCCGCAGGGCTTTGGCGTGCAGGAAGTGTCGGGTGCACCAGCCATCGGAGTATCCGTTGGATTTCCACTGGGTGTAGACGTGGAGGAGCGTGAGGTGGTCGGATTCGGGGACGAAGAATTTCTCGCGTGCGGAGTCGGATTCCTCCTGGCGCTCTTTGGGGCGGTAGAAGACGCTGGGTACAGAGAGCATGGATACGATGGTGAGCATCTCCTCGCTGCATTCGTAGGTCTCGGAGGCGGTGATGAGGAGTTTGGCGAGCGGAGGATCCATTGGGAAGGGGGTCATGCTGCGTCCTAGGGGCGTGAGGTCGCCGAGGTTGTCCAAGGCGCCGAGTGACCAGAGTTCGAAGAGGGAGGTGGAGATTGTTTCCTGGGGTGGGGGGTCCATGAAGTCGAAGTCGAGGAGGTCTTTGACTCCAAGGGACTTGAGGAGGAGGACGGTGTTGGAGAGACTGGTTCGCTGGATTTCCGGGATTGTTTGGATGTATAGCTCGTTCCTGTAGGCCACTTCGGTGAAGAGACGGTATGCTTTGCCAGGCCCTGTCCGTCCTGCTCGTCCGGAACGCTGGTTGGCGTTGGCTTGCGAGATTGGCGTGATCTGTAGCGTGTCCATGCCCATCTTCGGGTTGTATACCTTCAGCTTGGAGTAGCCGGAATCCACGACGAACATGATTCCATCGACTGTCAGACTTGTCTCGGCAATGTTAGTAGCGACAATGACCTTTCGGACGCCGGACTCAGCCCGTTCGAAGATCTTCGCTTGTTGCTCCGCTGGCATCTGACTGTATATAGGCAATATGCTCAGCCTCGGCGGGTCGTTCAGTAGCTTTAACCGCTCGTCGACCAGGTCGCAGGTCGCCTCGATATCTTCCTGTCCGGTCATGAACACAAGGATGTCACCAGGCCCCTGTGACACATGGATGGCCAAGACCTGCTTGACCGCGCTGTCGACGTAATCTTCGCACGGGGTTCGCGAGAAGTGGACATCGACAGGGAACGTTCTTCCGGGGATGATAAACTCCGGGGCACCGCCGTAGAACCTGGAAAAGCGCTCCGCGTTCATCGTTGCGGATGTGACGATGAGTTTCAGATCCCTGCGGCGAGCCAGCACCTTCTTGAGAAGCCCCATGAGCACATCCGTGTTCAAGGCTCTCTCGTGCGCCTCGTCCATGATAATGCAAGAGTATTTGTCGAGGTCCTGCAAGACTAAAGACTCTCGCAGGAGCACACCGTCGGTCATGTACTTTATAACCGTCTTGGGACCCGTGCAGTCTTCGAACCGAATCGCGTACCCGACCTCGTCGCCCAGGTCGACCTCCATCTCCTCACTCACACGCTTGGCAACACTCATGGCTGCCACTCGACGAGGCTGCGTACATCCGATCATGCCATATTTCGAATAGCCGTCCTCGTGCAGGAACTGCGTCAACTGGGTTGTCTTTCCGGAGCCTGTTTCTCCGACCACCACCACCACCTGGTTATCCCGTATAACTCGTAGCAGATCCTCTCTCACGGCGAAAGCGGGCAGGAACTCCCTCTGCTCGCGCAGGGTTTTGCTCTTGCTGAAGGAGCTCTGACCACCCTCATCCTTCTTCAAATGCCGGGCAAACTTGTTCCCGCTCTTGTAGGCCTCCTCGACCGGCACGGCGACGGCGCTGTCTCCCTCGTCCTCTTTCACGCCCATCAGGTTCCCCAGCGCTGTGCCCGCCATTGTTGTCGCCTCCTGGGCTTGCTTCTGGCGCTCTCGCTGCTGACGTCGCTCCCGCACAACCTTGCTTCCCTTGCGACTGAACACGGCCATATCACTCTGCGGGTCCCGGACAGCCGAGATGGGCTCGAGCTGCTTGGTGAAAATCGTGCGGCCATCGAGGAAGGGCGGGCGTAAGTCGTGGACCAGCAGATGGACTCGCGTTCCTTCCTCGTCCTCGGGCGTGAAGTCGTCATCGAAATCGCGGCGTTGGGCGACTCCGGACGTCAGCATACGGTTCGTCTCCCAGTTGTCGATGTCCTTGCGCTTCGCATCGCGCAAGTGTGGCGGCAGGTTGGAGCTTTTCAGCCTTTTGGCTGGGGGCATCTCGTTGGAAGCCATGATTGAAGTGCGAGGCAGCTTTATCCCGAATGCAGGAAACAGGAACAGAGCGACCGGGTGTTACTCTGCCGCAGAACGGCCACAGCTGTCTGCTCGACGATGGGTCGGAGAAGATGTAATTGTCCGTCCAGAAGCCGAGTCGACGACTATCGGACACTGCAAAGGATGCAAACACCCTGCTTAGTCACGTGTGACATCTGCTGCTGCAACCAGTGCTGGCGCAGGATGACGGGGTGTTTCGGTGGGAATTCTCGACTGATTCATTGGTCTCTCCCTGTAGCTCAAGCGAAATAATTCGATAGTGCTGTGGGTGTTGTGCGGTGCATGGCTGAGGGTCGGTGGCACTACACAGCTACTTGCTTACTTTTAGTGTAGAGCAACGCCGCAAACCGCCGCCGATATCGAGCAGCGCCCCGCATCGCAACTCCCGGCTTTGCAACTGCGCAGTCCAGAGAACCCCCGACATCATGGCCAGCCAAGCGCAAGTCAACCCCAAGCGGCAGCAGGGTATGTCTCCTGGCTTTCTGAGCTTTCATGCCATCTTGAAGAATTCCCCGATTTGAAGCTAATTTCGACCAGAGCTCCAGCTCCAATACACAAACTACAAAAACACCCTGCAACAGCTGGCGCAGAAGATTGGTGACATCGAGCAAGAGGCAGAGGAACACAAGTGAGTTGCTCATCGACGCACGCATTTCTTACACTGTCCCAGTCTCATGCGGAATCCGCTGGAGATATCGCTGACGCGGATACCCCGTGCTAGGCTTGTCATCGAGACCCTCGATCCGCTCCCCAACGACCGGAAATGCTTTCGGATGGTGAACGGTGTGCTGGTTGAGCGGACGGTGCAGGACGTCCTCCCGTCTCTCAAGACCAACTCGGATGGGCTGAAGCAGGTGCTGGAAGAGCTCCTGAAACAGTACAAGTCCAAGCAGGCGGACATGGACAACTGGAAGGTGAGCTGGCCCGATCTTGCGGCTACGTATACGAGAGGACAAACAAGAGTTCTAACAAACATCATCTTCCTCCTTGCAGAAGAAGAACAACATCCAGGTTGTGCAGCCTTAAGCGGACCGCATCTATCTCCATCGTGCTAGCAGGCCCCCCTGCTTTCCCTCTTCTTTCTGCAGTGTCACACAGGGGAAAAGTTTCGGAGATAGGAGGGAAACAAGAGCGGCGTTAACGGGAGTCTGGAAAACTGATCACGGGCCTTTGTTTGTCCTTCAGCGATGCCTTGCATTTTCCAAGTCACCAAGGTTGTGGCTACGTCTGTACTCGAAGCTGGGACACTCTGTGGGACAGGGACGGGGACGGGGGAAGGTGGAAGTTCCACACGTCATCGATATACATAGAATTGTGAGGCAAGTGAACAAGGAGAGGCGCTCTGCCACTGACTGCTGCGGCCTCGGATGCACTCGTGCCTAATGGCCAGTTCTGGGTCGAGGAAGATATCGCTCGCATCAGGCCATCAGCCAGGATTGGGAGGGGCAGACGGACGTTGAACCTGACCTGAGACCAAATGTTTGCCGCAAAGTTAATATGTATAAAGATATCAAACCTTGTTGCTTACCCAATGCTGAGTGTCTTCCTTTTGTTTCCTCTGCCTTTTATTGCCCTGCGTTTCGCTCTTTGTTTCAGAGCGCGTATATTAACCAATTCCCTTGAGGCGCTTATGCACCGGGGGGAAAGGTGTGGCTCGGGTGAGTTGGCCCAGTGGGACAAGGCGTCTAAGCTGCGAAGGATGTGGTACTTGGCTGCAGCCGGCCGGATTGAGGCTGGTTAGAGAATCGGTACATCGCGCTGGGCCGATCTGATAGTGGTCACTCTGTCCAGGCACGAGAACGCCCGCGGGGCCATCTGACTGGCTGCTTCATGTTGGCCCTAGTTCATCTGTAGATATGTGATAGTGACGGTTCATGGTGATCCCATCACATCCCAGCCCGAGGCTTGGTGAACAGGGCCCGTATGAGTTACTTACCATAGACTTTGGTGTCCGGTAGGTATCTAGTAGCTTTATAGCCAAGCGACCCTGGGTGTTGTTCAGTGTTGGGTACAAACAAACACCCCCTCCCTAGTCGTGTCATTGATAATCCATCCTACCCCGGTGGATGCCTTCATCCACACCACCCACCACCTACGAACATTGGGCCCCAGAGGGTTCCACACCTTGCAGGATTGCCTGATGCCAACCCTGAAGCGGGATGCTGGTCTCGGGCAGGTCCATGTTGTTTTATTTTCACGGCTTTGTTTGATTGTTTATTACCCAGCTAGACCAGGATCTGATTCCGATTGATGCCTGAAATGTCATGCTCTTTGTTTCCCTCACTTTTACTCCGTACTTCGTGAGGGATCGGAAGGGGTGAGTGCGTGAGTGCGTGAGTGACATGGGGTTGAGTCGGTGCATTTGACAATGCACAGATGCATAGTCAGCTTGGCTATCCATGTCTCTGGCCCTGTCGTGGTTCAGGCCCAGGTCCAGGTCCAGGATGGAAGATGGAAGTAGCTCCACTGGGATCATGCTCCAAGAACCAGGCTGACGGGATGTACTTGGTACTTTGTACACAAGATGTGGGGGTCATAGCTCTCTCACTGCCGTCCTCGATGCGCTGATGCGAAAGGTCTCGGAGGGAACTGAACTGTGTTTGATGTTGTGATCAGACTTATAGATCCCAGGGAGATTTGGGAAGCATTGGTAGAGCGTTAGTAGAAGATCCAGTCAGTCCCATCTGTAGGCATTGTATGCGATCATGACGATGACGATGCATCACGTGGGATACCGTACTGATACACCCCTCATCTCCGCCGCCCGCCATCGGAGGGAAGGAAGCTTCCCGAAGGAGCAAGGCCCCACGTAATACGGCGTCCGACGGGCGTAATGGGGGTCCTGAGGCCATCCACGGTGGTGGCCTCCGGCGCGCGTTCTCGTGTGTTCTCTCTTCCTCTTCTTCTCTCCCCAAGTCTCTCCCTCTTCCTCTCCTCCCCTCCATCTCACTGGCAAGATCCACTTCTATTGCAAACCACTCCATTCTTATCCAAAACCCCACGACATCCCGATATCACCCCGATCTCCAGGGCCCGTCCGATCTCATTGGCGTCCGGGGCACTTATTCGCGACCAGGGACTTCTGGTTCGCCAATTGACTGCTGCGCGCATCGCGGCCGTCCCCAGTAATACCTGCCCTACGCCCGTGGCCTGTTCTCTACTGGACGGTAAGCCAATTATTCCACACGCCCCATCCATCCCCAGCGTCGCGGACCTCCGGATTTTAGTCCAATCGCCTGGTCGTCCCCTCTCCGTTTTCCTGTTGGTTTTCTGTTTCCAGTTCCCAGTTTCCCAGCTGCGCAACGTGCCACTGCCATTCCTGACCCACGGTTACTTCCGTGTTGCATTACCCGCGTCACATCCCGCCCCGACACTGTCCCAGATCTGCCGCGTTGGGAACTGTCAAGTGCGCATAGCTTGCTGACGTTACCAACTTCCTGCAGTCCCGTCTGTCTCCTAACTCCCAGGGGGGAAAAGAGTTTCCTGATTTTTGGCGCGGTATTCCCTTCCTCATCACCAAATCAGATCTACCGATTGTGGACAAAGAAAAGAAAGAAAGGAAGCAGAAACAAAAAAAAAAGGAACCCAATTTATTAAATACCTTAGAACAATAACAAACAGAATCCCCTGCCGGGCGCGCCCTCCAACCTCCTCGTCGAATAATAGACCCCGCCGGCCCTTGCTCCCAGCGCTAAGGCAGGACTACTATCGCAGAAGCATTGCCAATCCCCCACACGCGCAGCCACGGTCCTCCTTCCCCGTTCAGGCTGTCGTGAAGCGAATCGCTGCCCAGCCAGACGCACCTCATTGTCCTTGGCGCGGCTGTATTCTAGCGTCCCAGATCGAGAATCCGCCGCGTGCTGCACGCAGCGCTGACGTGGTTTGCCAGCAGAGCAGTTAGAGACAGGCGCTCCGTTCTAAATCCAGTATCTCTGCACGTTCCTCGACAGCTAAAAAACATGTCGTCGACCTCTCCCTCGAAGGAACCGGAGGTGGAACCCGAAGTTCAGTCGAATGACGACCAGGATCAAATGGACAAGGAACAACAAGACACTCAGGCGCAGGGTCAGGGAGAGTTCGAGGTGAAGGAGCAGGACAGATGGCTACCAATTGCAAATGGTTAGTTGCGTTCCCTTGCAGCTCGTCTTTTTTCCTGATTTGTGCGTACCTTACGTTTTATCTGCTGGTCAACCGCCGTTGCCCTACTCGGCCGCCCGGGGCCTCTGATATTATTTTATCGTCATTTGGCTTCTTGGAACCGGGGCACAGCTTGTTCTGGTCCTTTTTTCTCATTCGTCTGTGATTTACATGCTTGCTCTCGTTTCGTCGCGTACATTATCGCGTCCATGTTATCAACTATCTTGGGCGATGGACATGTCTTTGCTTTACCTACCTTACCCGCACTTCTCGTTCGCATTCCGTTGCTCTTGATATCTATATACTGATGTTGGCAAAGTGGCTCGCATTATGAAGCTGGCATTGCCCGAGAACGCAAAGATCGCAAAAGAGGCCAAAGAGTGCATGCAGGAATGTGTGAGCGAATTTATCTCGTTCATCACTAGTGAAGGTTAGTGTGACCGCACGTCTTGCCACAGGCCCGTTTACTGATGGGCTCTTGTCTTTTCTCCGTAGCGTCCGAGAAATGTCAGCAGGAAAAGCGCAAAACGGTCAATGGGGAGGACATCCTGTTCGCCATGACCTCACTCGGGTTTGAAAACTATGCGGAAGCCCTGAAAATTTACCTATCCAAGTATCGCGAGGTGAGACCTGTGCAACATCCCCAAGCATCTTTCCTTTGCCACCGCGGGGGACGGTGTGTTTCATCAAGTGCCAGGCGCTGACTGATGTGTCTAGACCCAGTCCGCAAGGGGAGAGCACCAGAACCGCCCCTCGAGCAGTGGGTACGGCGCTGGCGGGCCCGTAGGAGGGCCCGGGGCCCCAGGCGGCCGTCCAGGTGCTCCGGGGGCCTTCCCTGATGCTGCCGATGGCACCAACAGCATCATGAACCCAAGCTTGGACCCCTCTGACCAAGACACCGCGGCCTATGGCTACCCCCCGATGGTCGGCCAGCCTCACAACGGCACCGGTGGTGAATCCTATTAAGTATGCTATTGTGCGGGGAACCCATCCAATGGACCGACTCAACGACCATCCCAACTTGGAGTCTTCGGAGTTCCGGCAGCGACTTGACCCTCACCTCATCCTGACAGAGGCTGGATGCAGCTTGTTTCCAGGAACAAGAGCCTGGAATCGCAGCCTCGCTGCGAGCGAACCTATCCGGATGTGACTCCCTGTACAGCAATCCTAAAGTAGGTTACTTACGGGATATTTAACGGAACGAATACGAACAAATCAACGCGACAGGAATAACGGAACCCGGGCTCAGTATTTCTTATCTATCTTATCTATCTGTTTACTTTTATCTCATTCTTTCTTTCATTGTCGGATGATGATGATGATCTGATCTGATGATTCATCTATCCTCCGGCCGATCTCCTCTTGCAGCTTTCATCAAGCTACGTGAGGGTTCGTTTCCATTCAATTCAATTCAACTCAATATATCCTCTATGCTGATGGCACAATCTGTCTTATTTTTTTTTTTCTCATTTTTTGTTTCGTTTTGTTAACTTGCGCGTTTATTCTCGGGAGATGAAGGAAGGAAGGAAAGGAGGGAGGTTGGCTCTGTTCTGTTAGCAAGCTGGAGGCCATTCTTATGTAATTATTTTTTGTCTCAGTCGACTGAGTATCTATCTACTGACCTACCTACCTACCTACTACCTATCTATGATCGTCTCTCTTCCTTCCTATCTTATCTTATCTTGCCCTGTCCTATCCTATCCTATCCTATCCTATCCTATTTTCTTCTGTCTGATTTTGTTGTGTTGTGTTGTGTTAGTCTTGCTGCAACGTATGGAGTACTGTCCAAAGGACAGGGCACGGCACCGGGACTTCTTGCAGGCAGGCAGGCAAATAGAGCTAAGAAATAGGACTTCGTTGTCCGTTCGTTGGTCAATTTAAAATAAAATTCGGTTCATTATCATGATCATCTCATCAACTGCAACTGCAACTGCAACTGCAATGCCAGTCACTCACTCACTCACTCACTCACTCACTCAATCAATCTACCCGGCTGGCTATATCAATATCAACATCAACATCAACATCAACATCAACATCAACAGTAGGCAAAACAGGCACAGATATAGACAAAACAAGACAAGACAAGACAAGACAAGACACAAGCATGAGCACAGACAAGACAAGACAAGACAAGTTAAAACAGAACAAAACACAACACAAACATATCGCTAATCAGCAGCACAGCATAGCACACACACCCACCCATGCCACACAATCCATTGGCATATAATACTTAGTAATCACCCATGCATCCAACCCCCATCCAACAATAAATCCGACATGGGGGTCTCCTGCCAATAAATCTGGCGCCACTCGTCCTCCAACTCCGGCAGACCCTCCATAGCCATGGGAAGAACGGGCTGATCGAGGTCCGTGAAGGAGAAGAGTTGTCGCCAGTCGAGGGATTCGCGGGGGGCGTCGATGGCGTCGGCGTCGGTGTTGGTGTCTGCCACGGCGTTGGTGTCGACGACGGGGGTGGGGAGGGTGGTATTGATGCTTGAGAGGGGGAGGGGAGGTGGGGGGATCCAGGTGTCGAGGGGTTGGGGGGAGGGTGGGAGTGAGAGTGAGAATGAGGATGTTGGTGGGAGTGGGAATGGGAATGAGAGAGAGTATGTGAGTGAGAGTGGGGGTGAGGGTGGGTTTGGTGGGGCTGGTTGTTGATGTGGTTTGGAGGTGATGGGTAGAGTCTGGGGTGGGGACGCCGTAGGGGAGGGTGTGGTCTTGCTGTTGTTGGGGTTGAGACTGAGTTTGGGGGGTTTCTATTGGGATGGCTGTTGGTGTTGTTGTGGCTGGTTTTGTTGGTATTGACGAGTTGGACGTGGCGGAAGAGGAAGAGGAAGAAGAAGAGATGGAGGGGTTGTGGTGGGTATTCTTGGACTGGTCGTGGGGGATTGGGTTATTGCTGAAGCGACGGGACCGGTCGCTCGTTGCTGTTCGGAGATCTTCCTGGAGACGTTTGGAGTCTTCGAAGAGACGGAGGATAGTGTTGGCGTGGGACCAGAAGCCGGCGAGTTCGCGGAGGGAGTAGAAGGCCGAGTCAAAGCGGCGGAGGGCGTTGATGGCGAGAACGGGGTTGGAGAAGCGCAGTTCGACCCGGACTTGGATCATGGCTGTGAAGAGGGTGTGCACGCCCGAGTACCACAGGAATTTCAGTCGATTGTTCAAACGGAGCTCTTCGAAGATGGAGGCGATGACTCCCGCGGCTGCGCTGCAGATCTCGGCGTCATGGGGCCCGTAGTCGTCCGAGTAGGCGGAGGCGCGGGGGTGCGGGCGATGCAGGAGGATGAGGAAGTTGTTGTACGTGAGATGCAGCATGGCGGACCACGGGTCCATGTCGGAGGCGCGCAGACGAAGCTTGTCCGGGAGCTTCAGGGACCAATTGGCGAGGGCCTCGTCGGCTTCTTGCAGGACGGCCTTGCGGCGTTCTGCGCTCACCCGTAATCCGAAGCGGCTTCGAATAATGTACGAGATCATGACGGAGAGCTCCGAGAAATGGATCGAGTATTCGGATTGCACTCGATCTCCGCATCCCTCGAAATCGGAAAGTGTCAGGGCCGATACGTCCGAGTCCTCGAGGTTGCTGGATGTAAATGTCAGAAAAGATCTCAAGAGTCCGTGCAGGAGATATAGCTTACATTGCCTGGGGTCGACCATAGGACAGAGAAACCATGACATCGAACTGGACCAGAATATGCCAGAGCCTCCTCCACATCCTCCGATCCCGGGGCACAAACCGACTGGACACCGGATTGCGGTGCATCCCAAGCCCCGTAGCAATCCGAGCAGCTACTCCCACCCAGTAATGCGCGTTAGCCGCGACATCATCGTCCGCACTATCCGAATGCCAGGTCATAAGCAGGGCAGCCTGCACCAGGATATCACGGTTCCGCTCGATGCGGCTGTCAAACAACCACTTCGCGCGACGAAAGAAGATTTCCTTGAGCACATCGCGCTCCGCCTTCGAATGGGTTACATGGGCTCCGACGAGCAGAATGGCCTGGAGCAGCAGAATTGGCGGGGGATCCGCTGGGTCCCGATTCCGGTACTGGGCCATGAACAGGTCCTCATCGACAATGGGATACCCGGGGTTGACATGGTCGAAATAAGCCTGCACTAGCTCATCCGCGAGAGCCGATTCGGGCAATGTGAGCGCATCCATGAGAAGCTGGTCGTGTCCCGTCCTCAGCTGCCGTCGGGGGATATCATTGCCCGCAAAATGATATACGTCGTCGTCCTTATCTCGCTGCTGGCGAATCAAGAAAGACATGTTGGACAGCTCATGGCCCACGTAGATGGCTCGCACGCCTCTCCGGATCTCCCGACTGCCCGATTCCTCCTCATCGATGAGTTTGACCAATCTCTCATCCAGATCTGCGTGCGAGTCCTGCTCATTCGAGACATCAGGAGCGGTGGGGCGGGTATATGCCGAGGTTTCAGCGGGTTGTTGCGGAGGGTGATTAACATTATGATTAAGGGTATGGTGAAGGGCGTGGATGTTCGAGGTGGTGTTTGCGACTGGCGTTGTTACTTCCGGCTGGATGTTGCGGAATGTGGTGGTGGCGGAGGAGGAGGAGGTGTAAGCGCTAGGCGGGGTAGTAGCAGCGGCAGACAATGGCTTGGGGGTAGGTGTAGGTTCGGAGACAGAAGGAGGACGACAGCGGATCGGAACCGGATCGAGAATTGATCGCACGGCCAGGCGTTTCTTCTTCTCGTGGATCCGGCAGTCGGACTTTCCCGCGGAGCGGCAATTGGAGCATGGGAGGCCGACAAGGCGGGCATCACATCGGACTTTGCGTCGGTGGCAGTGGACGCAGGCCGCAGAGCCTGGGGGGGGGGGGGGGGAAATTGATCAGAATGCTGCGTTCGTATAGAATACAAGGGTTGCAAAGGTTGTCAACGCTGCATTGCGTACCTGACTTGCGCTTAGTCACACCATTCCCTGTGGGTGGATGACTCTTATGCGCTGCGGAGGACATAGCAGAAGCATGGACACAGAACCAGGGCCCGGAGACTCGTGAATCGAGCAATCATAATCGGAGAGGCCCTGGAAGCAACATAAGAGGCGGGGAGGGAGATGAGGCTAGATCATGACATGATCCGCAGATGAAGGACATGCGAGAGAAAGCAAACACGAGGAAGAGAAGAAAGAAAGAAGAGGGAGGGGAGCCGAAGTGGGAGCAGCAGCAGAAAAGGCGGGAAAGCGAATTGCTGGGCTCGGCCGGGCTGTGATTGGCGGAGGGCCTGGGATCGGGTGGGGCACGGCGATTGGCGGGTCTGGGGGAGTCACGTGGGTGCGGAGAATCGTTCCATCGGCCTTCGAGGCCTTCGACTCGCCTTCTAGAAGCACGTCGTGTCCGTGGATGAAGCCGCTCCTTGCCAATGGCAGTCCAAGCAGCAGCACCAGCAGCAGTAGCTGTCTTCGTCTGCTCTACAGAGCTCGCGTGTAGTTAGCACGACGATGCTCGGTGTCTCCTCCGTGCTGCTATCCACTGCGACCCACTTTGGCGTCAGTTCCTTATCAACCCGCTATCCATCTCTTCTCACTGGATGGCCGGATGCACTCTTATCAACATCCCACTGGATAATCTGTTGGTTGACAAATGCTTAACAAAACATCGACAGAATAACTAAAACACCTCCCAGCCCTATTTCTTGGGAACCCTCCCACCACCACCCCCGCCAACTCACACTCAATCAAACTCTCCACGCCCTTCCACGCGGTCCAAATCCCAACAATCCTCAACCCCGACTCCTCGAGCAGTCCAGTGTCTCTCCGTGCGCTCCCCAGATGAAATCGACAGCATGTTCATATCAAGACTCGTCGTCTCATAATGCGCATCGCGACTCGGCGCAACATTCTCATTGATCAACACCTTGCTGTACCCGGGTTTCACGACCGGAAGAAGCCTGGAAAGGATCTTCCGACACATGTCGTCGGGCCAGTCATGCAGGACGGAATGCATGTAGTACGCACGCGCTCCTAAGCATTATCAGCCGATTCACCGTTCAGCAGAGACAGATAATGGGTAAGTAGAAATGTATACCTCGCACCGGCTGCTCCATAAAGAAATCATGCGCCATAACCTCAATCGACTCAGGCAAATCACGTTTCTCCACCGCCGCCACAACCTTCGGAAGATCCTGCAGGACAAGACACCCGGGAACATGCGGCCACTTGGGCCGAAACTCGCAGAGATCATGTCCCGTACTACCGCCGATATCAACCAGGAAGACGTCCCCCGTGCTGATATCGACGCCTTTCACCAGCCGTTCCTCGACGGGGTAGAAGCCGTGGTCCATCCAGCTGGGGCGTCCTTGATGGTAGACTGACATGTGGTTGTTGAACTGCTTGTTGAGAGTGGGGCTCCTTTGGGCGCATTGGAAGAAATGCGCCTCGGTTTGATGGCCTAGCTGGAAGGCGGAGTTGGTGATGTCGCTGGGGTTGCGGTATCCGGCTTTTTGCAGGAAGGAGGGAAGGGCGTAGATGGCTGGGAAAAACCAGTGGGAACTGGGGTGTTATGTGATGGGTGCTTGGTCTTCTACTGGATGGGTCGGATGGGGTGGGATAATAGAACTACGTACAGGAGAGAGAAGGCATCTGCGTATCGGCCCACGCTGAGTGTCGTGGAGAGGTTTGTCGCAGTGTACTCATCCGGGCCTGTTTCGGTGATCACTTCCATGGCGGCTAGGTGTTTCGAGATACGCGCTAGGAATATCAGCATCACAGAGATGCAAAAAGAATATCGAGGACTCACACAACAGCACCGGATCACTCTTCGTAACTACCGCAAGTTCCCCAACAGACCTCGACTTCCCCACGCCCAACTCACCAAATAGGCCCAAATCAATAGCAGTCAGGATAGCAGCATACCCCGTAGCCTATTGCCAATACCACACATAAGTCCCAAACAGCCTCACAAAAGACTCTAGAACAGGAGTTACAGATAGGAACTCACCTCCGACCAGCGATGTCTCACAATTGCGTCCCGCGGCGTCTCCAGCGCATTCGCCAGCGATCGCGCCGCATCCCGCAACCTTAATCTTGCTTTGGGATCGTCCGCGGAGAGGGTCCTGCTAGAGGAAATTTGGTCGATAAGGGCTGGAATGGCATCTGGGGCATTGGGCGAGATGGCGATCCTGTCTACGTCCATGTGTGGGTTGGAAATGTGGTGGTAACTGGCATTGTGACTATTCAGGAGGGGGCTGCAGGGTACTCCGTACTGGGATATTTGTTGGAATGATTGGGTACGTCATGTTGACAGTATTCTCGAGTCTGATGAGGGGTTGGGGGGGGTTTGCTTGGGCGTGGAGAGGCGGTGGATGGATGTGCGGATGGAGGAGACGTTTTGGATGAGTATGTCGGTGTTGGTTTGAGTCGCTATCCTAGGTTTTTAGCTGCTTTGATGCTGAGATTATACTGGATAGGTATGGGATGCTGCTAGTCATACAGCCCATGCTGCTTCTAGGCCCACTGATGACTGGTAGGTCCGGATGCCATCCCAACGGTTGTGTACTTGTTGACATGGTCTTTTAGTGGCATGCAGTCTGTTCATTGCTTAATGAAATTCATATTGACGGCTTGATAAAACTGATAGTCTGTTTGCTCGCAATATAGGTGACAGCATTCCACGCAGTCTAGCGAATAGTTTCTCCTGTTAGCGCTGGGTGTAGTCAGGAGCAACCAACCTGTCAGATTATCGCCAAACGGCGAGAACACCATAGACTGTTGACCGACTCGATTTCTTTGTTGCAAGGGTGTTTGATGGCTAGACTTCTAGTGTTAGAAGGTCGGTAGCGCCTACTGGGTCATGATGCTAGTGCTGAGGAAGGAGAGCATTCCAACAGCATGAGCTTGGACCATGATTATGCTTTCTAACAAAGGAAGACAGAGAATTCTTTCAAAGAAACACATTTAAACTTCACTAATAACTTGATCAGTCAAGCAATGCAAAGAAACTTAAAAGGCGTACCTAAACTTTCTCATTCAATTATGAACTAAAGCAATCCACCGAGGAAGTCCGAGTCTTTTGTGGGCTTGGGAATTTCCCCTCCAAGATAATATCAATCCCTGACACTTTAACAGCTCAAATATAGACTAGTGAGTTAGAGAACAGGGTTCTGAGCCTGATGTCGGCTGGCACGGACTTCCGCTCATATTATTGATTGGTTTGCATATAGGGGACCTTTGCACCAACGGCGAATGGCTATTATTGTGTGGTTTGATAGTTGGGTGGTTGGTGCTTGAATGCTGTGCCACCATGCATAAGCACACAAAGACGTCGTGCCTGAAATCACGCAAAAAAATACTATACATGGAAATCCTAGGTCAATGGGCGGCTAGTGGGTGATGAGAGTGATAGCCTGTTCACTTTGTTTGTGCTCCGTACAGAGTAGACAGATCATCAAAGAACACAGTGTAGAGTAGGAGTGTCTGTTCTTGGATGGGGCATAGTTCATAGCCTCGGTTGATCCTGTTCAGAGGTTGATCCTCTTCAGAGTTTATTGTCATCGCAAAGCCAGAATCTTAAAATGTCGTTCATACAGCAGCTCCGTTGATGAAATTAGGCGCTTCATTTGCGAGTTGCCAACCGAATCCACAATTTGGTCAAATGAATAGTGGGAGCAATCGCTCCTGCAGGGGTGCATGACTCGACCTGCCACTGGTTCCATGAAGGCACCGGAGAAAATAAGTACCATACATGGCTTTAGCATGATACTAACTTGACACATCAAGTCATGCACATGCATATGTACGATAATTTTCCGATTGCTCTTCTCTGTGAGGGGTTAGGTAACAGCACTATCTAACCGCCGAGTCTCCCTACTCCGGACAGTAGACAAGGATTGTATCATCCAAGACCGAGACACCGTTGGAACTTGGATGGGTTTGTTCGAAATGACTCGTGATAAGCAGCTTAATGATCCCCAATTAGATTTGCAGCTAGCATAACCAGGCCTGTAATTGGATAAGAGACAGTTCACGTTGGAGGACATTTTGTCCACGCATCCTGCGCTGTGTGTACGGCCCTTTCAAGCTCAGTACTAGTGGTCTTGCCATGTGGATCCGTATTCTGGCCAAAGCGCGTTATCCCGTCTGGACTCTCAAATAATCTAACGGTACGTATGCTCCTGAGTAAAGACTGTGGAGCTGTCGCTCGGGATGTTTTCTCTGCGTTCAGATGTGTCAACTGTGCAACACGATCAGACCACTTTGCGATCTAGGTCGTCGAGTACCCCTCTATTATCCTGTATATGTAAAACTGCAATATTTATGGATCGCGGGAGGGGTCCGGAAATTGTAAAATCCGTGGCCAGGATATTATGTGGAATTGAAACAAAGGCTCTCAGCCTCCGATCGAATGACTATGTTCAACGCTTCCTGAATGTGGCTGCTGTTGTATAGCAAACGGCGGTTTGCGCCTTTGTCCCTCAATTGTGGACCACTCGATACGGAGTCTGGAACACTAAGTTAATTGGCGCATGGCACTACCCACATGTCAGCGAATAAGGTTGACTGAAGGGATTGGGATCGCTGGCCCGGGAGGTGTACATGTCGATAGGTGTCAGATGTCCGCTTTGACGCATGATCTCCCGGCAAGCATTTGTCCCAGGCCAGGATAATACTCCGTACAGGGATTCTATATTATTAGTTAGCGATATGAACAGCCTTAAAGAAGGGGTAGATACCTTGTCAGTTGGACTGAACCCTGAACGAAATAGCAATTGAAATACTACTCCGTATCGCGTTCAAATATCGCGGCTTCTGCTATGCTCAGCGAGCAACACGAATTCTATTGACGCACATGCTTGTGCTCTTGAAGCCACAGCAATGACCACCGTGTCCGCAGAGTATGCCAGTCAGACCAGAGGTCCACGGGTCCTGGCCGTCTTCTGGATCCTGACTGGCCTGGCGACTGTGGCTGTTTCAGCGAGACTTTTTATTCGGATCAAGATCCTGCGCAACCCAGGCGCAGATGACTGGTTGGTTGCCGTGTCGATGGTAGGTAGACATCACGTCGCTGTTCGCGTTCCGCAGACCAGGGCGATTTCTGATCTCATTGTCTGGCTGCTCTTCAGATCTTCAGCATGGCATATGCCGTGTTGTCCACCGTCAACGTCGCTTTGGGGTACGGGAGACACGCAGCCACCCTGTCGACTAGGAGGATAGAGCTCATCCTCTTGCTGAACAACATCGGGTTTGCGCTAGGGATTGTCGCCTTCGCCATGCCCAAGCTGGCCGTTGCTGCCCTGCTTAACCGATTTTTGAACCCGAAAGCGTTGCACCGCGCCATATTCTGGGGGCTGACCGGGTTCACGGCATTGGTGTCGTCTATCAACATCGTGGTGTTGTTCACCTCGTGCAAGCCTGCAAAGGCTCTCTGGGAGGCATCCCTCGTAGAGAAAGGAGCCCATTGCCGGCCCTCGTCGGTCCTTATCAGTTACGCAACTTTGACTGGAGGTGAGTAGAACCAACCATTAGCCCAATGCTCAACCAGGGAAAGAGACTCATGCTGTGCGGCTAGCCACATCCGCATTCACGGATCTGTACCTGGCCGTCTATCCGACCATCATCTTGCTCAAGCTCCAAATGGCATTGTGGAAGAGACTGGCTTTGTGTTTGGCCTTGGGACTGGGGGTAGTGTAGGTGATTCCATTGAAGTTCATAGCTATCATGTTGACTGGGACCAACAGCGCTTGTGCAATGGCAATAATCAAGTCCATGCAGCTACCGGAGCTTGCTGATGTGACCGACGCGACATGTAAGTGTTGGTGGTGGTGGTGGTAGTTGGAGGGGGGAGAAGTCGTGAAGGAGCAAGACTGACCCGGGGCGTGACAGACACCACCGTCAATCTCGTGATCTGGACGTGGTAAGTGGCCGGGTTGCCCTGTGGCACCCCCTATGCCTCCCCCGTCCCGTCACTCAACGCTGACATCTGGCTTGACAGTATTGAATCGAACGTCGTGATCCTTGCCTGCTGCATCCCCACCTTGCAGCCTCTCCTCGACGTCATCCTAGGAAGGCGCACCTTGAGTAATGCCAGAGGATACCAATACAAAGACAACGGCACTAGCCATCTGCGCGAGTCAACCAGATGGAGTTCCAAACGGTCGGGAGCCAGTAAAGACATGCCCGACCTTGAGATCACCGGGGTAGGGAGTGAGGAGGACATTTTGCGGATGGGACAGATTCGTCGCACGGACAATGTGACTATCGAGTACGAGCGACCAATGGAGGACACTGTTAATGATGATGGCAGGAAATCCCCATCTTGGTGAGGAACGCTCCAGGAACATTCTATCTTAGTAGCTCGCCTTCTGTCTCATCTGATCGACAGGGCGTTTGAGGGGGGACATTCTTTGTGGATATTAAAAACAATAGTATATATGGGTGCTAATAGATTATTAGAGGCACGGTTTGACTGCAGTATGGAGCCGTCTGGCTGCATACCGTCAGTATTAATATCATTCTTTGCTTTCTTAACAGTCATGACTAGATGCTTAGCACACAATATGTACCCTGATAACTTATAAATTCCAAAGACCAGATCCACTGCATCAGGTCATCTTTTCCCCAAAAACAAATCTCTTCCAATTATCAGCGAGTCGCTGAACGCCATCATGCAAAGCCCAACCGCGTATCTCACAAATTTGCCGGGCGACCTCCTCAAGCAGGTCATCCATCTGCTGCCCAGCCGTATGCAGGTCACTCTCAATGAGGATCCGATCTTCTGGCAGAGCCTTGATAACGTCAATCACCTTCTGCGACGAAGGTCCGCTGAAGTTAATGACAGACGAGAAGGAAAAGTAGACATCTGACGGATGGGACGGATTCAGGAATTGCTTCAACGGCTCCACAGGTCCTGAATACGAGTGCATGCAGATCCGTGGCGGAAAGGGAAGAGGGGTCTCTTCCGGCTTTCCTGGCTCCTGCGCCTGCTCTTCCTCTGCATCGCTCTCCGCATGCGCGTTTGTAACACTATACCGTCGACATCTGTCCCGTCGGGGGACGGCCTTCCGCTCATGCCCCGACCAAAGAGCCTTGAAAATGTCGAAGACTGCCCCATGCGCCTGCACGCTATGCACTGAGACTGGTCGTTGGAGGTCGCCGGCTAGACGCAACTGAGCCTTCAGCACGGACTTCTGGTGCTCCAATTGCACCCGATAGGGGGAGAGCTGTCTGCCCTCGCGGGACCCAGGGGTCATCTGCTCGTCCCGCCTTTCCTTCTCTTCCTGGGTCCATGCCTTGGGCAGTCTGAAGCTACGATCCAGCCCGACCTCACCGACGAGAGAGTTGGGGCATTCCGTCAACCGAGCTCGGGATTCCGAGAGCAGTTGCGAGATCGGCTTGGGGTCTGGTAACGAAAGGATGAAGTCATCGTCTGGGGCGGGCGTGAGGACCTTCTTATAGTGTAATTTCTTTCGCTCGGCGGGAGAGGAGGCTTCGTCGATCGCTGGTGAGCCTGCGACGTCGTCGATGATTTGATATGAGAACCACGGATGCCAGCCAAAGCACGGTAGCACGGGCCCTGGTGCTGCACTTAAACCTTGAGTGGCATTTTGATCCTTGGTCAGGGAGGCAGCGGTCTGCAGCACCAAGTCCTGGTCCTCCCCGCGCGTCGACATGACAGTCAATGTGGTGGCCTTCATCTGGGGGATTTCCCCGATGGATGACATGGTGTCAGTGGGGTGACAGTGGGCGTCAAACACGCCCAGGTGCCACGGGAAGTCATCCTTGGGGGTTGGATTTGGATTTGGATTTGAACTCTCGGCGGGCATGGTGTATGAGAAGAATCAAGATGAGGCGTCGGGAGAGCGATCGATGATCTGCTGGTTCTGCTGGTTTGGCTTCGACGATGGTTGTTGTGCTGTGACGTAATAAACTCGCGATAATACGCTGTGAGACCGTCAGCCAATGTAACAAATAATAGACCTTGGGGAGGTTGTAGGGTGACTAACATAATCAATCTTACTAACTATATACATAAAGTCGGTTAAAGTTGCCTCCAATGATGTTCTATACCAGAAAAAGACAACAATAATCATCAAGGACCGATGGATCGATCCATTGGTTGCCAGCCTCTAAGTTGACGGGCAAGAGTAACAGGTACCGATGCCTGGGGCACCCACGGCACCCACGGCACCCACACTATCACATGCCTGAGGTTGAGGTACTGAACGGTTTCTCCGCATTTGAATCAATTGCATTGGGAATCCATCCTTCAATCAACCATCGAATCTCCTCGTCCGCGGGAGGAAATCCGGGGAAAGCCGACTGACTGACCTGAGCAGCCATGCAGGGATTCTGATTCATTCCTTATATCGGCCTGCTGCCCTGCCCCAATAATGCACCATCCTCCACTCTCATCTCTCCTCGCATCAATATGTCCTTCAGCTTCGTCTCTACCTTTGTCGCGCTCCCTCTCCTCATCCTCGTGTCCATCCCCCTCGTCATCTTCGCCTGCATCACCATCCCCCTTGCGCTGCTCATCCTCCTCTTCCGCCTCTTCCTTCTCTACATAGATCTCTGCCAATACGTCGTCAAAACGCGCTTCGGGACTTCGGACAGAACCAGCACCAGCCCCAGCCCCTCCACTCCTGCCCTCTTCGACTTCCCCGCACCATCTCTCCCCTCCACCTCCTCCACCACCACCAGACGTCGCTCCAGCCTGGGCCCCCACAACCACCACCACCACCATACTCATACTCATCGTCACCGGCCAACCCCCCCAGGCAGCACCAACGCCAACTCCCCGCCCACCCCCCATCTACTAAACCTAATCAGCGGCGACGAAGCCCGCGACTTCGAAGGCCTAGGCGGCTGGCGCAACGCCCCAAACGCGAAGCCCTACCTCGCTGTCTCAGGGACCGTCTCGCCCAATTCCATCTCCAACGACAACACCAACACCAACACCACAGGCCCATCCCCCAACGACCCCAGAACCCACCCCCCAACACCATCAGCGCCAACAACAGAGAAAATACAGATGTTGACGATGATGACGACGACGAACGCGCTTGGCTCTCAATCAACCGCCGCCTGGAACTCCCCTCCCAGCCGCTTCTCCGCGGCTCCACCTCAACAGACCACCTCGATACCCTCCCTTGGAAACACCGCCAGTCGGCGCCCGCCCTCTCGACTTCGGTACTGAGTCCGCTTGACACGCAGACACAAACGCATCATCAGCCTCAACATCAACACCAACACCACCCGCGCCATCACTATCGCTCCGCAACCACCTCGTGGCTATCTTCCCTGTCCGTGTCCCTGTCCCCGAAGTCTCTCTCGTTGTCGAATGGATCTGATTCGTATCAGGAGGGGGAGAAGATGAGGGTGGGGATGGTGATGGGTGGGGAGAATCACCAACACCAGCAGCAAGATAAGGATGGGAAACAGAATGGGCTTCTCCAGGGCGGGAACGAGGACTACATTGATCATCCCTCCCATTTCGGTATCTCCAACTCACCAGAAACCCCCTCTACCGCAACAGCAGCAGCAGCAGGAGGAGGAGGCGGGGGTGGCTACTTCTCCCTCCGCCGCGGAAGCGACGGGACTGGAACAGGGGCAGGGACAGGAAGCACGAACGGCTCAACGACGCCGGTTGAAGAGCGCGAGCGCGAACGCAGATCGGCGGGACGCTTCATGGCGCATTATCCTACTGGGGTGAGGTATCGGCGAAGGAGCGTGTCAGGGCCGAATTCGGTGGTGCCGCTTGTGAAGCCCACCGCTGCTGCTGCTTCTGCTGCTGCTTCGGTGGGGGTTTGGATGGGAGTGATGGATCGGGCGGTGTAGTCATTGATGTGATGTGATGTGATGTGATATGTTATGATTTGGATGATGATGATGATGACTATGATATGATGAGGATTTGGTGTTTTGGTGTTAGATATTCTCTGTACTGGAACTGGAAGGAAACGTCTTCATTAGCGCTCACGGATGAGCTATCAGATGAGATATAACATAGCAGTAGTCTTTTCAAACAAAAAAAGGTAATATGTATGTCATGCTGTTGCTGTCTATACCCTCCCTCCATTTAACATAGTCTAATAGTACCATTGATATGTACATTTCGCGTAGCCAGTTGCCTCACCACTCTACCTTGACCCGTAACCGTGAGCAATAACCCATTATCCATACCCTAAACCCCGAACTTCATCCATCGTGAAACATCTTCTAACACACGCACTAAAACAATAAAGGCAGATCAGATGAGATGAGAAATATATTAATCACACTTGGCAGAGGTCCTACGAGCTCGGGGCTCTCTCCCTACGAGCCGTCTCCTCCATCTCAGCCAGAACGATGCGGTTGAACTCCTCCCACCCATCCAGATAGATATGGTGGCCCGAGTTCTTGATGATCACGACCTTAGCGGAGCCGTTATCGGCCTGGTATTCCTGGACTGTGGCGCCCTGGAGAATGCGCTGTTTTTCCTCGTCGAGCTTGGCTTTCGCTGCGAGTCCACCCCGCACGTCCATCCAGTCGTGGTCTCCGTACATGAAGAGGACGGGGAGGCCATTTTCGCGCTGAGTGGGGGCCAATGAGGAGGGGGTGGGTTCGGGGTTGGGTTCAGGTGCAGGCTTGGATTTGGATTTGGATTTGGAGCAAGAAGAGGTGGTGGCGGACTCGAGAACGGCTGATGCGGGGGAGGGGTTCTGCTGGATGTACTGGCGACCAACACCCTGGATGCGTTGGATCAGGGGGCTACGGGCGAATGCGCCCGGCGCGAGAATGTAGGAAAGGGCGTACTCGCCGCTGCCGCGCATGCTGAAGATTGAGTACGAGTAGTCGTGCAGAACCTTGGCTTCGTCGGCGGGCAGATGGGAGAAGCGCCGGGACGTCCACCCGGAAACCAGGCGCGGACCGAGGGGACCTGCCCACCGCACCAATGTGAAGGGGGAGATGTTGGCGTCCCAGAGATAGGCAAACCATTTGGGGACCATCCGCCGGGGAGGACGGTCTTGAGAAGCGGTTGTGCCTGAGGGGGAACCTCTGAGCAGAATGTTGTTATCCCCCTTCTGCAGCTCGCTGTGGGGAACCGAGGACGCTTCCTCGGCGATGTTGCGTTGATTCTGCGTGAGTTCGTTGGTCATGGTTGACTCAGATGGCGCCGGCATCTCCGCCTGCACGGCGTTCGGGTCTTCTGGGATTCCCACTGGGGATGCCAGGATCAGCTTGTTCAGACGTCCTGGGTATTTAAGAGCGTAGGCCACTGCCATGTAGCCGCCCAGGCTGTGACCGAGGAGCGTGAAGCGGTCAATTTTGCGCTTAATTCGCCACTCCTCAAGTGCATCCACAAACCATGCCTCTGCCTCTTTGATGGCCTCCTCTCGCTCCTTCGCTTTGATCCGGAACGATGGGCGCGTGCTGCGACCCATGCCCAGAAGGTCCAGCGCATGGAGTTGCCACCCTTTGAGCCGACTGAGCGGCTCGAAGTTTTTGTAGAAAAAGCCTAGACCGGCACCATATCCGTGGAGCATGACCAAATGCTGGTCTGCTTCTTCGCCGACTCTGTCCACTGAGAACTCGTTCAACGCGCGATTTTTCCCGCTCAGCTCCACCATGCTGGAGCGCCATCTCCGTGGGCCGTACGGGTCGTTGGTCGAGCTGGCCGACACCTCGCCCTCTTGGGTTTGGTCTGCGGACTGCAGACTCCCTGACCCGCCGGTGGGGGAGTCGCTCGTTTTGCCGGTCTGCAAGTGTGTCGGGGGTTGGTGCTGGAGGTAGGGCAGGTAGGAAAGGACTCTGTGTTCAGCTGTGGCTGCCGGTAACGACGCCCACTGGAAGAAAGATCCGTCTCAGTGACACATGCGACACTTGGCTTTGTTCCTCAGTTCAGAAACGTACCCATTGACTGAACCCTTCCCTGTAGCCTAGTGGGAACCAGGCCAAGGGTGTCGGGGTTGCGCTGGCTCCGCGAGCCGCATGTGGCGTGCCCTCCTGTCGGGACGCCATCGACTCCTGTCGTCCGCGATCCTGAAACTCGTTGTTGGGCGAGTTGATCGACTCGGACGCCATGGTGGAGGTGGAGGTGGAGGTGGAAGTAGATGCTGATCGCGTGGAAGCCGCCGTCGGCCTCGGGGGGAGATATCGGGAGGTATCAAGCGAGGTCCAGGATCGGGAGATTGGGACGTGAGAGAAAAGCGAAGGGAGTCGGGCGGTATACACCTTGTCGCATGAAATGGGTGACAGAGGGGGATGCTCTGTCACTCGCAGACGGCAGACGGCAGACGCAGACGTGAGGGGGGAGGGGAGGGGATTTAAATGCAGTTGAGGCAGGAATTGTCAGGGGGCGTTGCAGAGACAGTGCAGGCAGACCCGCGGAACAAGTCAAAAAGGTTGAGGCAACGCCAAAGGCCGTTAACCCCGAAGGATCCGTGGAGTTAAGAAACAGGCGGCCGTGGGTGACGCTGACAGCAGTGGGGACGACTCTGCAGAGGGGTGGAAGATGGATAATAAGGACTGGGGGGGTGTCCAAGGCTTGGATCGGATGTGTAAACCGCGGATAGCGAGCGATGCGCGGTGAAGAAGAAGAGTGGAGGAGGAAGAAGAAGAAGAAGAAGAGGAGGAGGAGGCGAGGCTGCAGAAGAGGAGAACTGAAGAAGAAGGCGGAAGTGGAGCCTCAACCACAACAGCCGTTGGATGGATGACGATGCCCGTTTCAATGCCTTTCCCTCCATTCTCCCCTTCCCTTCCACGACTCTCTGCCCTTCTAGTTCTCCCACTTCCTCTCATCTTCCATGCGATGAGATAGCGCTGGGCCGCAAAGGCCATCCCATCTCTCTTTTTTTGTTTCTGCTGTTGCTGTCAGCTCCATTTCTGCTCCTCCTCCTCTTCCTCTCGGGCCTCTCCTCCCTCCCCTCCCACCCGAACCACTATGGCCTCTCCCAGTCTGGACCAACTGGTCAAGGGCGCTCCAGCTACCGGCAGTCGTCCTGGATCATCTGCGACGCAATCGTCCGAACCATTGGCCCCTGCGTCCCAATCCTATGCTGCGTCGTCCGATCCCTCTTCCCCGCCACGCTCGTCGACGCCCGATCCACTGTCGACGCTGCCCTCTTCCCCACCCCAAATCTACCTCAACCTCCTCATCCTGGAGAGCTCCCTGCGAGCCCAGTACCTGGCCCTGCGTGAACGCCGCCGACAGAACACCTTTTTTCTCCTGCTGCTCGCCATCTGGAACGTGTACTTCGCCTACGCGCTCTTCCTCCGCCCGCGCGAGGATGGCCGCGGCGTCGGAGGGTCGGTCTACTGGGTGGTGGAAATGTGGGACAAGGTCGCCCTGATGGGAGGCGTGGTCACCGCACTCCTCGTCTGGGGCACCGGGCAATGGGAGCGCGGAGTCCGTTGGCCGCGGCGCTGGCTCGCCGTGGCCAACCGCGGTCTGCGCACCATGAACTGCAAGATCGTGATTATCCGCGGCCCCTGGTGGCAGGAACTGCTCTCCTATCTCTCCTTCCTGTTTCCCTTCTCAGCCCCCTTCTTCCCGTCCTCCGTCGGGGACTTCCACTACATGGAGCGTCCGGTCTCCGAGAAACGCGGTAGTCGGCAGCACTACCAGCAGTACTACAACCACGACACGGAATCAGGCCTGGTGCAGGAGGACCTCGGCCCGGGCGGCGACTACATCCAGCTTCTGCTCCTCCCCAAGTCCTTCTCGCCAGAGTTCCGCCAGAACTGGGATGAATACCGCAGCGAATTCTGGGACAAGGAAAACGAGCGTCGAACACAGCTGCGTCAGAAACTCCGCCAGAAGGAACGGCATCTCGCCCAGCAGGATGGGGGCTGGCTCTGGTGGTTCGGGGTGAGCTGGAAGGTATCACAACGCCGACGAGTAGCCGCCGCGACGATCAACCGGCCCGCGGATGCCGACAAGGCCCAGCATCAGCATCGCCACCATGCCCACCACCCCAGCATCTCCAAACTTAATCACGAGCCCAAATCCCCTTCACGACGCGGCACACGCTCCGACTCGCACTCGCGCACTCCGTCCCGCAGCACCACCCCCGTGGACACGGACGACCGGCCCCCATCGAGGTCCTCCGCCAGCGGCCGTCCCCGTCGCGGCAGTACAAGCCCCAGCATAGAACATACGCATACCCAACCGCAACGGAAGAAGAAGGGCGCCAAAACAGTCACCCGCGGCCTGTCGCCCCTCACGCAGGCCCAGATCCGAGAAGGCGTCCGCACGCACTCGTTCTCCTCCGACGACTCCTCCATCATGGGCATGGGCACCCCCGGCGAGAAGGAGAAACCCAAAGAAGACCCCATTGAATAGCACCCACAATTCTGGTCTAGTAACCGGTTCAGGTCTCTTCTTTCTTGCGCTTTGTTGATATTATACCCTGGTCTTCTCGATCGCATCAGCCACTGGACGCGACGCATCACTGCTCTCGATGTAACTTATGTAGGTAGTCAGTTGGTTCGTTGGCGGAATAAAAGCTTAAGCGTTTATTTCGTACTCTTTTTTTTTTCTCTTCCTCTTTTCATTCCTCTCTTCTTCCCTCATACTTACTTTTTCGGTCTTATTTCATATCTATCTATCATCCATCCCCTATCCACTAAATCTTCTTAATACCCATATTATATCATATCATATCTATCATCTATATCATCCTTGTATTCAGTTCTTTTTTTTATTCTTTCCTTTTTCCTTTCCCTTGTCTCTTTGGTTTTCTTTCTCTTTCCTTTTCTCTTTTCTTTTTTGGGGTCGAGAAGTGAGTACTTGAGTGAGTGAGAGCCCAAGTTCATCCATCTTGTGATTTACCGGTCGGTCTTGACTTGATAACTATCACATCATACCATATTGCTAGAGTAGATAGAGGCTAGAGAATCAGTACATCAGATCAGATCAGGTCAGATTATAATATCATTATCTAGATATCTCTAGATAGGATAGTGCATCATTCCATCAACCAGCATAGATAGGTATATGGTTTTTGATTATTCACTGTTCTCATCCAGTCCTACCTTATGTAGATTGTAGGCCTCCCCACAAGTAAAGGGAAGGATCCGGGGTAAAAAAAAAATCTAAAATTAAATTGAAAGGTCAGGTCTTAAGATAGGTTTAGGGATTACTGTCTCTTCAAACTCAATTCCGTGGAGCCGTTAACTTTATGCTAGGGATTTTGCCACCTGCGTAGACCAATTTTCTTTACTCCGATTGATTGATTGATTGATTGATTGATTGATTGATTGATTGATTGATTGATTGATTGATTGATTGATTGATGATTTTTTTATTAATCAACTGCATCTAAATGCACGTCACTTACCATTCACATTAACGATAGGAAACAAAATATCCGATTCCGAGACGCCAAACTAAATTAACTAGTTACCTTCCATCTTTCCACCCTTCCATCCTTCCATTAATGAGAAATAAAGAGAAGAGGTGAGTAAGTAAAAAAAGGGTTGAATATGTATGTAGGGTAAATACTAAATTAAATGTTATCAGATCAGAACGTCGCTTCCATGCCGCATGCTCCCTTATTCATTCAGCGCCGCTCCTACCTATCCAGCGGCAAACCATTGATTCACACGTGCATCCATCCATGCATCTGTCCATCCATCCATTCAGGTCTAGGGTAAGTCGTGGCAAGTGATATTGTTGTCATTGTTGTTGTTGTTGTTGTTGTAAAATAAACAGAATCAAGGTCATCTAGATTCTGTAGACGGTTTCGTCATCTTCAAGGTACCTGTTTCATTGAAAGATGGTTAGTATGGGGGTGACAAGTGTAGGGTTGGTCGGGGATTGGGAACTGAGATTGATGGTTAGATTAGGGCCCAAACATACATCAATTCGTTTCTGTCATTCATAGCCCGCAGGGCCTCGATAGCTTCCGCCCGTTGGAAGACATGGCTCTCGCCGAGAGACGGCATAGTACGCAGTGCGGTATTCACGGCGCCGATGAGTTCCTCGACGTCGGCGGTGTCACTGTGAGTGAACAGTCGAGTTCCCATCAGGGGACCCAGGGCTTGCCGGAAGACGGTCAAACGAGCGGGCTGGATGGGTTCCGACGAGACAGCGCTGGCGGTCTGGGACTGCGAGTTGTCGGTCTGGGACTGGACAAGCTGCGATTCCGGTTGCGAGGAGGCCACGGACATGCGGGATTGGCTCTGTGTTTGGGTCTGCGTCTGGGTCTGGCTGGAGCGGAGTCGTTGGCCGCGGGGGCTGGCGCTGTACAGACCATCGCCGTCCTCGGAGACGTTGTCGCCGTCTGCGTCCATTTCGGCGTCCTCGTTCAGGGCGGCGCGGGCGTTGGCCGCACGGGTTCGAAGGCCTGTCCGGGCGGTTGATCGGGGGGTGGCGCTGGAGGTCTGCGCGGGGGTGTTGTTGTCGTCATCGGAGTCCGAGTCGCTGGTTTCTGAGTCCTCGTCGAAGGTGGTGACCTTTCTTCTCTTCCGGCGCTCGTCTTCAAGGACTTCCTTGAACATGGCGAATCGCAGGATGGACTCAGCGACCTTGGCGTCCCGCTCCTCGACTCGGTTGGATAGACGCGACTTCGCGTGGGCGGTCGACAGACGGATAAGGGTTTCCAGGGTACGGGCAGTGATAGGGGAGGTTCTGCGCTGGTTGCCGGACAGCTCGTCGTTTCTGAGGGCGGAATAGGTGGTGACGATGTGGTCGGCAGCGCCCTTGGTGAGGACGGGCTTGACACGAGATTTGGCGTACTGGATGTACTTCTTGATGAAGGGGATGCTCAAGATTTCGATGTTCTTGTTCTTGCCCCGGTGCATGTGCGCCATGCCCGCGTGGAGCATGACGTTAAACTTCTCGTAGACATCGGTAGGCTGGTTCGAGTCCTGGGTGTCTTCGAGACCGACGCCGAGGGTCTGGTGAAGCTGCTCCCGAACAGGAGCACCTTCCTCGGTGCCGGGCTGGCGGTAGCGGTGCATGCGCAGGACGTGCTCCGACACCATCCTGTCTCTCGAGTCCTCGATGTCATCGGTCACAACGAAGAGCAAATCGAAACGGGAGAGCAATGAGTCCGGAAGGGCAATGTTCTTGTGCGGGTCCTTATGGGGGTCGTATTGTCCGTAAATCGGGTTGGCAGCGGCCAAGACACTGCAGCGGGCGTTCAAGCTCGTGTGGATACCGGCCTTGGCGATTGTGACTGTCTGCTGCTCCATAACTTCGTGGATAGCCACCCGATCCACATCACTCATCTTGTCGAACTCATCAATACAGACAACACCACGGTCACCCAGAACCATCGCACCAGCCTCCAGTCTCCGCTCACCGGTCTCCTTGTCGGATGTGACGGCGGCTGTAAGACCAACACCGGAGGAACCGCGACCTGTGGTTGCAATTGCAAGAGGGGCGGTGTTCAACACGAAACGGAGCATCTGCGATTTGGCTGTCGACGGGTCACCGACCATGAGGATGTTGATATCACCACGCAAGTGCGTGCCGTTGTCCAGGTTCTTCTCCATACCGCCCAGTAGCATGAGCAAGATGGCCTTCTTGATGTAGTCATGGCCGTAGATACTCGGGGCGAGGGAGTGTGACAATAGTTCAAAGATGCCCTTCTTCTTGGAGACCTTGTTGATGTTGCGGATGTCAGTGTCGGTAATGGTAGCCTGCGCGATTCCTCCACCAGATTTGGACGACAGCTGGATGATGTTGTTGGCTAGGACAAGTGTGCGGAAGGTGGCCGATGAAGAGGATGCATTTCGGTTACCCAGAGTCCGGTAGGTTCCGACCAGCTGAATCCTGTCACCTGGTTTAGCGCGATCGACCAAGTCGTCATCAATAATCACATCGACACTTCGGGGAAGCTGGCCAGCCGGCGCTCTCTCGGGCATTTCTTGAATCGAGATGGTCTGGTGGTCCATATATTTTGAAAGACCGTATTCCGTAATAAGCTAGGACGACGGCACGATTAGCTTGAGCCACACGCACTGCCCTGCGTATACGTACCGGGTTCTTTTCCTCATCTTCCTGGGGGTAGATACTCATGCTCGTCGCCCCACTAGCAGTCATGGTCGCGTCGATGTACTTCCTCGTGAGGAACTTCCGGTTGCGCTCACTCCAATGCACACTCTGTATGATCTTGGGTCGGACCAGTGAGCACTTCGTGACGATTCCCTCCAGCGAGATCATGCGATTCAGGTGGTTAGATCCCAGCGTTCGGGGGTTGCAGGAAAATTCTCCAAAGGCGCCGACAAAACCGCAATGGTAGTCCTGAGGTCTGTTAAAAACCATGCAAGCTTCCAGACAACCAGGCGGGTCTCATACCACTTCATCCGCCGTGTCCTTGCTCGGCCGGTTCGGCAATGTCTTGATGATCTCTTTGAGAGCCTTCTCGAAGGCTTCGGTGTATTCGTAGGGAGACGTGAGGAGGCTGTTTACGATTAGCCACGGTGTGTGTCTGCAAGGCAGGCGCATCCTACCCATCGGCCATTTCACGGTTGTGCGCACGAACTTCATCAAGGCTGACCTGCGCAACGCGGAGAAGTCAGAATTCGGAGCCTACTTGCCAGGCAGAGCGGGGCCAAGGATGTATACGTACTATGAGACGGCGCAGCCCCCGATTTAACATCAACACAATATCAGCCCGATAACTAAATGTCGGTTAGAATCCACCACAGGGTCCAAGCTAGCGAAGAAAGTGCTGATTATGAACGGACCTGCGCGCTCTAGCATCGTCTACAGAGGGAAAAAATCAGTAAATAGCAGTTGTGAGGCCAGGCTGCCAGGACTTACTGGGATCGAGAAACTCGACGGCGGCACGCACTCGATCTTGTGCGTCGTCGTCAAACTGACCCTCCATGGCGCCAGACATTCCCACGAATTGCAAACCGGGTATCTAAAAGGGAAGTGGAATGGACAACTCGAAGCAAATGGGTTGTATGGCGGGGGGGGGGGGTTTCTGAGGGGTCTTTGGGGGGTGAAATGCGGTGGTGATTTTGCTGCTCCTTGATGGGGACGGGTTGCTGGAGGATCTTTGCGGTTGCCAGGCACGACCGCCAGATCGGGTAATATTAGAACGCGTCCGGCTGCGGGAACGCGCGCGACGTGCCAGCTGTACCTTGCTGAGTCAGCGCTGGCACACCCGCGCATAACCTGTGCACTTCATATTACTGGACTACTGGACTACATGCTGTATCCTCTTCTTAAAAGGAACGAGGTCCCTCGGATATAATGGCTGCAGAAGATGTCTGCTATATAGTCCTAATCACGCTCAGTATGCATGGTAATATTGTACATTCAAGATTTTTATACACAGCTATATATACACTCTAATCCAGAACACCTGACCCTGTGGTATACAGCATACAAATGAACCTCAACGTTTCTTCCGGCGACTGGCACCTGAGAAATCACGTTCCTTCCTCCACTCATCGGAGTCATCCTCATCGTCGGAGTCCGAATCATCGGAATCGGAGTCTGAATCGGAGTCTGAATCATCGTCAGAGTCGGAATCATCGTCGGAGTCTGAATCGTCATCAGAGTCTGACTCAAGGTCATCCTCTTCCTCGAGGTCATCTTTCTGGAGGTTATCTTCTTGGGGGCCACCTTCTTCGGTGTTATCTTCCTCGAGATCGTCGTCTTCCTCAAAGTCCGACTCGACATAGTGATCCTCGTCCATGGCCCCGAGCGGCGGCTCCACGTCCATTACTTCCTCCGTGGTTCCGTCTTCCTTGGCCCTCTGCTCCAGCAGAGTCTCCACCTCAATGTCTTGTTCGTCGGGGTAGTCAATGGTCCTCTTCCGGTCATCGCTATCATCCACAACAAGGCTGTCCAAATCAGACGGTGCTGTGTCAGCATGCTCCAACTTGGCATTATCTCCTTCCTCGGCCGTGCCATCTCCATCGGTTGATTCAGGGATTGGCTCGCGCACCGAGCCGGTTCTAGTCACACCACCAGCTCCAAGAACACCGCCGGTCCACACAAAGTGGTTCATTCCATAATAATCCGCATCGTCTGCTTGCTGTTCCCGATGTCGGAGAAGCACTCCCTGGAATTTGTCGCGGAGGTAAGGGATGTCGGCAGCCGCTGCAAGAGTCTTTGGTGCGCTTTGGTGGAGAACGTCGAGTTCAGTCGCTCCACCGTAAATACTACGTTCACGGACCCGTTGTAAGGCCGCAGCCAGATATACCATGGACACATAGGTAGGCTGCATGAAATCCGGCTGGACCTTGCTCCAGTATCGCCGGCCCTCTTTTCCTAGCACGTCTGGGTGCTTGCCCTTGTTTGGAGGCTCCAAAGCATCAATTGTGCGAGGCACACCAGCAGGTCTTGCACCGTATCCTCGACGAACATACCGCCATTGAGTGAAGTTTGGCATGAACTTCTCCTCAAAGATGGTGAAGGCCTGGACAAGGTCGTCCAGTTTGTCAGAACATGAAAGCAACTGAACGAAAGTAGACCAATTGAAGGTAGTCATCGAAAATCCTGCCTCCTGGTACGCGGCAACAACCCCGTGTATCTTCGACAACTCGTTCCGATAAGCCAGAGAACGCATATACAGAGAGAGAGGACGGGAAAGCATGAAGCGGTGTGCTGTCAAGATTGACGGCTTTGCCTTCTTCTGGAAGTCCTCGTTCACCACGGTATCTGTTTGCTTGGGAAGAGGTGGTCCAATTGAAGGACTCGCCCCAGCAAGCTTCTCAGAAAGCCACTCGTCAATCTCAGGAGACCTGGAATTGGCTATCTTCAAAGCGCGGGGGAGTACAATGTCCCAACAGTCTTCAACTTGCGGGAATTCCTCGGCGTTCAGGTGTGCGCGCATCAGTGCAGTCAACAGACGAAGTGGCGCTACGTCAAGCTCATTGCCTATTCCCGGGCCTTTAGACGACTGGCCAGCTATGAATTCGTCGAACAACTTCCGAGCCGCCTTAGAGGCACCCTTCTTCCCATAGGCACCGATGATGTATTCGTAATACACAGCAGGGTAGGCACTGACAGACATCTTCTTCGAGCCCACCAAGGGATATTTTGTCGCCATCTTGCCGGTGTGGTGCTCGGCAATGGTCTCTGCGAGTGATCTTTCGGAATTTTCGAGGCGGATGTTCGCGTTACTCCCGGTTCTGCCATCGGCGGTCATAAGCTGCAAGTCTCGCTGTACTTGACTCCTGAGAAGAAGTAGCCTCGCCCCAAGCCCCGGCTGGTTGTATCGCTCTTTGATTTCGCTGAAGATTACATGCACCATGTCCCGGTTCCGAGCTCTGAGGTAACCATACAAGATGATTGCGTAGTGGAACTCTGTAGCATACACTTGCTGGCTACGGTGGAGCGTTCTAAGAATGCGGCGGGCAGAATCCGTTTGACCTATGAGTGTTAAACTCAGCATGAGAGCACCATAGGTCATATCGTCGGACGCGAGCGAAGCTTCCCCCATGCGCGAGCGGACTCTAGCTATGCTCTCTAGATCCATCCTGAAGGCATAGTTCCAGAGTAAGATGTTCCACATTCTCACCCGAGAACCCTTGACATCTAAGCCAAGGCAGGTCTCCGCAACACTCTCGGCCACGTCCCATTCTTGATTGTTGCAGTGGGCCTCCACGAGCGTATCAATCATGGGGGCTGTGATCTGGACATGATGCTGTTGGGCTATAGCAAGAAAGTCACGGACACGGTCAATATCACCCCGGTTCGCGCAAAGGCCCATCACTATACCAAAAGTATGTGAACTGGCCTCTACCCCCGTTTCAAGCATTTGCTTGAATGTGGCGAATGCTCCTTCAAGGTCCCCAGCTTTGGCGTAAGCTGTGACCAGGATGTTCCAACACACTGTGTCTGGCCGGAGGTCAAACTCCCCCTCCATTCGATCAAACTGGCGTCGTGTCTCTCGCACATCGCCTAGTCTGGAGTGGACGTAAAGAGTTGGTGCCAAGAGCTTCCGGCTTCGGGGTGGTCCATGGTCAGAAACTAGCTTTTCGAATATTTGCTTCACGGTGTCCACGTCGCCAGCTCTGGAAAAAACGGTAAGCGCCTGCTTATAAGCGTGCACCGACGGCTTTCCAAAGAAATGGGCATATTCGTCCAGGAAATATGAAACACCAGTTGTGATGTCAAACTCGGTAAGGCGTGTCAGAATTGAATCAAGAAGCTTTGGTGAAGGGCGACGATCTTGCATCTGCCAACGGAAATTCCGGTATATCAGGATGGATCGAACAAAGGTCCTTCGTTGCTCGGATTGGTTGAGTGTTGTGATAAGGTTCAGATAATGCCGGAAGTTGAGAATTTCCAAATTGTTGAACTTTTGCAGAATCATTAGGAGAACCTCCGTGCTGTTTCTCTCCGCGAAGTCTGGACTGAGAAAGAGATTATATAGTAAGAAGCCAGCAATTTCACGTGACGGATCAGTGACACCCCGGTCCCGCAGGTGCTCTGCAAAGGCAGTCAAAGGCTTGTGTATAGAGGAAGAATCTATCCAAAGGGCCACCGGAAGCCACAGATCACTCTTATAGCACGCGGGCTTTGAATCCCAGATCTCTCGCACCCAGTCCCATTGTTCACTTTTTACCATGTGTGCAAAAGTAAACCCCCAGCATGGAAGGCCAAAAGCAAGGCCCAGAGAAACGGTTTGCTGGCATAATTCATTCGCTTCAGAAAATTTCCCTGTGGCCACGTAAGATTGGGCCAAATGCACGTAATCCTCAACGGATCGCGAGTCGTCGGGGATCGAGTCAAGCAGCCTCTTCGCTCTTCTGGTGTTGGCTTCTAGGTCTGAGCCACTGAGAGCTGCGAGTAATGCCGAGCTCACATCGAGAGGGTGGCCGGCTCTGGCATAAAGAGCCCATGCCTTGTCGTAATCTTGAAATCCATCCTCAGCCAATAGCGCTTTAAGATCGGATTTGGCCTCTCTGCGGCCTCCAGCTGTATCATCGGCAAGATCGCCTGCGGACTCGTCCCCTTGATGGAGTCCAGCCTCCGATGTGTAGTCTCTAGCAAGACCAGAAATTGCCTTCTTCCTCCGTCGCGGGACGAGTCTCTTTGAGGATCGTAACAAGCCCGATGCTATAAACTGCTGCGTGCGCGGGGGGTAGAGGAAATCGAGGAACGGGACCCGTAGGTCACCCGCTGGCCTGTCTCCCGGCGAAGTGGCGTTCGAGGTATTCGCAGCGGACCGTTGCGGCGTTTGCAGGGATACTAGGAGCTCTGCCCATGTACCAGTATAATGTCCGACACTTGGATAGATCGAGTTCCGACCGCGAAGCGCGCCATTGGGATCCCGGAAGAAACGCCGACCCGCGTTCTCAAGGTATCCGGCGGCCCGTTCCAGCATTACCTCGAGAAATAACGGTGCCAAACCCTGAATTCACCGAAGGTTGACCGTAATGCATAACATATCGCGGATAGGGGCTGTATTCGAGACCTCGAGGTCAGATAGCTGAACGGGGTAGGGTGTCAGGTGTCACAGGGAGGCAAGCCGTACCAAAACGAAGCAACCTTGTCCACCAAACTCAAACGGCAGTCAGCTAAGACTCCTACCGGTAGGGCAATTGCTTGGATTCCCGGCTGGCAGGGAGGAGAACCAAGCTCCCAGGAAACGGGGGAGATGGGTGGTTTGATGACGAGGGGAGGGGGAGGGGAGGGGTGGGGAGTTGACGCGGAGCAATTTTCGAGCAGGTGAAGCAAAGCAAGCTCGGCCGATGATGGAAAAGAGAAAGCCGCGAAATGCCCGGGGATTTGTTTGGCCGAGACCTGACCACCGCCCACTCCCGCACTTGCTCGCCGGAACACCACGACATCGATCTATCTACGCCACGCTACGCTTTCTTGTCGGCATCTCATTCCCCGGGGCCCCCTGCACCCTGCACCATGGAGATCACCGATTTTATTTTCTCCCAGAGGGAGGACATTCTCCTGGCCGGCAACTACAACGCCTACCGCACTCACACTACCCGTAAGCTGCACAAACTCCGCCAGCGGCTCGGCCAGGCCACTCCCAAAGGCCGCAAGTACACGGCCAAACGCCCTGTCACTGCGGAAGACGTCAAGAGCAATGCGCAGTATGTCCTTGTCTTCGGTGCAATCTAAACCCGCAGCAGAGATGGGCCTTTTTCTTACTCTCCCCGTCTCACAGATTCGCCCACATCCTCCTCATCAGCGCCGAACGGGCTTGGGCGCACGCCATGCAAATGAAGACCAATCACTCGGCAGATCCATCGGCAAAGGGCATCACCGGGGCTACAAGGAGCCATATCATCTCGCGACTCCAGAAGGCGACGACCTATGCAAAGCAACTGGTGTCGGTTCTGGAGAAGCAGGAGATCTCCGGGGCTGCGGACACAGATATCCTTGAAGCTCGCGCATATCTCGCATCGCTCCTGGGGGCTATGTACCTGGAGAAGCGCAAATGGGAGCAATGCCTCCAGAGCTACTCCATCTCCAGGGTGATATATGCGGCTCTCGGGCAGCAGGTCAAGAAGGACGCTTTCCGGGACCTTCTCTCCGGCACTGTGGATCCCAGTCTGAGATACGCGGCGTATCAGCTGAAACTCCCGCGGTCAAGGCCTATTCCATCTCTCGCCATCAGCTATTTCCCATCGGATGTCACCATCCGGTCGGAGGTAGAAAAGCTGGACCCCAGCTGTTTGAAGGAGGAGGCGGCAGGAACGCGGAGGACTGCTGAGGGGGAGGTGCAGCAACTTCCGGAAACCATCACATGGAGGTCGCACACCGTCAACTTGGAAGATGCTGCCATCTCGCAAGCTCTCGCGGCTGCGGCTGCAGCAGAATCTCGTCTCAGTCAGTGGCTTGCGGAGAGCACCGGCAAATCGGCTTCATCGAAAGACAAGGCCGCAGCTTATGACAACGTCATCATCGCCAGCCAAGACGCCGTGGACGCCACGAAGTCTGCGATTGACGACCTTGCCGGAGAGGGAGTCGACCCGGGTGATAAGAGAATGCAGGCTCTGCAGATTTCGCGAACCGCTGTGAACTATGGCCTTGTGGGATGGAGAATCGGACGCAACCGTGTCCTGTGTGGCGATCATGACGGGATTTCTTTCGAAACAGCCCCGACCAAACCACTCAAGGGCGCCAAGGCTTCTACCAAGCAGGACGAGGCCACTGGCAAGAAGCTGGCGCGGCTGCGCGAACGGGTCGTGCTATACGACTCCATTTTGCAAAGCATCGAGTTCATTCTTGAGCTCCCCGGAGTTGCCGCCGACTCGGCCTTTGTTCAGGAGCTGGAAGCCAAACGGTGTTATTTCCGTGCTTTGAGGTATGCATGCCGCCCGGGAACCCTAATACACAAGCTAATATGATCATCTCAGATGCCTGACCATTGGACGATCGCACGGAATCCTAGGCAAGTCCGCCAACGCTCTCGCCCTGTTTGCGCAAGCTTTGACTCTGGCCTCGGGCGCTGCCAAGTCTACCTCGGCTGACGTGGACGGGCCCCCCAAGCTGGACATCTCTCGTGGCCAAGTCCAAGCTCTTGAAACCACCCTCCAGGGCCTGGTTGCGCAATACCGCGGTCTTGTCACTCTGGAGAAGATGTCCGCCGAGGCGCAGTCGAAGTCTACAAACCAGCTTCCGGCCGTTGAGCGTCTACACGAATACTCGGGCGACAGCCTCGACATGACCAAGATCGTCCCGTACCCGCCTCAGATGCAGCCCGTTCCCGTGAAGCCTTTGTTTCTGGACGTGGCTTGGAACTACATCGACTACCCGCGCCAAGCTGCGCCCGCTCAGAGCGCATCTCCGGCTCCGGAGGCCCCAGCAGAAGAAAAGGGTGGACGACGCGGGTGGTTTGGCTTTGGCCGGTAGGCAACTCATGATGCGGTTGTTGGGGACAGCTCTTGACGTTCAATTGCGCCCCAGCCATCGTCTTCGGGTTGTATCTAGAGTACATAGTAAATTTGACATGATGACGATGGATGCTGCAACAATCATGACTGAAACGTAGCATATAACCGATTTTTCCGTGACTTTTGTCCTTTCCCCTCTCCACCATCTTAGTAGATAGAGCAAAAGCTATCTATCCAAATATAAACCCTCACTCATTCATCCTCCTCATCAATCTAAACCCAAACCCAAACCCAAACCCGTTCAGAAGTAGAACGTAAAACCCCGCACGGACCAATTGCATCCTCGGACAACCCGAACCCCGGAACCGTGACAGCCGGATCACCTTTTTGGGTTCAACCGTTCAGTGCTGCAGCAAATGGCACGATGCCAATTTGCCAATGCCGGCTGGGCTGGCGGATTGCGGATTGCGGATTGCGGAAGTTGGACCGTTGTGCTACTGCTGCAATCTGCATGTTTAACTAGTGGTATCACTACTGAGTACTCCGTACATAGTAGGACTAGTACATCAGTGGATCGATGGATATTGGTCAGCAGTCGCATCATTTTCTTCCTGCGGGCCAATTAGATACTGTATAAGGCGATACGCGGCAGGATTCATGTCCTGCGTAAGTGGTATATAGGTAGGTAAGTAATTTGCGATCTGTGGGTCTGCAGTACCGGGCTGGGGTGCGGGTTGGAGGCTTTCTTTCGTGCGTGGGATGGTGGTGGGCGAATTGGGTTTTGGATAGTAATGATCATGGCAGGTGTTTTGTCGCTTTTTACTGTCTTTTACGGGGTACTAAGGGTAATATGGATGGATTGGTTGGTTGGAAGGTAGGAGGTAGATGGATCCTAGGTATAGGGATAGTGAATAAAAAGCTATGGAGCGGCAGAGAGCAGTGGATATATATATTTGTGATCTTCCAACGGCTGGTTCTCTTTTTGGTTTGATGTTGATATAGAACAAAAACTTTGATATATCTTAGTGTTTCTGGAAAATTCTGTATATGTTTGCCTTGAACTCTATTCGTGTAGTGGTTTGTTTTGGGTTGTTTTGATAGACACAGTGAGGGGTACGGTTCGGGTTGAAACTTTGGAAGGAATTGAATCAATATCTACCAATTGATGCCAAGAAGGGGATCAAAGTACCTGGGTCCCCGCCAAAAGGATTGCTTTATCCATGTCATCCATGCCCAGGGACACCTTGCCATTCATAGAGCCTCACGCTTCTAGATAGTAGATATATAGTTTCCCCCATTAGACACCATTGCCAATCCAGTGTAAATAGTCCGTCTCACTAGGTTTTCTGCAGTGACAATCAAGTGGTCTGACACTACCCCCTATAACGAGGCCCAGAACGAGGCCCTATGAGATAGACAGTCGTAGATATTCATTCGATCCCCCCGGCGGAGATTGCAGCCAGACGGATCTGCACTCGGGTACCTGAGGAGTGGGCGAGGTGTGTAATGTGTACCTGACGCATTGCCCAGTCGAGTAATAGTACGTTGGACTAATGCATTGCTCCCAGCACATAACGGGGCACACACTATTGGGTGGAAATGCCGCCCCGATGGGGGCTAGTCGCACGGGCTAGCCGTGCTGGGGCTAGGCCACCTGCCCGATAAAGTAAGCGCGGCCCGACAACGGAGCTCCAAGCAATCCCATTGGCGGGGGGACGTGGACATCCAAAAGATCTTGCAAAATGAAAATGAACCTCAAACATGCAGCCGGCGAGGAAATACGGCGGATACGAGGCGAGGCGACCGGATCGGATCCAGGGGCAGGCAAGTCCCCCACATATCGCAGGGAGTCGAGGCAACGCCCTCAGCCATGGCCATCAGGAGTCCCGAAGCGTGGACTGTGCCATATTCCATCGGGAGTTACGCCGTACGCACTTACAGTACGGAGTACGGAGTAAGTACTTTATTTGTGAGGGATACGGAATACATACTATAGTAGTAGTAGTAATAGTAAATCTTGCGTGCATGGCCTTCTCCCCTCCCCCTAGCCGGGGTGCTTCCGGTCTCCGTCTGCCGTCAAATCGCGACGGCCCATTTTGCTCTCGCCAAATTAGAGTTGCGTCTCCCCTGGATTCGGCTTCCTTTTCCTCTTCTTTTCTCTCCGCCCTCTCCTCTCCTCCTTCCACATCCCCCCCCCTCGGAGTGAGCTTTTCACCTCAATTGATCCGCCCGCCATGGCCTCCGTCAATGGGAGTTTCGCCTCCCCCTCGGCTGATGCTGTCGTCTCTCCCAGGCTCTTTGAGCCCACCGGCCTGCTCGCCTCCGCCCTCGAGGACTTCACCGTCTGGAAGGCCGTGTTGACTTTGTTTATCGGCGCGGTGATCTACGATCAGTGTAGGTTTCCGCTCCCCACGGGTCCGAAAATGACCGGCACAGCTGGCTAACTACCACCAGTCCGCTACCTCTGGCTCAAGGGCTCCATTGTCGGTCCGGCATGGAAACTGCCCTTCATGGGACCTTTCCTCCAATCGGTCAACCCCAAGTTCCACGAATACAAGGCGAAATGGGACAGCGGAGACCTGAGCTGTGTGTCTGTCTTCCACAAGTAAGTGACCAATTTGCAGCATGGATCCGGACATGGACGGTGGGCGCTCAATGGAACGCTTCGATCCTAACCCGTCGGTCGGTCCATAGGTTCGTTGTCATCGCATCGACTCGCGACATGTCGCGCAAGATCTTCAACTCGCCCACCTACGTCAAGCCCTGCGTTGTCGATGTCGCGCACAAACTCCTCGGCGCTGACAACTGGGTGTTCCTTGACGGCAAGGACCACGTCGACTTCCGCAAGGGTCTGAACGGTCTCTTTACGCGCCAGGCGCTCTCTTGCTACCTGCCCCGCATGGAGGAGGTCTACAACCAGTACTACGCGCGCTTCCTGCGGATCTCCAAGGAGAACAACTGCACCCCCACTCCCTGGATGTCCGAATTCCGTGAGCTCATGTGCGCCGTGTCCTGCCGTACCTTTGTCGGTCACTACATCACCGAGGAGGCCATCCAGAAGATTGCCGACGACTACTACATGATCACTGCTGCCCTGGAGTTGGTCAACTTCCCCTTCATCCTTCCCTACACCAAGGCCTGGTACGGAAAGAAGGCGTCCGACATGGTCCTGGCTGAGTTCGCCAAGTGTGCTGCCAAGAGCAAGGCTAACATGGCCGCCGGAGGAGAGATCTCGTGCATTATGGACGCCTGGGTCAAGGCCCAGCAGGATTCTGCCAAGTACCGCGAGAAGCTCGCCCAGGGTGTTCCCGTCGACACCAACGACAAGCCCCCCCAGCTCCTGCGTGACTTCACCGATTACGAGATTTCCCAGACCATTTTCACCTTCCTGTTCGCCTCCCAGGACGCTACCAGCGCTGCTTCGACTTGGTTGTTCCAGCTCATGGCCGATCGTCCCGAGGTCCTCGACAAGGTCCGTGAGGAGAACCTGCGCGTCCGCAACGGCGACGTCAACGCTCCCTTGACCATGGAATTGCTCGACAGCATGACCTACACCCGCGCCGTGGTCAAGGAGACTCTGCGCTACCGCCCTCCCGTCATCATGGTTCCCTACCTGGTCAAGAAGGATTTCCCTATCACCGAGGGCGTCACCGTGTCCAAGGGCTCCATGATCATCCCCTCGGTGTGGCCCGCGTGCCACGACGAGGAGGCCTACCCGAACGCCGACTCGTTTGACCCGGACCGCTGGATCACCGGTACCGCCGAGCAGCAGACCAAGAACTGGCTGGTCTTCGGCACTGGTCCGCACTACTGCCTGGGCCAGACCTACGCCCAGCTGAACCTGATGGCGATGATCGGCAAGGCCAGTATGGAGATGGACTGGGTGCACACCCCCACTCCCGAGTCGGAAGACATCAAGGTCTTTGCCACGATTTTCCCCCAGGTATGTTTTCCTTTTTTGCCATGAAGTTCTCGAGCTAATGAATTCCAGGATGACTGCCTGCTTTCGTTCCGTCCCCGCCCTTAAGCGTTTCTGCTGTCAACAAGACACCAGGTGCTGCCACATCTCGCCGGAGCCACATTTGAGCTCGATAGGTGTGCACCTGCTTCGTGACTCCGGGCGTCATCTATCCTGGCGATAGAATGACTGTAGGCATTCCTCTTTTTTTTGTTCTATTTCTATCACCTTCTCCCTCTGTAACTACTTGTAGTATTGCTTCCCTTACACTTCTTCTTTTTACAACTCTTTGGGACGAAGACGGGGAACGTCGGCCTTTTTTGGTGCGGCTACGGAAAATCCAGCCTGTCCACGTTTTACAGATGGACAGGGGGCCTGGAGTATGATATTGCAACGACCCATGTGCAGTCGGTCTCGCAGTCAGCGAGGCTTAGAAGGGACATGTCATTCTTAGATCACGGTACTTACAATTAATAATAATGTGACATTTGAGCTGCTGATTCCTGGACTGGCCTTACCCTATCACTGTCTATTCCCCAGACATGGATGTCGATTCATTCCCAGCCCTGAGTTAATCCCTTCTATGAGTATTGATATCCTATGCGGGTCATTCATCAACCAACCTGATATTCTCAGAGAGACTATTCATCACCGGCAACCCTCCCATTCACAGATAGCCACAAAGACGGGTATATAAAGACCATCCTCCATCTCCTCCCCTCTCATGCTCATGGATATCTAATCAATATCCAGTCCCAACCCCATCATCATCATCTCATGCTCATGCCATCTATATAGCATACCCACATCCCAACCCCACCCTACCTACCTATCTAGCACCCACATCTCACGCCACTTACTTACTACCCGATAGACACGCTGCCCAAATCCCAAGACCACACCATCACCGGTCCTTGGCCCTAGTTCGCCCAAACCGTCAAATCGACAACAACAGCCCTCCTCAACAGCCGGGATATTATATCCCGCCTCGCAGGGGATATTTCCCGGACATACAGAACAGGACAGGAAGAATCTCAACAGCCAGGCTCTTTCCAGACCGGATCGGGTCGGCGTTTTGTCTGCGGATTACGGAATGCGTAAAAGACCGTGACCAAATAATCTAGACAACAGACAGCGGATCTGGACTACAACTGAGGTAACCGCACACTTACACCGACGGACCGGACAAAGACCTTTGAATAATATAGTACCTCGTTATAAAAATTAATACTACTTACTCAAAAACCAGCCATGCACCTCTCTAGCTCGACTAATCAGTCCGCGCACGATTAACGGCTAGCTCTCGCAATAACCCCAGACCCAGAGTTAGTCCAGTGGTTATTTCTTGGGGGTCAACGGCAGCTCCACCGAGGAGATAGATAGTATCACTTTAACTATCACCTGCAATGCGCCTGCGAAATTGCCCATGGCTGAGGACCCCGGTTGGATACTGCGTGCCCGGCTCGTCCGTCAGGGACAAATAACTGAATGAATGACTGCTCAAATCGTACGATGGAGTGTCCGTGGGATGATAGGGTTCTCCTGGCCCGTGGTCGACGTGGGCAGCGTCACCAGACCGAGCAAATGAGTACGAAACTACACGGGTCCGAAAAATCAATATATCTACCACCTCCCACACGAAAGCTGACCTCGGAAAAGCCCACACGATGCACACATGCTCACTGTATCTACATTGATACACTGCATAGTGCTTGTTGCAGTGGTGGTGGCGGCTTTAGAGCTGTAGGGAATGTCTAATAATTAACATCCCTTTGAACGACAACGCGAAATGCTTGCGGCGAGGCGTCTACTAACATGCATAAGCTGGGCTGTGGGGCTTTCTCACGTCCAGATTGCCGCTGGGAGAGGGCATAATCCCTCCCTGGTTGGCTTCCGGCGTGGTATAGAAAGCCTTCCCTTCTCTATCGCATTCATCTCATTTTGTGGGGCAGAGAGCACGCCGGTCCGATAGCTGAGATGGGTGTGATCTGGTCCTGTTCGGAGCAATCGGACAGCTATACTTAAGTATACTGGAGCCTTATCATACCTACGCTGCTACCAATCTCCCAACAAGAAGGTCTTGAAATCGCAATATTGCATCAGTGCTAGGTTTCGCTTAGATCAACGAACCCATGCAACAGAGGAGTGTGTTACCCCCTCCACCAGAAGTGTCTTGTTCCTGTTGGACAGGCTCCTGCGGAATGTGGTAGGTAGGGCTCAGTCGGACCATGAAGGGGAGGGGAGGGGAGGGAGTCCATACGCGCCGACTGACCCATTCGTGGTGGGGTTGCGGACGGACGATTTGTCAAACGAGGCTGTTATGAATTATCTCCCCGGGATATGTGGAAGTTATTGCGATGACTGTCTGACATCGAAAACCAGAAATCCAGGACGAATACATCGCGGATATGCGGTATTGGACCTACAGGTATCGATGTTGATACCCCGGAAGAATTTGCTGCTCAGACAGACATATCGGAATATCGAAGGGACAGAAACGTGGATCTACCCACAAAGAAGCTGAGGTCATACCCCATATCGGATAGGTAGTCGATATTTGAAGTTCGTCGATAGACGACCAAAGAAACGTTTTCATTCTAGGACAGAAAACCCGGCCTCTATTACAGAGATGTCAGAGCTGTATGAAGCTTTGACTTTCGCCGTTCTGGAGAGCGAAGACATAACCTTCCAGAAATCGAAGGAGAGTACCAGCTACTCGGTGCAATGGCACTTGTTCAGAAGCAGGGGATGGAAAATGGACTGGAACTCCAGCGTCTACGGGATTCTGAGTGATGGAAACCTGTTCCAGGTCTGTCGTCTTGATGGTAATTATCCGAAGAACGAGATTCGAAGCCTGTCAACGCGGACATCAAGGGAGATGTCCAAAGGTGGTGGTGGTTGTCGGATGAAGAGTACCATCCATCGATTAGTTGGTACGTTTGCTGCATCACTTGGATATGACCTTCTACTGGTGAGCTTGGGCATGAGCTATACTTTACCCACATTTTCGACCGGTCTTGTCTTCATCAATGCTCGTCGTTTTCGGACCACGCCACAGTTTGTCCGGGTCCACCATGGAATTCATAATGAAAACAGCGGCATAAGCTCTATATCCATGCCATCCTCGTACAGCTCCAAGTGCTGTGCTCATATCACCTTCTAACAAAAGAAAGTCCTACTAAGAACATCGCGAGCTGGGGGGTTTTCCAACGTTTCTCGCTCGATTCTTGCGTTCCAACCAGTCTCCCAAGTCTCAAGCCAAGACCGAATCGATTATTCGCTGCGTTGACAGCAACACCGATGACTAACTAGCCTGTCGAATTGCCACCTTACACAAGTTCTCCAGACAGTATCAGGAGGTCGATGGAATGGGACTGACTGGTGGGCGTAGCGCCTCATATCATATCATGTCTCCTCGCACATATATCGCTTTCGCGGCTGCAAGCTGAACTTGGTTCGATGACAGCTATTTCACGTTTAATCAAGCATAGCAAGCTATCGACCTGCTACAATGGCAATATATTTACCTGGTGGATTACGCAACCAAGTGCGCCAGGATTGTTGTAAACGCTTTGTCGAAATGGCCAATTACTAAGTTGCAACTGACAGTGATACTGCAGTCTGCAACCGAAAAAGCTAAGCCGAAACCGCACGAGTTGGAGTCCAACTCAGCCCTCGACCATTGGGGGGAGCTACCGATGGCACAAGTTGTCCGTCAACTTCTAGGGAAGGAAAGTGAGATTGTACAGCAGCGGGCAGCGCGTTCTATATGGGAGGACCACAGATCTACCTCCTGTGACAACTGTGAAGCGAGAACTGTCTTTAACCAGCCCAAGAGACAAAGAAGCATAGCGTGAAGCAAGTTCGCCCGAAGGGGGAAGATAGGCCATGAGAGGAGGATTTCATTTCATCTCTTTTGTAACTAATCAAGCAACTATGCTTCTTCCAAGGTGGATCCGGAGTTGTAGTGGACTTCACCAGCTCAGGTTTGAAATCGCGATACACGTACTGAATACATAAAGTTACACAAACTGCACATTTAGTAAGCATCCATAATGACCGTATAAACACCCACCCCGGAAGGCGGTCAACCCGCGCCTGACATCACCCGCCATCTTCTGCATTGCATCGCATCCCTCCATCCATCATCCTCTTTGTACGGAGTACACAGCAGAGGGACCAGACACCAGACCAACTGCAGTAAGTCCACCCGCTACTTCACAACACAACAACCATCCCAACCAACTAACCACCCTCTTCCAGACCATCCATCCATCCTATCATCCCTCCTCTCTCCAGCTCCAACCTCACTCAGAGAACATATATACCAACCACCACAATGGCCTCCCTCATATCCCGCCGCGTGCCCACCACCCTGCTGCACTCCATCCGGCAATCCGCCCCCATCTCCCTCTCCACCCGCTCAATAACCGCCGCCGCTCAGCGCTTCATCACCACAACCAAGACCAGACCCAACACCCTCCCCCTCCCCCTCCCCTCACCCTCACCCGCGCTACCCCCCTCCAACAACAAAGATACAACTCCAACTCTAACTCCAGCAATTCCCCCACCTTCCGCCAATGGGTCTTTGAAGACGTACGTCTCCCTCCCTCCCCCCTCTCTTCCCCCCTCAACACCCACTAACCAACCCAGATAACCACCTCCCTCCCCTCATCCTCATCCTCCCCCCCACCCACCCAATCCTCATCGACGTGCGCGAACCCGCGGAACTCCTCTCAACAGGGACGATCCCCTCATCCGTGAACGTGCCACTCGCCTCGCAACCAGACGCGCTGTTCCTGACCGCCGACGAATTCGAGACCCGGTTCGGGTTCCCCAAGCCCGGGGTCGCGGCGGACGAAGCCGGCCGGGAAATCGTCTTTTACTGTAAGGCGGGCGTGCGCGCGAGGGCCGCGGCGCAGTTGGCCGTCCAGGCGGGGTATCAGGCGGACAGGGTGGGGGTGTATGATGGGAGTTGGTTGGATTGGGCGGCGAAGGGTGGGAAGGTGGAGGTTTGGGAGGGGGATGATTAGATGATTAAATGGGTGGGTTTTGTTGGGAGAGGGGGGGATATGACCGAATATGGTTTATGGAGTAAGATGGGGAGGGGAGGAGGAAAGGGAGGAGAGTGTAGTTTTACTCTTACTATATGTGTATATCATATCATTCATCGTCCCCGCGAACTATGTCTTACACTGATCACTACACAGTTCCCTTAAGCCCTCATCTGGGCAAGGGCCAATGGGATTTTCCTGCTCATCCCACACTATACCCAGATCAACGTGTTGAGCACTGACTATAGACTAGAAATAGACTTAACAATAGGAAGGGTTGGTACAATGCATTTCGCTCCTGGTGTCATAATAAATACAGCCTCTTACCCTCTGGGATGATCTCCTTCTCTCCCCCCCCCCTAACGTACTTTCTACCGTACAAGGGACATCCGATACCGACGCTAGAGCAGCTCAAAGAGTTTATCCGCTGGTGGGCTGTTTCCACCAAGGTGTAGGATTTCTAATAATGAACGTCCGACAAGAGAGTCGACCTTGAACTGGGCTCAAAAGTTCGTCCCTGGCTTTTACCTCGTGACCGGGAATGAGATACCAAGGAACGATAGTTCAGCCCGCCTTCTATAAGGCAAGTTCACCTTTCCACCAATTGGTTTGGTATTTGTCTGACCATGGCAGTTCATAAAAAAAAAAGACTTGGTCAAACAGGGATCCCTATCAGCAATCAATAAGCCACGACATAACTTCGGACTTGATAGTTTCGACTTCTTGCACTTAACCAAATAATGACTTTGATCATAGGGTTGGTACCGCTATCTGGGAATGTGAAGAACCCATCTACTCAGGAGCACTATATCTCCTTGCGCTGGCTCTTGCGGATGGCGCCCTCTTTGGATTCACGAACGCCAAACAACTTAAGTGTTTGAACAAAGAATTCCGGAAGGAGAAAACGAGCTGGTACTTCGATGGGAAGACAAGGTTGTAGAAAGATGTGTTGTCCGAGGTGTTTACCGGCGAAAGCGTCAGTGAGATCGATCCATTAACGAAAGGGGAGCAGCGCTAGATAGATAGCCGGCTGGAATAATTTTTCCTTGTTGGCTATCTATCTAGCCGGGGGTGCCAATAATAATAATACCCCCCCACCCCACGGGATGTTCAACCGTTTCTGTGGCCTTTGTTTTTTTTTTTTTTTTTTTTTTTTTTGTCTCCAAGACGAGCAAGACAATGAGTATCTATGGTATGTGCCATAGATGCCTGTGTTGAAACCGTTTCCTCATTGCCCACCTCATGCCACATGTATCTACCTGCTCTCGTAACTCTTACTTACCCAACAGTTCTGCCCAGTCTCCTGACTCCGGGAGTCAGGAAGTTGAGCCCTGCTTCTGCTCTGCCCTCCTCTCCGTAGGATTCAATCGTTTGAAAGCTAGACACAACGAATTTTCTATCTACGTGTCGATTTCACCCGCCTCGCTTTGGTAGCTTTTAACCTTTTCCCACCCGTGATGCTCACTCCAGCGCGCGCGCGTTGCGTTGGAAATAGCAACTTCGATCGCAAAACTCAAAGCCGAAAAGGCGCTGATATGGACGTTCGTTACACTCGCCCTCTCGGATTTCATATAGTAGAACAAATTTAGATGAAAACTCCCGTACAGCACCCAGAGATACGATACTCAGTACCGCCTCAACAAAGGCTTAGACTACCAATAGTGTGTGCGCAAGCCCTAAGCGAGCTTCAATGGCTCGTGCTTCCTTGTCAGGGATCATGGAAACCATACTGCGTGCGGTAGACCTTCATCAATAAGTTCCGTGATGGTTCCAATGTACGTATAAACATCCGTTGTGACGACTTAACAGGCGTCAATGTTCGCCACCCAGATCTTCAGAGTGTACCGTCGACTACTGGCAGGATCAAGGCGCCTGTGTTGAAGAGAGAACCCGTATAACTGATTGATCAGCATTCATTGCCACGTCTTGAAAGCGACCTAAGTTACTATGATCGGTACCACCATCGCTCGCCGACAGCCCACCGTATTTGACAGGAGCTTGGGTAATTCTTCAGCAGGATCCACTTGATCGGCTTGAACAGTATCGGCTTTGGACGGGACCCACTTGATCAAGATCTGTTAGGTAGAGGCTGACTGAGCAAGGGTCAAGCGCTTGCAGGGTTGGAACCTGTACATGTTTCCATCGTTGGAAGCCAAGTAGAAGCCAGGCAGACACAGAGGAGCGGCGAGGGGCGAGGGGATGCAGGGCAAACAACCCTTCGGAATTGCCTTGTCGAAGGCACCGTACAGTACAGAAAAGTGCCATGACAGGTTCTTGGGCATTGTGGAGGCTCGATAACTCGTGAGCTCCTGCCCTGTTTTCGGTCTCCTCTAGTTGAGCTCTAGGAAGCGATGCCCTGGGCTGCAACGATATGTCAATTTGTCAGAAGCGATATGCCAACAAAAGAGCGCATTATAGTCACCTATCTGAGTACATTGGCACCTGGCGTCTCCCGGCCGATGGGCCCCACGATGTCTTGCATATTAAGCAGGCCATTCGTCGCCTTTACCCTTCTGCCTACGAGGCGAATGAAGATCGGTCGGGAGGCGATTATGAGCATCGTGATATGAGGTAGGATGCTCCATAAAAGCATCGACTTCGTCCAAAAGCAGCACTGCATTGAGGGGTAGCTATGGACATGCCCTTGTACCGTGCAGACTTAATGGTTAAGGTCGCTTATTTGTTTCCTAATGAATGGGTCCTGAGGTACCGGCACGAATAAAGAATTATAGTTTCAGCAACCGCCCAGCAAGTGCCACTGGCTCATGTGTAAGCTATGCGTAGCAGTGCTTGACTTTCCGTGTCATCCTATTGTGTAAGTTCCAGCTCCAGTGACATCTACTCACACCACACGCACCCGTTTGGAGTGACTTTCTTTAGGACCATACCGTAATCGTTTGAGAGCGCCTCGCGGTTTGTGCATCGGTCGATGGTCCAAGGTGCATAGATGAAAATCAATGATCAGAGCTCGCCGGAGCTCAGCATTCCATAAGATGTTGTCCGGACGAAGATCATGGTGGGCAACGCCGAAACGACGGATCTCCTTCTTCGACCGAGAAATCGCCTGCCGGATAGTCTCATCCAAAGTATTATGGCCCACGCTCTCACCACCCCAGCCCATGAGAAGCATATGACGGATCCTGCCCGCGCCGTGGAGGAAGTATGTTTGGGCCAAATTGATCGCCCCGAGAAAGACGGGAACAGCCGATCCTTGGGCACGCTTAAGGACCCGGTAGACGTCTGCTTCGCGCGAGACCTCCCCCCAGAGTCTCGACGTCGTCCCCTTCCCGATAACAGTATATCCGAAGGCGGCACATGTGATCTTGAATGGTGCTCCGGAGGACCCACAAGGGCCGATGGGGGTGCAGTTATGATCCAGATCCTGATCGAGCTGCGCCTTGAGCTTCTTCACCAAGTCAGCTGCGCTGATCGGATGGCGGTCCTCCCTCCTGCCAAGCATATGCAGCTCTGTGTTGGGGCACTCAGGGTCAAGCGCACCGCCGTGCTGTAGCCCGAGAAGGCACTTTTGTGTGCAATATGGAGCATCATGGGAGCGAAATTGTCCGCTTTGGCTCCCTTGGCGATCTGCTCGCGGTGCAGACCGTTGGGTTGGCGGGGACGATGTGACCTGACTAAACCCCCGCTTCCGTACTGCAGATGCGGTAGGGTCGGCCTCGGAATCCGAAGAACTCTCGTGGTGAGACGGATCGGACGGCGGCGCGCAGCTAGCGGCCGCTCGTGTGGTCACTCGAGGACCGGTGGTGACGGGGGACGATGAAGGGAGGTAATCAGAGGTCGTCTGCTCAGTACTGGCGAATTCAGAGCTAGTATCGTCCACGTTCAGGCTCCGAGGTAGTTCTACCACTACGATCTGCGAGCGATCGCTATCAAAATTCGTATGCCATTTCGGTAGGTTGTCTTTGGCGGCATTCCGCCACGCCTGATCACGAAGAAAGGTGCGAAAGCTCATCAGACAGAGGCAGAGCGTCCTTTCAATTCGAGTCATGGGAGCCCGCCCAGGTCTGCCGAAGCCTGCATTTCCGTACATAACGGGGTCCCCTAGGTCGTAATAAAGAGTAGTTGGATCGTCGTGGGGTATCCAGAGCAGCACGTCCATCAGGCCGTTCGTTAGATAAGAATATTCCAGACCCTCTTGAATCATCACGTGAAATTCTTGGACGATGGCGGATCCGACCAGCCGCGCGGCAATGTATCTCGATTTCTCCGGCTCTTCCGTCGGAACATGATCGGGTTGGACAACTTCTTGCCAAAAGTCCATCGGCCGGAGTCCCTCCCGCAGGTTCGCAGCGGTAAGCTTGTGGGGGGGTTTATACTCAACTGTGGTGAGCAAGGTACTCCTGTTACCGTCCATTCGATGAATGCAAAATTGATCCGGCTTCGAAGGCGTTGTGGTTGATGACTGGCTAGCATCGACTTCATCATCTTCGTCCAGAGCATTTGCGTGATTATCGAACCATAATCCGTTGCCTAATCGGAACTCCTCGCGAGCCTCTGGGATTTTGCACAACTCAGCGACGATGTCGTGCACGTGGTCTTCAACAGCGATTCGTTCATAGGTCTCGAGGTCCTGTTCGCTGCTAATCGGCCGGCGTGCGAATCGACGGCCATGGTCTTCCAATGCAACAAGTGACGTGAATAACTCCCGTGCATCCTCTTCTGTCGGCTGCAGGTAACGGCAGACAGATTCGTAAGTTTCCCGCTGTCTAGCCTCACAGTCGGTCCACGGAAGTAGTCGTATGGGACAGTATTTTCCGATAGGAGCAGGGATTTTGCCTGTCGTAGAGCGAGACGGTGTTTGCGCTCGTAGTGGCCTCCAAAGAAGATCGTGGCAATGTCGGATGAACTCTGGGAAAGTCGTCGGTCTGTTGCGATCCCTCTGTTGTCTCTCCCTTTCCTCTGCCCGTTTCCTTTCCTCCTCTGCTTGTTTCTTTCCCTCCTCTGCTTGTTTTCTTTCCTCCTCTGCTTTGAGAAAAAGCGCCTTGTAGTCTGGAGAGATGCTCCCACTCATATTTATCGCGTATAAGGGAAGAGACCGATGAGGAGAACCCCCATGGCGAGGTTGTTGGTCACACTCCCTGTCGTCGAATGTCAGCGGAGGGGACTCGGTGAAAGTATTTTTCCGCCGACATGTGACATGTAGATCCGTCGTAGATCCGTGGGGAGCGCTCAAAAGGGCTACTCTAAGTGTTTAGAGTTCGAGGGCTCCCGAAACCCCCCAGCCTGGCTCCGAAATTAATTTGCTCCTCAGTGTCTCAGGCCCTCTACCGCGTCGGAACATGCTCGAGGGGGCCTGAGGCACTAAGGCAAGCACACACCCCCGCGTAAGGTCACGTGGCATATTGCAGGAAGGATGCCTTGTCGAAGGCTCCGTCCAGTGCAAAAAAGTGCCACGACAGCTTCTTGGGCCTTGCGGGCAAATTTTGCACTGAGTAGGCTCGATAGCCCTGCCCTGTCTCCCATGACAAACGCTCTTTTCGGTCTCATCTAGTCGAGCTCTACCACAAGATGTCCTGTGTTGTGATACGAGGCTGGTGACGATCAGGAACAAGACCGCAACATCGGAATGAATTCCTTTCTCAACTTGCATCTAAAGATGCATATATAGACTCGGTTATTTCTTTTCGATTCCTGACCCAGGGCACGTACTTGATAACACGGGTGGATGCTGCTTCTTCGTTGTAGAAGTCAGATAAATATCCTGCCCGTCATTTACCTGTCCTGCCAGGTTCATTGGCAACTACCGTAGTTGCACCTGAGTCAATCGCACTTGAACCTCCATCGAGACCTAAGATCCACGTTGAATGAAGAAAGATATGGATGTTCACCAGGGCTGGAATTACCAAGTGTCCCCTTCCACTGGCAGAGCCTGTTCCCGAAAGTCTCTCCCGGGCAGTTAGACCTCGGAACCGCCCGCGAGCCGCCCTCTGAGGGCCGCCCACAGACCCGCACTTTTGCAGGCGGAGGACAGGCTCTTCCAGCCTACAGAAAAGTACGCCATAAGTAGCACAACAATACAAAACTATCAATTCAACTAGATCCATAATTATCATTAACAAACAAACCTAGGTATCGACCACGGCTTACTTTTCCTTTCTACCTTTCTTCCCCCCCCTCTCATGTCATGTACAGGCAAGACGCATCATCATCGTCATCATCATCATCTTGCTTTTGATCGAAACGAAAGTCGTAGTCATTCCTCATGCAGGGTCTTTTTTCACTTTTTTCTTTATTTCTTTCATCGTCTGTCTGTTTGTCTGTCTGTCGGTCTGTCTGCGTTGCCAGTAAGTAGTATAAGTAGTATATTGCCCAGGCAGGAAGTCAGGCAGGCAGATAGACAGTATATATCATCACGACAATGCAGAGTTGCGGACGGATATGATACCGATACCGATACCGATACCGATACCGATGCCATCACCATCGCTGCATAGCCGTCTGGCTGGCTGTCTGACTGGCTAGCTAGCTAATCAATTGCCCGAGATGCATGCATGCATGCATGCATACAACGCAACCCGGTGTCTACCTGCCTGTCCGCCTGACTAACAGACTACCAACCGACTCCAGGCTCGATCAACCGCCAGACAATTACGGAATGTCAAAGACAGGCTTGAGCTTCTTGACGAGACCCCACTCCTCCATCGACACATCGGCGCGGTAGAACTCCTTCAGGGTGTCGATACTGGCACGCGAGATGTGCGAGTACAGGGTATCCTTGTCTTCGAGCTGACGGCCGTACATGGGCTGGTTGGAGCCCTCGATCTTGACGGCCACGGACGGTTGGCCCTTCTTGCAGACGTTGATGGCCTTGTGGTCGCGTTCGATGGAGACACTAATCGATAGATGGGTGGTTAGCTTATGGCATGGATAAAATGTGATGGTGTGGAATGGGATGGAATAAAAGGGGGCTTACACTCTGCCCAGATCGATGATTTCCTTGGCGCCAGTCTCGGGGTTGGCCTTGATAGCAGCGATAGGAGTGTGCAGGCGCAGACTTCCCTCGGCAACGTCGATACCGATGACGATGGGGTCCTTCTTGTTGAAGACGGCGACGGTCTTGAGCACGCAGGGGAAGACAGCCAGCATCTTGCTCTCTTCCTTTCTGCGCTCCGTCAGCTCGGCCATGTGCTTGGTGAAGTCGTCGAAGAGGTGGTAGATGATGTCGGCGGTGAAGATCTTGACGCCGACCTCGTCGGCGTAGGCCTGGGCTTCCTTGTCGACCTTGACGTCGAAGCACAGCATGACGGCAAACTCCTTGGCCTTCTCCAGCATGGTTCCGGCCATCATGACATCGCGCTTGAACACGGGGCCGATGGAGATGTTGGCCACGGGGATCTTGGACACGCGCAGGAACTCAAGCAGAGCTTCCAGGGATCCAAGGGTCGACGCCTGCACGCTGACACCGCGCTGGTCGCGCGACACCTTGCTGAGCAGGTTCTCCAGATCGGACATGACTTCCTCCTCGATGTCCTCCTCGTCGTCGTCGGGTCCGACGACCATCAGGCGGGAACCGGCGATGGCCTGCTCCAGGTCGTTGGCGGCGATCTTGACACCGAGAGCGGCCTTGACTTCCTTGTTGTGCACGTACTGCGACTTGAGACGCAGTTCCTTGAGAGGCGCCGGCGTCAGCAGCGCTCGGATGTTCGTCGCGATCGGCCCGTTCAGACCGCACAGCACGATCCGGTCGCCCTCGCGGAGGATACCGTTGGACAGGACGACGTCAATGGTGGTACCGAGACCCTCGATGACCTTGACCTCCAGAACCGTACACTCGACCTCGGACAGGTACATCAGCGAGTTGGTCATGCGCTCCTGGGACAGGGTGGTCAACAGCTTCAGCATGTCGGGGATACCCTCGCCAGTGTGGGCAGAGGTGGGCACGAGGGAGACGTTGCGGGCCATGGACTTGTTCTCGTAGAACAGCTCGGAGTTGAAACCCTGCTCGGCGAACAGCAGCTTGGTGCGTTCCAGACGCGTGCGGAACTCGTTCTGCACGCCCTTGCTCTGCATGGCCAGACTCTCCTGGAACCCGTTGTTGTCGATCTTCTTCCAGCCGTACAGACGGTCGATCTTGTTCAGCGCGACGATGAAGGGCGTGCGGCGGTCACGGAGCAGGCGCATCGACTCCAGAGTCTGCGGCTCGAGACCGTGCATGATATCGACCACCAGGATGGCAATGTTACAAAGAGACGAACCTCTCGAACGCAGGTTGGAGAAGGACTCGTGACCGGGTGTGTCGATGATCAGGAGACCGGGGATCTTGAACTCGAAGTTGTTGTCTTTGTTCACCACCTGGGTCTTCTGGCGCAGGGCATCGACGGGGAAGTAGGTAGCACCGATCTGCTGCGTGATACCACCGGCTTCGCCCTCCTGGACGTTGGTCTGACGGATCTTGTCCAGCAGCTTGGTCTTACCCGTATCGACGTGACCCAGAATACAGCAGATAGGAGAACGCAGGTTGTCCTTCGAGCGGGCTGCCAGAGCCTCCTCGTGCTGCTTCTTCCTGCGCTCGGCCGCCTCGGCCTTCCGGAGGGCAATAGCCTTCTGTGCCGCGGACTGTTCCTCGTCCTCGGAGTCCTCTTCGGAAGAAGACTCGTCAGAGTCCTCGTCGCTGTCCTCCTCATCCTTCTCCTCGGCCTTCTCAGCCGGCTTCTCCTCTTCCGCGTCGCTGTCCGCATCCCAGCTGTCCTTCACATCGTCAGCATCGGCGGCCTTCTCCCAGTCGTCGACGTCGCTCTCCTCGCCGCCGGCGGCGGCGGCAGCAGCAGCCTCAGCAGCAGCCTTGGCCTTCTGCTCCTCTTCCTCCTTCTTCCGGCGCTCCTCCTCAGCCTCGCGCTGGGCCTTAGCACGAGCAGCGGCAGCCTCCAGGTCGTCTTCCTGCTTCTTGGGGCCGCGTTTCTTGCGGTTCTCGTAGACGGGCTTCTTCTTCTCACCGCCGCTCTCCAGACCGGCCACCGAGACGGCGCCACCGGCCGCAAGCATCTGCTGCATGCGCCGCTCGTTGCGCTCCTTGGCTTCCTTCTGGGCCTTGGTGAGCAGCTTGCCCTCCCTCCGAAGCTGCTCCTTCTTCTCCTTCTCCTTCTCCTTCTTCTTCTGACGAGCCTCCTCCTTCTTCTTCTCCTCCTCCTCGTCACGAAGACGCTTGGCCTCCTCCGCGGCGGCCTCCTCGGCTGCTAGCCGCTCTTCCTCCTCACGCTGTTGGCGGAGAGCCTCCTGCTGCTTCTGCAGAGCCAGCAAATGCGCGGGGATCTTCTTCTTCTTGCCACCAGTCTCCGGAGCGGCGGGAGCAGCCGCAGCGGCCGGAGCAGCAGCAGCCTCCTGCTTCTTAGCGGGCTCGGGCTTCGTGGGTTCGGGCTTCTCGGTCTTCTTCTTCGCAGCCTATACCAAACACAAACACAGCCCAGTCAGCATCACACCCACACGCAACAATCAAAGAGCAGCCTTACCTGTTCCTTCTTCCTCTGCTTCTCCCTCTCCTTCTTCTCCCTCTCCTTCTCCTTCTTCGACTTCACACGGAAACCACCCTCCTCCTCTTCCTCAGCCGGCTTCGCAGCCGCCGCCGCCTTCTTCGGCTTCGCATTTCCAGCAAACACATCGTCCTCATCAAAGGTACCCTCTTCGGGCTGCTTGCTAGCGAAGTCCGCGGCTCCGTTGGCTTCCTCGGCGCCGGCGTCCTCGCCCTCAACGAAATCGTTGGCCGGCTTGCCCTTCTTCGCCTTCTTGTTCTTGTTCTTCCTCAACGCCGCCAGGAGACCGCCCTGCGGGGCTTCCTCCTCGGCGGGGGCGTCTTCGGCGGGGCGGCGGCGGCGGGAGCGGACTCGCCGAGGTCGGCTTCCCAGTCTTCCTCCTGTCTCTTGTTTCCCTTCTTCTTGGGCGCCATGGTGGTGGTGATTGGCGTTTAAAGGTGGGTAGGTGGATGGATAGACTCGATTGGAACGAGGTCTGGTGAGGAAAGAAAGGTGGTGTGTTAGTAGATAGGTAGATAGGAGGGAGGGAGTGAGCCAGCTGTGGTTATGGTTGTGGTGGGGGAAAGGTGTTGGATATTGGTGGTGGTGGTGGTGGTTGATTGTGCGCACGAACAATAAGTAGCTTCAAGGAAGTAACGTACCTGTTGTTGCTTTGCTGCTCCGGGCCCGCGATCTGCGGTGCGGCAAGAGTGGCGAAGAGAAGAGAAAAGAGAAGCCGGGGATGCTTCGAGCACGGAAGTAAGTTGGGAGAAGAGAAGAAAATGAAAGAAGGAGTGAAGACAGACAAGCAACCTGATCCCCCCTGTGGTCGATACGACTCGGTCGGTGTGTCTGGAGGCTTTGGGGTAAATCGTAAGAATTTTGGGCGGCGGCGGCGGTGGTGGAGGTGGAGGTGGTGGGGACGCCGGATTATTATGCGAGCCGGCTGCTATTTCTAGCACTACTAGTTACTACACAGTACTAACACTGGGTGGTATACACACGCTCATGCTGGAATCGTAGCTATGTACACGAGAAAATAATAAGAAGGAAAAAAATGTATATAGAGCCATCATGAAACAATACAGTCCTAATTACAACACAACAAAACCTCTTCCTTTACTTACTGCATACACCCTAGAACTCCACCTGGAGCACCCTATGCAACCACCCCATCACAGCCTCCACCGGACGGCCAACATCGCCAAGGACATCCCTCGCCAGCTCGGTAAACTGCTCGAGGGCCGCCTGCGCCGAGCTATTGCCATTGCTATAGCTATTGCTATTCTCGGCCCCATCCTCACCCAGCATCCGCATCAAATGCCCCGGTCCCCGTAGCACCAACCGACTGAGAATGTCCCCATCGATATGCATCTGCGTCGGCTGGGGATCCAGCACCAAACTCATCGGATTGCGCTGTCGACGTCTCTTGGGCGTAAACGGACAGATGACCACGTCCCGAATGCACAGGTTCTGCAACAAGCGAAGTAGGCGCCATTCTTTCTCTCCGATCGTGAGGAATCGGTATACGGTGCCGTTCATTGCGGTGCCGTAGAATACGCTGGGAGAAGAGGAGGAGGAGGGAGAGGATGGTGGGGAGAGGGGGGAGCTCTTGGAGCCGGGGCTCAGTCTCATGACCGAGGAAGGGAGATGTGCTTCGCACAACGCCGTCGATAGCATCTTGTTGTTTTCCGTGATCCCCGTCTCCGTGAGCAGGCTGACGCGACCGCCGCGGCTGGAGCTGAGGATGAGGTTCCGGGCCCCGCCGATGTAGACGTGCGCGAGACCGTCGTGTTTCTGGCGGTCGTAGGCGTGGAGGGTCAGTTTGTCCTCGGAGGCTTTGAGGACCATGAGGGATTCGCGCGAGGTGGTCATGTAGAGGTAGGGTTCATGGGCGGTCATGAGGACGGCGGGGGAGAGGACGGAGTAGCGAGCGGCGCGCACCCAGCGCGTTTGGGAGAATTTGGGCTCGAGGGGCACGATCTCGTGGCCGGTGGACACCATCAGGGTGAAGGCGCCGTAGGGGGCGATGGAGAAGACGGGGCCGTCGAACTTGTGGATGTATTTCACGGAGCACTCGATGCGCGAGGGCTTCGCGGGATCGCGGTAGGCTTGCAGGAAGATGACCCGGCCTCGTTCGGGCTGGTTCCGGCGAGAGGTGCCGATCACCACGAAATGGTATTCTTCGTCGCCTTTCTTGGGCGTCCAGTCGAGGATGCAGCTGATCTTTTCGCCGGCCGCGCCTTGAGGACGCCAGGGCCGGGGATCGTCGTCTGGGGGGTTCTCGAGGGCTTCGATGACCGAGTGTTGGAGGTCCGGGTCGACGAACTCGATGAACGGGCGGGTGTAGCGTTTGATGGGGTCGGAGTCGGTGTCGTATTCGGTCTGGGAATATGCAACGATCAGGCTGCGGAGATGTCGCGAGTATGTGAGTTTGCTGGCACTGCCTGGCAGATCGATCCGTCTGGGAACGGTCTTTGCTCCCTGCCCCAAGGTGCAGACCAGAAGCTGCCCGTCAGCAACGCAGAAAAGTGTGTCAGATAGGCCATCGGCTGCGGACATGGAAAAGCTATGGATGGTTTTTGGGTTGTAGGCAGGCTGAAGAGGTTAGCGCTGTGGCGACACCGAGGGATATGGGAGCTCACGTTGTTCTGGTCAGTGACCCACACTCTTTGGATAGAGGAGGGCCCTTGATCGGGGGCGCAGGATATTTGCCAGAAACCATGCCCGCAGGTCAACAATGCATGTTCACCTTTACCCTGGACTCTGACGGACGTGTGCCCTAGTCGTCGGGGTGCTGCTGGCGTTAATGCTGGGATTCGAGTTAGCAGAGCTTGTGGCCGGAGGTTTTGTATTCTCACCGATGGGGGAAGCACTGTCTTTCTCCAAGACAAGGTCGAAAGGAGCCAGAATCCCGCTTCGCAGGCCGCAGAGTACAGTGTGTGCCGTTTGTCGGTCTTCACCGGCCCCACTAATGACGGCAATGCTGTCAATGGCCTTCGACAGATCGTCCTGATTGGCAACGACGACGGTGGCTTCGGTCAGGAAAGAGACAGTGTCGGCTATGCGATACACCAAGACTTTCCCGTTGCCCGTGCCTACGAATACAAACGAGGACGAGTCGAGGTGTTCGATGGACATACAGACGGGCTCGTATGGTATAGACAAAGGAGGACCGATATCAAGCAGCTGGGGCTGGCCACCGTTCGTGTCGAGTCTTCTCAGGTGAAGGTGCACCTCCTGCTGGGTCCTGACGGCGATGGCGATTACCGAAGTCGCTCCATCGACAGCAGCCACTGCAATGCTTTGTCCGGGACCAAGATCAAGCCGATCGCCGGGTGATTCGGGAGTCGATCCCACGTGGATTGCCTTGTCAGTTATCTGGATGATGGCCCCTGATCCTGTGCACCCAGCCGCGAGGGTTTGCGTGCTAAAGTCGAGTCCGGAATCTGCCTCATCAATAGCGCACAGTTCCTCTCCGAAATTAGCAGGCAGATATAGAAGGAGTGAGGACATCGGATCTGATGTTAGGACAAAAACGCCTCCGTTCAAGCTGTCTGCCATAGCCCATATGTCTCTCGTGCCTGACTCTTCATCCAACCCGATTATCAATCCGGTCTGTGCTTCAACGCCATGACGAAGTTCAACCACTGCCCCTCGCGAGAAAGACGAGGCAGAGCAAACAAAGAACCGATCGCCTGCGATATCAGAGGCCAGAGCACTTTCATTTCTCACCACCACCGAGTCCGTAACCGGCGTCCAGTTCATGAACTTCTGGACACATCGTGGATGGTCTCGAGCTTTCTGAACGAACAGGCCTCCATCACCTGTGGTGCCTGCTGCAAAAAGCAGGTCGCCCCCCTCATAGCCAATGTCTAGAATATCAAATGCTGCGTCCACGTCACAGCACAGTTGCCCCAAATGGGTTTGGTTTTCGAGTTCGCCTTCGCTGCCAATGCCCAGATAGATGATCTCTCCGTCCTCACGGCAGAGGTATATGTCGTCGTGCTTTTGGTTGTATTGCCAATTGCGCAACGGCCGTGCCCATCTGGTCCAGAGGGGTGACTTTTGAGACTCGCGCTCGAGCACAGGAAGCGGGTATCGGCTGGGATGTCTCTGAGGGTCAAGCTTGTTTTGGTATACAGCCATTGAAGTTGTTGTCACAAGCATGAATGACGATGTCTTAGTCAATGGGATCAGCATCGTAGGCAACCGGTCCTCGGACGGTAGTCTTTTCTTGGTCACGCGTGGGGTGGCTTGGCGTAAGGACTCGTTCGCATTCCACTCATAGCACACAGCATGCGTTGCCTGGTCCTGAGCGACCAGTAGTAGGAGGATGATCTTATCGCCATCTTCGGATTTGGGGTACAGAAACTCCATGGCTATGATGTCGCCTTCAACGCGGAAGAAACGCTCCTGCAGATTCCTCAATTAGCGGGTTCACATATCCCGGCATTACCACGCGTACCTCTGCTATCGGATCCAGTCGGTATTGGGCCATCTGTGACTGGATGACGGGCGGTCGTTTGAGGACAAAGACTCCGAAGTAGTCGCATGAGGCGCTCACGGCTACTGCGCGAGACCTGTACATCTCAGCTCGTTGTTCATACTCGTCACGGAGATGCTCACCTTGGCTCCACAGCAATATTCCGGCCAAAGCGTTCAAAGGCGCTGACATCATTTGGTAACGGCCGATGATGGAACACAAACTGGTTGCTCGCGTTGGAGTAGTACAGGAACACTAGCTCTCTCGAGGCCAGGCTCAGAACCAATATCTGGGGAGGTAGCTCCTGGGAGTCTATAGGCGGCGTCGATTTGCCAGCCCTGAGCTTCATTTCTTCCTCCCACGGCAGCTCGGTGCTCACATTGATGACCTTCGCCGCCATGATGTACGAGTCGAAGTCACTCTTCGTAGTAACCTCCTCCAGGTGGACCCCCGACACCGCTTCTTTGATTTGCAGGTACCGTTCGCCCACGAAAACAACATCATTCTGGTCCTTGCCCCTGAGATGTGCGGGGAGAATCCACTGGATTATCGGACTGCATACCAAGGTATGTGACAGAAGGCCTATTTTGGATTGCGACCATGACGACATGGCTTCCTTCTCGGTGTCCGTTGGCCCTTCGCCCGAGGCGGCGTTCCCAGCCAGGTCTGAAGTGTTTGAGGATGCCATGATGGGTTGGTAATATTGCGGGAGAACGAAAGGATCCGCGCAGGCCCGCAGTTAACGAACGGCTAGGAAGAAAAAGAAAAGAAAGGCGAGGCGTCAAGGAACGGTCTCCGCGGCCTCTCGCGAGCAAGTCTATGAGATTTTCGACAGATAGAAAAGCCAAGAAACCCGGGAAGAAAAAATCTCCTCAAAACTGTCAATCATGAGCTTTTCCTTTGATCATGCTTAGAACAGAGTGAGAGTGAGGTTTCATTTCAATAAGATCAATCAAGAGAACCAGGGGTCCACAACATGAAATGCTAGCCCGTAACAAGTGAGAGAGCAAGGAACCTGCACAACAAAACCCCTCGGGCGGAAGAAGCACCTGCTTCTAGAATCAATGTCTTGATCCCAGTCTGACACGGACATGGACAGGGGATAGAGGATATAGAACGTACAACCGAGGGTATCTTCTGACTGACGATGTATCAAAATGACTTGTCTCAATTCTTGCAGTCTCTGGCTATACAATGAACGCAACAAAGGTAGTATACTCATACACAGGCCGTGGGGAGCCCAACAGGAGGGTGGAACGATCAGGATGGCCGGCAGCGGAACCTCAACGGGTGGTTCGCGGACGACTGGGACAAGCGAGTATGTTTTGGTTTAGTATGATGATGATGATGATGACATCGGCCCGCTACAGTCGTGTAGCCACTTCCAGGCACTGAGCCCATGCAGCGGTTTTCTCTCAGCGAACCGCCCGGGAGGTCAATCAGGGCAGGTTGCGTTTTTGGGGAGGGGGGGGGATGGGGATAGAGAGTCGCACGGTCCGAGTGATAATAATTGGGGGATCTCGACCGCCTCGAATTTGCGGAGGGGCAAGTGGCAGTGGATGGATACTAACTAACTAGTATGGATGCCTTGCATGTTCCTTTGGGCGGTGGGCAAAATCCAGCAAATCACGGGACACCGCCGGCGGTGCTGGCGGGCCTGAGGCGTGCCATCGGCCATTTCCCTCGGTTGTTGGTTTGGTTGTTGGCTGCTGCTGGCTGCTGGTTGCCGTTCATCGCATATCCATCCATCTATCCATCCATCTGATTCATTCATTGTCCTGCTGGACCGCCAGTAGTGACCTTGATGGACCGTTCCCAACCCCCCCAGAGTCCATCACCGCCCACCCATCGCTTTTCTCGCATTGAACTTGGCATGACCCGTGCATCAGTCGCATAAAAGTATAGACCAGCCTTGTGATCGCCCATGCATCGGGGTCCATAGGAATACGACATCGCCTGCCTTGCGCTCTTAGACGCCATCCCCATTTTTAAACTACAGGCCGGGGCATCCATTGCCCCTTCCGGCCATTATGGACTCTCACGATATAATAAGCAACGGATCTGACGATCTGACGAATTCAACGGCTGAAACGGAGAAGGTCGCCCTCGACGACGAGCCCCAAGAAGAAGAACTGTCTGTTACCAAAGTGGACAGTCGAGCACTCGAAAAAGAAATTGCCATTCGTCAGGCATGCGACTTGCGGGATTTCGATGCCTTAGTCTCACATGCCACCTCAGAAGGTGGCTTTCTCAATGACGATATGCGACGATTAGCCTGTAAGGGTCACCCGGGAAAGCTACCTGCCCTACATGCCTCTTGACTGACACGGCGAAGGGCCTGTCCTCCTGCAATGCGATCGAAATAGCCAAGATCTCGACTTCACCGGGTGGGACGACCTGCCCCCTCACGCGGAGGAGGATCAAGTCCAGCTGGACGTGAATCGGTCCTTCGTCTACTACCCACAGTGTACGTCTACGTCTCCGGACCTCAAAGATTGACAAAATCCTAAACCCCTTTAGGTTCCGACGAGGAGCTGTCCACCAAGAAGGACGAGCTCTCCAAGCTGATCACGCAAGTCCTACGGCATTTTCCCATGCTATGCTACTTCCAGGGGTATCACGACATCGTGCAGGTGCTACTACTGGTACTGGGCGGCGAGGAGGCAGCCCCTGCCGTCGCGCAGATCTCCCTGCTCCGAATAAGAGATTACATGCTGCCGTCGCTGTCCCCGGCACTGAAGCATCTCCAGCTAATCCCAGCAATCATCGAAAACGCCGACCCGACGCTTTGCCGTCACCTCGCCGAGATCCGACCCTTCTTCGCACTCGCCGCAACACTAACGCTATATTCGCACGACATCCAAGAGTACAGTGACATCGCTCGACTATTCGACTTCCTTCTGGCGCAGGAACCGGTGGTGTCGATCTATCTCTTCGCCGCCATCATCCTGTCCCGCAAGAAGGAGCTCCTGGAGATCTCAGTGGACGAGCCGGAGATGCTGCACTTCACACTCTCGAAGCTCCCGAACCCCCTGGACCTGGACGGTCTGATCCTGCGGGCGGTGCGGCTTTTCGACGACTACCCCCCGGAGTCGTTGCCCTTCGGGGCCTGGAAGACGATCCCCCAGTGCAGCGTGCTCAAGTCGACACGGGACCTGGTTCGGACGCAGACGACAGACGAGACGGTCCGGCTGTTCGGAAAGCAAGTCCGGCAGATGCGTTACGAGGAGCGCAAGGAGAAGACACTCACCTTCCTCTGGAACCACCGGCGGACCATCGGGTCCGTGGCCGTCACCATCTTCATTGGAGCCATGTCCATTTGGATAAAGAAACGGGGAGTCGACGGCACCATCTGGTCATATCTCAGTCGATTTCACGGGGCGTTGCAAGCGCGGGGCTATCTCTAACTGCGTGGCCTTCCGAATCCGGAAGATCAGGCTACGGAACCGACCCAAAATGTCAAATATGTATCTATACTAATAATATCATTAAACCCACGACCGAGTTAAAGCCAAACTCAAAATAAATCCCTGTAAACCATCACAAATAAACATCCAAGCCACAGTAGAATAAAAAAAAAAAAAAAGAAAAGAAAAAAAGAAGAAGAAAGGATAGAGACAAAAACAGGATGCACGAATGCGAAACGCAGCTCGTGTAGGAGATAGATGGGCCGTCCCCACAACGAACGTGGCTGGTGCGTGGCTTTCCCGGCAGCCGCTGAGGTGTACTCTTGCATTCCCGCTTCCCAGACAGAAGCTCAACTCTCACCCTCCCACCCTTGACACCGACCAGACCAGCCCAAGATGGCAAACCGGGGTTACGATGTGGTAGTTGACGTGGACACCGAGGTGAGCGCCGTCTTTGCATCCCGCACAGTCGCACAAGACACAGACACAGACACAGACACAGACACAAAGCTAACGCTTTCTTTCCCAGGGCGACCTCGGCCATACCGACCTTCAGGAGGACCTCGAATTCCACAGTTCCAGTAAGCTATAACCTGGCCTCTACACATCCCATATCCCATCCAAACTGCAGACTCCAAGCACCACCCCACATCCCTCTCATCTAACACCACCACCACCCCACACCCAGACTTCGAATCCGACCAACGAACCGCCAAAGCCCAAGCCGCCAGCGGCGGCGTCGGGCTAACCAACAGCTCGTCCTCGCGCGGCCGCGACCGGTCCCCAGGGGGAACGCCGACGAAGCACGCGTGGTGGTCGATCCACTACTACAGCCAATTCTTCGACGTGGACACGAATGAAGTGCTGCGCCGATGCGTCGCGACGGTGTACCCACGGAGCAACTTCCTGGACGTGCTGGAAGGCAACCCGGACCTGTACGGGCCGTTCTGGATCGCCACGACCGTGGTCGTGATCCTCTTCCTGACCGGCACCATCTCGCAATGGCTCTCCAACAACGACGACGAGCACTTTGAGTACGACTTCACGTTGCTGTCGGGCGCCGCCGGCTTGGTCTACGGGTACACGGGCATCATCCCGATCGCGCTGTGGGGGGCGCTGAAGTGGTTCGGCAGCTCCAGTGCCGATCTGGTCGAGGCGTGGGCGCTCTACGGATACTCGAATCTGGTGTGGATTGCTGTGGCCCTGGTCAGCTGGAGTCCGTTGACGGCGCTGAATTGGGCGCTGGTGGGCGTCGGCTTTGGGTGGACCGTTTTCTTCCTTCTGAGGAATTTGTATCCCGTCTTGAGTGCCACGGATGCGAAGGCTAGTAAGATTTTGCTCGTCTTGGTGGTCTTGTTGCATGCCGGTTTTGCGTTGGCGATCAAGATTTTGTTCTTCGCGTAAGTGGGATTCTTTTGCTTTGAGGGGTTGAGGATGGGGTTGGGTTGGGGTTGAGCGATCGCTAATGTGGATATGCAGGCATGGAAGTCCGGTCTCGAAGAAGAACGAGGATCACGATGACGACCACCACGATGACAGGCGACGCATGCTCGGGCTTTAAGAGGGACGAGCGAGGGAACGCGGAGGCGGAGGCTTACCCCGGGCTTGGGTTGAGCTTGTTCAATGCTATGCTCACCATGACCGCGACCACGACATCGCTCAGGCAGCATGATGTCAACGTCACCTTGCGGATTATGTGCCATCACTTGTCTTCTTTCCCCACATGTTTTTTTTTCTCATTGACTTATTGTTTCTTATCGTCTGCCGTGCGTCTGTATCTGTATGTGTGTGTATCTACTCCAAAGAATGCGACGAAAGGATTTTTTGAATTTTACAATTGTGTTTGGATTGCAACTGCGCCCGAGGAGCCAACTAGGAAGAACATGGTTGTGACTTCGGCTATAATTGATTCATCATTCCAACGCCGTTTGTTGTTTGAAAACCTCCCACGTTGCAATCGTTTCGTAACCCCAGCAAGCTCTTTTCCCCAGCAACGCGGAAAAACCGTAACAAGATGATCAGAATCGTTCACTTGAGCTTCTTCTTGGGGCGGAGCTGGTTGGTGTGTCCGCACTTCTTCTTGCGGCAGTTGGTGGCACGAGGGGGAAGACGGGCCTGGACGCTTGGTTAGACGGGATGTTCATGTTCATATGCTATAATCTTGTTCGCGGCGCGCGCGCGCGCGCCGAGATCGGGTTGGGTTGACGTACGTAGCACTTGCGGCAGATGGACTTCTCGCAGTTGTACTTGGAGGCAAGAGCCTTGAGGGAGGGCTCGATGATACCACCACGGAGACGGAGGACCAGGTGGAGAGTAGACTCCTATAATTTATTCCGTCAGTCACTGAAATCCCAGCGATACCGATAAGTCGCAGCAAGCAATCTCCACGTCCGTGATAGCGACCGAGTTGAGTCAATGGATGCAGCGCAGACCAGAAGTATCGTCCAGCCAACCCTTGTGTGTGGCGACCGACACGACCGACCATCTAGATGTCTGTCTGTCCGCCCCACCAATCAACCGGCGCATCACGGCGTATCGACCACCCCCCAGCCTATCATCATAAAAAAAAATCGGAGTCCGGAACCGTTCATACCTTCTGGATGTTGTAGTCGCTCAGGGTGCGGCCATCCTCAAGCTGCTTACCAGCGAAGATAAGACGCTGCTGATCCGGGGGAATGCCCTCCTTGTCCTGGATCTTGGTCTTGACGTTGTCGATGGTGTCGCTCGACTCGACGTCGAGGGTAATGGTCTTACCCGTCAGGGTCTTGACGAAACTATTGAATCGAGCCTAGTCAGTCTCCCATCCTTGCAGTGCTTGTTGCCTTTTTCTTCTTCTTCTCCATTCTCTTCGATCGACCGATAACACAAATAGATAATATAGTAATAGATGATAGATGATGCATAAATGGATGGGTTGTGTAATGGGTTTGGGTAGATTTTCGAGGGTGACCTACATCTGCACTGCAAGCGCGAAAAAAACGACATGTTAGCTGGCGATTCACAAACAACACCCATCTCGTCTCTCTTCGACCAAAACAGGGACCATGACTATACGTACTGGCTGCGGTTTTCGTTGTTGCTGGCGTCTGACGATCGCTGAAAGGTCGGTCGGAAGTTGCAATGTCAATTTCACGATTTCTCGCTTAGCAAAGGTGGAACGCAGCGCACGTGATCAGGGTTTAGGGCAGTCAGGTCTCAGGACAAGCCGCCGCGCCGCCCGGCCGCGGTCTCCGTCTCCGCAGTCTAGTCTCCATGCCCAGTCGGTCGTAGTCCAGTCCGTGGGCCTACATCATCGCTCGGCCTCGTTTGTGTTCGTGTTCGGGTGAATGTTAATCGTACGGATGATGAGCATTCCGTGTGATCCAGCGGTACTGAGTTGACCCATCGGGTCAGTTTTCTGAGCCTTATGATTGAAATCATTCTGTCATGATTGAAGCGACAACTTTTATGGATATTGTACAATTTGGTTTTATTAATCCAACTGACTGAATATCAAGCCTATACTCCGCGCAACGCCACAAATCTATCATTTGGTATAAACGATCAAGACCCGGATCTCATCCGATCTCATCCCCCAGCTCAAACTCAAACATGCAAGACCCAGATCGCTCAATCCCGGCTCCAGCATAACATTCTAATCCAAATCCATCTCGCCCGGGGACTCTTCATTGTATACGGGATACGATTCGCCAAAAAGCTCCGCGCGTCGTTGCTCTTCCAACCAGCGGGTAACCTTGTTCTCCGCCTGCAGGACAACCCTCAGAAGCGTGGTGAGCGAAACGCCCACTACCTTGGCAGTGACCTCGTAGAACGACCTCGCATTCTCAGGCAGGTATTCCTCGGTCCGGTACCGCGTGTAGTAGGATCCCGGGCGTTTGGTATCCGAGTCCGACTCGTTATCCGGGATGGTCGGTCTGGATTGCAGCTGGCCCGTGGCGATCTGGACCATGGAGTCGATAGCTTCCTCCTCGTCGACCTCTACGGATGGAGTTCCAGCGCGGCTGGCGCCGGCGCCGGGACCAAGTGGGAAGAGTTCCGCCAGTGGGTTCAATGCTGCGGATAGTCAGCTCATTTCAGACACCAGCGGTAAAGTAATGCTGTAGAGTGAGTGCTTCCTTACATCTGTTCGTGTCAATCCAGCTGTTCTCGTACCACGCCATGTACTCGTCCAGTTGGGACGGCGTCATGTCGAACACGTCTTTCTCGGAGACCTTGATCTCGTTGCCCTTGCCCAGCTTTCCTCGGGCCGTTTCTCGGTTGTCGAAATGGCCCTGGATCTGCGTCCAGAGGCCCCAATCGATGACCTGGACGGCGGGCTCCTTGGCCGAACAAGGGTGCCGGATCCTGCGGTCAAAGGGGAAGATGAGTTTCGTGGCGATGACAATAAGCGCGATCAGCTGCAGTTCGGGGAAATTGATTGGCATTCTCCTGCCGATGATCCGGGTGGGATATTCAAAGGTGAATCCTAGGAGATGCTGGAGCTTCTTGACGGCAGGGTAGATTTCAACTAGAGGGGTCAGCAGAGGTCGTATTCAGATGGGAGGGTGCGTACTTGGAAGCGCAAGTCTTTTGATGAACCTATACAACAAGACTGGCCAATTCAGCGCCGGGAATTTCATATCGAATTTCCCATGGTAGAACAGCACGAAGTCCGAGACAGCACTATGGATGTGCTCCGGCTGAGGGATTTTCTACCAACAGTCAGATCAGACCTCCATCTCCGACAGAGGCGGACTTACCGTAGTTTCCAGAATCGAAATGAACTCTTGGGGCAGCTTATCCCTCATCTCCCTCGGAACAATGCGTACCACCCTGATATAGGGAACCTCATCCCGGAGGACCATCCTATAGACCATCCATCACGTCAGCCATGCCCAACCACAAGCCAGCCAAATAACCAAGCAACCAACCAGCCAAACAAAAAGAAAAGAGAAGAAGAACAAACTCACCGATGAAAATCCGCCACATTCACCGGAATCCGCATCAAAAATGCCCCCAGATACCAAAGAGCTATACAATCGATGAGACGAGGCCACTTCGCCTTCCGGCCTTTGGTTTTCTTAGCCTCATCCTCCTCATCCAGCCCGGTCGTGGCCTGTGAGCTGAAGAACTCCGGCTCGTCATCATCGCCCAGCTCCTTGATCTTGTCTTCGAAAGTCCCCAGCCAGAGCGCCCAAAGATCGCGAACAACGTCCTACGCAGCATCATGAGCATCGACCGATCCGTCAGCCACCGCGCCACACAAGCGATTCCCAATTGGGAGTGGGCGCAGGCATGGACATGGGCATGAATGCAAACCTACCTCAAACTGCGGCGGAAAGCCGCGGGTGTGCACCAGCGCGTAACATTGCTTCCACAGGATTAACTGGTAGACCTGTAGAAAGAGACGATAGGCCTGACGGCCGGTGTATGCTGCCCGAGGACATTAGCTATCAATCTCACAGCATATCATCATACCAGCAACAGCAACAGCAACAGCAACAGTAACAATAAAAGTGCAAGTGCCAGTACCAGTACCAGTTCCGGTCCAGTCAGGGTCGGGACATACTCTTTTTCGACTTCTCAGAAACGGCCTTCTTGACACGACTCGTGCGACCCTGGGTACCAAAATCCTCCGGATCTTCCTCGACTTGTCGGCCCTAGCGCAATAACGCCATGTGAGTTCGGAGGTTATTCGCGGAGGTAATGCGATTGGGATGGGCTGATCGGTCGCGTGCACGCTGCGGGGTTGGGGAAAGACTTCGATTGAACGAACTCAACTCAACTCACCTCTTGTTGATGACCCCGCCTGCAGAACCAGAGACCGTTGTCGAGATAATACCGTCGTTCACGGCACCCCTCCTGCCCGCAGACCCCGCGGGTGATGTACTCCATCCCGGGCAGAGTGCGTGCGTCTTGAAGGCATTTTGGTGAGGGAGGAGAGGATCGAGAGAGATCGGGGTCGTCGTCGGGAGCGGGTCGCGACTCGGCGACCGTGGTGACGGTTTACCGGTCAGATTTTTCGACTGCAAGTGATATCACGGCGCTTATCGCACCATTACCTGGCGATCGGTATGTAGATAGCTGCGTATGGCTATTTTTCTATCGGATAGGATAGCTCTTTCTAGAGAATAGATATGGGGATAGCTCTTTTTTGTGGGTGAGATCTACATCGTTACATGTTTACACGACTCGGTACCAATTGCAGCTACTATCACCTGCAGTTACATCACATGTGGTTTGAAGAAAGTAATTTTTTATTCGTCAAACTATCGTGAGGGTGCTGAACACAAGAACTGTTCTCTGACAAAGCACGCTTTATGCTGCCAAGTAAACGTGACCATCGTGGCCAGCTCAGCGCATACCCAAGGCTGTCCGACGGATATCAAAGCATATTACGCCGCACCTGCTCAAAAGGTCGCGATCCACCAGATCAAGGGCAGGACTGGGCAGGGCTCTTAAAACACAAGGGCTGACAGAGTAGTAAATGGCCCATGGAGACGGTAATTCATTATTTGGGGGCCTCCTTGACATCCATGCAGCACTGCTCACCCATGGCGGTGAGGATAGTGACGTCTGCGGGCGATCGTCAGCATGCCCCGCACCAAGACAAAACAACATCGGGGAACAGATCGGGAACAAATCGAGTACTTACTGCAGTCCTTCTCCTCTTCACGGAACATCTTGATGATGCGGTCACCAACCTCACCCTCGGGGAGCTTGACGTCGTCCTTGGTGGCACCGGTCTCGTCCATCAGGGAGAGGAAGTCGTCGTCAGTGACGTCGAGCTGCGGGCGGGTTAGTGCGAGACTCCGACAGCCCGATCGGAGCGCTACTCACGAGCTGGTATTCCTTGCGGTAGACGTTGGGGACGTCCATGTTGTGGGTGGAGGGGGACAGATCCTCGAGCTTCTTGCCGGTGAAGATGTCGATGGCGACCATGTGGACCTTGGCGTGACCGTGCTTGCCGGTCTTGGAGGTGGACATGTCGACGATCTTGCAGGGACGGTTCTTGATGACAACGTGACCGTTCTTGCGCAGGGCAGAGCACTGCATGGGGTAGGTGGCAGAGGCGCCAGCGTCGGCGGACTCGAAGGTCTCGTGCTATAGGGAGGACTCGTCAGCGGCCGCCACGAGTCCAGGAGACGTGCGAGCGAAAAGCCAGCCCGGATGCATTGTCTGCAGGAACGAGGGCAGGTGGGGGGGGGAGGGGATCGAGATGCGAGGCTCCAGACGCAGGAGCGCCGACAGGGGAGCAGATAGGGCGATTCTGAAGCAGGAGGGGCGTGGATAGCGAGCCAGAACATACCTCGTCAGCCATGGTGATGGATATTAGGGTTATGGGGGGGGGAGGTAAAAAAGGGAGGGTGAGGATGGACGTGGGAATGGATTGAAGATGGAGGAAGGAAGAGAAAAATCGACAGAAGGACGGAGAGGGGGAAACAGGCGAAAAGAAATCGACAAATGGCCGGCGAAAAAAAGGCACTTGTTGTGGCGGGGTTTGTGGTCGCTAGCCGCGTCGAGCTTAGCGCCGGACAGACCACGTCCGTGGTTGCTGTCGCTCGCCGTAGCATCTGGCCTGAGTGGTGATAGTATACTCCGTCTGGTCTCCGTCCTACTCCGCTGTCCGCTTTCTGTCTACTTGACAGCTGTGAGCTGTGAGCTGTGAGGCTGTTGGTTTTTTTTTTTTTTATCCCTCTGTCTCTCTTCTCTCTATCCCTTCTCTCTCAGATACTTTGAACTCTCCGTCTCTTCTGCTCCCCCCCCCCCAGATTACCCCTGGGTCACCCCCATGACCCCCCGGTCTTGTCCGGTATCCGCACGCTGCTCCGTGCCGGCCTCCCACCATGTGGCTAGACCGCATTTCTGGCCACTCGACGCCCTCCGGTCCCCAGTTCGATAGTCGCAGCAACTCACCACTGCCCCGAAGAACCTCCTCCCGCCTCGCCCCCAATGCCCCCAACAACCGCCCCGGCTCGAATCGCCAGGGCTCCTCGCTCTCCATCTTGTTGACGCCAAGCGATTCGACCACCTCTCTCCCCGCGACGGCCCGCGAAGGCTCAGCTCCGAGACAAGGCACTGCAAGGTCCCGCCCATCCGATGTCGCGGACCCATTCGAGGTGTTGAACGGCATCATTGGCAAGCAGACCCAGCGGGAAGACAGCTCGACCACATCGACGGAGTCGAAACCCTCGGGGCTGGTGGAGGACATCGACTTTCGGGGCCTCAGTCTGGAGGACTTTGCCGCCCAGGATGACGAGCCCCGACGCACCCTCCCAACCGATGTGGGCGCCCAAACCATCCAGCAGTTCGAGAAGGAAAGGGACAAATTCCAGGACCTGCACTCGGCGATCACCGGCTGCGACGATGTCTCCAAGTCGGTGGAGATGTACCTGAACGACTTCCAGAACGAACTCGGCGCTGTTTCCGCCGAGATCGAGACGCTCCAGTCGCGCTCCATACAACTGAACGCCATGCTGGAAAACCGACGCAACGTCGAACAGCTGCTCGGGCCGGCGGTGGAGGAAATCAGTTTGTCCCCGAAAGCGGTCCGGCTGATAGCGGAAGGGCCCATTGATGAGAACTGGGTCAAGGCGTTGAATGAGATCGAGACGCGGACGGCCAGCATCGAAGCGAGGGTCTCGGGGTCTACGAGCAACAAATCCATCGAAGACGTGCTGCCGCTCTTGGTTGACGTCAAGAAGAAGGTTGTACCCTCCGTGATCCATCTTAGACTTTGCTGACTATATAGGCTGTCGAGAGGATCCGAGACTACCTGGTGTCGCAGATCCGCGCCCTGCGATCCCCGAACATCAACGCGCAGATTATCCAGCAGCAACGGCTGGTCAAGTTCAAGGACCTGTACAGCTACATCTCCCGCGCCCACCCGGCGCTAACGGGCGAGATCACCCAAGCGTACATCAACACGATGCGGTGGTACTATCTGTCTCACTTCACGCGTTATCACCAAGCGCTTGAAAAGATCAAGATCTACCCGAGCGATCGGAACGAGGTGTTGGGAGGGGACCCGACCACCCACAAGACAGGTGCGTACTTTCTCCCGTGCTGTCCACGCAAACTGACGGACCAGGCAATATTGTTTCCGGCGGCCGAGCTGGCTCTGCGGCGCATGACCCGTTTTCGCTTGGACGACGCGTCGACATCCTCCGGACGGGCAACCAGATGGCGATTTCATCCTACATCGCGGAGGAGGACACGTCCTTCCACGGGCTGGAGGTGCCGTTCCGGAACTTCAACCTCGCTCTTTTGGACAATGTCTCGGCGGAGTACTCATTCGTGACGGAGATGTTCTCGTCGCTGTCCTTCCAGCAGATCTCGCGCAAAGCGGTGGAGATCTTCGAGCCGGTTTTTGCTCTCGGGCAGAGCATGACGAAGCAGCTGATCGAGCACGCGACGGACGCACTGGGGGTGCTGATGTGCGTGCGGCTGAACCAGCAGGCGGCGTTCGAGCTGCAGCGCCGCAAGGTGCCCGTGGCCGACTCGTACATCAACGGGGTGAACATGCAGCTGTGGCCGCGGTTCCAGGTGATCATGGACACGCAGTGCGAGTCGCTGAAGCGGGTGGCGGTGAACACGGGGCGCAGTGCGGTGTCGGCGCTGTCGATCGCGGGGGGCGACGACCTGAACAAGTCGTCGGCGCCGCACTTCCTCACGCAGCGGTTCGGCCAGCTGCTGCACGGCATCCTGGTGCTCAGCAGCGAGGCCGGGGACGACGAGCCGGTGGCGAACAGCCTGGGCCGGTTGACGGCGGAATTCGACAACCTGCTGGCCAAGCTCAGCCGCATTGGCGGCGACGCCAAACGGAGAGAGCGCTTTCTGTACAACAACTACTCGCTTGTTCTGGCTATTATCAGTGATACCCATGGCAAATTAGCAGCCGAGCAGAAGCAGGTACGTGTGTGATGATGACGATGACATTAGTTGGCGGAAAACTGACTTGGACAGCACTTGGAAGACATGCTTAAGAATGTCGGGAAGCGTGGTTAATAGTAGATGATTGTAGATCGATCTGATTTTGCATAGCCTGGTAGCAGCCTCGAGACTTCTTTTATATATATGGAGTAGTTCTTAATTGATAACCTATTTTTTTCAAAAAATAATTTATACATGAGTAATACGCAAAAGCTGAAATAGAGATCAACAACCATGGCAACTACTGAACCTATCGTTAAACTAATCTTTAACTGTGTGTATATATCATAAACATGACTGTCTATACGGACTATGAATGCCATCTTTATCTACTTATCGCCTCGGCCCTTTGCCGACAACGGCACCGCCTCGACTCCACACATCAATCACGACACAGTGGGGAACATCATCGTCGTCTCCTCACCCCTCCCTACGTACCATGTCCATGTCCATGTTCTATTAACCCCGCCCTGAACTCCCTGCAAGCAGCGCAGCAGCAGAAGCAGACATAATAACATGGCCACGCGCGCCCTTCGGTCCCTGTCTCTGCCTTCGCGCGGGCGCGGGTTCGCCAGCTCGCGCGCCTCGCGGGCCGACGTCACTCATGCGGTAAGCCAGCTAGCCAGCCAGCCATGGACAGCATGGACAGCGTGGGCATGGATAGCTAGCTATAGTCAGAACGGGAATTGAGAACCGACAACTGACAATTGATGATTGACTGTAGGTCATCGGCGGCGGAGTCGTCGGATTGGCGGTGGCGCGGCAGCTCGCGATGAAGGAGGGGACGTCGACGGTGTTGCTGGAGAGGCATGAGGGGCCGGGGATGGAGACGAGTAGTCGCAATTCGGAGGTGAGAGTCTTTTCTTTACGGCAATGCGATAACATCTACATGTTCTTATTCCACTCACTGGCTACAATCCCCACGCCAATCCTACACCTATAACAACCGTACCCTACACTACAACCAACAATCCCCTAGTCAAGACCTCCCCAACACAGTCACCAGCCACTAACACACCCAAACCCAGGTAATCCACGCCGGGCTATACTACGGCACCTCGACGCTGAAAACGACGCTCTGCATCCGGGGCAAGCAACTGCTCTACTCGCTGTGTGAAAGACAACAAATCCCCCACCGCAACACCTCCAAATGGATCGTCGCGCAGACCGCCGAACAATGGGCCGCGTGTCTCCGCACGCACGCACACGCGCAGAACATCGGGGTGCCGACCCGGATCCTCAGCGCGTCGGAAGCGCGGCGTCGCGAACCAGAAGTCCAAGCGCTGGCGGGAGTAGTCGAGAGCCCGACGACGGGGATCGTGGACAGCCACTCCCTGATGCTGTATCTGCAGGGCGACTACGAGGAGCGCGGGGGGGACATGGCCTTCCTGACGACTGTCACGGGGATTGAGCACCTCGGATCGGGCGACGGGTACAGAATCAAGACGGTGTCGGCGGACGGCACAGAGAGTGAGATCACCGCCGAGACGGTGATCAACAGCGCTGGCAACGGCGCGTGCGCTATCAATAACATGCTCCTCCCGCCTGCCCGACACCGCAAGGCGTACTACGCCAAGGGAACCTATTTCTCCTACTCGGCCTCAAGACCCAAGACCTCCGTGCTGGTCTATCCGGCTACGTTACCTGGGTTCGGCGGCCTAGGGACACATCTCACCCTGGACATGGGCGGGCGGATCCGATTTGGGCCGGATGTCGAGTGGGTGGAGGACCCCGCGGACTTGAGGCCCAGTCCGGATCGCTTGCCGCAGGCGCTCGGCGAGATCAGGGCCTATTTGCCGAATGTGGATGTGCAGGCCATCGGGCTGGATTATTGTGGCATTCGGCCCAAGTTGGGCGATGGCGGCGCGGTCAATACCGGCAAGGGGTTCCAGGACTTTGTCATCCAGGAGGAGGAGGGGTTTCCGGGGTTTGTCAATTTGTTGGGCATTGAGAGTCCGGGGTTGACGAGTAGTTTGGCGATTGGGGAGAGGGTGGGGGAGATTTTGTATGGGTAGGGGATACTATCTTGTGGTGGAAGTCAGAAGGGAGAAGTGGGACGGGAAGCGAGGGCTGTAGATACATAGACGGACATAGACGGACATGGACATGGACATGGACACAACTATCGAGTGGTTGCCTCGCCTGCCTCGCCTGCCTTGCATACAGCACCAGCACATTGACAGCCATCAATCGGTACCTGCAAACTACCGGTTACTCCATACTGATAGACCGTAGTAAAAGTACCACACCTACCATACCTAGTACCTAGGTACGAGGTACACTGCACAACCTGCACCCTGCCTGCATCCGAACCCACCTGCCAGTCAGCAGCCAGCAGCCAGCAGCCAGCAGGTACAACCATGGTCAACCACCTCGCCGAGACAACAAACCCGATCCACATCCACATCCAGATCCCCCCATCCCCGGAACCGGGTCCAGCTCCAGCTCCACCTTAACTAAGCATTTGCCATCGCCATCAGGGTTACGTCAAGACTGTTTGACTGTTTGACTGTCTGGCCCGTCTGATCTTCATGCCCACACACACACACACACACACACAGTAAAAACAGAAATAGTTAAATTAAGTTAACAATAACAATAAGGAGAAAACCAGATCCAGACCCAGATCCAAAGTGAAATATGACGGATAGATAGATAGATAAATAGATAGATAGATAGATAGATCGATCGATCAAAGTGACATATCCAACCATGTTACTATTCTTGCGGCACGACTTACTCCCTCGGACCAGTCCTATGCTACTAGTAGTAGATCATGTAACTAACATGTACCAGTACCATGTAGGTATGGTAAAGGTGAGGTATCCCAAAGCGGAAGGAGGGCTTGCCACAGACGGGCCTGGACCGGCCGCGGATGACGCGTGCAAGAGAGAGAGAGTGAGTGAGTGAGTGTACTTACCGTAGTTACTGGATGATGCCCTGGCACTGGTACTGGCACTGGCACTGGCACTGACTGGTACTGGCACTGACTGACTGGGTACTGGTACTGGTACTCATACATACACTCCTACAGTTCCTATTTAATGACTGGAAATTCCCTATTCGATACTCTCATCCTCTCCACATGCATAACTATTGTTGATTGATTACATTCGATGCGACATATGCCTATATAACAGTGCTTAATATCTATCTATCTATCTATCTATCTATGTTGATGGTGTTGGGTTTTGAAGTTCTGAAGCTATATTGAAAGTGCTTCAATTTCGATAATTTCCTGACTTGGATCCAACTTTTACTATATCTCTGGTTACTTACTGCCTACTGCCAACTGCCAACTGCCAACTGCCAGAGATCCTGATTATTGTTCTATACTATTTCTCAGTACTGAACCATCACTACTGCTATACTATAACCAACCCTCAAGCCAAACCAAACCAAACCAAACCAAACCACAATAACACAACATAATAAAATAAAACACAGCAAAATGCCCTCCCGCCAACCACACTACCATCCCTACCACACCACAACCACAACCACACCACTCCCTCACCAAAAACCTCCCTCCCGGTCCTCCAAACCCACCACCAAATCCAACTCCAACTCCAACTCACGAGGAGGAAGAGGAGAAGGAAGAAAAGCAAAAGCAAAAGAAAGATGCTTCACCTGGCTCCTCCTCCCCTCCAGCAAAACCAACACGCACATCGCCAAGAACCGCTCCTCATTCAGCACGTACCGCCGAGCGCCATGCAAGATCGCGAACCAGCGAGTCCTGGGCGTGGGGACGGTGCAGCTGCGCGTGCAGCGGGCGCCCGACGATCCGCGCACGAACGTCCTGGTGCTGAGGGACGTGTTGCATGTTCCCGGGGCGAGGTGGAATGGGGTGGCGGTTGATAAGGCTGTAGGGGATTGTTCTGGGTCGGAGGGGGAAGGGGAGGGGGAGGGAGCGGAGTGGGATGTTCGGTCTCGGTCGAGTGTGGGGAGCTCGTCCGGGTCGGAGAGGGCGGTGGGGGTGCGTGAGAGGGAGTGTTTTCAGGTGAGGTGGGAGGTTTCGAGGGATCAGGATCGGGATCGGGATCAGGATCATCATGGTCATGGTCATGGGCAGTTGGGGGAGGGGTTGTGGTTTGCTAGGGAGAGGGATGGACATGGACATGGGTATGAGAATGAGAATGAACATGGGCTTGGGCTTGGACAGGACGGGCTGAGGGTTGTGTTGGCCGGGGAGCACGATGATGGCGAACTGGAAGGAGATGATGGCAGGGGCATGATGGGGGTGGTTGCGTCCAAGGAGGAGTTGGACATGTTGAGCGAACGAGTCAGGAATCGGTCGTGGGTTTGATCTTGACCCAAAAGGTATAATATAAATAGATGATATTGTTGCATGAACCATGTCATACGATATAATAAGAGGGGTGGTCTGGTAGCCTGCTGCCAGAGCCTGACTGGAATTGAATCAGCCTCATCGCACGCGGTCTGGATGCCCTTCTCGGTCGAGGGTCGAGTGATTGCTTGACAGATGCGAGTCGAGTGACGCTGGTAGTAGTATCACTCCACCTCCATCAACACATCGCTCATAATATGCAACACATACGCATACTTCCTCACGCTCCACTTCCCCGTATCCTTCAACAGGCCGGCATAGTCCAGCAAAATGCGTCTGGCGGGCTGATACCCGCCCTGAACCGGAACTCCACGGAGATACAGCGTGCCTCCATTTCGAATAAAGCCGACCACCGGTTCTTCCACCAGAAAACGCCGGCTCTGACTCCCCCCCGGCTCCATGAAGTTCGTGAACCCCTCCGTGCCCACCTTCCGCCAGTCGACATCATCGAGCAGTTCGACGGAAGTCCCGCCGGGCTCGCCGGCATTGGGGACCATGAATACATATAGACCGAGGACGAGGGCAGCGGAGAACAGAGAGAAAACGGAGTGGAACATCATGTGATCGGACGCTTTACGGTTCGTCATTGCCTTGTAGATGTGTGCTGCGTGCAGACAGGCGCGTCTGGCGGCGGGGGTCTGCGACCAGGCTGCGATATCGTCGAGGGCTTTCTGCGCAGGGCCAGGCCCGGAGCGACCGGCGGCCATGTCGAAGATCTGCGTGTCGGCGGTCAGGGTCATGCACATGTTGTGCCACATGACGGCGGCGTTGGGGTTGAGCAGATCGCCGTATCTGTCCGCGAGCTGCAGCTGGAGAGACGGGAGACACCGGGCGCGGCCGTCCATGGCGTATGTGTGGCACGGGGCGAACGGGTAGCTGGCGCGATTGGATAGGAGACGGTAGTAGGCTTCGGAGAGTCGCAGCTGGACCAGTGCGAGCACGCCGTACATGCATAAATCGTCTACCGGACGGTCGAGATCTGGGACGCCGATTCTGTCTGACGGTGTTGCGATAGTGGGTGCTGTCATGTGCTCGGTGGTGATGAGTTGCATCCACCGTGTGGAAGACGGCGCGCGAAAGAGCGTTTCCTTGCATGGCAGGATGAGCTGGATGGAGTCCGGCACCACGATCGGGCTGGTGGACATGAACGACGAGTACCACGAGTCCAGCAGCAACAGCCCGGCGATTAGCCTGTGAGGTCAGCTCCGTCATCAGGTGTTCGGGCGACTTACCGTTTAACGGACTCGACTTTGCCCCAAGCCTTCCATCGCTCGTCGGGGACCGCGTCGAATAGGTTCGTGTCGAGCAGCTGTCCTTCCGTAGCTGCAAACAGGCCATGCCGTTGTGCAATCTGCATGTCTTAGCCCGATTCATCAACATAAGGATATTATTGACAGAAACAAGGACCTTCCTAGCTGGAAGGCTGTCGAGACCGTTTAGTCTAGAGGTAGATGTCTGGTTTCAGGATATACATACCGATATGAGATTCACATAGAGCATCTGGCACTTTTCGAGATGTTCCTTCTCCTGTAAACGTCAGTAAGTCCCCACACATCTCCTCTTAACGTACCCCTGTCATAGCAGCCAGGTTCAGAAACAAAAAGGCAGCGGCGAATGTCGACATCGTCGCCAAGGAACCCTCGACGCCCACGGAGCATTTGGCGAGATCGGCCGTAATGCTCTCAAGCATGAACTGCGGACATCAGCAACCAACCCATCCACGGAGCTATGAAATCTAGATGCACACACATAAAAGTTGCCGGAAACAAAGTTAATCGTCCCCTTTGTCCCCAGTAGCATCATCCCCATCAGACACATAGCGTAGAGCAGAGATGGACGGGTATCCCTAGCCGAAAACGTCGGCACATGGATGAACGGAACCAGCGGGTGAAATTCGCGAAAGTACAAGTCCAGCGCCATATCGAGGACCTCAGCCGGGGGGAAACTCGCGGGGTTGTAGAGCGAGACTGGGTCCTTCGATGAACGTCCAAACGCTGCAGCCAGACGCTGTCGACACTCCTCGTCGAGGCCATATCGCGATCCCTGCAGATAGCCAGACGGGCCGGACTGCGCTGATCTGAATGCGAATACGTTGTCCCAGTCGCTGTAGGCTACGTCGTGCCACAGCGTGTTCATGAGACGGCCGGTGTTGTTGGCTGGAGCGAGCCAGTAGCGCTGGACGCGCGAAAACCGCTCGTTGGGGATGTCTTTCCCTGATTTCGAGCCCGCGCTGTCGACGGAGGGCCGAGGCTGCACCGGTGTCATGCCCCCCTCGCCTAGCAGACCGAAACTCGGCATATCCAACGACTCGTGTTGCGAGACCGAGTCCCCCTGCGGTTCCAGCCAGAGCTGCAGCATGTCATTGGGCATCGGGTCGAGGATCGTGCCTCGGTAGTATTGTTGGTCCGGGGGGTCATTCCAGCCGAAATACCCGGGCTGTTCGTTGGCAATAACAGGCTCCGTGCGAGACTGGTGAGCCGAGACATTGGCGAGGAAGTCCAAGGACGAGGAGGGGAGGGGCGGGGCGGGAAGTGGCATAATGCGAGGGCGTTGGACCGGGCGATTGTCCACACCTATGCCGGGGATATAGCTCTGGGTGTCATTTGCGATTGGCGGCGCGACAGGGGGTTGGGTTTGCGCGGGCTGGCCTGCTGGCGCATTGGCCGGAGCTGAGTTGTGGCCTTTGGCATGGCGACTCAGAACGTCGCTGCCAGTGTCAACACTGGCCTATGCACTGGTAAGCATGGTCCAACACTTACCTCCGGGAAAACCGCTTGTGGCAGACGCTGCACTCGTAGGGCTTCTCCTTCGTGTCTAGCCGATGTTAGCAGCGGACGAGGAAAATGCGGGAGACGGACGTGAGCGCTCGTGGCGTTTGAAATGCTCCGTTTTCTTGAATCGCCGGTCGCAGATGGTGCACTTTCGCGGGACCATGATCTAGGATCTTGAGGGCAGGTCAGAGCGGATGCATAGCTAGCGTTGGCGATAGAAGTTGTGGAGAGATGGAATAATGAGAGGAGACGAGATTGAGATGGAGCTTCCGGGAGTGGTTAGCGGGAAGTCCGTCACTGCCGAGACGGTGGGGCGACGGTTACCGCCCGGTACGTGTATTTTACGCCGACTGTCAGCCACGAGATCCCCACATGGACTGACGACTCTGTACTACTTTATATGCAGTCAGAATGTCAGTTAGATTCAATCTCCTACTCTATCTATAGTCGCGATTACTTGAACAACAAACAAAAGAAACAATAAAAGAGTGACGGCGAATAGAGGACAGAGAGCCCACAGCAATTGGACCCATCCACCAGACCACCAACTGTCCTGTGACTGACTGACTACCTTAGACCTCCGGCTTCCCCCCCCACCAGGCCCTCCTCCTCCTTCCCAGCAACAGCAACAGCATCAGCGACAGCATCAGCAACAGCAGTACTCATCCTCTCCTCACTAAACGCCAACCCCAGCCTCCCAAAATCCCACCCCTTCCCCAGCAGCACAAACCCGAACCCCAGCACAGGAACCATCAACACATCCAAGACCCCAAAAACACCATCCCCCCGGTAACCCCCACCACGCCGCTCGCCTCACACACGCCAAACGCCACGGGATACAGAGCCCAGAGCACATTCAACCACCCCGCCAGGAGCATATAATCCCTGGCCACGCCTTGTTTCTGCGCAGCCTCGCGACTCTCGTTCAGCGTGCTCATGGCCAGAATGACGTAGGCGAAGGTGCCGAAGGCGAAGAAGCCCCATTTGTAGGAGCTGGGGGTGAAGGCGGCGGCCAGGTAGGTGAGGACCCACAGCCAGGTGAGGGAGATGTTGCAGATGATGGTGGTCCAGGAGACGTTGGAGAGGAGGCCCAGGGCTAGGACGACGGAGGGGAATGAGACCGTCCAGTTGATGTAGCGCGCGTAAAAGAGTTGGCGGGTCGGGGTGGTGCTGGTCGTGGTCCAGCCGAGGTCGGAGGCTTGCGCGTAGTAGGTTACTGCGCCGACCATCAGGGCCACGGTAAAGAGGTAGTGGAAGACCCGGTAGCTTTCGGGGGCCGTGAAGCAGAGGGTGAGGAGGCCGAGCTGGGGGAGTGGTTAGTTGGGATCATGGATGGGATAAGAATAAGTTGATGGAATTGAGGGGAAAGGAAAGAGGCAGAGAGGGAGGGAGGGGCTCACGAAGGCGAAGATGTAGATGGCTGTCACGGCCCAGAGCCAGTCGGATCCGTGCTGCGATAAGACCTCTGCTGCCCCGGTGGGGGCGTTGATGCTGAGGACGTCGTTTCCTCGCGCTAGGATGTCCATGATGGCTCACTTGATTAATTGTGTTAGAATATTGGTGTCTGTGAATATGGGTTGACTGTGTCTATCTGAATCTCGCAAGCAAGTAGGACAGAAGAAGCCTCTTATACCCGGACCTTCCATCTTGCATCCAACTCTACGGAAAATGTATTGCTGAGATCTTGGTGTCGGGAAAACAAATCGCAGGTAGCCTAGTTTAAAGAGATTGATATTCCGATGGATCATTGCAGCCCAGACGAAAACATTATTCCGCATCATTATTCCGGGTGGATCGGGATCGGGATCGGCCTGCAGCCATGCAGAGCCAATCGGCCCGAAGTAATAGCTGATTTGCATTTGGACCGGCGGGAACGACCCGATCAGTCAATACATCTGAGCTGCGGTTGGAGGACCGCTCGGGTGACTCTTACACATGTCGCTGCTGCTGACATAAAATAGCAAAGAAATAATGGCTTCTGATATAATCACCACCAAACCATTTTGCGAGACCTTGAATTGAAATGAAGATGTCTCAAGGCTCCCTGATGCGGCAGCCCCACTGCGTGGAGCCATGTGGGAGTGGCGTTACGATACCGTACCAGCAGCGGTATATCAACCGCCCTATGAGTGAATATACTAAAGACCATCCACGGTGTGAGAAAGCTAATATACATTGCCAACACTCTACACTCTACACTCTACACAGTACATCCCGCACACTTAACAGACTCCCCATCTAATCCAGCGCCAAAACAAAGCTAAGTCCGCCACCCCGTCGCGCGCAACGTGCTTCTTCTACGGCACACTTGCTGATCCAGCAATGCTCACTGAAATCCTATTCTTAGACGAAAAGCCCATCCTCCGACCAGCTTACATGATAGGCTATGAATGTAAGCTGTGGGGACAGTATCCTGCCTTGCTTGATGCCCCTGGCTCAATCGTTCGAGGTGTTGCCTACCACGTGCACACGGTGGAGAATGGAGAGAAGCTTGCCGCATATGAGACAGACAACTACCGCATCGAGCCTTGTCTTATCAATTACACAGACAATCATGAGTCGGAGGAGGATCTCGGATACACATTCAAATTTGCGGGGAATCCAAATGACCTTAGTGATGGCATCTTTGACTTGGGAGTTTGGTTGAAGCGGATGGGGAGGGATGGCAGGTCTTGTTGATGGGACCTACTTAATGTATTCATTCCAGTCAACAGTGCTTTGATACTTGGCTGTAACTAGATCCATTTGGACCGCTCGTGCAGTCAGACTGTTTCCCAAATGCCGAGTGAAAGGCCATAGTCTCGTAAGTTGTCGGCACTGACTGTTGAAGGACTGGCTGCTATTTGTACTGAGGCGGTGTCGCGTCCCGGTCCATGGGATTACTGGCGAGACTCCCCTGGTTCCACTGATTATAAATATATACTAGAAGCTTCCACACACGAAAGAGGTCATTGTCGCGGAGGCTAACGGGGTTCACTGTAGAATTTGGGAACAACGTCGGGTGTGCTTCCAAAAAGCGATGGATGTACCAGATCATGTTTAGGACAACGATATTTTTTGCTGTCACTAGACCACCGATCCGGGGTGGCGAGCCAGCATCAAACAGCGCCCCATATAGGGGAACCTCAGTCGTAGCAAATAGTCGTGACACTGTCACCGGCGCCGGTCTTGTGGTTGATACAAGGCCAAATACCGCCTGGCGATCATTCACCCACTGGTTGAGGAGATTGCTCGTGTTGGGGTCGGTGTAGAACAGGTCATTTATCTGGGATGTCTTTTGGAAGCCCAGTGCTCCTGCAAGGGCGCGTGCATCTTTATCTAGAGAGTCCGCAAACTCCTCTGTGTAGGGGATGTTGTAGTTGCTGTACTTTGTGTTCATGATGATTGTTGCTTAGATAGAGCTGGGGAGTAAAAGAATAGAGCGTAAGGGACACGGAAGATGGAGTAATGGGTTGGGAGAAGTAAAATGATGCAGAAAGAGACATCATAAGGGGAGGTGGATGAAGACTGCAGAAGTTGTTATTGTTGTGCAGGGCATAGTACCTTCCTGTTTTGATTGGCATTGAGGCATCTGACTCAAATCCTATATGGAAAGTACAGCAGGGAGAGGAAGAAGAAGAAGAAGGAAGAGAGAGGAAGAGAGAGGAAGAGGGAGGAACAGAGAGGAAGAGGAAGGAAGAGGCAGTCACTGGCAGGCACAAACCTGAGGCACCGCTCGGATGTCCCTCCCCCAGCCTAGTAGGTACTCAGTAAGTAACACCACTTTATCCATCCCAGTGTATTTCTCCCCTTCCCCCTCCCGCTCCCCCTTTCTCTCCACCAAAGCTGACCACCGTCTCAAAACTCCACATGAAACCGTCTACTCTCGCGAATCCGCTCCCCATACAGATACAGGAAGAACGGAACCGGCAGAAAAGCCACGGATATAAATCCCAGGACCGAGTTCCCCCAGCCGACTCCCAAGGCGCTGAACATGGCGTTGCCAGCCAGAGGGAGCAGAGAGCCGAAGAGACACCGAAGAATGGTGCTGGAGGCGGTTACTGACGCGGCGTACACGGTGTACGCGTCGACTAGGTACATAGAACTGGCCATCTGGTTGTTGTCAGTTGACCGTTTTACAGCAGTCGCGTCGATAGTCATCGAACAGAACACGGGAGAAGGAAAAGGGCACTCACATAAGTCACTATCATTCCCGACCCCACAAACCCCGTCCCAATAATCGGCACAATCCAATGCGTCTTACTCTCTGCTGTCCACCCATACCAGAACAGTCCGATGGGGACACAAACCCCCCCAATAGCCAGAGTAGGCAACCGATACTCCGGCTTCGGCTCCCCGCCATTTCTCTTCGTCAGATACGCGGACAGTCTCTCCACAGACACACCGCAGATAACAACCCCGACCGCAGAACCGAGTGCCAGACCCAGAGTCGCCAGACCCGACGCCCCGCTACCGAAGCCATACTGGTCTGCGAAGACAAGCGGGAAGGTGGTGAAGCATAGGTACATGTAGCTGTACACCACCGCAGCATAGAGGGACAGCGCGAAGACAATCGGCGAGAGAAGCATCTTCAGGGGTCGCCAGATCGAAAACGTGAATAGCTCGCGGGGCGTTCGCCCCGTGTCCAACGCGGAACGGAGATTCGGGTTGCCTGTTTCTTTGCGCAGACGCCGCGTCTTTTGCTGGAGCAGCACGTACGGGTAAGACTCGTGTACGAAGAGAATGACAACCACGGCCACAACACCCGCCAATATAGCCAGCAGCCAAAAATTCCAGCGCCAGCCTGCCGCTGGAGTTAGATAGCCTCCGCAGATGGGCCCGATGGTGGGTCCGAGGACTGACCCGAGGACGTATGCTGCCATGGCCCCGGCGCGTTTCTCGCGGGGGATCATGTCGGCGATAGACCCTGTGCCGAGGGTAACGGGGCAGGAGCCCCAGACACCGGCAAGCAGTCGAAAGACGATCAGGGAGGGGAGAGTATTGGCGACAGCGCAGGCGATGTTGAAGATCACGAAGAGAACCATGCAGATCTTGTACAGCGGTGCGCGGCCGTATAGTTCGGAGAGGGGGGCAATAGCAATGGGTCCGAAGGTGTAGCCCAGGAGGTAGACGGTGGTGATAAAGGACTCGAGGGAGGCGTTGGTGGAGTGAAAGTGGGACATGATGTCGGGGGCGCCGGCCGAGCTGATGGTTGAGCCGATGGGGCTGGATGGGTTAGCTGTGGCCGAGACAGTGGGTGGTGTACGCACGAGAGCATTGTCATAACCGAAACAATGGCTATGGTCATCGTCTTCTTGGTAGCGGACCAGTTCATCGGATTCTCAGGGTCATTGGGTCCGTCGAAGTCGACAATATTGGGATCTTTGGTCTTTTCGTCGGCGGATGAGTGCTCGACATCGTCGAGCTGGGTGATGGCTGACTTGAAGCCAGCTTCTGGGGCTAATGTGGTATCTGACATGATGGACTAGCGAGAACAATTAAGGTAACGCAGAGACTGACTGTTCAAGTATAGGTAATATTGGATTGGAGGGCCCGGTAGGAAGTAGTTATATACCTCGCTGTTTACTGTTTACTTGGAGAAACCAACGCACCCAGCTAGACCCAAAACACCCCCCCCCCCCTCCTTATTCGACTCAAAGTCCAGTACGGATTTTACTAAACCAATCTACCCAATTACTTACCCAACACCTCCGCGGAGGCCAGGACGCCGACAAGCCCAAGCTCCGAGATAGACCTGCCGCGGAGTATCCGCGGAGTGAGTGAGTGGGCCGGCCGATCAGCATGACATGACATCTGATTAAAGAACAACCACCCATCAACAATACAATATCATACTCAGCCAACTCACCCCTTCCAAAACACCCTCCCCTCCATCAACCGCCTCGCCGTCCGAAACACCGTCGCGAAGCTGACATCCCCCCGCTCATCAAACCTGGCATCCACCTCCAAAGTCCCACTTGCATGAGCAATCACCAACCCGGACCCCGACCCCGACCCCGAGTCCGCCTGCCCATCCCCATCCCGAACCACACATGTCGACACAACAGTCCCCTCCATATTCGCCGCCGTAGCCAGCGCCAACGCCACCGTCACCGGGACCGCCTTATGCGGCTGTCCCACCGACATAGCACGCACAACGACATTCCCATTCCCAACCAAACCCTCCCCCTCCCCCTCCTCCCCACCCCCAGGTCTCGAAACAAACCCAATTTTCGGCACACTCCCCGGGACGTCATCCTCCGTTCCAGCCAGACCCATCTTCACGCCCGCCTGACGACGAATAGATTCCAGCTGGGCTTTGAGGGACGGATGATCATCGATCTGCTGGGGGGTGAGGACGCCCGAGACGCCGAGAGCGGAAGCCTCGACAAAGCAGCAGGGGTTTCCGGCGTCGATGCACGTCACGGGGACGGCGTCGATCGTGTCGATGTGGTTTCCTGTGGGGAAGAGATGGCCGGTGCGGGAGCCGGCGGGGTCGATGAAGCGTAGCTCAATCCGGCTGGCGGTGCCGGCGACGCCGTCGATCGCGAAGGAGCCGTCGGCTTGGGCTTCGCCGTCGATGATGGGGAAGTTGGCGTGGATGATTTTGTTGGTGTTTGTGTTGAGGATGCGGACCGTGGTTGTGGTGGATTCGGAGGAGGAAAGGGGGATCATGCCGGAGTCGATGGCGAAGGGGCCGACGGCGGCGGACATGTTTCCGCAGTTGCTGGATAGGTCGACGTGGGGGGTTTTGATCCCGAGGGAGATGAAGGTGTAGTCGACGTCGGCGTCAGGGTGGGTTGATGGCCCCACGACGCAGACTTTCGACAGGCTGGAGATGCCCCCGCCCATGCCGTCGAGTTGTCGGCCGTAGGGGTCGGGGGATCCGATGCAGCCCAGTAGGATGGGGTCCCATTGGGTTTGGTCCGGGGGGAGGTCTTCCCGCCGGATCATGATGGCCCGGGATGTTCCCCCGCGGTAGTAGGCCGCGGGGAGGCTCTGTTGACGGCGGGCTTGGGTGAACCGTTGCATTGTCGTGGACAGGGGACGGACGCACTGGTGGGCGAGGCGCGGACTGGCGGAGGGGCGGACGGCGATTCTTAAGGATTGGAGGGATTTCATGATCTGGTCGGGTTAGTATCGTATCCGATGACTCCGAGCTTCTGGGGCCTATAAGATTGACTCACTAGGGTTGTGTTCCCACTCTCGAACGCAGCGGCGGATACCCTGATGCTGATGTTGTGCGGGGAAGGATGCCAAATAAGTTATAACAATAACATTCAGAGTGGCTGCCTTGTCGTTTGGCCGCCCGGAACGATCCGAGCACACCCTACAACCCTCGGATGGTTCCGTCGCCTGCCATTGGTACTATTTAACCCTCATCAGCCAATGCAGCCTGCAGCCTTACCATAGCTGGCTGGCTTGTACCCCGTATTTGCATATTCATTGACATCATGGCCCCCCGTCATGCCATTGAATCCCTAAGCCGCTTCAACATCCTGCGACGTAAGTCTCCCGGCAAACACCTCTACAAAGTTTGAGCCCCCGCAATGTATAGTACTATAGATGATCCGCAGGAGTCAAGCATGATCAACGTACCCAAGTACCGATTGCGCAGGCTGGACAAACCCATCGCCAAGTACCCTGTCAGCTTGTATGTTGCACACATCACTTCCCCGCCCTCAGCCTCACGGGAAACTCCATAAGATGTGAGCTTTTCTCGGAGTTCCGGTCCCTTTACAGCGCTGCGTCAGTCCTCTGTTGAAATCTGTCTCGCAATCAGCTGAACGGCTGATTCTCATTGTCGATAATGCCAGACGACATAGCCCAGCCGGGTTCCAGCCATGTTGAGAACAGCCCAGATGCTATCCCAGGAGTGCCGAGAAATCCCATCGAGTATGCAGCCTTGGAGAGACAGCTTGTCCGCAAGGTCGACTGGCGACTGATGCCAGTTCTAGTGTTGATGATCGTCCTGAAGTTGACAGCCCCTCTGATATCGCCCTGCGAATCCTGATGCTGACCCCACCAGCTACCTCGACCGCAATGCGCTTCCCAACGCTCGCGTCCAGGGCATCGAGACCGACCTAGGCCTCAAAGGCGATGACTACAATGTCGCCATATCGGTTCTCTTTGCCGGCTATATCGCTCTGCAGATTCCCTCCAACATGCTTCCGACCCGGGTCCGCCCCAGCATTTACCTCCCCTTCTGCATGGCTCTTTGGGGAATAGTGAAGGACTTCCGCGGGTTGGTCATATGTCGGTTTTCCCTGGGATTCCTCGAAGCACCGTTTTTTCCCGGAGCACTGTTTCTGTTGTCGAGCTGGTACACCCCCAAAGAGCTGGCCACCCGGACGGCGGTGCTGTATACCGGCAGTTTGCTGTCCGGGGGCTTCGGGGGACTGGTTGGTGCAGGGGTCCAATACGGGCTGAACAATGTACATGGACTTCTCTCCTGGAAGCGGCTGTTTATCCTCAAGGGCATCATTACTGTCGGAGTATCCCTGCTATCCATCTTTATCTTGGTCGACTTCCCATCGACAACGCGGGGCCTCGCGGATCAGGAGCGGGCGATCGCCATCCACCGACTGCACCGACATAGCGGCACTGTTGACGAAGCAAAAGGACCAATCCTCCAGGGCATCAAGATGGCGATCGTCGATTACAAGGTCTGGCTCCTGACTGCCATCATCATCACCAAAACCAGCGCAGGCGCCGTCACATCGTTCATCCCGACTCTGGTTGCAACCTTCAAATTCAGCGCGGTTCAATGGCTGCTCATGGTCGCCCCGCCATATGTCTTTGCCGCCATGGTCGCCCTGGCCATCTCTATGTCCAGCGACAAGCACTCCGAGCGTTATTTTCACTTGGTCACACCACTGGTTGCAGGGCTAGCGGGGTATACCATCGCAGCGACTAGCACGGCGTTGGCACCGCGGTATTTCTCGCTCTTCCTGATGCTCGGAGGAGTGTACGGGAGTTACGACATCTCCCTGGCGTGGATGGATTTTCTCGCGGTAGGACCTGAAACGCCTCTCCATCCACCGGGGAGCCTGATACTGACCATATAGATCCCCCGACCCCTAGAAAAACGTGCTGCCGCATTCGCCATCGCCAACATGGTCGGGAACTTCGCCCAGATCTACTCACCATACATGTATAACGCCAACACCGGCCCACGATATCTAGCCGCGATGGTAGCCAACTCCGTATTCGTCTTTGCATCCATCTGCGTGGCCACTGTGTTGCGCTTCTGCCTTGTCTGGGAGAATCAGAGGTTAGAGGCGGCTGAGATGGCGGGCAGGGAAGCTGAGCCTGACTCCAAGCCGGGGGATGTGGTCCAACGGGGCCCGGGTGGGGTGGTGAGATTGAGGTCTGGGTTTAGATATACGCTATGATCGGTTTGCTCCGGTAGGAGGGCTTTGTATAAGCTGTGTCTTATTTGTTGATATCTTGTTGGGAGGAGAGGCTTTGCGGCTGGACCCTGCTTGTGAACTGATGAGTCGAGGGGTTATTACTTGCCACGGCTCGAGATGAAAGCCTCCAGGTTGTCGCTGGTTGGTAGGTGCTTGCTTTCCAGACAGAGGAGGTTGAAGAGGAGAAGAGAGAGAGAGAGAGAGGAGAATCCCGGCTTAATTACCAGTGGCGATCACCTGACCAGGCACACGCTTCACGCACTTGCAGCAAACAAAACAACCCAACAGCACGGTGCAGAAACCAACAGAAAAAGGCCTTTTTGAAAGTACTACTAGTATATGCCTTGCGCATCTCACCTGCATATCACACGTTTTATCAATGTCAAAGAAAATAAAGATAACCTGTCTGCCCAACTGCACACTTAAAACGCTTGCATACCACCTGTTTCCAGGAGAAAGTACTTAGTACATAGTAGTAGTGAGTAGTTCCCATGTAGAAGAATCTGCATTAATATCTATATAAAGATCCAGTAGTTGCTGCGGGCACCAACAGGATGATCCGATTTACCGCCAGCCGGGTGCATATGCACCCACACCGTGACACCCGACATCATTGTCTAGTCTGCTAGCCGCCGTGTCTATGGGTGCTACAGTGGTTGAACAGCAGCAGCATCACACAAGCCTTTCTATCATTTGCCACGACACTTTGACTAACAGATGTACCATGGACGCTAGAATTGACACACCACTAGGCTAGGTGAGGTGGCCCCAGATTTAGCCGCGCAGCTACGAATGGCGTATATGTAGTAGGGAAAGCCTGGCAGAAATGGGGGCGCCTTCGAGATCTTATGTTTCTCAGGCTGACGTTTATGGTCGAAAATTGATTCTGGCAAGGACTGCTAGATGACCTACGAGTCTGTCGAGTCGAATCAGAGACAGACAGACAGACAGTTGGTGGCTGGTTTGGATCTGTCCCCATACTATCAAACAGGCTACTATCCTTGGCTATGGCAAAGGGTATCATCAATCTACATATCGGACACAAACCGGATCATGGACTAGCAATATCTGGTACGCGTCTAACCCTCTTCTCTTCCCAGCAAGCAACTCTGACTTCATAATTCACTAACCGCTCCATACAGTGGACGGGCGAGAATCATCCACAGGCGCCCCAGAAACGCAGGACATCCTCCCCAATGGCCTGGGAAGCTGCCCCAAGAACGAAGGACCCAGATGGTACAGTGCCTGGCTCTCGGCACAATTCAACGAGCTCCCGGCCGAAGTCTTTGACATATTCCACTCCGAACACGAGCACTGCACCCCCGGAAGCCACTGGGACCTGTTCGTATCCGCCTTCCTCGCCATAGCCGAGAGCATAGTATCCACCAGCAACATAACCATCGACGGGGTGATCATCCAGCTCCTGGACAAACAGCTCATGCCAACCGATGCCTCCCCAGAAACCCTCCAGTACGCGCGCTACTTTATCTTCAGCGTTCTGGGCTGGCAAACCATGCTCTTCCAGCCCGCCCGGCCCACCGACCAGCCACAGCAACAGCCACAGCCACCCCAGCAGCTCGCAATCAACGAGCAGAGAGGATGCTGCGAGTTCACGCACATGGATCTCCAGCAGCCGATGGGCGTCTGCGCACACGAGCCCCTCAGCGAACTCCTCATGGGTTTCGGGATCCTCCTCCCCGCCACGAACATCTGTCTGAACGACGACCCAGACGTGCAGCAGGTCTTCCATCACCGGACAGAAGTCAACGCCAAGACGTTCAACGCGTACAGCCTGAGTTCTATCGCCGGCATCAGGATCAAATGGGTGGATGCGCTAGCGTGCCACTTGGAGTTCAACTCCACCACGAAGGAACTGTCGCTCTTTCGATTCCCGTCGTTTTGTCTGCTGAGTCTGGAGTCGTACGCTCGTCGACGACGTCGAGGGTGCATCCACGCCTGCGCTACGACCAGCAAATTGCGCTGTCAGTGGGCCACCGAGGAGGACGTGGATCAGCTGCTCCGCGAGATCCTTCTCTCCTACCGGCTGCTTTTCGCGCAGACGAAGAAAGCCCGTCGGGTTTTTCGCGCGGTGGATCCGTTCGCGCACGGCCCCAGGGAGAGTCGCGATTTGCTGTTGGGGAGCTTGTGTGGGAAGAGGAAGAACAATGATGACCGCAACAATAACAGTGATATGATGATGGTGTTGTGTGGATTGGGTGTTCCCCTGCAGAAAGAGACTTATTGTCTCCCGAGGGATTTTCCCGTCCTGCGGTATCGGATTACCGTCTTGCAGAGGCTGTTGGATACTACCACGGCGAGAACGTGGGCTCAGCTATGGAGGGATAAGAGGGATTCGGCGAACTGGTTGACCTTCTGGGCGGTCATCTTTTTTGGCGCCTTTGGGTCGTTGATGGCCTTTATGCAGGTTGTTTTGCAGTTTGTGCAGTTGTTTGTAACGTAGTTGGTGAGTTTGGACAGGTGGGTATGGGTGCTTGGACTGAATTGGCGACTGAATTGGGTTGTGATAGAGACAGAAGCGCTGTAATAGGTTTGTGGAGTCGCTTAAGATAGGCATAGCTGAAGCTAGAAGGTGTGAACACCCCCCTTTGTTCTATTCTATTTCCCTTTCGGCCCAGCTCTGGATAATACCCCGTGCCGTAGGTGCATACTCCTTCAGTTTCACATCACCCCCCTCGAGGAATGTGTTCGCCTGACTAAATGCCAAAGGTGGATCCTTCTTGGAGACAACAATATCTCTCCATCGTAGTGCCTCCTCATCCACGTGCGATAAATCCTCATAGAAGAGTCGACAGTTGGAGATATCGGCTGTGCAGCGATAGATGTGCAGTTTCAGAAGCATCCGGCCCAAGGAAGGCTTGCCATGAGAAATAACTCGGGAGCGATCCACCTTGACGGTCAGTTTCGTGTTCTCCATGTCGCATAAGACGGTGTATAGACCGTCGCTGTCGCGAAGGAGATGGCGGAGCATTGAGAAGTGCGCCTAGTACGTCAGAAATATCAATATAAGGAGGCTAGGCGGCTTACTCGACTGTGTGCTTGGCCCCATTTCTGTCAAATATTGGATTAGTATCTTTGCAGAAGTGAGTAGGGGGACGCAGACGTACCTTCGTCGTGGGATCATAATTCTCGAGGCCTCGGAGTCCGTCGACGCCCAGCTGGAGGTACATGTTATATGCGACTAGAGGTGTATGATCAGCAGCATAAACCAATGGACACATCGGATAGACTTACTATCATCAGGCGTAACCTCGCTCTGTGCCGTGTATCCGAAAATCCGGAGGATATCCAGATCATCAATGAGATAAGCGCCCACCAGCTCCGCTCTACATTCATCGACCGTCGTCGCTAGGTCATTGAATACGCCTGTCCAGGTCTGCCCGGGTCGATACCACGAATTGACAGGGTTCCCGGTGAGAGGGTCGACCGGGGGCTGGTTTTGATCGAAATTCAGACTTCCGTCTGAGGATTCAGTTAGGAATTTCCCCGTTCCATGACCGAGAATCTCATGCAATACCACCCAGATATAGTAGGCGTGGAACCGATGATTCTTGAATGTGGATTGCTCTTGTTCATCCACCATGTGGATGCCCCGTGCTCGATTGCTCTCGGCGATCATTCTGTTCGAGAAGATGATGTTCTTGTAGCCTGTTTCCTGGCGGATGTCGTTGTACTGCTCATGTCAGTAAAGGTCCTAAATGGCCGCGTAATGAGCAACTGACATTGGGCAGGTTAATCCCAGGAAAGATGATGCTGGAACAGTACACCAAACCTTGATAAATCAGCTATTGCTCTCCCACCAACTTCCAAGAAATCTAACTTACTATGAATACTCGAAAAGTCGGGCGGCTCGAACAATTCTTTCTCGAACGGCCCTTTGGCACCATCCTCATCCCCATCCACCCACGGAAGCTTATAAACCAGAGTATTCGCCCTGCTGGCAAGATTATTCAGTATCCTCGTCTCCCCTGGATCCGGGATCCCAACAATCCCTTCAAACTCCGCCCGAACACCCAACGGGTCCCGGTACGGCTCGACGAAGCCGAAGACCGATTCCACCGGCGGCGCTTTGTCCTTGACCCAAATTCGTTGCGAGGCGCGATAAGCCTCTAGATCGCCGGTTTGGAAGCTGTCGATAATTTTCTGGAGCATTTCCGTCTGCGCCGGGCTCGAAGCATGGGGGATAGCGGCTTGGAGACAATCACAGATGTGTGATAGCTCGTTTTTGTGGTCGCCTTTTGCAAGGTAGATTTTTGTGCCGTTGGAGTCGTGGGTCTGCAGAAGGGGTTTTCCCTCCGTGATGGATGCTTGCATGATGTCGTAGCAGTCCGCCCCGATTCTTCTCAGACGAGTATTCTCCGGCAGAATAGACTGCTCCTCCATGACTCTCGCTACCACCGCGACATCCTCCGCAGAATCCAGACAGTCTGCGCCCAGATAATAGGCCGACTGTGTCAAGGGCCCCGGCCGGCCTAGTCCCTGTGGAAGAGCATCAAGCATGGGCCCTTTAACCTCCTCCAACAACTTCCTTGCCGACGAGGACCCACCCGCCAATTTCTCCAAACATCCCCCCGTCACGTCCGGCGTGAACTTCTGGTCTCCGGATCCCTGTGCCCCATCAGCTGGTGCAAAATCTAACAGAAAATGCGATATTCCTCACGTAGTAATTCCCCACATTCGACAGAAATGTCGCCGCGTAATCGAGGAACCGCTCTACATCCTGGATATCCACTCCGCTTTCCGCAGCGAGTTGCTCCCAGTTCCCGTCACAGCTGCGGTATAGCGATATGATAAAGTCGAAGATGCCGGTAGCTTCGGGGGAGACTTGCCGGAGGATGATTCGCGTGCTGTTCCATGCTGCTCTTTGTGTGGAGGGTTTGTTAGACTTTGGGGTGTTGGGCAAGGGAAGTGGGGTGCATACTTGGCCAAGTGATGCGCGTAGAGCTTTTCCTGGGCGCTTAGGCTGGCAAAGGCGGGGGAGATGGACAGTTGGTATATTTGGGGAGTGGGCATTGTGGTGGTGGGTTTCAATGGATGGGAGTTGGAGGTGAAGGAGAGATGATGGTGGTGGTGGGGGGGGGGGGGGGGTTGTTATGGGATGAGGGATACCCCGCACGCATGGCACTAGAGGCGTTTAGACCGCCGCTAGTAGACAGGGGGCATCGTCTTGTGGCGTAGTTCGCATGGAAACTTTCTGCCCTGACAGATGGATCATGTAGGATTGCGTCCAATCGGACTTGAAAACACTTGGTAGATCGCATGAAAGTTTGATTGTGATGAAGTGCACCTTGAAGTCTAATCTATCGATCTGACCAGAGTACCGCCTAATGCAGCAATTTCTTCGATTATTTCCTTTGTAACTATGTCCAATTAACAGCCCTGCAGTTAGTTACATGTAAACTCAAACACCACCAGGGTTGGAGTCTTAATGCTTATATGCGATCAGAAGAACGAGGATGCATCGATCCCCGAAAACAGATCATCCCACTGGAACCCATCCAGCAACATCAGCTCCTCCAAGCCCTGAGCTAGTGGGTTGTAATATAATGGCTGGCCGTTCGCGACTGAAGTCTGATCCGGACTGCCACTCATTGGTTCACCTCTTGTGGATACCGAGGTTGTATTCGAGACGAGGGTTACAGATTCAGATCGCTCCATAGACGCCGGCAAGGCATTGATCGTCGGGGCAGTTGCAGAAACAGGGGCATTTCCCAGCTGTGGCGACGCGGATACCGGGGCCTGGCGATGCTTCTCCAAGACCTGCATGAGCGAATCATATAGATTTGCCGCCGCGAAGGAATACCTCCTCGCGTCATCGACAATCCTCAATGCTTCGGCGATCTCACCATGTCGGATCTCATTCTGTAAGGAGCCCGACCCCGACCCATGAATGCAGGCGTCCATCAAGAGCACGATAGTAGCCATGAAGACTCCGTACAGGAGACCCGATAGCCGTTGACGGATAAGCACGAAAGGGTGGCCGGTCCGTTCGAGGTAGATTTCCGTGCGAATGATCTGGCGGGCGGAGTTGAGACACGCGTCGCGGGAGGAGGCGTAGGTGGGGTTGTTGTTTGGTCCGGAGGTGAGGTAGGTGAGGTGCAGTTTGCAGCGCTGGGTGTGGATGATGGAGTTGAGGAGGTATGCTTGGATGAATATGTCTGTTTGGGAGTCCGGGTTGTGGTCGTATTGCTCGAGATGGAAAAAGGAGGGGATGTCGTGGATCAGATGGTCGAGTTCGAAGTCCATTGCCATAACGTGAGTGTGGTAGTTTGCACCGCCGGCGGACATGGGGTTACGGTCGACGATGTTGCGGGAGATTTCGGCGATGCGGATGCGCTGGAGGAAGTAGGACATTTCAGTGGGCTGGGATATGGGGAGGTCTATAGGCAGTTTGTTGTTGTTGAGGAGGTCGAGGTCGTTGATGTTGCGGGGTTTTTGGACCATCATTTGGCGTGGGTGGGATTGATATACGCCTTCACCGGGGCTACCGTGTCGTACAGCGAGCAGCCTGGGGTGGTTAGTGATGATGATTGTTGTGGGGATGGAGAGGGGATGTACCAGTCGGTAGCGATCAAGTACCACCATACTCGACGGCCAACTTCAGCCTGGAGGGTGTTCGCGGGGGCTGAATTGGACTCGTGGTCGATACGGTGGAGTCCTATCTCCCGGCCTAGCAATAGGCCGGTCGAGATTAGAGACCGGTAGCGCAGTGAGACGCCCTCCAGGTTGCAGATGATAAAAGACAGAATTATGATGCCCTGGATGGTCTCCAGTGCCAGTGCCGGGCCATCCTGCACCGCATTGAGCACGTCGTGTGTCGCCTTGATCCATAAAGGCGTCTGCGCGTTCGCTTGGGTCGATGATTCGAAGAGAGAGCCCTCGTCATCGAGTGATGTCCACACGTGCGTCGTGCTGGCAATAATACTGAGAAGTAGGACTAGGTGGCCCGGCTTGATGGGCTCTTGACTGCCGATCTGTCGGTAGACGTCGTCGATGACACTGGGCAAGGAGGGGTGATGTGTCACATGATGTATGTAACCGACGTTGGCTATGAACTTGTCGAGAAGCAGTCTGGCCTCATTGTACCGCGGTAGCCATACACATCGAGTCGGTTTACCCCGGTGCACTGAGTAGCTGGGGGCTTGCGGGATGGCCTGGATACTCTCGACCTTGAATACTATGTCATCAATGTAGACGGGTTTCTGTGGTCGTAAGCAATGTATTAATGACATTATGGAATGAATCAACGCACGGAAAAGCTCTGGGCCATGGAAACGCGCTCTAGATGGGCGACTACCTCGCCCACTTGACCCGGGCCGAACGAGGGAGTCTGCCCCATGTCCCGGGACGAACCGGGGTCAGAAGCTGGCGACGGCAAGGGAATGACATTGTCATTGTTATGAGTATCGCGCTGTTGTCTGGTGCTCTGGGCCACGCGCTTCTCCAGTTCTTGAGCGAGTCTTTTCAGTGCTTGTACCTCCGCCAGCAAGTCCCCCTGATCCAGCTGTGGTGAATGTGACGGTAGTGAGATGGGAGTGGGCGAGGGTTGTTGCTGCAGGGTCGGCGGATGATGTTGACTGGGGGTTATTCTCCGATGCACACGGGCATTTGGGCCAGATCCTGAAGCAAAATGGCACGTCTTACCGCGTGAGACGCAGTTGGTGCAGGGCAGGGGTCTATCGCAGCGCAGCTTGCGGCTGCGGCAGAACTCGCAGGAGTAGTGGCCTTTGCGATTTGAGCGGGTGGGCTCGCCTGGAGCGGGCATGACAGGCTGGCGAAGCGGTCATATTCTGTGGATTCAAGATGGGAGTGGTAGATGAGATTCCGTGGGAATGCCGTGGAGGAAGAGATGTTATATGCTCGGATCTCCGCTTCCCTTCCGCGGAAGTTCCACGGACGGCGCGATCGGCGATCGGCAATCGGGGCCGACTTCTGCGAGATGAGCTTAGCTATTCGCAGGGACCTGACTCACAAAGCAAATACCTGATTCCGGGGGGACTCTCGGATGGGTCCAAACCCCAAATAAATTAGTTCATAGAAAATGCCCGAACACGTGAAAGATGAGCAGTATCGATGCCGGATACTGTCATTCAACCTAAGAGATCACGTGACATACACAGGTATAGACTGGGTCATCCACCAATCAGAGATTTGTTGTATTTTTTTTCGATGGACTCCATACTCCGTCCTCATTCCTACAAGTCCCCTCCGCGATGGATTGGAGTGTCCAATTCGGACTCCGGACAGCCGGGCATTGATCCTATGCTACCAGCCTACCATACAACATTGACTGCAAAATCGCGGTTTCCAGTCCGATCACCACAGCATCCAGGGAACAAGCTCCTCGAAGTCGGAAAGTGCATCTTTCCCAAGCACCTCATCGCCTTCTAACTTCAGAATGTCATCTTTGAGATCCGCCGCTTTCTCCAAGTGCTCCGTGCTGTCTTTATCTTTTCCAAGCGCACCGACGACACAAGATAGCTTATAATATGCCCGGGCTACGTGGCGCAAACCTTCAATTGGGGGCAGTCCTTCCGCGATCTTGATACACTCGTCTAGCAGTTGGCTAGGAAATTAGAGGATGGTCCGACATGGCTCAAGTGTCTGAACTTACCACGACAGAGCAGGGTTATCTCCTTTCTCGAGGATGTCTGCAACCTGATACAGGGAATCGCAGACTTTGAGACGCTCTCCCAGACATTGTCTGCGAAACGCGAGGGCTTTCGAGACAAGGTTTAAGGCCTCGTCTTGCCGGCCTTGTGCCATCCTGATGCGGCTGAGTAGAACCATGTCCCTGAATCAATAAGGTCAGTACTGTAGGGTCATCTTACGTAGAATTTATTCGTACCCAGAAAATCGTGGATTGCCTGTCTTAAGGAAGGTCTCGTCGGTAAATTTTCTCAGCGAAGGACAACGCTTCAGCATCTCTTTCGCCTCGTCCGCTTTCCCCATCCGAAGAAGTAAGCTAGACATATTACTGTAAGAGTTGCCAATGCGATCGCTGCTGTTCTTCAGTCGAACGTCGATAGACTTTTGGAGGTAATCCCGAGCCCCATCAAGGTCTCCGAGCTCGGTGAGCGCGAGACTAAAGTTTACTAAATTCGCAGCCAGAAATACATCTTCGCTTGAAAGAGCGGCTGAGCGCAGCTTGTACGCCTTTTCAAAGGCTGCTAAAGCAGTCTGGGGGTGGCAAATATCCAAGTCAATCAGGCCCTGGAGATCGACAGCACTTGCGTATGCGAGAGAGCTTTCGTCGGAAAACTTTGCGAGAGCGATTTCCACGTACTTTCGAGCGATGCTGTAATTCTCTCGCTCGTACAGATACCTAATTTGATCAGCATCTAGTTGTCCCCGCAGTGCTTGGGACTTACCAGCTGCATCGCAACAGAAGCTCTGCAAATGCCTGGTTGCCCTCAGGAAAGATACTAAATCTATCATTTTGCTTTGTGAGGTTCTCAAGATGTGGTAGGCTTGCTTCGCAGCGGGTCCACGATGCAACCTGGTGGCCAACGTCGGCGCTATACGTATCAGGAAAGTTCGCTTTCAGAACATCGACCAAGACAGAAAATACGTCCCGTCGTTCATCGAGACTCATGCGACGGATTACCGCTCTTTGGACAAGCCGATGCATCTATACGATTCCACTTTCACTGGACTTGTCGATCAGAGCTCCTTGGAGTAAAGCCTCCTCGGCATCCAAAAAGCTGCATAGTAAGTTAGCATAAACAATCTCAATGTTCTGGCATGATCCTCACTCAATCTCATCCTTTGCAAAACGGAGGCTTGAATCTTCCGCTTGGGCAGGCCCTTCTTTGAGCAGCGATTCGTTGATATAGTCAGGGTCCAAAAAGGAGAGAAACATCAGGAGGGTTTTAGCATCTCCTGATAGCCGACTTAGGGACATTTCCCAGACTGTTGCTAGTGTATGGTTGTAGTTCATGTTCACTGTGCTCCTTGAATCTACGCTTTCCGAGTTTCTGTTGTATAGAGGCAGAAAGTCGTGCAAAGGGATCTTTCGCTGAGCAATAAACCCGCCGATTTGGTTGAGCGCCAAAGGCAGCCCTCCCAAGGCTGAAGTAATAGCAGCTGCTTTTTCTTGGTTGGACTGTGTATCTGGATCAAGTCCGAGAATATTCAATAGTGCTGCAGAGCCGGTTGTGGTGTCGAATGGCGCGACTTGGATGCCATCCGATGCCAGGCTAAACACTGCTGCGGGATCACGGCTTGTCAATAAGATGGCTCCAGCCGCACTACTGGGCCACACCTGCTTCAGCACACTCAAGTCGTCCGCATTATCTAACACCAGAAGCCAACGGCTATCTTGAGATACAAGTCAGTTTGTTATACCCGTACCGAAACATAGAGTCGCCTACTGGTTGATGATAACCAAGACTTCACCTCCAATGTCACAGCATTGTCATCGCTCTCCACTCCTGGCTCAATAAGACCCAGAGACTTAGCAATTTCGCGGAAACTCTGGCCAATTGTGATCGGATTATCTGAGGAAATCCAAAAGATCGAGTCGAATTTGTGGCGGGAGGCATTGGCGTATTTGAGTGCGATTTGGGTCTTACCCACACCTCCCATTCCGTACAAGGCAAACGATCGCAGCGATAAGTTCGACGCATTCCCTGTAAGTGCGCCATCTATCCGTGAAAGAACATCCTCCCGGCCCCAGAAACGTGGACTTTCCGAAAATGGGATATGATGGCGGCCTTTCGTCGCTGTTTCGGGCCGCTGTGTATGGAAGTTCGTCATCAAGTCAAGAATCTCGTGGTATTTCAGGTTATCCTGTCGCATCCTGGTGAGCTCAACCTCGCTCTCGATCGTCGCTGACAATCTTTAAATTCGCTGGACCGTCCTGCTGAAATCCCCACTGAGCTCCGACCATGAGTTACGTAGTAGGATCGCTTTTCTCGATCAGCAGATATACAATGTATAGCGATCAGAAAGCAAGGCAATAATGTAGAAGAAAGGGGAAAGAGCTCTCAAGCGAAGCTCACAGAGACAGGGGTGCAGAAAAAGAAGCGAATAAAGCTGACATGTGGGATAAGATCGGCTCTTACAATGCTTGTGGCTGCGGAAAAAGTGGATGGCGCGGGCGTAGAAGCAAATAACCTCAGTGTAAACAGAGAGTAGCGATGCTTCTAGATCCTTGTCCATAGGCACCGCCTTCTCGTAGGATTTCAGACGCGGTAATGTCAAGCTCAGTTCCTCCAACATATCTGAGACCTCCTGGATAAGGCTCCCCGCAGAAGAAGCCAGCTACACTGGTGTTGGCTTTCATCTCACAGAGATGTAGACTGGAGGATTCACGTACAGTCAAAATCATCCGGATACTTCCCCAGACAAGAGCTGTAGCAACCGTCCCCGCACCAAAGGAGACGGCGAGCACCGCTGAGAAGTCGTTGACCAGTTTGAAAGTCGGTTTCAAGCGGTACATAGAGTCCAGGGACTTCCTCCCTCGCGGCCCAAATGGTTGTAGTATCTTCGGGTCGTTGAGCAACTCGTCCAGGCTCCCCGTTTCCAGTATCGATCGAAAGTCATCGTCTGCAGCGAGCTCTTCGCGATAATTCTCCAAGGCTTTCTCCCACAAGGGAGACAGCTTAGCATCGGAGTAAGCTCGAGTCATTGTGCCTGGTGGTAAGGTCGCGACATGCGAACGAAGTTGAGGTTGCGGGAGGAATCCAGACTGAAAGGAGACGAGGGGAACCCTCTGCCCTGAGGGGTCTTGCCGTCATTATGCTTAAGAAAAGCGACATTGTCCAGCATTGAAAAGTGACATGGGTGACAGGGAGATGGAGCAAATCAGCCGGGCGCATTACGCGCCAGGACGACGATGGCCCCACCGCCGCCGGTGTCACGGGGGATCGGCCCTGCGTGATTGGACTCTGCTTGGGAGTCCAGAACAACACTACTGTGCCTGTGCAAGTTACTTTGATGCTGTCTGGCTGTCTTCCCCTCCTGCCCCTCGTCTCAAGCCAATCTCGCCATCCAGCCTTATCGGTTTCCTTGTGGACAATGCAATGGCCCTGCGAGACTCAACCTGTACAAAGGTGAAGCTGAAGCTGTGATGTCCATCTTCCATCGTCCATCAAGTACCAATGCCAGATGTTCTTCTAGATCGAGGATGCTAACCTGGAAACTACGAACTTGGGAACAACACGTGTCCTCTAGGATTTCCTCTTGTGTTCCGTGCCTTGATCTGCCTTGGTATAGACACTACAATCTGCGGTCTCTAAATACAGATCCTTCCTCGGAAGTTATTACACCAAAACAGCCACCTATCTGGAGTTGATCGTCTACACCCTGACATGCGAGATACTTGCTATGCTCCTGTGTTCAGCGATCCATCACCGTCTATACGTGGTATGCTAGGATGAGGTGTCGGGATTCTGTGTACTCTACACTGGCTAGGGCAGAACGCATCACTATACCATGGCAGTGGCAGCTGGGCGAATTCTCCCGGATGGGCCCAACTACCTCGTAGCCAAAGAGACAGCCACCGAGACCCTGAATAGACCAGGCAAACAGACGATGGGAAATGAGAATGTCATACTATGGATGTCGGGTTTGGGGGTTTGAACTGGACAGCAGCTGGTGGACGATGAATGCCACTATGTACTCGAAGTCTCGAACATCAACCGACCGCAGCGGGCCGGGCCTCAGGCACAAGCGCGCAGGAATTGGTTTCCACACCAGAGACTTTCTTTCCCCTGTTCCTGAGCAATGTGCCAATGACAAATGGGTGAGTGCCAGCATTTTCAATCGCAATCGCCCCTTGAACCCTATAATTCAGAATCCCTCGCGTCTTGCTAAATCATCACTGGCGAGGATTGCCACCATGCAGCAATTTCTCCTCGTTACCCCAGACCCCACAGAGCGGTCGGGTCGGACGCGGCATCGGCGAGTTCACCCGACGCTCAACTGCCATTGCCTTGCCGACGCGACTCCCGCTGTCGGAATCGTAAAATACGCCGTTTCCATGACAGACCCTGTCCCCAAACATGCCCCGACTGAGCCCGGTGCCACTGCCACAACCACCATCAGATCGGTGCAGTTTTGACCCGGAGAACTTCCCTGCAGACCCTGACGCATTGGGCCCTGCTGGAATGGCTTTTCATCGGGCCGGGGAAGGCAACCAGTCGCGGGTCCCCCGCAGAGCGCCCGCAGGGAGAATGTTCACCCCGGCGGGCGTAACAAGACAATACGGCGAGGCGTGGGGTCGGCTTCGGAAGGCGGCAAAGCGAAGCAGGCGGACAGGCCCGGATAATCGCTTTTGTCGGCTGCCTTGCGACCCTCACTAGCCGATGCGGAGGAGCGGTGATGCTTTCCCCGGTTACTTTTATTGTTGCGCGCCCTTCTTCTTTCTGCCTTCTTTCTTTCCTTTCCCCAGTTTCACACTCACTGCAGATTCCCCCCCCCCCCTTCATCCCCAAGGCTGTTCGACACCACCATGTCGCGGTCTTTCCCTGCGGTGTTCCGCCCCGTCTGGCGGCGGAATTTCTCCGTCTCCACCTCCCGCCGCGCCATCGATAAGCTATGCCCGTCCGCTCAGGAAGCCATCAAGGACATGAAGGGCTCGTCGACCGTCCTGGTCGGTGGCTTCGGCTTCGCCGGTGTGCCCACCACCCTGATCGATGCCGTGCGCGATCGCCCCGAGATCAATGATTTGACCGTCGTCTCCAACAACGCGGGTATGCCCGGTGTTGGCCTGGGCCAGCTCCTCGAAAGCAAGCAGATCAGCAAGATGATCGCTTCGTTTATCGGTGAAAACAAAGTCTTCGAAAAAATGTATCTGACTGGTGACCTCTCTCTGGAATTGACCCCTCAGGGCAGCATTGCTGAAAAGTGTGCTGCCGGCGCTGCTGGTGTCCCTGCCTTCTACACTCCCTCTGCTTATGGAACAATCGGTATGTCAGCCCTAATTTTAATGCTCAGTCCCAGTCCCAGTCTTAGTCAAAGCTAACTGTTTAGTGCAAACTGGTGAACTCCCCGTGCGTTACAACAAGGACGGCTCCGTGGCGATCAAGAACGCGCCCAAGGAGGTTCGCGAATTCAACGGCAAGAAATACATCCTGGAGGAATCGATCTTTGGCGACTACGCCCTGGTCAAGGTCCACAAGGCCGACAAGCTCGGCAACTGCCAGTTCCGCAAGTCTATGAACAACTTCAACGAGGCCATGGCCAAGAACGCCAAGTTCACCATCGTCGAGGCCGACCACATCGTCGAAGTGGGTGAGCTCGACCCGGAGAGCATCCACGTCCAGGGCATCTACGTCAACAAGGTCATCCAGAGCACCGGCGAGAAGAAGATCGAGAAGCTCACCTTCGCCAAGGACCCCAGCGAGATGCTCCAGGCTGGTAGGTTAATCCTTTTCTGGACATATCCTCAACCTAGTTGCTGACTGAACTCTCAGGTTCCGGTGAGGCCACCATCCGCCGTGAACGTATCGTCAAGCGCGCCGCCAAGGAATTCAAGGACGGCATGTACGTCAACCTCGGTATCGGTATGCCCCTGATCGCTCCCTCCTACGTCTCCGAGGGCGTGGAGGTCGTCCTCCAGGCCGAGAACGGTATCCTGGGTCTGGGCGGCTACCCCAAGCCTGGCGAGGAGGACGCCGACCTGATCAACCCCGGCAAGGAGACCGTGACTCTGGGTCGCGGTGCTTCGGTTTTCGGTTCCCACGAGAGTTTCGGTATGATCCGCTCCGGTCTTATTGACCTGACCATGCTCGGTGCGCTGCAGGTCAGCCAGTACGGAGGTATGTCTCCTAGCAATCTTCTTTAAATCACCCCCGCCCCCCTCGAGAATACCCACTAACCACTCCCTCAGATCTGGCCAACTTCATGCTTCCCGGTAAGGTCAAGGGTATGGGCGGAGCCATGGACCTGGTTTCCAACCCGGAGAAGACCAAGGTCGTTGTTACTATGGTAAGACCCCCTTCTATAGTCATATCCCACCCTCCCATATCAACCCCACCCCACTAACAAATTCAATCAGGAACACACCGACAAGAAGGGCAACCCCAAGATCCTCCCCGAATGCACCTTCCCCCTGACCGGCCCCAAGTGCGTGTGGAAGATCATCACCGATCTGGCCGTCTTCGAGGTCAGCCCCACCGAGGGTCTGACCCTGGTCGAGCACGCCGAGGGCGTCTCCGTCGACGAGATCCGCAGCAAGACGGCCGCGCCGTTCAAGGTCGCTGAGGATCTGAAGCCCATGCTGTAAATGTAATTGTATTCTTGCATTGAATTGCATCGCATTAGATGAGTTGATTAAGGTATACCTAGATTGGATTGGATAGGGTTGGATTGGGTTTTGTATATAACGTGGAATGACAGTATTACTATTACTATTACTATTACTACCTACCTTTGAATTTTCCTGGTATCTTTGTTGCTATCTTTTTTGTGGTGGGGTTGGTGTTCATTGCAGACCGATTGCCCTGCACCTCGTTAACTATAGTAATTAGTAATCAAGGTCCATAGGAATGCCAAGGTTAAGAAAAGGGATAACTAACAAGGATAACTAAAGGTCCAGCTGCGCTTCTATACTCCGTATACCTACCTATCTATCTACCTACCTACCTTACTACATCTACCTTACCTCACTCATCTCCTACCTAGTATATAAGTACCATATATACATTTACTGTCTTGTCTACTAGTACAGAGTACATTTAGACTTTTAAGCTTAGTAGACTTTAAGCTAGACTTTAGACTTTTAAGTACAGTACATACGTACATACATACATACATACATACATACATACAGGAAACCATGATCCCCGCACGCCATGCACATCCCACCCAATTTCCAATTTCCAATTCCTCATCCCTCGTCCCCCACGATCTCTTGCTGAATACGGTCATATGTAGATGGTAAGGTACTAGATGTGGGGAGCATGTCATTTCAATTATTTCGTACACTTCCTCGGGTTTCCCTTCTTAATAGTTATAATGTATAATGGGGTAGGTAATACGTAGGTAGTTTCCAGATAGATGTTAAGTACTAATTCTCATGATAGAAAGAAAGTGAGAGAAAGAAGGAAGTCAGGTTGGTTGGTCATTCTGGATAGTCAACTCAAGTGTCATGTCTCAGGTTGATTTCCGTCATAATTTATATGACTGATATGATAACCATTTGTCTGGAATTCAGCTGATATCCACTATGTACATGAACATAAATAAATTAGATCAGGGTTTGTTATATTCATGACTCTGAATATAAACGGATTCCTCCCACCCCATAGACAACAACAGCAACAATAACAGCTGCTGCTAAGTGCAAATAACCTCCCATTTCTATGTGTCATCGTCAACAACAACACTAATAATTGTTCTATAATATAATACAGCCTACCACAGAAACTGCTGCTGCTGCTGAAAATTCACCGCGGGTGCGCCCTTCCATAAACTCTGCTTCTGCTGCACACTGTTCCCGAAGTCATGGAGATTGTCGCGACGCGCATTCTGGTACTGTATTGCCTCGAATACGGGGTCGATGCGCGGGCGGGTCTCTCGTTCGGGCTCGAGGTTGGTCGGACTGCCAGAGGCAGATACTTTAGCGGAGGATAGGCCGCTGGCGTCTTCGGGGCTATGGGACATCGTTGTCTCGATGTGATGGAGGTGATGGATTCCTGGGAGGTGGTCCGGGGATGGGTCGTGACGGTCGTTGAATTCGGGAATGGGTAGTTGAGGGTCTCGGAGGGGCTCGGTGTCTGGTGGTGGGGGGAGAGAAACTGGAACTGAGATAGACGGATGATGTTGATGTTGATGATAATGCTGCTTGACGGACTCCGGCCCCCGCGAGGGCTCTCTCTGATTCAGACAATCCTGTTGCCAGTCGCGGATGTCCCGCACCGTGTGCAGAGGGAATCTCTTCCAGTAGTCGGTGCCTCGTTTCGCGCCGAGACGGAGAGGGGACGTGTATGTGTGTGGTGGTGGGGTGTCCGGGACGGTGGCGGAGAGGAGGTGGGAGTCCGGGATGTCGGAGAGGAGCTTCAATAGCAGGCTTTCCGTCTCGTGGAGGCGTTGCTCTAGTGCTTCGATGTAGCCTTTCGCGGGGCCTCTGACAGACGGCAAGCATGAGAGGGTATCCTGGGGGGGGTTGGAGTGATTGGTATCGACGCCTACCGTTTAAGCTGTTCGGGCCAGTCGCACGGCCGGTTGTGCTGGTGGCATTGGGTGCATATCGGCCTGGAGGGACAGTACATATCCATATCAGCCATAGTCCTTCTTTCATCTCCCATGAACCTCGTCCCCGGACGTCAACACTCACTTATTCCCACTACACTAACACCAACAGTCAGCCAAGTCCTCCATCACAGGATCCTCGATCCCCGTCCACTCACCTTCTGTTTCCGAAACCGGCACGAATTACAGGCAACGGTGATGCGCGAGACCTTGCTGGTCGTCTTGGCGGGAGCCATGTCGAGAAGCCGTCAGTCAGGCAGTCGGAAGTCAAGACCAAGTCCGGACGGTTAATGGTTTAAGGACGAGATGCACGACGACCGGGAAACAAGAGAGAAGAAGCACCAGCGTTATCGTCCCCATAATAAGTACGGCCGTCCATCCTACAGATCGCGCCTGCCGCTTCGGGCCAAGTGCTGCCGTCCGGTGGGGCCACGGCTCAACGCTTAGCCGACCGTGCCTTCCTCTCTGGGTCGGCACGTGCGTCGGGGTCAACGATCTTCCTGTTTGTTCTGCCGGGTTCCCTTCATTGGATGTTTCATACGGAAATGTATCTTGAGATACCCCATATCTAATACTATCATCCATTGGACATGTACATACATATATATATATATATGTATGTATGTGTGGTCCCCGACAGGAATCGCACATGTCAACACTGAACACGTTCTAACTCCATCCAGCTAGACAGCCGGAGCCACGGCCAGCATGCGGGGACTCCAATCTGCCTGTCGGATCACCGCAGGACATCCTTAATCCTCCGTCCATGCCGGCCAATCCTGCCAGGCTGGAAGCCTACAATCTAACCACTAACAGTACTGCTACTCCGGACTACTATCTAGTCCTCCTGCTGTACGGAGTGTTCGCTACTGCGATGGATCATGCACGACTGTAGTTCCGCTGATTAAGACACTCGGGCAATCTTTCAGCCACAGACAGCTATGCCCGAAAGGGATGCTTTGGTGATGATGGGGAGACTGCGATTATGGGGCGGGGAAGAGGTTCTCTTGCTCGAGGTGTTCTATGGAGAGAGTACCGAAAATCACTGGGCTGGATGAGAGAGAGTACTAGTACTCCAGAGTATCTGTCTCGTTTGCTCTACATCCGCAGCACCAACATGCGGTTCGGTCTTTCCCCTGGATTCTGTGCCTGGGACACTCGGAGCCTGGTCACACTCCCCGGTGCTGTGGTCCGCTGTCTTGATCGTGATCTGCAGCCTGCCCAGCCTGCCTTCGCCTCGGATTCTTTCTTCAATCCTCCCAAGAAAGTCCGAAATCCATTCCAAACCAAGCCAGAAGAAACGTGACCGTAGGATACCTGTAAACGTAAGTGATAATATCATGCCATGCCATATCATACCATGGTTGGGAAGGATTTCAAGAATGAAGGAGCACAGAACCATCATGGTGTTGATTATTCATCTGAGGGGAGTGGGGATGGACAGAGAAGGAGATGAAGGTAGTGGAGAACGAGAGGGAAACTGAAGAACATGTTTTGAAGAGATAAGCCACCCACCCCTTCACTTTGCTTGATGAGATGAACGGCAGATGAACAGAAATATGAATGTGAATGTGACTAGGAACAGGAACAGGAACAGGACCATGACTTGTGGTACACCTTGGTACTGCAGGTGAATTGACAAAGGCAGCGATATTTGGGCAGTATCCTCCCTCCTGGCACCTACCCTGAACCTTGGCTCAGTATGAATGGTATATACCCTACTGCATAATAAGAATGAAACATGCCGATGTGAATGGATCGATCCCCAGGAAGAACCTGGATCTGAGTGGCGGCAACCGTGAATCAAATACAATCAAGTACAACTCTCCATACACGTCTACGATCTACGCACATGCAATACAAGAAACCCTGAGGAAGTCATAAGTCTATATTACACTCGAGTCAAATCATAAGAGACGAGGTAGGTGGGAGGTAGTCGGAAGTCGAGAAGGGGAAAGGATAGGATAGGGTAGAAAGGAGGAAAAGGGAGAGAGAAGAGACATCACAACTTCCTCCCTCTCGTGACAGGAAATAGGAAACCATGGCATCCGAACAACTTCATCCGATCGATCCCGTTGGACCAATCCTCACTCGCCCCGATCAGAAAGAGAAGATTGGGACCGATAGATGTCAGATGTCGCTCGCTAATCATGGCCGGTGACATCACTAACAAAGAACTTTTGGGAGCCGAGGGATATCAGGACCAGGTGAGAGTTAAAAAAAAAAAAAAGGGGGAACGAAAAAGAAAAGGGGGGGGGGGGTAAGAGAAATGGGTGGGAAATCGTTAATTCGAGTAGAAGGAATCGAGGTCATCAAAAATAAACGGATCAAAATTCCGACACGGCGACGGCTAATCAACCCATCGGCGGGGGAACGAAGACGCAATTTACGACTTGTTCTCCTCGGTGGCGGGCTCCTGGGCGGCCTCCTCGGGCTTGGCGGGCTCGCCAGCAGGCTCGTCGCCACCCTTGTTCTTCATGTACTCATCGTACACGCTGAGGGCCTCGTCGACCTTGGCGCGGAGAGCCTCCTCATCCTCGAGCCTACACAGATTAGTACACATCACAGTATCAGGGAGAAGGCTGAAAAACACTTACAGGCTGACCAACTCGGTGTTGTCCATCTCCAGAAGCATACCAGTGATCTTACCAGCCAGCTCGGGCTGCTGGGCCTGGATCTTGGGGTAGAGGGCCTCACCCAGCATCTGCTTCTGCTGAGCAGGGGGGATGGAAGTGAGGTTCTGAGAGTTGATACCGCCAGCAGGAGCACCCTCCTCACGGCCGGCAGCGGGCTGAGCAGCGTTCTGTCCACGACCACCCTGGCCAGGACGCATCTGACCCTGAGGAAGAGGAGCACCGCCACGGCCCTGTCCGTAACCGGGACCACCACGCATACCCTGACCCATGGGCATTCCGGGGACCTGACCACGGCCACCAGCACCGCGTCCGAACTGCACCTGACCCATGGCCTGGGGGTAACCCATGCCGTTGGGGATGCCACCGGGGCCCTGCATGCCCATGGGCATACCCTGAGCGAAGTTGGGGGGGAGCTGCTGGTTAGGACCCATGCCACGACCACCCTGCTGGCCGGGGAAGGGACCGGGGTACTGGCCGGGGCGTCCGCCGGGGATGCCCATCACCATACCGGGCTGAGGGGGGAAAGCCATACCACGCTGGCCACCGGGAATGAAGCCCTGCTGGCCGGGACCGTAGAAGACGGCGGGCTGCATGTACTGGGAGATGTTAGCATCGAACGTGACAGAGACGAATAAAAAAAAACTCACAGGCTGGGGCATGCCGGCGGCGGCGGCGGCCTGCTGCTGCCTGATGGTGTTGCGAGCCTGGATGCTGGCCTCGAGCTGGCTTCTGCGGACATCCTTGCGCTGAGCAAGGGCGACGTAGAGGGGCTTGGCGTTGACCATTCTCTGGTTCATCTCGGTGACGGCCTTGGAAGCCTCATCGGGGCTGCTGAAGCAGACGAAACCGAAACCCTTGCTCTTGCCGTAGGGCTTCTTCTCGGACTTCTTGCCCTCCTTGTTCTCCTCGGAGGACTCGGCGGGCTGCTCCTCCTCGGTCTTCTCGACCTCAGCCTCCTTCTCGTTCTCCTTGTTGGCCTCCTTCTCCTTACCAGCGGAGTCGGGGGACGGGCTGCGCTCGACGTTGGTGTCGCGCATGACCTTGGCGGAGGTGATGGTGCCGTAGGGAGCGAACAGCTCACGCAGCTTCTCGTCGTCAATGTCGTCGGTCAGGTTCTTCACGTACAGGTTGACACCCTGGTACTTGGAGGCCTTCTCCAGACGGGCAGCCTCGTACTGCTTGCGGAGCTCCTCCTCGCGCTCGTGCTTCTTCTGGGCACGGCCAACGTAGAGCTTCTGGGTGCGGATCTCCTTGTCGTTCATCTCATCGACGGCGGCCTGCGCGCTCTCGTGGGTGGAGAAGTTGACGAAACCGAAACCACGGCTCTTGCCCTCCTGGTCACGGCTGAGGGTGGCGGAGGTGATCTCACCGAACGCCTCGAACATCTTACGGAACTCCTCGTCCTCGACGTCGGTGTCCAGGTTCTTGATGTAGACGTTGGTGAAGTTGGCCTTCATCTCCTCGAACTTGCTCTGGCGGTCCTTCTTGGAGATGTGGTGGCCGACGAAGACCTTCTTGTCGTTCAGCAGCATGCCGTTGACGTGCTTGATGGCGTTGTTGGCAGCCTCGGCGGTCTCGTAGTGAACGAAACCGTATCCCTTGGAGTTGCCGAACTCATCCTGAGCGACCTTGCAGCTGAGAATGTTGCCGAAGGCGGCGAAGGTGTCGTGGAGAGCCTTGTTGTCGATGGCGTTGTCGAGGTTCTTGATGAAGACGTTACCCTGGCCGGTCTTGCGGAGGGCGGGGTCACGCTGGGACCACATGATACGGCAGGGCTTGCCCTTGATCAGGGTGTAGTTGAGGTCCTCCAGGGCACGCTCACCGTCGGCGGTGTTGTTGTAGTTGACGTAGGCGTATCCGAGAGAGCGTCTGGTCACGGCGTCACGGCAGACACGGATGGAGGCGACCTGGCCGATGGAGGAGAAGAGCTCGTAGAGCATGGCCTCGGTCACGGAGGGGTCGAGTTCACCGACATACAGCGAAGCGGAGTGGGGCTGGTTGTTGGCGTTGGGAGCCGGGGTCGCGTTCTCAACGGCAGTGACCTCGGCGGCCGGGGCAGCGGGGCTGGCCTCAGCAGCGCCGTTGACGGCGTTGTCAGCGGTGGGGGTGGTAGCGACGTCGGCAGACATTTTTCTGGTGTTACTGTTCGGAAGGGAGAGGTTAGCAGGTTCGATGGCAAAGAGTGGACGAGAAGGCAGTGCGGCTGTGGGAAGGTGGGAAGGCAAGAGAAGGTGCAAAGTCGTCACGCCGTCTGATGTCGACCTATCGAACACAGCAATGCCATGCCGATAGAACGATGACGGACGATGACGGACGATGACAGGGACGACACGCAAGGAGATCCGAAACAGCCAGTGGACTGACAGAGATTGGGGAGGATCACGATGAAGCGGTCACGCTATCAGGAAGGACTCAACAGGCAGAAGGCTTCTTTTCTTCAGCGAGGGGGAACAAGCAGTGCGACGAGGTCGACCAAACACGAAGCAGACAGTGATGGTGATGGTGATGGTGATGGTGGACAGACCAGACAGACAGCAGTTGCAGCAGCAGTTGCCGATCCGAGGAAAGGAAGCGAAAGCAGAAACAAAAGCAGAGACGCGATGACGGGGCAGTAAAGCACACAGCAGATAGCCGACAGCACACAGCAGACTGGAGCAGAACAGAGCAAAGCAGAGCAGGTTGGATTGGATTGTAGCGCGGCGTTGGCGGCGAGAAAAAAAAGCTCTCTCTGCACGCACACAAAACACACACACACACACACACACACACACACCGCACAATCCGGGAATAGTGGGAAAAACGACCGGGGAGGGGGCGGGCACAAGGGGAGGGGAGGAGGGGAGGGGGACTGAGTATACTTTAGTTTTTTTGCGGGTTTTCCGAGTTTTTTTTTAGAGGGGTTTTTTCTTTTTCGATGGGAATTTCGAAAGGGAGGAGAGATATGGAAAAGGAGAAGGGAGAAGAGAGAAGAGGGAGGATGCTGAGAGGGACAGCAACAAGGGTTTTTATGGGTTTTTTTTGGGGGGGGGGAAGGAAGAAAGAAGAGGAAAAAGAAGAAGAAGCGCGGATGGAGAAGGAAAGAAAGAAAGAAGGAAGAAAGAGAAGAACCAACTCGCCGCCCCAAAGAGCCTGCCTGCCTTCCTGCCTGCCTTCCTGCCTGAATCAACGGGCTGCCTTTTTTTTTTCCTCTTTTCTTTTTTTTTTTTTTTAATCTGCAAAAGAAAAACTCAAACAACGATTTTTTCCCTTTTTCCTGCTGTCTCTTTGGGCACAACGGGCAGCGCTAAACCGGATCCAGCGCTAGCCCAGCCCGCTAACACGGCTCGTTTGGGCAAAGTGGGCTCCTTGTCGAGTTTTTAGCTCCGGCGGCAAAAAATCCCAGAACTCAAGATGACGGCCGGCGGCCTCAGGCAGAACAAGGCGCCGGCCATGGATCGGCCTTATACTCCACCTTTCTTTGATCGTTTTGCATCCCCATCTTTCAATGCTTGCTCGTTCACCAGGCCCCCAGGGACGACCTCTAAGGCTTTAAGGAATCTACCCCGGGCCTGGCCGCGTCTGTGCCCCTCCAAGGCTCCAGTCCCCATTCAAACAATGACAATGGAAGTAAGTGGTCCCCGGCCCAGGGGCCGGGGAACAAAGCGAAACGGGCATAAAGAGAATTTCTATTATTGACTTCTATGCGGTGCATGACATGACACGACACTGCCCGGGCCCGAGAAGGTGCTACCTACCTGCCTTACCTACTTTGTACCATACCCCAGAGCCCACCCCCCTCGGCTGTAAATACACCCTACATCCTGAAACTGTGCAAACAATCAAGAGACAAAATGTCAAAGAAAGACAGAAAAGAAAAAAAAGAAAGGAAACAATGACACGCCTGACCCAGACGCCCACGCCCAGCTATGCAACTCAGAAAAAAAAAAGAATCCCCAAAGTATTCCTTACCACCATTAACTCAGATCAAAGCCCGCCCCGGAATTCACCGCGTACAGGAGCTTCTCGCGCAGGGTGTGGGCGTTGGTATAGCGCGGGAGTTTCAGCAGGTTGACGCAGGTGCTCGTGCTGGGAAGCCGTTCCTGGTCTTCGCTCGAGTCGCGGATGCTGAAGTGCGGGTTGAGGTGGCTGAAGCCCAGCAGGGGAGCCCGGGGCGTCGACGTCACGAATCGGAGCACCTTCTGTCGCTCTTCGTTGGACATCTTCTCCATCACCTCCCAGAAGAGCTTCACCGTAGGGTGCTCCTCCTTGTCGTCGCCGATCGTGTACACGCCCCCGTACAGCGTGTTGCGTCGCAGGTCCGCAACGTCGATGTCGCCCGAGTCGCCGCTCACCAGGGTCTGCAGCTCCGTCTGGTTGAACATCGACAGCCACGACGGCTGGATGATCTGCCCCAGCCCCTGCAGGAACGCGTTGGTCTGCAGCGCAGGCTGCACCTGCAGCCGGTACCGGGCAATGTAGGAGATGTACACCAGCCGGTTCTGGTTCGTCACGGGAATGTCGGACCCCTGGGCTTTCAGGTCCCGCGTTATCGTGCGGTTGCCGCCATCCGGAAGAGGGATCGTGTCGGTCACGGTGAAGTTCAGAGAAAAGTCTTCCACGTCCCCGGTGTAGTTCTTCAATTGCAGCTGCCAACAGTTAGTAACAGCAGTGCCATGGAGCGGTGTCACTTACCAAGCCCTGGTAAAGCCCCTGGTCCAGGTCCTTCAGATCATTGAGGTTGGCCCGGTAGGCTGTCTCGCGTTGAGCGGAGCTCGTCCCACCCGTCAAAGCCCATTTCAGCAGGAAGAACGGGGCGAAGTTGACATCCACCAAGATCCCCTCGTACATGCACTTTCCAATGATGCGTCCGAGGAACTCGTAGCGTCGGAGGAGATTGCGGATGTGTTCGTTCCAGTCCGGGCTGTTCTCCATGTAGCCCAGCCGGCGCAGGATCTCTCGCCGCCGCTCGACGGCCGCTGGGGTGGGGTAGAGCAAGTGCTGGTCGTTTTCTTCAAACAGATTCGTGTCATTCGTCGATTTGAAGGCTTCGCTCGTCACGCTAGTGAGGAACTCCTTGGTGACACCTCCGCCATCGATCCCGGCTTCGGCGGTGTCAAACTTGTCGATGAAGGTAATCTGGATGGGCTCCTTTAGTCCCTCCCCCAGCTCGTAGAACTCATCAAACGCATCCTGGAATAGGCTTTCGCGTCGAATATTGGCGTGATGCCGGCTGAGGATATCTTGGACGGCAGGCCTTCCGTCAACCATACGGCCCATCGAGGTCTGCGCCACCGACATCCGCCAGGCATCGGGGTCAATAAAGCCCTGCCTGCGACGCGCTTGGTCGCGGTAGATGAATTCGCGGAAGATCTGCACTCTGGTGTGGAAGGGGATGAAGAACGGCATGTTCCGGAGGATCTCAAGCCGAGGGGCCACGGCCTCCAACTGCTTCCTGCGGGTTGCCTGCTGCTGGCGGCGCCGGAGGGCCTCGATCCGACGGGTCTGCTGGGCGCGGCCGGTCCCAACCAGACCCAAGGACGGTTCGTAGTAGGCATCGCTCATCAGGTCATCTTGCTGGTCGTCTTCGTCTTCGTCCTGGAGCTGATGCCGGTTCTCCTCCTCCGCGACCACAGCAGGGATGAAACCTTCCATGTCGAACCGACTGGTCATCAGCCAGTGGCCGTCAGGGAGGAACTTGCGCCGCGAATCGCGCTCGTGGATCATTCTCAGCAGGCCCGTGACCAGGCCCTTGAAGTAGTCGAGCGGAATGCCTGTCACCCCCGGAAGCCCCTTCTCCTTGTTCTTCATCTCGATGTCTCTCACGCTGACAATGGGATCGGATGGCGCCGACAAGGAGGTGAAGTAACTTCGAATCCCCGCACTATCCTGTGTGGTTTCCTTCTCGCTCAGATCGGCCGAATTCCAATACAGAGTGAAGCCCAGATTCTTGAGGAACGCCGTCATCTCCTTTATATCCCTCAGGGGCAGTGCGCTCTCCTTGGTCCACGAAACCCTCGAGTTCGACGAGGCGGTAAACGACGAGTCGCTGGAGAAGAACTCCTCATCGTCCATTACCTTCAGGACAAATGTATAGAGCTCAAGGAACAGAAGAATGATTGTCCACTCTTCATCTCTCTCCGTCTGGGGTATCGAGAACCTAGAATCATGCGAGTCGTCCGCCGGCTTCAACAGCGGCAGCACCTTGGTCGAGTCTTGACTGATGGCAGCGAATATCCTACTGGCCCGGGACGCTTGCCAGAAATATTTGATGGCGGGTATTCTGGAGCCCGATTGATCGCTGGACGCAGCCGATCCCAGGTACAGCCACATCCGAATATCATCACCCCGACGAGGAAACACCCTCAGAAGTGTCAAGGCGTATGTGGCGAGAATCTTGGCCTCTCGCGACGCGTCCGACTGCGCATCCGCCAACTCGCCCTGGGAGAGGCCAGTCGACTGGAGCTGCGAGAGAAGCCCCGTGATACTACTCTGGTTCACGAGTCTGACCAGCTGCTCCTTGACGAAGGGGTGCAGCGGGGTTCGCTCGGGGGGGTCATCATAGTCGCTCGACTCGTCCGACTCCAGGCGGCGTGATATGTGTACCGCGGTGGAGTTGAGCAGCTCCGAAACCACCTTCACGAAACCCGGCTCCGGTGCCTGGCCCGACTGGCTTCCCAGAGCGTAGCGATGAAAGAAGATGAAGTAAGCCAACAGCCACAGACGGGCGTCCACGTCCTCGGAGGTCCGCGGGCGGTCTCCAAACAGCGGTTGCAACGCTCCCAGGGCGGACGTAAGCAACTTGTAATTAATATTGTTCGCCAACACATCTAGGCTTCCTATGTACGCCAAGAGGTCCGGGATCGTGAGATAGCTTCTAGCAAACCACTCGTAGGCCGTCAGAGTTTCGGAGGTAATGGGACGAAGCAAAGCGAGAGCGCCTTGAGTCAGACTCTCTTTCGGCAGCTTGCACCTTTCGGATAGGGCATCGGCGTTCTTCGTGAGGATGGCGAGAACGGAATAATAGTCACTCGCCAGTCGGGCCATCTGCTTCGGGATCAGGCCGGTGAGGAAGATGAGCAGCTGCAGAAGGGGTCCGACCGCGAAGGCCGGGATGGTTGGGGATGTTGCCGACCGCAGCACGCGAAGGGTCAAGGTTGCGAGACGCTTCAGCGGCGTCGTCCATTCCCCCTCGGTGGCGATGGTAGGGACTTCATGCAGGGTCCTCTGGAAGGCCTCGGAGAAGTACACCAAGCGGGCGACATCGCTACTGTTCCAGGGCTCGAGGAATTGGACGAGCAGAAGAAGCTGCGATAAGCACTCCCCCGCCGAGCCGTATCGGAGGGGCTGCGGCTGCTGGAGGACGGCATGAGGGAGTCGGGCGAGGTCCTCGAAGGAGGGGAGGCCCTGTTTGCCCTGCTTCTCCGAGACATCCCACGCCGTGCGCCACGCCCTGCGTGTTATCTTCCGGCTCCGATAGCCCCTCCACGTCCGCTGGATGAGCCGGCTCGACCCCAACCGCTCTCTCTCTTGCTGTCTCAGGAGGCGCTCTTGCTGGGCGACGGCCAGGGTGTTCTGGGGACCGGGCCCGTGAGGATTCTGTCGGCCGGAGGGATAGGCGGCGAAGGGGTTGGTGTTGCGGCCGCCGAGGTTGACTTGCCGTGGACGGCGGGAGTTCCCCGTAAAGGACTGGAACATGGTTTGGGTTGAGGCGGGAGGGGGATCAGGGTAGTTCGACGAGACCAGGTCGGGGAAATCAGAAGGTTGCTGAGAGATGGAGGGTCTCAGTCAGGTGTCTCCATGCCGCAAGTCACGGATGAGCACTCCAGGTGCGTATTAGGAGGGGGAGGGGGGGGGAGGGGAGTGACGATGATGATACTGTCAGTCAGGAGGAGCTGCAGTACCAGCAGCAGCAGCGGCAGTAACAGCAAGTTGACATGACTTAAGCCCGGAGCCGCGGCGGGCTGGGCGGCCATCCCTCCGGCCACGCACTTGGCCGGGCGGTCGGGCTTATTGCCACGCCCGGGCTGAGTAATGTTGTCGTGGATGATGCTGGAATTGTTGTCATCCTACTATATTATACCTCGAGTTCGGATTGGCATTATATATGGGAGCAGTCATTATGACCTATACCCATGGCTTTTGGAAGAATATCTCAAACAAGAAGAAAACCACCCAAGCAGATGCAGATATGATGTACCCACGTCCTTTATCGCTTCACTCGGCCATTTCTTCCCCCAGTGCATACTACTTTGTTGGGGGAATTGTACGAAGAAAATATGCGAGGTGCCTCATATTTAATCTTTGGGCTTATATTCACCTACATGAAGATCACTACATGGAAGGAAGATCCTGGTTGTGACTGATTATAGGATTATAGTATATGATTTGTTGTACCCGTTATATAAACCTGCATGGAGATAAACGAGCAATAGTATTTATATAACATGATCCACTGTATCACATTCAATATATGCGGGCCGCGTTCCTATAACAGAACAAATCTACACGAGCAAAGAAATATAGACTCGACAATAAAATGGCTCAAGCAGCTTTACATGGTATTCTAGAAAAAGGTATCATTTAGGTGTCCCCTCTACAGAACTCTGATGCCAAAGGAAAAGCGAAAACCAAACAAAACGTTCATCTACAAAACCCACCTTCATCCCAGCCCCCAGTATACAGTTTTAACACATATTCTAAAAGTCTTAACATTCAAAGAAATCATTTGCTAATATGCAAAACCCAGAGATGCGCCGCAACCCAATACACGTATCAAGAAGAATGTCCCCCTGCCGTACCTAGGTAGGTAGTAAGTGTACCGGTAGGCAGGCAGGCCGAGTCTCCTCCCCAGTAGTATCCATATCCATGTAGCCCTGTAGGGAGGGTATAATAGATGGATGCTCGGTCATCCAATCCATCAGCTCCCAGCTATTGTACACACCCCACCCTTCCATACAATATAATACAAACCAACCCAACCGACACTCACGCTCACCGGATCGAGCCTGCCGTCCCCAGTAGCCCAAAGGCCGACGAGGCGGGGAGGGTTGTAAATCCCTCAGCGGCCCCGATCCAACATCAGCATCACACGCAAAGAACGCATAACGCTTACATCTCAACCGGGATCTCCGACCGAGCGGCCTTCGCCTCCGCCCTCCTCCTCTTCTTCTCGGCCTTCTTGGTCTCCGCCGCCTCCGCCTTAGCACGAGCGTCCTCAGCAGCCTGCAGCTCCATGCGCTCCTGCTCCATCACCTCCTGCCCGTTATCCGCGGCCCACATATCCAGATAATCGCGGGCCTCGAGAGCGCGTTCCAGCGTGATGACGCGGCCGTTCTTCTCAATCTCTTTCGTATACTTGGACTTTGTGGGCGCCATGCGTTTCGTCACGAAGGGGGTGAGCTACCAGTCCAAAGTCAATTAGCACTCACTCGCCAACCCACAGGGGAAAAAAGAATGGTAAGAGGAAAGAATAGGAGCAGGAAAAATGGGAAAAGGTATACCTTAAATTGATCCAGATTCTCAGGCACCACATACGTGCGGACCTTTTTCCAATCGATCACGTAGGAGCCGTTCTTCGCGAAGTAACCCATTGACCCAGTGCGGTTACCCTTGTAGTAGCCGCCATTGACCTGCTTGGTGGTCAGGCGCAGGCGCGCCATCATGGGCTGTGAGGGCTTGAACATGGACATGGTGTGAGGAGGCCGTGGGGGGGGTGGGGGGTGGGTTCGATCCTGTTCCTGTTCCTGGGCTTTTGCGGAGAACGACGACGGAGGTTCAAAAGATCGAAGGCTCTTTTCGGCGGCGGCGGTACGGCGGCGCTAAAGACCGAACGACGCGACCGTAGCTCCGGCCCCGCCAAGACAAGAACCTTTTTTTCTGATCCGCATCGGCAAGGCCAGGCAAAAAAAAAAGAAAAAGAAAAAGAAAACCAACCCGACAACAACGGCGTTGTGTTGGTGCTTGGTCGCCATCTACGAAATTTATTATTACCTCTACACAGGGAAGAACTCGAAACCAGGGGGTTTAAAAGTCCATCTGGTTCTTCCACACAGGCGACCACGCCACCATGCCTCGTCAGCAGACGCAGTTGCGCGGTCCCAAGGACAGGGACCATGCCAACAAGAAACCGGTGACGCAGCGGAGAAAGCGCAACGGGAAGTTTCTGAATGCGTTTGCGATCGCGGAGAGCGAGAACCCGTCGAAACTCGGCGTCAAGCGCACTCGTCTGGGCAAGCAGGATGAACTGTTCAAGCGCAAGCGACACCCCGCGGCGGATGACGACGACTCAGAGGATCCCGATAGCAACAAGCGGCGGCGCACGCAGGGGGAGGATTCCGATATGGGGTCGAATGCGGGGAGCGATGGGGAGGGACACCGGTGGAGGGTTGGTGAGGTGGATAGTGACGATGACGATGAGATTGACAGTGACGAGGCGATGGGGTCCAGCGACGAGGAGCGGTTCGAGGGCTTCACGTTCCGCGGCAGCTCGACGATGAAGAATAAACCGAAACAGAAGGCCCCTGAGCGCAAGAAGCGCACTCGCGATATTACATTGTCTGAGGATGTGGACGAGTCGGAAGAGGAGGAGGAGGATAGCGACGAGGATGATCTCGGCGCGGACGCTATTGATTTGACAGCTGCGTGGGATCTGAATGCCGCGGAAGAGCAGGAGGAGGCTACGAAGGCGAAGGCGAAGGCCAAGTCGAAGTCTAAGCAACAGGACAGCGATGATTCGGAAGAATACGACTCCAACAGCGAGGACGACTCGGAAGGCGACTCGGAGGATGACGATGACGACGACGAATTACCGTTTTCCGGCGACGAGATGGATGCCGAAGATGAGCATGGCCTGTCGAAACTACAGAGCTTTGTCGATGCGATGAATGATAACAAGGCCACCAAGACACGGAAGACAGGTGGCGGCCAGGAACATGCGGCCCCGACGGAGTTTGGCCTGACATCTACGCGGAAGCTCACCATCGCCGACCTTCTACCCTCCATTACAGACTCCCGCCTCAAGAGCTCCCTGAAACACGTCGACTCGGAATCTGCCGCACACCAGAAATCGTCAGGTATCCCGGGCAAGCTCGATGCTCCCCTCGCCAAGCGTCAGCAGGATCGGCTGGACCGGGCGGCCGCGTACGAGAAGAGCAAGGAGACTCTGGACCGCTGGCTGGAGACGGTCAAGGCGAACCGCCGAGCAGAGCATCTGATGTTCCCCCTGCCTGATCCGGAAGCGAACCAGGCGCATCGGATGGGTGCTGCGGAGCCGCGCACAGACCTCGAAACCACCATCCAAGACATCCTCCAGGAGAGTGGACTGGTCGAGGCCAAGGGCAAGTCCGCGGAGGAACAGGTGCAGGAGTTCGAGGAGCTACAGGCGCGGAAGCTGCCTATCGAGGAGATCCGGGCTCGCCGCGCGGAGCTACGAAAGCGGCGTGACCTGCTCTTCCGCGAGGAAGTGCGGGCCAAGCGCATCAAGAAGATCAAGAGCAAGTCATACCGTCGTGTGCACCGCAAGGAGCGGGAGAAGCTGGAGCAGCAGGAACGCCAGGCTCTCATCGAAGCGGGCGTGGACCTGGACGAGCAGGAGCGGGAGAAGAACGAACGACTACGAGCGGAGGCGCGCATGGGCAACAAGCACAAGGAGAGCAAATGGGCAAAGAGCCTGAAGCAGACGGGCCGGACCGCCTGGGACGATGATGCGCGACGCGGCACACAGGATCAGGCTCTGAAAGAGGAGGAGCTGCGGAAGAGAATCGAAGGCAAGCGCGTCAAGAACGGCGACGAGGACTACCTGGGCTCTTCTAGCTCCGAGTCGGAAGACGACGACCCGTGGGATGAGGAGGCTGGATCGGATGCTGAGAAGCGCAAGATCCGCGAGAAGCTCAGCAAGCTCGAGGGTGACGCCGACGAGGAGGTGGAATTCAAGGGCCCCCATGCCAAGCTGCTTTCCATGAAGTTCATGCAGAACGCCGACGCTGCGCGCAAGGCGGAGAACGATGCGGAAGTGCGTCGTCTCAACCGCGAGCTACACGGCGAGGAATCTGCATCCGAGGCCGAGTCCGAAGTCGGTCGCCGTAAGTTCGGCCAGTCCGAGAAGGAGAAGCCCGCCACAGCAGTTCTGAAGACGCCGCGGAATGAATTCGAAGAGGCGCCCGGATCCGATGACGATGAGGCGGACCAGGACGTGAACATTGTCCTCGACCGCCCTACCAAGAAGGGACCGGCAGCCTCCCAGAGCAAGCCTCAGGCCCGCCCCCAGAAGCAGACTGTTACGGAGGAGCAGGATGCTGCCGTCGAAGAGAACCCGTGGCTGGTCCAGACGAACCGAACCAACCGTCGCGCCACGGTGGATGACACGCAGCAGACCGTTGATATCACGCTGGAGGAAGCGAAACCCAGCGGCGCCAAGGAGGCCCCCAAAGCCAAGAAGCCCTCGGCCGCCAGCAAGAAGTACGGCAACGAGGAGTACGACAGCGACGATGAGGAGAGCGTGCCGGTGCTACTCAAGAACCACGACCTGGTGAAACGGGCGTTCGCGGGCGACGAGGTGGTGCAGGAGTTCGAGCAGGAGAAGCTCGACACGGTCAAGGAAGAAGGCGACCAAGTGATCGACAACACGCTGCCGGGCTGGGGCAGCTGGGCCGGTGACGGCGTCAGCAAGAAGCAGCAGAAGCGACAGAAGAAATTCCTCACGAAGGTCGAGGGCGTGAAGCCGGAGGACCGGAAGGACGCCAAGCTCTCGCGGGTCATCATCAACGAGAAACGAGTCAAGAAGGTAAGCAGTCGACGGCATGTGATTGTCGTGCATGATGATGAAGATGAAGATGAAGAACTAACAAGCTCTCCAGAACATCAAGTACATGGCCTCGGAGCTGCCTCACCCGTTCGAGTCGCGGCAACAGTACGAGCGATCGCTGCGGCTGCCCATCGGGCCCGAATGGTCGACCAAGGAAACTTTCCAGAATGCCACCAAGCCTCGCGTGATGGTGAAGCAGGGCATCATCAAGCCGATGCAGAAGCCGACGGTCTGAGAAGCGGGGGGGGGGGGTCAAGTCAGTGAGTGGTGTGCAGTGGGGTTGCAGTGGGCTGGGGATGGATGGCAGCGAGGGGATCGGGCGTATCATGTTGCGTGTCTGGCACTTTATCCGTGGTTGTAGAATTAAGTTTTGGTCATGATACCAAGTCATGTTGACGATGTTTACTTTTCAGTTTATGGAATTGAATGGCGTTGTGGCTGGGATGGAGTTGCTGTCACCCCCGCAGTGAAGTTTGTAGCAGCAGCAGCAGCAGCAGCATCATCATCATCATCATCATCATCTGTGAGCCCTACTGGGGTTACTATGTTGCCCTGTTTTATTCCCCGTGGGGTCATCCCCAGGCTGAAGGCATAGAAGCAGTGACTTGGCCGAGGGTGATATGGTCGGGTGAGACCCTGCATTGTGGCACCTCATCAGTTCATGGATGGGTTCGATGGCAGGCCACATGGTCATCCAGGGTTCGGGTCGGACAGTGACCCTCGGCCCATCCGGTCGGGGCCAGCCATGGGGCACTTGCACGGTATGTGTGAAAAAAGGGTCTGAAGTATCACCATTCATTCACCAGCAGACAGACTGGCAAAGACCAAAAGACAAGGTTGTGGTCAGAAGGTGATGGGGAAGAGAGGCGAGTGAGGGCTGACGAGGGAGAGTATTTGAGGCAGCGGACAGCGCAGCTCCACTTTGTGTGTGTGTCTCTCTCTCTCTCTCTCTCTCTCCCCACCGCGATCGTCACCACCAACCAACTGTCCCTCCCATCTTAATCAATTAACCAACCCAGACTTGTCACTCAACTGCCATTCATCCCACCTCGATCGCAACATCTGCCATCACCTGTCCCCATCATCCGTCCCCCCGTAAGCCCCCCCTCTCTGCACATACCCGCCCATTGCTGCATAGCATACGCGGTGCCTGAAGCCCGTCACATTCCGCCTCACGACCCTGCATTCCCCAACCCATCTGCCATCTATCCGAGGCCATTGGGTCCATCCACTCCAGTCCCCAGTCCATACTACACTCTGACCTTCCCCGACAGATCGTCGCCTCGTCATACCTGCTGGGGAATCGCCCGAGGACTGCCGCCCCCTCCGGTATTCATCTGCACCGGGGCGGAGTTTTGCCCGGCCCCTGCTGAGGATTCCTGTTGGTTAATTCGGAATCTATATCCAACCTTGGTGAGCAACCCTGGCATTCATTCCGGGTTGAAAATGCTACCGCGCGCCCGGTTCTTGTTTTTGTTTGATTGTTCTTCTCTTCTGTCTTGTGCGCGCCGTGCTTCTTCCTTTCGTTCTCTCCTTCTCGACTGGTGCTGTGCTGTCTATCGCGTCCTGGACAACCGGGTTATTACTATACCCCAGGGAGACCGGACGACTGTTTCTTTTCTTGCCCCCCCCCAAGATAATAATATCATCATCATCATCTTTTTCTTTCCCCTCATTGACGGCACGATTGCTGTGTTTCTTTCCTTCTATCCATGTGTTCATAATTCGATACCCTTTCGAGCTATTTCTGTGCAACTGGAAGCATCGTCTGGGTGACTTTGCTTGGATACCTGTTGCTTTAATTGATCTTCCTTTTACCCAAATATCGGCACTGCTTTTCGAGTTTTCACCATGGCTTCGAAACAATGGACCTCGTCGGCCCTGCTAATGTGGTTGTTGGCTGCAGAGAGAGTCTACTCGGCCCCAGTCACCTCGTCCGCTCCTTTCACGGAGAAGACACAATACCCACCCACCACCGAGGCAAGAATACTTGCACCGGGCACACAAGGGGTAAGTGCGCGATCCTCATGGACTGCCTGTCCAGCCGTACTCACAGTCATCAGTTCTATCCAACTCAATTGGAGCGTGAGGGCCATCCGTGGAAACCAACCCCGACAGGCCTCCCATACGCGACGCCACACACCGACCCAGCGCAGTCAGACCCTGAGAGCCCGTGGGGACTGGATGGTGTATGGGATACATTGGACCACCCCGAACAGGTTCCTGACCACCTCCTGAGCTTCTTGATCCCCGGCTTCGGAGCCATCGCGTCGGGCCAAGCGCCGTCCAGCGTCCCGGTCTCAGCGTATACCCCCGCGGCAGCAACAGCCACGCCTTCATCAGCAACACCCTCCGAGGATCAAGTCACCACCCACGACGCCCCGACTTCTACCACGAGCGCTCATACCAAGCCAACTGCATCGGCGTCCTCATCAGCCAGTCAGACCACCGTCTCCAGCACTCTGGTCTCCAGCGGGACGTCTACTACGAGCTCGACCAGTACGAGCGACACATCCCACAGTGATATCTCCACCACGTTGAGTGTTGCGCAGAGTAAGTCGTGCCCCTGTCACCGTCGTGCACTGTCTGACCGAGGCGCTAGGCTCCGTCACACCAATGTCTGGCGGTCAGGACGTCTTCGTGCCGCTGGCAACCGGGCCCGTTCCCCAGACCATCTCCGTGAGGAATGACCACCCGGTGCCCAAGAAGGGGATTGTGAGTCCTCTCGAATCATCTGCCCATTGGATGCACCCAACCTAACCGTCCCAGGAAACCGTGACCACCCCGATCGAGACCAACAAGTTCTACAGCGGCCTGTTCTTGGGCTCGCAGTCCAACACCACCTTCACCCACCCGTACGGCCTCGCCTGGGCCAAGGGCAGCGGCAATGCGGGCAGCTGGGGCATGGCCATTGCGCACAACGAGGTCAACGTCGTCGCCAACGGACCGACCAACGCCAACATCCCGGGCAATCCGATCCAGTACTACGTCAACCCGATCGCCATCCAGCACATGATCCTGTCAGCAACCGAGCTGACCAGCTCCACCGAGCTGACGGCGGAGAATCTCCTGCCCTTCTCCGCCGATGCGGTACTGAAGCCGTCCAGTGGCTCCAGCCAGAGGATCACCATCCCCCTCGTGCAGGGCATGGGGTACGTCACGGGAATGTACACCAACCTGCAGCCCCTCATCCAGAGCAGCGTGTTCTTCACCAAGCTTGTCACTGCGGCCCAACCCCGTGTCGGGATCTGGAAGTACAAGGTGACTCTGGCGGACCAGACCTCGTGGCTCGTCTACGCGATCCCCCAGGACGGAAAGGATCCTGACTTCCGCCTGGAGTCCAACTCCAATCTACGCGGCCCCCAGGGGTGGTCCGGCACGATCCAGATCACCAAGAACCCGGCGGGCGACTCCGGCGAGAAGCTCTTCGATGGCTCTGCTGGCGTCTTCGCTCTCGAAGCCGCGGTATCCGGCTCCGTCCAGGACCGCACCGGCACGTACAGCCTCTCCTTCGCCAAGGCAGGAAACAAGGTGCAGGACACTCCTCTAATGATGTATGCGCTGCCCCACCACGTCGCCTCGTTCGACGAGACCACCAAGAACCGCATGACCAGCATCACGTTGCGCAGCACGACCAAGGGTAACGCGACGGCCGTGGTCGGGGAAACCTGGTCGATGGTCGAGCCCGACCTCCCCACCACGATGGGCTTTGCGCCCTGGTCTGCCTCATCCGGCAGCGCGAACAGCCTCAGCGCCGCCGCCCAGAAGGTCATCCTCGACGTGGCCCCCACCGAGCTCAACCAGAGCGTCGACCAGCAGAGCAACCTGAACAGCATGTACTACAGCGGAAAGGCCCTCAGCAAGTTCGCGACCATCGTCTACACGGTCAACAAACTCGGCGGCAATCCCTCTCTCTCCGCCACCGCCCTGCAGGACCTGAAGACGGCCTTCGCGCGCTTCATCGACAACAAGCAGCAGTTCCCGTTGGTGTACGACAACGTGTGGAAGGGCGTGGTCTCCTCCGCCAGCTACGGCGGCGACTCCGGCGCTGACTTCGGCAACACGTACTACAACGACCACCACTTCCACTACGGCTACTTCATCCACGCCGCTGCCATCATCGGCCAGCTTGACCCGTCCTGGCTCACCGCGGCCAACAAGGACTGGATCAATATGCTGGTCCGTGACGCTGGCAACTCCGCCGCCAATGACCCTTACTTCCCCTTCTCGCGCGCCTTCGACTGGTTCCATGGCCACTCGTGGGCCAAGGGTCTGTTTGAGTCGTTTGATGGTAAGGACGAGGAGTCTACCTCTGAGGATACTATGTTTGCGTACGCCATCAAGATGTGGGGACAGACGATCGGTGACGCTAGCATGGAGGCCCGCGGTAATCTCATGCTGGGGATCCTGAGACGCAGTCTGCATAATTACTTCCTTATGGAAAGCGATAACAAGAATCAGCCGGAGAACTTCATCGCTAATAAGGTGACGGGCATTGTACGTTCCACCCCTTACCCCCGATCACCCCCTACTCCCCAAACAGTCAACACGAACATAACTAACTTCCAACCCCCCACCCAGCTCTTCGAAAACAAAGTCGACCACACGACCTACTTTGGTAATAACCTCGAATATATTCAAGGGTGAGCCTTCCTTCTGCCCAGTGCCATCACCATCGACATTTCCCCCCCAACCCCCCCACCTCTCCCCAGAATACTAATACTGATAAAAATAGAATCCACATGCTGCCCCTCCTCCCCTCCTCGGCCTTCGTGCGGAGCCAGAACTTCGTGCGCGAGGAATGGAACGCCCTCTTCGCCGACACCGCCACAACGCCGGCCTCCGGCGTCACCGGGGGCTGGAAGGGCGTGCTGTACGCCAACCTGGCCATCATCGACCCGGCCTCGGCGTGGAACTTCTTCGCTCAGTCCGGGTTCGATTATAGTTCGATTGATGGTGGGGCGTCGAGGGTCTGGTATTTGGCTTATGCGGCTGGTTAGTTCCCTCTCCCCTTTCTTCCCTTCGACCCTTCGATCCTTTAAAGTGTCTCGCTTTGTGGTATGGTTTATTTATGGTGGTGCTAATAACTTGGTGTGTAGGTTTGGGTGGAGGGCCGAATTAAGTTCATTTTAGTCTGATTTGATCCGAGCCGAGATGATGGTTATGAATATGAATGGGGGATGGGATTCAGGGTTTATTTTCCTTGCGGGTTTATTTCTTCGGATAGGACGGATGGGTTTTATGTTCTCTCACAGGGTGGCCAAGACAGGAGGATAGTTGCGTATCTACTCTCCTTTACATCAGGGCTAGCTCTCTCGGATGTGGACATGGACATGGTCATGGATTTGCGCTGGTTTAGACTTGGCCTTGGACTTGCACTTCACATTCTCTGTCTTCACACTTTATCTCCACACTATCTTCTAACCCCTTTTATTTTTCATACTACACACGATGATACACCATTGGCACCTACATTGAGGGGGGAGGGGAGGGGAGGGGGTTATTCAGCATGATAATTCAATGGATTCATTTATTTACCTGTGATTATGAATTTACAACAGAAATTTGGTTCGTGTTTTGTTTATGCAGGTTAGATAGTTAGATAGCTAGCTAGATCATGTCATAATCATACCATGTTGTATCATTGTATCATATCATATCATCTCCAAGCCAGGTACCTCGCTAGTTACCTCGTAGTTAGTTATCTAGATCGATGATAGACATCTACTGTGATAGCTCGACCGAAGATGCCAAGAGCAAGAGTGGGGCCCCGCCAGCCAGGGTCAGGCACGAATTAATCCTGGGGATGATAGCCGCAGTCAGCACGGATCATCTCGATCTCTATTCCTTATTGCTGTTATTATATGGGGATATGGATATTGCTGGGGCTGGGGCTGTGGCAATGGCATAGTTAGAGGCAGGTACTTACTTACTCAAATAGTACTATAACTGGTTATTATTCCGGGGCTTAGATTGTGGTCCGTGCATTCCGGAACGGAGACCGACATCTTAAGACATCTTACTTAAGTGCTGTAGTTAGTTTCAAGCTTGTAGCAACCAGCCATGCTCGTTCCTGTGCTTATCACTCTGTATTAATGGCTGGTTCGGTTAGCATACATATCTGATCCTACTTTGCACATAATCCAGATTAAATTCCTATCAGGGATTAGTATCGAGCCGATCTGAAACGATGTATGAACCAAGGATATTATTATTATTATTATTATTTTCATTGATCGATTCGTCCCGACTCCCGTCCTACATAGTATGTTAGTGTTAGTGTTGGGGTTGGGGTTGCGGTTACAGTGCTGCCCGATAAAGTGTATCTATCTTATAATAATATTAATCCAGATTATTCCCGGGAGGAAGGTTCCTTGATTTTTTTTAGATCTGACGGAATAATAATCACGGAAGAAAAAGCATTAATATTATTGCAGCATCGCATCCCCTGAGTGGGTCCGATGGTGGCAGTGCAGCCGCGGATGGTTTCGCATGGCTACACTGCGTTTGGCAGGTCGGTTGTCGGTCGGTCGGTTGTCATGGATGGAGATTATAGTATTATTATTCTTCTTATTCTGTTGCATGGAATTGAAGAGAAAAGTGTACTGGAGGTAATAATATATACTAGATAGTACTGTAGTTGGATACAGTAACAGTAAAGATGGTTGCAGAGCTCCCCGGACCCCGCCCCACCGCGATCGATCCGGCTTAGTCCGCCTTCATCATCATCATGAGGAGGTTGAGCTTCTCTCTCTCTCTCTCTCTCTCTCTCTCTTTTCTTCTCTGTGTCCCCCTGTCTGCTGCATCATATAACTCCGTACTACCTATATCTATCGTTTGTCTCGCCTTAGTCGCCATTCATCCCAGTAGCTGCATCCCTCTCCCTTCCACTCGCTTGGGCTTCTCCAACCCAACTGTCGCCGTCCAAGTGGTCAGCGTCAACATCGTCAACTCGTCAACGTCAACGTCATCCACCACAAAGTCATTTAAAAGTACGCTACCCGCCCAGAAAGCCAAGTCAACTCGGATTCCACCTAACCCTTCAGCACGCAGAACCCCCCCCCCCCCCTCCCCCCTCCAACCCTGGGACTGTTTGTTGGATGATCCGGATTGAGGCTGTGCACCTGCCACCTGAGTGACTTGAAGTCCCTTTTTGGTCCATTATTACCTCACCCGCGATCCACCGCATCCTTTCTCCTCCGCCAATTATCCCTGCATCTGGAAGGCCAGAAGTTTAAGCGATTCCTCTCGCTGCCGCTAGCTACCTAGTAGCTACTATCGAGCATTCGCATTCCTTGCCTCTGCTGGAATTGAGGAATCCCGCACGGTCCTGCTTCTCGTGGCTTTGCTGTAAGTATCTAGGCGCCGAACAAAAGAAAAGTCAGAACCCAGCCACACCATCCTTGTGTTCTCTCCGCTCAATCACGAGGGTCCTTCGTCAATCTTGTCGAAAGCCAGTCCACTGAACCTTGGGTCAGAAGACCGCCGGTCATCTTCTCTCTTCTTATATCTTAGATTCAAACGCTACTTGTGGCTCCGCGTCGTCGCCACAGAATGTGTAAGTGCCACAGAACCACTGTTCCTTAGCACGTCCCATCCATGTTTCGAATTCTGCTCCCACATCGTTCTTAATTCCTTCCCCACCTGCCTGCCTATCTGCTTCGTCCCACGTCCCAGGTATCATCCTCCGTCGTTCATTTGCTTTGTTTCCGGGTCTTGATCGGCACAGCGTCACTCCTTCGACGTGCTTGCGTCGGGATACCCCTGGTCACTCAGCTCCCCCGTCACTTACACATTTACTGGTCGCTCCTTGCCTTCATCGTTTTGTCTCCTTTCCTCATTCCTCCGGCTTGACGCTGCTTTGTCTGGCGACTGTTAAATCGACTCGTCCCTTGCGCTTCGTCTCACTGCGATCCATAAAGCCCAAAAACTGACGGTTTCGGGCCTGCAGCTGCCAACAATATCTTCAAAAGCTTTCGAAAGAACTCCTGGGGTCCGAAGAGGAGAATGACGGGTCATTCACGGAACAGTTCTCTCGAAGCCAGTCAGCCCAGTGAGCCGAACGAGAGAGATGCATTGCTCCACGACATCGCTCGCAACAACACCGGTCTCCGACAGCAGAAGCCGGCCCGTCACTGGTTTCACTGGCCTCACCGGGTGGCTCATTTGACGTGGCAGACTCTCGTGCGGGACTATGTCAATGTTTTCCTCGTCTTTGTGCCATTGGGCATCATCGCCGGCGCCCTGCACTGGGACAGCACCGTCATCTTCACCCTGAACTTCCTGGCGATCATTCCTCTGGCCTCGCTCTTGAGTTTCGCGACCGAGGAGCTGGCGGCGGTCATGGGCCAGGCCATGGGTGGGTTGATGAACGCGACTTTCGGCAATGCTGTGGAATTGATCGTATGTGGACCTCCGAAGCCATGCCCTCCTTCATGCTAACCGTATCGGATGGTAGGTCAGCATCATCGCCTTGAAGGACAACCAGATCCGCGTCGTTCAGGCCAGCATGCTTGGTAGCATCCTCTCCAACATCCTGCTCGTTCTTGGCTGCTGCTTCTTTGTCGGCGGCCTGCGGTACTCGGAACAATCGTTCAACAGCACGGTGGCATCGACCATGTCGTCTTTGATGACGGTTTCGTCCGCTTCGCTGATCATCCCCGCCACGCTTTACGCCTCGTTGAGCGAATCCGGCGACAAGGACCAGCGGAGAGACAACATCCTGTTTCTGTCGCATGGCACGGCCATCATCCTGCTCGTTCTCTATGTGATGTATCTGTACTTCCAGCTCAGGTCGCACGCGGAGCTGTTCGAGGCGGCCAACGACGAGCTCGGCGAGGCTGAAAACCAGGGAGATGACGCCGAGGAAGAGGAGGAGCACATCCTTAGTCCGGTGGCTGCCACGGTCGCGTTGATCGTCGTGACGGTCCTGGTGGCCATCTGCGCCGACTACCTGGTTGGCAGCATCGACAGCATCGTGCAGCAGACCGGTATGAGCCGCACGTTCATCGGTCTGGTTCTGATCCCCATTGTCGGTAATGCCGCGGAGCATGTGACTGCTGTTGTTGTCGCGTGGAAGGGCAAGATGGATCTGGCGATCGGGGTTGCCATCGGGAGCAGCCTGCAGATTGCGCTGTTTGTCACGCCCTTCCTCGTCATTCTCGGCTGGATCATGGGCATCGAGATGACCCTGCATTTCCACATCTTCGAGACCATGGCCTTTTTCATCTCGGGACTTGTGGTGACTTTCCTCATCCAGGACGGAAAGTCCAATTACCTGGAGGGCGGATTGTGCCTGGGAATGTATGTTGCCCTGCTCGTCACTCTGGACCGCGCTGACTTCTCTAGGTATCTCATCCTGGCCCTTGCCTTCTACGTCTACCCTGACGACGTCAACGAGGATGCTCTTTGGCACCCGTGAAAGACTCTAGGATTGTGATCCTGCGATTGCAGACTTTACCTTCACTTTCTGTATCCCTTTCCTATCTCCATCTCCACCTTGTCCTCTGGTGTATGCCCTTGTAAATAGCAGTCGCGTCTGGATTCTATCCCTGTGCGTTCCAGGTTTTGGTGTTCTACTAGTGTATTTCCCAGCTGCAGGTCAGCACCGGTGGAGACCGACATCATTCTGCTCTGATTACGTCAAGGAGCGAGCATCTTTCTTCGCTTTCTTCGTGCAGTGGTGGGACATAGGTCTAGCGTTATAGGGTAGTCTGCAGAGGAGTCTGCCCAAAGTAATGTTTAGCCACGTGTTCCTGGATCAGTATAATCCCATTGTAATCATAGAATGGCATATCCTGAGCGATGTTCGATGAAGATCCCGCGGCACACAGTCATGCATGTCATCGTTACCGTCATCAGTGGAGACGAGGGCGAAGGCGAACCTCCACCGCCCTTGGCGCGGCTGACTCAGCGGGTGGAGAGGAAAATCGTTCGCCGACTTCAACACGAGCGAGGCGGACGGCCGTCGAGGTGATTTCCCCATCCTCGCCATAGTTGTCATCCTTCAAGGCCCAGTTCACCATGCCGCCCCGTCTCAATCTTTTCACCGCAAGGGCGGTCCCCGTTCTTCGCTCCTCCGCCACCCCCTCCGCCGCCCGACGCAGTTTCACCACCATCCTCAACGCGAACAGGCCCTGCGCGGCGACTACCAATGGTCTGACTACGCCGCTTCAACGACGATGCAACTCCTCCGGCTCCGACGGACAGGGCCGGCCCAAGGGCCCGACCGAGGACCCCCTGCCCCATGTCAGTGAGGAGGCCGCGGAGGTCAGCAAGATCATGGACAAGAAGTGCGACGGCGCCCCGTCCAGCCCGGAGTTGGAGCAGGGAACGCCTGTTTCCGAGGTGAGTGCCTGCCTGCCTGCCTGCTGCTCGGCTCCTATCTTGCAATTGGCATAGGGATGGTGATTGACTTGATTTCGTTGCTACCTACGCAGATCCTCCGCCGCGACAAGGACGCCCAGAAGCACGCCCCCAAGGTCATGCAGGACCAGATGAACCGCCCCTCCGGCTCCCGTTCCTTCTCGACATCCGCTTTCCGTATGCAGGAGCTACAAGCGAACAACAACCCCAGCAGCAGCAGTGATGACGCCTCCGCGGCCCTGGTCGCCAACATGATCGCCCAGGTCACCGAACAGGCCGCGGAGCTGCACCCCGGCCTCAAGTTCCCCGCGCCGGCCGAACTCCCCCGGACTGAGAACTTCCGTAAACGATACGATACGGTGGTGGACCAGTTCACGAAGACGATCATGCGGGATGGTAAGCTGAGCAAGGCCCAGAAGGTATGTGCCTATCGAATCGGAATGTCGGAACCACCCCGAACCGGTCATCCTGACTAACCATCACAGAACATGTCCTTCGTCCTGGACCACCTGCGCACGGCACCCCCTCCCCAAATCAACCCTCGCCGGCGGTTGGTCGGCGCCCCCCCGGCGTCGCAGCTCCCCCTCAACCCGGTGCTGTACCTCACGACGATCATCGACTCGGTGGCGCCACTGCTCAAGCTCCGCCAGCAGAAGGGTATCGTGGGTGGAGGTGTGTCGGTGCAGGTGCCCGTGCCGCTCACGCTGAGACAGCGCCGGCGCACGGCCATCATGTGGATCGTGGAAGCGTCGGAGAAGCGTCGCGACAGCCAGTTCGCGTACCGCCTGGCCAACGAGCTGGTGGCCGTCGCAGAGGGCCGTAGCGGCGTCTGGGACAAGCGCGAGCATGCGCACAAGCTGGCTACGTCCGTCCGGTCCAACGTGTCGGCGAGATCGGGTACCAAGAACCGGATGGGTTGATCAACGGACGGATGGGCTGTATATTATCCGCATGTGTATTTTTTTGACTGTTTTGAGAGCATTGGTATTAGGTTCATTTTTAATTGATTAGACATGATTTACTGGTGTTGTATGGATTTGTCTGGAATGTCTAGGTGCCTGATGGGTGCCTTGATATTATTGCCTGGTGAATGCCTGGTGAATGCCTGGTTATTCTGGTTGACATCTGCTTGATGCCTGAGTGACAAGTATTAAATGCCTGAGGCAGAAACAGCCCGCCAATCAACCCGCGCTGACTCACCCGCTCTCCGGCGGCGTCTCACTGGCCACTCAGCCACTTACTCACACTCCCTGAAGCTCGATTTGCTCCTCGGAGGATGAACTGCTCGTCCTGCTGTCAACTTCCCCCCATTGCCAATCCATTGGCAGCCCTGGACAACAGCCCCGGAATGCCCCATTGACAGCAGTCCCGGTGCATCCCAGCTCTCGCCGCGTCGGCCCCGCCTATCGGGAGGTCGCAGCTCCTGATAACGAGCACGCAGATACTCCGACTATCAGCCAGGCTAGCGTTAGCGGCACCTCGCGACGTGCAACGTTACTCCCCCGTCCACCCACTAGACACCACGGCTAGACTCTCTCTGCTACGACTAACTAAACTAGATACCCTCGCTCAAGCACTCGCACGAGGCCATCGCACAATTCTGCCCCGCTCCCTGCCTCCTTCTCGTCCTACACCGTGTCGTCGAATGCCGGCGGTCGAACCTGGGCACGCATCGCTTCTGCGAGGGGTGCCTTGACCGACGACGATAACGACGCTACCCCGAGCGGCCTCTCATTCGAGCTCGCCGACTACCCTGACTCCCCTGCCACACCTGCCACACCTGCCACCTCTGCCTCGCCCTCTCACAACCCATCACGAGCCACTGGAACCGCTCACCCGACCGTCCCAGTCGCCCCAGATAGCCCCCGACAGCGTACAACCGCCGCGGAGAGTGATCACCCGCGGACTCGCGAGAAGCCCGTCCGCATCAAATACTGGGTAGAGGCACTTCGTCGTCGTCCTCACCGCCGTAGCGGTTCCCCCAAGATGAAGTTCTCCCACAGCATCCAGTTCAATGCCGTGCCGGACTGGAGTGCCTATTATCTGGCTTACAGCAACCTGAAGAAACTGTACGTATCAATATCCCCGAGTCCGCATCTGGAGTGTGACATCGCATCGGATGCATGTTACATGGCGCTGCATCGTCCTCGATCGGGTCTGACGCTTGAGGAACCTGCAGGATTTACTCCCTCGAACAAGAAGCCCATCGATCGGCAGGCCAAGGGCACGTCGATGTGGAGTCCGCTCCGTTGCTCGACAGCGGCACCTTGGATACGGATGCCGTCTTCCGGCGGGCCCTCGACGCCGAGCTGGAGAAGATCTGCTCCTTCTTCCAGGCCAAGGAGGCCGAGGTGCTGTCCGAGGTCGAGGAGGTCGTCCGCGAGGCCGAGGATTATGCCAACCAGGCCGACAAGATCAATGTCGATCCGATGAGCGAGACCATGGTCAAGGCCCGGACCATGAGCGCGAGCTCCCGCCAGCAGCCCGGCCATGTCTTCCGCCAGTTGGCGTCCCAGGAGCGGCGTCGCAGCACGTTCAGTGACACCCTGGCCGATGACGATGACGATGCAGACAGCGATGACGAGCCCGGCCCGCGGGCGAATCAGATGCGGCCCCAGTCGCATGGCGCAGAGTCCAGCAATCCCGACGCCAGTCGTACGGACGACATGCGCGATTCCGGGCTGTGGGCGGCCGACTCTAGGATCTTGGGCTACGGGCAAAGCAACCGCGGGGCCCCGGACGAGCAGTTCTCGGACCCGATCGTCGTGGACCTCTACAACACGGGCCTCTCGCTGAAGAAGCAGGCGGTTGCGGCGTATGTCTCGATCTGCGGGCTCAAGTCGTACATCCAGCTGAACAAGACCGGGTTCTCCAAGGCCTTGAAGAAGTACGATAAGACGCTCGACCGCAACATGCGGCGCGAGTACGTCAACGCGGTCGTGTCTCCGGCGTATCCGTTCACGGATTCGACCATGGACCGCGTGGACGACAACATCCATAAGATCGAAGAGGTGTACGCCAACGTCGTCACGGGGGGGAACATCCCCCTGGCTAAACGCGAACTGCGACTGCATCTCCGAGAGCATGTGGTCTGGGAGCGAAACACGGTCTGGCGCGAGATGATCGGCATTGAGAGGAAAGCGCAGGCCGCGAATGTGGGCATTCGCCGGACCCTCCTGGGAATCGACGACGATCCTTCCCAGGCACGACGCCAAGGAGACGAGCAGGACGGCGTGGAGAAGAATCTCAGGACGCCCTTCGGGGTCATCACCATCCCGCAGTGGCTTTGCAGCTTGAGCTTGGGAACCCTCGTGTTCGTCCTCATCGTCTTCGGCATCTTGCTCTCTGCGCCTATCATGAAGAAGCCCGAGCAGCAGAACTGTCTGGCCATGCTCGTCTTCGTCAGCTTGCTTTGGGCCACCGAGGTCATCCCCCTCTTCGTCACGTCCCTGCTCATCCCGTTCCTCGTCGTGATGCTCCGCATCATGAAGTCCGAAACCAAGCCGTACGAGCGTCTAGGAGCCAAGGAGGCCACCAGCGCCGCCTTCAGCGCCATGTGGACTCCAGTCATCATGCTCCTCCTCGGCGGGTTCACCATCGCGGCGGCGCTATCCAAATACGACATCGCCCGCCGCATGGCGATGTTCGTGCTGAGCAAAGCCGGCTCCAAACCCAACGTCCTCCTCCTCACCAACATGTTCGTGAGCATGTTCCTAAGCATGTGGATCAGCAACGTCGCGTCGCCTGTGCTCTGCTACTCAATCATCCAGCCCCTGCTACGCAACCTCGCGCCAGACTCCAGCTTCGCCAAGTCCCTCGTCCTCGGCATCGCCCTCGCCGCCAACGTCGGCGGCGCCGCCTCCCCCATCGCATCCCCACAGAACATCATCGCCCTGCAAAACATGTACCCCAGCATCAGCTGGGGCACGTGGTTCTTCATCTCCCTCCCCGTCTGCATCATCTCCATCCTCCTCATCTGGGGCCTGCTCGTCATGACCTTCCGCCCCGGCCGCGAAACCACGGTCGCCATCCGCCCCCTGAAAGACAAATTCACCGGCGTGCAGTGGTTCATCAGCATCGTCACCCTCTCCACCATCGCCCTATGGTGCGGCAGCCACCAGCTCGAGCACATCTTCGGCGACATGGGCGTCATCGCCATCATCCCGATGGTGTTATTCTTTGGAACTGGCATCCTGAACAAAGAAGACTTCAATAACTTCCTCTGGACAATCATCATCCTCGCCGCCGGAGGCCTCTGTCTCGGTAAGGCGGTTACTTCGTCGGGTCTGCTGCATACTCTCGCCAATGCGATCCGCGCCGAGGTCGAGCATCTAAGTCTGTATAGCGTGCTCATCGTCTTTTCGGCGTTGATTCTGGTCGTGGCGACGTTCATCTCGCATACGGTTGCCGCCCTGATTATGTTGCCCCTTGTTAGGCAGATTGGTCTGGGGATGGAGGATCCTCATCCTAACTTGCTGGTCATGGCTAGTGCGTTGATGTGTTCGGTTGCGATGGCGTTGCCTACGAGTGGGTTTCCGAATATGAGTATGTTTTCCCTCTCCCCCCCCCCTCTCTCTTCTCTCTACCCCAGCTCCGAACCCAGTATAGTAGTAACATCTGCTAATGTTAATCCAAACAGCCGCCATCATGACCGAAGTCCCCCAGACCGGCCAGCGATACCTCCAAGTCCGCCACTTCTTCACCCGTGGTATTCCCGCCAGTCTGATGTCGTTTGCTGTCGTCGTGACTGTGGGATACGGGTTGATGTATATTGCGGGGCTGTGATTGATGCTGCTGCTGATTGCGTTGCTGTGGTTTGCTGTTGTTGGTTGATTTATTATTTTTTTTTTTTTTTTAGGTTTGGTTTGGTTTGGTTTGGTTGGGTGGATGGATGGATGGGATTGATTGATAATATATGATATGGGGAGATATTCGATCAGTTAGATGTATGTTATTTGATAAATGGGGGTGATAAATAGTGGTATGATGTGGTATGTATTTGTTGGGTACCTAGAATGATAGACTTGCGTTGGTTTACTATATTATCTTTGGTTAGGTACTATAGATGCTGTCTCTGTACAGAAGTTTGGGGCGACTATTCTATGTACTAATATGTGTATGTATACGTATCATGATAAGTACTATGTATATGTATAGATATATATATATATACATCCATTTGCCCCCCCCAGCCCAAATTACTCCTCCCCAACCGGCAAATCCAGCTCCACCACCCACGGCGCATTAACAGGATGATACTGCACGGTCATAATGCTCGCGTTCACGAAGAGGGTCTCGTCGCCGAACCTCAGCCCGGCCCCGCCATCCTTACTCAGATCGACCCTGGCGCACCCCTCCTGCAGGGTCGTCTGCTCATCGCACTGGATCATCGACTCGTTGCCGGTGCTCCACTCCACGCGTCGAGCCCCGTACCCCTCATGGATATGGCCGAAGACGTGCAGGCGCGGTCTCGCGCGCTTCACGGCCCGGTACAGGTGCTCGCAGCCGACGCTCGCGTGGCTGGGGACGACCTGGTCGAGGATGCCGTAGGGGGGGCCGTGGGTGAGGATGATGTCGATGGAGGGGTGACTGGGGATGGGGTTTTGGGGGGGGGAATCTCTTTCTCTTCCTTCTCCCCCTGCCCCCCCTGCCCCGGGGGAATCAAAAGAAGAGGAAGAAGATAAAGCCAGCGGATCAGGAGAAGAAGAAGAAGAAGAAGAAGAAGAAGAAGAAGAAGAAGAAGAAGAAGAAGAAGAAGAAGAAGAAGAAGAAGAAGAAGAAGAAGAAGAAGAAGAAGGAGGATTAAACCGATCCACGCCCCTCTCATACGCAAAGGCCCAGTCACAAAACTCGGGCGTGAACGGACTAGCATAGACAGTAAAGCGCACGCCACTGGTCAAGCGGAAAACATGCACCCCCTCCTCCAAGTAGCGAATCCCTGCCTCCCACGCCTCGGCCGAGGTATACAGCCTCTTGATGTCGTCGGGGTCCTCGATCGCGCCTTCCTCGTGCTTGCCCGCCGAGATGTTGTGCGCCGTGTTGGCATGCACCGACGGCGCGGTGTGGTCGGTTCGGTGCCTGTGGCGCAGGTGGCCCTTGGACGTGTAGTAGGGCGCGTCGAGCGTGATGTCGTGGTTCCCTGGGATGACGAGCTTGAGCTCCGCCGCGGCGGATTGGAGCGTGCTGAGCAGGGAGAGGTGTTCGTGTTTGTGGCCGACTTTGGTGAGGTCGCCGGCGTGGAGGAGGATGTTGGTCGCGGGGAGGGGCTGGCGGTAGGGGTTGAGCGGGGTGGAGCGGGGGTGTGGCGGGGCGGAGTGCGTGTCGGAGAGGAGGAGGAGGGTGGTTTTTTGGGTGAGGGGGTTTGTTGGTTGGGGGGGAGGGTGGTCGTGGGGGGGTCATGGTGGGTGGTTTGTTGTTTTGTTGGTGTTGTTGGTGTTGTTGGAAGTAGGTTGTATTGGGGGGATGGATGGAGATTTAATTGATGTGGTGGGGAATAGGTAGATTGTAGGATGGATAGTACTAGATAAAGTAGTAAGTAGTTGGGAGTTAAGAGTAGGAGAGTAGGAGGTAGATGAGTTGGAGAGTAGGAGAGGAGAGTGGGAGAGTATCTGTCGGTGCAGCGGACTTGAGACGGTTTCGTCATCGAGCCAGGACCAGATAACCAAGTACCGATAGCACAAGCACAAACCAGCACAAATAAATAGTCCGCTTCAATACCAAGTGTCACTACAGTAACCATAAGATCACTACACAAAGTCATACTGTGAAATACAATCATACAGCGTGTTGAACTAAGCAAATAGATGAACTGATGAAGCTTTATTCGTCCATTCAGAGCTACCAAATCTGAAATGCTAACTCCGATCCATCCCTTTTAACAATGCAACCGCTTACTTGCGGATAGCACGCTGGTAGAAAGCCAGCTCCTCACCCTCCAGAATGTATCCATCGACACGTCCGCTCTGACCGGGGCGGGACGAGATGAAGGCGTACAGACGACCGGACTCGAACTGTCTCTCGACAGCCGACTCGACCTTGCCGTGGTCGGCGAAGCGAGCGGCCTGCTTCTTCACGACGCTGTTGCTCTTCTTCTCCTCGGTGGTCTCGGTCTTCTGCTGGCGTCTGCGGCCGATGGGCTGGCCGTAGTGGGCCTCGTACCATTGACGGAAGGGAGCGGCATCGATCTGGACGATGGCGGACTTGGTCAGGGTGTTGGTGCGGACCAGCTCGTTGTTGGAGGGGTGGTAGGCCACAACGATGACACGGGTCTTGCGGGAGATACCCTCGGATCCCCACGAGAAGTTGCCGGACTCGAGGCGCAGGGCACGGAACTTCTGGTTGCCACCGCGAGTGCGGACCAGGTGGATTCTCTTGGTGCCGATACGGGTGTTGGAGGGCTGGCGACCCTTCTCGAAGGCTCTGGTCGGGAGAGGTCAGTGACCTGTTTTCATGTCTGGTCTGGTCTGCTCTGTGGCTAGGAACTCATGCATACCTCTTCTTGCGGTAGGTGGCCCTCTTCGCGCCGGTAGCCGAGCGCTTGTGACGAGAGTCGCGTGAGATACCCATGTTGACTATTTGAGGGGGACTAAAAAAAAATTAGTTGATGGTTCGATCAATCGATATATGATCCTGATGCCTGAATCCCTTCCACTGATTCGACTGCGATTGTGCGTGTCTGTGTGCGTGCGTGTCTGTCTGTCTGATGTCTGTCTGTGTCTGTGTCTGTGTTCGTATTGTCCCAAGGTTTCCTCCGATGTCGAGGTAGGTATTGTGCGAAGCACCAAACCGAGCGCGAAAAATTTTCGTACTTCTCAATTTGATATCTGTAGTCGCCTTCTCCCAGCACCGAATCTTTCTTCTTTTCTTTTCTCTTTCTTTTTTCGTTCCAGGTATCGCTCCACCGGATCGAGACCACCAAACTATGTGACTTGAAGACTGAAGACTTGACGACTGACGGGACGGACTGACTGCACGCGCACACGGACGTCGACGAGCGAAAAATGGAGGGATCGAGTATCAGGACAGGATTGCAACACACTCACCTCTAATCCTGCAGCCCTTCACCAGGAACGCAGCGGGCAAGGGTCGTTGGGTGGTCGTGGTCGGAGTTGAGTGCTTGTCGTCGGCTTGCGTTGAATTTCGCACTGTGGCTCGCTTGTGGGAGTTGCCCTACTACCCTAGTCTGGATCAGGCTAGTCGGGTCCCGTGACCGCTGAGTCAGGCTGTCGGGCGATAAGATGATACGCTCCGAGATAAAAGTCAAATCACCAACTAACTAGTTGGCGGGACATTATGCGGATTACTCATTTGCACAAATAAAGACATATAACTACTAGTTATACAGCGCGCTTAGTAGCAATCGTATTCCGTAGCACAGTAACAGCAAAATAGCAATCTAGTGCTTAGCACTGAGCAGTAATAAATCGTACACAGTAGCCATGTGAGGAATGTGAGGAATGTCTCCTGTGAGCCTGCCTACTCCCGATGCTCCCTCTTCGCCCTCTCCTCCTTCACCACGCGATCAAACCGCATCCACACCGTAAACCCCTCGATGAGATTCGACACCACCCACGCGCACCACACCCACGAGAGCACGGGCACGCCATACCGCCTCAACCGCTTGACCGTCAACAAACTCGCCTCCACGACATGCGAACCCCCCAGGATCGCCAACACCAGCGGCTGGGCCTTGTAACAGACCCTCGCGAACCCGGGCACCGCGGCCAACCCGACCGTCTCGTAGACCCACGCGCCGGGCAGGAAATTGCCGCGGTGCCAGAACGCGACGTACGCCGACACGCACAGCGCGAAGAGGAAGATCTCCTTGCCCTCGGGCCGGCGGTAGGTCGTGATGGTGATGTCGGAGCGGCCCAGCCGCGCCAGACACTCCTTGTGCATGGCGACCAGGCGGGTGCGCGACTCGGAGAAACTCTGCATCGGGGGGGAGAGGGGCACGGTGTAGCGCGTGTTGTCGTGCGTGGTGCGGATCACCAGGTCCGAGAGGCTGATGTCTTCGAGGCGCGCGCTTTGGGCGGCGCGCGCCGACACGTCGCAGTAGACTTGGAGGTAGGCGGATAGGCTGTCTTGGTGGTTGGCGTTCATGTGCGTGATGGTGAAGGCGATGGGGGAGCGGTCTGCCATTTTGGAGGTCTTGGATGAGAGAGGTGTGGATGGTGTAGAGATTTTATAGGGTGTGTTGAGCTGTAGAGGTTGAGACTGCCAGTAGAAGAAGAGAATGGCGTGGTGGGAAGGGTTTGGACGGAATGCGCCGAATCCGATCGATGACTCCTTTTTGCGCCGAAGCGGGCCTCGGGATCGTCAGAACATCGCGATGGGCGCGCACCTGGCATCGATCGGGATTCGGGCTGGCTCGGGAGCACATGCCCTCCTGGATCCAATGTCCAGTATGCTACGGCTTAAGACGACGGAAACAATGGTAGTGGTTCAATAGCTTACTTCGGTCCAGAACCAAGGGACAGTGGATAAATAAAGAGGTCAACCCGTTATAAACTGGCTGTCTTGGACGCGCACATTTTCATCATGTGGGATAGAGGTACCAAAAGATATCAAACCTATACTTGAAGCCACAGTATTTGTTTGTCAGCCACTGTATACTTGGCAACAAAATTTAAATTCAGGTGATCCACCTACTTGTCAAGGGAAATTTCAGATGTTAGAATAATCCCTGCCTGGATAACAGATTAGGGAGGATGGGATATAGAAGAAGATGGAAATTAGAATTTATAATAATTGCGAGGACGTTTATAGTTCCACGATGCAAGTCAGCGTCACACCACTTTCAAGGTATTATAATTGTTGCTATGTAATATCGTATACTATTTTTATTTCTGGCTAAAAGAGCGCTATACTTAGTTTTGCAGGTAATCCTAAATCAACATAGACATGAGTAGACTATGAGTAATCTTCCCCTTTTAGCTTATTTAAAATGTTTACTCCCTTATCTTACATATACCAACTTCTAAAACATAAGAAAGGAAAGTATAATTCCTACTGAATCCAACCATCCTATCAGGTTTACACCAGCATAACTTGCCCCGTTATATGGCCAGAAGCCAACCAACCCCTGTGCCCTTGCAAACCCAAGCGTAGACTATGGTGCTTTCAAATCTGAACGAAGTAGTAATTACATGCATACCAGCAATATAAGTACCTAGCACTGATGATCCATGATCCATTTAAACAAACACTACAGAGTATAGTAAAACAGTGATACACCACCCATCTAGCTCTGGGTTTTAGTTCAGCATCGAATGAATAGGTACCCACGTAAGTAAGTAGATATCAAGATTAAACTTCAACATAACAAACCTCGACCCTATCAGCATCATACTACGCACGGGATCATCTCTTCGATAATGAAACGCTAACGTTGATCAAGTGATACCCCACCACACTCCTCAGTCCTCGGTGTTCACCTAGTACCTAAGAGCCAGGCCAGACATCATGCATGACCTACCTCATAGTCATACTGCATTGAATTGCTTTATCTTGATGTACTATGTACGTAGTAACAATACCTTAATTACCTTATTGATAGTAGCGCCTATAGGTAATATGTATAGTGCCTGCTGGCACGTACATAACTGATAATTGAGAAGATAGATGTACCTAGTACGTGCCACCGCTTAACTACTATCTCCTCCCTAGATGACAGAGTCACACTGCAGGTGCTACAAATAGAAACTAGAAACTAGATAAAAGTATCCACACAGAGTATAAAAGAAAACCAGCAAGCCACGTGTGGCTAATATATACATACATCCCAACTCAACCCCGCCCAGCCCAGAAGATCCATATTCCATTGCATATGATTGATTGACTGATTGATCATTATCTTATACCCGATAACTAGTACCCGATTACCGCACTCTTCGAAGCTCTTTCCATCCATCCATATCCCATAGCATAAGTGGTATGAACGTATCATTTATGAGTAAGTACTGTTGTAATTGCATCTTTCCCCCCCCACCGAGTTACCCCCCAATATTGTATTCTATCCTTACTTATCTACTTAAAAAATAAGGCTATTCCTGAATCCCGATTCCTGATTATAATGCTACCTCCCGTACCTATAGTATATAGGTGGGTAGATAGATGAAAAGACACTTTAATACTGTATTTATTGAACTGTGAAACTTGTCAAAAGAAAGACAAAACTTATCATGTAATAACTATAATCAGTACCTTTAAAGTCTTTTGTGGGGATTACACTGCGATTGGGTTGGGTTGGGTTGGGTTATTAGATTTGGATCTGTATTGACTTGATGTTATTTCTTCTTAGTCACTTACTTACTTATTTAATTCTTTTCTTTTCTTCCTTATAAGGGTTGAAAAAAGAATATTGTATTCCTATCCTTGGCACAGGGAGATTCCATTCCAATTAGATTGAAGCTTCATACTGTAACTAAATGAATCAAGATAATGGAGTTGGAGATTGGCTACTAGCGTTGCAGATAAAGTTCCACTACCCCGGATATATTTTCTGAGTTCGTCCGTCCCCTTCCAATCCGAACCAGAACTACACCCACTCACCCAGTAGTTACAAACCACCATCTAATATTGAATCTACGGTCGGCGAATTATCCACCGGGCTCTGGTTCCGGTCTGCATGTCTGAAATGGGCTATGTATATGATATGGTGGAAAAGACAGCACCACGAATATGGAATATATAAACACATTTGACGAACCCCAATGGGATTAAATTGAACAACCAAACCAAACCAAACCATGCCAACATGGTATAATCGCGCACGGACACAGCTGAACTGATAAGCAGACAATCGAGCACCCAGGTAGGATAGACTCTCTATCACATAGACAGACAGACGAACAAATAGACACAGATAAGACATAATCAACCAACCGCTTTGTAATCAATCAATCCTTCATGAACGTCATAAGAGGCGAGACAGACCAGCTCCTAGAAAAAAAAAGTAAAATTCCCGGTTGGAAGGACGAGATGGGAAAGTATAATATCGGGATCGTCAGGAACCGTCAGGAACAAGTAATGATGATATGACGATGATGGTGGTGGTGGAGTGGGAGTGGTGGGAGTGGCAAGTAGTAGTGCGATGTTTCAGGAATTCTTCCGATGGCCCCATCTTTTTTTTCGTTCGTTTTGTCTCCACGATCGGACTCGACTCGACTCGACGCCGACAGGAATTCGAGTGATCGATCGATTCGATCATGCGCTGGAGAGAGATGGGTGAACCGTTAACATCGACCTCACGTACTAAGTAAAGAATTAAGCGATTGCATGGATGGGTAGATAGTGGTGATCATAATTTCCCCCTGTTTCTTCTTGGGGTTGGACTTTTTACCCCGCAACACACATCACATCCCCGCCACATCCAAACCCGATTCAACAAAAAAAACCAAAAAACAACAGTGAAGAAAAGAACGAGGAGAGGGATCAAAAACTTACAGCAACGACAGTGTCAAATCACCGTGGATATGAGCCTTCAACTCCACCTCGATATCCAGATTCAACTCCAACTTCAACTTCATCCCGTCCTGGTCCTCCCAGTCGTCGCCATCCTTCTCTCCGGCCGCCTGCATGCCACCGTTGGCGATGGGTTGCTGGGCCACCGCGTCCCGACTGCTGATGGTCATGGGCTGATAGCGCTCCATCGTGCCGGGGACATCCTCCTCGTCCGAGTAGTAGTCATCGTCGTCGTAGTCGTCCTCGTCCGAGTACTCATCGGAGTAGTCGTCGTCCTCGTCCTGGGCAACGGGTTGGCGCCGACGGCGCTGTTGTTGTGATTGTAGTTTTTGCTGGGGCTGGGGCTCGTCGTCGCTATAGTCCTCTTCGGAGTCGTAGTCGGAGACGTCGTCGGGGTCGTTGGCGAAGGTTTTGGTGGCAGGTTTTTCGGCTTGGGCGGTGGCCATTTTGGAGGTTGTTGTGGTTGATTAGGTGGGTGTTCAGTCAATGGTTGGTATAGGAGGTGGACGGTGGGGGATGAGTGTGAGTGTGAGTGTGAGCAGGAGTAGGAGTAGGAGTAGGTATAGGAGGATATCCGACCCGGGCCGCCGTAAGTAAGCAAGAAAACACCCGATTAGAATCTATGATGTTGTCTGGAAATTAAGAAGGAAGAGGGAAAGGAAAGGAGAGAGAAAGAGGGAGAGGAAAGGAAGGGTGAGTCGGGCGGCCGGGCGGAGGATTGCTTTACATACGGGGAGGGGAATAACAGCGCCGGAGCCCTGCAGCGGTAGTCAGTCGGTCGTCGCCCGATTCGGAGCATAAACGTATCGACCCCAGAGAATAATCGCAAACTAGGGACGGAATAGAAGCATGGCATGCACTGGAGCCCTGGGTGAGATGGCTGAGGGATGACGTCTTGGGCGCCGGCTGCAAGGCTTCATCATCGCATGGCGGGCGATGATCGCATCATCATCATCACCATCATAATTATTATTACAGGGGGCGAGGAAGGCCAAGAAGCGGTTCAACGGTGGGTGGTGGAGGTCAGGCGATGACGCGCGGGGGGGGGGAAATCGTCATCGAGCAGGATGGTCGGGTCCACTGGAATTCTATCCGAATTTCCAACAGTGTAGGAGTACAGGAGTACTAGATATCCCCAGTAGTACAGTAGTAAACTGCTCAGTACAGCTGTGTTCAGCACGGCCGTACCCACGAAGTATCTCTGTGCCAGTACTTCGCTTCTACTACATCTACAGTCGTTGACCACCACAGTGGCCAATCCACCCATGGAACAATCTTCCCCAACCACGGACGGCTCGAATTGACGGTACGCATATCCGATCTCGGGCACGGGCACCAACATGAGAGGCACGATGGACATGGACGGGACCTCGATCAAGGAACAAGATGACGGAGGACAATTGAGAAAGCAGAGAGAAAGCAGAGAAGCAGCAGAGAAGCAGAAAAGCAGAGAAGCAGAGAAAGCTCTGACGTCGGCGGGCGTCAGACGAAAGGCCGTTGTGGAGACTCATCCGACAGCCAGGTGGACACGGGCCACTCGAGCCCGTTTCACGTCTGGCCAGCAGCCCTGGTCCGATGTCGCCAGCAACTGCCCTCATTGGTGTGCTTGGAGAGATTAGTACTCTTACCCTTACTCTCTCCGACTACATTCTTACTGTATCTCCATTGTACAGTACCCTGATCCCCGAACCCCCCCCCCAAGTTATTCAGACCCAGTTACTCGGACCCAGTACTATCATCAACGACGTCACTTCCCCCCCCCCCCAACCACCCGATGATCCCAGTCTTTCTCCCCCCCCCCCTTACCCGCAAGCGTGTTGTGGATGTAATAGTAATAGTAGAATGTAGCACGAATGACATACGACCGATGACGACGTCTTGCTTGCAAGTCAGAGCCCGTGGTTAGCAAGGCCCAAGGCCAAGAGGCTATAAATAATCCCCCGCCATTGGACAGCCCGCGTCCGAGCCCCCCCTCCCCTATATAGAGAGTGTCCCCTATCAGCAGACCGTCGCGCCTGTTTATAATCCTTCTTTCCTTTCTCTTTCAGCATGTCCGAGCAGAATAAGCCTGACTCTTCTCGTCCTTCTTCTCCCACCCAACACGAGGATCCCCCCAACCCGGCTGCTTCCCAGGAAGACAACAACAACAGCAACGATAACCCTAACCCTAACCAGAAAGAAGATCAACCAAAGAAAGAAGAAGCCGAGGCATCATCTTCAGTTCCCCCCCGGAAACCACCCACCAAACTCAACAAGAATAAACCTCCTCAACCCTCTCCTCAACCTCAAGACCAAGACCAAGAACAAGAACAAGAACAAGAACCCGAACCCAAAAAAGAACCCTCCCCCGAGCCCGTGAAACAAGAACCCCCTCCGACTCCGAACCAGAACCCGAACCACAGCGTGAACAACGCCATCTCACCCCGCAAGAACGCAAACGACGCTCTCGACCCCCGCAAAAGGTCCCCCCACCAGACGACATGGACAACGGCCAAGTGGAGCGTCCCCGCCGACAGCGCCGGCAGCGCACGCAACAGCAGCAGGGCGGACAGGACGGGGCCCGCTGGGCGGACTGCCGGGGTGGGCCAGGCGACGGATCTGGTGCAGAACACGGCGGGAATGCGCTGAACGGCGTGACGGGGAGTGCGGGCAAGGCGGTGGGCGGGTGCTGGGCGGTGGTGGACAGGATAAGGAGGAGGGGAAGGATGAGCAGTTGCGGTTGAGACTGGATCTGAATCTGGACATCGAGGTGCAGTTGAAGGCCAAGATTCATGGTGATTTGACGTTGGGGTTGTTGTATGTTTCACTCCCTTTTCCTTCTTCCTTCCTTTCCCCCCCCCCCTCCTGGTTTGTTTTTGGATTGGATTGTGGTTGCTAATTGAGTTATAGGAACTGAATCCTCTGCCCTTTTTTTTATTATTTTTTCTTACTCTTGACTGGATGGATTACTTTGATACCGGAGTTTTAAGTGAGCAGTGGTCATGACAGGAACAATGTCGATAGTCTAGATCGAACCACCGCAAAAGCCTGGCTTGCATTGATGAATGGATGGATGGATGGATGGATGAATGAATATTGGCACCCCCTTTCCTTCCTCTCCTCTGTCTGTGTCTGTCTGTCTGTCTGTCTGTCTGTCTGTCCGTCTGTGATACCTACAATGGGTTGATTACCCACCCCTCGTTTCTCTTTTATTCCCATTCCCATCCCCATATATATGCTCTACCATACCACGTCACCACGGACCGACTAGATCTGTTTCTTATTGTTTTATCCCTACTTGTTCCTTTTTCCCGTTGATACTCGGCTGTCCCTTTTTCCTGTTGATACTCACTTGTCCTCATGAATAATGATGATTTGTTATTTCTACTTCCCTTACTTCTTTACTGATTCTCTTTAATTTGTCTCATGTTTCTTTTTCTCGTCGCATGAGCAGCCCTTTTAAACTGTGGGGGGTTGGTTAGTTACTAGGTAGTTTTAAGTTGGTGTACCATATTTGGTGATGTAGTGGGTGGGGACTGTCTGGTATATGTTGAATAATTGATTGTCTTCAATCCAATCCAATCCAGTCCAATTCAATCCAATCTAATCCAATCCAGTCCAATTCAATTCAATCCATACATACTATCACCATCCATCCAGCAAGATACACATCCATCTACGCAAAAGAAAACATTAGAGGTAACATGATAGGTAGTATTCAGGACTTCTAGCGTGACGTCATTATCAAACACTGTATCATCCCATCCATATATTCCTGGTTGGACACCTTTTTTAATCAACTTGGTGTTGTTTCACCATATCCTTCTAAAAACATACCCCAAAATTGTAAAAAAAAAAAGACACCCTACATAAACAACCCCCTACCCCCCCCCCCCCCCCCCTTAAAAGCAGCTTACAAATACAAACAAAAAACGTCTATAGTCCATTCAAAGCTACCTATACAGTCCATACAGTCCAGTCCAGTCCTATCCATCCTATCCGTCCTATCCAACCCCCCACCCATCCCGGGTATCAGAATCCAGGTCCAGGTCCAGGTCCAGGTCCAGCGGCAAGAAAGCAGATCCGTACGTATGTTATGTTACAAGGAAGGCCAGGCCAACAGCCAACAAAGGAGATGTCCAAGAAGAGATGAGAAGAGAAGGAGAGAAAGGAAGGAAAGAAAGGAAGGAAAATAAAGAGGAGGAAGAAGAAGGGAAGGGAGAGAAGGGAGGGAAGAGAAGGAGGAGAAGAATGCGTAGCGTAGGTAGTAGGAAGTAGGTAGGTAGGTAGATAGGTATCTCACTAAAAAGTATATCAGGCCGGGATATGTTGAAAAAGAAGATAAAATAGAAAAAATCGAGCGAGAAGAGGAGGAAGATAAAAAAAAAAAGAAGAGAAGTAAAGAAGACCGGACAAACAACAACGCTGCAATGCAAGAATGCCCATGTCGCGACGCTGGATGAAGAAATTCAAATAAATAGATAATAAATAATAAATGAGCAGAAAAGAAAGAGAGAAGAAAAGAAAGAAGGCAGAGAGAGATAGATCACTCCTCACGGACCGGCGTCTCCGTCCGGAAGTCCAGACGGCTGCCCTTGCGACTGACTCCCTTCAGCAGACTGAAGCGCTTCAGCACCGAGTCGCGCCTCGTGTGGCTGGTCGGGCTGCTGATTTCCGGGCTGCGGATCGACGTCGCGCTGCTCCGCGTCGGCGGCCGCGGGTAGTCGCTGATCGATGGGATCGTCGACCATCCGCCCTTCGGACTCGCGATGGATGGCCGGTCGTCCGTCGAGGTGCCGTCCGTGTGGTGCGACGTGGTGCGGCTGATGTTCTCGTACGACTGCCCGGCCGTGTCGCGAGACGCGCTGCGCGACCGCTGCTTCTTGCTGCCCTCCGTCGCGATCGACAGCGACGACGTGTGCTTGTGCAGCACCTCGCCGAGCAGGCTCCGTCGCTTGCTCTGTGTGTCGCGCGACTGGTTGGTCGTCCGGCTGTGGATGGTCGCCGCATCGTCCTGGTCGGCCGCCTCCCCGGCATGCTCCGCGGTGCCATTGACCTTGCTCTCTGGCTCCTTGGCCTTGCTGTCGGGCTCCTTCGCAGTCTCCTGCACCGTAGCCACCGAGCTGCTCGCCGCATGGTTGGTGCGCTTGAACGGGTTCATCACGCTGATCCGGTGGCTGACAGACTGCTTGGCCGAGTGTTTGCGACTGTGATTCTTCCGTGTGCGCATCATCTCCTGCTCGGGACTGAGCGCCCGCGTAGCAGGCAGCTTCTGCCGTTCTTCCGAGGATTTCGGCGACTTACGTCGAGGCCACTGAGGCCGTTCCTGCTCGCTCGGTCGGAGGGACAAGATCTCGGGCGCGAACGCCTCCTCGAACCGGCGCGTGAGCTCCGCCTGCGTGGCCTGGTGGGCTGGTCGGTAGAACAGGGCCAGCGCCTGCTTGATGCCTAGCGCATGATCGACGAGAGCCACCGCCAGGGCGTTCCTCATGGGGTCGACGGGCTTCGGCGTCATTACGCCATCGTCCTCCTCGTCCTCGTCAGGCAGGAACTGGCGGTACACCGCGACGCAGTTCGGGGTGGCCGCGTGGAGTTCAAGCAACTGCTCCAGGGCTTCCGTGAGGTTAGTGAGGCTCGTGTCTTCGCCAGATGCGGCCCGCCGTTGTAACAACGACAATTCCTGCGTCTTGCGCCAGGTCCGTTCCAGCGCCGTCTGCAGAGGCGACATCGCCACCTCCTTCACCTCAACCACTTCACTGCGGCGGAGAATGTTCGGGAAAGGATCTGCAGTGGTGTAGACGACCTTCTCCACCCATTGCTCCTTCACGTCGACGTCGCGCGTGTGTCTTCTCAGCGTCGAACTGAAGTGGCAGGGCTCGGAGATCAAGAGATGGTCCCGGACAGACTGTGGGATCTTGGCCCGTTGCTGAACCGGATGGTCGACATCTCGCTGGACGCTGACAGGGTTGATCTGCAGGAACTGGCCTTCGTAATCTTGCAGCTCTCCCGACGACACGATTTGCGCGGCGGGGTGCTCTTTCTGCATGCGATCCACGAAAGAGGCCATGCGCTCGGTCGGCGCGCATTCAATGATGAACTCCTTATCGCGCAGAGTAACCGGGAAGCCAAGACCCTTGTACAGCACGCGGAAGTACCGTGGGAACTGCTTATCTTCCTTCGCAATGACGTCGTAAATCTTCGCCATGGAGCCTTGTGCTCTCGAGAGCTTGGCGAAGTCCACCACCGTGTCCTCATACTGCTGTGCGAGCTCCTTGTAGCACAACAGTGCATGCCCCCAAGCCTTCGCATCCTCGAAATATTGGATGACCGAGAAGTACAAAGACTCCTTTCGCTCGAACGACGTCTGCTCCGGGAAGGCAGGGTTGAGCAGCTCGGGAAGCACTCGTTTTGGATCCCACTCGTACAGATCGGCATGGAACTGGAGCGCCAGTCCGGCTTCGGTGAAATTGCCCGCTGCCGCCTGCACCTGGGCAAGTTCGTGGACATACCGGATGAAGATATCCTCGCGACCCATGTCTTTCATGTACTCCATCAGTCGAAGAGTATGCAGACTTTCCGCCATGGAACCGCCCTGGGAGGCCACAAAGAGGTCGAGTAGCTCGTCCACGGTCGCTATCAAGGCCTTGACCGCGTTGGACAAGTCTTCGTCGAAGTCCTCGTAGCCTTCGAAATGTTCCGACAGTTCTCCAATGAAGAGTTTCTGAACCACATTCTCACTCATGTTCTTCTTCTTCTTGAACAGGTTATCCAGGCTGGAAATAACCTCCGTCTCAATGATAGACAGATCCTCGTTCAAGCTCCACTCGCTCAAGATCATCGTCCGTAGAATATCGACAGCCACATGCCGGAGCCCTTCGTGAACGCTGAGGCACAGCTCGATTATCGGTGCCACCAGGCCAGGTACATACTGCACCTGGTAGCCACCCAGCTTGCTTAGCCCGTACTGTTCTCTCTCCTCGTCGGTGGTCTCCCAACCAATGGCTTCCCAGCTGGAATGCAGTAGATCGGCACCCTGTTCCCGAACATCGCCTGCGATCTTCCAGATGGCGCGTCGCTTCTGCTCCGGGAAAGTCTCCAGGGCGAGAGCGTCGCTCGAGACCACCTTCAGCAAAGTCATGAAGAAGTTCTCCCATAGTCTCGTGTCAAACGTTTCTGCGTCATCCGGCGCCGGAAGGAATTTACTCGTTAAGATGGAGCCCAGGAACTCGAGACTCTTGACAGTCGCCCGGTGGTTGTACACATGGACACTGAGCCACGATTCCGGGTATGCCTCGCAGTTAAGGATCGAGGTATGCACCTCAAACGCCTGCGAAAGAAAGCTCGAAAGCTCCAAACCCTTCAGCCGAGGTCGCTTAGGGTTGGGTATCGTCGTAGCGGCTGCCATGATTGCGGACAGCTCCACCAGCGCTTCGTCGAACTTTTGCGTGTACTTTGAAGACTTCACCTGGAATGGAAATGACTTGCTGAAAAGCAGGGAAAGGTAATCTGTCTCTTCAACACCATCAGGGATGATGGAGTAATACGACGAGACAATCCTCGGCATAAACTCATACAGATATGGATCGGGTTGTTTCATCAGCTCAGCCACAATCGCACAGCATAACCGGACTTGATCACGATACAAGTCGGATATGGCCCCCGTCGCACCCCAGTACGGTGCAAGCCAGCCGATGCAGCTGGATATCAGACTCCGTCGCTCCGAACCGGAGCCGAATATGTCCAGGCGAGTGTAATGCTGGATCAAGACCAGCTTGTAGAGGATCAACATGCCTGTGACGTCCTTACACGAGTCGATGAAGCTGAGCGCAATCATGATCATTTCGTCCCGACTGAGTACTTTCGAAAGCTCTGGCAGCCAGGTGTGGAAGTGCTGAACAACAAGCGTCTTGCTCCCCACCATCGCGGGCGACGGGTTCTTCATGAGAGCTTCGAGCGACTTGAATATCGTGTGCAAATCACGGTTGAATGTCGACTGCACCCTGGTGATGCCGATGCCCTCCTCCTTGGCCTTCTGCTGCTGCCGCGCATTGATGATGAACTTAAGGACATGTCGCCCAACCTTGAAGGTCGCGCGGAGGCTCCGCGACTGCTGAGCGTCGGAGCTGGCCTGGAGCAGACGCGAATAACTTCTGACGAGACATGGCGTAGCGAAGGGAAAGTTAAACTGATTGTCGGTATAGTGATCAACCAATGGCCCCAAGTTGAACCGCCGGTCATGAACGATACCAAGAACCGTCACCAGGTTGTTAAAAATCAGGTCTTCATACTCCTCATTGCCGGCATTCTCGACGAGAATTCCAAACAGCGAGTCCAAGACACTGCTAAACTGCTTGACAATTTCGATCTCCGGCACGAAGAGGACCCTCTTGAGAGTATCTAATACCTCACTCACCGGCCTTTCTCTCCAGTTCAACAGGCTGAGGATAATTTGGTCTTGGGAGAATTCTGTGCTGCACAGATGCGTGTCAAGCCGTAGGGTGGCTAATGGGCCGGTAATGGCCTCGTCTTTTGCCGACTCATTCTTGCCCAGTGCGCTCCATGGAAGCGATAAATAGGCACCTTTCCCGTTCTCAATGCTCGACGTGCACTTATCATAAGCATGCAGCAAGAGCGGATGAGGCCCGTCTCGCATGAAAGCCTGATTGTCCCACAAAGGCATCCATGCCAACGCAAACGGAAACTCGGGAGCATCCGCAATGCTCATGATCAGATGCGACCCTTGAAGCTGGTCTGTGGGGATGTTGAGACGAATAGTTTGGTTCCAAGGCGCCCCCCTTTCAGCTATTGTAGTCCGCCACGCCGTCTGCGCGGGGGTGTTGGACGAGGGAAAGACACATCGATCTACACGTGCGCCGGACGATGTCCGCACCTCAAGCGTCAGCTGGAGGTTGCGATGCCCGGCATGTGCTGGCACCGGAACCTGGCCCGACTGGGGATGCGAAAGGAGCGCTTCAGGAGGGAACGTGGCGTGGGAGATGGTCACGTAGATATCGGATCTGGGTTTGGTCGGGGCCTGGGAGAAGCCAATCCTCCTGGTCTGTATGACGTTGTGCAGACTGGTGGGATTCTTGCGAACCAGGTCGTCCGCGTCGGCGTTTGCATGTGGATAGAGCTGGAAATGGAGTCTAGCGGCCCGGTGGGACCGCACGTACTTACCACTGGCGCTCGGGAGCAGCGTGCGGACTACTCCATCGAAGCCGTCGCCACGGCCCTCTTTGTCCTCGGCCTCCTCAGACGGCGACCATATATTGATCACCTGCTCGTTGTCCTTCTCCTGGCGGATAATTTGGGAAACCTCAAGAAAGCCGACTCCCACGGTACGAATTTGGGTCGTATCCTTGACAGGCTGACTGTTAGAACGTTCCTTGGTGGTGCTCGTGCTGCTTGCGGTTGATGGCGGGGGATTTTTGTTCATCTCTTTCCCCTGTTCGGGGCTCTGTATGCCGCGCGGCTTTGACGTCCACATCATGCTGCGGCGAGTCCTTAAGCTGCCCTTGACCGAGGGGTTGACCCCGGCCGGCGGCCTGGCAGTCGAGCCATCGCGCGAGATGGACGATCGTGGCGGAGCTACCACGGACGTGATTTCCGGTGCACGGACGGCAACAATCAGATATAGCTTCGGACCGTTTGCCGAACCGTCACCGATGTCCGTGCTGCTAATGTCGGTGAATAGTGTTTTCAGTCTGGCGTTCTGTCCCATACTGGCGAACGTCTCGGGCGAAGGAATATCCAAGAGGTAAGTCTCCGATAGGGGGGTGAGGGCGCCCGTTTCCGACTGCGCACACAGGTACACGGCCAGCGTTACAGGCCCGGGAGCATGGCCAGAGACAGCGTTGACCTCGAGCAGCAAATGATGGAGCGCAGCTGTATCAGACTGCTGCGTGGGGCTGCTATCAAGCATGCTCATCTCGGACTGTAGTCTCGCCAGATCAATGGCCGAATCCTCTCCGGTGAGAAGGCGCCCTCTCTGCTCCGGATCGCGCACAATGATATCTCCGCCCAGCGCTTTGTTTCCCCGGACAAGCTTCCAGACCACCTCCTGTCGTAGCGATTCCTTTTCTTGTGCGGTGAGCACATTGTATAGTAGCTGCCGTCGTGAAAAATCGAGCTCCTCGACGATCTTAGACATCTCCTCCACCGGGTCATATTGGCGCGAAAGGAGGAGTTGGTGGAGGTTGGTGGAATGCCATTCGCGCAAACACGATGCGATTTCGTCGACAAGCGGCTCGGAGAGCGATGTGGGGGTCTCATCACCGATCTTGAGCATCGGCACGGGGGCGGCTGGTTTCGGCGCGTTGGGGTCTCGCGGAGCCACGGCAAGGGGGGAGAGCTGCATCGAGAGTGTCCTGAGGAGATCTCTATGGAGGGAACGCGGGCTTCCGGGACTGCCTTGACTTTCGTCGTCCTGCTTCTGAATGAATATCTGCGAGGGTTTCCCCTTCTTCGCAATGACGACATTAGACACTTCCCCGAACGTATTTTCGTCGTCGTGAAAGGAGGCCACGCTGCGGCGCACATCCCCCTCCGCACCGACCGTCAGGGCCATGCTCGACCGGTCGCCATTTGTGATTGTCTTTTCTCCGTCGCCCAACACCTCGCGAATTTCGACACAATTGCGCGGGAAGATGCCCGAGAAGACGCGGGCCTCGAGGGTTTGGCCTTTGGTGCTGGTCAGGCCCGCCAGCAAGGACGGCGGCGCGACCAGGTAGCCGCGACACCACTCGCCATTGGCGCCGCCCTGCTCGATTATGTACAACTCATCGCCCAGCTCGAGGGGCAGGTCGGCCGGGGTCGTCGGCTGGAAGGGATAGATGGCGACGGCGAAAGCGATTCGAGGCAGAGGCCGCCAGGGCATATCTGCGATCGAGGCGGCACTGCAGAGCACACCCCGCCGCGGTGTTGGTCGCGATGGGCGTGGGAGGAATGAAGGGATACCGAGGAAGCGGGGTCGATGAGGGGACTAGGAATTCTGTCTGATCGATCGACTGGGGCGCTACATGCAGGTGCTGTCCTATGGGAGGAAAGGGAGGACGCAGGCGATTCCCGAAGCGTGCGGAGTGCGACTCGATTGTGCCTTGCGGAAATGGTGTCCGTGTTCCTGGGTCGGCGGGATAGGGGGTATTTGGAGGGGGGGGGGGGGGGTGTAACTATATGACCATCACGGTATGTGCGGTTAGTGAGAGAGGTTCTAGTAAGCGAAACGCAGGTGTTGTCTGGTGTGCGTGTCAAGCAAGAGGGTCATGATAAGTGGAGGAGGGAATCCATCTAGGAGCGGGATATCGCAAAGGGTCTGTCTCAGTGACGATGAGCGCCGCGATTGACGGGAGCAATAGTGAATAATAATAACGGCGGTAGTGCCATTGCTAGTAGTCATCACAATCAGAGGACACCACTAATTGATTCCTCAAGCTTCTGTCCTGCGTCGACAAATTCGTCGGTGCCCCCTAGCAGTGGAATTGGGAGTGGAGCCGAGGAGGTGCTCACTTGGCAGGAACTGTGGAGAAAGCACACAGATGAAACGAAGGGGGGGGGGAAGCTTACCCAGGATTGGAGGTGAATAGATGGAGGGGTGGTGAAGGAGAGGGAGGGGGAGGGAATTGACACAGGGGAGAGAGAGAGGAAGAGGGGGGAAGCAATGCAGTGAGAGGGGGGGAGTGGAGGGATGAGGGTAGGGCCGAATGATGCTTGATGGAGGAAGGGAAGGGGAGAGAGAGACAGACAAGCCGGACTAGTCAGTTGGAGCGAAGAGGTCGAGGCGATCGGAGCGGGAGGCGGAGAGGAGGAGAGGAGGAGGATGAGGAGGGGGGCCTGAGGCCGGAGAAGGACACGGTGCCTGAGGCTAGACTCGGACCGGCGCGGCGAGAAGTTGCAAACTACGGAGTACGCAATGGGCTTTGATTAACTTTAATTGATCGCTATATTGGCCGCGGCATGACACGTACGTATCTATATTGTCTGGATATCAATCAGTCGCTCTCCTTTTGCAGTCGGTCAGTACGGAAAACACACGAACATCCCAGGTAGATACGTGCCTGGGGCCGGTCAGGCCAAACAACGGGATGTGGCACACTATCCCTACCCATCCATGGATCCAGCTGGATCGATCGATGCAGCCAGTGGATTTCATCAGCACGTTACCCAGCTGGGTTTCTTTTCTCGATTCGGAGAGGGGGCGATCTATGAAAAATACAGCAGAAGAAATAAAAAATAACACACCCCTCCAGATCATTCAGAGTGAATATAGTACAAGTCACAATCGGCACCCCAGACAGGAAACAAGTCACTTGTACGGAGTACTCCGTACATAGAGAGAGGTACTTAATTCTTCAATAGTCACGCATGATAAACCCCCTCTAACTAACTGACACTCCAACAAAGATAGTCACAGACTGACTGACATGTTACTCTTACTTTTACTGAGACCGGCCCAGCACAGACCCAACATGGCCCCTGAATCCATCAGGGCCAAAAAAAAAAAAAAAAACCACCACCCGGGCCTTCAGAAGTCTGGGACGGCGCTGGACCAGCCCGGACCAGCCCCCTTCTCACTGGCTCGCCGTGCTGGGCCGCTAAATTGGTCTCCCAAGTCCCAGTCAGTAGGAGACTAACTAGGAGTAAGTCCCGGCGACTTGCTTTGCTGCTCACTTTTCTTTTTTTGGGTGCCTCGCGCGGTTCTCGTCATCTCTCTAGGGTTAAGATCGCCCGACTATCTCTCCCCGGTGGCTTGTCCGGTCGAGTACGGAGTAGTTTACTCCAACGTATCTATTAAGTTACTATCTGCCGACCATATGCAATGGCCATGCCGGAGACAACAACCAGCCACCGATGATTCGGACCCATCTGCAGATCTATTATCTACGGTGTACGTGTGGGTATATGCTCAGATCCATGAAAAAAAAAATGCAAGTAGGACTGCCGCAGCAGCCCCCGTCACCGTTACCGTTAGCGTTACCGTTACCTCTTTGCAGGGCTATAGATACATCAAAAGGCAGGCATGCATGCATGGATGGGTACTATACGGAAACAGAGAAAACAAGACAAGACACGAACACGGGCAAATGCGAATATCCAACCCATGCGCCCGTTCTATGATGCGCAAAACGAACAAGTGCCCTCGAAAGGGCCAATTGACAGATCGGCATGCAAGGGCAAAAAACCTTAAAGAGACACCAACAAGCAAGTAGTGACACCGCCTTTCACTTTTGGAACATCGCCATGCTATCCTCCTTGCGCCATTCAAGCTCCAGCTGGCCTTCGTACACCGTATCCACGACGCGGCGGGTCCGGTCATACGCTTCCTCGAACCGCCCCTCGCATGCCCGGAGCACCTTCTGCACCAAGCTCCGGCTGAGGCCCGGGTCGTCCGCATCGCCAAAGTGCTTCTCGACCCGCTTCTTCAGCATCTCAATTCCGCGCCGGATTTCCTTCGCGTCGTACGTTGCCAGCACCTTCTTCGCCACCGACCGCGAGTGGCTGGGCCGGATGGCAATGTCCGTGGGGCTCATGCCGGTGGCCAGCATGCTCTCAACGGACTCGATGAATTCCAGCAGCTTGCCCAGGGGCCGGTGGATGACCGAGTCGAGGTACAGCTTCAAGTGCTCCTGCATGTCTTCGTGCGCCCGGTCGCGCCACCGCACCAAGACCGGCAGGCCCCGAACATCGACCTCCTCAATGTAGTGGTTCATGTTCTCGATCAGAAGAATGTGGTAGTTCAGGATGGCTTTGTCTTCCGGGTCACCGGTGGTGGCGGCCGCGCCAGTTGGCTGGCCCGGCGCTTCCTTGGCGATGAACTTCAGCGACTCCCACATGGCCCGGTTGATGCGATCGTAGGCTTCGTTGACGTTCACCCGGACGTCATAGAACTCCTGTAGCAGCATGTTCTCTATCGCGGTAGAGAAGTGCGGGAAGACTCGCATGAATGAGATCACCCCCTTTCGCTTGTTCACCTTAACCTTGGTCTCCTCGATGCCTCGGATCTGCTCATCAACGAACCGATTGAAGAGACCAAGCAGCCGGGTGTGCAGCTTCTGGAGGGAATGGATGATAAAGTCCTGGTTGGTATCGTCGAACTCGGCCATGGCCTTCTCCATGGCCAGCAGAATCCCAATGCCTTGCCTATCACACGGATTAGTCCAACCGGGCCACAAATACGTACACGGTGAAACTTACAGCGGATCGGCTCCGAGGGCCCAGTCCACGAGATTCTGCATATCAGTAGGCCAAAACGAGAATAGCTCGTCCAAAACCTGTTCAACTTTCTTTGCCATACCCCGGTCGGGATCGTGCAGCTGCTTGGAGCCGAAGCCGGGTACTCTGCGCTCGTCAGGAGCGCCCATAGCAACCAGATCAGGAAAGTCGACAATGGAAAGTGAGTTGAGATGAAAGAAATGGACGATGAAGTTCTGCTCCTCCGCAATCATGTTGAGAGTCTCGTTAAGTGTGCCTGCGAATACTTCGCACGGCTCGAGCTTGCCGCGCTGCTTATCGCCGGAAGGCTTTAGACCTGCCGCGGCGCGGATAGTTTTCCCTCTTCTCACGGTTAGTTTGCGCGCAGCCATGGTGATGCCTTCGGACTCTTTCTCCTTTTCCTGATGGGTGAAGAGGAGTTCCTGCTCCTCTCCAGTAGGCTTTCTCGCCGACTTCCTCCACGCCAGACTATTGTCCCGGAAATCATTTTGGTAGGGCTGCTTGGCCTGTTGCTCGTAGAGGTTGATGAGCGCATGCCACTCCCCCGCACTGACTTCCCGTGCAAAGAGGGTCACTGCATGGTATTGCCACAGCTCGCGACGGCAGTAGCCCCGGGCTTCGCTATCGAGCTTCAAGGGATCCCTTTGGGAGTTGGCTGCTGCGTCGATCCGCTTTTGTTCCGCCACCTTGTAGGCAATGGCCATAAATTGTTTGAGCCGTTGTAAGAAGACTCGAGAGTGTGCACGGTACTCCTCCTTCTTTTCCTGGATTGCGCGCATCTGTCCGATTTCCGTATCGGCATACACGCCTAAGCTTCCATGATCCCCAGCGGAATCAGCAAGTCGCCTCCTGTTGTGCCGTATGTCGGAATCAATCATCAGCATCGCTTTGTATAACGTTGACAGGGCAAGCTCAGTATCGCGCAGTCCATCGGGATTGCTCAATGAAGATTCCTTCAAAGCGCGCAGGTCGTTGGACGAGATGGAAAGAGTCTTGAGTAGGTTTTGGAGCTCGTTGTGAAGCAGTTTCTGGTTAGCGGTTTGAACTTGCAGACCTTGGCCTTGCGTCTCTATATATGACACATCATCATGAAGAGTCTGCGCCAGGTTAGTAAAGTACCAAGATGGCGAAGGAAAAGTCCTTAAGGGACTCCCAGCGGACGGAAACTTACGTTGAGTTCGTGGGAGTATAGAGTGAGAAGATTGTCCAGCTCTTCACATTCCTCGACCGTCCTGTCGATGAGTTTCGCAAGTTGGTCGAGCTTGCCCTCCTGTTGTTCAAGGTTACCAAGCCAGCTGGTAGCCTCCACACGCCCAATCTCGCGGCGAATATCTGCCTCTAGATCTTCGATCTTCTTTTCGTCACTCAGTCGTCCGTTCCAGCCGAGATCTGTCAGTATGTCATCAAAGTCTATGCCACGGCCTTCGAGAATCGTGGGATTGACTCCAAGTGTTTGGCAATACTTGATCGTGTTATCTTCATGGCGTCTGCGGCGACGATCGTGGGGCGAGGGGGACACGGATCTCGATCTCTGGTCTGCATCAACCTTCACTGCCGCTCTGGATGTATCCCTTGACTCTGCAAGTGCAGTTGAACTGGTCGTCGGGTCAACGGGGGCGGCTTGCGTAACTTCGACCGTAGGCGGTTCTATCGGGACGACGATGGGTGGGGGTGCTGATGGCTGCACCGGCTGTACGGGCTGCGCTGGCGGCTGCTCTTCTACAGGGGTCGATATGGCCGGAGGCATCTCGGAGTCCGGTGTCTCAGGCGACATCACATTATCACTGTTCGTCCGAAGCAGAGACGGGGCGGGAACAACACCGGTGATTCCATCAGGTTCATCTGCGGCCTTCTGTTGCTTCTTGGCTGCCGCCAGAAGTCTCTCTCCGGCACCTCCAGGTCGCGGCTTGAAAGCCCCGTAAGCAGTGGCAGCTTTGCGAAACGCGCCCGCAATGTCTTTGGTCTGTTTCTTCTTTATCATCGGTCCAAGACCAGGACGGTGGGCATCAAACTCCTCTTCTCCAGTCTCGGCGTCTTCGAGACCACTGACGGGAGGTGACGTTGCCAGGGCATCCGCAACAGGTTCGACGGGCTCCGGGATCTTCGTTGGAGCCGACATGATAGAAGACGTGGCTGCTGCAGGCTCAAGGGGATCGACGGGGGGCGGTGCTTTGCTGGGCCCTGACGCGCCCGGCGTCAATGCAGCCGGTACCTCGACTGGGGGTAGAGCGATGGAGCTGCTCGAAGCTTCGAGTTCCCGAGGGTCTGCCTGTGTCTTTGCGCCCATTCTCCTTTCGCCCGCATCTCTCAAAGGTGACCTGGCCCCCAGGCTGCTTGCCGGGCTATGCATGGCTGGGCGATTGTCCCCAGAGACCGATCCTGGAGTGGTCGGTCGAAGGCCATCCTTACTACGACTCGAGCCGAGATCCTGAGTACGAAGCGTAGGTCTGGGCTCCGGGCCTGGTCGTCCATCGCGTGAGGACGGTGGCCGAGCCTCCGGGTTGGCGTTCCCCAAGCTGATCTCCTCAGAGCTAGCACTCGGCCGTTCTCGCTGACCGGGGACGGGGGCAGCCTGCAGGCTAGAGGGGAACTCCCTGTTCCTTGGCTCGGGTGGTGAAATAATAGGGACCTTCGGCACTCTCGTATCGGTCACGAGACGTTCCGCAGCACGCGGAGGCGGTTGTTCGCGCTGGTCAGGGGGCATCGGCGGGGCATGTTGGGGCGGGCTGAATGGCGGGGTGCCGCTCTTGCCGGACTGTCCGGTAGATGGCCTTCCCATATGGTCACGACTTTTTTGGGATCGCAAGACATGTTCTTCGGGGGGCGGTGGTCGCCTGGGTCCATCACGGCTCGGCGCGCGGCTCGAATACGGCGATTGAGGCCGGCTACGGCTACCCTGAGAGGAGGGTGGCCGGAGGGGAGGCACCGTCACTTCGGGCCGCGAGGGTCCTGAAGAAGGAGGTGGAGGGCCTTTCGGGGCAGGGGGCGCAGCGGCCGCGCCAGCAAGCAACTGGCGCTCACGCTCGTCGAACCCGATCAAGGTTGGCACTTTGCCGCCAGTGTATTTCCTGTAGATCTTGAGCAAGCTGCCGATGAAAAACTCCTTCTCTTTGGAGGTCCGTGCATGCCAGTAATATGGCTTTCCCACGGTGACCAAGAATCCAACATTGCCAGCCCACTGGTTGTACTGCTGCTCCAACGGCGAGGTCGGTACAAAGGCGTTGTATGATTGGATCGAGGAGAGGTCGTCCAGCATCCAGGTCTTGCCAATGGAGAATGAGCCATCGTTGTTTTCCCTGGCCTTGTGCATGCGCACTCTGCCCGACCTTCTGACCGAGACGATGATGACTCGAGGTTTCTTGTTGTCAGGCGGCGAATTGGGAGGGGCGGGGGTGGACGGATACGCCGCATCTTCCGTGATGCGGACATGTGTTATGTAGGACTCGACCACTGGATGCAGGAGAGGAACAGTCAACAGGATGCCTCGGGGAAGGCGTCAAATTGGGAATACACGTACGGGAGCCATCGCTGTCCAACTTGGTGAAGCAGCTATGAATGATCCGCCTCTTCTCGTCCTCGAATTTCTCGGCCCTCGACATCGTGTCGCCGGACCCGGCGACACCACCGCCGCCATTGCGACCGTCAGCCGGTCGACGAGGGTCTCTTTGAGGAGGGATATCCCCGGGCGGAGGGCCCCGCATGCGATCACGACTACTCATGGCTGCTAATCGGACTTCGGAGGCCTGGATCACTCAGGAGGTATCGGGGACCAAGTGGACATGGTCGGGAAGGCTGGCAAGGATCACACGGGGGGGGGGGCGGGCCGTGGGCGAGAATGCTCGGTCGGTCAATGGAGATGCTCCGGAAGAACAGAAAGATCAAAGGGTCAGGCACTCAGGAGACAGCAGCGACATGTACGATTTGGCGCAGGACCGAGAGCCGATGCAGGCAGCAGGAGGGTGGAGGAGCCAAGAGAGTTGGATTAGGTCATTCCTTCCTGAGCCAATACGGGAGGAGGGCATGGAGCTGGGGCGGCAGCGGACACTAACGAGCAACGGCGGGCGGAGAGCTGTACAGTAAGTATTCGAGTCCGCCGAGGTCAGCATTCAAAACGCAGACAAATATGATGTTGGGAAGGAAGGAGCAAGACAAGATTCAAACAATCACAGTGTGTAGAAACAATAACAGTTGCACATAAATGGTAGGTACAACCATGCTGGCAAGGCAGGCGCGGTGGTGGTTATACACTGCATAATTACATAACACATACACAACATCTTATCCACGCCAACGGGGCGGTCCCTCAACGGTGCATATGCATGACATAACAGGCTAATGCCCTTCCACTGGACTAACAGTCTCGACATTTCTGACTCAATTGACAGAAAAATGACCATCAGACAACCTGCCCGGAAAGATTCTTACCGACACTATCCTGGAATGCCAAATGGCCATATGAGTCTGTCTGTCACAGCTAGCTCGGTGTCACACCAGGCGGGGATGATTTCTGGTCCACATGTATGACACCAAACCTTGGAAATGATGTTCCAGGAGCACGCTAGAGGATAAGTTCTCCAAGGGCAGGAGGAGGTATAAATATCTGGGGAGAAAGTTCACTATCTGTATCCATTCACCATTCCATTTACAGGGATCATGTCTGGTTTCCTGGATTTTCTCGATGGTTTTTTGAGATTATGTGATGATGCAGATGAACCCCGAATAGATCCATCCATGTAAAAGGGGGCGGGAAAAAGGAAAAAGAAAAAGAAGGCAAGATCAAAAAACTATCCAGCCCTGCCAATCCCAAGTTCCCGACCGACCACTAACCACCAACCAACTATCCTATCCTATCCTATCCTCTCTGGATATCCAGTCGTAGACCCCAATCCATATGTTAAGTTTAGGTGTCGGTAAGTAGATAGGTAGGTGTAGGTAGTGGGTAGGAGAGATACCATGACCATGACCATGACGGATAGCCACGCAAATGGCGAATCCAGTCAGTCGGTCGGTTCCTGATTAGTGCCGAACGGACCATCTATCTTTCTATCCCCATCTATCCATCGTCTGTCTGGCTCTCGTTTTGTCTATCCTTTCACCAACGAGAAGAAATTTCACCAATGAGAAGAAGACGGACGGGCAGAATGACGGACTGAGCGAGTGACGGGTCATCCCACTGCATGTAATCCAGAACGAACCGGTACCAAGATGGAATGGATAATATGGTTTTGGCAGAGGAGGCAAAAAGAAACAGAGCAAGGAAGAAAAAGAAAAGAGACATGAACCATGCTGATGCGTATCTTCGATTTGAGACCGTATGGGTGGGCAGGTATGTGTCGAGATGAGGAACCGGAATCAGAACCATCCGCTAGGTTCAGACTCATCCCACACTCAGCCCAGATTCAGACCAGATCCAGACCAGCTAAATAGGCAGAATCCCCCACTGGAAAGCCCACACCCAGGGTTAGCAGACGAAGGAGCAAAACTACCGTCTTCTCCAAGCACCCGACTCAGGAATTTTCTCCCAGCGACGATCCCAACCAGTTCTCTGCTCGTCATCAATGTTCTCCTCGTTGATGGTCACAAACGGGACCTGCGAGCGCAGCGCCAGCGAAGCACTCAAAGTCTCAGGCCGGTCGTACCCCGCTACCTCCAAGACGCGATCGGGCTGATTCCAGTCGCTAACGTTGCCGGGATCGAGCATCAGCGGGTTGCGGTACCACTCCTTGCACGGGCCGTAGAGGTCGTCCGTCGAGACAAAGTCCAGTCGGACGACGCCATCCGCAATACCGGTGTAGATGGTCGGCGAGGATGGGGACGGGCTGCTCATGGTGTAGATTGCGCCGCGGTAGGGGCGGGCGATGCGGCGGGCGCGCGTGGCTCGGATGAAGCTGGAGGGGGGCGGGTGGGAGAGGAAGATGTTGAATCCCTTGCGGGGATGACTGAGGCCATGGACTGATGCGAGGGAGAGATCGGCGAGGCCGGTGGTGATTGAGTTGGGGTTGCCAGTAGCTGGGGAAGGGCCAGGGTGGGGGTCGCGGTAGCTGTAGGTTTCGGTTTTGGTCATTCGGAGATCGAAGAACTTGACCAGAGCGTTGCCGCCGGAGCCGACGACGAAGCCGTTGTGGCCGAAGGGCTGCACGCAGTAGATGGGGTTCGGATCCGTCGTGTCGCGGTAGGCTTGTTCGAAGTCACTGTTGGAGCGGAGGTCGTGAAGTCTGGTCATGTTAGTTAGATATAGAAGACGGTGAAGGGATCGGAGTCATGGAGATCTCATACCTGACCGCTCGATCTCCCCAGGATGCAAGAAAAACGTTGCCCGTAGCCTCGAGAGGGGCAATGGCGTTGACGTGGGATTTGATAGGCACATCGAAACTCCATCTCTCGAAATCCACGTCCTCGGCACTGAGCTCTCGACTCAGCGAGACCCGTTCCTGGCTGAGGACGGAGATGGCGATTGCATCGTCGATGCCACCGGTACCAACCGCAAACAAGCTGGGCGAGAGAAACTTGGAGTATCTGTTGCGGCTGAGGTTGTCGTTATCAAGCTTGAGGCGAGCAAAGGGCCATACTTTGTCCTCGTCCGACGTAGTGGGGAAGAGAAAGACCGATCCATCGCTCTGGTGGGCAGAGAGAACCGGATCCTTGCCGGGGCCCAGATCAGTACATTCGATGTCGCCAGCAGTGAAGAATCGTTGACGGTACTGGAGGGACGCGTCTTCCGGGTCGATCGAGATATGAACCAGCTCGCCACGCATGCGGGCAAAGATAACATGCTCCTTCTGGGACTCCTTGGCCGGATGCTCGGGACGCAGGAGATGGACCCCGCAGATGTCATCCAGGCTGCTGCTGTGATCCAGGTCATTGAACGCCACCCATTTCTCGCGGGTATTGGCACCGGACTGCGTGACGCGCAGAAACAACTCGTCGGCCGCGCCCCAGGCCAGGACTTCCCTCCGATCGTTCCAGGATGGGCCGTGCCACACTTCGTACGAGTCCAGGGCCGGGCGATATCCGTGCGTGGGATTGTCGCGTCGCAGAGCGCGTTCTCCGCCAAGCCTCAGCGCGTCCGGACGGGGATAGAGGAATCGTCCAACCACCGCGTGCTTGTCGACAGCTCGAGCGCGAGACGTGAGGGCCTGGGCGGCTTCCACTCCCAGAGGAGGAGTCTCGACGCCAGGGAACTTGGTCGCCACGAACTTGTGCCAGTCCTCGGGCCCAACGACCTCATGCAGGCGGCGGCAGGTTTTGGCCAGGCTTGCCAGGTCCTTGGCGCGCGGCAGCTGGGCTGCAATGAGGTGGAGGATCTCCGGAGGCAGAAGGTCCAACATGGTGGCGGACAGACCGGATTGAGTCGTCGTCCGGGCTAAGATTGACCAGGCACCGGATGGGACGTAAATCTCTGCACCACGATGTTAGAGGAGGATGGGAGGAGGTGAGGGAGATGGAGAGGTTACGTTGTACTCCTCTGGTCAAGTTATGGGCCTGCTTAGTCGCCAGGCGAGCGGCCACACTGGCGAGGCCATCAACGCGACATTCTCTGTGCGGCAGTGCGGCAGTGCGGCAGTGCAGGGGGGCGTTCACTGCAGCGGTGGCAGCAAGTGAAATGGTAGATCTGGCGTCCTCAGGCCGTGCTGAGCGATCACTGGCAATTTACCAAAATGGGGGGCAATCGGAGTGGTGCAAGCAATAACTAACTAGTTAGTATTGATCTATTACTAACCCGTGGATGCAGATTGATGGTGGTGGTGGTGATGCAGTGGTGATATTATGTCATCTCGGCTGCTTCCGCTAGTTAGTTATCTTATCGCCCCTCTTTCTGTTATCTCCATCGCATCGGCTGCTATCATCTGGCCCATTTATCCAGTGAACTCCCTCCACTGTTGCTTCTGGTGACTCATGCTGATTGATGTCTATCTACTTCATCTCTCCACTGGAAGGTCCTGTGTCAGTCTGTACTTGACTCGTCCATTGACTAGCTGACATTTCACCGAGACCTTGACATGGATCTTTGACAAGTCACAGTACTATCCATCCCGTCCTAGTGACATACGAAGACATCCATATCGCATCCTTGTATGGGAATTGCCTCTAATTCCTCTTGAAGAAGCAGCCTTCGACCGGCCCTATACAGCTCCACACTTCTCTTGACTCTTGATCAAAAAAAAAAAAAAAAAAAAAAAAAAAAAAAAACCCCCCAAGAGACCTATCGCAACCGCTTTATATTATTTCAGTCTTCACCTACTGCCATGGCAGTCTCTGCCTTCACGGCTCTTGCAGCCAGTCTCTGCATCCTTCTCCTCTCCTACAGAGCCATCATATACCCGGTCTTCCTGTCGCCACTGTCGAAGATCCCCAACGCGCACTGGTCAGCCCCGATATCCCCCGCGTGGATCATCTGGAAACGGTTCAAGGCCCAGAACAACCGGACCATCCAATCTGCCCACGAGAACCTGGGGCCCATCGTGAGACTCTCCCCGTCGGAAGTCTCGGTCAACTGCGTCGACAAAGGCATCAAGACCATCTACACCGGCGGTTTCGAGAAGCATGAATGGTACCCCCGTGTCTTCGGGTCGTTCGGGTAAGCATCATCCTCACTACCAATCCCACTGTGACTGACCCCCTACAGAACAGTCAGCATGTTCACGATGACCGGCAACAAAACCCACTCCGCGCGCAAAAGAATGCTATCCAACATATACAGCAAATCCTACCTTCAATCATCCCCCCACATGCACCTCATCTCCGAGGCCATCATCCTCGACCGTCTCCTCCCCATCCTCCACGAGGCCGTCACCTCCAACACGCCAATCGACATGTTCGACCTCAACCAAGGCCTAACCATGGACTTCGTATCTGCCTACCTCTACGGCCTCGCCAACGGATCCAACTTCCTCCAAGACTCCGCCTTCCGACGCAAGATGCTATCCCTGTACCAAAGCCGCAAGCCCTTCGAATTCTACCACCAGGAAGTCCCCGACCTCCTCTCCTGGACCAAGCGTCTCGGCCTGCGTCTCATCCCCAAATGGTGCGACCAAGCCAACGAGATCCTCGACGCCTGGGGCCTGCAGTTCTGCGACAAGGCCGACGAGTGCCTGGCCTCCACCGACCCCGCCATCGAGCCCATGGTCTACAAGCATCTCAAACAGAGTATCTCCAAACCAAAAGACAACAGCAACAGCAAAGAACCCCCCGCGGACCAACGCCTCGAAATCGCCTGCGAACTCTACGACCACCTAACCGCCGGCCACGAAACCAGCGCAGTCGCCCTAACCTACCTCATGTGGCGCCTCTCGCAACAGCCCTCCCTCCAAACGTCCCTCCGCACCGAACTCCTCACCCTCTCCCCTTCCCTCGTCTATCCCCGCCCGGACTCCTCCTCCCGCGCTCTCCCCAGCCCCAAATCAATCGACTCCCTCCCCCTGCTCGACGCCATCATCACCGAAACATTGCGTCTCCACGCCCCCATCCCAGGCATCCAGCCACGAGTAACCCCCTCCCCATCCTGCAGCCTCGTCGGCGTCGATAACATCCCCAGCAACACCAGGGTCAGCGCACAGGCGTACTCGCTGCACCGCAATCCGGAAGTCTATCCGGAGCCGGAGACGTGGGAGCCGAGACGGTGGTTGAAGGAGGGGAATGAGCCGGGGGAGTTGGAGGAACGCAGGCGCTGGTTCTGGGCGTTTGGGAGTGGGGGCCGCATGTGTGTGGGGAGTAATCTGGCTTTGCAAGGTATGTGGCAACAGCGGTGGTGGTGGTCCTTCCCTATGGGTTTTTTTTTTGCCCCCCTTCCTGTATGTTTTTTAGTGGGTGGAGTATGTGTTAAGGATGGAAAGGCTAATGATGATTATGTGGCAGAGATGAAATTGGCCGTCGCGGCTATATATACCAATTTCACGACGTCGATTGTCGATGATGAGGATATTGAGGCTATTGATGCGTATACGGTGAAGCCGAGGGGGGAGAAACTTGTTTTGAGGTTTGAGGCGGCGGTTTAGCTCTCTCTCTCTCTCTCGCTCACACGCACACACACACACACACACAGGCTCTCTTCCTCTCTACAAGAACTGTCAACACCCGTATATAAGACTTTATCAGTATAAGATATAACAATTCATCACTATAGGATTTATCAACCCTCTCCAGGTGTGCAAACATAAAGTAACCTCGCAACCCGTGTAATCATACCGATACCCATACCCATAACCGTACCTTATATACTACTAAACCCAACTACCTACACAACATACACTACCCTACCCTACCCTACAAGACCGACAACCATAACCAAAACCGAAGTCTTTCAAATACAATACACAGATATGCACACACATAATATACATCACGAGCACACCCACCCCCGGGCCTCACGCTCACGCTCATCTAAATCGAACTCGAATGAATGGGTAATTGCTTGCCCGAACCCATAACTCCGTATCAGAGAATAAAAAAAAAAAAAAAGAAAGAAAAAAAAAAAGTGGTTAACCTGCCCGGCATGGTCTGGTCTCATCCCCCCGCGTTGGGAACTCATCTCATCTTGTCTCGCTGCGTCTCATCTCACCTCACCCCACTTTCAGCAGGGCAATAGAGCCGTAACCCATCCCAGGCTAAACCAGACAAGAGAGAACGGAGAAAAGCATCACCGGATATGCCCAGTCGAGACAGATAACCAGCCAGATGACCAGCCAGATAGACAACCATTGGCATGCATCCCACAAACGATACGTCTGTACGTAGGTAGATGGACAGAGGACGGAATCAACCAATAACGCCCTTCTTCTTCTTGGGACCGACCACCTTGGGGTACATTCTCGAGAGATGGTAGTTGATGGCGTCGCTGCGCTTGTTCTTGGATTTCTGTCAAGGATGGGTGGTTAGTATGGACGGGCAAAAGCGGGAGTGAGAGTTGGTTGTCAATGCCAGGGAGGAGGGGAATGAAAAGAAGAAACATACCGGCGCGTCCATGCACTGTCTCAACTGCTGCTCGATGGCACCGCACCCTTCAGCGGTGTAGCCCTGGGAGGCCCAGCAACCTGTTCCAGGGGATGATGTTAGCGGGTGTGCGTGCACTCATGCGGCATACCTGTCTCTGTCTGTCTGTATTCATATCCAACAGCCAATTCTCTCCAGTGCTATCCAATCCCCTTCCGAACAACACCAGAAACGGCACCATCAATAAAGAGAAACGTACTCAACATCGACGACATAATAGCCGTACAAGATCCGCCATCATTCTTGTTCGGGGCCTTGACGCGCAGCTGGCCGATCGACTGCAGCCGGATGCCGTTGAGGCGGGTGGAAACGGCCTTCGCGGGCATGATTGCTGTGACGATCTGTCGTTCCCTTTTTTTTTCGCACCGGTAGTTGAGTTTGGATTGAGCTGGAGCTGACGCGCGGACGGGGAGGGACGGCTGGATTCGCAGACGTACTGGAGCGGATGGGCGATGCAAACCAAAAGTTGAAGCCAAGACTTTTCGAGCGCCGCGGAGGTGGTGGCTGACGTAATCGCCGCGGCGAGCGAGCGGAAGTACCATCGATCTATCGAGTATCTTACCTGCTTTCTTACGTTCATTACTCCGTATCTCTACATAAACTACTTGTCTCTGTCTTCTCTCTGTGTCTGTGTGTGTGTGTGTGTGTGTTGATCTACAACAGCCAGAAATGAGCAGAAGGCATGTAAGCACCCTCTACACGAACGCAGCCACTCCACGGCGTGTCTCAATCTCAACAAGACAACATTTCTCGACGACAAGTGTGCGGCGAAACACTACTACAGCCAACACCACCGCCACCTCTCCACCGACAGACGCACACAATGGCGAGTCCTCCTCGAAACCAGACCCCCCGGAGAAGGGCGCCATGGCGCGGCGCCTATCCGAAATGACCGAGCAAGCGATGCTCGAAGGCGGCCGGGCCGCGCGCAGAGACATGCAGCACGCGGGGTTCTCGGAGGACTTGAAGCAGCAGCTGGAGGAGAGGGTGGCCGCGGCGGCGTTTAAAAGCGAGTATGCGGGTGCGCACTCGATTGTTCATCTGCCGGTATGTTTACCACCTTTTTACTCTTGAATACAGCAAGAGAGATAGATTGATAGTGCATCAATACTGACGACGACACCCCCTCCCTCCCGCTCAGCCCAGCGCCGGCCAAGGCACCCAGTCCATCGCCTCCGCGCAACCCTGGAGCGGCACGGAGAGCACGCACGACATCACGCTGCGAATGCTCGACGACTCCCGAAAGCGAATCCGCACGACCTTCAAACCCCCGCACCCCCAACCCAAGCCCGTCGACATGCGCCTCACCCCCAAACCCAAAGAATCTCCCGGCCTCCGCCTCGCCACCGCCAAAGAACTAACGGCAACCTACACGCTCCTCCAACAAACCGAAAACGCAAACGCAAACGCAGACAAGAACCCCTCCGACACCTCCCAGCAGCAGCAGCAGCAGCAGCAGCGACAGGCCTTCCGCCAAGAACTCCACGAGCGGTTCTCCTCCACCGCGCGCCCCATGCCCGCCACACTGCAGGGCCTAACCGCGCTCGCGAACGAGCGGATCGAGGACGCGATCGCGCGCGGGCAATTCAAGAAGATCCGGCGCGGAAAGGGCGTGAACACCCAGACGGACCATAACGCCAATAGCCCGTTCATCGACACGACGGAGTATTTCATGAACAAGTTGATCCAGAAGCAGGAGATCGTGCCGCCGTGGATCGAGAAGCAGCAGGATTTGAAGAGGGAGGTGGATCGGTTCCGGGCGCGGTTGAGGAGCGAGTGGAGACGGCATGCGGCGAGGTTGGTGGCGAGTGAGGGCGGGGAGTTGGGGGTGCAGATGAGGAGGGCGGAGGCGTATGCGGAGGCGGAGAGGAGGGTGGGGGAGGGGAGAGGGAGAGGGAGAGGGAGAGGGTGGGGGAGAGGGCGTTGAGGGGGGACTCTCCATCTGCATCTTCTGCTTATGGACAGCTGGATGGTGCTGGTACTGAACCTCCCACCCAAACCCGACCCCTCCCAATCGTCCCCCCCCTCCGCGACCCCCAATACCTCCACACGGAGCGATCGTTCCTCGCCCTAACAATCAAGAACATCAACGCCCAGACGCGCACCTACAACCTGCAAGCGCCGCCCGTGGCCCAGAAACCCTACCTCAACCTGGAGCGCGAGCTATCAGCCTGTTACGCGGACGTGGCCCCGACCCTGGCGGACGAGATCAAGCGACGAGCCACCGAAAGAGCGCGTCCGCGGAACTCGGGTCCGCAGGCCGCCAGTATCTTCGAGTCTCTGAGCACGTCGCACACCACGCGTGTGTACGATGAGGATAAGGCGAAGGGGTACGGGTTTAAACAGTTCTGGAGGGATCTGTTCTCGAAAGATGGAAAATAGAATGGAAACCTTGCATTAGACTGGATTGTCCGTCCAGATAGTATACAGTATCCCCTCAACTACCTACTTACCTATGTATGTATGATTCGACGTTCGTCTAGCAATAATCGATATGCCAAACTCCCAACATTCAGTTGACTTCTCCCCAAACCAAACCAGTTTGTTCCTATGCCCAACAATTGCCGCAAATAACTATATAGCCCATGTCCCAACGCCCATCTATCCTCAAATCAAACCCCCTCCCCCCCCCCCCCCGCCCGCTGGATCTCCACCCCCTAGACCCGAGTAGAATTATCCACGACCCTCTCCTCCAAATGCTCCCTGAGCGACTGCAACTCAAGAAGGTCCTGCTGACGCCGAATATGGCCCATCGCGACACAAGCCCTGGCGCAGAAGAAGAGCATGGGCACATTAAGAACCAAAGTATACGTGGTCTGGCACCGGGGGAAGTCCAGGCCCAGATTCCGAAGGATCACGGTCATGATCAGACTCCCCAACGCCCACATAACCCATGCCAAGCAGATGGCCGCCATCGCGACGATACGCTTCTTCATGAGCCAGGCTTTGTAGCTATCATAGTAGATATCCACGCCGAGCTTGCGACCCGATGGAAGCTCCATTCGACAGATGTTCTCGGAGAGTTTGCAAGTTTCGTACGCGAAGAAATAGAGCATCGCGCCGGCGAGGAACAGGAAGCAGTGGTTGTGGTGGAAGAAGGTGGTTGAGGAATTGCTCTCTTTGGGGGTATCGAGTTTGTGCTTCATGGTGTGCACATTCGCCGCAGCCACAATGGCCTCTGTAACGGCGCCAGCGCTGCGCTTCTTCACGGCGTGCAAGTTGCCTCCAACTGCCTCCTTCACGACGTGCAAGTTGCCTCCAACTGCCTCCTTCACGACGTGCAAGTTGCCTCCAACTACCTCCTTCACGACGTGCATATTGCCTCCAACACTCCCCTTCAGAGCATCGAACCCCCTCTTCAGCGGAATAATAAAATTATGCCACGGGATCTTCGGAAACTGGCCTTTAGGCCAAGATGCCTGAGCCATGTCGGAGTCGGTGAAGGGGAGACGCGAGATCAGCTCGACGTCGCCGACCCAGATCTCGTTGATGGCGTTGCCGGGCCGGTAGTAGTTTTCGGATTTGACGCCGTGGATGACGGAGATTTTGTGGCCCATGGGTTTGTTGGTTGTTGATTGATTGATTGTTGATTGTGATGTGATGTGAGCGAGCGAGCGAGTGACTGACTGACTGACTGACTGATTGGTTGAAAACGAGTGTTCGTGGTGGTGATGATGATGATGATGATGATGATGATGTTGGTGGGGGAAACTGAATGTAGGTTGGCTGGCTGGCTGGCTGGATATTCTTGTACAGGGTAGAACAGAAGACGAGACGAAGAGGATAAGTAAATAAGATAGGACGGGATAGGGCTTGGGTTGGTATTGATGTAGCTAGTATTACAGGAAGGTGCGATAGACGGGCAAGGTACTATAAGAGCGACCCGCTGGAATAGGGAATAGGGAATAGGTACACGAGATATCCTTGTGTGATGGATGATGGCTGGCTTCTGGGCTGTTGCTTGCTGGCGAGGAATAAATAACTATACTAGGGTTGTCCCTTGTCTTGGTAGTTGGTGTACTTGTTGCATACAAGCATAAATAATTATCCCCTCCCCAGGTTGGTCAACTGGGTAGCTGGCTGGCTGGCTGGTTGGCTACCTACCTATCATATCATATCATATCATATCAAGATTGCTCTGGACAGTGCGTGCTACTTATATATGTGTTATTCGCCAGCATCTCAGTCGGACGCAGTCACATTCGTTCCTTACATACATGTATGCATGCATACATACAGCGCTCGCTCCAGTACTTCTCCTTCTACTTCATAAGAGCCCTCGACAATCTTGATTGACTGCAATTTCCTTTCAATCAAGTTACGACAAGCAAATCGATAAGTAAATTCAATTCAATTCGATTCAATTCAGTCAGCCAGCCAGCCAGTTAGCCAGTCCGTCAAGTGGATATCAATAACCTAATCTAAAAAAAAAAAAAGCAAACCAATCCAACCCAATCCATCAAGTCAAATCAAACATGAGGAGGCATCAAGCATCAAGCAAAAAAAGCCATACCCACACCCACGGTCATAACCATAACCTCCGCAAATACCTGAAATGCATGCCCAGCATCGTGATATCAAGTAAGTAAAGTAATTACAACGAAGAATAAGGCCGTGAGAGGGGGGGTGAAAAAAAAGTCAAAGGAAAAAGAAAGGAAAAGAAAAGGCAGAGCGAACAAAGGAGGAATGAGGGAAACCAACAACCCCTTCCCTTCTAGAAGGTAGGTAAAAGGTATAACCCCCCTAGAAGGTAGAAGAAGGTAAGGCAAGTAAACAATCAAAACTCCTCCAACGTCGTCCCCACACCCATCTCCCTGGCCAACCGAACCAAATCCCCACCGGTGACCAAATCCATCAACCCCATGCCCACACTTTTATAAATGACGTTCCCGCGCTCCACCCAATCCCTCAAACTCTTCCCATCATCTCCCCCAGCTTCGCCCCTCGACGCCTCCTTCACAATCAAGAGCTCCCCCAACTCAACAACCTGATGGGGCTTGATGCCCGCCTGGACAATCTCCCCCGCCTCCTTCAGCGCCGCATCCAGACTATCCACCACCACGACGCCACTCCGCTTGATATGTTTATGGAAGTGGCGATGGGAGGTCGAGATGTGGACCTCGTCGCGGAGCAGGTCGGGGGGCAGTTCGGTCATGTGCGGCTTGTACGAGCCGATGGCGGTGATAAGACGGCCCTTTTGGCGGCCGTCGCGGGAGGTGAGGATGTGGGCGGGGAAAAGGGGGTCGATGGAGGGGGTGCAGCAGAAGATGGCGTCGGCTTTGAGTAGCGCGTCGTGCAGGATGCGCGGGTAGTCGTTGAAGTCGGTGCTCACGGCCGAGAACTTGACGTCGCTGCGCCAGCTGTTGTTCTCCGGGCTGTAGATATCGCGGAGGAGGTGGGCGGCGCGTTCGAAGGATCGGTTGATGATGTAGACCCGTTTGATCTCGGTGCCGCGGAGGGTCAGGGCCAGCCGGATGTGCCAGTAGGCTTGTTTGCCGGCACCGAAGACCACGACTGTGCGGATGCGGCGGCGTTTGTTGAGCATCATGGTGGAGGTGAGGGCGGTGCGGAAGGGGGTGAGTTCGTGGGCGTTGATGAGCCCGAACGGCAGGCTGGTTTCGTCGAGGAGCGTCACGCTGCCTTGCGGTGAGGTGTCGCGGGTGCCGGCTGCGGGCCAGGCGCCGAGGGTGTTGGAGAGGCCTGTGTCGATGGGTTGTTGGTTGACGCAGCCGGGGAAGAGCGACTTGCGGCTGCTGGACGGGGAGGAGCTGGTTTCGCCTTCGACTTCGGTTTCGGTTTCGGCGCCGTCGTGGGATGAGGAGATGGATCGTTCGCTGGCGTCGGAGGACATGGAGGACATGGATTTGCGCTGGTTGACGCGCGAGGAGGCGGACGAGGAGCCCGTGCGAGTGGTGGACGTCGAGAGCAGGTCGAGGCCGGGGTCGACGGAGCACCCCGCCTGGCCGTTGTCCTGGAGCGAGATCATCTTCATGCCCAGGGTGTGGCCGGTGCTGGCGGGCATGAACAGCGTGGTGCAGCCGTTCTGGCGCGTGATGGCCGTCCGCTGTGGCTGGTAGGCGGCGGCGCAGCCCTTCTCCTGGCTACCGGTGGAGTAGTCGCGGAGAGCATTGGCGAGGTTCTGCTGGAGGTCGATGATCTGGTCGCGGGTGAGCGATAGCAGCAGGGAGCGGAGCTGCGTCTGGGAGAGGATAGTGAGGGGCATGGCGGTGATGGCGGTGATGGGAGCGGAGAGATATCGGACATAGAACGAGAAACGAGAGACAGGGTCCGATGGGCAGAAGTAGGCTGCCGGGATGGGTGGAGATGGAGATGAAGAAGATGATAAAGACCAGTCGGAGGCGGAGATCCGTGTTGATAAATACGGGCGGGCTGGTTGGAGAAGCCGACGCAAGCGGGCGGCGCAGGGCTGGGCGCGCGGACCAAAATGACGACACTCGGTTCTGGGCGGGCGCCACTTCCTCTACTTCTACACTACTTACTATTTATCTTCTACTAAGTACAAGTCCTAGTCGGGGAATTCGGGCCATGTTCCAGACTTCCACCTGCAGGCGGCGTCTGCACTGACCCCCGACGGAGATCCTTCCTCTGGCTTCTCGCTCCTCCCAGACCCTTCCCTCATATCAAGTAACTACCCGATACTTATCTACACAGTACTACTGTACCTACTTATCTATCAACACCGTCCAAACACCCCCGACCGAACGCCCAGCATTGGCACCATTGGCACCACCCGCTCATAGGCTCCCAGGCCAGCCGGGCGCTATAAATACCCGGATCCATCCGACGCGCTGCAATGCGCGGTTGTGGTTGGTCCGACCCGGCTGTTTCAGGCACATTCGGGTGGGGCAGGGCCTCCATCCTTCCCTTCTTTCGACTCCCAAAGCGGCAATGTAGCAATAGGCAGAGTCTCGAAGACCAATTCATTCATCCGGTGAATAATTACAATAGCAATAATAGGATAGTTCTATCTACAAAGAGAGAGTGGGTAGTCTACAGGTAAGGTACTAGGTACATCAAGCATCAATAGTCCAGCGGGTCAACGGGTGTGGTTGTACTGGCGGGCGGTGGTAGTACAGAGTATCTAGATAGTGTGGTGCTTGTATGCAATAGTGGATGATCAGAGGCCCAAGTACTAGTTAACTATACCTACTTTGTATTTTGTACTTAGGTGAATGGTCGGAGGTATAGTACATAGTACAGTAGATACATAGTGGAGATAGATAACTGGCGATTACCTGGCTCTCTATACTCCGTACCTATAGGTGTACTACTACTGAAAGAAATCAATAACTAACTACTAAAGTTGAGTCAATCACAGTCACACAGCGCCCGCCACCACACTTACTACTTACTTAGTTATCTGCTATTCTACCTACCTTGACCAAGGTCCTCCGTTCTCCGTCCGTAGTGGTGGGTGGCATATGGGGACGGACCTCGGGGAGCAAAGCAATAACTATAAGGAATTAATCCCGCCACCTGAAAACTAACTATGTATAGTAGTACATTGTATAAGCCATCCACGGCATCCCCATTCCCGGCCACGCACACACCACCACCACAATCCCCGATCGGGCTCGGGCTCGAGCTCGAGCCCTTCCTCAACAGATCATCGCCGCCGCTGTCGTCGCCACCACCACCACATTCTTGATAGTCGTGTTGTCGTGTCGACATGCCAGACAGACGGGGGGGAGCGGTTACCATCGGGATTCTTCCGGATCGGGCATTCACAAATCAATTCCCTCACAATCGCTCAGTTCAACTCGCCCACAAGGATCTACTACGCATTATCTATTACGGTAGTAGTAATTACTACTACTACTACTACCACAGCCACAATCAAAGACACTTTTGTATGGTATGGTATAGTCAGGTTTACTATCTATTATACTAAGCTACTAAGCTACTATCTCATACATACACCACACAACCAAAATACAACACACAAATCTCAATCTGGTCAGACTCGGCACGGCATCAGATCAATTCAGTGCAGGAAAAAAATGGAAAAAAAAAAGAAAAAGGGCAACAGATCAACAGAGAAGGAGAAGCAGTCAATCAACGCCGCGGTGCAATGCAGAACGTCGTCCGTCCATCACCAGGGTCGGATGCTTAGTAGTGTCAGTAAGAAGGGTAGGGAGGGGTATTCAAGTAACTGCTTTTCGAGCACCAAAAATGAAGAAAGAAAACAAAAGACACAGTCGCCGGGTATTAGATAGAAGAAGACATGGGAGGAAGAGAAATGAGAGGGGGGAGGGAAGGATCAAGACCAGCTTAATGCCGCCGTCCGCCCATGTAGGACCCCGTGGCGGAAGCCAGGAACCTCGCCACGAAGCCGGTGTGCTGGTGCAACGGGTGGCCGCCGCCGGGGGCGTAGCCGGACATGCGCATCTTCTTGCCGCCGGCAGACGCGGACGCGTGCAGCTCCTCCGGCTTCATGGCCGGGTAGCCGCCGCTCAGCGAGGGACTGCGGGCGCCGTCGAGGACGTGGATCTCCTCCATGCTGGTGATGGAGCTGGAGGCGCGCAGGCTGGCGGGGGTGGCACCGCGCGAACTGGGGGCGACGCTGGAGGCGCGCGAGCTGAGCGATGGGAGGGTGTCGGCGCGGGACAGACGGGGGACTTCCTGGACGGAGGGGGGCGAGGCGGCGCGGCGGCGGGGAGGGTAGGGCCGGTAGCGGTCGGAGTCGGCCAGCGAGCCAGGCGACGCGCTCTGCGAGCTCGAGCTGGCGGAGGACACCGACGACGCCGGGCTGGCGGGCATGCGACGCCGCGCCGGCGGGTCGGTCGACATGCGGCGCGCTTCGATCTTCTGCCGCCGCAGGCGACTGGCGATGATGTCCGCCGAGGCGTGGAACCGCCGCCAGTCGCGCGGCTGCCGCAGGATGGCCTCGCGCTGGTGCTGCTCCTGCAGCTGTTCCTGCAGCTGGTACCGCTGGCGGATCGGGGTGAGGAACGGCTCCAGGTGGTGCAGCAGGTCGGCCTCCTCGACGCGCAGGTCCCAGTCCAGCAGGAACAGCAGCTGGCGCTCCATCAGGTTGACTTCGGGCAGTGAGAATCCGAACCCCTCGTAGCCCTTGACGCTGGTGTAACGCGCCCAGTGCTTGTTCTTGGGGCTCGAGTCGTTGAGGTTCTTGGCTGCCAGGATGAGCGACGCCAGGAAGATCCGGTGGACGGTGCACCGCATGCCCTTGGCCACCGGGGGCAGCCTGGCCCGCAGCCTCGCCAGGTAGACGAGCGAGGTCATCAGCGTCGGCACCTGCACCTGCGACCGGGCGACCAGCGAGGTGATGAAGGCCTCTACCGAGGGCAGGGGGGGCAGCCCGGCGTCCAAGGGGGGCGTGCTGGGCGGCGTGGGCTGCCCATGCGCGTGATGGGCCGTCACATGGGCCTCGCAGCGGATGACCAGCGAGGCCTGCTGGGCCAGATGGGCAACCATGTCGCGCGAGACGGGCTGCATGATGAATTCCTGCAGCGCCGACCGGTCAAGATCCATCATGGTGGGCGAGGGGAAGCTGGAATAGGTAGAGTAGGGGTAGACGGCCATAGTGTGGAGAGCCGGAGAAGAAGAGACGAGCGACGGCGCGGGATAGACCGATTAAAGAAGCAAGAGCAATAGTGGAGGAGGAGGGGTCGTATCGTCGAGGACTCGCAAAGAATGTGAAGGATCCTGCCAGCAGGAAAGGAATGTGCGTTGTCGTGTCAACTGCGGAGATGTGAAGATCTCTATGGCGATGGGAGGCCAGACGTAGCAGTGAGACACGCTTGAGACGGTCGGGCTGGAGGGGGAAGCAAGCGACCGGAAGGGAAAGAGGTCTGCTCAAATAGTCAGGACGACAGAAAGAGAGATGGAAAGGAAGAGGGACAGACAGATGCAAGACTGACCCCGTGAAGTGTTCATGAGATGAGAAGCTGGAGGACTCGACCGGCGAGCCCTCCTGATATAAGGGCATTATCCTCCCCGGAAGGCTGGAAGCGCTGCAAGGACGGCGACGCGCATTGCATGCATTCATCATTCATCCCCATCCATCCAGGTCCATCCAGGCCGTCAGTGCTGCCTCCTCCGTCAATCAAGCACTCGCTGCCCATCCATGCAGGGCCGATCGCTGGCTGGCGCGCGACTGGAGCATGGCCATGATTGGCAAGGAAGAAGGAGGAGGGGGGGGGAATGCCCGAGACACGAGATGCAGGAATCAAGGGCGGGCAGGTGAGCGCGTAGCGGCACGATCCTGGAACGCGTGAGGGCGGAGGTTTAAGGCTTTCAAGGCTTTGAATGGCTCTCTCCAGTCGGGCTCCCTTAGCAGCGTAGGGATCCATTCCAATGAGATCAGGGCGTTATTGGCTGTGGTCTGTTGGTTGTCCTTGACTCCTCCTCTTCCCCTCTTCTCCTCTTCTCCTCCTGGTTAGGGTTGCTGGCATCTGCTGCTGCTGCACTTAAGCGCCCGCCCCGGCAAGCGCCGCTACTGCAGGCGGGATCACTCGCCGCATACCGAACCGCTGGGAGATGTGATGCTGCTATTCTTGTCACCACGCCGGCGCTTCCCCCCCCCCCCTTCCCTCTTCCCCCTTCCTGCCAGCCTGCCAGCCTGCCAGCCTGCCCAGTGTGCTTCACTCTACGGACTACTTCTCGAGTTATATTTAGATGCTCCAAAACGTGTTGTCAATCCAACTGAATTAGATCCTATTTACATGCGGTGATTCGATCGCCCCCCTCCTCCCACGCGTCATCGAGGCATCCCCTCCCCGCCCTCGACTGGCAATCGATCCTATAACTATGTATGCCCTTCGGTATCCTGCCCAGGGAGCTGAAACACGGCGCCTACATTCCCCCTCTCCCCACCCCTCTGTCATCTGTAACACCCAGTGTTTTGATTTACTCGATCGAGACGGAGTAGGTCGACACGGTCAGCTCGGCGTCGGAGCCGGTGAAGGGCTCGGTACCAGCCTCCAGGGTGGTCAGGTAGAGCTCGTCGGAGACACCCTCGTTGTCGATGAGGTAGGTGAAGAAGTCCAGCATGTCACCGGAGAAGGACTCGGTCTCCTCCTCGGCAACGAAGGAGTACACGGTGGTCTCGCCGTTGGGGCCGCTGTACAGCTTCCAGGTCACGCCGTTGATGGTCGGGGTGGCGACAGGGGAGCCAGTCGAGGAGATGGGGCCAGCACCGCCCAGGGCGGCAAGCCAGACCATGATCTCGTACTCGTCCGAGGAGCTGTCGGCGGTCGAGCCCAGGAACATGTCATACGAGACGTCGGCGACGATGTCGGAGCCGGTGTATCTGTCTAGGTCAGCGCGGGCCAGGCGGGTGGCCGGGAAGGAAAACATACGACCACTTCCAGGTGGAGGGGATGCTGGAGATGCAGTTCAGCTGGGTGCCGGTGAACTGGAGAGCAGCGTTGGCGTAAGACTTCACGTCATCGCTGCCGCCCTCCCAGGACCAGCTGGTGTGCCAGGCGACAGTGTCACCGCTGGCGGAGTCGACACCGGTGCACTGGGAGCCGCTGGAGGCGTTGTCTTCGCCCCAGAGGTCGTTGTAGATGATGAAGTCACCCACGGTGTCGGTACCCCACTGGTCGCAGAAGTCGCTGCGGCGGGAGACGGAGGCGGCGGAGGCGGCCGTGGCCAAAGAAACGAGAGAAAGAGCGGCAACCTTCATGGTGATTGATTGATGCAAGGAAAGACTGTGGTGGGTAATGGTGGTTCAATGTGCGGTCAACGTTCACTGTTCCTGACTGAAGAAAGAATTCTCTGGCCCGACCTGGCTTGCCTTCTTATACCCTCGTCGCCGTCGATGGGCCCGTTGGGACGGATAAAATTAGGACTGGCACTCATCAAGCAGAAACAGCCGGGCCCATTTAGCCTCTGAGACGTTCGAGCTAAATGCTCATAGCCGTTGCTGCCGTGACTACCGTTGCGACATGTGCCCTCAGAGTTGGCGAAGATGGCCGCTTCGACTGGATCCAGTGGGCCACGAGGGAGTGGACCGATAGGGTTGTCTTGGATGCTCCATCCTGGACTCGAAACGGTCCCACGGAATGCTCCGTGCAGGAAGTGTGGTCAAACCGGGTCACAGCGGCGGCGAAGGCTTCCAGAGGAGTTTAGATCAGGGGAAGCGAGTGGATTCGTCACCCCAGGCAAGCATAATTTCCCGCAGTCAGCCACGGAGCTGGACCGTTTCGGATTAGAATCACGGGCTGGAAATTAAATCACGGCGAAAGTGGCACGTCCGCAGGGTGCATGGGGGGAGGAGTCATATGGGCCAGTCGGGCAATTTGATTAATGCGATCAGACATATCCCACTCTGCGCCCCGTCGAGATCGATAGTTTGTAGCCGACGGCTAGATACTATCTATTTGGGCGAACGAGTTAATATGGAAGAGGCCGGAAGGAGGAAGTTGTGATGAAATCGGTGGAATCTTGGTTGATGCCTCGCGATGCCTGCCCCGGCCTGATCCTGACTAAGCCGGGCAGCCCCCGGCCAGCCCCCGGCCAGCCCACACCGCCATTCCCGATCGGGCAACTCGAATTTCCCCGTCGACGGCTTCAATCGTTCCATCTGCCTTCTTTCTTGATTCTCCCTCTCCACCTCCCTCCTCCTCTTCCCCTCCGTCGGTCCATTGCATCCCCTGTTCCCCGTCCCCGTCCTCCGGCACTTCACCATGCGCTGCCTTAGCTTCACCGTGGCGCTCCTGGCCCTTTTTGCCGGCCTGTACACCTACCTGGACGCGCGTCTCGAGCAGTTCTACATCTTCGATCCCGCGCACCTGCACGACCTCTCGCAGCGCGCCATCGCGGCCCACGGCAATGACACCCGCCTGGTCGTCGACTACATTGTCGCCGAGCTGGACGAGAAGGTCCCCGGCACGCACCTGAACCTGGACCAGGAGTGGGTGTTCAACAATGCCGGCGGTGCGATGGGGGCAATGTATATTATCCATGCTAGTGCGTCCCCTCTTTCCATCTATAATTGTCTCTAGCGGCTGGACTAATCTGTTCGCCTATTAGGCATCACCGAGTACCTGATCATTTTCGGTTTGTCCACTCCATTCTCCCGGACGGCGGGCCCCATTCTCGGGTGCTCGCTCCATCGATTGATTGCTTTCTCTAACATCATGCCATTGTAGGCACCGCCATCGGCACCGAGGGCCACACCGGCCGCCACGCCGCCGACGATTACTTCAACATCCTCCAGGGAACCCAGCTCGCCTACGTGCCCGGGTCCTTCGAGCCCGAGGTCTACCCCCAGGGCAGCGTGCACCACCTCCGCCGCGGCGAGGTCAAGCAGTACAAGATGGACGAGTCGTGCTTCGCGCTGGAATACGCGCGTGGTTGGATTCCCCCGATGCTGTTCTTCGGCTACGCGGACACCTTCTCCAGCACCCTGGACTTCCCGACTCTGTGGGCGACGTCGAGAATCACCGGTCGTGAGATGATCTCCAACGCGCTTAAGGGGAAGATGTAAACTACCGACGGTCGGGGTATATGTACACTATCTATCATCTTGTTACATTACATGTGTTATTAGATTGACGGCGGTTGTCATAGAATACACTATCTTTAGTCCTTTCTGCTCTGCCTGCGGCTGTTGTGTTTATTTTCCATCCCTTCCGGCCAAACAAACAAACCATGCAAACAGCCAGCCTATCTGACTAATCCCTGCCTTATCGATAGTTAACTCCGCCGTTATCGAAAATTCTCCCCTCATCGCTTTCTCCACCAAGACTCACCAAGGCTCACCCACCAACCGCCCAAAATGGCCCCCTCCCCCTGCGCCATCTGCCACACCCAGCGGGCGGTGATTATCCGCCCGAAGGACCGCTCCAAGCTGTGCCGTGTCTGCTTCATCCAGATCTTCGAGACCGAAGTCCACGAAACTATCACCACGACCTCGCTCTTCCACCGGGGCGAACGAATCGCCATCGGCGCCAGCGGCGGCAAAGACAGCACAGTACTTGCCTCCGTCCTGAAGACCCTCAACGAACGCTACGACTACGGGCTCGACCTCTGCCTCCTCTCCATCGACGAAGGCATCAAAGGCTACCGCGACGACAGCCTCGAGACCGTGAAGCGCAACGCCCAGCAATACCGCATGCCGCTGGAGATCGTCAGCTACGGCGAGCTATACGGATGGACAATGGACCAGGTCGTCGCGCAGGTCGGCAAGAAGGGCAACTGCACGTACTGCGGCGTGTTTCGGCGCCAGGCGCTGGACCGCGGCGCCGCCCGCCTGGGCATCAAGCACGTCGTGACCGGGCACAACGCCGACGATGTGGCCGAGACGGTGATGATGAATCTGCTCCGGGGGGATCTGCCGCGTCTCGCCCGCGGGACCAGCATCGTGACGGGCTCGGCCGCGTCGGACGTCAAGAGGAGTAAGCCGTTGAAGTACGCGTACGAGAAGGAGATCGTGCTGTATGCGCACCACAAGCAGTTGGATTACTTTAGCACAGAGTGCATTTATTCCCCCGAGGCGTTCCGGGGCAGTGCGCGGACGTTGATTAAGGATTTGGAGAAGATCAGGCCCAGTTCCATCTTGGATATTGTGCGCAGTGGTGAGGATATGGCGAGATTGGTGCCTGCGGAGGTGAGGGGGAAGGGCGGCGATGAGGACGGGGAGGGCGAGGGGGCGGCGGGTGGCTGTGGCAGTCAGAATGGGCGGACGAGGGGCGGGGAGATGGCGGAGATGGAGAGGAAGTTGGCGGAGGATGAGGCCGCTCAGGACCGGGAGACGGAGATCACGTTGCCTGTTTCTTCGGGGAGGAAGAAGCAGAGGCAGACGCAGAAGCCCGGCTCCAAGGTCAAATCCCAGGTCCTGGGCACGTGTGAGCGCTGCGGATATATCTCCAGTCAGCGGGTGTGCAAGGCCTGCACGCTGCTGGAGGGGCTGAATAAGAGTCGCCCGAAGACGGCGATCGAGATGGAGGTGGAGCTGGAGGATGAGGAGATTCCGTCGACGTTGATGAGGCATATGGAGAAGGTCGAGCTGGGGGGGTGATTGCGGACAGCCTGGATGTCTAGCAGACGCAGACAGATGCAGATAAACCGAGACGCAGGCCGAGAGAAGACAGAAGACGGACAGCATCGTCACTCCATCCCAGGGCCAGCTAGACTGGTCCTGTCCGTCCACTTCCGTGCCACGACAGATCCTACCCAGCTATACCCACATCCTCGCTCTACACCTATAGCTTACACACACACACACACACACCTATTTCTAGACACAATTCTCTAGACAATCTAAACATCGCACAATGAACACAAACTTTTACCCAATCCATAATCATAGTAATATACACCATATCATACAAACACAAACACACGCACACGTACACGTACACCAATCCAGCCAGAAACCGGAAGAAAACAAGCCATGTACAATATAATAAATAGTAACGTAACCCCAAACTCCACCCATGAATAACATCCATCCACCATCCACCCTCCACCATCTACCCTCAATCAACCCGCCCCATTTCGATCCCCAGCTTCTTGGTTCTGTCTTCATCCCCTCCGTCACCCAACCCTCTTAATCCTCGAATCCAATCCACTCCAATCCACTCCCATATATCAGATCCTCTCCCCACATCCATCCATCCATATCCATCCATCCTCTCTCTCCATCCATCCATCCTCTCCTCCCTCTCCTCCCCTTCTCAATCCCATCACAAACCCAACCCCCCCCCCCCTAACCTCTCCCATAAACCTCAAATCCCAACCAACAAAAATCAATTCTTCACCTCAACCGGCAAATCCCAACCCACCCTCCTAGCCGTCAACCGAATCCGCTCCTCCTCCTCCAGCGTCATCCCCGGATTATACCTCTCGACCAGCTCCGCATACGTGCGCTGCGCGCGCGCATACATCGCGAACTGCCGCGCCTCCGCGATGCGGCGCTCCCTCGCTCCCTCTGCTTCCTCTGCTTCCTCTGCTTGTTTCTTTGGGGGTGGCGTGCTGGTGCTGGTGTTGGTGGTGGATGGGGTTTGGCTGTGCTTTCCGTAGAGTTCTCGGACGCGGTTCTGCAGGGGCGTGGGCGATGAGAGGCTGCGGCGGGGGAGTTCGCGGAGGAGGGCGCGGTAGGTTGTTTTTGCGGTCATTGTTCTTTTTTTTTTTTTCTTTCTTTCTTTTTGATTTCTTTCTTTTTATTATTTGGGGTTGGGTTGGGTTGAGTTGATGCGTGGTTTGGTTTGGTTTGGTTGGGTTGGGTTTGGTTTAACTACGGGGATGATGGATGGATGGATGGATGGATGGATGGCGGTTTGGTTGTAGTCACGTGATGTGGGTCGCAGACTATATTATACTACTACGAGTAGTTACAGCTACTCTGGACCTACGAGATGGAGAGTAATTCGGTTATACGCGCAGGGTATTCCTTGACAGTATATACGAGCATTGCTTCAGACCAGAGTAAGATTTCGGTGGTACAGTATAACTATGGACTGCGGAGTGGTATATATACGTGGCATGCTTGAACAATATACGTAGTAGTAGTAGTAGTAGTAGTAGTAGTAGTAGTAGTAGTAGTAGTAGTAGTAGTAGTAGTAGTAGTAGTAGTAGATAATGTTTAAGTTTCAATAGTTTGGTGCACCATAGTAGGATCAACTATAGTCAACATCAACAGTAACAAGTGTATGTACATCATCAAATGACGATCATCACAATCATAGTACTCGTCAGCCTGCTTGCGCACGCTGTGGTAGTCGGTCATAACCCCCCTCCCGGTCTTATCTCACGACCGTAACCAGCCGAACTTCATCTTCCGTCCGGTGTCGCCGCCAGCGGAGGGTTCTATTTGCATGCTTCTTGAATACAAGTCCTGTACACACACACACACACCATTCATTAGGATATGTCACACGAGAAAAAGCTTGAGGTTTGGAGTTGGGTTTAGGTTGGGTGAAATTGGGTAGGGTTGGGTGGGCATACCTCATCATCCCCCGACAGCTTAATATCCAAAATCAACCGCTCGACCTCCTCGAACTTGGGCATATGCGGGTACGGCGTCTTCTGGCTGCGCTGGATCCCAAGCACGACCTCGCCCATGACCTCGAACTTGCGCCAGTTGATGCGGGTCTTGGTGTCGCCGACGAACGTCTTATTGCCCTCCTCGGCCGACACCAGGTCGCGGCGGTGCAGCGGCAGGAACGGGATGCGCTCGGAGAACGAGTTGTCCCATGCCAGACGGTACGCGAAGTGGCTCTTCTGCGTGCCCATGAGGATGACCAGCCTCATGAAGTCCTTCTGCGTCTGCACGGGCACCAGCTCGCGCGTCTGCGACAGTCGGTGGACCGGGGTTCCGTTGATGCCGGCGATCACGGCCCCGAGGGAGTTGTAGTTGTTTAGGCGGCGGAGTTTCTGTGCGGGGGTTAGCATAGTCACTTGTTTATGCGGAAGGCCTGCTGCTTATGCTGTGCGAGATGAGAAATACTCACCAATGCGATGTTCATGAACTTCTCCAGCGCCTTTGCGCGGTGCTTGGGCTTGTCGCGGAGCAGGATCACGCTGGCCACGAAGAAGGCCAGGTGGTTGAACTGCTTGATCATGCGGTTGACGTGTTTCAGGCTCTGGATCTTGTCCTTTTCCACGCCGGAGATCGCGACGTGGCGCACCAGGTCCCGCGGCCGGAACGCATTGAACATGATCCAGTCGATGCGCGTCAGCTCGCGCGCGAAGTCTTCGTCGGGGATCTCCATGAGCTGCCGCCATTGCACTTTCGTCAGCGGGATCCGCGGCGTGAGGTTCAGCTGCTCGCCCTCCTTCTGGGCGGCCTCGATGTTGAGGAACGTGAAGGACTGGGTGGCGATCGTGCCGGGCTTCTCGGACGTGAAGGAATTCGACATGGATGCGGACAGCCGCGACGTCGGCTCGGGCGCGCCCTCGCTGAGGTCCAGCGCACTCATGTTGTAGATCGGGTCCTCTTCCTCCTCCTCGCCTTCGTCGCTGAGCGGAGGCGCCCCCAGGAATATCGACGGCGAGCTCCGCCCGGAGAACAGCAACGGGGGCTCCGAGGAGTCGAACTCCTCCACGTCGCCGTCTCGGAACGGCCATCCAATGTTATCGTCGTCCGCGTTGGCCTCCAGATATGACCCGACTTCCTTGGCCGCGAACATGTAGAAGTGGCTCTTCTCCAGCGTCGTGACGAAATCCGTGATCCGCTTGCGCGTCTTCGGATACGCCAGGTCGCCCGGATACTCCGACACCCATTGTGCCATCACACCAAGCAGCCGCAGCTGGACTGCGATGCGATTGAGCTGGTCCGTGATGTCCCGCTCGTTCCGTTCGAACCGGTTGACCAACGCATTCAGTAGGGTGGATGGGGCGGCGAACTTCCGATACAGACACAGGAAGATCGAGGCGAACTTCGAGTCGTGCTTCGACATGGGCTGCGCAATCAAACGATCGACCAGCTCGTCGAACGTAAAGCCGGCGTCACTGGTCGAGCTCTCGCTGGGCGTCTGGTCTTTGCTTCCGGGGCTCGAGGGCGCGCTCCGGGGCCCGTCGAACTCCTCCCCCATTTCCAGGAAGTTGCTGAAAGCGTCTGACCCGGCGCTGTTGCGCCACGCGGTATGCAGTCGGTGCTGTCGATTGAGGTCCTTTCCTGGCGATGAGTCCCCGGACGCCGACTGCTTGCGCGAGTTCAGTCGGGGCCCTGGAGGTGTGAGCGGTCGCACCGGATGCGAGTTGCTCCGGGCATAGCGAAAGTTCTGTCCATTGGAAGCCAGGTTGGCTGGGTCACCGGGTTGACGGTCTACACCGTACCCGTCGACTCCTGGATCGAGCGCTCCGGTGATCGGGCCGCCTGCGGCTCCTATGAACACGGCTGTAGGGGTTTCTGAGTTGGCCCGAGTATGATGCCAATTCGGGGTGGTGGATGGGTTGGGGGTATAATCGATGAGGTCTAAGAAGTCGTCAGCATCCCGTGAAAACGACAGCAATGCAATTCCGAGGTCCAGCGCTCAGCCCAGCGGGTCATGACAAGCCCCAGGAGATAGGCGAACGCTAACTGCAGGCCGCGTCGCGAGCTAGCGCCAACCCGGCGGGCCATGCGGGTGTGGAATGAGGCACATCGTTGGATGGTTCGACCAGATAGATCATCGCCTGGCCGATGCGGGCCTCCTTCCCCTTTTCTCCTCGCCCATCGATCGATAAGGGGAAACACGGGTCATCCTGCAGAGTCGCAGTCGGGGACTCACCATATTTGCTGTTAATCACAGACCGCAGCACCAAGGCGATGCACATCTTCTGCGACCGGGGGGAATCAGGTGAGGTCCGGTGAATTTCATAGCCACCTAACGCCGGCTCCACCGGGCTATCAGGGGGTTGTATGTCGCATTTGCTGGCGACCAGGATAAACGGGATGGCAGAGGCGGTTAGGGAGTCTGCAGCGCATCAGCCCATGTCCATGTCCATGTCTGTAGCCAACGGATCGCGCCACGGGGACCAGACGCGGTGCGACGGGAAATGAAACCCACCTAGTAGACCCGTAACTTCGGGGAAGCTTGCAGGCTGAGTGACGTCGTGTAGAACCAGGACGCCGTCCACGGTAGGCGGCGAGTCGTTTCCCAGCAGGGGCCAGTTGACCTCGCCTTTGCTGCCAATCGAGATCTCGGGGGTTTCGATTTCCATCAGACGCACCAGGTAGACCGTCCCATCGAGGGACATCTTCTTGGTCGTGGATCGGGAGGACAGCGGGTGTTTCATGTCCAGGGCGCTTTCGATGAAGGTCGACTTGCCGACATGGTCAGGACCAACCACGGCGATGCTCACATGAGGGAAATTCGGCTTCGGCGTAGTCTGCGTAACACACCCCACGGTCAGCGAACACTGCGCGCTTGCCGATGCATCATCCATCCATCCACCTCTCCATCCCACGCGGACCAGCATACCTCATCAGCGACCCGGGTTGACACCCCGTTGTTCCCTCCGGCCGATGGCGGATTCTCGTCCTCCTCCACCAGCGTCCGTTCGACCTTATTCCCGGGGTCCATGGCCATTCTGGTCGGATCCAGCCTGTACAGGCCACCGGCGGGGGCGGAAATGGTTCGATTGGGGAGACCCGGTCGTTGCGGGAGGGGCGCAGGTTGAGCTTTGTCGCTGGACGCTCGCTCTCTTCTCGAGGACGAGGACGGGGACGTCATGGGGGACGAAGGGCCACTTGGGCGCGCGAACGAATGGGCGGTGCTGTGGCGCGAATAAGGTCCGGTCGAACAAACAAGGTGCGACAGCGCAGGGTCCAACAGCTACGTAAGTGAGTGAGGCGGACACGACAGATCATCCATTGTCGCTCGAGGGGGGCACGAAATAGGGTCGGTATCGCCGCAATCGAAGTGCTAGTTCGCGAGGCTGTTTGATATAGCGGGGAGGGGGGGGGGGAGGAGGGGAGGGGATTTTCCCCTTTTTATCCTGAGTCGTCCGTGGGTTTTGTAGGTATCGACGGAGGTTTTTTGTTTTTCTTTTTTGTTCTCCTTCCTTTTTTTTTTTCTCTCTCTCTCTCGGTTTAAGTCTCGTCGGCCGAAGCAGGTTACCGGAAGCTGGAACACACAGGCAAAACCCTGGGTTAGCAACGGAAGAATCGAGATTGGCAGCGGCAAGAGGGTAGCACAAGTCTTACGAGAGAGGGATCGGGTTGGCAAGTAGACCAGGGGCAGCAGAGGGATATGCGGAGAGTGGAGGGAGAGGCGAGATGGGGAGACGGGGCGATTTTTGGGGGGGGGAGCAGTTGGAGAGGCCGAGAGTCGAGAGGGAGTTGGCGGAGAAAGATGTCACTCCTGTGACTGGGCCGAAAAATTGAGCCCCCAGTCAGAGAGAGAGAGAGGGAGAGGGAGTCAGCGGGGACGAGCCGACGTGCCAGAGAGTCTGGCTTGGTCTCCGAACGGTGAGAAAAAAAAAAAAAAAAGATGTCGTATTATTAGAAACCCGAGGTCGGTCGATAGATCAATCCAGTCCGGGGGGATAACAAGCAATTGTGTCTGCTTGCTTGTCTGCTTGCCTGCTTGCTAATGCTGCTACTTTTATGTATGGTTGGTTGTATGGATGATTGATTGTATGGATGGTGGTCCAGCGAACGATCGAGAACCTCAATGGCCCGTCGCTGGTCGGCAAGGGGGCCTGGTCCACTTCTTCCTTCTCTGATCCCAGCTGAGTCGGGCGGATTTCACTCTCAAACACAGGACAGTACTCAGTTCTACTCTACTCAGTACTCAGTACTCTACTCAGTCATACTCATGCAGCCAAATAACAGAAAGAACCAAATCAGCTATGATCTGTCTCCTCTCAGCCTCCTCAATGGCCAACGGACACGTTCGGGACAAATGCCATCGGATCGCTCCACGACCCCCTAGGGACAGACACCACGACACCAATCTGTAGCTAGTGCAGGTAGTCCGACGGGCCTTGCGAATCACACCCGCCAGCGTCGAGGGGAGAGTCCAATTGCTTCAATTCCCCGCCGTTGGGGCTTCTCGTTGGCAGACGTGAGATGTGACGAGCGAGGGCGATGAACGATTGGCGGCATTTCTCTGAATCCTTCGACCTACTGCTTAGACGGACTGGACTGGACGGGACGAGCGATGGGCTGGATGAGACTGGATGGGACTGGACTCGTCGCTTGCCCCGCCGGGTTGAACTGCTTGCTCCGTCTGCTAGATAGATAGAGACTGAGTACTACGGAGTACTAGGATTCCATTATTATTTGACAGTTGGACAGTATTATTATCTCTGCCAGACTGGCAGAGAACCCTTGCAGATCAGCCAAGACAGAAGATGAAGCCGCACAGCCCGGCTGCCGGCTGAGGGCTGAGGGCTGGATGCCGGCTGAAACATGGCGGGTTTGTTGATCTATCAACTGCCAAACTTGAAACAGTTAGGGGTCTAACTGTCTGACACAGCCTGTAACTATCCATCTCTGTGCCTAGCCGGGTATCTCTCTCTTTTTCTCTACTCTAGTAGTACGTGCGTCCATCCGAGTTTCAACTGCACTACTAGATAGGGGCCATGGGGGGTGGTCGGGTTTAGAACCCTGAGTGTCTCGGGCCATGCCAACTGTATATACGTGTACGGAGTAGATAGGATGCCGAGGTGTTCTCTTTTCTTCCCATAATGCAAATCCGGTGCCTTCATAGAGCAGCACACAAACTACAGGCCCATTTATCGCTCTCCACCATTGCGCTCCTCACATCACAAACCCTGTATCTGCACGTTAATCCGTAGTCGTGTGGTGCCATCCGGATCAAATGGCCCCCCTCGGGGACCTGGGGACTCATCGGGGACTCGGAGATTTCATGCAAAGGAAGATACGGAGTCCCCGAGTGTGTTTGTATGATGCGGTGGAAGTCCGTCGGTCTTCAGCTGGTTCTTGGCTGACGATGCGAGGGACCCAGTGCGACTTCGGGTCCTACCATCCTGGAAGGTTAATGGGATCGGAGCAACACCCTACGGCGCGAAAATCTACGGAGATTTTTGATGGTCTTGCAATGCCAACCCCGGCAGGGATGGCGCGGGATGGCGAGCGAATTCATTGCTATGGCCAAATGCACTCCGCGAATGTTATGGTTTTTATATCCACGAGGGCTTTCGCGAGTCTGAAGGATATCTTCATCGAGGATTATCGTTCCTCGTTATCCCCTTTCGTGCCTTCTCTCGTGCCCATTCAGCGCTAGCTGCAGAGCAAGTTATAAATTCGCACACCATCGGTACAGGTCATCGATGGTGTGCTGGCACTGATCTAAACTGCCCGGGAAGGCTTGTCTACTATACAGCCTTCATATACCCTGTGGGAGCTCATTCCCGGTGGTCAGGGCCATGAACCGCACAAATCCCTCCGCCGCCTTGCCGGTCTCCAGACCCTCTTCACATCTTTCCCTCAACTTCCTGACCTTCCCCCGTCCCCGATTGAATCCCTTTTCACGCGTCCAGGGCCCGTGTCCGCGATGCCGGTGCGGCCCTTTGCCTCGACCAAAGTGTCGTCCCCGACCTCCAGAGGATGGGGTTTCTACCCATTCCTCTTCCAAGGTGGCCTGGTAGATTTCGTGCAGTTGTTCCCGGAGCGAGGGAAACCGATCAAGTAGCTCCCTGAGTTCGGGTGAGGACCCTAGAGACTTGAGGTCGAGGCCATTCCGGGCCTTATGTGTCGTCTCATTGGTCGCATCGCCATGAGCTTCGGTGGAGAGCGACTGGGTGTCCACCGTCTGGTCGGATGGTTTTGGCGATTGTGCTTTAGGTGCGCAGTAGATTTTATGGGACTGGGTGCACGCAAGGGAGCAGCTGGGAGAGCATTAGTACGTGGGACTGTTCTCTCTTCCTTTGCCAGGAATCTGGTACGGAGCACAAGCATACATACCTCATGAGCCCACACGTCGGGCATCGGTACTTCGATGGCTCCGAGACGCAAACCTCGCAGTTTCCAGGCATTTTTTTTTATCGCGCGCCGCCCCGACAAGCCTTGTGCCAATGCGCGGGCTATCAGGCTCCGTAGATCATTGTCTTGCCTCGGCCGATCGCAGCGGGTCGTAGGAAGCAAGCACACCCAGCGGTGACCAGGGGGAAATACCTGGGCGATGGGGGTGGTGGTGAAAGGAAACCGAAATAAAAAAAACAACAGGACGAAGAACCAAAGGAACGAAGGTGTAGCGGACCGGAAAGATTGAAGAAACTCAACCCGCGGCGCTCACGTGAAGTGGCGCCGCGGGCCATGACGACAATGGCCTCCCTTAGTGTCAGGACTATCGATCTACCATTTTATTGCCTTCAACCCTCCGTGCCGTTGAAAGGGGGCCTATTGGGAAATACTGGGGAAATGTTGAGGATATATAACTCATCGACTTGACCCTCCAGCCTCATAGCGGCTGTCCGTCCCCGGTTTCCGTGACGCAATTGGAATGAAGTGACTCAAAAGTCCACGAACATGGGTGGCATTCCATTCCGCTCCACAGGATGCAATACGTGCCGGCGACGGAAGGTCAAGGTAAGAAAGCACTCCCTGACAGCCGTGGCCGCCCGGAGAACGGTCCAGAACAACCCGTCTGATGATGTGATCCTTGTCTAGTGCGACGAGGCAAAGCCGCAATGCAATCGCTGCATCAAGAACGGCCATGTCTGCACCGGCTACGAGAGGAAGAGGGTGTTTATCCACCAATCTTCCGGTGCCATCGAGGGGATTCAGCAACAGCAGCAGCTCGTCCGTCGTCCCAAGTCGACCCCGGAGCATGGCTCTGCGAAGATAACCGATCGCCAAATAACGCGGGTGGAGCCCGAGATCCCGCGCTGGAATATCAATGTGGAGGTCCGATCGCAGCTGCTCACCTCCTTCATCGAGAGCTATCTGCCTCCGTCCGAGTACCTGCGCGATGGCTCCGGCAAGAACCTGCTCGAGACACTTCCCCAGCTTTCGGGCGGCAGTCCACTGTTGGATCGGGCGATCACTTCGCTCTCCTCCGCCTTTCTGGCGAAGCAGAACAAGGATGATCGGCTGCTCCGGTACAGTATCAGACTCTATAACAACTCGATGGGGATCATGCATCGCCTGATCGGGTCGGACAAGAGGCCGGGCCAGGACGTCCTGTACACGACAGTGATCTTCCAGTTATATGAAGTAAGAATACTCGTTCTACGGGCATGTTTTCCGTTCTAACAGATGAACCAGTTAATACACTCCTCGCCCCCGGGGTTTATGGCATGGATATGGCATGTGCAAGGCAGTAATGTAATCATGGATCAGTGTACCGGCCACCGAGACGAAACTGTTGCGGAGAAGCTCTTTTACCGTCAGCTCAAATTTGTCACAGTCAGTCTCCTTGGCTTCGATCGTTCAGCTGATCGCCGCCGTGACAACTATGATTGCTGACGTTGAGCAGTTATGTGATGCTGTGGGGAAGCGCAAGGCTGCCACTCTCTACAACACCCTCAACTGGCAAAATCGCTCGCCACAGGCCAAACTTGACCCGGTCGACGAAGTGGCTGACAACCTGGCTGAATGTTCCGCGCTTATCGAACGCATCGACGCCTTCATCGACCACGCCATAGCTAACCCGGGGACCGACAAACAGGCTGGCGAACAATTACTGTCCTGTTGTCTAACACTGGAGCAAAAGCTCCACCGCACCTGTATAGAAGTGCAAAGAAAACTCGGAATGCCATCGGTGCTCCCGCCTGATACCCCCTCGCGAGAAGGCTTCCGGGCGCATCTGACCACTGGGTTATTCCCTGAACCTCTTGGATTTGCCTCACTGACCTGCGCCGAATCGCACCTCATCTATTGGGCGACTCTGATACTACTGTATCCGCTAGTGGACCAGCTCCTCGACGTCCTTGGCCGGCCCCAGACCGACGTTACATCTTTCCCACCATCTTGTGCCACTCGTGGCCCGACGGATCCAAACAATCCATTGGCCTCTGTGGTGGCCACGGATTTTACAGCCCTGGCGGAGCACTATGCCGACGAGGTTTGCCGTTCAGTCATGTACTGCACACAGCCTGCAATGAAGACCTTGGGTGCACAAATACTGCTCGCGCCTTTCAGCCAGTGCACGCAGTTCTTCCAGGTCCAGGGATTGGCCTTGAAGTATCGCTGGTGTCAAGGGGTATTCATGCACCTTGGATCACTGGGCCTGGGCATCGCTCCGTTACTCAAGGACATGGTGTGGCCTCAGTATCGCTCTGCCCAACAGAGATCTGTGTCACCCGTGGAAGAGGTACCGTGATTGACCTGTGGTTGTCGATGCGACTGAATCTTCAGCGTTAAGTGACTGGGTTTTTTGCTGCATTTGGCTCAATCACACCAACTATCTACGCTATAGACGCGTTCAGCAGTCCCTATGCCAATGTCATCAATGCTGAGAAAAGCGTTTGATGTGGCGGCTTCTCGCCATTTGGGCTGGTGAGAGTGGATGTCAGAGCTCTGCCAAGTATATCACTGGATAAGCCATGCATCCCTTGATGGACAGAAGCACCCGGGACAGCTCAGGAGCTGCCAGTTACAGCCACTCAGGTCTAGCGGCGCCATTGAGCAACGCTATCTGACCAAAGCTACTACGAAAGCAAACAGAATCTAATTGGATGGCTCGGGTTCGTTATTGTACGTTCGAGCGACATACTACGATGCATATGTGTATATACTCCATACCAACCAGTCAGATCATGTACATTAGCACCTCTCCGAAAGCCGGAAGCCTAGGGACAAACTCCTCGCAAAGATGCCAAACTGCCGCCATGTGATTGGTGGCGCGGGTCCTCCATTTGTCAGCTTTCCGCCGATAGCTAGTCACGTGCCCATTGCGTCAGAGAGGCCGGGCGGTCGGAAGAAGAAAGTGCTGGAGTTCCTGTCAAACACCCCGAACGCTTTCTCCTCCCCAGGAACACTCATCTACCCTCTCATCCCATCTACACCATGTCTGTCAGCGCATCTTCCGGAAACATGCTCAGGCGCACTCTCTTCAGCGTCAGATTGACGACGCAGCAACTGAGCGCCGCCGAGTGCTCATCCCGGGTCGCCAGGCCCGCGACCTTGGGGTCATACAGATACGTCCACCGTTCGGCACGATTGCCTGCGATCACAGCCTCCGAGGCTCGTCGCCGGCCCACCGTGAAGCCCCATCAACACTCCCTCGTCCAGGCCCGTGTGAACGGCCCCTCGCCGTCCAGCAAGCGGACGATATTCATCCAGACCGAGAACACCCCGAACCCGGATGTAGGCTTCACCCTTCCCAAGATAGCACTACAAGGCCAAGCCCAATTCTAACCTTCCCGCTCCATCAGGCCCTGAAATTTATTCCCAACCACCGTATCCTCCCCGAGAACTTCCCCTCCACCTTCCTCGAGTACCTGTCTCCCCGCTCCACCCTCGCTCCTCCGCACCCGTCCCCGTTGGCCGCCAACCTCCTCAACGTCGAGGGCGTCACCTCGGTCTTCTACGGCCCCGACTTTATCACCGTGACCAAGGCCACCGACTCAAACTGGGCCCACATCAAGCCCGAAGTCTTCAGTCTGATCACCCAGACCGTCACCTCCGGCGAGCCGATCGTCAACACCGTCGCTAAGACGGGTGGCGAGGCCGGGCAGGAGGGCGGCGAGTCGGAGTCCCTCAGCTTCGACGAGGAGGAGGACGAGGTTATCGGCATGATTAAAGAGCTGCTGGACACGAGGATCCGGCCCGCAATCCAGGAGGACGGTGGCGACATCGAGTTCCGCGGCTTCGAGAACGGTATCGTGCTGCTGAAGCTGCGCGGCGCTTGCCGCACTTGCGATTCGAGTACCGTCACGCTCCGCAATGGTATCGAGTCGATGCTTATGCATTACGTGAGTATCTTCCATCCATCTATATTCTCTTTTTCTCCGAAACGAGACTCATTGCATGTTTTACAACAGATCGAAGAAGTCCAGGGAGTCGAGCAGGTACTCGACCAGGAAGAGGAGATCTCAATGCACGAGTTCGCCAAGTTCGAGGAGAAGCTGCGGAAGCAGAAGGGCCCTGATGCCACGGCCTCGACGGGTGGCAAGGGCACTTTGGATTCGGCGCCTTGAGCGAGGCGGATCATCCTGTTTTTGAAATCCTTTCATGTTTGTATTCTATTGACCACTTGGATATACCGTTATGAATAATAGAGCCTGTCGTTTTCCTCTTATCTGGTTCTATCACGTCGGGTAGGTAGATGTAGTATCTTAAGTATTTCTGCACGAAGCACCTAGGTATCTAGTATCTGTTAGGTAGGAAGTAGTAAATAGGCAGCCACTAAGTAAACAACAAACTACTAGCCACACCCTCCCTCCCTTCCCTTCCCTTCCCTCCTCCTCCTCGTCCCTACCACCAACAAACGTAGTAAGCATAACCCAGAATCCAAAGTCCTATGCACCATGTAGATAGATAGATACCTCGCACCCCTGTAAACAGGCAACTACGTACCTACCTACCTACTAATCATGCACCTGATCACTTACAGAGTAAGTAGCAGCAGCTAGATATGTACCTACCACCAAACCCCGAGATCGACACTGCAGAGCGCAGTGCGCAGTCCCGCGCACCCCACCTATCTAGATACTTAGATACATCCACCCGCACATTAATAAGGAGAAATTATTAACTAACTAAATCGATATTGATGACGCCCGACGGAGCATCATCCTCCGTGAGTAAGTAGGTGGGCAGATAACTAGATAGTCCGTCTACTCCGTATATCGCCGTCCCCGACCCCCTTCCATCTCGGGATATTCCTCCGAGAGTCGGAAGCAGGCCGGAACTAGTATTTTACCTAAGGATCTAGCTAAGTATCTAACTAGTATCGAACTACGGGGTAGTTAGTTATCATTCTTGATATTATCGGTCTATCTATCTATCTAGTGCTAGGTATGTGCTGGTTTAGTGGTCTTGCTAGACTATCACTTATGGACTAGATAGATTTGGAGGAATCCTGGACTAGTGAGGTTGGTTGGTTGATTTCATTAGTTGGAGTAACTATGAGCGGGCTGCGGGTGGAGGGGGGGGGGGGGAGAGTGGATGTTCTTTATTTTATTTTATTTAATTTTTTGATTTTATGTTTTATTGTTGTCTGTTTATTTTGCGATCTGGGGGAAATATCTATGTATGTAGTTGGTTTGTGCTGATGGGTTTTTGGACTGTCACTGTTTTGGGGGGGGGGGAGGGGGAGTACAAACATCATAGTCGTATGTATACTCGAGGAAATTGGCAGTCATGTGTAGATAGTAAGTAGTATTAAGATTAGTGGGTGAACATATCCGAGTCGATCATTTGCTGGTTTTGTTAAGGTGGGTTTTATTTGGTCTATGTGTGGATAGTGGTGTCTATATAGATAGTATAATCATATATAACCACACCGAATATACGCCGGTAACCCAACATCTCGAGACAGCGCCAGGGAGGCCAAAAATACAAAGACTTGAATTAGTACCACCGGGTAGTTCAACCCAAAAACATCTGCAGTATTCCTTCCCATCGAACTAATCAAAAAAGTCCACATCTAACCAACTGACCATCTATATAAATACCAAGGTGCGGCCATCTTCAAGAAAGAAAAGACCCTATCAATTGAAGCTTCTATATAAGTAGAACTACTAAATCTTGTGGTCTCTCGATCCCCATGACGGTTAAAATAAACTTTGAAGTGAGTCACCTAGATATACTGAACATTCATTCTCCCCCATACTAAGCCTCCTCATAATTTGGACACGATTTTGGCGGTTGAGCTTCTGTTAACGTTACAGTTCACCAGTAGATAGATAGTTACCTAAGGCTCGTCCGCTCGGGATACCGCATCCGGTTTAGTCGGGTTGATCGGTGGGACGCTAAGCCAATTGCGGAGGACATAAATGGGAACGAAGAAAGTCGCGCTAACCCGGATTGAGAAGTGTGTTGCGAATACGAACTACTTTATCGCTGCCAGCTGCCAGTCTGCTGCCACTGGAACTGTAAGTATATGTCGATTCATGTTTGGATGGATATTGGCTTGGGCTGGGTGAAAGAGTGACGGTTACGGTTACAGGGGTGTGTAGCTGAGCTGGCTGGGCTGGGTACGGTGTATATCAAAGAAAGTACTACAATCAGGAGAGTACATTATATATACATTCGGAACATAGTATTGGTCGTTGATTTGTTCTACTATATTTTATAGAGTATTCTGATCTGGATATAGGTATGATGATGATGATGTCCACAGATTACAAGAAGACATCGCCTTTCTCGAGTGCAGAGGAACTCTACGATGATCCGTCGCCGTCGGAATATAGAAATAGAGGGATCGAACCGGACAGATACCGGTCTCTGTCTGGTGACAGAGACCACCACTACCAATACCAATGCCAGCTTCGACATAGTCAGCCATTCAACGCGGACTGTCGCGTCTTCAGACCTGTTGTGGTTCCACGTATGTTGTGTCTGCTCCAAGTTGATTCAAGGAACAAGACTGACCGAGATCCCCCCAGAAACCAGCAAAGCCTTCAAAGGAACATTCTACAGCCCGTTCATGAGAGCCTACAGCCCCGTGCTCGCAGAAGCGGGCATACCCTCGAACGACTTCCTCGCCTTCATCGATGGGCTCAACGAAGTGTTCATCGCCAACCCCATTCTTCAGACTACCGGTATGGTCGGTGGAATTCTGAGCATGGTGCCCTTCCCTCCCGTGAAACTGGCCGGGATTGGCGTGAAGGTCGCATCGAAGCTTAGCACGGCAGGTATCTCGTATGGTCGCACACGAGCCTACATCAAGGACGCAAACCTGGCGTTGTTCGGACCCAGAGGCCTGCATTGTACCGTTATGAGCACCAAAGACATGATGACGAAGGTGGGCTTGGACGAGGTGCAGCAAACACGCGTTCTGTCGTCTCCATCGTCGTCACCAGAGGATCAAGATGATGTCAACGAGGTCGACTCGAGACGCATCGCTGAGATACACGACGCGTATGGAGGCGACGCTCCGGTGTCCAGGGTAATGCCTGCTGACCCTAGGCTGCAGAGGTTAAATGCACTGGAGGGCTTTGTTGCCCCACTTCAAATTGATGGCCTGCCTGATCGGGTGGCACAGACCAATGTTCTGAAACGGATGAATGCTGCGTTTGCAGAGACGCAAGAAGCCAAGCAAATCAAGAAATCTGGCAAGCAGCGGGACGACAGTCGCAGGACGAGACGGGGAAGACTGGAGGATGCGGAAAGGGAAAGACAGCAGTGTGACATGGAAATTGCCACTATTGAGAGGAAGATGGAGATATTGCACGAAAAAGCAGCCAGAGAGTCGTATGATGGCTCGGCTAAGAGAGACAAGGTCGAAAAGGTGTTTGACAAAGAGATGAGGAGGCTGCAGCATGAGATGGACAAGGCGTGCCGCGGGAGGGACAGGAAGGTCGACAAGAGCATGAAACAAGGGGAAGACGAATGGGAGAGGGTCGGGAAGAGAGAGAGACGGATTGCCAGTAAGATCCGGTGGGTGGTGATCTCCAAGCGGGAGGAGGGACAACCGGATGATGAGACACCGGACGAGTCAGAGTGAGCGCTCGATGGTATGGACGACTTGGAGACACCCAAATTGCACTGTAATAGACAAGAATGAGCTACGACTTTTCTGAGAACTTCTCCACCCATCTGGCAAAGCTCCCACGGTAAGAAGCATCTTCGCACGGTAGGATCCGAGATGTCCCTGAGCATCATGCTCATCTGCATTCCTAATCTTACAGGCCTCCTTCGATGTATGGCGGGTGAAAAAGTCCGACAATCATGGTCTGATGCGCAGCCGACCAGCATAAACCCGAAGCCCCATGACACCAGATCCATGCCGGGCTCGAGCAGCACAGAGCACAGACTGATTAGATACCCCACATTTCGGCGATGCTCGTTCTGTCAGCACCCGGACTGGAAGGGGCTGGACTAGCTCTAGGCTCGGCTCAGCATCTGTGACGCGCGATGATGGGGGAAAGATAGGTGCAAGATCGGACCCGACATGACGCAACCTTATTGGGGATAGAGTGCCTGGCGCTTGAGGCTGCCTCCGTAGGCATTCGACATGCTCATTCTGCCGCTGAAGTGTATAAGCCGCTGCCCGCGTGCGGCCTGGTCTTCCAGCCGGACACGAGACACGGCCGCCCGAAGAACCACGATGCGTGCCACATCCATCCGGAAGTAGTACACTCGGCCGTGGCTGCTGTCCAATCGGAACTGCAGACAAGTCAGATGAATGAATCTCTCCAAGAATCGCATTCCCGCTAATCAGGTTGGTTCCTCTAGCGCATGTACGGAGCGATCCATGGGCGCGCCTCAAGCCATCGCTTACGAGGGGCTGGGAAGAAACAGCCAGCGGGCCCAACCGAGGCTGGTCTGGCCGTTCCTCTCCCGTATCTTTTCGTATCGAGCGCGCGAACCTAGGATGGCCAGGTAGAACCGGGCATTCGAGATCGAGCGGGTTTGCGGGGGAAGAGGAGGAGGGACGCAAGCGACAAATGGAATGCATGTCGTGTGAGGGAGGGAGTGTGACAGCGCGGAGGGTGGGTTGGCTGGCAACTAAACGCGGGAAAGCTCTCTCCGCAATTCCACCGGAGCCGATCCTGCAATGGGGAATCTTGGGAGTTCTTGGAAATCTATTGGATCGTGATCCCTTGCCTTCGAGTTAGTTGGTGTTTCCCCGCAATCGGTGCATGGATGCCGTGAAGGAGGGTGGGTGGAGGGAAGATCGCAGTCATGGCAGGCAGACATTGTCGAGTTACTTTACTGTGTGTGTATGCCTGTATGGGGGTACCGTATAGTACGTGCTGTGTATGCCGGGCAGATGGATCGATCAGGTTGGCCAGGGTGAGGGAGGAGGGTTCCAGTACGGCTGGCTCGTGTAACATAACGCCAGAATGACGTTGACGAATCCCAGTGCGGAATGTTACAAAGAACCCCGGTCGCCTTCCGTCAGTCAAACATACCACAAATAAAGAAACACCACTGTGATGACGACTCAGACCAAAAAAAAATGCCCCGCATAATAATTCTTGATAACTCTCTGCTACCACTACATCGACTGTGGCGCTATGCTGTCACTCTCGACACTGACTGACTTGACTACCATATAGATAGTATGAACTATACGTATACCTAACTCATCTGTTGTGTTTGCCTGACAATATTGTACTGTGTTAATTAATAATGTCTCATGACTGCCGGCCAGCCAGGGAGGGACACTTCCTCTGCCCGTGGTTCATCGCTCCTCGCTCCTTGGGACGATTGCGGCCGTGGATTCCCCCAATCCCAATCCCCAACAAGACTCGGAATAGCCCAACAGCCTGATCCTCCCCTTTCAATTTTCTGGGTTGTGCCCAAGCTCCTTCTCCCAAATCCCGAAGGGCTGTCCAGCAAGAACTGGCTTCGGATCGGATAGGGCTTTTGATGACATCTGTCATCTCTCTCCCGGGCGCTGCTGTAATCGGGAGGTACGGCGCTAGCCGCACTCACTAAGACTAAGGGGTGGGTATTACTTTGTACCTTTGCACTCTTGGGGATGCTAAATAATATCTAGCAGCTAGAGAGATATGTAGATACTAGATCCTACGCAGCCGGCTGCTAGCATTCGTACCTGATGCTAAAAAGCCCCGCTCCAGGGCAACGGGGGTGCCGAAATAGTCACGAATCCGGCGACGCTGAGAGGCGGCCGGGGCATTTTGTCCAGGCCAGTCAGGAGCGCGGAGGATCGTCGACTCGCCCTCTGGAGGCCCGCCCGGCCCACTCACGGGCGTTCCATCGACGGCCGACCGGTTCTTGTTCTCGCACGCCTGCTGCCTGTCATACTGCTGCTGCTGCTGCTGCTGCTGCCCTTTTCTCTCTTCTCTTCTCTTCTCCGCCTGAGACACAAGAGACAAACCATGACTGCTAACATCCCACCCCGTACTCCGTACCTCCTACCTAATTAGCCACGATGATATCGACTGTAGCTGGTTCCTCGCTTACCCCCTCGTAGAATGACTGAATGAATGTATCCTCTCTCCCCCCTCTTGTGGCCTGTGGTTCCATTCCGTATCTAGACTCACGTAGATTTCTTACCCCGCCTCAGGAGCGATTAATTAATGCTATGCTCCAGGTACGTAGCTCCCAGCTCCCCCCCCCCCTTCCCTCCCTAGCCGTGGTTAGTGTGGATGCAGTGTAAAAGGTACCGGACCACAATCGATCGCTCTCCAGGACGGAGCACTCACTGGCAATAATTCCCCCCCCCCCCCCCCCGGTAGCAGCTGAGAGGGACAAGGATAAAAAGAATCAAGACCACCCCAACCCTGAGCTAACGCACTCGGTCATAGCTTGCTCACCCTCTCCCTCCTTTCCTCTTGCGCCACTTCTGCTGGGTGCTCCGACCCGTGGCTCGTCGACTTCTCCTTTCGTCTTGTCCTCTAGTGGCCTGAGGTTGGCTCCGGTCTAGCAGCTACCTCGACCTCCCTTAGCTTGCATTATCCTAACGCAACTTAACGCAACTTACGCAACTTACGCAACTTACGACTGTACAACCTCTTTCTCCTCTTTCCCTCCTGCCGTCATCCTCGCCCGTGGCCATCTTCTTGCTCTCCCACCTCTACTTCTTGACCCCCTCCCCCTTTCACTCGCACCCCTCCTCCCGTTTTCTCGTTCCCTTTATCTCATCCTCCCTTGACCCTCGCCGATAAGGCCTGCCATCGCACCATACTACGCTTCAGCCTGAAGATCGTCATCGATCAAGCAACGTTGCAGAGGCCACTCTCCCGCTCTTCCACCAACCTCGTTGCGAACTGCGCCGCCCTGCTTTTCGCACCATCACCCTTCACACGGTCAGGATTAAAAAACAGGAGCCTGCCACTTCTCATCCACCCCATTTTCGCTCTGTTCGGGTTGCAGAATTATTTCGCGCCGCCAACGGTTCCCCCCTCCCCTTGCTGCTGTGATCGTCGCTCGTCAGTCTCAAGATGCGCTCCTCTTGACGAGGATCTGCCCATAGTTACTGGAGCCATTCTGCCCACCAACATCGTCCGTCCACGGTCACGCTACCACTCGCGATACCGCGCATCTATTAATACCTTCCTCTCCACGCGATCCGACATCCAGTGCAGTTATAGATATTCTGGAGCGACTCGATCCGTCCAAATCGCAAAATCGAAAAAAAAAGAAGAAAAGAAACGAAAGGACAAAAGATACCCTGTACTGGTTGGGTGGGAACTCTGTCTAGACCGACCCGCCTCGATTTTCTCGCCTTACGACTGGTCGCAAAGCGCCATCCTACACGATACCCTCTTTCTTTAGATTGAAGCCTGGTCGCTTCGCCTGGAGTACATTCTCCCTTTACAGCTGGGACGGGTTCCACGATCGGATTGACTCCCCGTGTTTTTTAAAGTTGGATAGACTGCACAAAAAGTTTCGTTTTCTTCCCTATTAGATTGGTAAGTGGTGTTCGATGGTTGCGCTCGCACGAGACATTTGCTCACCAGGGGAGGATGCGCCAGCAGACGCGATCACGAATTTCTGCGATTACTACTGTCTGGGACATTCGGAAATACCCAAGTTTCTATACCGGTTCCTGGTCTGGGCAATACTGTACTTTTTTTTTTAAAGGTATGTACGTCTGTCTGTCTGTCGGCCGTGAGCCTTGCGTTGTGACCCGTTGTTCGCCTTTCCCCGCAATTTCCCGGATTTTATGATCTGCCTTACCCCCTGAAAAGACCAGCGGGATCTGTCTGGCCTGCATTGAGGCGAGAATCCCGACAAAATGGCCAACTCGCCCATGATGGATTGATTCCCCGGGAGAGTTGTCGAATCCGGGCCGATCCCGGGCACAGGCCTGGAATAGCATGATCCTGAGCGCATGTGAAACGAACGGGGTGGGCGGAGTCATATGATCCGGGCGCTTTCAGAGGTTGGCGTTTGGCAGGCCCATGGCTCCCCGTCTCGCCACCGACAGCTCCTCCCCCCCCTCCCCCAAACCTACTCGAGCTGCACCTGGATATTTCATGGGCCCGTCTCGTTCAATTCATTCCTCCTGTCCCCTGTGTTTTATGCGTTCCTTGGTGAAACCTAATACCTCTCGCGTCTTCATGCTCCCCCCCCCCCTTGGACCTTTCAATGTCCACGCCCTTATGCTTCTTCTGTCTATACAGCTGGACTAACTGACGATGCAAAGCCCGTATCTCTCGGAGATCTGCTTTGTTTCTATTTCGAAGAAAACCGTTTTCCCGGGCAGCATTTCCGAGCTACCATTAGAATTCCTAGCTTCGTTGCGCTTCATTCCGTGAATTTCTAATAATTCGAACAAGGTAACTTGAGTCCCGCTGCATTGCTTGACTGGAGATTCTTACCGGCGGACAGTGATTAGTACCTTACCCCGGACTGTTTCATTACGGTGACCGCGGGGTCACGTTACACGGTACGAGGCATTCACCATCTAATTTCCCCCCTGACGTCAGTCATCACCACCGTAGGTGAAACCCAAAAATCGGCTTCCAGTCTGCTACACACATGTCCCCTTCACGTTGCTCTTGCTCACGCGACCCCTCTCTTTACTTTCACTGGCCCTTCTCTCCTCATTGCTGGGTTTAAATCCCTTCTTCCTCTGTTGGAGCGCCAAGCAACTCGAGACTCGCCCATGTCGCTCCTCTTCGCTCTGACTGACTCTTGTTATGGCCAGTTTTCATCACACCTTGCTACGCGCCGTCCTTCCAAAGTCTAGCGCATTCGATTCGCGGTCGCGATCCCTCGTCTGAGACACTATGGCCGCATCATCCAGCAAACCTGCGTCGCAGACGCCCAAGCCTGTCACTTCGTCCACTCCGGCTGGTAACGTGTCTGCCAGGCTCGAGAAAACCCACCCTGGAGTTCGTCGGTCTACGCCTGACTCGGAGGCGCTGGCTTCCTCGGATGACGATGGAGACCACACCCTGCAGAACGCCGCCTCTACCAGTGTACCGGCACCGAAACCCGCTCGTCGTACATCCTGGCTCAACGAAGTCCCTACTGCCGTCCCTCGAAAGGCCTCCTTGACTACTGTAGGTCCCTTGTCCTCTGGCGCCTCCAACCCCAGCAGCCCTGCTACTGACCAGTCCGGATGGCCGACGAACACGAGTCCCAGCATTGGTAGCTCTATCGCCTGGAACAATGTCGGAAACAGTTCCTTTCCCTGGGGCACTGGTATCTGGAATACCGAGTCCCGGAAAGAGCCTCCACCGCGACTTTCAGAAATCGTCCCATCCCCGACTATGTCGAACCCTTCGACGGCGGGAAACTACTTTGCAGAGGAAATACTGAGCCCCACGGCCCGTACGGCTTCTGGCGACTCAGCCATTCCATTTTCGATTCCACTGCACCCAACCCCTAAAACATACCGTTCGCAGTCATACTCAGTTGGCCAGCTAGATCCCGAGGTCTTGAGCTTCATGGCGAACAAGTCATCGGCTCCCTATGCTGGCGGACGCCCCCGTAATGGTGGTCAATACTCTGCTTTGCAGCACCGTTCGTCTCGGCCTAGCCTTCTTGGTGAGCTGGGCCATGATCCCGCTACACTCGGACGTGTGCGCGAGGACGAGGATGATGACGACGAGGACGCTGGCAGCCCCGATGGTTCTGATGGTAGCTTGAGTAACTATGCTGCTAACCAAGCCCGCACCATTGAACAGCTTGCTAGAGAGAATCGCCTTCTACGCCAAGCAGCGGGCCAGATAGACAACACTATGAGAGACCGTGCCATGTCGTCTGCATCTGCGGCTAGTGGATATGCAATCGGAAGCGGTCTTCACAACCTGCACCGCATCCATGGAAGTGTTCCAGAAGAGACGGACCTAGCGGTGGAAGACCTTGATGAGGTTGGCGACATCCCTGGTTACAATAATATCCACAGCAGCGCCCGGAGGCGACTTTCAGAGCATTCAGCAAATCTGGAGCAGCAGTTGTCTCCGTTCACTTCATTGGAGAACCGTGCCCTGGAAAACGTCCGGAAAGGCCACTGGCAGACCTCACTTGGCTTCGGCGGCATTTCGGATATCCCTCAGAGCCGTCGACACTCCTTCGCGGACATTCCCATCCGGCATGCTTCTGTCTCAAGCGAGTCGCAAGCAGCTGCTAATTCTAGAGCTCGGATGGGCGATAGGGAAGAGGACTATGCGAGCATCGCTGATGGCCCCCTTTCTAGTATTCAAGGCCAGAATCGTGAGTACCCACGCTTTCATGTGACTCCGGAGCATGAAATGGAGACGGAATATTTACGAGCTCGTCGATTTGCAGAAGCCTATTTTGCTCGCGATCCAGCTCTCCGCGCGACCGATGGCCATTCCCCGGTGGCTACATCCCTACACCAAGCGTACACGATGCCGAACGCCTACGGCCGCCACCAGCCAGGTCTCGCGCATCCACACCAGAACCAGCTTTTGTATATTGTCACGTTCAAATGTCACCGAGCGGATGTTTTTTACATCCAGGAAGACACTGGGTTGCAGGTGAAGCCGGGTGACCTGGTCATTGTTGAAGCGGACCGTGGCACGGACCTTGGCACTATCCAGCATGCCAATGTGACCATGCAAAAGGCCCGTGAGCTAAAGCAGCAATATGCCGAGGAGCATTATAAGTGGTTGATGATGTTTTCCAGACAAGGGCAGAATGGAGCGGCTAATGTAGTCAATGCTTCCGGGAATGTGCCGGGCCTGAACAACAGAAGCGCCATCGGTGGTATGGGTCCACATGGCCCGCATGGGATGCAGGACTCTGCTGCAGACATCAAGCCCAAATTGATCAAGAGAGTTGCTCAGCATCACGAGGTAATGGCCTTGCGCGACAAGGAAGGAAACGAAGCCAAGGCCAAACGGGTGTGTATGCAGAAGGTTGCAGAGCATCGGCTCAACATGGAGATACTCGATGCGGAGTTCCAGATGTAGGCCACGATATATCATCTACCGCGTCATCATGCATGCTAATGACTTCTCTATAGGGACTGGAAAAAGCTCACTTTCTATTACTTTGCGGATTCCTACATCAATTTCAACTCACTAGTGACCGATCTTTTCAAAATCTACAAGACCAGGATCTGGATGTCAGCCATCAACCCAGCATCATTTGTCACGCCCCCGAGTGCGGGTCTGCCCGCCCCGAACCCTCTGAGTTATAGCCATGAGGCGCAGGCAGATCGCCCCCTAGACAACAGGGTTTACGGTCATACTCGAGAGGGTATGGAGGCTGGACGAGATACTACCGCCAACCAGATCAGAGTATTGCGCAACGCCTATGCCGACTCCTACCAGCCCTTTAGCCAACCCGCTCGACAGTCGGAGCCTGGCCTCGGTGGACTTAGCTCCGCGGACCCCTTCTCTCCATACTCGCCGAACGGCTATGGACCTCTTGACTCGGGATACGTGGATTATGCTGCAGGCCCTGGCACAAGCGGTGGTCCCTCCCGCATCCACCCTGCTCCGAACGAATGGATGAACCGTTTCCAGGGGTTGTCACTTAACTCTTGAGAATTGCCCTGTGAATTCCTTTGTACAAATTGATGCGTTGTTGCTGTACATCGCGGACAGCTCCTTTTCTTTCCTTCTCCCCCGGTCTTTACACCCCTGTCCGAGTATTTCCCGCCTTAAGACTACACTCACTCTGTTCCCGGCTTCAAGTTTATACTTGTATCCAAGTTTATTTTACCGCTGCTGCCTTTTATTTTTACCTCTGCCCTTCTTTTCATCTACATCTCTCCTTCCTAATGTGTTTCCTACATAAGATTAGAAATCATGTGCAACGGATCGAAAAGAAAGACTTATGACCTGTCGTTATTGCTGATACCTAATAATAGACTCAGCTTTCGTGGTCTGGTGGCTTGAATAAGCTTATCTCTCGGATATGCGATCGAGGAACCAGATCTATCTGAACTCAATGAATTTTTTTCTTCGTGTCTGGGTTTTCATCCGTAGTCTCGCCTGTAAAGCCGATGGCTGTAGGTACTTAGGCAAGAAAGCTGTAGGAGATCGATTGTCAAGAGGTCCGAGACAGTTCACTCGGATGGATGGCTGTTTTCGTATCCATGAGTTTTGTCTCCGTCCTTGTTAGACGGCGATTTCTACATCGCGTTGCCCAGCCTTGGATATACATTAAATTGTGACTCTAATTCTAGTCTTGTCTAAAGACGAGAGTAGCACCCTGTGTAGACCATTGAAACTGGAAGGATTACTGATTTTGCACCATGAGACCCTCAGAAATGAGGAGAGAAAAAGTCGATGGATTTACTTGTGACTATTAGTAAAATCCATATTTTCATCCGGGAAACCATAGTACTGCAGGCATCATTTCCTGTTTCTGCCTTCTTGCCTTAGGGTTGCGGGCGGGAAAAAAGAAAAAAATCCAAAAAGGGGAAGGCGGTGGCGGCTTCACGCCTCAGGCATTAGCGGCAGGCGAGCACGGCCCTGATTGGTGGGGGTGGGGGCTCGCCTAATCGCCTAGCGTCCCACACACAAGGTCGTTGAAGAGATCTCGTCCTTCTCGAACTTTTCAGCTGTGACAACCGACGACAATCGACGACCTGCCACGCCGACAAGGTACGTTTACAGAACCCTTTGCGCCCGATTATCGCAGCGACAGAAACGAATTGCTCTGGAGCATCGAAATCATTCAGACCACCAGAAGCTGATTTTTGAATTTCCGTCCAGATGGGTGCCCTCAAGTACGTGGAAGAGATCCAGAAGAAGAAGCAGTCCGACGTGATTCGCTTCCTGCTGCGTGTCCGTTGCTGGGAGGTGAGAATCCCCCCCCAAATCTCGATCACTTAACATCCCGCCGGGAGCTCGTGTGCTTTGCCATAGGATACCTTCTTTCGTCAAGAAGGGGTGTTACTGGGCGTCGCGAAACGACTTTTTTTCGCCGGCGGATGGATGTGGCACACCAGAGAGTCTTTTCTCAAGGGCCTCATGTGTCTTGCTATACACTCGTTGAACTTTGCTGAGAGTGCATCAATATAGCTCCGTCAGCTGAACGCTATCCACCGTGCTTCTCGCCCCTCTCGCCCCGACAAGGCTCGTCGTCTCGGCTACAAGGCCAAGCAGGGCTATGTCATCTACCGCATCCGCGTGAGACGCGGTGGCCGCAAGCGCCCTGCCCCCAAGGGTGCCACCTACGGTATGCAGAATTCTCGTCTTGGAGGAGCCGGTGCCTTGCTCGAATTGGGGCTAATCAGACATGTGCGACTACAGGCAAGCCCACCAACATGGGTATCAACCAGCTCAAGTACCAGCGTGCTCTCCGTGCCACCGCTGAGGAGCGTGTCGGCCGTCGCTGCGCCAACCTGCGCGTCCTGAACTCCTACTGGATCAACCAGGACTCCACCTACAAGTACTTCGAGATCATCCTCGTCGACCCCCAGCACAAGGCCATCCGCCGCGATGCCCGCATCAACTGGATCTGCAACGCGGTGCACAAGGTTGGTTTCTCCCGACGTTCAGGGTTGATAGAATGGTATGCTGACCAGGATGTTTCCAACAGCACCGCGAGGCCCGTGGTCTCACCGCCACCGGCAAGAAGTCCCGTGGTATCAACAAGGGCCACCGCTACAACAACACCCGCTCTGGCCGCCGCCACACCTGGAAGCGCCAGAACACCCAGAGCTACTGGCGTTACCGTTAAGCGTAGACAGGGTGTCTACGGGGGTTGTTGGTTATGGGAAAAACTTGATCTTGTGGATGTCTCTATTTCGATCAAACCTCGCACCTACAGCCAAGTCTTCGAACTGGTGGGGTGCGGGCATAATGCAACAGATCTTCTGGATCGGATGTTAGCAAAAATACCTCTTTTTTTCTCGGTTCATCTTGTATTGTTCTAACGAAGCCTGACGACATGTTTTGTCCTTTCCACCTGCTGCAACCCACCTAATCACCCGTCCGTACCAGCGTACACAGTAGGGGGGGGGGGCGATTGTAATGTAGACCGGATTTGCGCTGCAGATCCGTGCTGGGGACTCTTGGCATGGGGTGGGTTGACTGCAGACTGGCGGGTACGTCGTAGTTACGGAGTAGATACTACACTATTACCGGGGGGGGGGGAGAAGGACTGGAGTCGATGACCAGTACTGTAGGAGTACTAGGAGTAAAACACCAGGAAGTAACTAGTGGACGGTTTGGACTCCATTTCCAGTGAGACAAGGTCCTGGATTGCGGACTGAAACCCTGGTTCTCAGTGGTGATGTCTAAAATGGAGGACCCAATGCCCCGTTCTTGGAGCAGGACAGCGTTTGTTAAAAATAGTATCGAGGAGGGACCTGTCTTATGTCTTGACTGTCCAATGTCCATGAACCGAACCATGAAACCCCCGTCAAGCGTCCAGGCGCGCGCCCGACCACGACGTTGCCTTTGAACGATTGCGTGGGTTGTCCAGCCTCGAGCCTCAGGCATCAACCCCCCTCCCCCCGGTTTTAGTCCCGACCGGCTGGCTCGTTCGTTCGCTGGCCTGCTCGGCTTGCGCATCCTCTTGCGACTTCCCCCTCAGGCGGCATCCATTCGTCTCTCCTCCTCCCTCTCCCTCTCTCTTGCTTTTGCTTTTACTTTTATCCTATCCCTCGACCCCTCGTTTGTCTCCCTGTCGGTCTCTGGAGCCTGATCGTCCCTTCTTCTGCTCCCCTTGGGCTCCTCCTTCCTGTTTGGCTCGCCCGGATTCCTGCTCCTGCTGTACTTACATCTCCACGTTACATCCCCCCGTCCCTCCTCACGTTACATAGTACCGAAGCTCCCCCCTCCCCCGGGGTGCCCTTACTCATCACCGGCTCGTGCAATTATCTGCCTACCTACTACTTACTCACTACACCACCTTTTCTCCTTTCGCGAAGCTCCTAATTTGAAAGAAACGCTCGAATCTACATGAGCCTCTGAATCGTCTCCGATCTCGCGGCAGGAATTACCCTCGTCGCTGTTGCCGTCAAGTACTACTCCTGCTGTGCTGCTCCGCCCACGAGAAGCCCTACTACCTACCTATCCGCCATCCCTGCTTGGTTCAGACTATAATTATACTCCGACCTTGGCCAAAATATTCCTCTGAGCTACACCCTCCTCTGTGGCAACATCACGCGACAATACGCAGCTGAGAAAAAAAAGGCAATACTTTCAATTCATCGAGAGTCCAGCCAATGCGCCCATATGCCGTCGCGGTCCCCATATAATTCGTCCCATCCTCCGACGTCCGACTCCCCGGCTACTCATATCACTTCAGCTGCGATCCCTTTTCGCGCAGAGGGGACCTCTCCTTATCGAAGTCCGCACGATGCCCCGGGACTGTCGCCCATGAGCGGGAACCCGGCTACTTCGCCCCCGCATCGTCGAGGGCATTCGCGCTCTATCAGTCATCCGTTCCCCTCGCCCTTTGGCGGTATCGCGAAGAGGCGCAACCGGTCGATCTCCAAGAAGGATAACTTCTTGCTGGATTCCGATGACGACGATGATGTGGTTACGTACCTGCCGGATCCTAACTCTGCCAGTCCTCGCAAAGGACACCCGCGTCCAACGCCGGGCGAGGAGATGACTTCGGGGAAATGCATGGTTTGCAACAGCACGGTCCGATGGCCGCGGAATCTCAAGGTGTTTCGATGTACGGAATGTTTGACCGTCAATGATCTGGAGCCGTATGTAGACTCGGGCAAGGCTAGCGGTCCGGGGAACGATGGGAAACCATCTCCGACTGTGCTTCCTAGAAAAGGTATTATAACACTCGGCTTTGTCTTGACTACGCGACCAGTGAACTGACTTGCACCTAGCTATTCCGCTGTCGGTTGAGCGAACAAAAGCAATCGTAGACGAATGCCTCTCAAAGTACCTCAGGCAGCTCCTGAATGTGCCGGAACAGCCATCGCCAGAGAAGCTTGGTGGCAAGCGCTTGGATGTTGCGCAGGATGAGAATCTGTCTCACTCGCCGAGTCATTCGTCTGGGTACTTATCTGAACCTCGGCAACCGGTGGACCCGCGGGGCCGTAGTTCTTCTACGTCCAACAAGACCGGAAAGCCGGAGGGAATGGGCGGGATTCCGAATTATTCGAAGCCCAGTCTGGCCCCTTTGCATGCTCATGGGGAAGGGAAAGGCTCTCAGATGAGGAACCGGGACGCTCAGAACACGCCGCGGCGCGATCGCTCGCCCCGGCACGCTGCGCGACCGAGCGGTCCCGAGGCTAAGAACCCCACCAGTCGCCCGTATATTTTCAGATCGCTCGAGGAATATATAATCATATCGTTCAAAGGCAGCGACTGCCTGAACAAATCATTTACTACGGTGCAACCTGCATCACAGTCCGCTGAGAACAGCAGCCCACCCAAGCAAAAGGCGGAGCCGAGTTCTGCACAGGCGTCCGCCCAGGTGGTATTCGAGCCGGATCCGAAGCTGCTGCTTCTCGGCGACATCGCAGAAAACTCCTCTTGGTGGATGAACGAAGTGGAGCAGATCAGTAGTACCCATCCCTCCCGTGCGAAAGAGCGTCGAGACAAGACCTCGAGCTCGTCCCGGGCCGTTTCCTCCAGGAGCCCGCGTATCAATTGGCCTGAGCTTGCGCAATGGCATCAAGTGATCATGACGGCTGGAGCCTCATGGGTGGAGCTGTGGTCTACGATGAAGCCGTGCGAGATGCGGAAGGACGAGGACGTCCTTGTAGCTCAAAAGTGGGACACCGTCGATCTGGCCATGGTCGAGAGAGAAATCACCGAGTCCCGCTTGCACCTGCACAGAACGCTCCTCAAAGCCACCGAGACGCTTTTGAAACGGCCCAGACGGCCTCTGAAAAAGCCAGAGGACATCAGGTTCTTGCTGATGCTACTGACCAACCCATTGCTTCATCCGTCTAGCCCGTCCCTGGCATCTCACCTGGCCCCATCGGCGGCCCGCGGTGACCGGAGGCCTTCGCATCCAAAGGATGGCAATCCTAGACCGGCACCCCGCGATCTGAAGCCGCCTCCGAAACATCGCAGCGGAGGCCCGGGGCATCATTCCGGCATCGTCAAGCGGATATTGGGGCTACTTGCCAACCTCCCGAACGACTGCCATCACTACCTCGTCTCCTGGTTCTCGCGCTTTTCGGCCGGGCAGTTCGAGAAGATCGTTGAGCTTGTCGGTAGCTTTGTCACGTATCGCCTAACGCGTCAGCATGGGCGGAAGCGCAGCGACTCAGCTCAGCACGACGACGGGCTGGTCCCCAGCTTCTCCAGCGCCGCTGGCACCACCCCTGCGGAGTTGCACGCTGCCATCAATGGCAGGAGCCCCAGCAAAGCGAATGAGAAGGTTGACAAGCCAGTGGTCTACACCGATGACTGGCAGGTCCGAGCGGCAGCCCGCGTGATGTCGTTGCTCTTCACGGCCAACAATGCGAGCGTTTCTCGCAAACCGGACAGCGCGTTTGGGCAAGACGCGGGTTCCGCCGCGAGACACCAGGCGAACCGGCGTGGCCATATGGTCCCCACCAGCTCCTTCTACAATACGCTGCTGGACTATTCGGACCTGGTGGCCGACTTCGAGGCCTGGGAATCCAAGACGACGAAGTTCTCGTTCTGCCAATATCCGTTCTTCCTCAGCATCTGGGCCAAGATCCATGTCCTGGAGCATGACGCGCGCCGTCAGATGGAAGTCAAAGCACGTGAGGCGTTTTTCAACAGTATCATGAGCCGAAAGGCGATCAGCCAATATCTCATGCTGAAGGTCCGGCGCGACTGCTTGGTCGAAGACAGTCTCCGCGGCGTCAGCGAGGTGGTTGGCTCAAGCCAGGAGGAGATCAAGAAGGGGTTGCGGATCGAGTTTGTTGGCGAGGAGGGTGTCGACGCGGGCGGTCTGCGCAAGGAATGGTTTTTGCTCCTTGTTCGGGAGGTTTTCGATCCTCACCACGGTAGGTTTTCACCCTCTTAGGTCACGCGCCAGCCAGCTCACTGACCGACTGCAGGACTGTTCATCTATGACGAAGACTCCCAGTACTGCTATTTCAACCCGTACTGCTTCGAGTCGTCGGAGCAATTCTTCCTGGTCGGAGTCCTCCTGGGACTGGCCATCTACAACTCGACCATCCTCGACGTTGCTCTGCCGCCGTTTGCATTCAAGAAACTGCTGGCGGCTGGGCCGCAGTCGTCGATCAGCCGGCCCACGTACAAGTGCTCCCTGGATGACCTGGCGGAGTTCCGACCGGTGCTCGCCAAGGGTCTTCGGGCTTTGTTGGAGTTCGACGGGGACGTGACGGAGACGTTCTGCTACGACTTTGTGGCACAGGTGGATCGGTATGGGGAGGTGGTGCCGGTGCCTCTCTGCGCCGGGGGCGAGAAACGACCGGTGACGAACGCCAACCGACGGGAGTTTGTCGACCTGTACGTGCACTACCTGCTGGACACGGCGATCACGCGGCAGTTCGAGCCGTTCAAACGGGGGTTCTTCACGGTGTGCGGGGGCAATGCGCTGTCTCTGTTCCGGCCGGAGGAGATCGAGCTGCTGGTGCGCGGGTCGGACGAGGCGCTGGACGTGGCGTCTCTGCGGGCAGTGGCGACGTATGACAACTGGGGGAACGCGCGGCCGGAGACGGAGCCGGTGGTGCGGTGGTTCTGGGAGTTCTTCGAGCAGACGCAGCCGCAGGCGCAGCGCAAGATCCTGTCGTTTGTGACGGGGTCGGATCGGATCCCGGCGATGGGGGCGACGAGCCTGTCGATCCGGCTGGCGTGCCTGGGCGACGACACGAGCCGGTTCCCGACGGCGCGGACGTGCTTCAACCAGCTGGGGCTGTATCGGTACGAGACGCGGGCGAAGCTGGAGCGGATGCTGGGGGATGCGGTGCTGAACAGCGAAGGGTTTGGGTTGAAGTAACAGGAGCAGGCCTCCTCGCCTCCTCCCTCTCGGCTGAGCTATTTCCAGGGTTTACGCGGGGAAGATCGTATGCGGGGACGATCTGATTGGCGTCTTGGGCATTCTGATTCTGATTCTGCATTCTAGGCACAGGCAAGGCATGGCATGGCATTCTACTCCGTAGTGAAGTAGGTATTATCGGCAATAGAAAATATCAATCAATCATTCATCCATCATTCCTGCGTGGCTTTTTGTTGTTGTCCCTTGCGGGGCGGCGTTGGCTGGACTGGCTGCTGCATTTGGCCAGTGGTCTGGACTCTGGATATTGTATGTACTATGTAGTAGACAGCCGGTGAACCAAATAGGTAAGACAAGACCGATAGAGGAGACTCTAGACTGGATAGTTATAGCCAGGCTAGGCTAGGTTAGTCATTAACTGAAACATGAACGGCGGCATTTCGGCGAGTGATGTAATTAATGTAATGCAAGTCCAAGCCAAGTCCAAGACAGTAGTGCAGCAGCGGTGAGGCTGTTTCTGTTTGGCTGGCTCTATGAGTATGAGCTATCAGCTATCTCTATATCTAGATAGTAAGTACATGCTACTATATTATTTATACCGTTTGCGGTCTGTCTGCCCCCTGCCCTGGAACTGGAATTGTAAAGTTGGTGGATTTCCAGCTTTCCAGCAGAGGAGAGTAGTAGATAGATAGATAGATAGATAGATAGTAAAGAGAGGAGTGTAGTAAAAGTAGAATAAGTAAAGTGGGGGGAGGGATTAGGGTTAGGGGTAGGTGATTAGGGGGTGGCCCGGTGGGATTGTTGAGGGTTGTTGAGGGTTGGAACTTGAGGGTTTCTTTTCAGGTTGGTTGGTTGGTAGTTGGATTTGGGGGGAGGGGGGGGTAAGCGATTTAGAGTATCCAGATACCTAGTAACTACGTACTCTAAGTACTCCGTACTAGGTAGAGTAGTTAGGAGAAGATGATGATGATGATGTAAGTACCTAAGTATCATTGAGTAACTCACTAGTTAGAGGAATGTGAATTCTGTGGTCTGCATACTTTCTCCCCGGTGTCAGAATCGGAAATGAAAGACAACTTAAGACAAGAAGACACTTCCCAACCAAACACAACCCAGTCCAGTCCAGTCCAACTAGTAAGTAACCACCCAAAGTCAAGTCCAGTATCCAAGACAGAACAACAATAATGATAGGCTCATTGAGTGCATTTGTAGACCAGTCGCGGGAATTACAAAGTATCCCCCACCCGATATATCCATCCCGTCCATCCAAACAAACAAATCAGACCACCCCCAGCCAAGCCGCGTCCCCAGCATTCTTCCCCATTCGGCAACCTGCCAGGCTGTCGTTCCCCGCTACTCACTACACAGGAGGAGGATCGGGGCTAGTGGGTCGTGGGTCGTGGGTCGTGGGTTCGGACCCCTATGTGGGGTAAATTGTAGGTGTAGGAGAGAACCTTCGTCCGGGTTCGGGCGTTGAGTGGAAGGCTGGATGGGGGGGTGGTATACGTATACGTAAGTACCGGGAGTAATGTATGGATGGGATGGACTGGCTGAGTTTGGTTAGCTGGGTGGGATGGTGAGGAGGGAGGAGGTCTTGGATATGGTCAGGCGTGTTGGATTAATCCAATGAAGTAGTTGGTTGTGTTTGTTGTTGTCTGTCTGTCTGTCTGTCTGTTCTGGGGTCGGGCTGGGGTTCAAATAGCCTCGTTTCCCCCCTGTAAGGGCGTTTGTATTTCGTCTTCATCTCTTCTGAGTATTTATTCTGGTCTGCTGCTGCTTCTGCTACTTCTTCTTTTGGAGCTTTGTCGTATAAACCTAGACCCTAGATTCTTGTATGTCTGTCTTTCTTGTGGGATGTGATGGTTGCTGATGTGGTGCGATATAGACATATAGACATAATCGTCGCATATTCATATATCCCTAAGCCATGGGTTCCACTCTGCCTCAGACCATGAAAGCTCTTCGGTAGGTATCGGTCTGTCTGACTCCTGCTGTATCAAGCTAACCTCACCCAGCTACGAGAAGCCGGAGGTGCACAGCATCGTCGACGTGCCTCTGCCTGAGCTGCGTGACGGTGACATCCTAGTACGTTAGCTGCTCCTTGCAGACATATCATCCTGTCTAACAACCCCCAGATCAAGGTCAAAGCTTGCGGCGTCTGCGGCACAGACCTGCACATCCACGAGGGCGAATTCATCGCCAAGGTAAGCAACCAAACATACCCCCCCAGCCCAACCCACTCCACCACTGACTAACAGCACAGTTCCCCCTGATCCCCGGCCACGAAACCGTGGGCGTCATCGCCGCCCTGGGCCCCAAAGTCAAGAACTTCCAGGTCGGCGACCGGGTCGTAGCCGACAACTCCGAGCTGTGCGGCGAATGCTTCTACTGCCGTCGCGGCGACGAGCTATTCTGCGAACACTTCGAAGCCCACGGCGTGACCATGAACGGCGGTTTCGCCGAGTACTGCGCATACCCTGCGGGCCGAGTCTTCAAGATCAACCACCTCTCCGACGTCGACGCCACGCTCCTAGAGCCGGCGTCGTGCGCCGCGCACGGGCTGGACAAGATCGCACCGAAGATGGGCTCGTCCGTGCTGCTGTTCGGGGCCGGGCCGACGGGTTTGATCCTCGCGCAGCTGCTGCGGCAGTGCGGTGGGTGTCGCGTTGTGGTTGTTGCGCCGGAGGGCCTGAAGATGGATCTGGCGAAGCAGCTGGGCGCCGGGGATGAGTATATTGCGTTGTCGAGGCAGGATCCCTCTGCGCAGTTTTTCCGGTTGAGGGAGGAGAATCCGTACGGGTTTGATATTGTAGTTGAGGCGACCGGGAGTGTTAAGATTCTAGAGGATTCGATCCATTATGTGCGCAGGGGGGGCAAGTTGGTTGTTTATGGCGTTTATGCTAATAAGGATCGCGTGTCTTGGCCTCCGAGCAAGATTTGTGAGTTTATTTATTCTTCCCTTTTTTCCCTTTTTTCCCTTCTTTTTTTTTTTCCACCTTCTTTCTTGATTCGCTTCGTTTTTTTTTTGTCGGTTTGCTAATAGCTATGACAGTCGGCGACGAAATCACCATCGTGGGCAGCTTCTCAGAGGTATACAAGTTCCCCGCAGCCATCGACTACCTCGACTCCGGCAAGGTGCAGGTCAATGGCATCGTGAACAAGACGTTCCGCATCGATCAGTGGGAGGAGTGTCTGGAGGCGATGCGGAATAAGTCGGCCATCAAGGCGGCGATTGTTTTTGACTAGAGCTAGACAGACATGGCTGGTGACAGAACTAGAACGAGCACTCTCACACCTGTGACCCGTCTATCCAGGTGTCTGGACACCTTTTTGGTCGGGTGGTTTTTGTTTCCAATGGCTGGACTGTGCGTGTCTCATGAGTTATGAATGGATGTTTATCTCTTTTTTACTACTCCGTAGTGTTGGTGTGTAAGGTGGGAGTGTGGTGGTGTATGTAGTTGTAGTAGTTGTAGTAGTTGTAGGAAAGATGGACCTCGGGGGAGCCACCAAAGTACTTGTCAATAGTAAGTACTGCCCGAAGCAGCAGTCAGCTGGGTTCAACCGGTTCAACTTCAGCGGACGGGTTGAACCCAAATCGATCTTATCGATAGAATTCTCCACTCCAGCTCCGTCACAACTTCAACAACACTTCCTTCTTCCACCTTACACCACCACTCTCCAATCCAATCCCGCACCCAAAACAAAAGAAATCAAAAGAAAATGGTCAAACCCCTCTCCTTCAAAGGCGACAAGCCCAAAAAACGCAAACACGACTTCTCCACCAGCGATCCCTCACGCAAAAAGCCCTCCACCAGCACATCAACTCTCTCCGCAACCACCCCCACCGAACCAGATACCTCTGCCTCCGCCTCCGCCCTCGAAGAAGCCTCAGCCGAAGACCAATCGTGGGTAACGGCCGATACGCCCTCTGATCTAGCGGGGCCGATCATGTTTGTTTTGCCGCGGACGGACAACACCGATACAGATGCAGATGCAGAGGGGGATACACGGGGGAAAAAGACCCCCCGACATGTCTCGCGACAGACGCCCACGGGACCGTCTTCGCGAGCGTGGTGGAGAATCTCATCGAGGGGGATCCGGCGACCGCGGAGCCGCATGATGTTCGCCAGGTGTGGGTTGCGACTAAGGTGGCCGGCGTGGAGGGGTGGAGTTTTAGGGGGTCGAATGGGAAGTATGTTTGCTCCTTTCATTCCATCATATTCTTTTTTGGCATTTACGGTTGGTTGGTGGTTTGGGCAGTTGGCTGTGCTTGGTTGGATGGTAGCAAACCGAGTCTATAAGCAAAGCTAACCACACATGTTCATATGTATAGATACCTATCCAGCGATAAACACGGCATCCTCTCCGCGACGGCATCCGCAATCTCCATCCACGAGATCTTCGGGGTCCGGGAGGCAGAGACCGGCGGGGGCGGACTCTTCACCCTTGTGACCGGAACGGGATCTACCTCCACCTCCACCTCCACCTCCACCTCCACCCCTGTTGATCAAAAACAGCCCGAAAAGTCCAGCGCGGAAACCTACCTCTCCGTCAAAGAAGTGCTCTCGAAAACGACCGCATCCGGAACGAGAATCGAAGTCCGCGGCGACGAGACGGCCCTCTCGGCGGGAACGAATATCCGGATCCGCATGCAGGCGCGGTTCAAGCCGCGGATCAAGGCGAGTAAGGAGATCAAGGCGCGCGAGAAGATCGGGCGGAAGGAGTTGGAGGGGATTGTGGGGCGGAGGTTGGATGAGGAGGAGATACGGCGGTTGAGGAAGGCGAGGAAGGAGGGCGATTTTCATGAGGTGGTTTTGGATGTGAGGGTTAGGGGGAAGCATGATAAATTTGCTTAGATCTTTTTTTGGGGGGGGGGGTGTTTACGTTTCTGCTACGGTGTTGGGGTCATGTGTACAAATTCTATGTATTCATATCGTGTGTGTGTGTATGTCCAGCCGTGGGTATCAATCATCGTACAATCTATGTCTGTGGTCGAGTCATCTGGAGGGCGAGGGCGAGCCGGGCTCCGGCATATCCCGCGACACCAGCGTGTCGGCCATCTGGTACGGCATCCACCCCGTCGGGAGCACGCTCTTCTTGCAAAGCGGGCATAGACTGCTGCTCTGCGTCAGAGACGTGTCGATGCAGCTCGGATGGAAGATGTGGCCGCAGGGCAGCTCGCGGACGGTCGATGACCCGGGCACAAAGTCGTCGAGGCAGATCGCGCACATCGTCTGTGAGCGACTGAGTCGGTTCTTGTGGCGGGGGTAGGCGGCCTCGTCCAGACCCGCCATCGTGGACTGTGACGATCGTCGGACCGAGCCACCGTCGGCCGGTTCTTTATCCTGTGCGTCAGCTGTCTCGCGGACCTCGACCGCGGGCGACTTGGGACTCTCTGCAGCCTCTTCTTCGCTCTCTTCTGTGATCTCCGCCAGGTGCTCCCGAGACTTCGCAGGGTCGTCTTTTCGGCCTTCACTGTGACTGGCCCCCAGGCCTGTGTAGATGTAAATGGGGATGGAGTTCAGAAACTCGTGCGGAACCCGGATCTGGTGCATGCCCATGTGTTCGAGATCGGCTTCACCGGCCTCGATGCGCCGCTGCAGTTCCCGCCGCTGTCTCTTGTGCACTAGCTGGTAGAACAGGAGGAGGATGATGGTGAGGACGAGGATCGTGCCGATGATGGCGAGGATGAACCCCCAGATACTGGCCATCTTCTTACTCCCGCTTTCTAGACGGATGTCAGCACTGTTCGTGGCGTGGGCGTGGCGTCGGCTTTACCTATATCAATCGCCGAGACGAGTCGGTACGCTCCTGACTGAGCTTGCGCCAACGCACTCTGGTTCATCTGGTCATTAGGATTGCCCAGGTTGCCATCCCGTGACAGCCGGTCCATCAGGGTGACACCCGCTGCCCCAGGGATTGCGTACACCGGATATTCGTTCCGCGCTTGCCAGCCATCGCTGCCCCCGAGTCGCCACGTCGGGTCATTTGCCGACGGCGGCTTTGTGTCGTCGTTGGACGGCAAGAAGAAGAGCAGCGCGTCCGTCCGGACCTGCTGCGACGCATTTAGAAACTCCTGTGCACATTCAGCGTTTACCCAGGGCGCCAGCCCGATCACACGGTCTCCAAATGGTGTGGCGCTCTCGATGCGGGTGACATTAGCCGGGACAAACGGAGCGGTAGCGCTGTTGCACGGGCTTTGAGCACTGAGACTGGGGACAAAGAGAATTCCCTCGATCGGGCCTTTGTCCGGGGCATTTTGCTTGGAGAGCGTCTGAACGGTGCCGTCGTCGAGTTTGAGAGCAAAGGCCGTGCTATCCTAAACAATCAGCCCGGTTAGCCTCTGAAAGCACATTCGATCAGGGAAGCATATTCAAGCATCCAAGGCATACATTCGATGCAGCTGTTGTATTGGTTGGGTCCGCGAAGAGCGTGGCAATCGTGGTCACCGATTTGGCAGCTATTGCAGAAATATCAGCATGAACTCAGATACGGATAACGATAAGCCAGCGATTCCATCGAGATTGGGATCAACAAAGGAATGTGTGGCAGAATGGCATTCTCTCAACCATAGGGACCATACTCATTGTGAAACACGGTCGTGCTACGAGCACGGGTCCGATGGACCTAAGAGGGATCCAGCAGCTTAAAACCCAACTCCAGAGGGTGTCGAAGACCCTGTCGTGGACCGAATCTGGCAGTCAGACGGAGGAAGCAATATGGCCACTGAAAAGGGAAGAATGCGAGGGTGAGGTCAATAGCCTGGGGAAGAATGCTGACAGGTCAGGTTGAACTCGACAGCAATCGCGGATAGCTGCTGCACCCACCTGTGGAAGAGCCAAGGCCATGCAGCGTGCTGCAGGGAGAAGATCATTTTAGGGTGAAGTGTGCTGCTGGGTTGCTGTCCTCCGAGGAGGCTTTTTCTTTCTTTTTCTTTTTTTTTCTCAGTGCGGGCCACGGTATTATTGCAGATTGAATGCCGTTTGCATTGAATGGACTGAAGTGGGACGTTTGCGGGATGGCACTGGAAGGTCTAAAAATAAAAGCGAGACGCCGTGATGCAAACATCGGCCGCCCGATCGGCAATCACATCATGCTTGACTATCGGTTGTAGATGGGTGGTGTGTAAGTTGTGAAGGTTAGATTTCCATTGGTCTCTGGTGGAATGGGATATACTCCGTGGTGGAGGAGGTGTAGATACAGTACGAAGTAAGTAGTAGATATACGAACGTCGATCGGGACCCTCTCTAACTCCATCCGTCGGTGGGGACCCGATCAGTCATCCCTTGTGCACCTTATGCACCGGATGAGTCAGGTATGCTCTGGATCAACACGTGACATCACATGGCCCCTCACGTGGAGGAGGACCAGCACCCAACAAGTGAAGCAACAGGCATCACGCACCGCCCACCACCGTGACGCGACAAGTGAGCTGTGCTTGTTGATGCAGGAGTGTTTGCCCCCATTATCCGTCCATCCAGGGCCCCCATCCCCCAGCCCGAACGTCATGGGCTATTGAGCCCCGAGCATCGAGTCCAGACCACAGCTTATCGCCCATCTCGACCCCATCAGCCCCGGCCATCTCCAACATGCCCTCCGCCAACAAAGGCAAGGGCAAAGGTCGCGAGGCCCGGCCCTCCCGAAGCCGTAACACCACCCCCAGCTCCAGCTTCAGTGCCCCGACCGCTTCCGCCCCGCTCCACAGCTACCTCGACAACGATGCCTCCAAGTTGATGTTGCCCTCCACCGTGCAGTATGGGGAACTCCTCGAGCGCATGGGCGGGGTCGGCCCGATCCCCGACTCCAAGTCCCTCGAAATGCTGATGGAACACCTAAAGACCCTCAGCCAGCTGGCCGAAACACGCGGGGATGCATGCAATGCCGGGATCCGGGAGCTGTCGCAGAAGCGCAAGGAAGTGGTGGACGAACCGGAATCGGCCGACCGCGAGGGAAGCGACCGGGTCAAGATGAAGCGCGAGGCCGACGACGAGGAAGAAGACAAGGTGATGAAGGGGAAGCTGAAGAGACGAAAGGAACGGGGGAGCAGCTCAAAGGAGGAACGCCCACTCGCCCATGGTGCCCACGATCTTGCCCGACAGGACGGCGCCGAGACTAAGGTTGAAGGAGGTGAGTTATCTGCATTCACCGAGCATCTATTCGAAACTATCCCAGTCCCTTGTTGGAACGGATCGCATCTGCGACGCCATGTGCCTTCCACATACCTCACTTATTCCTATGCCCTCGACTAACTCATGTCCAGCCGCATCGCCGGTGTCTAGAAAATCGAAGAACGCGGTTTCCGACGAGAACTCCTCCCTCTCACCCCCATTGCAAACGTCACCTCGGCCCGATGCCGCAACCGATGCCGCGGAAGATGCAGGCTCCGGCGATTCAGACGATAGCTCCGAGTCGCATCAGCCTGAGCCCGCGCCGGCGGTGCCCCAGGTGCAGGTGTTTGGTCCGAACCCGCTCAAGTTCGACGACCCGACGGTCTATCACATCCGAGAAGTCACACCGGGGATGACGGACGAGGAGCGGAAGGTGATCTACAGCGTCAACCGATTTCCATGGAGCGACCTCAGCCATCTCATGGCAGGCACGGCCCCGGATCGCGACTTCAGCAACGCCAAACCCACCAATCAAGTCGGCGCCAACACATTCCTCGCCTACATCGACCCCTACGTCCGACCTCTGACGGAAGAAGACATCGCCTTCCTGAAAGAGAAGGTCAGTTCCGGCGGCCCAATCCTGCATGCTGCCGCTGATGGAGCACAGGGCGATCGCGCGACCCCTTTCATCATGCCCCGACGCGGCAAGAAGCATTACAGCGAGGTTTGGGCCGAGGACGACGGACTAATGAACGTCGACCAAACCAACGGCGACAAGGAGCGATTACCCCTCAACCAAGGCCGAGGAAACATCGACCAAATAACAGACGAGACCCTAGAAACCGACAAGATCTCCGTCGGCCCCCTTGTCAGCCGCCTCTACTCTCTCCTCCGCTACGAACACCGGCCCTCCGCCGACGAAAGCACCGCCAACGGCTCCATCAACGGAGACCCCACCGCCGCCTCCACCACCACCACCAACGGGCCCCCCTAAACAGCGACGCCATGGATATCGACCACCCAGCGGGAGCCGGAGCCGGAGCGGGAGCGGGAGCCGGAGCAGGAGCAGGAGACACCGACCCGAACTCCAAGCCCCTCGCCTCCGCAACGGCCTTCCCCGACGCCTCCCCCAGCGGCTTCAAAGTCCCTGCGGCCAAACTCGACCACGCGCAGCTCGACGAGCGCCTGAAAGCCGAGCTCCGCCACGTGGGCTTCCTCGGTGCCGAAGACAACCCGGACTACGACGCGCACTACGACGACGACATCGCGCAGCGTCTCCGTCTCCTCCAAAGCGAGCTGAAAAAGCAAATGATGATCAACAGCGCCCGCAAGTGCCGTCTCCTCGATATCGCCCGCGAACGCATGGCCTACCAGGAGTACATGACCATCCACGACGACCTCGACTCCCAGGTCCAGCAGGCCTATTTGAAACGCACCCGCACCCTCGGCAAGAGCAAGAAGGGCTCCCAGGCGAAACACCGTCCCGGGGGCGCGGGCGGCGGCAGCCATGTAGTCAGCGCGGCGGGCGTCGGCCGTCCTGCTATCGGTGATGTTGCGAGAACGCTCATGGATCGGCGCAAGCGTTGGCGCGATTGTATCGGTCCGGTGTTTAAGGACTGTAAGACTAGTGTTCCGGGGGCGAGTGATACAGTCTTTGATCCGGCGGTTATGGCCGAGTATGAGAAGGCGGAGTTGGAGGGCTGGGATGAGGAGCAGGAGTGATTGCAACCATGATCATGAGATTACCTCAACTGCTGATACGAGATCCGCTTACTTGATTCGTGTACATTTGCTTTCTTTCTTTCTTTTCCTTCTCTTTCTGCTTTTTGTTTTCCTCCTTCTTTTGATTTTGTTCCTTTCTTTTGATTTTTCTGTGTTCTTAGCGATGATCACCCTATTGGAGCGGATGGGATGGGACAGGTTGGATTGTACTGGTCGTAGATCATGATTTGTGCTGACTACTGGTCTTTTCTCTCCCTGTGGAGTTATGCGAATGGCGAATGGCGAATGGCGTTCGTGGTGCGGTGCGTACACTACTCGTGGTTTATGATGACAGTTGGTGATGACGATGGTGTGGTGACTGTGGCTGAGCGTGACAGTGAACGAGACAGGGCGTTGTTTGGTTTAGTTATTTTCCTTCCATTTCTTTTTTTTTTTTGGCGATATGTGAATGCAAGAAGAGAGACCTATCTATCTATCTATCCATCTATCTAGATTCCTGTGGACATGACATTGTCTGGTAAATAGGATATGTAGGTAAATAGGTACTGTAGATAGGTAGATAAGTAGATAGAGTCTCTAATACCACTAACTTGATAAGTTCATATCTCCATGTCCGATAGAAAGGCTAGATATAGATCATAGTATAATAGTCTATAGAGACATCTATGAGCGATTCATTAACGAACTACTCGTACGGAGTAAGAACTGGGTATCAACATCAATTATCAACCATCAACATCCAAACCACCAATCAACCAGCTAACCAGCCAACTGACCCAACCGCCAAACTACCATGCAGACACACACACACACACACACACACACAGACACACACAGCATCTATCCATCCATCCACACAAGCAAGCAAGCAAGCAAGCATCCATCCATCAGCGATGCAAAATCAACACCTCCCCCCCAAACCGCTTCAACCTCCCCGTCAACTCCCTCTCACTAATCTCTAGCTCGGTGCAAATCTGATCAAAACAATGCATGCCATCCAAATACCTCGAGAGGGTCTTATCATCAATATCATCATCGTCCTCATCGTCCGCCTCCGCCTCAACCGTGACGATCGTGCCCGCCCGACTCCCACTCGCTACTGACGCAGTTCCATGGCCTTGGCCTTGTCCCTGTCCCTGCCCTCCTCCGGCTCCTGCTGCCTCATCCCTATGCTGATTCTGGTTCTGCTGCTGATGCTGGGAAATCGGCGCCGGATCATCGCCTACACTAGACGCATACGGGCTATTCGTGCCGGTTCCGGGTCCGCGTGATGACGGGCCGCTGGGGATCTGGAAGGTCGAGCTGGGGTGGTGGCTGTGGCTGTGGCTGTGGTGGTAGAGGGAGGATTTGAGCGGCGGGGCGGGGTTTCCCGTGGCGTAGGCGTATTTGTGCACGCGATACAGGAAGCCCTTGATGATTCCGAAGGTGATGAAGCGGCGGATGTCGATGTGGGTTAGTTGGCGGGTGTGGTGCAGGTACCATTGTTTGATGCTTTGGCCTTGTTTGAGGCTGGCGTAGAGTTCGACGAGCCCGATGCCGTCGACGACGGGTTGGGAGGAGGGGTGGGAGGAGGTCGGGGGGAGGTTGTGGATGAGGGTGTGGTGGTTGTGGTGTTGGAGGTGTTCGTGTTGGTGTGGTTGTTCGTGGTGATGGTGGTGGTGGTGGTGGTGGTTGCTCGCGCGGGTGACGTGGTCGTGCTGCTGGCTGGGTTGGTGCCGGAGCTGGGACTGGGGCTGGGGGTGCGACTGGGAATGGTCATTTCGCTGGCGCTGCTGGTCGTGAGGGGGTCGCCGATGGGGGGCCACACGGCGTCTGGGTCGTGGCGGGATGGGTAGCCTGGGGTCAGGGCGGCGGAGGCAGCGGTGATAGGGGAGGCGAAGAGAGTGTTGACGTAGCGGGCGCATTCCTGCTGCATGTCTTCGTCTATGGCGATGGTGGAGCTGAACTGGGCGGTTGGCGCGTAGATGGCCGAGAAGGAGAAGATGTCCAGGAGGAACAGGCAGCCGTAGTACAGCAGGTGGCGGATTGCTCGGCACGTTAGGGAGAAGTCGGTGTCGGCGAGGATGGAGATGATGCGGATGCTGTTGACGCCGTTGATATGTGGGACGATCTGGAGAGTAAGTTGGTGTTGTGGAGATATGGGTTGGGTGAGATGAGACGTACCCGTTGCATGGTCAGATCCCAGTTCTCGTCCATGAAAGTCTGGTATCGGACAGTGAAGAGAGGCACATGCCACGCCTTGACAGGCGGAGGGGCCGGATAGACGGGGAACAGCTTGATGTTCAGGGTGTTCAGCTCGTCTGGGTTGGTCCTGGTTAGCATCAGGGACTTGGGTAGACACGCAGTGGACTGGATGGGTAGCAGTTACCGATTGGGATCATGCACTCGCAGTAGTTGTTCAGGTCCTCCATCAGCGTCTCGCACAGGCTGTACACCTTCCCTTCGCCCGGCTTCGAGTGGTCCCTGGACAGGAAGCCATTCTGTTCCTCCAGCCCGTGCATCAGATCCGCCAGCTTCTGTACGACGCTCTTGTAGGTGCTGAAATCCTCCTCCTCCGCCAGTACCACGCAGAAATTGAAGATGAACTCATTCCGATCGTAGCGAAGGGACTTCATGCAGATCGGGTAGCCCAAGATCCGGTAGCCATTGGTGCAGACCTGGATCAGGTTGCCGCAGAGCTCTTGCCGAGGAATCACGAAGAAGGAGATGTCGGAGAAGGTCAGGAAGAGGGGCTGCGCAGGGGCGGTCGCAGAGGGGACGATGGCGCCATCGGGCACCTGGTGGACAACCTTGGGGCCTATCGGAGAGAATCAGTGAGCTGTGAGCAGATAACGGGGGAGGTTGACGGGGCTGCCCACCCTCTTGGGTGTCGAATTTGCTGTAGAAGATGGCCTTGATCATGGTGGCATCGGAGGCATGAGGGCGGAGATGGGGGTCGAGGGGTGTCGGGCTCACGCCATGTTCCGTCAACACTCAGTCGGATTCCACCAAGGGATGATTGCCAGCATGCAACGCCTGAGGGGTGGGATGCGGAGACTGAAGAGAGAGGAAGCGTCGTCGGTCGCGGGGAGCGGCGGGGAGCTCCTCGGCGGAGTCGCTTTCTCCTCCGTCCCTCCGCCCGCCTGCGTCGGCCCCGCAAGCGTCACCCGCGCTAACATTCGCTTATGCTAGTATACACATCATTACGCCTTTGTCTGTATGTTCAATTTATTGTTCTAATCTGGACTGGCCTTCGCGAGGATGCAGTAAATAATCTATGCGCAAATGGTGCGGCAACTTGGTTAAGGGGTATTACAACAGTAGGAGAAGAAAAGCACAAGCAGTCAAGGAGATCTATAAGAGCAATGTGTGAGTCAAGAGGCAATGAAATCCACCGTGATGCGCCGCAAATGCATGTTCGCTAATGTTGAAAGTCGCAGGGGAAAAAAAACAGAAACCTGATCAACAGGAGTCTTATCGGGTACTCCTGGACGGTGGGGAGTGGGGATACCGCCGCGCCGCAGCGCCCGAAAGCCTGGTGGACGGGGTGGGCAGCAGGAATGGTTCGGAGAGAGAGGAAGATCGAAGGCCGCCTCTACTCAGGGTCGGCATCAGAGAAGGGACGTCGTCGAGGTAACTCAATGGCTGGCCCGTGCGGATCGCACTCAGCACGTCCGTGTAGCTGCCTCGTTCCCCGGCTTCTTTCAGCCATTGTTCCCAGTCTTCGTCGAGGGGCACGTCGGCACCCTGCTCGCGGGCCGCGGTCGCTGCCATCAGGCGATGGTTCAACTCCACTCCGCAGCTTTCCATCTCGTCGTCACTCGAGTCGTCCTCCGCCTTTTCTTCCACGATACAGTCAATCCCCCGATCATCGATCAGGTCGCTGGTAGGACGCACGTCCTCGAACGTCTCGATTCGAACTTCGGGCTCCTTGGCGGGTTCCGGATCATCCTCGTAGTGGACTTCGATCGAGGCCAGGAAGACAGGAGACTCTGGTCGGACACCATCAGCGGTCGTGTCGCGGACCCGGACCCCTTCTTCCTTCTCGTATCGCTCGCGCGCCGACTTGGTTCCCTCCCAGCGACACAAGGAGGAGATCTCGGCCTCGGTCAGCCGTAGCTCATCGAAGGCTCGGAACAGTCTGCGGTGCCATGGAAATCGACCCAGCCTCATGCGATGAGGGCCATAGGAGTAGTCGAGCCCCGGGTATTGAGCCTCAGGGCAGTCGAGCGATCCGTAGAAAGTGGACGTTTCGATCCGAACTTCTGGGACGAGGTTGCGGGTGATGTGCGCCGAAAAGGTGGTCGGATCACTGGAGCGCGGGCGCGGGAATAGTGTGCCGTACACAATCTGGGCCAGCGATGGTTTATGCATGATGGAAGTTGTTGGTGGTGGTGGTGGAGGTAACTAGGGTTGAAGGTGGCGGGCGGCGCGAGGAGCGGTAGCGGTATACTCAGTCGGGGGAGGGAGTATATAACAAAGGGAGAGAGAGAGGCAGGTCAAAGAACCGGGAAATGCGAACTCAAAATAATGAGGGGGAAGCCGACGAAGACAAAGAAAGAAAGATTAGACAATTAAAACCAAGAATGGAATCAAGGAATGGGAAAATCAGGAGATGCGAAAGCCAGTGAATGCGAGTAGGAGGAGGGAGCCGATCTGGAAGCGGAAGGGGGCCGTTGGGAGCGGCAGGCAATAGTCAGGAATGGGGACGGGCTAGAATAGGAGGTGCGGCGATGCTGGAGTCGTCCGATCTCACCACGGTTTCAGCCGTGCTCCGCAGTCAATAATAAAAGAAACCGGGAGGGTCAGGCGGTTGATTCGTCAGGGGAGAACAACACAGAGAGGCATGCCTCCACCGGATCAACCCACGGAATCTGGACCACACGTGGAATGAGGAGAATGAAACACAGTGGCCGGAATGCTGGTCACCACCCCGGAGTTTAAGTAGCTTCAAGGTCGGGTTCGCCGCGTTGTTTCGGGGGATTCGATGAGAGAGGACCGTCGGGCCTCTACGGAGCGATGATGTGACACACCACCAGGCAATAAGACGCCTTGGCTAGGTTGGCTTTAAGGTTCCTGGAGGACCCCAAGCCTAATCCATCCACTATCGCTATCAGCAGGAAGGGCCCATACTGCAGGGGCGATCGCTATCGGTGGTAGGGCTGGTCCCGATCAGGATCAGGATTCAGGCAGAATGAAGGATAATGATATAATGATGATCGAAGGAGTCGACCCGGTCAGGGAGCGAGCGACGGATGGGGAAGGGGGGCATCTTTATATCAGGCGCGGTGTTTTTAGTGTTGTCAGTCGGGTGACTCTGGGAGCGACCAGACCACGCATGCAAATGACCAGCGCATAGGAGACGAACTGCGTGGAGTCGTGAGTTAGCCAACCTAAATCCGTGACAACAGGAAGATCCATCGAGAGACAACAGGCTGGCCGCCTCCCCATATCGGGCCCTGGATGGCACCAAACCTGCGCTGGCGAGCGGGTCTTTTTTTTTTTTTTTTTTTTTTTTTTTTTTTTTTTGCCCACTCGCCTCACGACCGTTCGTCTGCAAGGCCACTTGGTCGCTGGCCGCGACTCGCTGCCCGCTCATGTAGGTACATGATACATCCTTGGGCGAGGGACTCCCCGGGTTACATCACATCGTGATAGGGTCCCTTCCTTGTCGCGGGGCGGGTGGAGCGAGGGTCTGGAGTTGAGTTCCAGTTGCCTGTTGATCGGTGGGCGAATGGACTGGTCTCAGAGGTCGTCGTCAGGAAAGCCCCGAGCAGACAGACAGACAGACAGACAGACAGGACTGATCGGAGTCCGAAGGAGACGAGCAGATAGATAGTGTAGGTAAGACTGTAAGAGGCGGTCTGATTTGTAGACCTGGCATTCTGGCAAGGCCATTATTGCCTAATCGCGCGAATGGGGGGACAAATCAGCCACCTCGTCACTCGGAGGAGTAGGAGGAGTAGGAGGAGTAGGAGGAGTAGATGCTGACTGAGTGCTGTCTACAATGATCCTCACGTTATCTGCATCTGCCGGTCTGCTGCTGGTCTGTCAGGCTGTCAGGCTCGTAACTGAGTCCCATCCCGGTCACGTGGTGCAGGCCCGATTGGGAGGCGCCACGCCTGCTGTCACTTTCCGGCCTCGCCTTCCTCTGTAGTTATTTTCAGATTGGACACAACCCCACCGGGACTATCGCCTTGGGCAGACGATGATCTCCCATATCCCCTCCACTCTCCGCGCTGCCCCCTCCCCTGCTTCCGGAGGGCAGCACTCGCCTTCCATGTCGACCTTTGATGGGATCGTCCCGGGTAGGCCTAGCTATACTTCCACCACGACTGCATGTCTTCTAACAGAAAGTAGAATTCCCCTCGATCCGGAGTAAGCTCATACTGGCTCCCTCAGGAATGAATATCGAACTGAGCTAGCAGTCGACTACTTCCGCAAGAACCCCGACAGGCCACCGCCTTTGGCCTGTTTCCTCAGCCATGTCCACAGCGATCATCTGCAAGGACTTGAGTCCTTCAAGTCGCCATTCATCTACTGTTCTGCGGCGACGAAAGAGGTATCGGTTGACCTATAGGCTTTGCTGTGACCTTGGCTCACCACTACCAGCTGCTCTTGCGTATCGAAAAGTACCCCCATCGGATGAACTTCAGTAAAGGCATTCTAGAGTCACGGCAGCTGCACTACAAACACCTCTCCAAACTTCTCGTAGGTATTTGACTACATTGGTAGTGCCTATCAGCTCACTCTTGACAGAGACCAATCCCTTTGAACACGCCAACGGAGATTGAGCTGACCCCACGATTGTCGATCCGAGTCACTCTTCTAGATGCAAACCACTGCACAGGCGCCGTGATGTTCTTGATCGAGGGCGATGGAAAGGCCATACTATACACAGGCGATATTCGTGGTGCGCAGTATCCAACACTTCTGTTAATCTCCTCTAACATGAGCAGCTGAACCCTGGTGGGTCAACAGCATCATCCGACATCCGGTCCTCATCCCCTATACTCTAGGGGGCAAACAGCTAGACCAGATCTACTTGGATAACACCTTCGCCCGTCCGGCACATGTCTGTCACACCTTTCCGTCCAAAGCAGAGGGTGTAGCAGAGCTGCTGCGCAAGGTAGGGTTATACCCAGCCAATACTACGTTCTACTTCCGAGCTTGGACGTTTGGCTATGAGGAGGTCTGGATGGCACTCTCTGCTGCTCTCAATTCGAAGGTAACCTTTCATCCACGATTCTCGCCTCCTTACTGATGAAGGAAGATCCACGTCGATCGGTACCAAATGGACCTGTACAGGGCTCTTGTCTCGCAAAATACCCACGAGGCCCCGTTCCTCTGTGGCTACGCGCTGGGGAATCAGTACGTCCCCGGCTGTCTCAGCGAGGACGAGCAATGTCGCATCCACAGCTGCGAACCGGGCGTCCACTGCTCCGTAGCTGCATCCAAGAACACCGTCTACATCGCTCCGATTGTCAACCGCACGGGCAGCGGTTCAGAAATGCCCGAAATAGGAGCCGGTGGGGGAGGCGGCGATCTATACCAGGTCCATGAACTCGAACTTCCAGACCAGTCAACATTAGAACAGCTGGAAAAGCTCTGTCTCGAACGCATCCACGACACCCAGGCACTCTCCCAGACAAGACAGGCTCTTGCCGATGCCTTCCAGTCTAAAAGCAAAGCACTGTCGCTCGACAGCTACGGCATGAAAGATGCACACGACATGTCTCTAGAGAGCCTCGTGAACATCCTGAGCCGCGGTCGTCTCAGCCAGGAAACCTTGTCCGGCAATGTAGCTAAACACGCAGATGATCTACGAGACAAGCAGGGCAACCTCCTCCCCAAAATCATCGTACGTCTATCCACCCCTTCCCCCAAATTCCAACTAACACCCCCAGAATTTCCCCTACTCGCGCCACTCCTCCTACGCGGAACTCTGCGACTTAATCGCAGCCTTCAAACCCAAAGACATCCACCCCTGCACCGTCGACCCCGTCACCTGGGACGAGGACGTATCCATGCAAACGCTGTTCGGACACCTCTGTCCGGCCACCTCCACATTCGCCCACGACCAACATATGCGCGAAATCACATCCAACGACCCCGACCTGCGCGCGAGGAAACGGGCCCGCTACGAACACAACCACCCCTCTTCTACACAATCATCCCAACAATCATCCAGCATGATGGACAACATCGGCATCCCAGACCACCCGAAACTCACACCTACAATCATCTCCCAGCCCCAACCACCTGCCTCTTCAGAACGAATCCCCTCCCTCAACTTAATCGAAATCAAACGCACATCATCACCACCACTACCACCATCATCAACAACAACACCATCCCATCCAAACGAACCACTCACTCTCCCCACCCCAACCCCCGCCACCGCCAAAGCCCGTCGCGACGAGATCCGCCACGCCTGGAACTTCCTTAACAACGCCAGCTCCTCCCAGCGTGAGCTTTACCAGCTCGATTCCCTCCCGTCTTCCTGGCCTACGGATGATGAGAACCCGGCGGTCCCTGTATCTGAAATCGATATGACGCCTTACCCAGCAGACAATCCCTACACAGAAGATAGACCCTACCTAGCAGATAGTCAACTGGATGGACCCGCGAGAGAGCTAGTAATTCCAATGCCAATGCCGATATCTTCAAGATCACGCCATGCTACTACTTCTCCTACTCAGACTCCAACTCCTATACCCGAAACTCCTATATATGAGCAACAACAACCAGCCCTAAACCCCCACGACAACACACACACGCAGACACAAACACACACACAAACCACCACCACCACCACCGACGAAACCACCCACAGCCAAACGCTCTCCCTCCCCTCCTCCGCATTCTTATCCCAGGATCAAGCCCACGAACCCATATCAATCTCAAGCTCAAGCTCAAGCAAGACTGAACCCGACCCCGAACCTGAATCCGACCTCGAACCTGAGTCTGCCTCCGACTCCAACTCCAGCAACAAAAGCGAAGAAACCACCGAAGACGATCACGATCACGATCACGATCAAGATCAAGATCACAACAACCCGCAACCCAGACACAGACACAAACCCAGACAAAGACAAAGACATAAACATAGACCAGGTCTCCCTCGCACATCAACCCAACTCCGGCGCGACGCGTATCTAGCCGCCAGGGCTGATAGCTTTGAAGCCTGGGCGACGGTTTCGTTGATTTCGACGGGGAATAATCATACGGAGGAGGAGATGGAACTTTGACTTTATTATTATTGTTGTTGTTATTATTATCATCTTTATTATCATATTTCATGATCAGGAAGTCTGAGCTGGGCATGAAATTAATAAGATAAGATAAACAAATAAAGTAAATCCAGTATTCACAATGCAACATGACATGATATGGCATGACATGAAATGACTCGCTCATCCGAGTAGTAAAAAGAATAAGTCCTATGTACAGTACAGCCTCACCCTCATCAGCCCCCTCCCCTCCAAACCCCTACCCTATTACCACACTAATAAACAAAATAATCCTGCGTAAGCGGCAACTCCCCCGCGGGCTCGGCCAAACACGCCACCCCATCGGCCTCGACACGATAACTCTCCGGATCGACCTTCATCTTGGGCATGCTATCATTGAATTTCATGTCTGCCTTGCCGATGTTGCGACAGTTTTTGACGGCCTCGACGCGTTTCTGCAGGTTGTAGGTTTGGATGGTGCCCGCGGTGAGGGAGGCTTGTGAGACGAAGGTTATGGATGTGGAGGGGACGAGGGCCTTGTTTATTTTATTTTTATTAGTGGTTATTTTATGATATGGATTTGAAGAGAGGGTAGGGTAGGGGCTTTGGAGGTAGAGAGGGGATAGGGTAGGGTAAAGGAGGGAGGAGGAAGGAAGGAAGGAAGGGAAGGTACTTACGCCGAATTGAGGACGCATGATGATGGGTTCGACGGTGGGGATGGAAGCGTTGGGGTCGCCCTAATTGGTATCTTGTTAGTGGGATTCCGGTGGTCTAGGCGGGGGTGGGGGAAGAGGAGAGGGAGGCACCATTTCAGAAACAGCAATCATCCCACTCTTAACGACTTGCGATGGCTTCGTGCCGAACGCGCTCGGTGACCAGAGAACCAGATCCGCGATCTTGCCGACCTCAATACTACCGATCAGATGGGACATGCCCTGTGCGATGGCCGGGTTGATGGTGTATTTGCTGATATACCGCTTAACCCGGAAGTTGTCGGCGCCAGTGCCTTCGTCCTGAGGGAGCGGACCGCGCTGGGCCTTATTCTTGTGCGCGGTGTTCCACGTGCGCAGGATGACTTCGCCGCAGCGGCCCATGGCCTGGGAGTCGGACGACATCATGCTGATGGCGCCGAGGTCGTGGAGGACGTCTTCGGCGGCGATGGTCTCGGCGCGGATACGGCTCTCGGCGAAGGCGACGTCCTCGGCGATGTTCTTGGACAGGTGGTGGCAGACCATCAGCATGTCGAGGTGCTCGTCCAGGGTGTTCAGGGTGAAGGGACGGGTGGGATTGGTGCTGCTGGGGAGCACGTAGGGGTGTTCCACAACGGAGATGATATCGGGGGCGTGGCCGCCACCGGCTCCTTCCGTGTGGTAGGTGTGGATGGTGCGTTTCTTGAAGGCTTCGATGGTCTGTTCGACGAAGCCGGATTCGTTTAGCGTGTCGGTGTGGATCATGCATTGAACGTCGTACTTGTCGCACATGTCCAGGCAGGTGTCGATGGCGGCCGGCGTCGAGCCCCAGTCTTCGTGGAGTTTCAGCCCGGCGGCGCCGGCGTAGATCTGCTCCTCGATGCTAACTCCGCCGCAGTCGTTGCCTTTGCCGGTAATACCGACGTTGATGGGCAGACGGTCCACGGCTTGGATCATCTGACGCATATGCGTGGGACCGGGCGTGCATGTCGTAGCATTAGAGCCGGTCGACGGTCCGGTTCCACCTCCCAGGAAGGTCGTGATACCCGAGGCCAGCGCCTCGTCCACCTGCTGGGGACAAATGAAGTGGATGTGCGTGTCGAAGCCTCCGGCCGTGACGATCTTGTTCTCTCCCGCAATGACATCGGTGGACGAACCAACAATCATGCCCGGAGTGACACAGTCCATGATGTCAGGGTTTCCAGCCTTCCCAATTCCCGCGATGAGTCCGTCTTTAATACCGATATCGGCCTTGAAGATGCCCGTCCAGTCGATGATCAGTGCGTTCGTAACCACCGTGTCCAGACATTCCTTCGTGGACTTGTCAGAGGACTGGCCCATTCCATCACGAATCGTCTTGCCTCCGCCAAAGGTGCACTCATCACCGTACACCGTGTAATCCTTCTCCACACGAACCCAGAGGTTGGTCAATCCCAATCGGACGAGATCACCAGTCGTGGGACCGAACATGCGAGCATAGACTTCGCGCTCCATCGAGAAGGGCGTCACCAGCGCACTGTCCGCCGTGGGCTCCGGAACATGGGCAAAGCTCCCAGCCTGCAGACGGAGCATGATCTCCTCCGCACGGCCAAGATCCACCTTCCCCGAAGCAACGCAGTTACCTCCACGGATGATCCTGTTACCCGAGATCTCCACGAGGGTCACCGTCTTCGTGTCTCCGGGCTCAAATCGCACCGAGGTGCCGGCAGGAATATCAAGTCGGTAACCATAAGAACGGAGGCGGTCAAAGTGCAGCTGTGGATTCGTTTCGATAAAGTGGTAGTGCGACCCGACCTGAATGGGCCGATCACCCTTGCTCATGACCTTGAGCTTGATCCGCCTCTTGCCCTCATTCAGGGTAATGCGCTGGTTCTTGACTGGCAGCACCGCTCCGGGCATCTTCTCCGGTAGGTAGTCGGCGGGATCTGGATCGGGGAACGCATCGGCGGGGGGGATGGGGAGGAAACTGCCGTACAGCGCCTTTTCCAGGTCGCCGTCGTCACTGCTGATAGGGTGGTGTACTGTCACGAGATAGGTGCCGGTGCGGAACGTTCCTTCGACCTGCAGTTCAACCAAGGTGGATACGACGGAGGGTAAAACATGTCGACGACCCAGCATGGTCTTGCCGATGGACATGAGATCGGCCACGGAGTATTCGCCATCGCGGATTAGCTAGTCAAGCGGGCCAGTCAGTACGAGCCAACAAGGCGAGACACCCAGGACGGTTCGTGGGGGGGGGAGGGGGGTATTTATTTATATTTACCTCCTGCAGATTGGACGAGATCAACGCCTAACCAAATCATCAGACACATCTTCCAACAACGGCGTATAGCCGGTCCCATATCATGCAACGTACCGCAGCTTCGGCATGGTTGAGTCGCACACCACGAGCGAGACGGCGCTGGGCCAGAAAGCCCACTTGGGAGATGACGAGCTTGTCAAGCTGGAGGGAAATGGGTCAGTTTAGCTGGAACTTCTCACGGAAGATGCCGGGCGGCAGGGAACACACCTCCTTCGGAATGAGATGCATCCTTGGCCGGCAGTCTGGTCTCCCTTAGCCTGGCAGTCGCGGGGGGGGCAGCTGTCAGATCGCGACCCGGGCGTGTTTGGGGGAGGGCACCAGGAACGGGGGCCCGGGGAAGGGATTTAAACGCGAGGAGATGAAAAACGCGCCGGGTCGGAGGTGGAACTGGACGAGAGAGAGAGTGGATGGAGATGCAAGAGTGGGCAGTGGATTATGGAGGGGATGTGGGGGTCGAGAAAGCGCTCGGCAGCGCTGATAAGGCCGCATTGGCCTATGGCAGGCCCCGGGGCTGCGGTGACTAACGACTCCCAGTCAGACTGGCGGTCCCCATCGGCAGTCGCCGACTCCCCGATCCACGGGCCTGCTGGCCTGCAGTTGAGCTTGAAACGTGCCTACGGCTAGTGTCCGCGTTCGCTTAGAAGTATAAGACCGGTATAGGATCGCCAAGCTTTTCAATTCATAGACAGCTACCAACATCAACTGAACTCCCCAGCAAAGCAGACAGTCCAAGCGCCAACAGACCAAGAAATACATACTGCAAGCCCCGAAAAGATACAGATACATCCCACAAAGCAATCCACGACATGCTGTCATACCAAGAGCATAGATCAATTTACATCACATGGCCACTTTACTCGGCAGCGGCCTCGCTCTTGCGCTTCTTCTTGGGGGCACGCTTGCTTTCAGTTGCAGCCTTCTTGGTAGAGGCGGGGGCGGCCTCATCCTTGCGAGCAGCAGCGCCGCGCTTCTTCTTCTCGGGGGACTCCTTCTCGGCGGCAGCGGGGGCCGCGGCCTCCTTAGCGGAGGCGGGCTTGCCCTCGCTGCGGCGGCGGCTTTTGGTGCTGCGCGGGGGAGTAGGCTCCCGGACCGGCTCAGGCTCGGGGGTCTCCTCCTCCTCTTCCTCCTCCTCCGACGCGGAAGACTCGTCTTCGGACTCGGATTCAGAGCCAGTCTCGACGCCCTCGATACCCTGGTGGAGCTGGCTGGCAGCCTTGGCATCGTCCGAGTAGGTGACACCGGCCTTGTAGGCCTTCACCTTCTCCTTGTAGACAGCAAGGTTGTCGGCATACATCTTCTTCCAGATCTGCTGTGCTGTTAGCCCATGTTTTTTTTTCTATTATGAGCAAAGAATCCCACGCACCTCCTTCTTAGCTTCAGGCATCTCAGCCCAGCGACGAGTACCCTCGTCCGAGACCTCCTTGGGCTTGGCACCGTCGCCCAGCTCCTGAGCGATAAGAGGGCGGCTGGTCTGCATGTAGAGGAAGAAGGGGGTCAAAGCGCGCTTGGGGGCGTTCGGGTCCGGAGCACGACGCTTGCGCTTCTTCTTCTCGCCCGCCTCGGACTTGGCGCCGGGGCTGGAGGCGCGCGCAGGGATAAGACCATACTCATGAAGGCTGTCAGTGATGCTGTCGAGGCCGGCAATACCCAGGCTGTTAGGGCCGTGACCCAGCGCAACATCGGAATGGTTGACATAGGCCTTGATGACATCAGAAATAGCGGCATTCAGCTTCAGTAGAGTGGAGAGAACCTGAGGGTTGAGTTAGTTTGGCATTCATGGCTCGGGTAGCGGGGATGACGGGCATCATGGGGTTCGGGGTCGGTGATGAGGAAGGGCTTGGGGGAGGGATGACGGGCGGGAGGGGAGGCGCCGAACGCGTAGATCAGACAGAACCTGGCACGGAGCGGAAAGGGAGGTGAGGGGGGAGAAAGGCAGGTGGCAGTCCAGTAGTGATGGTTCTGGGGATGGGGGACGCGGAGACCCGACGTCGCGCAAGAGCCCGTCGGGGCGTCTTTGTTTACGGACGCGTTGCGTGGTGGTGGTGGTGGTGTGTGGTGGTGGTGCAGCGCGCAAGGCCCGACCACCCAAGCTTAGGGATGGTCACGGGAGGCGAAAAACAACGAGGGGAAAGAGTCAAAGGAAACTTACACCGTCGCGGGTTCTGGTAAAGTCTGCGACATCGATGGTGATGGTGCCATCAGCGGCAGCCTTGGAGGGAGACATGATGGCGGGTGTAGGACGGTGGCAAACACCGGCGAGGATCGATAGGGTGGTAAGGGTGGTGGTTGGTAGGGAAGAAAGAGGGAGGAGAAGGAAGGGCGACGACGGGGGGTGGGAAAAGAAAGAATTTTCGCAGGTCGCTCGCTAGCGGGGTCGACTTAGCGGGACGAGGCCTCCTAAATAGTGCCCGCTCGTCACTGCCCGTCCTCGCTGTTTTGGGCCGTCCCTCTACTGGACACCCGCCCTGATCGCCCCGGCAGCTCTAGGGGGGGGTGGGAGTCAGTGAATGTTCCCTAGTAGCCGGGGGGGGAGGGGGGGGGAGACCCGGCCTTCCCTTTGGTCTCCCACGCCCGGTCGGGGTGCGCGAGGCCCCTACGGGAGGTTGCCTAGTGCTACCTCCGAGGGTGTACCTACAGGGTACCTCTTGTACCTAATAGTACGAAGGTTCCCCCCCAGATTGACGACCCGGTGAAGTGTGACCCCTCCACGGCGGCGGCCCTGAAACTGGCTGAAACTGACTACTGGACTCAGTACTCCTCCCACGCCCACATTCCCTGCCCCTGCCAGGCTGCCAGCCTATGCTCTCGCAAACGCCAACTTTCACTTAACTTCAGGCTGCCCCGGGTCCTCAAGCTCATGTGCACCACCTGTCAATTTCTGCCGTGTATACTCTGTATCCAATCCCTCCAACTCTCATCCTACCATACTTAACTACCTGTATTCTCTATTTCTATTCAAAGTAAAATAGAAAAAGAAAAAAGAAAAGAAAACCCCCCAAATAACCGCCCACCCGCCAGCCCACCAGCCCACCAGCCCACCAGCCCCGGCGCTTCCACGTCGCCCAGCTCGCGGGCGCGCGGGCGCTGGCTCGGGGAGCGTCAGTCAGTCAGTGCCTCTGCACTGCTGCTCCTGGCTCCTGTCACTTGGTACCCCGCCACGAACCCAACACCCAAGTTCCAACCCTTCACCACCCAACCCTGCAGGCTGTAGCCTACCTAGTATATTGTACCTACCGTAGCTGATCCATCCCATCCCATTCACCTTCCCTTCCCTCCCCCCCCGAAAGCCCTCCCTCCTCCTCCCTCCCCAGCCCACACCCCAATGTGATCCATCATTTTGTCACACCGCGCTCGTATTCTCTAGATCTCTGATTGCTGATCGCTGATTGATTGCGAAATGTATCCAGTTTCATGTAATTTTGAAACTTTGCCGTGTGTATTGGTTTTGCGTTTTATGTTTTTAACAGTGGATACTTATATATATTTGGTGGTGGTGGGGAATGCGCCATGTTAACGTTTAGATTGAGGTGAGGGGCTGGATGGATTCATGGAAGAGTATAGTAGTACTAAATCGGATGACTTGATCGAATCTGATATCTATTCTATTCGAGTGAGGATGGGTGGGAGACGAGCTTTTTTTGTTTGGTGTATGGTGTATGGTGAGGGTAGAGGATACTATACCTATATAGGAGAGAGGGTGGTCAGCGAGCGATGGCGTTCCACTCAGAAGCACCGGGAGGTTCACTGTAGCCGTGCCCTCCTTCATCCATGATTGTACATTCTATTTTACCATTCTATTTTACCGTCTGACGACCCAATGCCGGCAGACGAGCACGGTCTGGATATTAAGCAGACGGAACATCCAAAGGCTTGATCTTAGTTCGGACACCGCAAAGAAACTAGGTTGTCACTGTACGACTAGATATATCTCCGCCACCGACTTCAAAGTCGGGTTGGCGCTCGTCTACACTGGGTTGGCTGTGAGAGTGTTTTGATAATGGATGGGTATAGATATTGCCCGGTAGAGCTCTAGTCGCTCAAATGGTCTAAACATGACAGGATCCAATTCAAAAATACAACGAGGTCTTCATATACACCCCATCTAGAACTTGAAAACCTGCTCCTTGGTGTAGCCCAGCTCCTTCAGCACACCGGACAGCTCGCCCTGGTCCGAGGGGCTGTTCTTGGTTCCACTGATGGCCTTGTACATGCCGGGGGGACCGCAGACGAACACCTTGATGTTCTCCTCCTTGGGCTCGGGCAGGACCGTCTTCAGGAGCTCCTTGGAGATGAAGCCCTTGCCGCCGGTCCACTCCTTGGGGGGCTTGTCGAGGACGTAGAAGGCCCGGAAGCGCTGGGGGTAGGTGTTCTCGAGCTCCTCAAGCTCCTTCTTCAGGAGGATGTCCTCCTCGGTGACGTTGCCGAAGACAACGGTGACCTTGGTCTTGTCCTCGGGGTTCTTGAAGATCTGGCGGGCAAGCTGGTACATGGGGGTGATACCAGTGCCACCGGCGATCAGGCAGATGTGGTTGTGCTTGTTGGCCTCCCAGGGGTACTTGGGGATGGGGCCCTTGAAGTCGAGGCGCTGGCCGACGTTCATGTTGTGCAGGTGCTCCGACATGGGGCCGTTGGGGTAGACCTTGACGACGAGGTCGATGTAACCGGGAGTTTCTGGAGGGGTTAGCGGGCGTCCAATTGGTCTTGGGAGAGGCGTCTGAAGTTACCCTCATCGCTGGTAGGGGTGTAAGGACGGATGACGACCTTCTCGCCGGCGGGCTTGAACTTGGTCAGGAGAGCAGCTGCAGGTTGATGAGCAAATGGGTCCGCGCGGCCTCACAGCGGAATGACTTACAGGCAACCTGAAGACCGGAGACAGCCTCCTTGTCCTCGAACTCGAAGCGCAGGCGCTTGGTGTTGTGGTTCAGAACCTCAATCTCCGACAGCTTCAGGTCAAACCATCCTTGGTCACCACCCTTGAAGGTCTTGGGACGGTCGACAACGGGGGCCTCGGCGGTGGCAGAGGAAGAGTTGTAGCGGTACAGTCCGGCACCGAGACCAGCGAGACCGACACCGATGTAGATGGGAGCCAAAGAGGCCTTGGCCTTGGGGGCTTCCGTAGAGTACTTGCGGAGACCCTGGAGCAACGTTTAGCACAAATTTCGATCGGTAACCACAAAACAAACACCAACACCCCTTGGGGCGGCTTGCTTACCTGCTTGAGGGGCTGAGCGCAGCGGAGGGCTTGACGTGCGAACATTGTGGGAGAACGACCGACACCAATGTGTGTTCAATTGATGGGAGAAGGGATATGAGGTAGGTGGAGGGAAGACCGGGCGGGTGAGACGAGCATCGGCAAAGATAATAAAGCTCCTCCTCCGCCTCGGGCTCCGAAGCGCCGTTCTCGCACATGACGCAATGGCCGCCCGCCGTTCCTGGTGTAAATCCGGGCGGATTACTAAGAGGGCTGACACCATCCGTCGGCCGGGATGAGGAATCGCTCAAGACTTTCTTCTAGAATGCGTCCCTCGTCTCACCACATTGCAACCAGCGGACTGATCTGTACGACTAAACCTCAGTCATATGATAGCAGAACCACTCCGTATCGTGAATGTCCATCGCACGAAATGCTAAAGTTAAAGTCCTTATTCCTGACCAACTAACCTGTTATAAACATAGCAAGCAGGCAACAGGCTAAGTCTCGGGGCCTCAGGCTGTGGGCGTCAATCCGTGTACTAAACGCATGGTACATACTGCGTGTGTAAGTAGTAGGTAGCATTGGGTAGAACAAGGATACTGTCCGCAACAGCGTCACCATCCCATTCAAGCACGGGGATCTTCTTATCATGAATGCTACTGCGAGAGATGCGTCATCTCTCTAGTTCCCAAGCACTAAAGCACTTGAGACAAAAAGACCATGATGTCAATCCTGAAATGTACTACATACTGCCATCCTGGTCATCCGACGGATATACCAGTAGCCTAGTCCCCACCGTGCATAAAGCCGAGCCATCCGCATCGTACTCCGAGCGCCATACTAGATCAGTGACAGTGAAAGGGTAACCGTACGCAGGCCTTGTCCCACACGTTCATCCAATTGACCCACCGTTTAGGGTACCATCGAACATACAGATAGAAAGATGGAACGGTATATGGAGACCCTAGCTGGTACAGTAGTTCCCGCGACTCTGGATTGGGGACCTGTAGTATTGGGCCCGTGCCGCGGAGACCAACCATTTGCGAGGAGATGGGAGGCGGCGAGGCATCATTCAGTACTCAGGGTGCGTGGTAGGGGAATTTTATCCAAGGTCGATCGGGTCTAAGCTGTGGCCAGACAAAAATGCGGACTGACGATCTAGGTACGAAGTACCTACCGGTATATGGCAAAAAGGCTTCTACAGGTCGTCTACATGCCCAAGCATATATGAAAACTGAAAACAATACCCCGGTATTTTTTGATATAACTTGAAAGGGTCGCTGCAGAGGACTAAAGAGACATGAAAACCATCCGTCCCATTTTCTGGGTTGTGGATACACGCCTTGTTCTCCGCGTGATCCGTGTCCTTCGTGCATGCTATGGCCATAACATAGTCATTCATCCACACACTCCTTTCACCCAAACCCAAACCCAAAACATCACGTTTAAGCGAAAGTAGAGGGGCGAGAGTAGGCGAAGATCTGCTTGCCGGGGAGCTTGGAAGCACGGTGGGGCAGGGGGAACTTGAGGTTCTTGGAGAGGAGCTGCTTGATGTAAGGGCGGCGGATGGTGTCGGCCTTCTCGATCTCAACAACCTTAAGGATCTGGGGGGCTGTTAGTGAACGGTTGTCCGGGGAAGACGATCGGATCTTCAACGTACGTGGATGGAACCGAAGCGGGCACGGTGACGGGCAGCCATGTCCTGGTAGAGAGCCTCAACGGCCTCGGTGCGGCTCATCTCACGGAACTCCTTGTACATGTTGTGAGTGCCGGAGCGGGAGTCGTAGCGGAGCCAGATACCGAAGGTCTTGACCTTGGTAGGGCGCTTCTCGTTGATCTAATGCAGGGAAATGTGTCAGCCGACACTGCCGCGCTGTCGCATTTTTTTCTTCACAACCATAGTAGACATACCACATTGAGGCTGACGATCTCACCGTTGGCCTTCTTGACCTTACGGAGCTGGGTCAGGAAGTACCAGAACCGCGACTTAGCGACAACGGTGTTGGGCGCAAAGATGCGCATGCGGTACAGCTTGGGCGTGGGGTTAGCCTCGGTGGGCAGGTGACGCCCAATGACCTGGTACTCGGTGAGACGCCCTAAGGATCCCAGTCAGCCATGTCCTTCCACCTGTGAACTGTCTCCAGTGGCTGCAATCGGTGCGTAGATTCCGTGCGATACGTTGTGTTGTGGTTGTCGTGCAAGTTGTTGGTAGATTCGAGATTTTCAATGTGACCAAGATTCAATTTTTCATCGTGTTCGATAATCTTTTCCCCTGTCGACCAGATTGCTCCTTCTCCGCCGCTCTTTTTTCCATCATCCAGTTCCAAGTGTATTCGATATTGTCGAAATAGAATTGTGTCGCAAAAGTGTCGTTCAACGCTCGCAGGAAACCATCGCAATAGCCGATCCGCCAAGGGAGACAACATGAGAATTGGGGGAAAAAATCACTCACCCATCTGGTAAATCTAGTCAGTAACAAATTCGTGATGATGAGAACGAGGACAACAGGGTAGGGCTTACTTTTGTTGACGCTGTAGATGGTTAGTCGACGAGAGGTGTGCCGGTTGGACTCGTCGCGGAAAGGAGGAATTTTGGAACAGTTGATTGTGAGCTAGGTTTAGCCCTCCTTAGGGCTAAGCGACCGGGCGGCTTGGCCACCCGCTATCCCCGTTTCGGTCCACCAGCCACAAGGGTGTGGCGGGCCTGATTAGATAAGGCTTCCATTGACGGCGCCGCGATTTCCCCGCCTCTCCGATCGCGTCCGCGGCATCATGGAAACTGGAAGTGACGATTGTTGGTCTTGGTCTACACCCGTGGTGCCAACCACTCCCTCGAATTGACCTCGAGCCACTTCCACTCATCAGCCATGTCCTCCATCTTCAATGATTTTGCTGAAGGCCAGAGAACCGGCTCTGGCCACCGCCTCGCAGCAGCTCTCACCCCCGTCGCACCCGCGGAGAACCCCGATCGCTTGAAGGCGTTCTTCTACTTTTCCAATGCCACGCGCGTGGCCTCTGACCTGCGCTACTCCCTCTTCCAGGCCACGGGCATAAGACTACCCAAACAGGAAACGAATGCGTGGATTGAAATCTTCACGCCATATTGGAAAGCCGTGGGGGAGATTGTCCGGTTCGATGACGCCCCCTCACACGCCAGCTGGGTGAAGGTCTTTGATGCCTGGAAGGAAACAACAAACATGCTGATCCGGGGATATTCAACGGGGGGGCTTCCAGCCTGGACGGTGCCGTGTCTATATGTTGTTGGGAGATATCTACGGGCCTTTGCCATGAAGGCGGATGCCGAGCTTTCTTCCCAAGACTCCGCCGCTTTTGGGGATCGTTTCCAAGATGACGCTTCCACGGATTTCAGGAATGCCAAGCTGGAGGAGGCTACACGGGTCATAAACCGGATGTTCACATTGTGCCTCAGTGACAGGTAGGCTAGACCTGGAAGAGTGGGCCGTGCCAATGCTGAACCGTGTCTAGGGCCTCAATCGAGGAATCGCGGAAGTGGGGAATCTACGACACCACTAACCTGCTGTTCAAGTCATACTTCAAGCTCAACTCTGTTGGTCTTTCTAAGAACCTGCTGCGCGCCCTCAATGCCTCATCTGCCGACCTCCCGAGTATGGACGCTTTCCCAAAGTCGCATATTGTTACCTTCAAATACTACATCGGCGTTATACATTTCTTGGATGAGAACTATGCTGAGGTATGCGATGTCTGCCTTACTGGATAAACCGAACTAATCAGTGTGATTGCAGGCAGAGGAGCATCTGTCTTATGCGTGGAACATGTGCCACCAGGCTGCAACCAAGAACAAAGAGTCAGTAGTGGTTACATTATCTCTGATATTCGCTAACCGTTTCCAAGGCTAATTCTCTCTTACCTCGTACCCTGCCACCTCGTTACGACGCACACGCTACCCAGCAAAGAGCTTCTTGCTTCGTTTCCTCGCTTGGAAAAGCTGTTCCGCCCATTGTGCAACTGTATCAGAAAGGGAGACCTTAGCGGGTTCGACACTGCGATGACAGCCGCCGAGGAGGAGTTCGTCAAGAGGCGCATATACCTACCGCTGGAGAGAGGACGTGATATAGCCCTGAGGAACCTCTTCAGGAAGGTCTTCATTGCCGGTGGATTCGACGAACCCAAGGAAGGACAGCCTCTGATTCGGCGCACACGGGTTCCCGTTGCCGAGTTTGCAGCGGCGTTAAGGGTCGGTACACACGCGGAAGAGGGATCGCGGGTGGACATTGACGAAGTTGAGTGTCTACTAGCGAATCTGATCTACAAGGTGAGTGCCCAGACACCCAAGTCGCCTGGGAAGAACAATTCATTAACCGGCTTTTAGGGGCTGATGAAAGGATACATTGCACGTGAACGCGGCATGGTTGTGTTGAGTAAGGGTGGCACCGCTTTTCCAGGAACAGGTGTTTAAGCATGGTACCCAGCTCTTAAATCTCTGATCTAAACAGCTGTCCTGAACAAGCCCGTTTATCGCAGTGGTCTATTTTCGATAAACCAGCACTCATGCGGCAGGTATTGTGTGCTAGGAACTGGCCATTGCATTGCCGTACATGATCTGCAGCTCTCAGCTTGCGCTCCCAGCATGGCAACGTCCCTTCCGATGACCCCCGTACAACAGATCTAGCCTTGACGGCTGTCTGCTACCCTCAGCTCTTATACATTCACAGCGATGCAGAGACATACTATCCTGCACCGAAGACGGGTCGAGTGCAACATCCCCCCTTTTAGACATCAAGATAGCCTGCTATGATAGACCAATAATCAACGTATGATTCATGACTATGACTTACTTAAAGAACGCACCAGCCTGCTCCTGGCTAGACGTTAACGCAGACACGTTCCTGCGCAAGACCGCTTCCCGGCCCTATTCACAGAGAACGAAGCAGTCTCGTCAGTATGCCTCAACCATTCTAGTAGCGGAGTCCTTGAATATACTCGACCAAGACCTGAACCCCACGGAACTCCCATTGCGTCCTGATTACATCCACATAACATAGGTAGTAGTCCTTCCAGGTCAACAGCACCACCTTTCCCGACACCTACCTACCTATTACCCGAAACCAAACCAATTGAAAGCATGCTTAATATCATTCATGACTACTACCTACCTATATTTTGCATAAGAGAATGAGAATACATCCTAAAAATAACACGTAGATCCATCCCAGTCTGAAAATCAACCAACAAACCAACCAACCAACCTGTGGATGTGATAGTACAATGCCGCGTCAAGGAATAAAACCAACATCAAGAACATATAACATACATATCTGAAAAAAATAAAATAAAAGAATCCCCAATGCCAGATCAAATAAACTCCTGTACAATAATACAATAATACCCAGTGATATAAGGGTAACATACACCCCGAGACCGAGACCCCAAACCAGCAGGACCCCTCCCCTCCTCCTTCTCCTCCTCTACTTACTTACTATCATAAGCCTCAATCTTAATCTTAATCGCAAATCTCAAATCTCAGCGCCCCCCCGCCGCGTCCGTGAGATCATCCTACGTATTCAACCAGAATCAGCACCAAGTATTCTCAAGAGAGCATCAACAACAATAACAACAACAAAAGCAACAAAAGCAACAATAAAAAAAGAATAATAAACTCACCATATGATTACACATCGCCACAAACAGGTCGAAAAACAACTTCCCCCCCTGCTCCATCTCCATCTGCATCGTGCCGCTGCGCTTAAATGTCTCCCGGCTCCGGATGATCAGCGCCAGGTAGTGCGCCCGCAACTTGGACTCGTTGTCCGGCGTGCGCGCGTACGCGTACCGCGCGCTCGTCAGGATCGTGCTGCAGGGTATGTTGGAGTGCAGGCCTTGCTTTTTTAGGGAGAGCCGTTTGAGCGTTTCCAGGGAGAATTTTTGGGCGAGGCAGCTGGTTTTGGGTTTTGTTAATATAGGTTTGGGGGGGGGGGGGGGTTGTATAGTACTAGTAGAGTGTGGGTATGATTGGTAGGGTAGGTAGGTAGGATATGTATATGGGAAATGGAATGGAGGTGGCAAGGAGGGGAAGGGAAGGGAGAGGAGAAAAGGGGCACGTACTAAACCGCCGTATCCCTCAAGATCTCCGCGCCGGCAGCAGGACTATACATCGTCGCTGCAGCGCTATCCTCCGTCCCCGACCCGGTAGTTTCCAATCGCCACGTATCGCGGGTTTTATCGTGCTGGAGACGCGGATAGTAGTCGCCACGGTAGAGGTACTCGAGCACGCAGGAGAAGACTTCGGGCTGTTCATCGGGCAGGTTGATGTTTCTGGGACAGGGGGAGGGAGTGGTAGTAAGGAGGGAGGATTCAGATGAGGAGGATGAGGAGGGGTTGTTGTTGGAGCGAGCGCAGATGGCAGCGAAGTAGGGCGAGACGCAGAGGATGTCCTTGTGGGCGGCGAAGAGGCGTTTCGTGGGACCGACGGTGACGGTTATCACGTCTGGGTTGAGGGAGCTGTGCCTTTCTGTTAGTAGTGGGGGCATTGAGAGGGCATTGTTACCCCGTATACGGAGTATGTGCTCAGGAAAGGACGGACGGACTGACCTTCCATCAGGCGGGGTGTCTCGTCTGTGTAGACGGCGTGAACCGATGGAGTGGGATTGCTCGCGGGGACGGGCTCTGGACTTTCCGGCTCGGTATTTGGAGGAGAGGCTTTCCGGGTGGTGCTGGGAAGAGTGGGAGCGGCGTGAGGGGAGCATTTTGGGGCTTCGGTATACGAGTTGTTGTGTTTGTTGATGTGGTTGTGGTTGTGGTTGTGGTTTGTGGTGGTGGTGGTGTTGCTGGGAGAGCATTTTGAGGGTCAATTGAAGGTCTAGAGAGTAGCCAGGAGAGAAAATTCGAAGCCTGGGATGAGTTCAGGGGGGTTGTTTGCGATTATAAAGCTAGAGAGTACGAGTACGGAGTACCCCGTCGAGTCGACAGGTCGGTAGCTGTAAAACACCCCTCGATGGATACCTGTACGGACGGACTCCTTTGTGCTCGGTGCGCCGGGGACCACAGAACTCATCTCGGGCTGTGGGCGCAAACGTGGTTGTGGTACGGAGTACAGACTGCGTTCTTTATCCTCCCCCCCCTGGCCGAGTCACCGTGCCATGTATCCTCTCGACCGGGGTCTTTTGTTCTCTTTGTCTGCGATGGCGAGCGAGGGCCTCGAACGCGTAATAGCAGGTATCGGACGCGTAAAGTGGTTGCTGCATCGCCAAATTATCGCGCGGTCACGGGAGCCGCTCTGAACCAATCGTGGCCCGAAGGAGGAGAAAGGGGGGTGGGACGGTGCTGTACTGAGCCAATCAAGGAGTCGATTCGGCCCGCCGTCACCCGCGATCGTCGGAGGGAGTTGATGCATCCAAGATCAGGGACGGGCTTGTCCTTGAGGGGGTGGGTGGGACGGGGTGTTTCCCAGTTTAGAGACAACTACTCCGTACAGTAGGGACGGGGGTGGGTGGATGGCTGGTCCTGGCAATGCTTCTTTAGCACGTCGCGCGGACGAGTTTCCGCATTCCCCTGCGAATCATGGCTGCCTGCTTCCACGCCGGGATCATTGTCGTGCTGAGTGGTTGAACACCAGATGGTAATACTAATACAGCCACGCCTGGATGGTACCTGCATGCAGGGATCAGAGTTTGCAGCTGAAGACTTGTCAAATGGTAAGGTTCATGTCAGCTTGGCGTCAGAACGCATCCTTGCCTGGCCAGAGTGGCTCGCAGGGAGCACCTGTAAGTCTGCACGACTCCCCTATATACCTACCTGCACCATGTCTGAGTGACAGCAGCCGGTAGTGGTGGATAATATTATATTGAGAGAGTAATAGTTGTCAGTATGTACAACCTGTGCAAATCCGAAACCGTTTCCTGTCCAGCCCATATGCGCCCGTCCCACAACACCGTTTACAAACTGTGTACCCCAATTCTCATGTTACCCGTCCATGTCAAAATGTGGAGATGTATGTGCCTGCACCTACGCCCACCGATAACTGCTGGATAGGGGTGTAGCCAGACTAGAGGAACACCTTTCTAGCTTCCCGAGGGTGGCTCTCGCTGGGGCAGTAAGGGCACTTGAACCTGCTGCCCTTGCACAACCGTTTGAGTGATTCCTCTGCAATGACGTGCCCGCAGGGCATCATCATGGGTGGGTTGTCGTCCGTGGACTGTTCCTTGGATACCGGACAGACAAAGATGGAGTGGAAAAGATACGATGGTGGGAGTGGGATCTCGACCTGTTCCATATCGGTTAGATTAGAATAAGGATGGCTTCCTGCTGAAGATGGCCTACCGGGAGTTCATTCTCGGTTGTCCACTCTGTCCGTTTGGCCTTCATGATTGTCTGCAGCTTCAGTAATGTGGGGAGGGCTATGGCTCCCGCGGTAGCAGCGACGTATAAAGGCGAGTCCGCGGACAGGCCAAGGAGCGAGCAGAATTCGCGCGTGAAAGCGTGCGCCACATCCGACCATGCGGACGGGTTATTGAAGATGTTCTTGTATGGAGAGTCCTGCAGGTTGGGACAGAAAGCCATCGCTCCCAATAGCTGCTGAACCTCGCGCAGGTACCGGGGCAAAAACGAATGGAACTCGCGCCTGGCGTATTCCAGAGCCGCCTGCCGCCCGCCCGCACTCGGGCCTTGCTGGTCATGTCCACCATGGAAAAGCCAGACGAACTGCAACCTGCACAGTTCGAATTCGAGATTACTGCCTCTCGCTTCCAAGGCCTCCTTATTGTCCCTCGACCACTGGATTGCTGGCAGCAGATTGTTGTTCTCCTTCAGCTCATGGAGGATGTAGTACATAGTGGCGAACTGTTTCCGTACCTCTCCAGAAGGGACTTCATCGATATCCAAGAGCGAAGCCGCGTTATCTGTGGCGCTGGTTTCCGCCTCCTGCTGTTTCTTTATCGCTTTCTTGTCTGCCATCTCGGAGAGGAACGTAGCCGCAACGGAGAACTGCCCTTCCCGAAGGAGGTGCATGGCGATAGCTCTGTTGATAAGGTGTTCTTGGGAGGATAGGACATCGTGCTCGGTGTTCGGTAAAGGACGGTCTTTGAATAGCTGCAGAGACGTTAGTCGTGTGCCATCACGGCAAGGTCCCCGCCCATGCTACCTTATCTAACGATTTGGAGTATTTGTTTAGGCCGCTGTGTGTTTCCTTCAGGCTATCATTGATGGAATCAAACGACGACTTGACGGGGTTCTGCAGCTTGGCTAGCGTGATGGCCGCTTGGCTTGGATCTGGATGGACTTCGTCGTCAGTGTAGTTCGGCGGATGCCGGTCGGCCCTGCAACCGCAGTGCGTACCCACCTGCAGCAATCGTATTTCGTGCCGACTGGAGCAAGTCAATAATAGAGTCCACCGACTTCAGGCCCTGGGCGGCATTGATTTTCTTCGAGAGGCGGTCATGCTCTTTCTGCACGAGCTCCATGATGGCGAGCGGAGGTGGAGGAGGACGAAAGCGGTGTCCAACAGTTACCGCTCTTTCACGACGGCTAGCGCTGTAGCCATATGTGAGGAGCCGCGATCGAGAGGTCAGTCACCCGTTCTTCGGGAGGGATAGATGTTGTTTGAGGAAACAAGACAGCTGTAGACGCTTGACTTGAGTCTGGTCTGCTTCGTGGTCACCGGGCCCGGCGCCTGGGTGATTACGACATTGGCTATCACGTGCCAGCAGCCATCCGTGACTGCCCCGCTTTTCCTGACAGTACGTAACCGGATGGATACACAGGATGGCCCGTTTGCAGAAATTCGACTACAATTTAGTACAGGTCGGTAAGTTACTTCAGGTAAGTATGAACAGAGCAGGATATTAATTGGGCGAGTAAGGTGTCTAGTATCACCTGATGTTCCATCTCGGTCACCAAAAAATGTTGTTTCTATCCTGGAGCACGCTCTCGAGTACTGCCAAATGCGGTGAAGAGGGGGCGGATCGAACCTGCCATAGCGAGCAGTTGTCACTTGCGGCTATTAGTAGCATAGATAACCTCACCTACGAGTCCTCACCACCTAGCTAGTTGCAATAACATCGATTTTACCAGTATCTTACTATTCGCGAATAGCTTCATCAAGTATTATTATCGTACGACAAGGCCTGCCTACCTGCAACATACCATAGCGCATCCAACCATCCTTACCGCCTGGCAACATAACAGTACCTCCGTTCCATGACAACTCAGGTACGGAGTCCAGGCGGGGATGTCAGACTGCCACCCACCCACTTCGCCGGAGAGGAGACCCTTCCCCTCTAAACAAATGGCGACTGGCTGGGAACTTGGACCTTCATAATCAACAGCAGGAGAATGATACATCGTCTTGGTTTCTACTCTAGTGCTAGCGGTACCCATCATCTTCGATAGTGTGAATGTGTACAGGCTCATGGCATACTGTCCAAATCCAGTGTCTCGAGACCCAACTATCCCTTGAGACTAATTAAGTCGCCATGCCTAACAGTGACTCGTAGCTCTAAATTACTAATACTAGCGAATAAATTGCATCCCAACAGGAACACGCTCTTCAGGTCTGGAATTAGACCAACCCTCTGCCAGATGTTGCGGATACAACATTCATGGGTTGAATCGTAGAAAAAGGAGAGGTTCGTTGCTGGTCTCACATTTTCGACGACATAGTTTCTTCGTCATATTGACCAGGAATACATCTATATGGGATCTGGGGCTCACGGCTTCCATTGGGATCCTTCTGATAGGATTGTTTCGATTCGAGGGCTACCCTGGAAGCTGGATAACATTCCACTGCATATGTCGCAGCAGTAACATGACTGGTGTTACGACAGCATCTTTATGGATGTTATTCTCTGAAACTGTATAGCATCAAGCAACAAGATTCCATTTGTCATGTGGATTCGAGTCACTCCATTTGTCATCTGGGTTCGAGTCACTCGAGTAATTAAATAACATGCATTCATTGCTAGGTATACGCGAAAGTATACGCGAAACTAAAGACAGCTCAAGATATCTTTCCAGCTTCCCTTCCCCTTCGAAAGCCACGACCAATCATAGCCCGCACTGCATCTCGCTTACACTAGCGCCCGCACGGGTCTTGGCAGCCCAGGTATAAAAGCTATTGGCGCCCCCCATTATTTTGGACGTTTTCTTTCTTTTCCTTCCCATCCTAGTGCAAGGGTTTTACACGTGTCAGTGAGGAGACATCCGAGACCGTGTTTTTGCTAGTTGAAAACTACTTTTTTGACTGCTCTACTTGGCCTTCGGGTCGGGTAGGAATTTTTGAAAAAAAAGATGCCCTGGCTTCCAACTTGTTGGAGTCAGCTCAGTAAAGTACGTAGACAGCGACCTGGCTGTTGCTTGTCTTGTGCTTTGCTGAAGTCGGTATGCTTTTCACTACTGTTGCTTCCCTTGAGGAAGCCTGTGGAGAAGAGAGCCTTCCATTGTAGATGAATGTCTCGTAGTCATGATGGTCCTCATGAAGCAGGTCTGATTGTTCTTCGATGGCAGGCGCCTGTTTTGTCCACTCCTTCCCCTGTACCGTAAACTGAGAGTCTGTGGCTGTGTCGAGGAACGATTGAGTTGTGGCTGAATGCAACTACTAGGCAGCTGCGTTTCATGCAGAGCTAGCCTGTGGTTACTGCGGTGTTCTAGAAAGCAGCAGTGAGCAGCTGCTTACGCTTAGAGCCATCATGGGTCCTCCAAAAAATACCAGTTTTTATTTTACCTACAATTTATCTACCTACCTAGCAACTTCTCCAAAGAGCATGTCAGTGTCGAATACACCAGCGCGCAATCAATCCCGTGGCGTCCCTCGACGGATTGGCTCCCAAAGCAATCAATGGCTTAGCCGCTCACCGCTCCAGGCGCAGTGGAAACAATCCCTTGTGACGTCGCCGACTTAACTTGCTGCACAGGCCCGGCCACGACAACTGCCCATCGGCCAGGCCTGTTTGTGCTTGCATCCGTACTTCTCTCTTTCATTTTGTGATATGGGCAGCTCCTAAACCGGCCCATCGCTCCTGTGCTTGACGTTTAAGCTCACAGGTCCTTAATCTCGGATATGCCACGGTTCTTTCTTCCCTTCAGACAGTACGAGAAGACCCCCGGAGGGTCCATGCTTTCGTCTCCTTTACCTTCATTCTGAGCACAGTTGCCACCCACTGTCGACTACCTCACTTATATTCTGCGCGTCTTCAGCACCAAGGCATGACCTCTTCTTCACCCCTTATGCGGTAGGATAGTGGCTGTCTTCATCATGCCACCTCCCGCGACGCAGACGGGCGCACAGGCAGCGCCCCCGACCGCAAACCCTCGCGAATCGACAAAACCGTCCCTAAGCTCCAAGGATGGTTCTCTTGCCCATCCCAGTGGACTGGAAGGACAGTCACCCCGGCACGGCCATCAGAAACTCGTCTTTACCGATCCGGTTGCCCTCCGATACCTCGAGGAAGACCCGTCGGCAATTGTGCTATATCGTCGGGTGGCCTTGGAGGGGTACGAGGTTTTCATCGTTGAACAATGGGCGTGCACGCGCATCCATCCTACATTTATCATCACCACCTATACGGGAGATCTGTCACACAAGGTTGTGGTTGGGGTGCTGAGCGTCCCGACAGATGAGTCTACGTGGTCTCCCCGGCTGAAGATGTACTTCAGCGCGGTCACACAATGCCAGGCGCGAAAGAAGGAGACACCCTTGGGGACTTTGATGATTACAGACCTGAACGTCTTCCCATTGGCGTTGACTCTGATCCCGGTCCCTGACGGCGATGTCCTCAAACACAAGGAGGACTTTGTTGTGAACGAAAACCTGAAACGGCTGGGTTGCTCAGGCCGCGCTGGCTTAAAGCTACAGCCTCCGTCGCCTGCTACGGAAGCGAAGTTTTATCACCTGTATCGTACTAGTGAGAAGGTGCCTCTATACTCAGCCGTCATAGAGCTCGTGAAGCAATGCCAAATTGCTTTGCTAATGTTCGGTAATCTGGCCCCAGAATATGTCGATGGGCTGCTATGTGATGTCACAGAGGCAGCCATAAATGATTGGTGGACCCAGACAGGCATGGACATATTCAATATGGAACCTAGTGATAGCATGATGGGGCCTATCTCTGTCGTCGCTTTATTGGGGACCCTCATGGGGGCGCGAAACCGGCTTCATGCCTACGGTGCTCCGGTTAGCAAGGATGCCTTCGATATCCCCAATCTCAAACGGGGGATTGGTCATTTCCAAAAATCACAGAAGCTCAAACGTACTCGAAGACTGGATCGCCTGACCTTGGATCGATTGCATCGAGCAACAGCCAAAGCTGCGAACGCGGAGGGCTGGGCGGATGCTGTCAAATCCACCATGGCGGAACTGAGCGGGCACGGAGGCGAGATGGTCATGGGGATGGTCCGCGGCCGCGAAAAGGGTGGAATTGCCGATATCGAAACACTTGATATTGAAAACTTCAAGCATCTGGTTACCGGCCAAAGGGCGAAGTGGCTGTGGAGGGGAAAGCCGCGGAAGGGTGCCATCGGCGACAACTTTGCCAGTGGCCCGCCAGCTGCAGATATGGTGTTCACCACAGACGACCAGGGCGGTTACTTCTGGACAAGCCGAAAGCGATCCTCGCACGAAGACTTGACGGATCGTGCTCCGCAAATCTCAGATCGTTCCTGGAAGCCTTCAGATACAACAGCGTCTCTGGACGACAAGGATCAGAATCTGAGCAGGATGGTCCGAAAGGGCGTGAGTGGAAAGGTGTCAGATGCGCGAGCAGGATTTGGTCGGTTCAAGGATGCAGTGGGGCTTCGATCACATCCTTCGAAGCAGTCCAGGGATGGCATAGACCTAACCGGGGAATCTTCTCATCTGCCTCCTATAGAAAGCGACACCGAGCTATCTCAGTCGAAGAGGTCTGAAGGTGGCGCCCACACCGAGCCTGAGAGCGTTCTTGACAGTGTCTCAATTGACGAAGCCCGGGTTGAACATGCGCCGAAGACCATTCTACCGCAATCTCCAACTTCGAGAGCCCCCGCAATAACCCTAGAAGCGGCTGAATCCGATACCGAGTCAGAGTCATCGCGTAAGATGTCGTTGACTCGAACAGGTGATGATGTTCAAGATCTAGAGCGCTGGAGGACGGGTTCCACCGATATCTCGGCCGATCGGGACCAAGCGTCTGAAGCCGGTATCATGTTGCTACGTCGACCACAGAGCTGCGAAGAGCTGAGCCGCCGGAGCGATTCCAGACGTCTAGACAACTATTGGCCTCGCCATTTGTCCTTCAGCACTGTTGAAGAGGTGGTGCTAGGATGGGAGAGACTGGGGGGTGAGGCATTCGAAGAGGACTCCGACACTCCTTTGGAGGAAGCTATTGTGCAGGAGGATATTCTGGCCTCCGATGCGCGGATCTTCAGCTCCCGAATTCAGGATCTCAGCGAGCAAACCGTCCCCTGGGTAGAGCAGCAAGTGGCTTCGGTGGACGATCTCAGTCGATGCCTGCACGACAGTCACGAGAAGGTCAATGCAGGGTACCTGGAACGGTTGGCGGCGTATCAGCAACTGCGAGACAAATCCAGCAGTCTGTTGACCGAAGAGCACACCCAGCTGACCGATCACATGAGACGGGTTGAATTGATGGGCGCCAAGCTGGACTACGAGCTCCATGTCCTGGACTCCCGGGTCGAGGACGTTGAAACCAACCTCGACGAGTTCGAGCGGCACGTCAACGCCATCGAAACCCGAGTCAAGCTGCTGATACGAGGCGAGCAGGAGAAACAGAGCCACTCCTGGCTTTCCTGGCTCGGGCGAACAACCGGATGTCCAACCCAATGACCGAGCGCGTCGGAAGGTCATTTGTAAATTTCCACATATCATTTCTATTGTACATAATTCCCGAGATAGACTTGCGCAGTTGGCGTTGACCGTGCAATGCAAAAGACTGGTCGGTCCTCGATCGACGAGACCCAATCCAATCCGGCCTCCACCCGCACACAAGACCTAGCTCCAAAACAAAACCCAGATCCCAGCAAAATGCTCATGATACCGTCTATGCAAGGCCAATCCGATCGCCAACCCAGAGCTTGCTTCCCTTCCGCCTCGATCCGATCAACCCTCAAAAGAAAAGCACCGGAAGCACATGGCAGCTCTGAAACCCGAATAGATTATACACGCATACAAGAAAACATTCGTTACCCGAACAGCTAGCTAAGGTAGCCCTTTTCACTTTTCACGCGCCGGGCAGTTTACATGCCCATGCCCATGCCGCCCTGTCTGCTGGCGGCCTCACCCTGCATCTTCTCGCTGACCTTGATGTTGACGTCGAAGAACTTGGAGACGCAGCGGTCGAGGCAGACGGACTCGCCCTTGTTCAGGTCGCCTTCGCGGTAGTCGTTGGGGATGCACTTCTTGGTGCAGGACTCGGTGAGGCTGGTGGTTGTGGTTGTGGTTAGTGACGGCATAGGCTGGCTGGGTCGGGAACAGCGCGAATAGGTATGGGGTGGGTCTCATTAGGGAGGAGAAAGAGAAAGGGAAAGGTAGAGGGTGGATGGATGGATGGCGAAGCTCACCGGTTGAACATGTCGGAAACCATCTCGACCTCGGTCTCAGCGGCAGCAATCTTCTGCTCCGAGGACATCTTGGGGGCACCGCCGAAGAGGAAAGACATGATGACGATGGGGTGGATGGGTGTGGTGTTGTTCGGGTGTTGGTGGCTGGGAATTGTCAGTAGCGGCTTCGTAGTTGGGATTTGCGATAGTATAGACGAAAGGAGACCACCTACAAGGGTATCAGAAGATTAGAAGGAAGTGGGATGGGAGAGAAGAGGACTGGTCTGGATGCTCTGAGCTGAACTGCCGGAGCGGTGAAGCTGCGGCTGCCGGGCCTCACCGCCTTATGATTTTTCTTGGTCTCCTCGCGTCGGCCGCACAACTTGTCCTTTTCTTCCTCTCCTTCATTTCTCCTCAGTCTCTGAGCTCGTAGCTTTGTTCACCACCTCAATGCAACCTATCCGTCCCCAGTGGACGTCACGGTTGAGGGTGGGACGCCTCCTGTCTCGGTAAGCAGTCAACTTTTCGCTTTTTTCCCGTTCCATCACACTTGTATGATGAGACATACCCCTTCCAATTTTCAGAACCGCTGCATTGAAGCTTGGTTTACCAAGTAATGAGTAAAAATGGAAGATTTATGTCCTCTGATTAGCTTGTCACCTCTGGTCCTATTCTTGACCCGCATCAATTTGACATCTGGCTAATAACATTCTCAGCACAGGGCTGCCCATTCCACCACTCCGTACAAAGCAGACTTTGCAGGCGAATGCTCAGCTTGCTCGAGTAATCCAGCACCCATCTACCTCTCTAACCCAAGCAAGATATAGCAGCATCGCGGCGTCTCCTGAGCGGGTCTTCGAGGAGCGTCTGCAAGCGGTCGAGAATGCCTTCCCGGAGGCATACCCTCGGCTTGCCCCCAACCAAAACTCAGTGACCTGTGCGGAGTTTTCCGACCGCTACAGCCATATAGCAGAAAATGAAATAGTAGAGGAAGATACTGTCGCCATCAACGGTAGGTTCCAGCCTACACTGGCTTGCCTTGCTGCCCTGTACTTAGATCAGTAGGTAGGATACGTACCTATAGACTTGTCGGAAGCGGATTGATCTTCTTCGACATTGTCCAGAATGGCCATAAGGTGCAAGCGATGTGCAACCGTCGTCGGCTGGAGGGGGTCACTCCGGAGCGCTTCAAGAAGCTCTATCGCCTGCTTCGCCGCGGCGATGCCTTTTGTATGTCCCAACGGTCGCCCTCCGTGCCACGCACTAGACTGAACGAGATCCCATAGCCGTAACAGGGAATCCGCACCGGACGGGACGTGGCGAGCTCACGGTCCTGGCCACCGAATTGCCCCAGCTTCTGTCGCCCTGTCTGCACGACATCCCGGTCGATGCCAAAGAGCACGATAACTCGCCGTATCCCCGTCACGTCCAGTTCCTGGCGGACCCAACCACAGTAAACGCCATCAAGGCCAGGTCGGCTATCGTTCAGTACCTCCGCCAGTTCTTCGTGGGCCGGTCATTCACGGAGGTCAACACGCCTATCCTCGAAGCGGTTGCCGGCGGTGCCATTGCCCGTCCGTTCAATACCAGAGCCACCGAGTTTCCTGATCGTCAGCTGTCATTGCGGATTGCGCCGGAACTCTGGCTGAAGCGCCTGGTTGTAGGAGGGTTTGATAGGGTCTTCGAGATTGGGCCGTCGTTCCGCAATGAAGGTGATTTTCTCTGGAAGAGACCCAGATATGATCACTCGAATACTGACAACCATGACAGGAATTGACAAGACCCACAACCCCGAATTCACCACCTGCGAATTCTACCACGCCTATGCCAATCTCGAAGACCTGATGTCCACAACCGAAAAGCTCCTCTCCGGACTGGCCGAGCACATCCGCACATTCCACGAAACCCACCCTCTCCAAAAGCCCACCGAAGTAGACTTCTCCGCACCCTTCCGCCGAATCGACTTCATCACCGGCATCGAGGAGAAGATCGACCGCAAGCTCCCCGACCTCACATCCCCCACTGCCCTGGAAGAAGTGAAGCAGATCTTCCAGGACCGTTGTCTCGAGCTCCCGGAAAAGGCCACCCTCCCCCGCCTGCTGGACGAGCTCTGCAGCATCTACGTTGAGCCCGAGTGCATCAACCCGACCTTCATCGTCAACCCTCCGGAGTGTCTGTCCCCCTTATCCAAGTCTTTCACCCACCCGACCACGAACCAGCGCGTCGCCGCACGCGGCGAGCTCTTCATCGAGGGCCGCGAGGTCGTGAACACATACGAGGAGGAAAACTCGCCCTTTGAGCAGCGGCGCAAGTTCAAGGACCAGGTGCGATACAGCAAGGAGGCCAACGAGACGGAGGAGATTGATGAGAGCTATCTGCGCGCGCTGGAATGGGGCCTTCCCCCGACGGGGGGCTGGGGATGCGGTATCGACCGCCTCTGCATGCTGTTCACGGGCATGCAGAAGATTGGGGATGTGTTGCCATTTGGTACCCTCCGGAAAGTGAGTCATCGTGTGGGCGTGCCGCAGTCTTCGGGAAACGAGAACAAGAAGTAGATCTGGATTAGACCTAGATCGGGGCCTCGAAGACGGCCTCAGTGACTGACCGACTGCCTGGAGTCGAGTCCAACGTCCAACACGTCGACGCGTCTTGCAGCGGCTCTCATTGGTCGACTGCAGGGGGTGGAGTTTCGCGATTTCTTGCAGTTTGGAACGTTGGAGTTGTCCTGGTCGTCATTCACGCTGTGGTGCTGGACTGGCTAGGCCAGGCCAGGCCATATCAGCCTGGAAACTAAACGGGGGGGGGGTGAAATCTGAAGTAGCAGCCCAGCTGCCTGTACATTACATTCTGTTAGATACTATACCACAATCAACTCTCTCACTGTATATATATATATACACCTTCGGCTCATCAATCCTCAAAGAACCACAATCTAACAGTATGTTTATATATATATATATATATACTAATGCACAGATACTCATACGATCCAATTCCAGAGACAGAATCGATAAGCGCCCGCCGATAAGCCCACCCCGTGAACTGACTGACTCTGTGAACTGAACTTTCAGTTCCCATCGGAGCGGGCCGAGACACCCATCCATCATCTGGATATAAATTCCATCATTCCCCTCCCTCCGCAGTCCGCAATCTCCCTTCCCCCTCCCCACCAGCCAGCAAGCAGAGGAAGCAAACCCACCCCAAGACGACAATAACATAAAATGGGTCTCGACGATGTCCCCGTGGCCCAGGCCGTGACTGTCAGTCTGAAGGAGCTCGTTGACGGTATGTATGCAGACTGCAGACTGCAGACTGCAGATAATTATTTCCCCGGAACCCCGCAATCTCGAAAAAAAGAAAACACACAGAGAGAGAGAGAGGCATACACACAAACCAGATAAATAGTCAAAGTCCTAACTAACTCATGAAAAGGAACCGTCTCCTTCGACACCCTCACGGAAGCATTCGGCCCCGCGTCTCTAGGAATCATCCTGGTCAAGGACCTCGATCCGCGCTTCGTGGAGCTGCGCGCGAAAGTCCTCTCCAATGCGTCGTATTTGGCTTCGTTGCCGGAGGAGGAACTTGGTATTTTCCCCTCCCCTCCCATCCATCGCTTCCCTTCCCTTCAACCTCATCCTTCTCTCTACCCTCTCTCTCCCCTCTCCAAACTCCCTCTCCACACCCCACATCCCAACATTCCCAAACCAACCCCCAAAATCCACACTTATTACCTATAATACCAACCCTAACAACCCCCCCCCCCCCCCAGAATCCCTCACCTCCCCAAGCAGCAAATACCTAACCGGCTGGTCACTGGGCAAAGAAACCCTACGAAGCGGACACTTCGACACACACAAAGGCTCCTACTACCTCAACTGCGCCTTCTACCAGGACGCCTCCCTCCAAGGCGCCCCCTCCACCCACTACCCCGATCTATCCGAGTACACGGCGCCGAACATCTGGCCCGACGAGACCTCCCTCCCGACGTTCCGGAGCAGCATGGAGGAGCTGTGTCGACTGGTCATTGATACGGCGGCGTTGGTAGCCAGAGCGTGCGATCGGTTCGCGGAACGGAACGTGCAGGGGTATGAGACCGGGGGGTTTTTGGAGAGGTTGGTGAGGGGGAGTTTGACGAGTAAGGCGAGGTTGTTGCATTATTTTCCTAATGAATCTTCTTCTTCAACTTCCACTTCAGCTGCTGGGGAAGATGATGATGATGACTGGTGCACCACCCATCTCGACCACAGCTGCCTCACGGGCCTCACCTCCGCCATGTTCATCGACGAATCTGCGCACCCGCCCTCCGGTGACCTCGTCGACCGCTCCGCCACCCTCCCCGAACTCCCCGCCAGCCCCGACCCCAAAGCCGGCCTGTACATCCGCTCCCGCACCGACGCCATCGTCAAGGTCGATATCCCGCGCGACTGTCTGGCGTTTCAGACCGGGGAGGCCCTGCAGCTGATCACCCGCGGGCAATTTCGGGCTGTGCCGCATTTCGTCAAGGGCGCGAGGGATGTTGGGACCCAGGGCCAGGGTGGGAAGAGGAGGCTGATTGCGAGGAATACCCTGGCTGTGTTTACGCAGCCGAATTTGGAGGCGGAGGTGCAGCCTGGGGTTACGTTTGCGGATTTTGCGAGGGGGGTGGTGGAGAGGACTTATTGATATGATGTCTCTTATCTGAGGGGAGGGGTGCTGCTGGGTGTAGTGCTGGTGTAGATATATGATGGAGGGAAATTATTATTGCATTTTGCATTAAATTGAATGAAATGAAATGAAACGACGCGCTTGGTATCGGACTGAAGGAAAGAACCTCGCGGAGTGTTAAGTACATCGGATCGAGAAGTACATCGGACGAGAAGTCCAGAAGGATGGAAAAGTACACCAGAGGAAAGAAAAAGCATAAGAGAAGAGGCACGTCAGAAGAAAAGCTTGAGATGAGCAGTACGTCATCAGAAGTACATCATCAGAATCAATCAATCAATCATCGTGTCTGGCACGCTTACTCTTCGGCTCATAACCGGGCTTGTAATCACCACCCTCGGACTCCTCAGTTCCGCCACGCAACTGGTCCACACGCGCAACGAAATCCTCCTGCTCGGACACCTCGCCGCTGTCCTCATCTCCAGCATCCTCCGGACGACTAGTTTCCCCCTCCTCCTCCTCCTCCTCATCATCCGCAGAGCCTTCATCGTCATCGTCATCGTCATCGTCATCGCCAAGTCCCGTGCTAACGAGCTTACTGAGCCCGCTGACCTTCGCAAAGCTGGACTTCGACTTCGACGGACGACCACGCGAACTCGCGACCTTCGCGTCACGGATATCCGCTGCCGTAGCGGTGCCGCTCAGGATACGAAGATTGGCCCGCCACATCTTCACATCCCGCTCCGCATAGTAGCCGACATCCTGGCCGTTCAGCGTCTCCAGCGCGAGAGTCACCGTGCGGGCATCGCCCCAGAACCACTGCTGGCCGTCGGCCATGCGGTTGTCGGCCTGGCGGGAGTATCGTCTGCCGTTCTCGACGCCGCGCACGTCGTAGCCGATCTTCAGGCCTCCCATCATGAACCGCGCCGCGTCGGGCTCGTAGATCCGTCCGAGGATGTACCCCTGGGAGATATCAATCTGCGTTCCGGAGTGCAGGGCGTACCAGTCGCCGTAGCCGCCCATGCCGACGTAGTTGAAAGCGTTGACGACCTCGTCGTGCGTCATGGGCTTGATCTCCATGTTGTTGGTGGATAGCTGCGCGTGCTGGCGATCGTTCGTGTAGACCTTTCCGCGGATGCGTAGTTTGTATTTCTCCGCGAGCTGCTCGGATCGCGGCTCGGCGTCGCAGTCGTGCAGCTCGAACCGAACCTCGTCGATCACCATCACCTCCGTGACGGACAGCGGAACAGCGGCGGTGGGATCGTAGCCGACGGGCTTCAGGCGCACGGCGTCTCCGACGACGAGGAGCTCCGCGCCGAGGAACAGCCCCTTGCTGTAGATGACGGCGTTCGGCCAAGTGCCCTTGAAGTGGAACTTATCGAACAGACTCCACGACGCCATCACGGTCATCGCGTACTCGATGGACGGGTGCAGTTCCTCGCGCGCCATGCCTCGCAGGAACACGTTGTACGCGTTGAATGGCTTGATCGATTTGAGATACACGTATTTGTAGTGCAGGGAGTAGCTCTTGTCGTCGCTGTTGGGGTCGGGGTAGGTTTCGACGCGAAAGCCCGAGTAGTTGATGGGATACTTCTTCGGCTGCGTGATGGCGATGTCCTGGAACGTGGTGGTTTCCTCCGGGACCTGGCCGACGACTCCGGCGCGCCATTCGGGCTGCTCCCATTTCCCGTCCTCCAGGGAGATCTGCATGCGTTTGGTGTCTTCGTTGTATGCCAGCTGGCCTTCGAAGTCCGGGATCCAGAGCACGAGCTCGCCCACGCGAGGCAAGAAAGACGGCTGCATGTCCAGGATCTGCAGGTACTCGTCCAGGAGGGGACGTGAGGCTACCCAGTCCATGCTCAGGGGCTCGGTGATCTTCTCATCCATCTCGCCCACCTCCTTGAGCTTCATCACCGCGATCTTGTGCACGTCCGGCGTGCCTTCGTGATCGGTGGGGACGAACGGCTTGGTAGAGGGTCTTCCGCGTCGACCCGAAGGTCTTCCGGGGGGTCGGCCGGTCGATTTGTTCATCGCTCCGGGGGGTCGACCGGGGGGTCTTCCAGAGGGACGCGAGGGTGTTCCGGACGGAGTGCCAGAAGGGGTTCCGGACGGACGTCCACGAGGTCGACCTCGCCGCGAGAGCCCACTTTCTGCGTTGGTAATTGATCAGTATTTTACCACGCGTTGGTGTGGACTTGGACGAGAAGAGACAAGACAAAACGAGACAAACAAGACGAGAAAAGACAAGCCAAAGCGGGACGTACCAGCAAGCTGGCGCTTAGCCTGCCTCTCACAAAGGATACAGGCACAATGTCCCGTCCCCCCGGTCATCAGATGGTAGAAGTGAGGGAAGAACTGGTTGACAGACTGAAAGTACTGGTTTCCCGGATGACCATAGACGAAGCGATCGCGCTGGAGCATTTGATTCATTAGGTATGAGAAGAGAGGCATATCATATGATATCGGATTTTGAACTGACAATATCAGGGGCGGACATGCGTGGCCGATCAAAGAGGGCATAGCCTTCCGGCAGACTGTCGAGAATGTACTCCACGCCTAGAAAGAGCTGTCAGTATGTCATGAGATTGAATGGCAAGTATTCCAAGTGGTTTGTCTGGTGGCTTCTTTGCCAACAGAGTCCGTGAAGGTGTAGGTAGGATTGAGCAGACGGCGATAGAGACCAAGGTAACCAGAGAAAAGGCGAGTAACTAGTACCACATGATGGCCGGAACTATGTCCTTTGCCCTCTCTCTATCCTGTTCTCATCTTTCTGCCGTCTTCTGCTCTATCCTCTCGCTTGTGGTGGTGTAAAACAGGACCCAGCAAACAGATAGGCATGGAGAGACCAAAGCAACCAGAGAAAAAGAAAAGGTATAAGTAACCCAAGCCATGCAAAGACCAGAAATGGCTCCTTTATCCTCTACTTCCATTCCAATCTTCCCTGTGTTGCTGTTTGCTGTCCCCCCTGGTTCCTGGCTCCGGGCTGATGGTGTCATAGCACCAAGCCAATTCCATTCCATTTGACTTGATCTCAGCAGCACCCATAGTCACAGTCAAAGTCACAGTCACAGAGCCACCACCCACCAGCAACAACAAACCAACCAACCAACTAGCCAGCCAACAACAACAGCAGCAGCAGCAGCAGCAGCAGCAATCAACTCATCTCACCCCCAAACACATCCAAAAGACACACAACCCACAATACTTTCTTGAATCTTTAAAAAAGAAAGAAAGAAAGAAAGAAAGGAAAAAAAAAAGATCAAACCTACCATCCTCATACGCCCCCATCTTCTGCAACCACATCATCGCCAGCTTCACACGGTAGTACGTGTCATCCGGATTGCCGTACTTCTCTTCCGTGGGCCAGTGAGCCTGAAGCCCATCGGTGAAAGACCGCTCGATTGGGATGACCACCATGTTATTGTTATTATTGTTGGATTCCTCTGAGGAGGATGACGAGGAGGATGAGGACGAGTCTTTCATTGCGTCAGACATGGTTGGTGACGGATTTTCACCCTGTCTGACCTCTGGTCTGCTTAGTTTTTCTGGTTTTGTTATGATTTATTTTTTTTTGAAAATAAAAGGAAACAAGAAGAAGAAGAAGAGAACAAAAAGAGAGAGAATGATCAGTTGGAAGAAAACAGAGCTGTGAATTGGAGAATTTCAAAGGAGGAGAAGATTGAGATTGGGAGAGATAATGAGGCCGTGCTGGTACAGGAGAATCCTCATCCTCATCCTTAGGTTAGGGGATGGCACGTGACGTGACGAGGAAGATAAACAGCCAGAAACAAAAAAAAAATAAATGAAAAAGAAACCAGCTCGAAGGAGGGGAGATTCCCAGTGAATGGCAAGTGAAAGATGATGTAGTTAGTTTACTTGGGGATGGGCGGATCCGCCGTGTCGCTCGCCGCGCGGTGGTCATGTGACTGTATGTCTCTCTACAGGGAGGGAAATGAGGCAGATGGATGGAACGAACCAGCTGGATAGGGTGGGGAGAAGGTGCATTGCTTTCAAAAAAAAAAAAAAAAATAAGAAATGTATGTAGATTGCATCAGGTAGCATAATGGGTGTCAGTGAAATCATCAATGTATGGCCAATTTGTCTAACTGTCTACAGTGAGTGAGCAACGGAAACCCTACTGCTGGGCCTGGCCGTCCTCGTAAGGCGGCGGAGAAAGTTCCCCTCCCTCTTCGACCCAGACCTTATGGAGCTCATGCTCGATCTCCTCGCGTCGCTGCTTCCACTCCTCGACCTTGTCCAATCGCTTGCGGATCTCCTGCAGCTCCTTCTCGACGCCCAGCTTCTCCTTCGCGGTGCCGATCCGCTCGAACTCCCAGTGTTCACCAGCCTCTCCAAGGCCAATGCTGAGGTTGTACGTATGGTATTTCTTCAGCGAAGCGCGCGTGGAAATCGTGATCAGGGTGATTTCGCGCTCCTTGGCGCGCTCGTACAGCAGGCCTTCCACATCCGAAGACACCGCGGAAGTGCCCTCGTCGAGGAACGCATAGCGGGGTTCGTGGTAGTAGATGCGGGCCATGGCCATGCGCTGTTTTTCGCCGCCGCTGAGAACGTCTTTCCATTCCTTGCGAGAGTCCCACCCGCCTTCGCGGCTGGGGAGGTAGCCTAGATGGGCGTCGTCGAGGACCTTTTGCAGGGCGGCGTCGCTGACGCCGGCTTCCCGCATGTCGATCTCCGTGTGCGGGTAGATGACTTGGTCGCGGAGGGTGCCCACGCTGAGGTAGGGTCGCTGGGGAAGGAACATGATGCCATCGACCCCGAATCCTCGGGGGCGGCTGACCAGCCCGCGGTATACCGGCCACAACCCGGCGGCGACCCGCGCAATGGCAGACTTGCCGACGCCGTTGGGTCCGGATATGAGCAGGTGGTCGCCGGAGTGTACAACGAAGGACAACGACTCGAGGAGCTCATCGCCAGCACGGGGGTAGAGGGATGGTGCGACAACGGGGACTTGTTCAAGGCGAACCCCGTCGAAACCGTTATGGATTGTGCCCTGGACATCCGCGAGAGAGTACAGTTCCGCGTGAGAGCCGCGTGGAGGGTAGTATGCATTCGCGTGGACTCTGTGCAGCGTGGATATCAGACTGTAGACTCGTGACGTGTGGCCGGCCAGTTCCGAGATATCCTTGATGCTGTACATCATGCGGCCACCCGCGTCTGCCAGTGACAGCATCAGACGCTTGTTCGTGATGAAGTCCTTCATGCGGTCCCGTTCTCGACCAGTGCCTTCTGGCAAGTCAACCAGCTCCGAAGCACCGCCCACGCCACCCCAGGCAGGGAGGAATACCGGCAGCGATGTGATGAGGTATCCAAAGGCGGACCACGCATATTTCAAGATAACATCCTCAAGCATGTTGTAGCGGATCTTGAGGCTGTATATACCCTCCATCCATCGCTGGAGATCCTTGAAGCTTCTCGCCAGGAAGACCCGTTCGATGTCCGCGCCACCATAGAACGAGATCTCTTCAGCGTTGGCCAGTAGCCTGGAATGTAGGCTGCGGAAGTCGCCCTCCTTCTTGCCCTCAACAGCCTTCAGCTTCCCGAATGGTGGGGAGAGCTTCCTCAGGACCGCCGCAGTGCTGAAGTAGCCGGTAAGGATACCAGTCAGAGCCAAAGGCCCGAGAGAACGATACAGCTGGTAGTTGAAGACAAACAGGTCCACCATGGGCTTCCCCATGGACGAATAGAGGGCGGCAGCCGCAGAACAGAAAAGAGTCAGGTCTTGCGTAATATACTGGTCCGGGCCTTGGCCGATGCCACCGTCCAGGTTCATCAACTTGTAGTAGTTGTTATCAGCCGTGAGGTAGAGATCATGGATATACCTGGTCAACCGAGTCCGGAACGCGATCGACACCTTCGACTGCAGGAATTTGATCATGGCATTGGTGTAGGATGCAAGGGTGCCGATGCCGCACCATTTGAGGAGACCCCAGGCAAAAGCCCGCCCTTTCCCCTCGACGAGGTCTCTCACGATCTCTCCATCGAGGCGCGCAATCAACAGGGACAGATATGTGCGCAGCAGCAAGAAAACGCCATGCCCCATCAGCAGTCCGGTCTCTTTACTGCTCCATCGCGGGACCATAATGCTCCCGAGACTAAGGAACTGATGAAGGAACGCCAGGTTCAGGCCCGGCTTTGTAGTTGGCGGCGGGATCTGATTCATCGACTCCGCATCGCCCTGACGGGCGGCGGCAGGGGGATTCAAAAACAACCGCCGGTGTGCATCGAACGTCATGAGTTTGGTCGGATAGATCTTGACCTTGGAGGTCATGGAGTCCTTGTAGGGCACGTAGATGGTGCGGGTTCCATCCTTGCCTCGAATGCCGGAATTCCGACGCAGCAATCGTCGCCCCTGCGCACGTTCTTTGGCTCTTTCCCGAACCCATTTGTAGCCCCCGTAGCCAGAACCCAGGATCGATAGAATCAGCGCGACGGTGGCGATGAGTTTGGTTGCTTTGGACGAACGGCCGATCCGGGAGCGAAAAAGACCGGTGTAGTATTTGTACAGGACGGCGAGAGGGTCCTCGCGGTGTCGGAGCGTTGATTGGGCGGCCATCGTTCACAGATGCTTGTGCGTCTCGGGAACCTTGTATCGTGTTGCTTCAGACGGCCCTCTCAGACCAGACTCCTGAGGGCCATTAGGATAGCAGGGGAGCGCCTGTCGGGGGACGCGAGTGGTGGTTCTAGGTTGCGATATAGGACTGGACGCGGTATCAAGGCGGACGAGGAGATAGAATGGTAGAAAAGGAGACCGGTTGTCGAGATCTAGATGACAACTCACTTCAACGGGTCACATTCTGGGGTGAACTGACGGCATTCGAGCTGGAGGAGGGAGAGGTCAGGCATGTGAAGATGCAAGACCTCGGGCCAACAGTGCAATGCGGAGGGGAAGACAAGACAGGGCGCCCTCACGTGCGGAGTCCCCGGACTCTTCCCGTTTGACCCATGAACCCTCGATCGCAAAACCGGTGGGATCGACTGCCAGGATTGATTTCCATCAAACACTCCCTTCGAAGCGACAGTTACAGAAGAGCGTTAGTTCAGCCCCATGACACTGGCCAGTTGTTTTCAAATTAGTACAGTATCTACGATCTTGTGTCGCTCGTCGATGCCTCCTAGCTCGGTGACATCATAGCCAGCTAGATCGAGCAGGGTCGGTCCACTCCAGGGACCATTCTCGGAAGTATTTACAGTGCGTCCTACGAAGGTTCTCGTGTGATAGATACGGAGTACTACTGACAGGAAGAAATCCTCCACAGTCGAACAACATGCTTCCTGCATCTCCTCGTCAACCTCAACCCGTAAGCGCCCGGTTGCCTAAACGGATCATGACCGCTGCAGCTAGGAAGACAGCCCCGATGTCCGATTCGCGCGGTTAGCTATCAAGGAGCACTTGTGGGGACTGGGGAGGGTGAAGCTGCTGCTTAGCCGTTGCCTTCGTCGGGTATCCAGATTCCCATAGGGTATGTATGTAGCGAGCCAGACGGGTTACCGGGCAGATGCGTGCATCGGACTTCGCGATAACTGGTTATTCGAAGAAACTTACTCCATGGATGAAGAATACGGCACTACCCGCAGCATCGTACGATGGAGCATCTCGGCCAAGGCATGATTCTTTCGCCCGGGCGGATCGATCTGCCGTGGACGGATTAAGCTTCAATAGCGGGCGGTCATCTGTGGGATAGAGGAGTTCTTGAACCGTCGCACGAGGTTCGGCACCCTAAGTAAGTAGACTTGAGGCCAGTGCAGACGCCGTAAGACCTTAATCAAGGCACTTGGAATAATCTATTATTCCGGGATTCTTCACATGTTTCGAGTCGTCATGATGTCCATGTGGGGATGGCTGGACGCGGAATTGCATGGTCTCAAATCAAAGACAGGAATGTTGACACTAACTATGTTAATGAATGATAATACCAGTCAGTATTCTTTCTGTAATGCGGGGTCTCAATAGGACGACCGCGAAAGTGGAGATAGCTGGATGGAGATCAGGGATCCATACGAAGGGATTATCACCCACCCATTAATAGTAGGTATCTCCAGTCGCGATAGGGTAGACCTATCTGCAAGCGCTTATTACATGTAGTAGTATATAGTATGTTGCCAGAGTTATCAAGATCGTCCCACAATCAATTATTAAAGTGCAAGGGCGGCCAGTCCAACCCCACACATACCCGACAGACTTGGAATGCCTCGCGCAAAGTGCAAATGACGCGTCTTTGGGCAACCCCGAGTAGATAGTAGATACTGGGCGGATGCAGGGCCATCATTGCCGAAAGCTGCAATAATAATACGATGAAGTGAGAAGAGGATGCCGTCTGTAGGTATAGTATACTCTATACCGGGCTACCGGCATGCAGGTGTATATGTAGGTGGATATTAAGAGCACCGTTCTGCCACGCAGTTGAACGATCGGGTCCTTTCAACAGCTGCACGGACCTATGCTTGTTATACAGCATCTGATTTGCAGCTGTAATCCTGGATGCATGGACTCCGCCCCGGGCGCATTATCCAGTGCTGTACGGATGTAGACTATTGTAAACCAAGACCTACTAGTAGTCTTGGAAGCCGGTGGCAGATTGCTTGGAATACCCAGCATTGGAGTCGAAGATGCTCTGCCATTGTAGCCCGGAGCAGCGGAAAATTCAACCATCGCAGCATGGATTGGTGACAAGACATAGATAGGGTGGACTCCGTAAATACTGCGGGAAATGATGAGAGGACCGGGCAATTAGAATGAGCATCTTTTAAAAACGCCCAATCACAGGCTGTCTTTGGAGGGACTGAGGATGATACGGAGTACGATCAGCTATCTATACGCACGGGTTTGTTAGGCACCCGAGTCCGTTTAGGCTGAAGGCTGGCAGGGATCTCTCCGTCTCCAGACTAGAGGCAAGACATGGCATCCGATGCTAGTCGGTAATAAGGATCACCCACAATAGCCGTAACTTATTCCCTGTTCTTGCCTGCTTTGGTACTGGCGCAGTCAACAGACCACCGTCACCTGGAACGGTGTTCAGGGTCTTGCAGACGGACTCTCATGATTGCTTTCATCATGAGGAGGAATGAGACTGCAGATTCAGTGGTGGTGCAACAGGGATTCTCAACTCTCAACCCAATAGCGACAACAAGGTCATTGCAGCCAGTACTGCGCCTTTGAGCCGTACTTCGGGGTCCTTTTGCTGGTGAACATACTACTATGTACGGTACCGTACCTTGGCAGGCAGAATGGCAGGCAGATATAGTATATACCCCAGTCTTCCTGATGGATGAGTATCCCAGGGCCACCTGCCTCTGGATGCTGATACCATACCCCTGGGGATGCCGCCCGCCGATTCGCCAGGGAAGCGCCCACGGAAAGAACTCGAAGGAGATCCCTGCGCAGGAACAGTAGGTAATACTGTCAGGTATGCGGTGGTATGCAGTCTTTGACAGGGTGTGGTAGTAAACTAAAAGGTCAATTTGATGGCTACGAGAGCCTGAGTCAAGTGGCCTTCCGGATGACTCGTACTGGACGATGCCATACAGTGTAGTGGTGACTCTAGTGAGACAGTGCCATCCCTGTCCTACGCATGTCCATGTACAATCACCTACATACATACATACATACATACTAGAGAGTCAACAGCATTGACACATGGTTCATCCTGCCATTACCTACTTCTAGTAGTGTCTCTATCTAGTAACTACCAGTATCAAGTATCAACAGGTTCCATCCAGGTACGGCAGCATCTCCCATCAAATGGGGCCTTGCACTGGCACTGGCACTCCAAGGCTCCAATTCCCGGACGGACCAGTCAGCGCCCGGCGTGTCTGGCCCCAATTCTGCAGCCCTGCATCTTTCTGGTCCAGACCAGACTTGGCCTGTGTTCGCCCGTCCGTTTTTTTTTTTTTTTTTTTTTTTTTTTTTTTTTTTTCTCTCTGTGTTTTTTTTTCTTTACCCCTTGCCCCCCCGTTCGTCGTTCACACCACCACCCCTACTACTCCAAACCCAGGGGCCAGTGAGAACTGGATGCTGCTCATTAATTAAGGTGATCGCTTCCACCGCACGGGAGCAGTAATAAGTAATTTTATTATTACCTACGTAGTAGAATAGAATAGACCATTCCCCCCCCCATCTCGGGTATTATATTATTGTTATTGTCATTATTTTGATTATTTTGATTAGTAGGTATTATTATTAGCCGTACAGTATTACCCCCCTCTCCCCTCTCCTCTTCCCCCTCTCCTCCTCCCCTTTCCCTTTCCCTTTCCTCACTCTCTCAAACCGGTTAGCCAGTCCAGGAGCTAAAGACAGCCACCGTCCAACACGGTCATTCTCCATCATCAACCGGTTTGCTTGACCCCCCGGGCACCTGGACGGATCCCCTCGACTTGCCTGCCTGCCTGCCTGCCTGCCTGCCTGCCTTCCCTGCTCCTGTCTGTCCGTCGGTCCTGACAGTTGTAGACGCCGTCAGATTGTCATCCCCAGACGCCTTCTTTGCCTACTGCCTACTGCCTACTGCCTTCATTATCGACTAAGCGAAGAGGCACCAGCAATCCAGTCCGATCACCACCGCCGATCCGATTACATCCTGTCGGAGCCCGTTTTAGAGTTCCTTTTCACCTTAACCTCCCTCCCGCTGGCAGCCCCAGTGCAACAACCGATCATACCCTAATCATTTTTACGTTACAACCTTCCTCTCTTTCCACCTCCTATGAAGCACTGCACTAGTCCTTGACCTCAGACCTACGTTCCCTACCTACCTAGCTACTAAACCACCTATCCACCTATTTACCATCTACCCACTACCCACTACTTAAAACCCGTGGTGCACCCTGGCCCGCCACGTGACCTGATCCCCCCCGACAGCCTGCGCTTCCACGCTCGAACCCTCCCCTGCGGCCATCCCCAGACCAACTACCCAGATCGTGCCGGTCGCATATGCTTTTATGCTCGTCTGCCGCCCGGTTTCCTGGACTTTGGAGGGGGGATTGATTGGATTCCCTCATTGCGACAAGTCTTAGTGCTGCGCACTAGCTTCATTCAAGGCGGTGGTCCGGGACCCAGAGCTAAGCAACTTACTACTTAGTAACCTGCCTCCATCCCATCCATCCATCCAGCCATCCAGTACGTGCCAGTCCCAGGAGGCGTGACTGCACTCTCCTGTTCCTTGCCGGCACTTCTCGCCTCCCCCCCCTCCCTCCCCTCCTCCCTCCTTCTCGCCCGAAACCCTGGTGGTCCTTGTCCCGACGACATCTCGTGCCTTCGCCACGCCTTCCTCCCACCCGATTCTGTCCTTGTCGCCCCCGTCACCCTCGCCCTGCTACCCTCAATGCTCGGAGGGAGCTCGGAGCGAGAGTCCTCCCCATCCAACTCAACCGCGTCCACCGGAGAATCACCCATGCCTATCGCAACAGGCCACCCCGACTCAAGTAAGTTTTCCGTCGTCGTGATGTTTCGCGATAAATTCTCCGATGCGCTCGGGTCGCCCGCCTGCGAGAACTCCTGCTGACGCTTTCTTTGTTAGATCCTGAATCGCCGCCTCAGGGCCAGTCCGCCAGCACCGATGTGTCGCCTCCGTCAACCCTAGAGTCCTCCAACCCGACTCCGGCATCCGTCGCTCCGGCCCAGGCCTCTCAAGAGGCTTCTGCAGCCACGTCCGCCGACCCCCCCAAGAAACACACGCTGTTGCCGATTCCGTCGCGTGCATCCTTGAAGGCGGACAGACAATCCACCCTGGACAAAAGCCAAGACACCGCCCACGATGACTCCGAGAATACCCTTCGGGGTTCGAAAAGAAGCATCCTGAAAGGCCGGAGGGACAGGAGCAGAGGCAGCAGTATGAGGTCACGTCGGCAAAACCAGGAGGGGGCCAGCATGGAGGAGGACAAGACGGCGAGTCCGGACCTGCGTGATCCCACCAAGCCGGAAAGGAGGAACAAGGTGTCCTACAGGCTATTTGCCTTCCTGAGCTGCTGCTCCTCCTCGAATGACGACCCGGAAGATGCTGCCATCCCAGCGAAGAGAACTTCCAGACGGCCTTCGGTCCCGAGCACGCAACCCACCCCGGAAAAGACGGACGTCAATGCCGGCGATTCGAGTACCGGGGAATCCAAGGAACAGAACTTCTACCGGGACGAGAAGCCAAACATGACCGTGACGTCGAACCAGTCTATGTCTCAGGTGGACGAAGAGCGCACCGTCACCGCTCCCGAGCATGGCTCGCAGCTCGACGGCACGACGGCACCATCCGGTTCAGCGGAGGCAGATAAAGAAGCTGGCGTTGAATCTCGGGGTCCTGAGGCAGATGAGGGTGCCCAAACCGCGGCCGCTGAAGTGGGCGCTGTTCCCAGCGAACCGGAGGCACAGGCCGAGAAAACGGAGGAGCAGACAATCCCCACGCCAACAGAGAAGGCCGAAGAACCTGTTCCCGAGACCGACGACCTGGTTCAGCCACCGGGGCCCGAAACCAGCCCTGTAGACGAGAAGACAACTTCCCACGATGAAGACGCCGTGTCGCCCACCGAATTGCCTCCTCCCCCGGTAATGCCGCTAGGGAAACAAGCAGAGACCCAGCCGGACGGATCGCCATTTCTCCTGCCTCCAGCTCTCCCTCACCTGCGGGAAAGGAAGTGCTTGGTTCTCGACCTGGATGAAACATTGGTCCACAGCAGCTTCAAGGTCCGCTTTTCTTTTCTTACCGGTTAACGAGGGCTAAACTGACATCGTCGCCAGGTTCTCGAGCGCGCGGATTTCACCATCCCGGTCGAAATTGAGGGTCAGTACCACAACATCTATGTGATCAAGCGGCCCGGGGTCGACCAATTCATGAAACGCGTCGGCGAGCTGTATGAGGTGGTTGTTTTCACCGCTTCCGTATCCAAGGTGAGTCGCTTCAATCTCGCGAAGCTCCAGTCGCTGATGAGTAGTAGTACGGTGACCCTCTGCTCGACCAACTCGACATCCACAATGTTGTCCACCACCGGCTATTCAGAGATAGCTGTTACAACCACCAGGGCAACTACGTCAAGGTTAGTCTTTATAGTGTAGGAGGTGTCTCCTTGTGACATCGATGCTAATGCTTGGCTAGGATCTTTCCCAAGTAGGCCGCGACCTGCGAGACACGATCATCATCGACAACTCTCCGACGTCCTATATTTTCCACCCTCAACATGCGATACCCATCAGCAGCTGGTTCTCTGACGCTCACGATAACGAGCTTCTTGATCTGATTCCTGTTCTTGAAGACCTTGCCGGGGCCCAAGTGAAAGACGTTAGCCTGGTTCTTGACATTGCATTGTAATGCCTGTAACTTTATTCCGTCTGGCATTTGCATTTCAGCCTGCTTATCTTCACCTTGCGGTCCAGTTGGTTTCGTCCGAGAGCCCGATTTTGGTTCCACCAGATGCATGGGATGTCTGCGTCAGGCCATCCTGAGGCCAGTACCAGCCATTTCTCCGGCGTCCAGCAATGCGACCGTTCCCGTGTGAAGATGTGCTTTATTTTTTCTTCCGTTCCCCATTGATTTCCTTGTCACTGCTATGTTTGTCCCAAGCACCGGCCATGTTCCTTGCGCTCCCAGCGAGCAGATACCTGATTACCCCCCTGCCAGTATTGTTTCCTAGTGTGTTGAAGTTCTTGCATTCTGCAGGCGTCTTTCTTGGTCATCAGCCAAAATTTTGCTGATCTCATGTATACGCTCCCCGATTTACATTCCCTCTTTTCTTTCATCTGTCTTTTTTTTTCTTCTCCCCCCCTTTTTTTTGTGCCCCTTTTGTCTACTGCAGCCCTCGAGGCTCAAACCCGCCGTCCTGGTTATTTCCTATCCCTTTATTTTTTGTGCTGGAATATGTGAACCCTAAAAACCTCAGTGTTGTTTGTCGTTAGCACCAAGAGCTTCTGTCTTGGTGACTCCCTAGCGCGTGGCATCCATCTTGAACCGTCTCTCCGAGCGCCTGTCGCTGTTTCTGGTACACGCATAGTCTCATCTCATTGATCCAGAGTCCTCTGCAATGTATATGTACTGATTGGCGTACGTGCTGTACAGAAAAGCGTCCGCCTGCCTTCACGATACAGTCGATCCTGTGTTTGAGTAGTTGAATTGAAAATTTCACGAGACGGGGTTGTAGTAGACTGTAGAAGCCAGAGCAAATAGTGTGTAGAAAGCAACGAATGGCGATGGGGACGGCACACATGTGCTTGATTTCTGAAATGCGCGTTGGGTATATGGGTAGGTAATTTGCACTAGTAAATAATCGTAATAGACTGATTGATGGAGTCAGTCAGTCAGTCAGTCAGTCATCAGTCAGTCGATCGCGGTTTTTTGGGCGGATCAGGATCAGGATCCGGATCCGAATCAGGCGGACTTCAAGCCGCGGCAGGGCAGATCTTCTTCCACTGACATCCCCGCCTCATTCATTCTCCAACCACTCCAACCACCACTACTCCCTACACCACACCACCGACCTCCCCGCTCATCGCAGAACCTCAATAGAACCTCAAATCAAACACCCTCGTTCATCCCACCCCTCCTCTTCTACTCTACTCAACCCAACCCAACCCAACTCGATTCTTGGCATCGTCATACCCGCCCGCCCACTCACCCAGCTCCCCGCCCACCCGCCCGCCTCGTCTCGAATCTTTCGAACCAAAACCAACACCAAACAACCAACCAACGAATACCTCCACACGCGCAAACACAAACGCAAACACAAACCCACAACCGTCGCAACCGCACCCGCGCCCGCAACCGCAACTATTACCGCCACAATGAAGGACCGAAACGGCTGGGACGGAAAACTCCGCGTCGAACCAAAGGCCGTCATCACCAACCCGGAAGCCCTCGAGGACCCGGATTACTCGGATGAGGATGCGCCGCCCGTGGAGGAGATTCAGGCTGATGAGGGTATGTTTGGCTCTGTCTTGTCCTGTCCTGTCCTGTTTGGTTTGGTTCAGTCGAATGCAATACAATGGCCATGCGTGCGTGGTGCTGGAGTTGCGCCAGAAGGAGGGGGAGAGAGGAGGGAGGAGAGGGAGAGGGGGACGTTGAGGATGGGCGATATTGTGGATTGTGGATTGATTGATTGAGTTATTTACTGATGGGCTTGGTACAGATTTATTGGAGGATGAGGATCCGGAGGCTGAGGTATGGCTCTGTTTTTTTTTTCTCTCGTTCTTATGGATGATTCTTGCGGCGCGTTCGGGCGGGGGAGTAGCTCGGAGGGATCGATCAAATGGATCGTCTGACTGACGAAACGAATAAATCTATAGGAAATCGACCTCGTCCACTGTCGCATAGCTTCCATCCCGGCGTTGCGGTTGGAGAGGTTTCCTAAGCTTCAGGTATGCGCCCTCTTCCCTCTCCTCCCCTTACCCATGAGAAACTCATAACAACCCGCGCGCACACCCATCCACATACACGCCACAAACAGCTAACCCATCCTCGCCTCTTCTAAAATCCAGAAAATATGCCTCCGCCAAAACCACATCTCGCGCGTCGACTTCCCGACGAACGTGGCGAAATCGCTGACGGACCTCGATCTCTACGACAACCTGATATCGCACATGAAGGGGCTGGACGAGTTCGAGCACCTGACCAGTCTGGACTTCAGCTTCAATAAGATCAAACACATCAAGAACATCGCGCATCTGGTCAAATTGACGGATCTGTATTTCGTGCAGAATAAGATCACGAGGATTGAGGGGTTGGAGACCTTGGTTGCGTTGAGGAATTTGGAGCTGGGGGCGAATAGGATTAAGGTGAGTTTTGTTATGAACGTGGGTTGGGTGGTTGGGTGGTTGGTCAGGTTGCATGCATGTGGGGATTGGGGGTGGTTATCTAGGTTGGCTGAGCTGACTGACTGGTTGGCTGATTGTGTAGGAAATCGAGAATCTGGATACGCTGGAAGCGCTGCAGGAGCTGTGGCTGGGGAAGAACAAGATTTCCGAGCTGAAGGTATATTACGACTTCCTTTTCGCGTTGTGTTGTGATTGATTGATAGGTCGTGACTAACCGACGAGACAGAACCTCGACGCCCTCTCCAACCTCCGCATCCTATCCATCCAGTCGAACCGTCTCACGAAAATCAGCGGCCTCTCGAAGCTGAAAAACCTGGAGGAACTGTACGTCTCGCATAACGCGATCACCGACCTCGCTGGCCTGGAGGAGAACACGTCGCTGCGCGTGCTGGACTTCTCCAACAACCAGGTCTCCAAGCTCGAGCACCTGTCTCATCTGAAACAGCTGGAGGAACTGTGGGCGTCCAACAACCAGCTGGCCAACTTCGATGAGGTGGAGCGCGAGCTCCGCGACAAGGAGAACCTGCAGACCGTGTATTTCGAGGGAAACCCGTTGCAGCTGAGAGCTCCCGCGCTTTATCGGAATAAGGTCCGGTTGGCGATACCGCATATTATGCAGGTTGATGCGAGTGAGTTTCTTTCTTTCTTTCTTTCTTTCTTTCTTTCTTTCTTTCTTTCTTTCTTTCTTTCTTTCTTTCTTTCTTTCTTTCTTTCTTTCTTTCTTCCTTCTGGGTCTTGTTTTGTTTGTGTGCTTGGATGCTGATGAATTACTGTAGCGTATATCCGGGTCACCTAGACGGAGGACGGTTACTCTGCATCCCATCCATACGATAGGACTTTCTCTCTCTCTCTCTCTCTCTCTCTCTCTCTCTCACTCTCACGACCTCCCCATCTCCTAGGCTTATGTTATGATATACGATGTGACGTATTCAGTAATTATACAGAACCCATAATGTACATGAGAAGTAGACCAGCCCCTCTCCACTTCAAGTCAACCTCACACCATCCCACACCTCCCTAGTTAGTAGTCCAGTCCAGCCCAGTCCAGTCCAGTCCAGCCCAACCCAGTCCCTAGGTCCTAGATCCTAGATCCTAGGTCCTAAATCTCAGATCCAGATCCAGATCCTACTCCCTCCCCTCCCCCCTCCACAACCCACGGCATCTCCATCCATGCCTCCCTCTCAGCCCCAACCCCAGCATCCCCCTCCGTCCCCCGCCCATGCCCATCTCCATGCCCATCTCCATCTCCATCTCCATCTCCATCTCTATCCCTCCCCCCTCTAAACCCTCCTCCGACTCCACCCCAACATCAACCCCATCAAACTCGCCCCCCCCATCCCCTTCATCCCATCCCGCATCCTCCCCTTCTGATGCCCGGACAAGAACTCCTTGCGCCGCCGCGGCCCGTCCGCCAGCTCCGCCATCGGGATCCCCGTCTTCAGGAGGTCCGTCCACATCCGCCCGTTGAGGCTCTTGTCCACGTGGAAGAACGAGTGGTATGCGTTGCGGTTCATCGCCGCCATGTGGTTGTGTTGGCTTGTTTCGAGGGAGCAGGTTATGGTGCGGGGGGTTGTTGATGGGTGTGGATGTGGATGGGGTGTGGATGGGGTGGGGGGAGGATGTGGATGTGGATGTGGATGGGATGGGGGGAAGGATGAGGGGAGGATGTGGATGTGGGTGTGGAGGGAATCGGAACCGTCATCGTCGCAGCGAAGACCGCGGCGTCGGCGGCGGCGGGGGACTCGAACATGGCGATTGTGTTTGTGCCCGCGTTGGGGCTTCTGTTTGTTGGTTCGTGCTGGGTTGGGTGGTTGGGTGGTTAGCTTAGCTGGACTGGACTGGGTGTTGGTTGGGTTGGGTTGGGTTGGATTTGGTTGGATTGGATTGGATTGGATTGGATTTGTGAGGTGAGGTGAGGGGAGGTAAGGTGAGGTAAGGTGAGGGGAGAGGAAAATAGATTGGATGTGGGAGAGGGGGGTAGGGTTAGGATGAATTGCTTGGGTGATATAGGGACACTCGGGCTCACCCTCAGGTTCCGGAACAAGATGACTTCGCCGAATTTCTGTAGCGCGGCGAGCACGAGTCTGCTTTCCGTGAGGTTGCGAGGTTGGGGCGTCATTTTGACGTGGATGGTTCGGAAAGATGCTGCCATGGCGGGGTGGGGGTTGACTTTGGGGGTTGGAACTTTTCAGTTGGGGGGGATGGGCGTGGTGGTAGGAAGGGATGAAGTGGTGTGAATAGATATTAATAAATATAGAGGTGGAGGTGGAGGTGGAAATGTAGAGGGAGAAGGGAGAAGGACGGAGATGGAGAAGAAGAGGAGAAATACAGCGGTTATCGCGATCTTGGCGTGATGGGTTGGTTATCTTATCCACATCTACTACATCGGGACATCGATCCACAATAATGACAGCATCAACAACATCAACATTCAGATAAATTCCATTCAAATCATATGTATATACCCTCACCCACAATCTAAAAGATAGGAATATCCAGCCCATACTACACCAGAAGTCAGCCTACCGATTCCCCACAAACACAAATCAACAGAAAGAAAAAAAAAAAAGAGAAAAACTCACCCCAATCGGATCATTAAACCTCAACCCCTGATCCAACGCCGCAATAGCCTGCACCTCCCCCTCCTCCAGATCCCACCCCGTGACATCCAAATTCTGCCTCAAACGCTGCGGATCATTGCTCTTGGGAATAACCGCCACGCCCCTCTGCGTAGCCCAGCGCAACAGAACCTGCGCGGGAGTCCTCCCACACCTCTGCGCCACCTTCCTGACAACCTCATGCTCAAACAACGGCGGCGTACTCACCGCATCCCTCACGTCGAGCTCCAAAAAGCTCAGGGGCCCGAAACTGCTATACGCCGTGACCGTCAGGCCCTGCTTCTGCGCAAAGTCCACCAGGCGCGTCTGCGTCAGGTACGGATGGTGTTCGATCTGCAGCGTCGCGGGCCGGATGCGCGCGTACCGCAGCAGATCCATGACCAGCTGGGCGCTGAAGTTGCTGATGCCGATGCTGCGCGCGAGGCCCTTGTCGACGAGCGACTCCATCGCCGTCCAGGTTTCTTGGATGCTGGCGGGGCTGAATTCGAGTTCGTCGGACGCGGATTTCCACCCCGGCGGGTAGCGGATCGCGGGGTCGACGTATTTGAGTGCGATCGGGAAGTGTACGATGTAGAGGTCGAAGTAGTCGATGCCCCAGTCGGCGAGCTGTTTGCGGCAGATGGGTTCGACTTGGGGCCCGTCGTGGAAGCTGTTCCACAGTTTGCTGACGATGAAGAGGTCGGAGCGTTGGACCAGGCCGTCTTTGATGGCCCGCGCAATGCCTTGGCCGGCCTCGACTTCGTTGCCGTAGTCTGGGGTTGGGTGTAGAGTGTAAGTGTGAAGTGTTGTAGTGTTGGATGGACGGGCGATTGGCTTACCGCATGCTCCGTCGAATAGACGGTATCCCTCCTTGATGGCGTGGTAGACCTGGTCCGCGCAGGTGTCGTTGTTCACCTTCCAGAGCCCGAAGCCCACGAGGGGCATGTCGTAGCCGCTGTTCAGCTTGACGGTGGGGGAGGCCATGGTGAATTTGGATTTGGATCTGGGGTTGGGGTTGGGGTTGGAGAGAAGAGAGATGAGAGATGTCCAGGAGATGAGGGAACAAACGGGGTTAAGAGGGGAATGGCCGCCCCGCCATCCTCGCATTCGCAAACGTCAGGCATGGAGGCTAAATGATGCCGCCGCGGCTGTATTGATGCCGGCGAAAGGCCCTCCGGCTAAATGGCGAGCCCGGCTAAATGCTAACCCTAGAATTGGCCGATTCGATGGGGACTTGTGGACAGGATTTATCGAAATAATGAAGGAAGGAAGGCTTTGATGATAAACAATTAATTCAACACAAGGTATCAAAGAGTTATATTATACACTGCCAGAAGGAAACCCCACCCGCCCCGGATGGTCATTACAAGTACTTTTTGCCATAATTATCATTAAGTAAACCAGCCCCGTCGTCCACCCTCTGCCCTTCAAATCGCCTGCACCGTATTGCTCTCCGCGTAAGCTGAATGCGTGTGGTCGTGTCCTCCCCCGTTCATCTCCCCCGGCATGCTCCCGACCAGCTTCTCCAGATCGTCGGGCAGTATGCCCTCAAAGCCGTGGTGGTGGCTGGCATGCGACTCTCCGCGAGGGCCCGCACCCTGGTGATCCGACGATGGGAAGTGAAGGTGGGTGTAGTTGTTTCCGCTCATGTCACCGTGGATCGCCGATGTTGTTGGCGTCGCCCAAGCCGCGTGGCTGTGGCCGATATCGTCGATGGACGGTCCGCTTGAGGCAAAGATGCTGTTCAGCATGCTGTTGTTGTCGTGCATGCTGACCCCGTGTGTCTGGGATGGGACGTAGTGGCCATCGTGACCAAGGTTGTATCCGCCAAGGTTGGGGTGGCCCAGAGAGAGGTCAGGCACGCTGTTGAGCATTACTGGTCCTCCCGTGGACCCAGCGAGACTCGTCGGCTGACTGGTTTCTTGTGGCTGGAGGTTGGGGAAGTGATCCAGCACCGACGTGACGGCGGTCTTGTCGCCCAGGCGATCTTCAGATCGGGGAATGGAGCCGAGCAGATCGAAGGGGCCGTTGAACATGTGGGCAACGCTGTCTTGGGCCGTTGGGTACAGAGGCCAGTGGGGCTGAGAGACGCCGTGGCTATGGAGCAACTCGTGAGGTTGAGTCTGGTGGTAGGCGCTTGGACTGGGGCGGTTCAACAGCATTGTATCGGCGAAGGACAACGGAGGAAGATCGATGCCCGGCGCTGCCTTGGGACTGCTGTGCGAGATCCGCTCGGGCTGAGGGATAACTCTACGCCACGTAGTGGTGCCAACCTCACCGGGCCTTGTCTGTCGGAACTTCCACAGAAGGATCGCAACTCTCTTTCTCTCTTCCACGGGGTGCCCAGAGTAAGGGTTGGACATGCGACGCGAGCTGTAGGGCACCGTAGCCCGGATCTCCTGAACTACGGTCAGGGAGCGAAGGAACTCCCGGGCTTGCTCAGGGGCGTGATGGTTTCCAGCGCGCTCGGCCATCTTTTGGTCCTGGGTGAGCTGGGTGAAGAGGTTTGCCCACCATTTTGATTCGAATAGAGGCTTGACTTTGGTGTGCACCGGCCTCGCGACTTCTTGACGGCCTTGGTATGTTTCTTGGCCGCCCTCGTACATGTAAGTTTTACAAGTCCAGTTTTCCATCTGATTGACCATAGGCACAGCCCCGGTCGTGGCTTGGGCGAAGTCCATCTCCAAGTGGATTCCAAGTTTCGAGTGGGCAGGGGGGAAGTCGTCCATGAGCTCCAGGTTCGCTTCAACAAGGATGATCTCGCATTCTGGCGATGTGTTCGGGTTCGCCATCAGCGTGTTGAGGTGCGGGAAAGAGGTTTGCCAGTCCCTCACGTCCCTCAGAGCAACAGGTGCGACAGGGTGGCGCTGGTCATCTTGCAGGCGGCTGTACTTGTGGATCGCGTCGTCGATACGGTCAGGCTTGTCTGGAGCGCTGACCCACATGTCAAACCCGAGACCTTGCACTGTGTTGATGTTCGAGTTGAGGGAGAGAGGCGGCGGGGGAGGTCTCCTGTATAGGCCTGTCTCAAAGGATCATGATAGGTGGTGTGGAGGTGATTGCCATAATGACTTGACAAGGGAGGGTCCATGGAAGCCCTCCATCTTGGACCAGAGGGCGGATGTTGGTTGTTCGAGCGGACGGCCGCCTCTTCACGTACAAGTCGTTCCCCTGCACCGGTTAGACGAGCTCAGCGGTTTGGAAGGGATGGCTTACAATCGGGGTCTCCTTTGAGGAACGAGTCGAGGACTTGCAAGTGACTGGACACTTGCTTTCTGGTTCTTCGCTTACCAGTCTTCTTGTAGATGAACTCAGCAATGAGCTCATTTCGACCATATGACTTTCCTCGTTCTGACCATTTCCGTCGGCCCATTGGCGGATTCGCTTCGAGAGCTATCACAAATCAATATTTGACTTCACTCATCCTGGGGTAGTGCTCACCTTGTTGAAACGCGTCCTCAAGCTCGTCCGACCATACCGGTTCCCCATCCTTGCCCGTGTCACGACGAGGTCGAGCCCTGTACTCGAGGTACTTCTGGGACCTGAGATAGCTTCTGGGCCTGCTACGAGGACCGATTAGGCTGGGCCCGAACGAATGCAAGCGCCGCAGTTTCTTTGTCTGGAGTCGGAGGTTCTGAGGGGGCTGAAGGGTGGGAACAGTGGGCACTGGATGTGTTGGAACTGGGGGTTGAGGATACTTGAAAGCAAGTTGCTGCAGCTGGTCATCCCGACCAGCCGTGCCGTGTGCGAGGTCAGAGTACGTCTGGACGTTCCCAGATGTGTTCTGCAAGGCTCTGTCTGTATGGGCTCCTATGCTCTCAAGAGTCGGCTGGTGTTGAGGCACGATACACTCGGTTTGCCAGTCAGTAGCCATCGAGCGGACCACGGGGGGGTTGCTCTTGTAAGGAATGACGAGGAATTCCAGCGAGATGGGGTTATGAGGACCGTAAAATGCTTACTACTGTCTGCAAAGAACGCAGCAGTTGCAGCCCGGCAATCAAGAACGTAGATGCTTGGAGAGAATGTAAGAACTAAGAGAGAGAATGTGAGAGCGAGCAGCATGGTGTTTATAGGAACCCATTTCCTCCCTGGAGAGGGAGGCCTAGTGACATTGCTGGATCGCGGTGCCTGTTGATGCACCACCCCTCGAGGGCAACCTGACTGTTCAAGGCGGGGGAAAGGGAATCCCCTCCCCTCTTCACGCGTCCGGATCCAGCGATGGGCGTAGGAACAGCCTGCACGGGCAAATCAGGAGGGAAGGAACCAAACCATGGCACGGCCGGAGGATTAATGCAAGGGGCCCTCAGGGAGCACGAACCAGTGAGCTGCTGCCCGGAGCTTTTCATTGCACGAGACGAGCATTGACTGCTGCTTCAGAAGGCAGGTACCAGCAACCTGCCTGACGCCGCCGTGGCGAAGGCCATCCTCCGGAATGGGCGATGGCCAACGACATCATCCGTCGTCTGGGGAGTGGAATGCAGCGCTAATTACGTAGATCAGGTCGGAATGCAGGCTGGAGGGCGCCAGCTCTATTCTCACGTTGATATCCAGGGTCCGAGGAACTAGAGGTATAAGGAGTTAAGGGAAGAAAGCCTTGAATTCGCGAGGATCATGAACCTGCCATGGGATGACAGGATAGACTCAGGATAGGGCTCCTGCACCTGCACGAGCGACAGGAACCTCTGCAGGACGCGCGCGTATGTACGTGTTGACAGCCGCAGGGAACGTGTAGACCTGCTTCCGCGCACCATGTTCAGCGTCTCGGACGCAAGGGGTATTATCAGGAAACCACGCCATTGCCATTGTCTGTCCCTACTAACAGGGAGCAAGTGAAGGGACTCTAGGCCTCTTCGTCGTCCTGGGCCCCTACAGTGAACTTCTTGCGGCCAGGGCCGGAAAGTTTTTGCAGCTTGACCCTGTCCACCTGCTCCCCTACCTTCTTCTCGATCTGTCTGATCTCGTCCTCCGCGTCGATCGCCTCCTCGTTTGCAAATTCCAGCACCAACTTTCTGCCCAACAAATGGGTGCTCTTCAGCGCGTCCATGGCATTTTCCGCTTCGCGAGCGCTTACAAAATCCGCAAAACCGAAACCACGAGCCGTCCTGTCGAACTTCTGAGGAACCCGCACGGAGCGCAGCTGCCCGTAGGCACCAAAGAGTGACCGGATGTCCTTCTTGGTGGCCTGGAACGGCAAGTTCTTAATGATGATCTTCGTCCTTCTGGCGGCAATCTTCTTCGCCGTGTCCTCGCGCCTCCGCTCCTCAGCGGCATCCATTCCACGATGAGACACCCTAACTACCAGTTCATGTTGGTCGAGCTTGTAGCCATTCATGGCAGAAAGAGCGGCCTGGGCTTGGGCCTTCAGCCTGAACTCAACAAAGCCGAAACCCATGCTGAGCGTCTGTCCAGGCCGTTTCGGATCCGGTTTGGTTTTAATTCGGGCAGAGACAAAGCCATCCAGCGGGCGAAAGAGGTCCACAAAACTTTGGTTTGTCGTAGCAAAGTTGAGGTTCTTTACGAAAAGGGTTGTAGTGGGTGCGAGATGATCGTCAGTTTCTTCGGCTGCGAACGTATCAGCCGTTGAGAAACCCTGTGAGACAGCCTTAGTCTCGAGGGTGGGCTTCTGCGGCGCTGCTGTTCCATCAAACAGGTCCTTGGGAGCCTTCTCCAGGAAGAGAATTGAGTCTCCAAGTTTGCGGTAGGCAAGACTCTTGAAAGCCTTCTGCGCCTCGTCCGGCCTTCCAAACTCAACAATGGCTATCGTCCCACTGGGAGGCATGAGTAGCCTTGTGATTTGTCCGAAGGGATCAAACAGTTTCCTGATCTCCTCGGTCTTGACGCCATACGAAAAGTTCTTTACTAAGATAGCAGTGTTTCCACGCTCTCGCTGTTTGAAGGCTTCGATGTTAACGCCATTAGCGGAGAAGTAGGCTTTCGTCTCTTGGATTACGTGGGTTTCAGCGTGAGCCTGCTTGACTGCGGCATCGGATGAGGTGGGATCCAAGAGATCCGACTTGGTGACACCAAGTCTCTCGGCTACCGAAGACATAACAGCATCAGCCTAGGCTTGTTAGCACATGGTATACATTTAGCCACTCGGGATCAACTCACGTTCATATACAGCGAGTTCCAGCTGAACGAGGAAGATGTAGCATCTAGCTTCCGCTTAATCTGCTTTTGCTTCTTCAAAGGCAGCTTTGCCAACTCAGCATCATCGATCTTGTAGGTCTTCTTCGCAGCGGCCGGCAGAATGTGCATTAAGCGGCCCTGGAAGTGTTTCCCGTCAAGACTTTTGTAGGCCTCTACGGCCGCATCAGCCTCGAGGAACTGAATGTAGGCAAATCCCTTGCTGGTATTATGCCGGGTATCGAAAGCAACGTGAATCTGGTATCATTAGTATCAAGCAGAAAACTAATGTGTAAAAAGCAATAAAGTGAAGGTGTAGCTCATCAGATAACAAGAGGCATCTACTAAAATTCTCTTTCCTGTTCGCATCATATGCTTTTGCATCTGATGTCCCTATCAGGTCGATCATCATTGAGCGAGGGAGGGGTTGGATAAAAGACATGCACAACGATATAATAAAATGGGGATATACGAACCTCTTCGATTCTGCCGAACGGAGCAAATAGCGGCTGAAGATCCGACTCCTTTGTATCGAAAGCAAGGTTCCTCAAGAAGAGACGCGCCGACAGTTGGATACTTTCAATATTCGTGTCAACCTCCGGCTCCTTCGCTGTTTTACGAGCATCCGTCTCGGGGGGAGCGACAATCTGAGCGTCTCTGGAGTCGTCATTCGACTCGTCTGCTTCCTCAACAGGAGCAGGGGTCCTTTCCGGCGCCGGAGCACCAAGGTCCACCTGCTCATCCTCGTCGAGCAGACCGAGGAGGCGGCTCGTCTTCGAGCGGAGCCAGTCGGCATCAGAGACCGGTCCCACCTCAGCCTGAGCGGCAGGCTCGTCTTGCTCCGCCGGAGGTTCGGAATCACCCTCTCCACTGGCGTCGACAACCATCGGCTCAGATGACACAACCTCTTCAGGGACAGCAGCTGGTGTCTCCTTGGGAGGGATGTAGTCATCGCCGAGCTTGGCCTTCTTCCTCTGTGCGTAGGTGAGGTCCTGGGGCTCCTCCTCTTCCTCTTCGACGGGCCTGTCTGCAGGTGAGTCATTCTGAGCCGGCGTCGGCACAGCAAAATCGTTCGCCCATGTCTTGGTCTTGGATGAGTGGTTCATTACAGACATATACTCCTCCAGCTTGGCATCCGGAGCATTGTCACCATCGCGCTTACGCTTGAGGTGGGCTCCTGTGGCATCGCCATCAAAGGCCTGGTTATCACGCCTCCCACCCTTGTGAGAAGGTTCGGCATCGATCTACAAGATTACTGGTCAGTTCCAAGACCACCTTAACTGTCAGCGGGGAAGACAAAAAAAAGAAAAACAAGCAGGCGTGGTGTGATCGCACGGGGTACATACCGGCTTAGCAATGTCTACTGAGATCTTGGACATCTTCATGTAGGTCTTGTTGAAGTAAGAAACGGCCTGCTGAGCCACCTCGTGGCTCTTGAAGCCCACGAACCCAATGCGGCGCTTGGGCAATACATGAGCGTCCGTGACTTGGAAACGAGTAGCGAAATGCTTTCTCAATTGGTCATCAGAGAAAGTGGGCGGGAGGCCAGAGACGAATACTCTGGTGCTCTCCATGATTGCGTCTAATTCTCTGTGTGCCACAGGAATTATTCTGTGGAAGAAGAACTCCGGGAGAAAAAATCTGAGGGAAAATTGTTTTTTTGCTTCCTTATAGTGCCGAGGGCGGTGTGGAAGGCGGGCGTGGGGCCCGTGTCCGCATCCGCGCCGCTGCGGCGCAATTGTCTCCCAATACTCCGTACTCTTCTTATTGGGCTTCATCTGGGAGCGTTGGTGCCGACTGTTTGTTCGATACTTAGTCCTTGCTTGAAACCCCTGTCTCTTCTTCCCACCACACGTCTTCCGAAAGGACAATCCCAGCAAAATGGCGAGCGAAAAGAAGGATAAGCTTGAGCGTGAGTACTGCAACGCAGCCCATCGTGACCCCGACTAACATGATCGTTCAGCGCAGATCAAGTCCGTCGATATGGTAAGGAGGCTATGATACCCATGGGGAGGGGGAGCTCTGCTCACGATATACTAGACGGAGGACATGCAACAGGAGGCTGTTGAAGTTGGTATGGTCAGCTCCGGGGATCATTATCTGGAGACGGGCTAATACGATGGCTAGCGATCGAGGCAATGGACAAGTACCACATTGAGAAGGTTTGTGCAGCGTCCGTCATCCACGGCCTTTGCTAACGGCAGCAGGACATCGCCCAGTACATAAAGAGAGAGGTCGGTGATGCGTCCTGTCCCTGAGGCGCAGCTTCGCTCACATCCCACAGTTTGACTCGCGCAAGGGCGCGACATGGCACTGCGTGGTCGGAAGGAACTTCGGCAGCTTTGTTACGCATGGTGAGTGTAGTGCATCTATCTCAGGGGTATCCGCAGCTGACACCGTCCAGAAACCAAACACTTCATCTACTTCTACCTCGGACACTGCGCGATTCTCCTCTTCAAGACCCAATAAACACCGGGCGATGCACGCCCAGTGCGGTCCAATCCAGCGATTCCTGTATCTATCTCGGATAATATTCGCAGGGAGTCATGCCGTGGCAAGTCTCTAAAATAATGGAGGGAGGGGGGGATCAGAATAGGGATACGGTCCAGAACCAGGGGGGGGGGGGGGGGCTGTGGGTTGCCTCGAGGGCATAGCACGGCGGTGACGGGGATGGGAGTCTTCCACGCACATGCCACTTGATTTCACTCCTGTGTTATAATCAGTTCAGAATGGCCTTGTCAATATAAATTTACGCAGTTGTGTACATGCAGCAGCAACCAGCCGTAGACACGTAGTAGCTCGAGTATGGACGTCGACAGCACAGCTGTATTAGTTATATGTACAACCCGGCATGACTCGAGCGGAATGCCCAGCTCCGCGCCAAGCCACAGCGCCACACGTCAGCCCCAACCACTTAATCCGGCTGCCTCCTACCATTCATCCCTCCTGAGTCCTCAGTAGTATATTCACTGACCAGATCCAGAGCTCACGATCGATCCCAAATCTCACTCTTCTCAAGCCAACTCCACCACGATCCGTAATCATGGCCATCTGCATCACCTTCGGGACACACGGTACGTACCTCCTTTCTCCACCCGACCCCCGAATCGCCTCATGGATATCGATTCCACCCCGAGCGGGTGGACCACCTGGGCCCAAGCTAACCCCAATCTCCCCACCCCCCCCCCCTTTAGAATTCACCTCCATGCTAGAAGGCTACGAGAACGTCCGCGCGTACTGCTATAACTGTGAGTTCAACCTTTCTCATCTATCCATCTACTTTACCTCCCCGATACAAATCATACATGCAGAGGGGACTACGTCACTACCTTCCTAGTGCAGCCTCGCCGTAATTAAATTTAGCTCTGTTATTGTTCCTGACCCAGTTAATTATTGCTTACTTACCTTCATATGATTTAGGTCAGCATTGGAATGGACATTGTTTGACGAGATGGTGCGTACTTCGAATAAGCTTGAGCTTACCTTTGTTGGTGTGTGTACGTGTGGGATTGCTAATAGTTATCTAGGCCGTGGTTCACCGTTTGCTTTGTTGTATGTGTCTCTCGCCTGGCGGCCTTGCTGCTTCGAGATGGATCTATACATCCATCCATCCATCCATCCATTATCCAGCATTCATCAATCCCTCTCATCTGGAATCTGACCTTGCCTTACTAACCCTCTCATTTTTCTACTTGCAATATAGCCCGTCATTCCCCTCGCCATGCATAAATATAAGGTCCGCCGCCCTCCCCTCCTTCTTCCCCCATTCTCCCTCCCATACAAAAAACCCCCAATTCCAAACTAAACCCCCTCAACAGGAAGTAACCTGCTACACATGTCGCTTCACGCAAGATCTCCGGTATGACCACCCACCACCACCACCACCACCACCATCGTCACCACTACCCAGCACCTCCCACATCGCCAATTAACAACAGCCCAGCAAACAGCCACATACCTAACTAACCATACCCCCGCTAACTATCCATATCTACCACAGTGACCGTCCAGAAATAACACCCGAAACAAGACCTCCTCCAGGAGTTGTACCGGGCCAGTTACCACATCCCCAGGTGTATTCGGGCGGCGCGCCGTTTTATCCGCCCCCGGGGCAAGGGCAGCAGGTGATGGGTCCGCCGCCGCAGGCGTCCGGGGCGGTGGGCACGGGGGAGCAGCAGCAGGGGCATGTTTATAAGTAAAGTAGTGAGGAGGAAGGGGTGGTCTATGATGGGTTGATAGTTGGGTGGAGTTGAGGTTGATGTTGGGGTTAGGGCTGGGGGTGAAGGTTATCATGTTTATGTCCATGTGTGCTGGTTGTTCGGTTGTTTGTATGGATACGATATCTCTTGTTTTCGCGTCTGCGTTTTGCTTTGCCTGTGCTTTGCTTGTGTTTTACCTGGGGTTGATGGGGTGAATGAACGTGATTTGAGTTGGACTTATTTACTCGGATGGGATGGGATGGGATGGGATGGAATGGAATGAATGGAATGCATTTTGTTGCAGGATTACTATCTTGCCAAAAACAACTAAACAAATACTATATACAGTAACGAATGGGGTATATCCAAAACCAACAAACCAACCAGCCAGCCAGCCAGCCAGCCAACCAGTCACAAACCCAGCACAACCCGACATAAACAGTATATCATCCCACCACCATAAAGAGCCCGAACGAAGAAACTGACACCATCACAGTCCCTATTGACCAAAGCAGCCACTCTTCTTCTATTTAGCCAACACCTCCTTCTCCACCACCGGCGTCTGCACCCCCGAGACATTCTCACTCTCACCATTCTGATTCACCTCCCCCATCCCCACAATGGCCTTCCTTCTGCCCCCTCTCCCCACCAAATCCAACCCCATCAATCTCACCGTCCGCACAATACTCTCCCGTCCCTCATACAGCGGGAAAATCACCACGCCAAACGTCGTACAAAACAGCCAAAGCAAACCCACAACCACCCAGCCCGTGAAGAACTTCTTGCTGAAGACGTACGAGCTGCCGTACATGGGGATGGGCCAAAGGATGAGGAAGCAGAAGACCATGGCGATGGTGAGGGTGCGCGAGTACAGGGCGGCGCGGTTGAGCTTGCGGGTTTCGTCGTCTTCCTGGGCGGGCGACTGGGTGGTCGGGTTGAGTTCGCTGGGGATGAGCTCTGGGTCGGTGGAGGCGGAGGCGTCGGAGTCGTCGACACGACGGATGGCCCGCATGGTTTCGTAGTCGTAGTTTTGGGAGCCGAAGATGAAGGTTAGGGCTGGAGAGATGACGATGGGGCTGAGGAGCGCGGCGACGTTGCCGGCGAGCATTGGGTAGCTTTTTTTTTTTGGTGGTGTTAGCGATGGGTATTTGGTTGGTAAAGGGGTAGGAGGGAGGGCTTACTTTGAGCCGGTGGTGGTGACGTTGAAGACACCGTACTGTGTCTTTGTCGTTACGAGCCAGGCGATGAGAGATACGGCCAGACCGAGAGGGGGCGAGACGGCCGCTGCGATCCAGTTCTGGTGCTTCCAGATCAGGGTCATTGCGCCGGGGAAGACCGCGGAGGAGATGATCACCCCCATCAGCAGATATAGATAGCCCATGCCGATGCCGGCGTAGTAGAGACCCGTCGCGAAGCTGGCCATCGCAACCGCCCAGAAGATACAGGTCATGTGGGAGACCCAGACGAGCCGCTTTCCCTTGGCGGATGGGTCGATGTAGGCCTGGTAGATGTCGTAGGTAAAGATGGAGGAGACGGCGATCAGCTGGGCGGAGAAGGCGGAGGTGACGGCCATGAAGATCATGATCGTTGTGCACACGGCGCCGCTGTGGCCGAGGAGCTTCACGGCAGCGAATGGCAGCACGAGGCCAGCTGTGACGTCCTCCGAGCTCAGGCGCTGAGAGCCCTCGAGCGCTAGAGCGGTCATGCCCATGGTGCTGGCGCACAGCCAGGGGATCGCAAACCAGCAAAGACCACCAATGACATATCCGGGGAAAGCGTGCACCGGGCTTGCGGCGATGGCCTTGTTGTAGTACCCATTGTCGAGGAACACGGTACTATTCTGAGTTAGCAAGCGTTGCTAGGGATAGATGTTGCGACGTCCACGAACCCAAAGTTGCCAACCAGGTTGATGATCCAGAAGATTCCACCCTCCTTCGACCGCATGGTGAGATAGCTTCCCTCGGCATTGCCCTCGATCGGGTGGGATTTCCCCGCTGCCACCAGCGCTTCATACACGGCCCCAGGAGAACCCAGCTTGTCGCTAGTCGCATAGGCCGAGAAGGAGAAGATGAAGATTACGACGATAATCACCACCGTGTGCATGTAGTCCGTGAGAAACGTGGCCTTGATACCACCGAACAGGGTGTAGAGCACGACACCAATCGGCAGGAGGTAACAGGCTGCAACTGTGTTCACTCCGGTCAGAGATGTCAAGACGGCCGAGCCACCCGTGAGCAACATGGCCGTCACGAGGATATTGGTCATCAAGCAGAAGACGATGAAGACGACATGCACGGTGGTTCCGTATCGGGCGCGGACGGCTTCCAGGAAGGTATGTGCGTTTGGAGCCCGGCGTTTGAGCTCGATGGCCAGCGTCGCGAACAGGATGATCTGAACCGTGGCGCCTGTATTCATTGTCAGCCATTGAACTAAGCCCAGATGTCCTTTTCCAAAATAGTACCTGACGCATAGAAGAATGGACCGGAGATGCCGTATTCGTAGGCCACGGTTGTTGATTGAAGGAGAGTTGCTGCCCATGTCCAACTACTGACGACTGCAGCGGCGACCAAGCCCGACTTGACGGATCTTCCTGCTGTTGAGAACATCTCCGACGTCTGAACCTCATGTTGGTATCTATAGCGTGACGACGAGTTAGCTGCCACATGAATTTACAAGACGAAGGATCCAGTGTACGATGCAAACCCAGATTCAAGGGGTGCATACCGTTTCAGGGCCCAGGTGATGAAGATCATCAGCAGGGCAAAGGCAAAGCCCAGGCCAATGATTATGCCATAGCCAAACCCTTGTGAGAGGGGTGCGGTGAAGGAGACCGTGTCCGAGGATGAGGGCATGTTGGCAACGTACAGAACGAAGCTTTGCTATGGAGGTATAATGGCTGGAAGAGACAAGGCGATGAGGCAGGCGGCAAAGGCAAGAACATATAGGCAGCCAGGCCCTTTGGAAACCTCCGACCTCGCAGACATCCCTGTGATCAGCGGAAGTACCATCCAGCCCGGATGACTACCCTCTGCATATCATTGGATCCAAGCATTGAAGCATGGCAAAGGAAACCGACCGATTGATAAGAGCAGCCATGACAGTTGTTTCGTAATTTGGTAGCATCAGATGCGAGACGGGACTGGCACCAATTGGTCCGACGGAGGCGAGCTAGATAATCCAGCTCGTTAACCTTTTTTGTGATTGCCGAAGGATACGCATTGAGCCTGGAGGACCCCATCCAGTGCATCCACAACATTGCAGGTTGGATCTGGGATACTATCAAATGTCCCGCGCTCGGACGCGTTATTGGCGAGCCGAGAACCGGCCTTATCAGCGGAGGTCAGCGCGCGACGGCCATTGGTGGTTGTGGGCAGTGGAGGGCGGGAGGTGATAAGGAGTGGCCCTCAGTGGCCCTCAGTGGCTCCCTGCTCTCCCTCCCGGTGGCCGTCGCCCAGATAGATAACTAAGCGGCCGGCGGCCTCAGAGATAACGCAGTAATGCCAAGAGCTCCGACTGGTTCGGGGGAGGCCCGCAGAGAGGCCCGCGGTGATAACGCTCTCGCAAGAATTGCAATTGCCTTACTCGATCCTGCCACTAATGCTTTGGTCCCTTCCCCACCGCGGAGTTGGAGTTGGCCTCGTGGAAGCTGGGGAATATTCCATCCATCCATCCTGGTTCAACCTTGATTGGCTGGCCTTGATTGTATGCTTTGCATCTCAGGCACAGAGTGCTACCTGTGTACTATGCCAAACACTGGGTGGATCATGACTGTCAGATGTGTACTTCCTGTTATTTATGCAGGAACATATCCTCTGCTAGCTAGCAGTCTTTTACTCCATACACCGCACTAAATGATTGTGTTGGCACTATCTCCCGGGTACACTGCATCCAGTGGTTTTTCTTTATACCCGGCTGCGTGCGTATGCCTTTCTAGTCTGGCTGATGTCCCAACGATTGCTTCTCTGATCTTGCACATATCTACTCGAACTGGAGTAATAGTTTCAAAGTATCTAGATACCTTGTAGGGATAGGTGCCCCGCCGAGTATCATCCAGCCAGGACTGCTTGCTGTGTGTCTTCTAGACAGGTAAGCAATACAATATTTGTACCATCATATATGTGGCCACCCCCGGGATACTGGGTATACCTTCATAGATTCAAGTTTTGTACAGTATACATGTCTATCTCAACCTAGTATTAAACTAGTCAACAAGCTAACTACTTAGCTTCGCTTGCACCTTGAGTCATACTCACAATCCTCCAGCTATATATCAGCACTAACACCACCAGCATCCATCTAGTTAACATCTCCAGCACATAACCATAACACCCAAACCACTGCAACACCACCCCACCCCACCACTCAAGCAGCACAACAACAATGTCCACCAACATCCACACCCCATCTCCAACAGAAATATACCACTCCCCCGCCCTCAACCTAAGCATAACCCTCTCCACCCACCCCACAACCTCAGGCCACGCCCTCGCAACCCTCACCAACACCAACACCAAGACCCCCTCTTCACCCTCCCCAAACCCACCTTCATCACCACCCTCCTCACCATCCGGCACATCTCCCAGCACCTCCAGAGAATCTACTCCGTCCAACGCATCGCCCTCATAACCACAGGCCTCACCACCCTCTCCATCCTGCCTCTCCACGGCCTCTCCCCCACATGGCACCCGATCACCAACCCCTCGACCGTCTTCCACGGAGCCACATACCCAGGCTACCTAACCTCCAAAGACGCGCCGCTCATGTCCACCTCCCAACTCGACCAAATAGCCCAGACAATCACCACTGCCACCACCACCTCCCTTCCCACGCAGCAACCAGATTACACCTCCCACACCCCCACATCCACCAACCTCTTCTCTCGGATCATCCGCGGCGAGACCCAACACTGGCGGATATGGGAAGACGCTGACCACGTAGCGTTCCTGACTCCGTTCCCGAACACGGTGGGGTTCACGGTGCTGGTGCCGCGGGCGCATCTGTCAAGTGATATCCTGGGGGGGTTGGATGAGGGGGCGTTTACCATGTTGATGGGCGCGGCGTATGAGGTGGTCGGGGTGTTGAGGAGGGCGTTTGGCGTCGAGAGGTGTGGGATGGTGTTTGAGGGGTTTGAGATTGATTATGCGCATGTGAAGATTATTCCCGTTCATGGGGGTGCGGGGGATGTTGATGTTGATGAGGGTGAGGGTGGGGATGGGGATGGGGAGAGGGAGAGGTTTTGGGAGGTTTATCCGGGCTATCTGAGTTCGTTGCCTGGGCCGGTGGTGGAGGATTATGACGGGTTGGTGAGGAGGGCGGGGGAGGTGAGGAGGGAGGTCATGAAGGAGATGGGGGAATGAGTGTATAGAATGGGTGTTGCGTTGGGGTGGACGGTGGGTGGGTTTGGTACTTTATCGGTGTTCTCGAGTTGAGTTTCTGAGAGGGCAGGTTGTTTGAATCTCGTGTCATTGCAAGTACTATATTACAAACGCATTCCTCCATTCCTCAGACGAGCTCTCCATAATATATTGTTGACGGCACACGTGCACGGCATAATCAAGCAACGATCGTCCCAACCTATTCGGCAGATAGATTGGGACCAGTTCTCCAGAGCACCAGATCGATCTGTGCTCGGCTAATCCCCATTGTCGGCGCACAGAAGAAAGTAGAGAGGCAAGGGACACCAGGGGTATATGATTTCGAAGGCAAAAGATGGGACAATTGAGTCGCTGGCCTCGTCGGCGCCCGAATCCTAGCCCGCCCCGCACGGGACCCAACGCATACATCACATCCGAGAAGTCGCGTTCATCACATATCAGGAGACCAGGAGACGGCCATTTGGCGAGAGCATAAGTCGCGTTTCAGCGGGCTTACGAGGAGAACTTGCGGGTGATCTTGGCGATGACTGTGGGCCTTTGTTAGATGTCGTTCGTCCTGTTCTGGAGCGAGCAAGGGAGCTTACCGTGGAGACCGACAACGGAGAAGATGAAGCCCAGACTGAGGACCAGGACAACAACGGGGTCCACCCGCAAACCGGGGCTCTCGTCAGTGTACAGCTTCAGCATCGTGCCGGAGGAACCGCCCGCACCGGCAGCACGGGTCGAGCTGGGTCTGGCATTGCGGAGGGACTCCTTGTGATCAGCGGCCGCGCGGCGACGCAAAGCAGCCCGGGGACCACCGGGAGGAGTGGGAGAGGAGGGGCGGTTGACGGACGAGACAGCAGAGGCGCCGGAACCAGCACCGGTGGACTTGGAGTCGGGGCCGGACTCAGCACCGGAGGTCAAGGGGGAGGCAGCACGGGGAGAAGCCTGCAGATGACAGCGAGGTTAGATGGATGTCTTAATTGATCGAGGAAGAGATGGATGGGCGGAAGTGATCGACCATCCTGTCCAGGAACGATGGAAGTTGCCGTTGAGACTCGACAGGACAAGGACACTCACCATTTTGAGAAAGAAGACTCGAGGAGGAAAGGAGGCAAAGAATGTCGAGATGTATTAAATATATTGGTGACAAGAAGGAGAAAATCAATTGGCCGATGCACAGGGAGGGAAGTCGGCTGGGGAGTGGAAGAGGGAGATGCTGGCAGGAGTCCGGGAGGTGAGGTCGCGAGCGCTAGAAAGAGGCCACGCTCGCGGTTTCCGGCTGGCGGTAGCTCCCGTCAGGTGAGCCATCCGGTGTGGCAGCTCATGTGGCGCTAATTGGAAGCCTCTTTCACAAACAAGTCCGATGTGGTGTAACGGCTAACATCGCCGTCTTTCACACGGCAGCTCGGGGTTCGATTCCCCGCATCGGAGAGCTGAAATATCTTTTTTTGTTTTTGTCGAGTCTTCTCTTCTCTCTGCTTTGATTAATATCGATGGCCGAGAGAGCCGTGGCGGTGTTTTTTTATTGGGATTGTGCGATAACTTCATTATATATAAAGCTTCAGTTCTGTCCGTTTGCCTCATGATGATATCTTGTTCCCCATCTCTCTTCACTGGATATCTATCGGGTTCGTGCCCTTTACCAGGCAAGCACATCAGTGTACGGAGCACAACAGAAGAAATCCTTGCAGAATATACATCATCCAATTCTTGACTAGATAAATGTCTCCCGGCCTTGGCTCCTACAAAGTCCGAAAGTGAAGCCGGTGAGTCGCACCTTTCGGATAGCCCCCTGCGGCACTCTATCTCAACCGGTGCCAAGTGCTCCTCGGTGTATCTACGGTGTAGTCTAGTCTCCGTAATCCGTACCACTCCACTCCTCGCAAGCACTCCTTGATGTAGTACCTATCTACCCAGTACCAAACTTCAAAGAAATTGGATAGATGTCTGGAGCTGCTTGGCGCCCAAGTCATCAACATTTATATGTATCAGACTCCACGACTCCACCCAATGCCGCTCAGCGCCGACTTCCGCCCCCGAAAGTGAAGCTTCGGCACTCCACCGCCGAATGGGGCAAGGCAACGAGCCCTAGGTACGTCTTTCCCCTAAACCGCTGTGGAGTTTGAATTCACGCGGCTGTGGCATGCATCCATGTCCATCCATCCATCCTCACCGCACTACCCCTTCCACCGCTCAGTCTCGCGATCGGCAGAAATAATACGGTCGGTACCACTCCTGTGTATCCATGGATCGCTATCTGGTGATCGGTGGAAGGCAGCCAACGGTCGGAAATCCATCCATGGGTATGATTCAGTATTCGTTGAATGACAACCAATCCGATAGATTAGACCCTGAGTCCGTTCAAGGGAGGGGATAAAACACATCCAGTGTTTCCAGCCCAGGCTGGGGTCTCGTCGCCATAGCACTAGCAGCAGCTGTGCCGCCGGAAGAGTTTGTCATGGCCGCCGTTTCAAAAGGGAGCTAGCTAAGGCTCTAAGGGGAGTGTCTCTGCTACGGCCACCTGCCACATGGAGCACGCAGCAAGGGAAAAGCGAACTAAGAGAGCCAGCCACACACCCTGCCGTCTTAGAACGTTCGATGGCCACCGACCCTGTGGCTCATGGTGTAGGTATGTAGTAGAATGTCTCTCAGTCTCAGCATTGCATCGAGGCTGGCTTGCATCGATGGTGATACCGTAGCGGCGTAGGGTCGTCTCGTCCAGATCAATTGGTAGGACGGAGTATTATTATGCCGCCATTTGGGTACAGGCCCGTCGACTAGACTGCTGGGCCATTGCGCCTAGCCTTTCCAGTGATTCGACATCAGCCCCGATAATAATAAGGTTAGATAAATGGGAAGATGGATCCGTAACTGGGGAGGGATGTGGCTGCCTGTGACTGCCTGAGGCAGGGTGACTGTCTAGCGGTGCCTCGAACGCCGAACTGCAAGTCTAGTCTGAACTCTGAATTGAAGGAACGAGAAAGGGAGTGTGTGGATTGTGGACTGTGGACTGTGGAATGCACCACCGCATATCTATCTATCTATTAGATAGCCACGGGAACCACGGATCTGGTGTGGTCAGCCAGCATACCGGCCGCCGTCAACCCCCTCCCCCCGGGCAAAAATAATGGGTTTCAGAGTTCGCAACAGGCAGCCGGCCATGGGTCCGACCCACTGCGACGCGACGATTCAGGAGACCATCGAGGAGTCTAGCCTAGCTGCTTCCTCTGTTCGGTTAGCCCAGGCACGGGAGCCCGTCTGGGAGCCGGAATAACAATCACCACCAGATAAAAACAACAATAACAAACAATGATGACAATAGAAAGTCATCGTGGGGAAGAAGAAGAAGAAGAAGAAGAAGAAGAAGAAGACTCGCTGACCCGACCGTCACCCAGCGCATGTAGAATCCGCCGTCTATACTTAGGGTCTATACTTAGGGCAGGTCCAGATCAAACCGACCAACAGCGCAATCCCCGGCTTTAGATTAAACTGTCTTGGCCGTTCTTATTATAATCCCGTGTACGGAGGATGAGCCGGCAGCAAGTGACAATCATCATAAATTTAGAAGAAATTGGATTCCGGGACGGAGCAGCCAGGCTGGCTGGGCCAACCCCAACGCTTACTGCGTAGATACACTGTACACTCTGCTTACTCGGATAGTATCTAACTAGTAGTTCGCCGTTAACCGTCGCGGACCGACGGCTTGAGGCTAATAATGCGCATGCTCATGCTCATGCTCATGCTCATGCTGACTTGGCTCCCATGTAAGGTCTCCATCCATCTTTGCGATCATCACGGTGGTTTCCGCTTTTCCCATGCGCTGCAGTCACTGCAGTTGTCTGGAACTTTTTTTCGGCTGAACCCTGGATGCCACCGAGGACGCCTCTTCCCGCGACCGGTGTTCGTCACTGAGTAAGTAATACTGCCTACCTACTTGGATTGACAGCGGCCTTGCGTTTTGCCTTTCACTTCCACTTCTTCCACTTCCATTTCCACTTCCATTCTTACTCCATCATTCTTTTCCTCTCTCCCCTCCTCCCCTCCTCCTCCTCCCCTCCTCCCCCCCCCAGCCTTCATTTATCGCATTCCATTCTCATGTTTCCCACACTCGTTTTTCCCACTCCCTCCTCGTCCTCCCCCGAGGGAATGCACGCGTGATCCTGCAGGTGCTCACTCAGCCTTACGCCAGCCAGCGAACTCCATTTCCGAACCATCGATCACCGGACTGAGCCTCCCCGCCCAAAAACTCACAACATTATTTCTCTCGCGGTTTAGCACCTCTAGCGACCTGGGCAGCCTGGGCAACCAACACCGTCTGCCAGGGATCCTCGTCCTTCGTCTTCCACCCCCTGTCCTTTTTGACCACTCTCGCGGATTCCCTACCCCCCCTCCGCTTATTGTCTTCGGCGATTCCACTGTGGCGCGGTGTGGCTTATCCGTCGGTTGTTGAGTTGTCGTCTCGTCGAATGTTCCCGACCTCCTGAAACCCCCGACAGCCTCAAAAAACAGGCCACCTCCACCAGCCCGCGCCGACTAGTCAGAACTCCGCCTCACCTTTCCAGAGCTTCCATCCCCGGCCTGCAGTCTCTTCGCCGCCCCGGGGTGGTTGAGCCGTCATATTGTATCCCGACCCCGAACCTCCGACGGACACCAGCTCCGTGACGGAGCATTTCGTCAAAATTTATTCCCACAATTCGCGAGCCTCCCTGCTTGGGGGTTCCTCCTTCGATCCGTCTTTCAGGCGCGGTTTTCGTGCACGCGAAGGGTATCTGAACGTCACATCGGATCCTCCGAAGCGATCCAGGATGTATCGGCCAAACTCCCTGTGGACGTGGTCCTTCTGTATTGTGACACTGATCCAGACCATCATCACGCTTGCGTTGGAGTGGTAAGTGCGACCTGAACGATTGCCGTATTCAATGAGGGTGGGATCTCGTACTGACGTCGCTTGCGTAGTTATGTCTTTTCCAACTTCCAGATCCAATTGTTCCCCAAAGCCAACGCCTCGACCGCTTCCAAGACAGTCCCCACCTTTCTCGCGCTCTACAGTTTCGGTTTCATCTATGAGTTGGTGCTCGTGTATGACGCTCTACGCCTCAAGAATACGATTCAGGTTATCGGGCTGTGTGTGTGTAATATCGGGCTTCTGATATATGGGGCAGTGCAGGTCCAGCAGATCCGAGAGGCTGTGATGCTCCTGGTGAACGAAAGCGCCATCTCGAGCGATGTGTGGGGAGAAACGGAGCCTTTCTTGATCATCATTCCGTGTGTCGTCGCCATGGGCTCGTTGCTGATGATGATCATCGCCTGGAAGCTCTACGATGAATTCGCGTGGTCGATCTACAAGCATATCAGCGCAGATTTGCGCATGAAGCGCCGGTATCTCACGTACCAGGTATGTGGGCAATCCATGCAGGGGTGGCAATGGAGACTAACCCCTCGCCAGATTTACATCGCTCTTCTCAAGTTCGATTTCTTCTTCTTCCTGGGTTTCACAGTCCAGTTCCTCGTCATCGTCACAAACAAAACCGATATCGAATTCGCCCTCACAACGGCCGCCATCCCGGTTACGATTTTGATCTTGATATGTGCCGCCGTCTTCGTCAAGCGGGAGAGCTCGATTGGAATGATCGTCACCATCGTATGTCGAGACAACACCCCCGCAATCCCAAGTCGCAGTACTGATTGATTTGGCAGCTCCTCTATTTCGCAGCAATGGCCTACTTCTTATTCAAGCTGGTCCGCATGTACCAGCCCGCGACATACAAAGAATACCTGCCCGCCCGGCGGTCATTGACGTTCTTCGCCGTCATCACGCTCCTCCTGATCGTCCTCACCATCATCAACGCCGGCATCTGCATGCACAACTTCCACAAGGGACTGAAACAGCACGTGTATAAGCCCAAGAGCCAGGACAAGGACAAGAAGACGACGGAATTGACGTCGAATGTTTCGAACGACATTCCCTCTCGCATGATGATCGACTAAACAACAAAACGCCATGCGTTGAAATTTACGAGCCAAAGAAAAAGACGGAGAAAATAAGAAGAAGAAGAAGAAGAGGAAAAAAGTAAATAAAGGGACCACCGAATTTTTTTTTCTTTCTTTGCAGATGTTTTCCCACCCACCCACCAACACAGCACATTGATTTACAGAGCGATATCCCCTCCCACCTTTTTATTTATTGGTTAGCGAGTTGTTGCCACAAGTTCACCACCCTGCTAGAGATGGAAACTACAACTTACCTACACATACTTGGATACTACTTACTACTGAGATTTGGGCTGTGTTTTCCGGGATTTCTCTTTCCCCCATATGATACCTCCTACTGCGTTTTGCTCCTCGGTTTTCTTACGATTACTTCGACTGTCTTTCCTTGTTCATTCCCTCGGGGTTTTTATCTGAGAATGGCTACATCTTACCATCCTACCATCCTACCATCCTACCATGCTGTGATAGGATCTACTTGTCAGGGTAGAAAGCCTGTCGACTAGGTAAGGAATCAATCATGAAACACCGTGTATTCGTTTGATAATAACAAAGATAGCCTATATCCACGAGATAGACTGATCCTTGAAGGATCAGTAGCTTCTTACAGAGAAATTGATATCTTATAGATACCGGAGAGGTGTAGAATCACTATTAATAATCTCACGACTCTTACAACCATTATAACACATTATCCTGATAACACGACTCTCATAATTACTATAATATATCATCCCGATAATCTTTATCCCGATAGCTGGATTATTCTATCATAAATAGCGCTCTTCTTCGCTGGGACGAGTCACCTGGCTCGGGTGTTGAGAATAGTCTTATATATTCCTGATTTAGAATAGTAAGGATCTGATAGCGAAAGATGAGGAACTCGCGGGATATACAGTATAAACAGGGTCATGTGCCGTTTCTGTATAGCTTTATAAGTGTTTAGTTATATTTGCATGGGTGGATTCCCTGCGAAGAAGTATAAATAAAAGAATCTCTTATATTACTTCTCTTTCTTCTTCTCTTTTACTTTATAATTATTATTTTTTTAGTAATTTGTAATTGTTCCCTTTATATTTCTTTGTTGTTTCGCGTGATTTTTATTATTTTTATCTATACTGTATCGCTGTTATTCTCTTCTTTATTAAATATTGGTCTTGTTCTTGATTACTTCGCGATGATAAAGAAAACAGCGTATCCCAAGCAGGATATTTCTATTAAAGCCCACTATAACTTCTGCATGCACTATCTAAGATATATGAATAATAATTTTGATTCTAAGAAGAGCACTCTGTATAATATCAGTTATCTATTAAATATAAAGATATCTGTTCTGTGTTATTTTTGTTCCGCGGGAAAGAAAACTTATGATTTTGTGAGTTTTGTATACTCTGTATTATATATATATAATTTACTAATATCTCTTGAGTCTGCAACTGATCTGCTAGAAAATACTCGCGATTTTATAAAGATTATTAAATAGGCCACTCTGATTCTGAAGAAAGAATATTGGAATAATAATATTAAGCAGACTGTCCGCGAAGAGATTTATATTCTTGTGAAGATATTTAACAGTGTGGAGGATACTTATACTTGTGAATTTTTATTAAAGAGTATTAAAACCGCCAAGCGTGTAAGTTCTTGTTATAATTAAAAGATAAGATCTTTATAATTCTATTGTTAATATTCTGTTAGAAATTTATTACTGAGTATATTAAGTTTATTAAGATCTGTTATACTCTTTTAATATAATTAATTTCTTATCCTGGCCTCCGCGCCTTACTAGAGAATTATTATATCTATAAAATAAAAATACTGTTATATTTACTGCCCGGTGATCTGGGATATATAAGCTGGATTTCTGCTCTGCGGAATTTTCTTAATTTAATAAGAGTTATAATATATATCTAATACCCGGATATTAATAATAATAAATCGACTTTGAATAATAAGAATAATATTATTAGATTAATTATAGATCTCTGTATTCTTCTTCTGAAGTCTACTTTTTTTATAAATATTTCTGAATTATAATAAGAAGGCCTGGTTATTGTTGTTATTTGTCTTGTGAATAAGTAATAAATATAACTGGATATATTTAAGCGTTCTCTGCTGTCTTATAGCAGAATGATTTTGTATTTATTAATATATTTAGTCCGCGATAATATAGTTGATAAGGAATATTAAGAGATTGATATTCTTATAGCTTATTTCTTAAGAATATAAAGTAATTTACTAGTAATTATCTTCTGTCTTTTTAATATATAGCGCTTTTTATAATATTTTCAGTATTATTTTATAGCTTCGGATATATTCTTTATATTTTTACTAGAAATCTATTAATTGTACTTGCTTAATTATTTTTTCTACTTAATTAAATAGTAATCCTGACTATTATAGTATTAATAGTCTTTAACTTTTTTAACTTCTTATTTATCTTTATTGTCTAGCTCAGGTATCAAGAGCGGTTCTTTATAATCTTTTTTAGTGTTTCACGGTTCTAACAAGAAGATATAAAATATATTATGAATTTGTTTATATTTCTTAGATAAATATAACTGATATATCTGAGATTTAATATATTTAAAAATCTGAAAAAGTTCTATAAACTTCGAAGCCAGCTTTCTTGATTTTTTGAGTTATAAGTTCTGAGTTGATAGCTTAACTAGATTTCTTTCTTTAAAATAGAATAGCTTTCTATATTTATTATAGTATTTTTTTTGCTTTTCTGTAGCTATTTATTATATCTTTTATAGCTATTCTTTTGTTTTTCTAAATTTCTTAATTTTATTCTATACTGCTGGGACTTCTCGCTGCTGAGAATTAGTTTTAATTTTAATATAAAAGTCCGGCGAAAAGCTATAAAGAATATTGTGAGGTGATTAGTCTGTGATTATATTATCTGTATTATTGCAGGCGAATTGAGTACTTAAAAGAATTGATGATTAGTTAATATTATACTGGCTGGAGTAGTATTAAAAATAGTGTTCGAGTGTTTGATTTATCTGTTCTATTTGGTTATTAATTTAAGGATGGAATACAGTTGAAAGCTTTAAGATTATATAGCTATTATAGACTAAATTTGATCAGAATTTACTAATAAAGATTAATTCTTAATTAGATATGATTCTATTTGGGGGTCCGAAGATTAATTTAATCTATTTATAAAACAGTTTGACAAGGTCTGAAGCAGTTATTATAAACAGAATAATAAAGAAAAGATAATATTTTAAAAATTAATTAATAATAACTAGAATAGTATTAACAGTCTTTCTATATTAGATAATAGAGAGCAGCCCTATAATAAAATCTATTGCTAATTCAGCAAAGGGATATAATAGAATTAGTAATAATTTAAGACTATTATATAATTAATATTTTGAAGCAGTGATTTCTTAATATATTAGATAAGTTCGGATATATTTGGCTATATTATATTATAATTTATTTTAGTAAAACTTTCTGCGTAGCAGTGCTTCTATTTGGATCTTTTTAAAATATTCTATTAATAGATTATTATAATATAGCTTAATAAATATCTGATATAGTGTCTCAGAAGAGGGAATATAATATTAATCTTTGAAATAGATATAACCAGTTATTTTAATAGTTCAATACTTTTGGCCTAATTGTTTTTGTTAAACAGCAGTTTTTTACTATTGTGTCTCTGGATTATTATTCTGTAAATATAAGATTATTTCTTGAAGTTCAGAATTATATATATCCAAGTACAAAACTTTCGCGGTATATACTTGTAATACTGTAGATTGAGGAATAAATCTCTCTTAAGATAAGTTCTTTCAAGCAGCCCAGTCAGCTGTCTTTATACTAGCTTAATTATTAGAATTCTTTAAGCTTAATATAATACAGATATTAAATCCAGAATAATCCTGTATATTTTAAGATTTAAACTGGGTTTTTTCTTTGACAAGATCTCTTATTATCAGAAATGATATACTTATAAATCGCACTTAAATTGGGGTTAACAGTTTCTCTTGAGAAGCAGATTTTACTTAAGATTCAGAAGATATTCTGAAGAATCTATCTGCTAGATTTAATTTCCCTGTTCTATATTTAATAATAAAATTATAGGGAATTAGATTTATAAGTCATCAAGCTTATCTTCTATTAATCCGGGTTTAATATATAAAAAATTGCAAGTTCGAATAGTCTGATAGAATCTTGATTATTTAAGAAGTATCTTCTAAATATTATTACTATTATTTAAAAGAGTAAATAATAGTGAATAACTCTTAATCTAAAGTATTATAATTTAGCTTGATATCAGAGAACTTATAGAATCAGAATATAACTAAATAGAATATATTCTTAATATCAGATTAGGATAGAATACTATTTATCTTTTTTTTTGATATATCAGTTTCTAAACAGCGGGGTTTCGTAGAATCAAAATATATTAGTAAAGATATTTATTAAAAGGCAGTAATAAGACGGCGGAAAGCAGTCTATTTAATTAAAATTAGATAGATCTTTCCTGATTTCCGCCCGTTGATTATTTTATAAAGCAAAGAAGTAAGAAACAAGATAATATAAAAGTAGTCTTAAATAAATTATTAATAAAAGTTACAGAATCTAAGAAAGATCTAGATATTATAATAATTTTTGGAAATTGGCTATAAAATAATATTATTTATCTGTCAAGAATTTATAAATACTCTGTCAGAGTCGATGATATATTTTAGAAATTCAACTTAGAATTAATAGAATAAATATTTTAATAATTTTATATAAAGCTGAGCTTCTCGAAGCCTCTTCAAAACTTAATAAATATACTTTGTATAAGATTTCTTATCTAATAAAAAAATAAGAATATTATTCAGATATGCTATATAAAAGTTATTAAGAAGTCCTCGAAGTGTAGTATATATATAGTTTTGGAAAGTTGCTGGAGTGTTAGTCAATCTAAATAATATGACTGTATATTTGAAGTGGCTGTATCGGATGCGAAATACTGTCTTTTATTTATTGTCTTTCTTAATATGGATTTAATAATATATATTCTTGATATTAATCTTTGAAAAGTAGGTACTTCCCGAAACCCTGTTAAGAATCTTTGAAATAAGAGATAAGAAATAGTGATTTTTAATAGAAATCTTATTAAGATCTCTGTAGTCTACACAAAGATATAAGCTATTATCTTTTTTAGATATAAAGAGAATAGAGGCTTCAGCAGGGCTCTTTGAAGATTAAATTTAATCTAGTTTTAGGTTCTCTTTGATATATTCTTGTAAAATCTTGAGTTTGGCTTCAGATAAGAGATATATTGGACTGTAAAAGAATATTTTATTAGATTTAATATTAATAATATAGTCCGCAGGGCCATGAGAAGATAGCTGTTGAGAGGAATTTATAGAGAATATATCTTAGAACTACTTAAATTCAACAGGAATTATCTCAGGATTTAATAATAAATCACAAAATTCTTCTTCTGGTAGCCAGATATCTTTGGGGAGCTTAATAATAATATATACTCTTGCTGAGTTTCGAGTTGCTTTAGTAAATTAAGTAACAGAAAGTAATAAAATAGACAGTATACTAAATTATTACTGGCGGTTCCATGCTGATAAGATAATATATAGATTATAAAGTATAGTTATTAAAAGTAGTATAGGACTGTCTTTTAGTCAGGGGTCCTGATTAATCTTTATATAATATTGTTCGAAAATACAGATGCCTCCTCGCGAATTGATAGCGGTAATAGGGACTTTCTATATATTATAGATAAAAATAGTGATTTGATTAATGGCTTCAATCTTTGGCGCAGTAATTAGAGCATGTTGGAGATTATAGACTTTAATAAACTGATAATTAATAATATCTACTTCGGTGCAGCTATTCAGGTCCGCAAAGGTTTCGAGGCTGTTTTAAATGCGGATAGGAATATGAAAACAATATATAGTCTCTATTATAGATGAAGAAGTCGAAATTATAGGGTTTATTCTAACTTCTTTATTTTTTTCTCTGAATCTGATAAGAATTAGTAGATTCTAGCGGATTAGACTCTTTTATTTTTAATAGAATATTAATTTGCAAGATGTTGAGTACTTTTATATATAAAGTATTATAATTAATTGCTATTCTTTCTGATAAGATTTTTTCTATAATTCGGGATATCTTTCTTAATAATTTTACTAGTAGTTTCTTGGAAGCGCTTGTGTGACTTATAACCACTGAATTGATTATTGTTTTGCTTGTGTTTTTCTCTATTTTCTTATAGTTTATAATAGTGAGTAGTAATAATCACTATTTTATCCTGCTTCTCTGGTAGGTGGGAAATATACTCTTGAATATAATAATTTAAATCTGATAATAGCTTAGTAAAGTAAGATAAGACTTTTTTTTTTTTACTTAATAAAAAAAGTATTGCTTTAAGATATTAAGATAAGTATAGAACTCTTGCGGATTCTGGCTGTATTACTAATAAATCTATTTAAGTTAAGTTATAATATCTGATTAAAGAGTAACAGTATTCTGAATCAGTATAAGAATCTAATCTTTGAATTAAGATTATAATTTCTCGAGAAATTATCTCTCTTCTGGATTTTTATTATTTATAAAACAATACTATCTCTGTCTATATACTGAGTTTATATAGCTGATAACAGCGAGGATCTTGTATTTCTTTGATAAATATTTCTTGAATGTGTCTCTGAATATATATTTTAAATTAATAATTTATTTTTAATATTTTTAGAGATTGAAGTTCAGGGCAAAGCAAGAGATATCTTTAAACTTGATCTCTTTCTTATTCTTTTTCGATTCGGGGGAGGATTAATAGTGTTTTGAGGAGGTTTCGCTCGGGGAGCTATTTCTTTGAAGATAAGCTATTCTTTGCTGTAAGTTGATAGCTTGTTTTAATTAATAAATATGATTTTCTAGCTGTTGAATCTCTTTAATGGTGGGAATAGTATTCGGCAAGGATTCTGGATTAATTTGATCACTGAGTGCTTCTATTTCTTCACTATCTTTAATAAATAATATCTTTCTTAGATAGTTGAAAAGAGAAGGATCAGAATATGATAGGATCTACTTATTAGGGTAGAAAGCCTGTCGACTAGATAAGAAATTAATTATAAAACACTGTGTATTTGTTTGATAATAACAAAGATAGTCTATATTCATGAGATAGACTGATCCTTGAAGGATCAGTAGCTTCTTACAGAGAGATCGGCATTTTATAGGTGTCGGAGAGGTGTAGAACCACTATTAATAATCTCACAACTCTCACAACCACTATAACACATCATCCTGATGACACGACTCTCACAATCACTATAATATGTCATCCCGATGACCTTTATCCCGATAGCTGGGTTATTCTATCACACATGCTCTCTCTCTTCCTCTTCATCTATTGCTGCTCAATGACGCTGCGCCGTCTTATTGATGACCTCCCTTTCTCCTTCCCACACCCTTTTTAAGACTCTTTATATCCATATCCCTCCCATTTCTCGTACATCTATCTTATCTATCTCATCTATCATATCTATCCCTCTCTCCTTGTCTCTACCCGATCATGTGAATATCACGAACTTTGCATCTTGTTATGTGTTTATTTATTATAGTTATTTTTATTTTATTTGAATAATTTGATTACTATCACGGATCTATTCACCTTCTCTTCTAGCTTTATTCAATTCATTGATCGATTATTGATCAGTCAACCAACCCACCAAGCTGTCTTCTGTCTTGCCTGTCTAATAATACCTAGCTAGCTAAAAACACAGCAAGCAATCATTAAAGAGCGTGAGTGAGTGGTAAGTCTCAAACAGCAGAAAGAAAGAAGAAAAAAAAAGAAGAATAAAGAAAAAAGAAATGAATGAATCTCAGCTCTCCGATGCGGGGAATCGAACCCCGAGCTGCCGTGTGAAAGACGGCGATGTTAGCCGTTACACCACATCGGATCTTGATGCTGATCGGGCTATTTTTAGCCTCTATGTACGGAAACAAAGTAAGTGAGTGGGTATAGTAAGTGGGTAGGTAAGTACCGTGGGTCTGCAGTTTGCAGCTTACTGCTTGCTTGCTTGCTTTGTTTGTTTGCTGTTTGCTGTTTGCCTGTTTGCCTGTTTGCTGTGTGGTGTGTGGCATGTGGTATGTGGTATGTGGCATGTGTTGTGTGTGGTTCGGGCCATTGGCCTGATTTCCAACTTACCAGTCAACATCAACAATGAGTAGAGTAGAGTAGAGTATGTTATGAGGGTTATGCAATTGGTTGGCGTGAGGTGGGCTTTGCGGATGCTTCTTCTTCTTCTTCTTCTTCTTCTTCTTCTTTCAACTAGTAAGTAGGTAAGGTAAGGTAGGTAAGGTAGGTAAGGTAAGGTAGGTAAGGTAGGTAAGGTAGGTAGGCTTGCGGCTGGTCTGTCTGGTGTATGTGTATTGGATCTGTGTGGGAACGAATATTAAACATCAAACATCAAACATCAAACATTAAACATCAAACATCAGACAGACATCAGACCGACCGACTGATCAACTGACTGACCGACCGACTGACTGACTGACTGACTGACCGACTGACAGACAGATTGAAATTGGTGATTTGATTGACTGGAATGCATAGTAACAGGCTTACGGCTGTCCGGCTTGTATCTACACATGTAGTATGTATGTAGTATGTATGTAGTATGTATGTAGTATGTATGTATGTATGCATGCATGCAAGGAAGTGTATCTGCCTGCCTGCCTGCCTGCCTGCCTGCCTGCCTACCTGCCCGTCTATCCTATAAAAAGCGAAGAGGCAAGGGGTTTCTTAGTTGGCCGGATAGTTAGGCGAGGTGAGGTGAGGTGAGGTGAAGTGTAAGTTTCTCTCTCCTGCTGCAGTAGAGCCTAAGTCTATGTATGATATGCACTTAGTCTAGACAGACCAGGACCTCGACAATGAACAGATATGGTATATAATCTATAATAACAAAGAGAGAAAGAACGAGAGAAAGAAAGAAAGAAATTATATATTCATCGGCAAGAAGCCAAGCCTAAATAGATATAGGCATAGACTAGCAAATCAACATTAAATATGAACAGCACACCAACACCACCACTGATGTAGTAATGTATGTAGTGCCTCCAGAATGAGTGAAAAAAAAAATTGGTACAGTGTAAACGAGTCGAGTTGGGTCGAGTCAAGTCAAGCCAGGTCAGGCCAGGACAGATCAAACCATGCCAGGCCAGATCAATCTGTAAGTATAAACACCCCCCTACATCCGTTTCCCCCACGTCTTGACCCGGAAGATATAATACAAGACGACCGCACCAGCGACATTAAAAGCCCAGAAACACCAGAAGATGCCATAGTTACGCCAGCGGTCATCCCAGTAGATCCAGCGGAGGGAGAGGTACTCATCCGCGAGGGTCAAGGAGCAGTACTGGCAGGCGGAGGTGGCGTTGGGATTGTAAAGACGTCCGCCGGCAACCTCGAGGTATTTCTGCATGTACTGGCCGCAGGTGAGATTGGAAGGGGGGTCGAAGATGCTGAGTTCCTTGGTGCTGCATTCCACGGGGCGGCCGTGGAGGATCGTGCTGCTGATCCCGCTGACGTAGTAGGTGAAGGGGGAGACGCGATACATGAAGATCCAGAACCCCGGGAGATCGGCAGGGGGCTGGAGGATGCCGTTGAAAATGAACGAGAAGGCGAACATGAGGGTCGCGAGCATGGCTGCCAGGGGCGCTTGGGGGACGGCGGATATGGCGAGCTGGGCGGTGCTGGATGCGTACAGGAAGAATTGCACGATGAAGAGGAGAGCCAGACCGCGGCGTTCGGGCTCTTGATCCGTGCCTATGACGGCCCAGTAGAAGCATGCCCAGGAGCAGATTCCAAGGATGATCTGGAAGGGGACTTCGACGAGCACTTGCGAGAGAATGAACACTTTCCATGAATATACCCGTGATGGGCGCTCCCGTACTTCGTATAGTGAGCGTTGAACGACGAATTTGGGCGTTATCTGGTTGACGAGCGAGGTGAAGATCACACATAGAAGGAAGACGCTGAAGAGGGCGTTCTGGAAGCCCTGCTGGGTGTTGTTGGCCTTGTAGAAGGAGAAGCCGATGAACAAGCCGGACGTGATCCCGAGGGCGTATTTCGCGAATACGTATGGTGGTTGGCGGTAGTACTGCTGGAAGACCCGATGCAAGACGTAGTAGAGCTGGCTGCTTAGAGGCATTGCGAATTCACCTTGGTTATCGTCGTCCTGCGCTTGTGGCTCGGGCTGTTCTCCAGCCTCCAAGAGGCGATCAACCTCCGCGAGAACTGCGGTATATTCTGGGCTTTCATTCCAGGTACGGGGCCAATCGAAGTCCTCAGATGCCTCCCCGGAGACGATCTCAAGGATGTACTCTGCAGGGTTCTCCATATCGCCACAGCGCCTAGCACCGTTGCGCTCGAAGTAATCCAAGAGAAGGCGGGACTGGTCTCCAATATCCCCGAAGTAGACCGTCTTGCCTCCCTTGGCAAGGAAAAGCAAGCGGTCGAATGTCTGGAATAACATCGCACTTGGCTGGTGGATTGTAGCAAGAACTGCTTGTCCGTGATCCGCAAGTCTTCGCAGAAGCGAGCAGATGGTCCACGAGCTCTGGGAGTCCAAACCGCTGGTTGGTTCATCGAGGAATAGCAGCAACCTGGGCTTTGCAGCAAGTTCTACCCCGATGCTCAATAGTTTCCTTTGCTCCACGTTCAAACCCTCTCCGAGACAACCCACCACTGCCTCCGCAAAATCTTGCATGTGTAGAACTTTAATGACCTCCTCAACATAGTCGTACTTCTCTTTCTTGGGCACCGATGGGGGCTGGCGAAGCATGGCACTGAAGCGCAGGGCTTCTCGCACCGTGGTTGTCTCCAGATGAACATCCTGTTGCTGCACATATCCAGTCTCTCGCGGGAAATTAGGCTTCAATCCTCGTCCGTTCACTAGAATATCGCCGGTGACCACACCGATTGACACTCTCTGAGCGAGGACATCTAGAAGGGTGGTTTTTCCAGCCCCGGAAACTCCCATCAACGCTGTTAAAGTGCCAGGCTTCACCCACCCATTCACATTGCTCAGAAGTCTTCGGTTGCCGATCTGGACTGGAATGTCATAATTGAGACCCTTCCAGGAAATGACATCTTTCTGCTCGGGGAGATGGAAGGTTTCCTCGCCTTCTTGCAGCCCAGGCGTATCAGGGTTTGTACCCCCACCTTCAATACCTTCGGAGGACAAAAGGAATTTCGGGACATGGCCGGGCCTGAAAACCAGAGTTTCGGCCTTGGATTTCTCGCTGGAGTTATACTCCGAGAGGAACAGATAAAGGCCGTTAAAGAATATCATAAATGCAATGACAATACCGAGGTTTCGCCAGATATGGCTATAGGAGTATTCGTAGTTCTGCTCCAGATAGGCATCCCCAGAGACGAACCGCTCCCCTGCCACTGCGCCAACGGTTGAACAAATGAAAGACGACCCAGTAGCGTAGCTAGGAACCACCGATGCGCATTTAAAGTCCCTGCCATGGAATTCATTCACCATCAGAGCCTCAAAGACATAGTAGATGGGGTTTATCCATCGGATCCAGGAAAGCCAGGGATGCATGTACGGTTGTGGCAAGACAAAGCCGGTGTAGACCACAATGCACAGGACAAAAACGCCAGCCATTGCCATGGCCTGTGCACTTGTCTTCGTGGCTGCAGCCAGACTGCGGAAGATCCCAGACATTGTCACGACAGCAATCAGCAAAAAGATATAGAAAATAAAGAACTGTGAGGGTTCTCGCCGAAGGTTAGACATAAGATAGAGAATGATGCTAAAGGTGGAGCAGCGTAAGAACTTGATGGGCAGATCCATGATCAAGCTGGCTAGGGCCTCGGTAAAGGGATGGACAAATGCATAGCTTGCTTGTTTCTCGGCAACTGGTCGCTGGGTGTACAGCTGAATAATCTCGTTTAGTGTGACGAGGGCATTGAAAAGCACCGCAAAGTATAACACGGCCCCCTTCTGGAAGAATGATGCGGTCGTGGTGGGGGACTTGAAGAAGATCGAACCGATGACCAAAGATAGAATGAGCTGTGCTATGACGGTGGACATGGCTGTTGGTAGGTCGTTTCGGAGTCGCTGGTAAGCCCTGCGCAAGCAGAGGCGCACTTGCATCGGAACAGAGAGAAGGTATGGGCTGCGTGACCGTGTGTGACGGGCTTGTTGCTCTTGATGATTCTTCTTGAAAATCTCGGCCTCGTCTGGATTCGGTCGATGGTTCGAGCCATACTGCTCTATCTGTCTGTAGAGCTCCTTATACTCCGCACTCCGCTTCCAATATTCGGCAAACTCTTTCGCAGTGCGTGGCACCTTGTCTGCCATGTCAGGACGGGCCTGACGCTCGCTTGGGTTGGTCACGGAGGCCAAAAAGTCGCCGCTCACCTGGCGCTCTGGCAACTCCCATCCCATCTCTTGGAAGTAGTTCACGGCACGGGAGCAAGGGCCAAAGTAGATCTCATGGCCCTCATAGAGAACGACAACTTTGTCGAACTGGTCGTACATGGATTGAGAAGCCTGATAAGCGGCGACAGCGTGGCACGATTGGCCCATATCGGCGGCAAGACGCAAGGACTTGATAAATTTCAGGGCGGACGCCGCATCGAGGCCCCGGGTGCTGTTGTCCCAGGCTCCAATTCGACATCGTGAGAGGAACATCTCCGCGATACTCACCCTCTTGCGCTCGCCACCGCTGACTCCTCGCACAAAGTTGTCTCCCACTTTCGTGTTATAGGTGTTTGAAAGGCCGAACACGGCGAGAACGACCTTGGTGATCGTTTCGACATACTCGGCGCGTGTTAGGCCATCGATACGTTTCTGCGGAGTCCGCGCATGAGCCGCGAACGAGAGTGTTTGGCCAACGGTAAGATGCGGGAAATGCTGGTCGACTTCCTTGTTGTATGCAACCTCGCCACGGTGGTGCTTGATCATATCCTCATACTCAATCCCCTGGTAGTGGATGGAGCTTTGGGGTTCGAGAGTCAGACCACCGAGGTGGCCACAGAGGGTCTTCAGAAATGTAGTGCAGCCACTTCCAGGGCGACCAAGGACAAGGAGAAGCTCCCCACTTTGAAGCAAGCCATCGAAGCTGTTAAGGATCTGTCGTGGAGGAGGAGAGCTGCGTCCAGACAGGGCCCCCGCAAGTCGGCGGAAGGGAGCTGTTAACTGTGTAGGGAGTGTCTCTTGAATCTGCAGTGCTGAGCCCGAGCCAGACACGCAGAGGTTAGAAAAGACCACGCCCTGCGTCTGCGGCACAATCCCGGACTGGTCGAGCGCCTTGAGCACAAACTTTGCCCATAGACGATGATTGAAGTCGGCGTGGGTGGGATCCAACCGGGGGTCATCCCTCTCGTCGATTGTAGCAGAGAGGGAGATTTTTCGACCGTTTGGGCTGGATGCAATCCTCGTCAAATTTCCAATCTCTTGCTCTTCGTCCTTCTTGATCGAAGTCGACCGCTCCCAGTCGAACTGATAGGTCTCGCGGACCTCAACCTTCTCCTCCATGGTGTCACTAGAGGACGTCGTTCTGTCGGTCAAACGTACCAGGGGTCTCTAGGACGCCATTCAGGGAGAGACAAAGAAACCAGTAGTCGAAGATGATTGCCCTCAAAGAAGGCGAATACTCGAGGAACGCATGTATGGCAAACAGGCAACAATCATCCCAAGCAAACCAGGGAAAGAGCCGACGAAAAAGAGCCTAACGGTATTTGAGCAGAGTGCTTGGAAGATGAAAGGTCTGCTGAGCAAGACTCCGGAAAGCGAATCGTCATCTTACGATCGCCATGTTTATGCTTTTTTTCTTTTCTTTTCTTTTCTTTTTTTTTTTTTTCATGCCCTTGCGGGCAATCACGATCGGGCCATCTGATTCCTCGGTATCAGCCCCAGGCACGGCCTGCATAAGCTAGCAGAATAAGCTCCAGTCAATCGACACTATTGGATATAGTTGGCCATTATAGGCCAACACAGGCGAACCGCCTTCGGGAACATCAGATAGATAGGTAGTGCAAGCCCCCGTAGATGTGGGTGGCGGGATATCTTCGAGGCCGATGCAGGGGGTCGCTGACCCTGGAGGTGCATGAGAATCCGCGAGGCAGCCGCACTGTCACTTGTGATGTGATATTTCTTGACGGGACACGGCGTCCCAATTCACCGACAACCAACCCCCGGCCGGGATCTGCGTCCGACGGCCGACCTGGCATGAACAATCGATCGGCTAGGCAGAATGCAACTCTATCATGAGACACCTATCTTCGAAGGAGCGAGCGAAAAGTAAAACCTCGTGTGCGAACTCTTCATGATTGCCTCAACATAAAAACCCTGGCCCTGATTCCAAAGGCCGGGAACGGGAAGTTCTGCGTTGGACTTGGATCGGTCGTCTTTATAGTATCAGTCTCGGCGACAGCAGCCCCTGCCCATGATGGAACAATTCGCATCCAAGGCGGAATTATCTCCCGCTCTTTTAGAGCTCGGAATTCCATCTGTCGAAGCTTCGAGAGTCACATTCTTGTTATTTGATGGGGATCTTCCTCGACGGCCAAAGAAAGTTTCGGTTGGATCTATACTTGAACCCACTTACTGCAGCGAGCAGGCCGATCGTGAGAATTGATACTTCTGCAGGTCGGTCTTGCAGGGTAAGATTATACCCTTTCCTAGATAAAGATTCTTTTCTAGATTTACTTCAATAGCAGTAGCCTATCCAAGCCAAGTATATTAATATAGGGGATTCGTGCGAAGCCATCGAATTCTATTGTTAACACTCAGGGAGCCAAAAGGCGCCAAGTCGGGCCTAAAGCGGAAAGGGAGCCTGTTCAGTACCTACCTACTGTCTCGCTTTAGGCTCCAAAGTCAGCACCAAAGATACTCCGCCGTTCGTCGAGCCAGTCGAGTGCAATTGACGACCATCCATCTCTTCCTGTGGTGGGTATAGGCTGTGGAGCCGAGCATCATTCTGAAAACCGCTTCGGAGTATCTATCCATGTCTGCTTTCCGTCCACAAATAGATCATGTAGGAGGACATCATCGCGCATGGAGAGGGGAGGGGGGAAGTACCTAAGATCCGTCCCCTATTATCCTAAACTGGAATTCGAGCGTGATATCTCTTGCCGAAGCTACCTACAGGCATACTGCAGATCTGCGCCCACAAGCCCCGTTGCCCGCCTCATGCAGTCATAGAGGTCCACATTATGCCCGACAACCGGACGCCTCATATCCCTATTCGCTGCAGACACAGACAGGCTGTCCCCGTTTAAGATTGATGGGTATTCGGATTTCGGATGGAAAGGCAATCACGGCAACCGAGATTGGGGCGCCAACGACCAGGCAGTCAGTCCCCACTGCGAGCGAGCACGTTCAGGAGAGCTTTTGGTCTTTTAGAAAGATAGTCACGCTGGTTCACCTGAGAGCGATCGGGGATCCAGAGTAGGTGGCTTGGTGTCGGGTGTGTGGACTCAGGACTGTGGAGAGTGAGACGCGGAAACAGCTGGGTCCCTGCACCGCAGAGCTCACATTCACGGCGATGCCGATCTGAAGCTGCCTCTTATTTGGGCCCGCAGTATCAGTATCCAAGCTCTGAAGGGTGGTTTGTGATGGTATCTATCGAGTTTTCGGACGGAGTACCTACGTATACCAGAGTTAAATTGAAGGTACCCAGCAGATGCCTGAGATGTCATAGCATTCCAAGTGCAGGGAGCATGCATCTGAGGAGTAGATTGCAAACCCACGACAAAGCCGTTAGTGGCTGTCAAGACTTCAAGGTTCCAGAGTTGGCATGTGGTACAACATGAGATTCTAGAATTGCACCAAGCTGAGGCTATTGAGCTTTCACAGAAAGACTCAAGCAAGACTAAGAAGCACAAACCAGAAAGACTCAAATTAACTGCGTTTACATGTACAACAGTAAACAGACACCTACCCGACCCGGAACAACAACAACCATCTCATGCCCCAGGCTTCCACAAAGCTGCAAACCAACCAAACAAACACCCATCAAGCAACGTACTGTCTAGCTAGTTACTACCAGCCCCCCCTCTCCCAAGTAGGAAAGCGGTGAACCCCACCACACCAAATCCCCCCCATAAAAAAAAACCACCACCCTGACTCACTCACTCTTCTTTCCTTCTCTTTCCTTTCTCCAGGCGCCACCCCCACCAATGCTGCGTTTCTTTGCTACACACGACAAGAGCTTCCACGTTCTTGTCCTCGGCCCTGACCTACCCCCACCCCCCCGGGGGGAGTTCGTCATCCGAGAAACCCCCTGCAAATGAGAAATTCGGAGGAATCTTCACCCAACAACCCGACCTTCTTTCCTCCCCCTTTCCCCTCCCCTCCCCCCCCGTCCTCCGTGGGTGTGGGTGGATGGATGGGTAGGTGGATGGGTGTGTGGAATCAGGTCCGGTACTGCCCGCAAGGGCCTGGTGTGATCTGCACCTGCAACTGGCATCAGAAACATCGGGGGAGATGGCTGCGAGTTAATTTAGCGTGGTCCGTTACGGATCGTGTTGGATTTTCTTTTGCAGTCGTCTTTTTTCCCCATGGGAGAGTCGTTGCGAAGATTGTGTTGTGATGACACTTTAGTGCAATGCGCAGCATGCCGTTTCCCTCCCTTTTTTTTCTTCTTCTTTCCTTCCTTCGGGGGGGAGAGGAGGGGAAGGGAGGGGGGGGATTGGTATCATTCGATTCCGATTATTCTGGTGGGGGTGGCGCTTCACTTCTTTTTTTTTTCAAGGTTAGTTTACTGGTCTCCTCCCTCTGTTCGTCGCCCTTCTGTAGAAGTGTTGTTGGGGGTTGGAGTTGTTGCTGGAAAGAGTGTACCCGGCTAATTTGTTCGGGTTGGGGCCTGTATGGGTCCTTTAGGGGTTTGTCGAGGGGTTGGATGGTTTCTGTTGATGGGCTTGGACTGGAGTGGAGTCGTGCTGAGTGGCTGGATGGTTGGATGGGTTGGGATAGCTGGGAGCTGTTGGTGTTGTTGTTCATATTAGCTGTAGCTTTTTAAGACGAAAGACGAAAGTTACTGGCTTCAACTTATTATACACCTTGGTTTTACGTACAACTACAAAGTAGAAAATCTGGTAACCAAAAAGAACTCGAAACGGGTTGGTCGCTTAACATCTAGCGGGATATTATAGTAACAGAATGTGCCTTGGCCCCTGAAAACAATCAGGGGATATTTTCTGAAAAGCAGGAAATGAAAATGGTCAAGAAAATGAAATCGTTGCCTCGCTCCCTCTTTCGTCATTACTGCATCTCGTCGTTTACTCCTCGTCACCGATCTGAGAAAATCAGTATGACATCTTCGCAGACATCACAAGCAAAGCACAGAACACATACCTTAGGGGCGAGGTAGAATCTCAGATGACCGCTACCAAGGCCGTACTCGACGAGCAGCGGCACCTCCTGCGACAGGCAGAGAAGCACCTTGGACGACAGGCTGGTGGCCTTGCAGAAGTTGACGAGGTATTTCAGGGAGAAGGTGAGGGCGACGGGTTCGGTAAGATCGATGGTGACGTTCTGATCGGGCTTCTCGACGTTGGTGTGTGAGCGGACGGTGACGGAGCCGCTGCCAATGTCACCCTGGCAGGAGAACTTGACGCCCTCCTTGGTGGCCTCGATTACAACTAGAAGAAGACAGGAGTTAGCACGACGCACGTAACGCAACGGGTATAGGATGAGCGTACCGGACTCGGAAAGAGCGTTCAGGTCCCGGCAAATGCGCTGGAACTCGGCCGCCGGCATCTCAACCGTGGCGGCGTACTCTGTCTCGGGGATGGCCAGGTGCTCCTGGTCAATGTCCATCAACTTAATGTCGTACTCGCTGAGTCTGTCCGTCTCGGCACTCTCGAACATCAGGTTCACGGCGTCGGGGGAGTCCTCGGCCTTGAGGGTGAGGATGTCTTCGTTCTGGGCAGCACGCAGAACCTTGGTCAGGGAGCTCAGGTTGATACCCAGGGCAATGTTACGGTCGCAGCGGTAGGGAGAAAATCCCTCAGCCTTAAGCATCATGGACACGAGGGCAACATGGGAGTTGTCCATGGCCTGGAGGGAGATTCCGGAGTCATTGCAGTCGAAGTTGCAGTCCTGGACGAGGTCCTTGACGGCGTCGACGACCTAGAGAAATCAATGTTAGGGATCGGACGGGGTCACCTTGTGGTTGTAGTCATAGGGAGAGGACATACGCGTTTGAGAAGGCTGGCTTGTTCCAGACGAGCTTCCAACACTAATAGCAGTCAGATGGCGATCCCAGACGAATTGCAGCGTTGTGGGAGTTGCTCACTTTTGATGTGATGAGGTGTAGGTGCGGTGAGACGACGACGTTAAAGAGGGAAAGGGGGCGGTGGATGAGACCTGAGACGTAGGTAGTGTTTGAGTTGATTTGGAGGTTGTAGGAGGTTAGGTTTGTTGGAAGCAATGGAGAAATTGGGGGTATAGGGAGGAGTGATGGGCGCTTTGGTTGGAGTGAATTTATTCAGGAACCAGAGTGCAGCGAATTCGCGTTCGAGGGTTTCATTACCAGAATAGTGGGGAGGCACGCGTCCCAGTCGCGCGTCATCCCTTAGGCTGATATCACCCCTTCCGGTTAGCCTACGTTGATGCCTCAGGCACGCATCGGGACCCCCCCCGCGTCACCCGTGACCAGGCCAATTCAATTTGATGGGGTTTAATTTCACGTAAGAATTGAATGCTATGTACAAACAGGCATAGGTATGCGGGACAAAAAAAAAAAAAAGCAAGCGGCAGCGACCAGTATAGGCAAGAGTGTTAATGTGAGTATACAGGAACGCGAAGGTGGAACCGAGTCAAAAAGCAACGTAGTGTACAGTATCAACGAAAGTAAGACGCTCTGCGGGCCCTTAGGAGACAAAGAAAATGAACCAACTAACCGAGACAAGAATGTAAAAACGCTCAAACGCAACGCCACGGACACCGACCTTTCTATACATTTTTGGGTATCAATCTGCATGATTTGCTGGTCAAAAGTTGGTACTCAGCTCAGGTTGGAGCAGAGCCCGGGAAGGAGGAGATTATAGGTGCGGAATGGGAGGAGGAAAATGTGACGTCGAGGTGGTGGAGGAGATATGGGGGATGTGGTGTGGATGTTGGCTGTATCAGATGCTGGTGACCCGCTTGGCAGCTATCATTGAGTGAGGCCGTTGCTTGATGACCATTTCTAGCTCTTTGAGCATGTTCGTATTGGCATCCGTGCGCTCTCGAGCAGCAGCTTGTCGTGCTCTGTCTTCTTTGACGCGCGCTATGCGTTCATCCCGAGTCAACGATGCCCTTTTGTTGCGAGCGGGTAAAGCAATCGCTTCAAAGATCTCTTCCTCGTCATCGAGCGTGTGGACAATGCCAAGCTCCGCCCTTTCCCCATTCAATGCTCTCAGAGCGTCCGAGGGACTGCCCTCAACCGCTGTAGAACCTCCGAGGCTGGGGGTGGGCGACACTGGAGATATCATCACACTCGGCGGTCGCGAGCGATCCACGCTCAGATGTTTATCTGAGCTACTCATCAAGGTCGACTTGCCGGCTTCCCACTCCTGAAGGAGGCTTCGAATATCCGCGCCAATTGATTCATACTGGGCCATGAGGGTTGCCTCGAATTCGCCTGATTCAGACCGTTCCAGATTGGCGTTCGAGGCCTCTCTGAGGATGTGCATCTTTGCATGGAGGGCTCGAACCCCCTGGGAGAGAGAATTGATCTTTCGGTATTGTGCGCGGAGGTTATCCTTGTTGGGGGAAGCCGTGGGGAGTGGCGAAGGTGGGACCTCACCTAGGATGAAAGGTTAGACTGAAGAAAAACATGGGAGGTTTCGAGACTTACGATCCTCTTCGTTGAGAATATTGGTCATCTTATGGATGTTTCCACCTGTCACATGGGCCAGGTCTCGCATCTGCTCAACAGCGGCGGTCCATCTTGCGATATCAGATCCACCGCCATCGGCACCGAGAGCCAGAAGGCAGCAGAGAATGCTCTTCCGTACGATGTATAGTCGCCCGAAAAGTGTGCGAAGGGAGCGCAAGGAGTATTGATCTTCAGTTGCACGCTCATCGAATGCCGCCTCAGCCTCAGCAAGTTCCTTCTCCGATATGTCGTAGATGTCGTAGTATTTGGCACGGTTTGCATCGTCGGTAAGAGGTCGTAGCGCGTGCTGCGCTTGGATGTATCGGCCTAGCATGAAGTAGAATGACTCCGACACGGTCCGGCGCAGTCTCAGGCATCGTCGCGTTTGCGTCTGATCCTCGAGTCTGCTGATTGGTGGCAAGGGTGTGCTTCTATGCAATGGATTAGTGAGGTCTAAATCAAAGATGAGAAAACAGGCACCCACATGCGGTAGCCTCTCGAGACCAGCTCAACCTCCTGAATAAATACAACCGATGCGGAAGCGGCGGAGTCGAATCCCTGAGCGTTGCCAATGAAGGTGACGGCGGCATCAACGGCTTGATGTCGCAAATATTTCAGCCACTGTCGTTTGGCGAAAGCATAGAACAAAACACCGATGACTGGCACGAGAACCAAGAGAACCCCGACCTTCCGAGGGTTGAGACCAGATGATGCTCGAGACCGGCTCCAGTGTAGCAACCACGCGATGGAGAATGACGTCGAAGCCGTGACAACAGCACCCTGTATACCAAATGTCGTCGAGATCGAGGGGAGGTCTGCGGGAAGGGCAGTGGACATCACATCGGCGGCTGACGTATAGGAGGGCGCACTGTGTTCGTTCAAGAGCTGAGATGCAACGATAACGTAGCCGAACTGTTCGAGGAATCGCTCGTTGTCGCTCCGTGCAATGCGCGAGTTCAATACAGACTGCATTTGACAGCCCCGTCAGTATCCATTTGCGAGAAGTGTATGTCTCATGGCACCCATACCGTGCAGGCCTCATAAATCCGACCCAAGGCTGCGCTCTGCCGCGAGACCTTCCGTTCGAGTGGCTTGGGCAATTTATTCCGAATCCGCTCCTGAAACTTCGAGACCCCTCGCGGGGCAAAGTCCGCTGCCGTTGAGTCGGAGAAATCATCGCTGTGCTCAGCCTCCTTCAGAGGCCAGTTCGGATCGTGTTCGCCTTCCCCTGAACATCACATCACCACATTAGATTTCGCGATTTCATAGAGCGAGCTTGGGGCGAGGGAAACTCACCCTGAAGGTAGTCTGCCAGCGGCGAGTTTTCATAGACGAGGGACTCCATGGCCAGTGAACATTCCGTAGTCGGGGCGATTGGGAGAAGATGGAGACGGCGCGGAGGCTACGGCACTGGGGCAGGAGGCCGATCAAGTACGGAGTACAGCCGGATGAGTCGAATAATCGAGCCGAAACAGGAGGACAGAAGAGCGCGTAGTGAAGCCAATCAAGGCAGGCCCATCTCCACGACAATCCAATGGGGCGCGTGGTAAAGTCGAGGGAGAGGGCGTCAGGTGAATGAGTGAGTGAGTGAGTGGTGAGTGAGTTGAATGAGCGAACGAGCGAGCGGTGGTGGACGGACGGAGGAGGCGGCGGGAGTGAGCAATTCGGGCCCGGACAGTCAGTACCGCAGCGGTACAGCAGGTAACAGGATCAGTATCGAGATTCAATAGGTTGAGAACGGGGGAGCAGCGGCGAGCTAGACAAATCGAGACGTGTAAGGAGGGCGAGTGGGGACGGAGAGGAGATGATTAATGAAGGTCACGGATAGTTAGTTATACATAGCAGCATTACCCCTGGCAGATGGAGACGAACGTCGTGGAAACCGTCGCCGCCTAGTCGCAGGGATAGCGAGGAGATAGTGTGCCTGTGCAGCGGCCACGTTTGAAGATCAGACCATGTGTGTGTCTGGGGAAGAGGCCAGGAGACCGAAAGGTCGAATCGGAGGGCGCGCCTCCCGACGCCGGCCGGAGGTTCGCTCCTCGGCCTAAGAATAGGCGCCCCCACCGGGAACATTTACACAAGTACTAACTAACTACTATGTGCTATCAGTAACTAGTTACTATACATACGTATTAATCAGCGGACTTTCTGCCTTGCCTAGGCACAGGAGGCTAGGAGCATCATCATCATCATCATCATCATATGAAGAATGGCGATCGGAGGGGAGGGATCTTGTCTGTGCTCTGCATGCCATCCATCCCTGCCGGTGGAACTGACGTCTCGTGAAAGGCACAGACCGAGGTCCCTGTCCCATGCTGAATGTCAGTGTGATTGCCTCGGACTACATCCAGACGGCCTGTTTCATGTTGCCCGATTTTAAGCCAGTCTAAAGGTCAGTCGTATTAACTAGATGGATAAGTCGCAATTGTTGGTGCTCATTGGAGAGTTTCCACGCTCAACGTCTGTCTCGGTGTCTAGTCCGTCCCTCCTCGGGGAACACGAGTACGCAGTTTTCATTACACTACTAGTTATCAGTTCCTCGGCTTCTCGACATTGCATAAATTCAGGGACTGGGCTGCTTGACGGACGGCGGAATGGGCGCCCACAATCTCACCCTCAACAGTATTAGCAACAACAAACAACCTTTTCGATGAGATGGTTTAGCTTTTCTCTTCGATCTCCTTGCTGGTCAGGCATGCAAAGCTAATGAGATCCCAGTCGAACCCTACAGCATGCGCATGTATATGCAACTTGACGTGTCCTTGCAGCATCAACTCTAAATCCAACCAGGGAGAACCAGAATGTGAAACGATTGACCGAAGGAGTACCAGAAGAGTGGAAGAGTGGTAGCATTGACCTCTGCGTCTGGTCGACATCCGGTGGTTGTTGTACTTGGGCTCTATGGAGTATATATGAGTGACTTCCAGCCTGCATCCTAGGATACTTTACCCACCGAGTAGTAGCATCTATGCAGATTCCAATCGGTAACTGGCAGCTGTGATACACCCAACTGCTTCTGCCATGATATAAAGTGGGTTGCACAGCAGAAGCACCCCATATGCCCAGAACTATTACAACGCCCAGTGCATTCACCCGTTATCTCATCTCGTTCCCGAGGCGCGGGTGCCCGCGTGCTGCCTGAGGCAGCGAGTCACGTTGCGCCGGCAACGGGCTGTCAACAGCGCGTCTCCATACCTCGAGGCCAGACCCATCCTACCGTCCTACCGAACCTTGTATAACTTAGCTTGACCCATGACTCTAGCTAGCCAGCTTTCACCTCCAGTTTCGCGCCCAGGCCCGAACGCCTGTTTCACAGTTTTTTTCTTGGAATCGCAGTCCATATCCAGCCCATTGCTACCGCAATCGTCCCTTGATTTGTTGACCGCCACATGATACCAGATTGAAAGACGGTCAACGCGAGACACGCACATGGGAAAGGAACATTTCCAAGCGAGCTGCATTTGCATTTAGTCTACAGAAGCTAGCATTGCAGGGCCGCCAACATGTCAGGTCTTATGCATGATGTTGCAACCCCTTGCCCGTCGAGGTTGAACGGTTCGAGTTTCTGCCGAAAAAGCGACAGCTCGTTCGACAGCCTGTGGGAGAGGACTTTGGACAATGGCGAAGAGACGGCAAATGTTGAATTCACAACCGAAATCAAACCCTCTGTTCTTACAGGGGCCAAACCGCGACGAAGAACCAAGACAGGCTCTTCCTTTATGATCCACGATGACCACGAGGAGAAACCCACCCAAATCCAGAATAGACCGAAGCGGGAATCGAGTATAACAGCCCAGACTACGAACCGTAAAACGTCCTTGCTTGCGCAGCCGGCTCAGAGATTTCGTCCCAAAGTGAGCTTCGCTCCGAGCCCTCGCAGGCAATCCCAAGAAAAAGAGCTCATCCCTAAGACACACTCTGAAAGAGACACGGAGAAGAACAACGAGCTTCTTATGCAGATCAGTGGGAAAGGAGACCGGGCTCAACCTAAGGATAGGCTTAAGGCGGATGTGCGTCGCAACACGGTCTACATCCCCCCAGATGATACCACAGTGGCCAGTGTTTTCATGGGACTTTTCAGTCCTTTGAAGTCAGACAATATCGGATATCATATCCCGGAGGACACACAAATAAACAGCCTGGAGGCCCAGATTGCACAGAAGCGACAGGCAAAGCGCTCCCTCGCCTCCTCTGCCCAGCGGGCTCCGCTACAGCCAAGCTGGAAAGTAACGCAGGAATCGTCCACTCGAGTTGACATTGCTGGGAAGAATGGAGGGAAGGAGAACATACCCCCGGGGACAGTAATCCTTGATGGCAAGAAGGGTCTCCAGCCGTTGAAGGCGAAGAGACCACTGGACGATAACCTCAAGGTCTCCCAGTTGAGAGACAGTCGATCTAGTCAGATCAACAAGGGCGCAAGAGCCTCCCAGCCATTGACTACAAAGACAAGCAACCTACAACGGAGCACGGTGCTGGGCGACAGCCAGAATAACACTAAGGCGCGACCCAGCAAAGCCAACCCAGTTGACACGAAGCGAAAGTTGACCACTAGTGACAGCAAACCTGCGTTTGTACGCAGTTCAACTATTACCACCTCGCTTAAGCAGTCTAGAACAAACACAGGGGCACCCAAGTCGGCACTGCAAAGGAACGTGATGGGCATCGAGAAGGATTATCCAATTATCTCGAACATTACAAACCCTACATTGTATGAGGACAACTGGCTTTCGCATCAGGAAGTGGTCATAACACAATTGGCCAATGAGCTGTTCCAGTGTGCAGATGGGGACGCGGCCTTTGATGACCCGACCATGCTTCGACAGGAGCTACTCACTCTATACCAAGGAACATCGTTCACACACTTACACAAGCGACTGCAGGCCTCGCTGCTATATGGAGCCATGAGTGTACCAAAAGATGTACTCGCTCGCAGCAGCCGCCTTCGACAGGATCTAGGGATGAAGCGCAGATATCTGGACATTTGGGTCCAAACATACGATCTCCAGGCCCTGCGAGCTGCAGTGGAAGCGATAACCGGAAGAAAGATTCCCAAGTCCAAGGTGGCCGCAGGAAACGAGGGTTTGGATAAAGAAAGATCGATGAAACGGAGATTGGAAGTCTTTTTGGATGCATTTCTCCTGCAAAATAAAGACATGGACCGCCATGCAAACATCTCTGAGGGAGATGAGGGCGATGTAGCCAGTCGGGCGTACCGTCGAACGGTTATTCGAAGCATCATGATCGTCATTCTTCTGGACCAAGGAAGGCTCTGCTCTGGAACAGCACTTCCACGCCGTCTCTTCCTCTCCGCCTCTCCCTACAAGACCTCTGTTGCCGTGCTCCAGGCACTCGCTCGGATGCTACTTCCATCATGCGGAGACATCGCCAAGACATTGAGCCATCTGAACTGCGAACTTTCTTACAAGCAGGACCCACTGCAGGAGTACGAGTATCAGATGGACAACCTTGCCATAGATCTCCGGGACGGAGTCAGGCTGACGAGGATCGTAGAGCTGTTACTCCACTCCCCAGCTTCGCCTGCTGAGACACAGCCCGAAGACTCCGAATGGCCACTTTCACGGAGCCTGAAATTCCCCTGCATGAGTCGGGCAGTGAAGCTCTTCAACGTGCAGGTGGCCTTGGATGCGCTGGCATCTGCGAAAGGAACGAGGAAGCTCGTGAGCACAGTGCGCGCAGAAGATATCGTCAACGGACACCGTGAAAAGACCATTGCGCTTCTGTGGGGGCTGGTCAGCACATGGGGCCTCGCTGGACTTGTGGATTGGGCGGAAGTGAGAACAGAAATCGAGAGACTGAAGCAGAAGGCGGTTGCCCAGTATGGATACAACCACATCAAAGACGAGGAATGGTTCTGCGACAAGCATTCGGATAAAACACACCAGCAGGACGACGAGCCTATCTTGCTGCTCACGCAATGGGCGTCGATCCTAGCCCACCTGAAGGGTCTACGACTCGAAAACCTCAGCACCAGCTTCAGCGACGGCAGAATCTACGAAAGCATCGTCGACGAATACGAAGGATACCTGCTCGGGGACCGGGACAATATATGCGACAAAGCATCATCATCATCCTCATGCTCATCACCATCATCGCTGAACTCTCGTCTCCAAGCTCTAGGATGCACCGCGCAGTTCGGTAAGAACCACCCCCGTCCCCCCTTCTCTCTCGGAAAATACCTAACAAAGCCCAGCCAAACTCGTATCTCCCTCCCCATCCCCCAACACGCACGTCCCCATCGTCAACGCAGACTTCACCATTGGCGCACTCGCCTTCCTTTGTTCCCGACTTCTGGCAGCCACAAAGCGCGCCCGAGCAGCAACAGTACTGCAAGCCGCATGGCGCCGGATCCTCGCGCGGCGGGACCACCAGCGCCGGATCATCGCAAGAGACCTCGCCAGACAATGCGCGGCAGTTGTGCAAGCAAGAGACCGGATCATCTGGGCGCAGGGGGTGATCCTGCAATGGTGGAGAAAGATGCAGACACAGCGACGTCGCCGGACTGTTGGGGGGAAGAAAATGAATAACAAAAGTATTCCGAGATACCGGTATCAATACTGATGGAGAGAGAGAGAGAGAGAGAGAGAGAAAGAAACAAAGAAATATTGTCGTTGTTGTGAGACGTATTGCATAAAGCGCGTTTTGTTTCAGATCATGCGGCGCAGCCTGATGATCACCTAGTTACCTATCTGAGAGATTGGGGGTTGGGATTGGGATTGATTGTTTCAGGATTGCCATTGTCATTGTCATTGCCAGATACCTATGATAGCCACGACTACCATGACTACTATGCACTAGTACTATGGAATAGTACTACTATTTTCTTTTTCATGCAAGAACGAGCAGATATATGCCTGATATATATACAAGGGCTGTCTGTTCTCTTATTTTGCTGTCTTAGCTACTAGTACCTAATCCCGGTAGTCCAGACAGACAGACAGACAGACAGACAGACAGACTAAAGCAAACTCCTGCACTGCGAAATTGGAAGGGAGGTAGGTACTTAGGTAGGTAAATAGGTAGGGTATGGCAACAAAGGGCATATCGATATCGGCCTTACTAGTTACTGGTTACTACTTAGGTAGTTATACGTAGGCACAGGCTAGTTACTGGCTTCCCAACTACTAAGGTCACGGTATCTTTGGTACTAAGGTACCTAAGATAAGTACTTACTGTGCCTACGGAGTAGCAACTCCCGTGTACCTGCATAGACCAACAACAACAACAACAACACACCACAACACATAACACCTGAGGTCTAACTACTAGTATACGGACTAACTGACTATAGTAACTAACTTATACCTCGGACTCAATCCTCAACCATCAATCCTGAATCCTGCGGCCGTAATAGATGGACATAAACATAGTAGAAAGTCAGGTATCTACCTACCTACCTATCTACCTATCTACCTACTACCCAAGATACCTAAATAGCCAGACAGACAAACAAGATAAGCATCAAAGCAGTACTTAGTATACTTAGTACCTTAGACTACCTACCTATAGTACCTTAGTAGTAGTAGTAGTAGCAGCAGCAGCACAGTGTAAATAACAAAGTCAAGCAACCGTAATCCAATTAAACAAGAGAGTAAACAAATTACCTTACCTTACTTTACCTTACCTTCCTTACCTATCTTACTCCTTAGTCGCAACAAACAACCCACTCAGGCAGAAATAAAAACCAGAATCAGAACCAGAATCAGGTGGTGGCCTAATCAGACCGAAACAGTCAGTCAGTCAGTCAGTCAGTCAGTCAGTCAGTCAGTCAGTCAGACAGACAGACAGACCTAAGACTGAGTCACGACGGAGATCATCGCCACGCACGCACCCACCCACCACAGAACAAAAAAAGAAAGAGGAGCGAGGGCGAGGGCGAGGGCGAGGGCGAGGCTGTGTGGATGTGGCAGAGGAGCAGAGCATGACATCACTATCTATCTATCTATCTATCTATCTAGTTAGCAGAGGTTACATGGATGGGTAACATAGTCATACTTACATACATAGTAGAGGGTGGTTGGGGTTGTTTGTTTGCGGTTGTCTACTTCTGACGGAGTACTCCGTACCGTGTACTGTGAACTGTGCTCTGAATGGATGGTCGGATCGGACGGGTCGGGGGTTAGTTTGCCATCTATGATTATATGATCTTTATTTTGTAGTATTATTCATTGTAAGACTAGTTAACTATTCTATGGTGGTTAGTAATGTTAAGGTGCAGCGGGGGTGGCAGGACTAGTTAGTTATGACGTCGACAATTCACTGTCCTTCTCGGCAATAACAACAGGCCCCAATGCCAGCGCCAGCATCTGACAACACCAACAAATAACGTTTCCCATGACGACGGATCTACAAAAAGGAAGCAAAACTCACAGTACGATGATATAACCTACGATAATCCAAACACCATCCAACAGTGCGGGGAAGGATGGTTCGAGAAACCTACCTGAACGGGCAGAAACACCATCCGATGACTCCCGAGATCGATCGCCCGGCACACTTTTCCTTGCGCCGCCGTACAGTAGCCGATGCGGAGCCCTGCAGTGCTGGCTGGGCTGCTGGATGGATGGATGGATGAACTTTATTTCGGGCGGTCGGAGGGAATTCGACAGACAGACAGTAGATAACTAGTCTACTCCATATGCTTGGGGCGGAGTCGGTCGGGATTGCAATGAGGCTGGTGCTGCAGACGTGTCCGTCCAGCACCACCGCTTCTCTCTTCCCCCCCCCCCCCCCCCCTACCCAAACAGTTATCGCGCCATCAACTGGGCTGCAATCCAGCTGCACGCCTGCAATATCCAGGGGAAACCCCCCTGAGTGAGATAACCTCGACGTGGTCATGCTCAATGCTTGACCGCCAAGACCTGGCTATGCAATATAGGAGCAGATGATCGACGCCGATCTCCCATCCTCAATCGCAATGTGCTTGTCTCCCTCCCCTTTCCCTCGCGCCACCACCTCCTCTCCCTCCGCCCTCTCCTCCACCAACAACACGTCCGCAGCAGTCAAGTCACTCGCCCAGCGATTTGGAATGGCTCTTGGCACGCTTGGCCGGTCACAGCCCCAACGCGGATCGTCCAGCACCGAGTCGGTCGGCGGTCGCACTGGCAAGGCAAGGAGGAGGAATGTGTGCACTTGTGCAGTGTGCTGGGCGGAGACTGACAAGAAGCAAGAGGTCGCCGGAGTCCGGGCATTGGGAAGGCCGACGGCCGACCGACCGCTCCCAAGACAATCTCGAACCACCGCACCGCCCAGACTCATTCCTCCGCGACAGGCATGATGCTTCTGAACTGGGCTGAGTTGATCTTGGCGGCGCCTCTCCGTCGCACCGGGGAGGAGTGCGGTCACAAGACGTTGCCAAGCACTGCTGTGGAATGCCACCATAGCCGCCGAGAGGATGTCGAGCAAGGGGCAAGTCGAACCGGGGGGGATGAGGGGGAGGGGAAGAAAAAAAAAAACAAGGGTGCAGCTGTGTTTTTCAAGCCCACCTCTCGGCTAGAGAGAACCCCCAGCCTGATCGCTGCATGGGGGAGGGATATGGCCATGCCTTGGCGATCTTGGCGGAGGGCTTGGCCGTCTCAGTCGGGATGGAACTGGAAGACAAGACAAGAAGAACGGTGATGTCTCCCCAAGCTTGCGGCATGTCGATCATGCGATCACCGACGTGCGACTGGATTCTTCTGCATGGAGGACGTTGAGTCGTTGACCACCCCTATCCCTTTCTTCGACGTCGAAAGAGGGCTGGATGCTGTCCTTGACACATTCCAGACGGGTTGCTGACCACGGTACCAGGATTCCGACATGCATTCGGCCCGTCCTAAACGCTGGGGTTCTAGATCCATTGCTCCCCATGCACCCGGAGCGGCGCTGGTCGCCTCTCGAGGTTCTGGCCCAAGCAAGGGCACCGCACCTCCATGTGCGACTGGATTGCCGCACCAGCAACCCATCTTATCTTCCGTGTATCCGACATACTGTACACATGAGGTACGGTATTGACGGTTACATGGATGGAACAGAAACCCGCATGTCCCATGCTGGGGTGGTGGTGGTGGTGGTAGTAGTTAGTTGCAGTAGCAGTGGTGGTGCTCGACGACATTCTGAATCCTTCCACGACTGAACATGCCACACACACACACACACACACTCATGAGCATCTGGGCTCGGGGACAGAGGTGCAGATGCATATGTCATGACGGCAACCTCGCATATATCCGCCCCAGATCCGTGGACATCCTGGAAAGAGTGATGACTGATTCCCAGTGGAGGGGGGGGGTCGGTCCAGCTCAGACGGCGAGCGAGATGAAGATGATTTGATAATGGACCGAGTCCAAGACGTCAATCCGTCCACTCCGTCAATCACGGCGGTGGCACGGAGCAAGCGCAGAAGGGCAATCCCGGGTCGGCGGAGGGAAGCTGATCCTGTCCTGACTTTCCTGTCGCACGAGAGGCTGACCATGAGACAGCCAGGCAGAGGCAGAGGGCCACCCTGAACACTAGCAGACCCAGGTAGTAATCATATAATCATAATAAGGGTAGTAAGTCGTAGATAGTGCCGGCGAGTCGCTGGAATTACTCGATCGGGCGAGTCGTGCAGCGCAAGTTGGAAGCCGGCGCGAATCCACGAACGAGTCCCGTGCCGATGAACTGTGGGGAGGCACTAATGAACAGACTCAGACTCAGACTCAGGCTCGGTCTCAAAGAGGGGGGAGGAGTAACAGTGACAGTGACAGCACTAGGAGGCAAAGACCGCTGACTTGTTAAAGGCTAAGAGAAACCGACTGGGTGGGAAATGAGCAACAGCAACAGCAACATCCTCGGCCCAGTCGGCCAGTCGGCAGTCAGCGACTCGGCGCCTCGTAGCCTGCCTGTAGGGCCACGGCCACTGCCATTGCCAGTAGCAGTAGCAGGTAGGTAGATACTGTAGGTAGCAGTAACCACTAGGTAGGTACTCAACACTCAACTAGTCGATCCTCCGTACCTGGTCCTTGAGAAACTACCTACCTCGGACAGATTGGTTGTAACTTGTACCTAGGTAAGTATCTCTCTCTCTCTCTGACCATCAAAGGAAAATAAATCCCTCATACAAAACAGAACGGCTCTGGAGCCGACGTCGGCCATTGGGGGAATTGCCTAGAGAGGGGGGGGTGGTGGTGGAGGACAGACCAATGAGACCGATAGATGAATGAATGGGCCCTCGGACAAACACCACTGCAACTTGCAGCTGCAGCACGCAGGACTTTTGATCCTGGCCGCGGAGGTCGATAAGCGGCCGTATTAATGCATCCCGGCGCTGTCTCTGGCTAATGCTGTCTTGTCTATCTATTCTTATCCTTCCGTCGTGGGGATCCTGGTTCTGGATGGTTGGGGGGAGGGAGGGAAGGTCCGCATGGGTGTTAATGTTACTCGACCGGGGTGGGATTGGTGGCTAAGTATCTAGGTACAGAGTCCGGATAAAGAGGTGGGATTAATTCATTCCTAGCAGGAAGTAGTGCTATGTAAGTAGGTAGGTAGGTAGGTAGGTAGATACTTCGAAGTACGTAGTGGGTAGATAGTTAGGGAGAAGTACCAAGTATGGAGTACTCCGCATCATCCTAAACACAACAAACAATAAATACTCCTACATACATATTTACAGACATACTAACCCACCAGAACAATCCCATTCTTCGTCCGTCTGGCCTGCAAGACGGACGGCGACGGCGACGGCGACGGCGACGCCGCAACACAGCAGCAAGCAGGATCAGGACCAGGACCAGGACCAGGAGCAGACCCTCCCGGATCTCATGGCGGTCCACTCGCACGCGCGACAGTTCAGAGACCCTCCTCCACCTGGTGATGCTGATGGTAGTTATGGTTCAACCCTCATAATCCAAATCATTAATGTTATCGTATCCATTGTCGTGCAGCTTTCCCCGTCCATTCATCCACCCTAGCCAGACCACCCGGCAGGTAAGCAAGCAAGCAAGCAAGCAGACAGACAGACAGACAGACAAGCAGGCAAGGCAAGGCAAGGTAAGGCAAACTGGGGTAGTTACGGAGTACGTAGAACAAGAAACTCCAACCCCCCAAAATTCTGTAAATCCGTATGGACGGAATAAACGGGATGGGGAAGGGAAGCCTGAAGGACGGACGGACGGACGGTTGTTCGGTCGGTCAATCGGTCAATCGGTCGGTTGTTCGTATGCCATGCCATGCCATGCCACATATGCCCATCCACAATCCCACATAAGTAGCAAGTAGCAAATAGCACATAGTTAGCACATCTTCCCTTTCCGGGTGGCCGGTGACCGAGTACTTGGGTTAGTCCTATGTAAGTAAGTAAGTAAGTAAGTAAGTGGTGGGTTGGTGGTTGGTGGTTGGTGGTTGGTGGTGATGACAGCCAGCCCTGCCTGCCTGACCAGAAAGAAGACCCTCCCAGACCCTCTTTCTCTCTTCTTCTAAGTTTCTCTCTCTCCCTCTTGCGCCCGCCCCGTATTCAAGCACAGTATTTTTGTCATCCTGGTTTGTTTGTTTGCTTGTTTGCTTACTTACTTCCCTCCCGTTGCCTCTTTTGCCGTCTAATTTACCCCGGGATAATCCATCCATCCACCCATCCAAGCTTTTGTCACTTGATGCATTGCAGCTTGCAAGGTTTGAATTGAATGAAGGAAGGTTTGCGCGCGCCGCCCGGCCGGCGTCCACGAGCCTGCCTGCCTGCCTACTTACTAACTACTTACCTTACCTTCTAAGGACATACTCCGTAGGTACGTACTCCGTAGTTGAGTTAGATACCCACACACACCTACCTACCTACCTACTTACATGCAATGTACAGCAAGAGCTACACCGGAATTATGGTTTTTACCCCGTCGACGGTCGGAGTTTATTTGCGATGGTGGCTCTCTCTCTACCTACCTAGAATCTAGCACCATCTCATCTAGTTAGTTAATTTGAGTTGCGATCGTTGATCATATGTATCTATCGTTCGTTGGGCTGGGATATATTTAGATTATAGATGGACTCTACAGGGCTTGGTAGTGTGAAGTATAAAGTTTATAAAGATTTAAAGATGGAGGAGATGTGGATAATAGATCGACAGATCGATAGACGTAGATGTAGATGGTTGTTATGTGAGTGAATGAGTGAGTGAGTGAGTGAGGGGAGTGAGACATTGAAAGGAACTAGATACTACCTAGGTAGGTAGTAGGTATGTTTTGAGAACAATGGGGTTGGTCGTACCCTCTTCTCGCCATTGTCAGTCAGTAAAGGTAGTCTCTATTGTAAACGCACCGGATGTCCGATGTGTGTAACCTTGATGAAACTTCCCTTCATCCATGTCCATGTCCATGTCCGTATATGCACATTGCATGTACTGCTACTGCTACTGCGACTGTACAGGCCTACAGCGGACGGATGGATGGACGGACGGACAGTAGACACTAGACAAGCTGCGCAAGCTCAAGCTCAAGCTTCAAGCATGGGGTTCAGGGCCGGTTGACCCGAACGGGTAACCGGAGTCGTGAGTGAGTCGTAAGACGTAAAGGCATCAGCAGCAGCAACAGGGCCAGGATCGGGGCCAGGACCAGGATCGTTGGAGTTGGATGGGCCGACCCCGTTGGTTCGTACGGGCAAAGGGCAAAGTACGGAGACGGAGTCCAAAGCCAAAAAGTCAACACTCAACACACGACAGCCAGGCTAGTCTCCAGACTCCAGCAGGGCACTGCAGTAGTGGCAGCGGTAGCAGCAGTAGCAACAGTGGTCAAGGCAGCCAGAGACAAGATGACTGGCTGCGGTTGGAGTCGGCCCTGATTGAGGCAGCGGGCAGCGGGCAGCGGGCACACGAGCCAAACAGCAGCAAGAACAACATGCCCGACAGGCGCCGGGATTGGCTGCGGTGCGTATGTATGGGCAGCTGCATCTCCCGGAGCAAGCGTGAGCAGCCATGATGATGATGATGGTGGTGATGATGATGATGGAGCAAAGCCATGGTACCGAGTGGGGGTATCCCTGAATCGCACGAAGCTTGTCCCAGAACTTCGCGGCCGGCGAGGCGGGTTGGTTCCTCAGCGACCGGGGATTGGAATTGGATGATGGACGGGCGGGCGTTCGATGGGGGCCCGGTCTGGCGGGCCCGCTGGGGGGATCGCAGCCTATCTACTCGCTGCTAACCCAACTGTGCCCCATCCGAACCACCGCCTGTCAGTCATAACCGACTGAGGGACCCGGAAAACCGAACCGGGTCGTGGGTTTTTTGTTGACCGCTTCTCTTTGCTCTCTCAGTCATCGTCGGGCATGGAACCCTCGCTCATCACCAGACTGCCTGCTTTCTTCCCAATCTCCCCGCTCCCCCATCTGGGAAAGACGGCACGATCGCCTGAAGGATGGGATCGGGGATTCAATCGCTCCGGTTCTTTGGACGGCGATTCATGTATTTGGGGGGCGCTTGGCGCATGTACGGCGCCTGTACGGCGTATGTATGAGGGCATGCCGGTATGTATGGATACGATCCTCACCACCACTACCACCACCACCAACACCACCACCACCCCGGCGGCACGGCCACGGCTTCGCCATTCTCGTCATCCCATGCCTAAAGTCAGGCTAAGGAGCACTAGGGCAGACAGGAGAACTGACCGACTGACATGTTCTTGAAATCTGAACTCTATTGTGGTTGCTTCCTGCCAGTGCCCTCATCCCTGGGATGATCATTGTGGAGTAAGAACTGGTAGATTGTCAACTAGATAGATAGGAAGGGTCAATTGTTTTGTCTTGTCTTGACTCTTGGGCATTCCATTGAACAATAAAGATCCATCATCCACCATCCATGACTAGCCCCGGGCCTTATTTGCATCCCTTAGCTCGGATCAGATCGGCTCTACTGCGGTGGTTATTTCTGGCAGGACCGATCATCACGGTCGTGATCCTGAGGTCGTACAGCCAAGAGCCAACTATTCCCGCCCAGACATTGATGGCCATTCCGCCCCGATCCCTCAGTGGCAGTGTTCGCCGGCCAGGAATGTCCAGACTTCTATCGACAGGTCGTCGACGCCATGGCTGGAGGTTCCAATATACTCCTGAATCCCTGGACCGATCTAGGTACCATCTTACCTAGGGAACGGCTATCGGAGCTAACCCAGAGAGTTCAGCGTGGCAGTCCCCGGACATGAAAGCCAGCTGGTGCCATTGCACTGCGCTGTAACCTCCTGAACTCTCCGGGACTCGACAGCGTCATGACGGGGAATTTCACCGTGGTTCATCGGGAGGGGGGGGGCGTTGAGATGTAGTATTTTGGGGTAGGGAAGGTAGTAGTAGTAGGAAAGCTAGAGTAGTTTAAGGAGGCCGAGATCTCACGGCGTCATTCATATCGAGGGACGAGCGCGAGTGGTCGGTCCGAGAAAGCTGGGCAGCTTCGTCAAGACTTCTCTTGCCTGCAAGTGCAGTGGGCTTCTACAATTGTAACTGAGATTGTAGCCGGGCTGCAGATGTCCATTGCACGAGTACAGTCGGTCTGCTTCAGAACTGAGATAACCTTCAAGCACCGCGGTGACACAGCATGACTAGGGGCAGCCCTACGTCACAGGGCCAAGAGCATCGCTTGCCGGATCAGGAACGACTGGAATCAGGCCCGGCCAGGGAGCGTTTCGGCCAAGGCAATAGTGAGCAATGACAAGAAATACCAAGCATTGTTATTGAAATCTCGAGCAATAACCTCTCGAGCCGCCAGCAGGGGGAAGGACAGCATCTATTTTGTAGAATTGTTGTGCTCAAGACGCAAGAATGAGGCGCGCCGAGAACTGATCGGTGGCACTATGATTGAAGAGTCGAGGACTGACTGAGTCTTGCGACCGGCGCCGAGAAAAGCGACCACGGCTTTCTTCACGTCCCCGCACAAGCGAGACGGCGCATAACTGCGCGGCGCGAATGCGAGCATGAGTAAGCGGAGAGGGATCGCCTAGGCTGAAACCGGACTAGATCCAGCGCGCTACTACTACTTGCTAATATTATTAATACGAGGGGAAAAAGCGAGAGAGAAAAGGGAAAAAAATGAGACGGCTTCGGCGCGACTCCGACGGCCTTTTGTCGCCCTTCTTCTGTCAGTTGTCGGGTCAGCTTGCCGTCCTGGCCCTTGTAATTACCCTGGCATTACCCGCCCCGACGGTCGGGAAGGGAAGGGAAGGGAGAGGCTACGAGAGTCGGTCGCAGCTCGTGCCGCCATGATGCCTGCCCGGGCCCTGTCGTGTCCTCGTGGGGGTCATCCCCCTTCTCTCCTCCTTACTGTAGACTACAGAGTACCTCCGTTATTCGCTGTCTGGAACTCTCCCTCGAGATTTGTATCACATTCCGATCAGATAAAATAATATTCCCTTCGTGGTACATGTTCTAGAAGAGATGGAGAGCCCCTTACTTGCGAGTTCCCCATCATTCCACCACCACCACTAACAACTTTTCGGTCCTCTCCAAGAAATAGTGTGTAGTTACTCCGTAGATAGCTTTGGCAGCAGCAGGTCTGGGATGGGTTTGGACTGACCGGGTTAGTAAGAACATCGAACTCGAGCTTAGCCTGCCTTGGTAGCCAACCTCCAAAATGCCTCATAGTCTTTTGCTTTTGTCTCTTCGGCGCTGCCTTGCCCCGTGGATGAAACCGGCTTGTAACAGAACCCGGTGACGCCTGATGGAAATAGGTCCAGGACCTCAAAGGAAAACGGTCATCCCGCAGCTGGACGGACAATGCGATCCACGATTCTACGCCATCCTTTGGCATGGCTCTTTCTTCCTTGGATGTTCGTCCCTCTGCCTGTTTCCTTTGCTTCAGCCCTCCTGCTGTTTTGGCAACGGCCGTATTCCACGTTCGGTACTTACCTTACCTAGCAATCTTACCACCGTACGGTACCGACCAGCGTCACGTAGCCGCAGGAACCGAACAGCGTGCATCGATTTGGCGAGAAAAACGCCAGGGTGGGTCTAGGCTTGGCGGGGTTGGTTGGACCGAGCGTCTCTAAGCCGGCTGCAGAAGGAGGGAAAGAAGCCCCAGAGAAGATCCGAAATTGTAATCGTGGGTAATGAATGGGTGTGGTGTCTGTCTTTTTCCCTTTTTTTTTTTTTTTTTTTACGCTTTACCCTTTTTTTATTTTCTGGTGGTGCGCTGCCCTCCTTCGGCTTACCCTGCCGTGCCAGACAGTGTGGCAACCACTCCTGACCACTGTGCCGCCGCCGCCCACCACTGCCCACCACCCTAACCCGGTCAGTCTCTGCTTCCCACCAAAAAATCACCACCTGAACCTGGCGGTGCTCTCCCGCCCCCCATCACGGTTGGACTTTACCCTGCACATCGTCATTACTGCTGAGTCTTTTTACCCGCCCCGGTGATCGAGGACAGGCAGAGGAAAAGAATACGCCGTCCATACACGGTACCATCTTTACGGTACCTGTACCCTCTCTGCTACTTACCCCCAAATGACTTTTTATTCGATTTTTTTAATTTTTTAATTTTCTTTTTTTGATTTTTGATTTTCGGGAATTCGCATTTCGCCTTTCCACCCCCCTCCTTAATTACTTTTTATTTTCCGATCTTCTACACATTCCTTCTCTCCATCTCAATCCCACCTAGCACTGCCAACACATTGCACCTGCGAAACTCTTTCGACGCGTCTTCTTCTTCTGGCGCTCTTTGAGCTGCCAATCTCTGAAGAAGGCGTATGTCCGTCTCTTGGCCGCATACCTGACGCTCTCCTCTTCTTTTGACCTAATTACTTTACCTCCGTGCTCCTCGCCTACCACACCATGTGTTCTATATCATGACAATCGTCGTCCTGCTAAGGACACCTTTATTACCGCCCTCTGGGTTGATCAGTGGTACTATTGATCAATAACAAGAGAGCATCTTCTTCTTTCATCCTAGATTGATGCAATTATTCTTTAATATCCTCTCCCACCCCCCGCCATCTGCTTGAAACCCGCCAACCTACTTACCGCCACTACTATACACCTCGAGTCACTCCATCATATACCACCCGGCTCCCCACTTACCCTACCTACCTCACCACCACCACCTCCTCTCTTACCGACTGACTCTGGCCTCCCTCTCACTATTAATATACCTAATCCAAGAAGGGATGGCACATTTGCGTGGTGAACGACCATTTGCCTCAATCCACAGTCTGTTGAAGATGCTGCTCTCTCCTCATCAGTCCAGCAAGTCTGTCCCTCAGGAAGCAGACATGGCTGAGGACATTGATGAGCCCCCTGATCATCGGTTCTTGAATACCTCGATGACTATGGATGACGGATGCGTTTACGTCAAATCCCCCACCGCTATGACGGACCGGAAGGAGTCTCTGCTCACCCGTGCCCTCAAGAACAGCCCCCCGCTGAGCCCCTCCGACCAGCACTCGTCCTCCCGCGACTACTCCTTCCACCGCTCCTACACCTACACCAACATCAGCGGCATCTCGACGGCCGAGCTGACCAGCGACGGCGGTCTCACAAGCCCGTCCCTCTCCAACACCCCGAGCCCGCCAACGTCCTCTCACCTCGCCAGCAAGCCATCTTCGATGGGTGACAAGAGGAAGGCTGAGGCCGTGGAAGCCGGCGAGTCGACTGTTGAGGCCAACCTTGGACGCAAGCGCTGCATCAGCTTCGCCTGCGGACGGAAGACCGAGGAGAAGCCGCAGACCCCCTCGCCGCAGCGATCCACCTCAAAGAACGATGCCAGCCCGACACCGACTGAACCCAAGCGGAAGACCGTTCTCACCTTTGTTTGTCCTGCACGGGACCCCGAGTCTCGCAGGGAGCGATCGCCAATTCGTGGCGCCGGTTGCAGGGCACGTCTTCGCTGTTCACCCGCCCCTGTTGCACGCAAAGCCTCTCCGGAGAAGACTGCGCCCTCCCCGGCCAAGACGGTCTCTCAAGAACAGGCACCAATCGAACGTCGGGGTGTCCCCACGAAGGGTCTGGGAAAGTTTGAGGAGTCCGAGGCCACACGGTTCCACGAATTTGCCAGTTCCGTCGAAGAGGATGACGAATGGGTCACCAAATCCGGCGAATACACGGAAAAGATCACTCTGAGTGATTGCATGAAGAAAGAGATTGCTATCAGGAAGCTTGGGGAGGAAGCCGAGGAGGAGGCGCTCGAGGAAGAAGACGATGCTGAGGATGATTCTGATGACGACTCGACCGTGCACGACTTCTCTTCGGACGACGGGAATGAATCGGACAACGAAGCTGGCTTTGCGGAGTCAGATGAGAGTGACGATGGCTCGGAGTATGAATTCTGGGCCCCCACCAGCACTACTGCCGCCACCAGCCCTCAGACGGTCGACATTCCCCGTCAGCCTTTCAGCCGTCGCGACTCGAACACGTCCTTCGACTCTGTCAACGAAGGGCGTCAACAGCGCAGATGGTCACCGGCTTTCGCTGGCAAGGCCAGATCTCCTGTTAAGATCCCAATCCTGCGCCCCGGTACACCTAACCTTCCTGACAGCACGGACTTCGTCTGTGGAACCTTCGACGAAGATCGGCCCTTGGAGGCTGCTTATAAATCCTGCATCGAACAACGTCGTCTCTCGAAGCAGATCCTCATTCCCCAGGACATTGACCCCAGTTTCCCTACCTCGGACCCTGAAGACAATGACGATGTGGACGAGGAGGACGACGAGGAAGACGACGTGATGGAGGAAGGACCCCGGGGAAGAACCGGTGGAGACTACGGCAGAAAGGCGTCTCCTCGGGCGTCTCCTAGACGCATGGTATCTCCCCCGCCTCGCCGACACGGGCGTTCGTCGCCTAGACGGCTCCGGTCCCCGCCACCACCGATGAAGCTGCGATCCTCGAACGACAACCTGGCGTCCGTGGAGGAGGTCCCTAGCCTCCGGCCTCAGGGGCTCAACATCAGCGAATTGGTGCAACGCCCTTCCATGACTCGTACCAAGTCGCTGCCCCGGACGCCCAACCCCTTCTTTACCAGCCTGGACAAGTCCCACCGATGGTCTGGCATCGTCCCCGTCCAGGAGTCGGAGCGCGAATCCTCCCGCACCCGCGAGGTGCACACCCGAGGTCCCATCGACATCGTCGAGGGTCTGGAGAAAAAGCGACAGAAACGGAAGGAGAAGTTCTGGCGCCAACACTGCCGCAAAGCTGCCAAAGAGCAGATGGAGCGGCGACCGATCCGCGGAAAGGGTGCTGAACGGATGAAGGAGCTTGGCCTCGAAGTTGCTGAGAGGTGCAGAGCTTACGGCGTTGGAGAAAGCGCCCAGCTCGTCCTATCTGTTTAGACCGACATTTCCAGCGGCATCGCGTCTTCTTGTACATATTTCGAAATTTCCTTATCACTCCTCAGTTGCCCGGTTTTCCGAAGACCAGTGGATCGACGTGGTGTACAAATTTCAGATGAGCGTGATTCGCCATGCACCGTGTTTACTTTTTTTTTTTTCGATGTTACTATTATTGTTCATTCCCACGTGTCCCACGGGATTCTATTCGCACGGAAGGCTCCTGTCTGCATTTCCAGGGCGGTTGTTCTTTTCTACCCTTTTCTCTTCCCTTCCCTTCCTTTCTCTTTGACTATACATATGTGTTTATTCCTTTTCTCTTTCTCTTTTTTTTTTATCTTTTTTTTAACTACATTTTTACCCGTGTCTTGTGAAGCGGGTGTGTGTGAGTGTGTTTGGTCGGGATCATTGCTCGGTTAGCCTGGGTTGCATGGAGGGCGGATTGTTGCGCGTATACCCTTTGCTTTCATTGCGAAGATGTAGATAGGAATGACGAGTGTGACTGAATGAATGAACAAAATGGCATCATCATGATTATCTAAAAAAAAAAAAAAAAAAGAAAACAAAAGAAAAGTAGTGTATAGGCAACAGGTAGCTAATAAATGATGGTCGCGGCAGATCTCCCGCCGCGGCTGCGTTGTCTTGGTCTGTCTTGGCTTTAGCGCTCGGCTAGTTGTCCTAAGCGGCCGGCAAGCGAAAGTCCCCCAACGTCCAACGTCAACTGTCCATCCGCCGGCCGGCCACCACGCACCGCAACCTGTCTCCTTCTCCTGCTTGCTCGCCCGCTCGCTCGCTCTTATCTCCAGCGCCCAACCCGCCCTTTGGCTTGCTAGACGATCCCCCAGACCCGTCCTCCTCTGCGGTTTTGACTCCTCGCCACCATGTGGATCATTAACTGGTGTAGGTGCTTGCTTTGCGTTTCTTGTTTTGCCGTCTGCCTTCCTGACTTCCATTCCGCTGATTTGGCCCGACCCCGACACTTCTCGATCGGTCGGTCGGTCGGTCGGTCGGTCGGTCGGCAACATACACTCACTTCCCTCGATGGTTGATGGTTGATGGTTGTTTGTTCGATGCTCGACTATCGACTGTTTTCTTTTCTGTGATTTGGATTGGTTTGGATTGTCCGGTGCGGTGCTGACCTGGCTTCTCCGAATAAATAGTCTACGATGTCCTGGCCTCCCTGGGCCTGCTCAACAAGCACGCCAAGCTCCTCTTCCTCGGTCTCGATAATGCTGGAAAGACGACCCTTCTGCACATGTTGAAGGTATGTGAAGATATCATGCCATGTTCTGGACGGAGGGCGATGTGGTGAGGGTGAGGGTCTGCTGTGTGTGGTGTGGTGTGGCGGTGTCGGCGTCGGTGGGAGTGTCGGTGGGGGTCGTATGATGGAGATGATCGCAAGGGCAAACACGCATACACGCACGCACGCACACACGCACGGCAGGGATATGAGCCATGGGATAGGGATGGGGTTGAGATGATGATTGGGAGTGAGTGCGCGACAAGGCTAACTCTTGGGTGTTTAGAATGACCGCGTCGCCGTCCTTCAGCCGACTGCTCACCCGAGTATGTATACACCTACCTACCTCTGTCATGGACCGCGAACATGCGATCTCGGGATAAAAAAGAGAGGGAGAAGGGTTTCGCGAAGAGTGAACTGACACAAGAACAACCACAGCGTCCGAAGAACTCGCCATCGGCAACAACCGCTTCACGACCTTCGATCTGGGTGGTCACCAGCAGGGTGAGTCTCTATACCCAAGGGCGATTTAAAAAGCTCTCTCAAGATAAAGAAGACACTAAATAAGGAAACCCTCAGCCCGTCGTCTCTGGAAGGACTACTTCCCCGAAGTCAGCGGAATCGTGTTCCTGGTCGACGCCAAGGACCACGAGCGATTCCCCGAGTCCAAGGCCGAGCTGGACGCCCTCCTGGCCATGGAGGAGCTGGCCAAGGTTCCCTTCCTGATCCTCGGAAACAAGATCGACCACCCGGATGCCGTCAGCGAGGACGAGCTCCGCCACCAGTTGGGTCTGTACCAGACTACGGGCAAGGGCAAGGTCCCTCTCGAGGGTATCCGGCCTATTGAGGTGTTCATGTGCAGTGTTGTGATGAGACAGGGTATGTTTGCTTCCTTTCTTTTTTTTTTATTTTCCTGCCCACTGGGTGTGATGGATGTCTTGTGATGCAGTAGGCTAATTGTTGTTTGTTTTCTATAGGATACGGCGAGGGTATTAGGTGGCTGTCTCAATACGTTTAAGTTGGCTGGCTCGCCAGCTAGCTAGCTATTTACCGCCTGTTGCTCATTGACTCGATATATCCATCCATTCATCCTATCCTGTTTCTTCCACCTGACATAGCTATACTTGTCCTTCCCTCCCTCTCCCCTATCACCCTCCTCATCCTGAATGGATTCTTCTCCACGCACAGGGAAGAGGAAGAAATCCATATATCTCGACCTACCCACCCACCTCAATCTCAATCAATCAATCAATCAATCCCTCTACTTGCTATAATAGTCAGTCAGTTAGCCAGTCAATCAGGTAGGCAGCCAGCCAGCCAGCCAGTCAATTCAATGGATGTCTGCTTGCTCGCTTACTCCCTCCTGGTTCGCTTTCTTTTTTTAACTTAACCGTTGTCGTTGTCTGTCCGTCTATATCTCCATATCTCAGCTTAGCTTGGCTCTCTCTAGCTCAATTTGAATCTTGAATCATACCCGCTCCACAAACATACATAACATAATAAGTGGTAGTTATCTTAGATTTACATTCCATTCCCATATGGTTGGTTGGTTATTTGTATTACTCTATATAGCTAGCTACACTACACATTGTTATAGAAACTAACACCTAACCACAAAGCTAACTACACAACACAACACACACTTCACCTAACTGCACCTGCACCCCCAAGACTACCAAACTCGGGCCAGACTTAGGAAGACAAATTGCCTAGTTAGGTAAATAGGTAAGTAGGTAAATAGGTAAATAGGTAAGTAGGTAAATAGGTAAATAGGTAAGTAGGTAAATAGGTAAGTAGGTAAGTAGTGTAGTGTAGTGTAATAAAAACAGCCTAAAATCTATAATACACATAAAATACACTTCACCATCACCATCACCATCACCATCAACCTCTCACCACCGACGTCCACACACACACACATTCCCATCCCTATCCCAACCGAAACCCATTCACTCACCCACCCAAATACAAAAACAAAAACAAAAACAAAAAAAAAAATCACAGCCCAGAAGAGTGTCGATGACGTAGGTAGGTAGGTAGGTAGGTAGGTAGGTAGGTAGGTAGGTAGGTAGGTAGGTAGGTAGGTAGGTAGGTAGGTAGGTAGGTAGGTAGGTAGGTAGGTAGGTAAGCAGGTAAGCAGGTACTTAGATAAGATAAATAATAGAGTTGAAATAATGTATTTTTTTTCTGGTTTTTGTCCGTCCGTCCGTCCGTCCATCCGTCCGTTCTGTCCGTTCTGTCCGAGATATCACACATCACACACCACAGAGCACACATTCACACAGCACACATTCACACAGCACACACCAGACCACACCACAGAGCACCCAGAGTACCGTACCATACCATACTATGCATACCATACCATACCACAGCGCATAACATAACATTGTCTGTCCATTGTTCATTTTCCATTTTCTGTCTGTCTGTTTGTCTGGTCCGTCGTCTTATCTGTCTTTCTTTCCTTTCTGTCTGTATTTCTTTCCTTCTTTCTGTGTCTTGCTTCTTTGCTGGATGACGTTGGGAGATGGGTAGGTAGGTAGTCGGTCGTGGCAGTCGGGTCGGTCGATCGGGTTCGGCGTTGTCAATTGTCGGGTCGGTCGGAAGGCAGGACGAACGTCGATCGATCAGACGGGCGCAATCTAGCCACCCACCCAGAGGTAGGCAGCGAGCGACAGACTGGACTGGCAGGAAAAGAGGCAGGGCGGCTAAATTTGGGCAAGGGCGGAAGAGAGAGGTAGAGAGAGAGAGAGAGTAAAGGCAGATGGGGGATCATGGCATGGACGTTCGAAAGACACGGGCGTGTCGTTGCTTATTTGGTTGGCATTACACTCACAGGAAGATTTTGATGAAAAAGAAACGCATATGGAAAAAAACACCAGATGCAGCCCGTCGCTCCCTCTTTCCTCGGTCAAATGAAATCCGGACAGCACAAGATTGAGAAATGGGGAGACGATAAAAAAAGGAGAAAAGAAAAGTGAAGAATGAAGATGAACAAGGGAAAGAGAATCAAGAAACACCAACCCCTGCTCGGAGCAGAAAAAACTACCTTCCATGGAGAAATGAAACACATTCAGCGGGAAAACAAGGGGACTTCAAGGTCGCTGGAGTCTGGTATGCGCGGAGGGATTTGTGCCGTACTGCGTGTCGGGAGGTTCTCGGGCGGCTGGGTGTACTGCTGCTTCCGATCGTCTAAATGCATGGCCGTCGAATGTCGCTGGGGGCCTGGGTCTCTCGTGTAGTGTGACATTGTGGGACTTATGAATGACGTTCTTATCTCCGCCCGAACCTGCTGCACATGGAAAAGCTCGTATGATTCCTTACTTCTTCTTTTGCTTTCGCGGAGGAGTGATGGGCCTGCCTGAGCTCATGCCCCCGTAAACGTACTTTTGTTTCTTTTCTGCTGGCTTCAAGATCTGCAGGAGAAGGATTTGTTAATCACACGTCCACATGTCGCGCACATCGGGCTGAGCGGCCTACCTGGAAGGAACAAAGGAGACTCTCGTCCACGCTCATCATTGCACCAGCGTTGTCGAACTCGCCACAGTAGTTGGGAGCGCTGAACAGTGTGACCAGCTGTCTCTTCGAGAAAAATTCGTAGCCATCTTCGACGACTTGATGCGCACGGCATATCAGGTCCATATCATGCTTCTGGAGGAACCGCGACACGACGTCCGGACCGAATGTGAAAGACACACCGCGATCGTTTTCGCTCCAGCCGGTGATGTCCTTATCGGGATCGGACCACAGGAGATCGCACAGGAGACCGCAATCGGGAATCTATTTCCGTCAGCAGGTGAAGCCTTAAGCTTCGAGGAGCCTGACGGCAGTTTTCTCGGTTGCAAAGGATTCTTGGGTATACAGGAACCAAGAACAGGCGGAAGGATGCCTTCGTGCGAATGAAAGAGCACTTACATCAGTGGGACGCATCACGCGACGGATCTGCTCCATGGAGTTCAGATCGGGGCTGAGACCGCCGTGCATGGTGAAGATCTTCTCATCGATGATGGCAGCGATGGGCAGGCAGTTGAAGCAATCCGTGAAAGTCTTCCACAGCTTGATGTTGTAGCGGCGCTTGCACTCATCGTAGAAGCCGTAGATACGGTTGATGGACGCGCACTCGTGGTTGCCACGCAGAACGAAGAAGTTCTCGGGGTATTTGATCTTGTAGGCAAGGAGCAGACAGATGGTCTCGAGCGACTGCTTGCCACGGTCGACGTAGTCACCCAAGAAGAGGTAATTGGCCTCGGGCGGGAAGCCGCCGTATTCGAACAGACGGAGGAGATCGTAGTACTGGCCGTGGATATCACCGCAGATCTGGGAAGCGCCGTTGCATTAGTTTCCGACAGAGATGGCCAGATGGCCCGACCCTGCGGGTCGAGAGAGGTGACGTTACCTTGATTGGTGCCTCCAATTCAAGTAGTATCGGCTGGGAGATGAAAATCTCTCTGGCCTTGGTGCAAAGATAGCGGATCTCCGATTCCAGCAGTTGCACCTGCTTTCCAGGCCGGCTGCCCCTCACCTCCAGCAATCTATCGATGATCGAGTCCAAATCCACTTCCTGGTCGGCCATGATTCAGCGGCTCCCACGAGACGACGGGAAAGAGAGGGAGAAAAAAAAAAGAGAAGAAAAAACCACGAGGGAAGAGGGGGGAGAAAAAGAAAAGGAAAAAAAAAAGAGAGAAGAAAGAGGTAATTAAGACAGGCGTTTAGACAACGGAAGAAGAAAGGAAAGGCGCGAAGGGAAACGTTGCGGAGTGCTCGGTAGCAATACGACTGATGACGCGGCGTCTATGGGCTGTCACAATGAGGAGGTCTGGTTAGTGAAAAAAGTCTAGACGGTGCAGTTGAGGGCGAGATGAAGCTGGAGGGAAGGGGATCGCAGCGACGCGTGATCAATGCGCCCGGGAAATTTTTTTTTTCAAGCTGGAGGTACTGGATGGCGGCGGGTGGAACGGCGACGGAGGGGAAGGGAAGAACACCGGCTTACCAAACAGAATCTAGAGACCAGCAAGTCGTTGAAGAAGTAGCGGCAGCAGGCCAAATGGCCTTGGACACTTGGTGGAGAAGAGATCTGGACGCGATACCAGCGGGGAGGGATGGGTTGGGTGAGGGAGGGTGGAGGAGGGTGAAGGGTGGAGGGTGGAGGGTGGGATGAAGGAAGCAAGCGGGCCTGGCGGTTCAGAGAAGAAACGAAGGCGAGCGCGTTGATAACGGGCGAGATGCGGCTAGCAAGGTTGAAAGAGATATCGCTGGGCCAAGGTTGCTCTGGACGGGGCCGTTGCAAAAAATAGCAGCAAGGCGGCGGGAAAACGGGTTTGGTTGGGTTTTGGGTTTGGGGGATTGGATTTTTTGGGGGGGGGGCGAAGAGGGAGAGGGAGAGGGAGAGGGAGGGGGAGAGAAGGAGAGGAAAGGGAAAGGGAAAAGGAAAGGGAAAGGGAAAGGCAACAACAACAGGCGAGAGGGACCAAGAGGGACCAAGAGGCGAGAGCGCTCGGGCGAGGCACAACACTGGCAAAGACGATGCGGTTTCTCTGCACCGGTGTGGGTGGCGTGAGGGGAGAAGCAGAACGAGATGGTCGGGATTGAGTGAGGGCGAGTGAAGAGGATGATAATGAGGATGAGGATGAGTGAGAGAGTAAGAGGAGTTGTTGTGTCAGGGAGCGCGAGGAGACACAGAATCAGACACAGAATCAAGGGATCTCGGGGATGGCCTGAGAGTCGAGGCTGGAAAACTTCTTCTCTTTTTCTTGTTTTCCCCAAGGACCCGAGGGAAGAAGTGAATACAAACAGCCAGGTGATGTGAAGGGCCACGGGGGAGAGAGTACGAGTGAATACTAGATAGATAGATAGATAGATAGAGGACTACTTGAGTAGCTGAGGCAGGCGATGGCAGCAAAGCTCACGATGCGACAGAGTAGAGCAGAGCAGAGAGCAACAGCAACAGCAACAGCAACAAAAGGGAGAGAGAATCCCGGGATGGCAAAAAACGGAAAGGGCCCGCCCGCCCATCGACACCTTCTGATTGGCCCCTCCCCCAGGCGGCGGGCGGCAGTGGGACTATTAGTTCCAGTCCGATGGCCGTCCATCGACTTTCTGGAATTCCTCTGCTGCAACTCCATTCTTGCGCTTGTTTGTCCAGAACTACTGACTTACAGACCTGCAGACTACGCCTCTTGTGAAGTATGCTGTTCTTCTTCTTTGAAGGAGGAAGAATTGAATTATCTACTGCCAGATAGACAACCATCCCTCTCCGCTATTCCCCGCGGCATCACACCAAGCAAGCGTCACCGCCGCCGCTGCCGTCGCAGCATCTCGCCTCCGAGGATGAATGAATGGATGGATGGTGGGATGGTAGGATGGTGGGATGGATGAATGGATGGTGTTCGCGGCACCACCATCACTACCTGCAAGGGAGAAACGCCGCCCCCCTGATAGCAGAGTCGTCGCGTCGCTCAGTCCTTTCACATCCCACCCCGAAGGCGACTATCTAGCCGACGCTGCACTGACTTTCTAGGGGACTTACCATACAACAAGTTCGGGATCTTCCCAGCCCATGTACTTCCTATGTACCCCGTACCCCCAAGTAGATAATTCCTGGTGACCGGGCCGGTTTTCCCCCCCTCTGTCGCGTGAGCACTCACCTACTCACTCACTCACTCGCATGTCTGCCTGCCCAACTCCAACTCCAACTCCAACTCCTGCCAGTTAATTAGTCATTCATTCAGTGACTTAAACCCAACACTGAGGAATACCTATCTACCTACCTCGTTCCCATGTCAGAACCTTCTTCACCTTACTACTAGTAGGGTAGGTATGACCACCTCCTAGCAAGTAATACGCTGCTATGCTGCAGGCCCTACGGGCGGGGACGCTGCCCTCCCCCCTCCTCTCGTCTATCGATGACGCACCTGATGCGACTGCGCTCTGGCTCTGGCTCTGGCTCTGGCTCTGGCTTTGGCTTTGGCTTTAGCTTTGCTTTGCATTTCAACTATTGGTGCTATCTATCTGCCGCGTCGGCGAACATCTGACTCGTCACAACATCCAACATCGTCGTGTCTCATGCATTAGGTCCGAAACTCATCATGCGTCGGGGTCGGGGGACAAGAACCGAAAGAAACAAATCAATCCGTGGAAATCAGCGACATGGGGGGGGGGGGGGAATGATGTGAAGTATACAACACTGTTGCCTGCAATTTCAGGGCCATGCACTGAAGAAGAAGATGATGATGATGATGAAAGTGTCAAGCAAGCAAGCACCGAAATGATGGAAAGATGAAGATGAAGAAGAGGAAGAAAAATAATGTAAAATGTGTGCAAATCAGAACCCCCATAAGCAACGCCCAGGTACCTGAAACTCCTGCCCCAAATACAATACATGCCGTCTAGAGGGGTCAAAAAAAAAAAAGCAACTCTCTTTCATCGTGCTCCTATCAGAGGGACCAGCCGGGTACGGTTGGATGCGGATCGTAGGACAATATAATCGTAGAGAAGCGGGAGGGGAGTAGATAAGGATGAGGATGAAGAAGAGGAAGGAGAATGAAGAAGTGAGAAGGCGAAATAAAAGGCATAGCGTTTCCCGCATCCAGTCCGTAAGCTCTGAAAGACCACCCAACGCCGTGAAAAATGCATTTCGACAGCCCCGTTGCGAGGAGCTTCATTGAGGGGTCTGCGTATATAAGGTCGGGGTATGTTCAAAAACCAGAAGGTATCGTGGAAGAACTGCATGCTCGAAGCCAAACGGAACTTTTTCTCCGGGAGAGTGTCAAGGTGTATCCGAAATCGTAGGACTCAGTGAGGACTATAAATGAGGTAAAGTTGTGCTTTTGTTTCCTTGCTCCCTCCTCCTTCTCCTCCCTTCTTTTTTTTTAGGGTTTTTGTATTTTTTTTCTTCTTTGTTTTTCGTTCATCCCCCAAACAGGGGGGGATGCTGCCACTAAAGAAGTGGCAGACACGTGGATAATACCACGTCAACTCAAGGCATGGCCGCTCAGGATCACCTGTGGGCTCACCCTCGTCAATGCATCTACTTGCATCAACACTGGATCGTTGCGGTCAGGCCCCGTACAAGATACATTGATACTCGTCTGGGGGTCCTGCCAACCACGCTCTCCAAGCGACTTGAGCCAGCTGTTTCCAAGCTCATGCCTGAGCGCCTCCAACTGTCGTCTGTAAAACTCCTCGTCGACACCCCAGTCTTTAGCCTGTGGTGTCGGCTGTATCCCAGGGCGGTCTTTGGTCTGATGTGCGGGTGGAATTCGTGCAACGTCCATCTTCACCGGGCTCTTGGGGCTAGGAGGGCTGGCCTGGGGTCCACCATCAGATATCCATTGACGGTCGGGAGATGCCGTGACAAACGGATCAACAGGTAATAATTGAACATGCTGGACAGAGGGAATAGAAGGCACCATCGCACCTGAGTCATCATTACCATCAGTGGAGGGTTTATCTAGAGGCCGATCGGCGATTTTCCGCCGAGTACCCCTCTTCCGACGACTGGAGCCGACGTCAATTCCATTCTGCACCACTCGTCCGGTTGGCCTTACTTGCTCGTGGAGCGATGGGGCCTCCTGAGCGACAGTGCTGGATGGCTTGCTGACCACGGCAGAGACATCTGCCGCCACGGATCGTATGACCGGTGCAGCCTCGGGCTCGGCGGCCCGGTCGACCAGCTGTTTCCGCTCGGTGTATCCGGGGCCTGATCCATCGATGATGATGTCTTCGGAGTAACCCGGAGTACGGCGGAACAAGTTGAAGATGACAACGCGATAGTTAGAATGCGTCTTGACAAAGGGGTTGCCGGAGACCCAGATTTCCCGTATCTCAGGGAGATTGGTGAGCCGCGCAATCTCGGTCGGATCGGTAAGGTTGTTGTCTCGTAGGTCCAGCCTCTCCAGAGAAAGCAGTCTCTCGACACCCGCGAGGGAGCGGAGACGGTTGCCACGGAGATTGAGGGCGGTAATCGCAGGAAGAGGATTGCGGGACAGAGAGTGGAGGGATTCGATCATGCAATGCGAGAGATTTAAGGCCCTCAAGGCAACCAAGGATGCTAAACTGTCGGGCACTTCCGTGAAGAGATTCGTGGATAGATCGAGGGACTGCAGGGTGTTGGCCACTGGAGCGAGACTGGCGGCAGAGATGGAGGTCAGGGAGTTGTCCGGGAGGCCGAGGTGTCTCAAAAAGCGCCATTTGGATGCTGGTAAAACTAGGTTCGAAGAGCTGCCGTTGCGTTGACCCGAGGTGTCGCTAGAGTTCGAGCTACCAGACCCGGTACGTCTTATCCGGGAGACGTTTCCACGGCTGTGACGATACGAGTGTTTGGAGCTGGTCGGGCGGGATGGGGAGATGCTTCCGGTCCTTGGTCGAGCTTTGGAACCCTCCGACGCCATCCTGATCATAGATGCGGATTGGGGGCTGGCGCTGGTTCCGAACGGTGCATCGGCAACCGGCGACCCGGGGGCAGAAAGGGATCCAGAGAGGTCGGACTTATGAACCGGTTGGGGGTTTGCGTTTCCACTCCATCCCATCATCGGCGAGTGATGGTGTTTGGATGAACGTCGGCGCCGTTTGTCGATGTCGTCCAACACGATGCCCGTTAGCAGATCAGCGGGGTCTTCGATGTTAGCCCTCTTGACGGTCAGCGTGCGCAGTTGCTCGGATTGTCTATCCCAACCGAAGAACGAGCGGAAGTCTATATCAATGATCTCTAAAGCGCTCAAGTTCTTAAAGGCATGCAAGGGAACGGCCGTGTCAAAGGGGAATTCTTCGTAGCCGCGGATCAACCGGGCACGACGGTCAGGGGCTAAGCGGAGGCAGGGAATTTTGGTGAAGGCAGAGTATAGGTATTTTGTATCCGCTTCTAGAGCAGCCTTGGCCCGTTCTGATTTGGAGACCGAATCCTTGGACACCAACCCGAACGAGGACCAAAGGGAACTCATCCCAGACATGACACTACGGACACTGGACACAGAGTGGATGGAGTCCCGGTCACCTCTGGATCTCTGAGGCTTATTCAGGAAGGACACATAGGACTGCGACCCGTCTGTGTGGATATTCTCCAGCCTCACGTTCAGGGGGCCCACGGCAATAGAAAGGTCTTCAAAGCGAGAAAGGAGGTAGAAGAGATGATGGGGGGTGAGGGTAAGTTTGGCAGGTTTGATATTCTGCGAGGTGAATTTCAGCGCCCCGAATGATAGGGCTGCTGCGAGGGTTGAGGAAGCCGAGCTCGACGAGCCCGACTGGGTATGGGTAGACTGCGCATTTTTGGTAGGTTGGCGCCTCAGTTGCAATGCATTCGCGAGGGCCTTTTCATGGGTTCGTACGAAACTAGCGAGGTTCTAAGAGACAGGGCCAGGTTAGCCAGAGACATCGTCGGGGAGGTGGGGGGGTATTATCATGAACAGAGGCGCACGCACTTTTATGAAGAGCTGTCCATCTTCAGTGTTCAGCTTCTCCATTACGGAAATTGCTTCGCCCAACAAGACAGTGATAATCTAATTAGGCGGACTCTGAAGAGGAACGCTCATATACTCGTATTAGGGACAGCGAGAGTCGACATCTTGCTGGCAAGACACAGTGCGATATGAGAAAAAGGGACCTGTAGATGAGCGCCAGGGTCAGCGGGGACTCGAGGAATCGGCCTAGGGTTGAACTGATGTCGAGGCATCCGAGCAAGTTGAGAGAGAGAGGGAGAGGGACAAGGCTGGGGTCGTACCTAAGTAAATATAGGGGGCGCAAGTAACGATAAACAAGCGTCGAACAAATTGACTGAACCGCCCACCACAGCAATGCAAGAGTCTATGGGAGAAAAGGTTGAGAAAAAGCACTGAAGAAGAAGGATCTCCAATGTCGGTTGAGAGAAGCCTGTCGCCGGGACGAAGCTGAAGGGGGAGGAAGAGGCGAGCTGAAGCAGGAGGGATCCCCGAAAAGGAGAAGATGGATGGATAAATGGATGGATGGATGGACTGGATAGAAAAAGACAGGACCGGGGGAGCTAATATGCAAGCACCACGGACCTACTTGCCAGTCTAGTGGGTGGTACGTGACGGGGGGGAAGACGGGGGGGGGGGGGGGGGGGGTGGAGTGGATAAGGATGAGCACCGGAGCAATCAGCTGAGGGGTGGTAAGCCGTGGCCGTGGATGGGTGACAAGGGAATTATTGTTGGCTGACGGGGGGTGGCCGGGGAGGGGGGTTTCGGAATGCCTTCAGGTGGACACTGAAAGGGAGGGGGACAAAGGAAGAATGGGAAGTAGTCCGTAGTTGTAGCAGTAACAAGGACGAGACGAGACCAGACAGAATGAGTCAAGTCTCTCGAGATAAATGCAGGTGTTGAACTGCACACAGCAAAGATGCCAATTCAAAAGAAGAAGAGAAAAGGGGGGGGGGAGAGGCAAAAGGGACGGGCTGGCGATACCTGGGACTAATATAATTTATTATCATATAAAATCTGCGCCTGTTATCTTGTACTGCGTTCCCTTTGGTCAGGGAGCCGCTGCACCGGGCGTCGTCAAGAGAGGTACATGCGGGCTGTGGGCGTGCATACGTACGGTACGGTACGGCCTCGGCGCCGGGTAGTACTCTGTACACCATCTCCAGGCTTTTTTGGTTTTCTTTCTTTCTTTTCTTTTTTAAAGTACCTGTACCTTTCGGAGGACCCCCTTTGATTTCCCGTCGAATCACATCCCTTCCCCGCTGCGTCTATGAACCGGCCGGTGGCAACCTAGTTCTTCCATCGGAAAGAAGGGCTTCAGGGCTTGTCCATCATCATGGCCCTGTCTGCCGTCCCTATCAGGAGGATGAAGGATTAAAGTGTCGACTACTACGACTGATAATTACGGACCCATACCTCAAATGGCTGGTCGCCTTCTCCGGAAACTCTATCTAGCGGGGTACTCCGATTACTCATAGCAGGACTCGGCGGTAGTAGTACTACTACGACGGAGACAGGACGGAAGTAGATTATAGATAGCACAGTAGTAGATAGTCGGCTGTCGAACTGTGGTACGGAGTACACACGTTGATAAACTGATAAGGGAAAATCCCCAAAAGTTTGGCACGTCTCCTGGGGTTCCCCTCAACATCTACCATTGGATAACAAAACCTTCTCCATTGATCTCAGTCCTTGTCAGTTTCAGCCAGAGTGTATATCTACACACATTACTCCGTAGAGATTGATTGATTGAGCCTGCCACTCCAACCAGGGGAGAGAGCGCCATTCTTCGGCTCTGGGAGGAGTGGAGCATCTTTCCGAATCCCTCGAAGAGCGGGTATCCCGATCGCCGACCCTTGGACTTGGCTGATGCAGTATTATGCAACAATAATAATAGCAATAATCCCCAGCTAAACTGCTACCAGTAGGGCGGAGGGACGCACACACCATGCTGATCAATTCGCCCGTGACCCAGGGCGTGGGCATAGGCAGGCAAATTTTCCATTTCTCCATTTTTCCACTTTTTTTTTTCCTGCGTGGCCACCACAGCCCGGCTCCAGCATGATGCAGGTCGGGTGAAAAGTTTTGATGCTGGATGGAGGGGAGGGGACGAGGGAGGAGGAGGGGGGGGGGGAATCAAGAATGAAGCGCAATGTTTGGTTGAACCGGATGGTGCTGGGGGCGACCCGCTTCCTGGGCGGATGCAACTGTGTCGGCGGTAACTGGACAGTCCGTGTCAGGCCGCCCCGTGATTGGTAGTGGGGCACTCAACGTGCAGCTGATAGCGCCCTGGCGGACATTCAAGTACATGGCCCAGAGGCCAATCACCGCCCGCCCTGCACCACCTGCATGACGCTTTACTCGAGCAGCTTTAGCAGATGGAGGGAGCCACGGCCGGGAGCAGAAAAAAAAAAGAGAGGAAAATAGGGAGCAGAAGGACGCCGTCGTGAGCCAAAATAACATCATCGAGACTTTCGAGGCGGATCTAACCAACTAGGAACGTTCATTATCGCGGAGGTTGCTAAAAGTATACAACGCCCGGGATATACCAGTGCTAGGCATCTTAGTTACCTACTAGGATCGTACCTAAGGTATGTACCAGAAATGACCGTACAGTAGCGGCGTCGAGATAATAAACGCAGGCAGAATCGGACACATCTCAACTTTGGATGCTTCTTCGTGCCGTCGCTCCTGGTCTGAAACTCGGACGACAGACAGGTCCCTGATTCCGAACCGAGGTACGGAGTACGGACCATCTACTATGTAGGTAGGTACATGGGAGCGTCGTCAGTCGTCAGTGCGTACGATGCTCATCCTCCTGGGCTGGAAGTCTTGGACATTCTTCGGAGAGGCTCAAGTGGAGCTGGCCGTCTGGATTTCTCATCTTTGAGGATCAAGTGACTCCCGCCGTACATAGCAATTAGATGATCGAGTCATCGGTCACGGCGAACTGATCGCGTCTGTTGAGCCGTGATAACCCATGACGAATCATGGGCACCACATGCCTGAGCTCCAGACATCCTGGACGAACATCCAGCTGCTGAGCCGATGGTGTGCTGTGTGGTTATCTCGATTGTAAAACCTAAAGGGCCGGCGTGTACTCCGTACGGAGTAGCCTAGTCTACCAGTCCTTCCTCTTCCCCCCCCCCATCCCTCGCCCCTTCCCGCTGTCAGTGAGTCAGTCACACCGCTTTCCGGCCATGTCCCATATTAATTCATTCCCATTGGTATCACACCACATTCTTTCTCCCGGTGCCCACCCCTCCCTCCTTGGATAACATCATTCGATCCATGGTTCTGTGCCACTCCGCGTCGTAGTCGCTTTCTAGTTCCCTCATTTGCCGACCTCCCTCCATACAGAAGAGGCCCACGTTCTTGTGATCTTCCAAAGTATCGATCGCAAACGAGGGGCTGATGCTGAACTTAGATGAATGACGTCCATGGATCATGCTAGTTGGTCCGTGACCGTTGCAAAACTGATAGCCCGATAAAAAAAATTTTTGGCGCGCTGAATGGCGTTCCATACTTTCGAGTCGAGGATTAAGGGATTTGTTCAACGGCGAGTATACAGTCGTCATCGGCACTCTATCTACTGTGGAAACCTCTGGTCTAGCCATCATCTCCTGTTTCATGACAATGCACTGGACGTCTCCGTTCCTTGCCTCTTTCTGAATTACCGTCAGAAACCGGGGGCCTTTCTTTCTGCCCCCCCTGTTTCTCGCCCCATCCATGAGACGACACGGTAACATTTATTGCAGTATGGCGTGCAGCTGCTTAGAGACATCGCTTGCGTCCTCGATCGGAGGTTGGTCGACTTGCCGCGTATAGATGAAGGGGCGGCGTCGCTAACGAGAACCTTCTTTTCTCCCTTTTTTTCCCCTTCAAAGTGAGTCCGCATGGCTCTTCAATTTGCCATGCACCGCGAGCATGCTAGGAGTCATGTTCCAGGTTTTGCCGTGGCATCGACATGAGTTTTCGATATCATGCGAGGAGTCGCTGTGGCTGTTCCTTGTTTACACCTACCTATCCCTGCTTGGATCTGTCTCACATCCCGGGGTTGAGCCCTGTCGGCGACGGGGTTGTTTGGAGACAAATCTCCGGCCGGTCTCCGATGTAGGAATGCAGGTGTTCTTGGGGAGCTGACTACTAAGAGAGGATTCAATGCTTGTGAGCCTTGTCGATGGTTGGAATGACGACCCGGTCTCAATGTGTTCCTTCCATGTCCCTCCAATGAATATTGACGATGGAGGGGTGCACCTGACCCCTATGAGTCTATGACATCTGATCTGGCCAGTGGTGGAGGAAGCAGACATTTATTCTCCTGTTAGTTTGAATTATGGAGGCCGCTACTCGAGTAATGACTGTCACTGATACGGAGTAGCGAGAGGAAAAAAAGCCCGGGCCGATAGTGGGAAACCGAGGTGGATACGGGGATCTGACGACTCGAAGGAGGGCGGGTCTCCACTGCAGTCAACCGCTCGAAGGATCAGCAGTCGTTCGCCATTCTCGTGCCAATCAGATCCGACATCGCAGCCCATTGGCGATTTTTTCCTCGCTATAGCGACGAGCCCCCCTTCGGGACTCGGGAGAGGCGCCAAAGACGAGGGCGAGGCAGAGTAGCCTGTCTTTGCGTACAGTAGGTATGTTTAGAGCAAACCACCAAGGACGAGGAAGAAGAAGAAAGAAAAAAACACCGAGGCAAGCGATCTTCATGCATTAGTCGCAAAGTGGAAAACCACGGACGCAGCTGGAGGTTGCAGTGATTCCACGAAGGCGAGGTATGGAATCATGGAATGGGGGAGGGTTCTGGGTTCAGGTTGACCCTGACGCATCCCACCGCTTCGGGAAACCTAAGAGTACCAAGAGGCGTAGTCGTTGTGGCTAAGGTTCACCGTGAACCGATCCCGAGGCCTAGGAATTTAACTATGCTACCTACTAACCTATCGAGTCGACGAGTATGGAGTACACCAGCGGCTACGGCGCAAAGGTGTAAAATTAGAAGCATGACGCTTGTTTCTGTTTGTTGTTGTTTTTGATGATGTTCAAATGGATGGCGAACGACTGCAAGATGTGCGGTATATCCAACCCGGTCGGTGGTGAGGGAAATCGAGGAAAAAGCAAGTTCCGCCGGAGGGCTTGTTTTTTTCTTGGTCTCATGGCATGATGCGATCGCTGCTGACACCAGGCGAGCTGGCTCGATTCGGCCTGCCTACGGAGTACTACGTCTCTCCATCCATCCATCGTTACTTACATACATACACACGCACACGCATACACTACTTACAGGACCACCACCGCTAGTTGCTGCACCCGATCACCAACAGGCTAGATAGCAGACAAGAACCTCCCCAATGGTGGCTGAACCCTAGGAATTGGCGGGGGACTAGGGAGGGTTAGTTTGCAGTGCCTGCAAATCATTCGCCTTCTGGATTGCTCCGTATAGCTGCGGTTGGTGTTGATAACCAATTACCACGGGTCTCGCATCCTTCGACCACCCGCCTCGCTGCCATGGACTCACAGACCAGCCGCCGGTAGAAGTCTCCGAGGGTTGAACAGAACTCTTGGAGAGTCGGTAATTTTACCCCGCAATGTGTGGTTGGTTGCTGACGCCAAAGAATGCCGGCTCTGGCAGGGTTGTCGGAAAGGGAATGAATGCCCCCAGTCGAACTGTCGACCCCATGCTCTCCGCCATGCCATGCCTCGCCTCGTGCCCGTCACACCGATATCTGTACATGTATGTGTGGATGTATGTATGTATGTATGTATCCTGTATATATTAATATCCATCCAGACCGACCGGCGGTATGATTGAGATTTGGGCGGCTAATCAGGTGGGAACTGGGAAGGTGCTTGGGGAGGGGCGGCGGCACTGGATCCGGGTGGCAGGGCCTGTCATCGCAGTGCGGGCGTGCAGCTGAGATGCTGAGATGGCCTCAGCTCTGCTGCACTTCGGATATACCGCATCGGTCCTGGCTCTCAGTTCTGAACTTCTGGATCCCAGGCTGTGATAGGTGGCGGGGCGCAGTCTTCGTGTCTATCTAGTATCTACCACCTATCTACATCGAGTCATGCCGCCAGTTGCTGGCTCGTCGATCCCGCGTGTTCCTTCAACGTGTGCGTGTGCAACAATACACATTCCAATGCCCCCCGGATTTCAACCCGGGGGGGGGAGGGGGGGGGGGAAAGGCATGTACTCCATACTTTACTTTCTAGGACCATGTACAGCCAGCATCGTCAACCCCCCTTCATCATGTAATCAGCCGCGCCATGAGCTAGGAGCTATCCGATGATCATAATCACTTGGGGAGTGATTTGCAAGCTTCTTCGTCTGCAATGTCGATCTATCAACATCATCATCAACAACAGCAGCATGGACCATCCAACCAGGGCGGCTGATAGACTTCCAACTCTTACTGAAAGGGGAGGTGCGAGGGACTTTTAAGGTTGGGTGTATCAGGTGCATCAATATGGCGTGAGTATCGATCAGGGATGTACTCCGGATGTACCTAACTATGTATTCCTGCTGGGATCATGACGAGTACCATGACTGAGCAGATATTGCTCCTGGTGCAGCATGATCCGGACTACCGTACGGAGCACATGGGAGAGGACAAAAGCACCACGGCTTGCTTATTGCAGTAATTGATGTCGGTACGAAAGACCAGGCTGATGGCCCGGGTACTCTGCATCCCTGACGATACAAGGCTGTTAGCGCATCCTGGTCTTCTGTCCGTGAGGCTGTGAGCACCACCACAGGGGGGTCCGTGGTAATGTATAGAGGATGGGGTATGTACAGGGAAGGGGGGAAAGTAAAGTTCAGGGTTGCCCGGTAACGGGTGACCGTTCCAGTACGGAGTAACGTCTGCCTGAGGCCAAAAGAAGTGGGGGTCTGCGGCTGTGGCTGTGGCTAGTACGACTGGCAAGCTCACGTCAGTCACGAGACTGTGGCGCACATCACGGGGGCGGTGACCGACTCTGGCCCGCTGACGTCGATGTCGCCCAGTGCGTCACTGATCCCGGCCAGGATCATCTCAACTCCCTAGTCAGCTTCACTTTTCCACCGTGTCCCCCCCCCCCTCGCCCCCCCTCCGACCCCACCATGCATTATCATCATCAATCATGAACTGGTCAGAGAAGTCCGCGGCGGATGATACTTACAGTCCCAGTGCGATACCGGATTACGACCGAGATTTCCTCGATCCCGATGATTTGCGCCAATTCGAAAACGCCCTGACCGATCAGGGGGCGTCACCGCTGGTTGCGCTGAATGACTGGCGCCCCATCTACCAACGGGTCCGGAAAGGACGTGGCCGCCGTAAAGGGCCTAGGCGAACCAAGGATGAGACCAGGGAAGGTGTGCTCTACACCGTTCTGAAGTGGCCCTTTCTGTTCATCGTCTTTGGCTGGCTTGCTGTCCTCGCGTTTGCCTACACCTTGACTCGCGTTTACATCTTCCTGTACGAGCAGTGGATAACATGGAGGGGCAGAAGACAGAGCCTCCGGAGACAACTACGCGCCCAAACCAATTACGCCGATTGGCAGAAAGCCGCCCAGGCCCTCGATGATCATTTGGGCAACCAGCGCTGGAAGGAGACGGACGAATACGCCTACTACGATCACCTGACGGTAGGGAACCTGGTCAGGCAGCTGAAGAAGGTCAGGAAGGAGGCTGAACATGAAATCCGCGACGGCCGTTCGGGTCCCGGTGACGTACCGGCTGCCGAGGAACTCTGTACACTGCTGGAAGCGTGCGTCAAGAACAACTTCGCCGGGGTGGAGAACCCCCGTCTCTACAGTGAGGCGTACTCGGGGACCAAGAACTTGGTGCAGAAATACATTGACGAACTGCATGCGTGCATTCAGGTCGTGGCCGAGTCCAAGGTGATCAGCGACGAGGAGAAGCTTCAACACTTCAAGCATTTGGACACAAATTTTGGACGAACCGCGCTATGTCTCTCTGGAGGGGCCACGTTTGCATACTATCATTTTGGTCTTGTTCGGGCGCTGCTCGACAATGAGGTTCTGCCTGAAATCATAACGGGAACGTCTGGAGGAGCGCTGGTCGCTGCCTTGGTCGCTACCAGAACGGACGAGGAGTTGAAGCAGCTGCTCGTGCCTGCCCTCGCGCATCAGATCAAGGCTTGTCAGGAGAGCTTCCCCACGTGGGCATATCGTTGGTGGCGGACAGGAGCCCGGTTCGATACCTCAGACTGGGCGCGTCAATGTAGCTGGTTCTGCAGAGGTTCGACCACGTTCCGCGAGGCCTACGAACGAACAGGACGTATATTGAACGTGTCGTGTGTGCCGTCCGACCCTCACTCGCCCACCATTCTAGCCAACTATTTAACGTCACCCAACTGCGTGATCTGGAGCGCGGTACTTGCCTCAGCGGCAGTCCCCGGCATCCTGAACCCCGTCGTGTTGATGACCAAGAAACGCGACGGTACACTCGCGCCGTACTCTTTCGGACACAAATGGAAGGACGGCAGTCTGCGGACCGACATCCCAATAAAGGCGTTGAACCTCCATTTCAACGTCAACTTCACTATTGTTTCACAGGTAGAACAAAGCATCCCTAGGTCCCTGCTGAAACTTGTCTGACATCCTACTTCTAACAGGTTAACCCACACATCAACCTCTTCTTCTTCAGCTCCCGAGGCACAGTAGGCCGACCAGTCACCCACCGCAAAGGTCGCGGCTGGCGCGGAGGATTCCTCGGATCCGCCATCGAGCAGTACATCAAGCTAGACCTGAACAAATGGCTCCGGGTCCTCCGGCATCTAGAGCTCCTACCCCGCCCCATGGGCCAAGACTGGAGCGAGATCTGGCTGCAGAAGTTCAGTGGCACGGTCACCATCTGGCCCAAGACCATCCCCTCGGACTTTTACCACATCCTGTCGGACCCCAGCCCGGAACGCCTCGCCCGCATGCTCCGCGTGGGCCAACAAAGCGCCTTCCCGAAGATCCAGTTCATCAAAAACAGACTAAAGATCGAGATCGCCGTGGTCAAGGGGCTACAGAAATTCGCCCACGCCGCCGGCGGCCGAACGGCCGCCCCTGCGGCGTCTCGCTGGCGCAACAGCGACCACCACCTCGACGACGACCACGAGCTCCCCCACCCCGACCCCTTGTCCGAGCGTCTAGACCATAATCTGCCGGAACGGCGGGTCGAGGGCGACGGCGAGGACGCACACCTGCTACTGGACGGGTCCCTGTCGGATAACTCGTCCGGCGAGTCTGCTTCGTCTCGCCTGCGGGTCCCGGAGCACCGTCGGGGCAGTACCGGGAGTATCCTCGAGGAGATGCGCCGGCAGTCCGCCGTCTTTTTCGATGATGTGGACATGTACGCCGCGGAAGAGGATGCGCTTAGGTCCGGATGAAACCCTTTTATCTATCTAGGTACCGCCTTACTTTAATTTCGCCCCGGGTTGGCTGGTGCGTTCCCTTCCGACGCACGTCAAACGCCTTGTTCAACACACAACACACTACTCTTCAACTGGCTAGATTACTTATTTCCTGTACTGTATGTAGTATGTGTCTATCGCCCGATAGATAGATAAATCGGCGCTTTATTTGGGTTGGTTGCTTATTGGCTACCTGTTATTCTTCTTCGTCTTCCTCTTCTTTAGTTCGTACATAAGCGCACGGCGGGCGGTTTCATCATTTTCTATTACTTTCTATTACGTTAGGTTGGTTAGATTAACTATATGTATGTACAGTACTTATGTATGTATGCATGCTTGTATGTATACTAGTATGTATACTAACTATTAAAGCATGAGCTATTTTCCTCTTCCTCGTAATCTATCCATTCTCCTCCTGTCTGTCTGTCTGTCTGTCTGTCCGGACGGACATATCGGCTTTCTCCTGCTGGCTTACTTGCAGACATTAGTCCTCCGACTTGCATCCGCTAATCAAGTGGTACTTCTTAAGTACTGAGAGTAATTTTATTAAGTACCTGCTTACTTACTTACTTACTTACTTATTTGGCTAATTAATTACCTGAGCCTCTTTCCCCTCTTGCCACTGTATACATAGAATTGTGTAGAATACGGAGTGTGCTTGGGTGCTTACCTACTACTGTAGGTATGCTACTACTACTACTACTACTACTACTACTACTACTAGGTCCTGTACCTAAGTACTGCATGTAAGTAGGTGCTTTGCACCGCCAAGTCCAATTTCCCTCTGGATAAAACTACCTTAGATATCTACTAGCTAGGTAGGTAGGTATGTGCTAATAGTTTTCTTGAATCAAGCTGGTCTTGCTTTGGTGATAAGAAAACCTCTTTCTTCCTTCCCTATGTGAACACAGACATTATTAACAAAGGGGGGGGGGGGGGGGGGGTTTAAAAAAAAAAAAAAAAAAAAAAAAGGTTTCTCACTCGGTACTATACTATATCATATCAATGTCTTCTCCTGCCTAGTTACCTGCCTGCTAGTATCAACCAACATGAAACCAACCATTTGTCAATGTCAATTTCCAGTCCACACACCGTTATATACATACATACATACATACATACATACATACATACATACATACACCGTCTCCCGTCTCCCTCCTCTCCATAATATAATAGACATCCATCTTCCGAAGAGCTTTCTGATTTTTCTTTTTTTTTTTTTGTCCGTGGATACTGGATACTAAATACTAGGTACCGGATCAACTCAGCTCACGGCTAGACTCATTATTTGCTATCATTATACACTTACCTGCTGGACCTAGACCTAGACCTAGACTCAGACCTAAAACCTGGATCTGGATCTGGACCTGGATCGGAAGGGGAAATATACATGTGATACTTGGGAGGTAGGCAGGTAGGCAGGCAGGTAGGCAGGTAGGTATTTAAATTACTCCTCCGCATCACTGCATTACATCGCATCGCATCATATTGCATAGTACATACCCAGTATTTACTTACTTACTTACTTACTTACTTACTTACTTACTTCATGTCAGCAAATTATTTCTTGGCCTACTAGCTACCTACCTACTTACTCCCACAGACCCGAGAGATGGATGCATGCATGGATGCTTGGTGAGGTCTTAGGCCTGAGGCCTGAAGGCTCCGGCACGGACGGATCGACCTCTTACCCCCTGTTTTGTGGCATTGGCTCTTATGTCATATTACATATTGCATGTTGCATGTTGCATATTGCATGGGGAGGAGGGAGCACAGCAGAAAGAAAAAAAAAAGGTACGAGGTGGTAGTGGTAGGTCATTCTTACTTATATGTGTGTGTGTGTGTGTGTGTGTGTGTGTGTGTGTGTGTGTTTACTTGCAGACAGGCAGACAGATAGATACTTAGATAGGCAGATCTACATATCCGGACTGGAGAGTTGACTATCTGCTAATGTATGTGTATGTACAGGTTGATCATTCAAGGTATATACTAACTACATTGAGGATATAATTCCGTCAATAGCGACATTAGTGAAATCTTTTATCCCGACTGGGATGGTAGGTACTTTTTTTTTATACATAAAAACTAATATCATAGGGGGAGGAGATGGGGGTTGCCACCGCAGTCGTCATCAACTAAATGACCAGCCATTTGGAAGTGACCCGGTGGGCGGATTGATAATCGCCATTCACGGCATAGATTATCTGCAGCGCTACGGCCGCTTCCCGCGAGAAATCCTCCACGAAGAGGACGGGCGCGTCCGCGGCATCATCATCATCGGTCATGATGACATCGCTTCCGTCTGCAGACTGGGGCTGGGATTGCGCCTGGATCTGCTCGCCTAGCTGCAGCACGCGGTGGTAGCCTTCTTTTGCGAGATGGGCGATGCCGAGGCTGTGCCAGACGCGGGCGAAGTTGAATTCCATCTCTTGTTGCTCCGCCAAGAGGGTCCCGGGGCGTTCGCGGACGCGTCGGTACTCGTGCATGAACGACAGGCCCTGCATGATCAGGTAGTGTCGGTTCTCGGACTGTCGCTTGAAGGAGTGGTGGATGTAGCAGAGCGCGATCGAGAGGAGGACGGCGGGGTTCTGGTCGTCCAGTGCATAGGCGCGGAAGAGGTAGTTCAGGGCAGGGTAGAAACTGTTGCCGGAGTAGAGGATGTGGCCGTATAATACAAGCAGCGCGACGTCCATTTCATCGGCTGGGATGGCTTCTCCGGTCACCTCGTCCCGCGTGGATAGGGAAGCGCGTTCCTTGTAGACCGACTCTCGGACTAGCTTACTGGGCCGGGCACCTGTATGGTTGTCTGGCAGGGTAAAGTCGATGGCCTTGATCTGGCGCAGCATAAACTTCATGTTAGGCGATGAATGGAAGAGAGACCGGCGAGGATCACCGCTGAGGCGGCTCAGCATGGAGAACAGGCGGTACGTGTCAGTGACGAATTGGTATTCCTTGATGAACCATCGGGCTTCATTTGCGAGGGTCTCCTCGTCTTGCATGCGAAGCGCACAAGCTGGAAGATGTCAGTATTCAGCCTGGTGTATAACAGATCGCTAAATACTCACTGAACCAGCAGACGTGAATCATGCGGGCGTCGGGCTTGGAATGGTACCAGACGCTGGCATCTGCCGCGGCGGCGAGCGTGTCGTACGCTTCATCAGACTCTCCCTGCGCTGCGACGGTAAGAGCATACTGCAGAAACATGTCCAGCCACTCCTCGAAGCGTATCCCGTAGTAATCAGTCGGGATCGTCCCTTGAAGCGGTTCTTCGGGGATGTTCCCTATACAAAATCAGCGTTGTCCCAAACGGGGCATGTGTGTATCCTACCTAAGGACTCCTGGATACGCCCGGCCATTTCTTGCATCTCATCAATGAAGTGCCGACCCTTGGATTTTCCCACTTTCCGCTGCGCTTCCCGTGAGTACCCCAAAAAGGTCATGTTGCGCTGAAGCGGGTAGAATACCCGGTTGGATCGAAACTCGCGCAACAGAGCGTCCGCTATATCCAGCCAGTCCTCCATGGCCTCGGCATTTCCTTCTTTCATTTGCGGCTGCAGCTGCAACAATTTGGCATAGAGATACCGCACGTTGTCGGACCTCTGACCCTCGTCCATCACAGCGTCCCTTTTATCAAGCGGAGCACTGGTGAGAACCGGCGCAGGTGCATCGGTGGAGGGCTTGGGTGCAATCGGCCTCAAGACGGTCTCTCCACAAGCCACGTCTGCTGTTCGGAATTCCATGGCCAGCTGTTCCAGCCTCGTGTCCTTGCGCCGCCGGTTGCTTCTCGTTTCTTGTCTTCCCAGCAGGACAGCTTCGTTGACGTATTTCAGCGCCTGTTCTGACATACCAATACTCTCGTATAGCTTTGCAAGTTGGACGCGTGACTCGACGTGTTTCGTATCATGCTCTGCCACTGTGAGGAAGCAGTTCTCGGCATCTTCGATCTTGTCCAGCATCTTGAAACAGTCTCCCAGTGCCATGAAGAAGCTGGCATCTGCATACTCGTTCGTTTGTTGGATGGGTAGGTAGAATCGAAGCGCGTCTTCATACAATCCGACATCCTTCAGCGCATCAGCAACCTCGCGGAAGAGGTCGCCGTAATCGTATAGCCGGGCATTCTCAGAAGTATCGTCCGGGTTCAGCCATTCGAAGTGATGCTGCGTCCTTGCGTTAGATCAGCCGCGTATTTATCTGTTGGATAATGCCACTTACCAAAGCTTCCTCTTTGTGGTCATACCCCATTTTCAGACGAAAAAGGCCCAGTTTGATGCGGAGCTCGAGTGGCAGCCCTAGGCCGTAATAATCCCGCGACCATGTTCGCGGATCGAAGCCATCGGTTTTGATGCGCCGGGGGGAGTCATCTGCATCCCATTCCCGGTCATCTTCGTGGAAATCCTCCCACATCGTGTCACTTCTCCGGCCGAGGAGCCATCTGGAGACGGATTTGAGAGCCACCAGCCCTTGAAAGTGCTGGTCTAGGTAGCTGTAGAGTTCGGTGTAGATATTTACATCCGACCAAGAGAAATCGGGTACATCTTCCGGTTCCAGAGACTGGAAGTATTCAACGCTGTTTGCCCACTGCACCACAGCCTTTCCGACATCGTTGAGGTCGATATAGGTCTCTGCAAGGTGTCGGAGCGCCCTGGTATTATGCGGGACTTCTCTCAGAATGCGTTCGTATTCAGTGGCTGCCCGTCCGTTATACCCCAGCTCCCGGTAGATTGCCGTTCGTTGGAACCGCGCATTGTAGTTTTTCGGATCTACGTCGAGGACACGGCTGTAGCAGTAGATAACGTCGTTTAGGGCACTTTGACGATCGTCTCCTGCGCGCTCCAGGATCATTCGTGCCACCTTGGCCCACACGGTAGGGTCCTTGGGCCGCGTGTGCGCACCGCTGAACAGCGCAGTCAACGCTTTATCTTTCTCCCCCTGGGCCAGAAAGATTTCGGACAGAAGCGAATGGGCGGCAAACATCTCCGGGTTGATCTGGATCGCACGCTTGGTCAGGTCGATGGCACGGTCATAGTCCCCATCAATAAAGGCCGACGTTGCCTCCGAGTGCAGCATCTTGAACTCTGGGCTCGGTTCCAGAGGCTTGCGCGGTCCCCTCTTGATTCCCTTCCCGCCACGGGCACCATATCGACCAGAGAAGGGACCTGTGCCCCTGCGGTGCCGTCTCCGAGAGTAATCGTCATCGTCCTCGCCGTCCTCGGGCTCCGGTTCTTCCTCGCTGCGAATGGTCAGAGGGGTTCACGACGTAGGAGTTTCCGGGGAACCGTGGAGACCGACCTGCTGCTCTCTTCTGAAGAAGACAGGGTATAGAGGGACTGATCGGAGTCATCGGCTTCAGCATACTCCTCTGCCTCCTTGTCAACCGAGGATCGTTCGGGCTCCTGCGAGGCACTGCCGGCGAACAAATCCTTGTACAGACGCGGGTCCAGGACGGAGTGGAGGGAGGACTCTCCCTGTCCCTGGGCTGCTGGCGGGGCTCCCTGCCATGGGTAATGAATGGTCTCGTCAATATCGGGGTAGGCAAACTCCTCCGGGGGAGGCCCGTGATCCGTGTGGTGGTCGTCGGGGTAATCCATGGTGGGATCCGATACGGAGTACTTTTTTGATAACCCGCTGGTTTACTAAGGATACGAGCGTGCGCCGACGGACTCGGCCGGCGACCGACCCAAGAATGGAAGGGTTGACGGGTTGGACTGGAGACTAAACATAAAATAGATATGCGCGGGTGCAGATCGTGAAATCGTGAAACAGGCCGACAGGCTAGCCCCGGTGACGTCTCAGGGAAGTCGCAGCGTTGTCCAGACTATGCGACCCAGAAGCGATCATCATTGGGCGAGGTTAGCTGCAGCGAACGCACCCGAAAGGACGGAAACAAGCAATTGGGTCGGGTCCGCGACCACCGTTGGATGGCGTTGCAATGGCGTGCGTCTGTTGTCTATCTATCAGGTACGTTCAGACTTCAGAACGGTTCGAAAAACCCAGGGGCGTCGGGGACAAAGAAACAGGATCCGCAGGATAGAAAACAAGGGTCACCGACCTAGGAGGAGGATCAACTATTCATAGCAACAGGTAAGCGCCGCCAAACCAGACTAAAATTGCCGATGCAGAAACCGGGCAGTCCAGCCGGGCAGGACGCGTATGAGCTAGATATTCAATGTGATTGATGGCCGGGGAAGGGGGGGAAGGGGGGGGGATTGTGGGAGTGTAGGGAGTACAATATGAAAGATAATAATGATACTGATGTACACGCAAGCCGAAAACAAAGAGCAGAGTTGTTGCTGGGAGTGTAGATCGATACGAGGCGTGGAAGGCGGAGAGAAGAAGAAAGACCGCAACGAACTAACGCCAGGCGGGCGGACCAATCGCAGCCGGGGCCTGGCCAGCGACCCTCCCGCTAGTCCCGATTCGGTCTTTTCTTTCTCTCGTTCGTTCTGTCGTTCTGGCGTTCCGTCCGCCGTCTTCGCTTCAGTCATCTCTGCTCTCTCGCTCATCTTCTTCCTCTCCCTCTCTCTCTTCTCTCCCTCTTCCCCATTCCGCCTTCGCGTCTTCCCATCTCATCTTTCATCTCCTCCCTCCCCCCCTCCCCCCCCCACCCCTCCTCTATCGCATTTTTTTTCTCTGTTCCTTTTCTTTTACTTTCCTTTTCTTGATGCTTTGGGAACCTGCTTGTTGTGTTTGACACACTATTGCGGTCGACCCGGACATCCTTTCGTTCAAAAAAAGAAAAGTAAAAAAAAACGAACCCACATTTCCCCTACACTAATTATACCCGGGAAATCGCCGCCCTTCTCTATCTATCCACCAAGATCTCCTCCACCCCCCCCCCCCCGGCTCGGCTTCTCGTCTCGCTGCCTCACTCCCTCACTCCCTCACCTCCCGACGAACTACTCTTCTGTGGATGCTCTTGCGATTCGCCTGATTCCTCTCCCAGAATCCGAATTCGGTAGTGCAGCCACTGGACTGGTCTGTGCCCCCCCCAAAAACGTCATTGTCCAGATTTCGACGCGGTTGGGTTTCTCACTCCGTCCAAGAAAGGGAAGAAAAACGTGTCTCCTTCCTTAGAGAGATTTGTCGCCTTTGATCGTTGCTCCACTGCTGTATACAGTCCTCGGCTGGTCGCCAGCCTGCAAGGAACAAAAGTCCCTCTCCGGTCCAGCCTCTCCCGGTTCTACGCAAACTCAGCAGGTGCTGCAGGTGTTTTGCAGTAATATTTCCTTTTCTGTATCTATTATCCACCCATCGGAGCCTCGCGTACCTACAGGGAGATCGAACCTGAAAAAAAAAAAAAAAAACTCGAGCGAGATTTTCCTCGACCCTGCCTGTTCCCCAACCACCACCTTCATTGAATCACTACTTATGGCCAGCCACATCATCGGCAACCGCAACAGCACTCCGGAAGCTTCCAAGTCTAGCCTGCGGCCTCCGTCGTCCTCTCGGAACCTAGGATCGCACCAGCTTCGAGCGTCCGCCGATATGTCGGGCTTCCCGTCTCCGCTGTCGTCCCGCAGCATCCGTCCCTCGTCGGAAGTCTATTTCAACCAGCAGTCTCAGGTGTCGAACACTGCGGAGGACCCGTTGGACCGCGCGGCTCAGCAGTGGCTGGCGGATATCGACCAGTACGAAACCACACTGGAGGAGATGGCCGCCGCCACACTGGACCAGGATTTCAAGGATGAGCTCAGCGCCATCGAGCAGTGGTTCCGCGTGCTCAGCGAGGCGGAGAGGACCGCGGCCCTCTACGCCCTGCTGCAGCAGACCACCCAGGTGCAGATCCGCTTCTTCATCCAGGTCCTGCAGCAGATGGCCAAGAGCCACCCCATGTCGGGTCTGCTGTCTCCGGCCAACTTTGGAGAAAAGGGTACGTTGTCTTGCTTGTCGTGTGTGGAAAGGATGTAGCTAATATCGCCTCACGCAGATGCCATGTCGAACCGTTTGAACGATGCGATGTCCAAGTTGAACGTGGACAGCTCCCGGAGCTCCCTCGGTCGCCCCCCGCCGTCCCCCGGTGCGAAGCGCAACTCCGGACTCGACTCGTCCACCATCAATGCCATGTTTCCCGATGCTGCGGCGGCAATTGCCAAGAAGAAGGCCGAGTTCACCCAGCAGACGGGCAACGCTCCTCCCTCGAACCGGAACAGCGCTGTCTTTGGCGACCGGACTTCTTTCGTTGCTCCCACCATCTCCGCCCCGGACAACGGCTCGGACAACTTGGGCCAGCCTCCCGTCTCTCCCTGGGCCCAGCGCGGATCCGAACCCCAACCTCCTATCGCCCGACCCAAGTCCTCCTCCGGCCACCAGCCCATGGGCCAGTTCAGCCAGACTCCGTCCAGTCTGCGCTCGCCGCTCCCCACGCAGACCGCTACGATCCCGGCCCCCGAGATCGATGCCCCGTTGCTCTCGCCGTACAACGTTGGAAATGCCAGCTGGGCCTCCATGACCAACACGCCGATGACGGCAACGTTCGGGCAGCAGCCTCAGCAAAACTCGCAGGCCGACATGGTCGCCAATGCGACGGCGATGAAGCTGGCAGCCCTGTCGACCGTGAACAACCGGATTGCGCTGGACGATGCTCGCAAGTACCGCCGGGCGCGCTCCAACGACGGCCAGGGAAAGAACTCTCTGCACGCCGGCCACGCCATGTCCCAGGGAGGTCTGGCGAGCCCGGGTCTCCCGGGCCCCAACCACCTGGTCGCCGGGCAGCTGTTGAATGCCCAGCAGCTTGCGGCCCTGCAGGCACAGCAGCAGGCGGCGATGGTGGGTCGCTCCCGCCCGACGTCGCCTGGCATCGCCATGCAGGGTGGCGGGCTCGGTCCGATGGGCTTCACCTCGCCCCAGAACAACGGCTTCTTGGCGGCGTATGACCCGAACAACCATCTGATGGGTAATGGGCTGGGCGCGCTTGGAATGGGACAGTTTGGGCTGGGTGGTCATGAGGGATACCTCTCGGACCATTCGGAGGTTACTCGCGGCCGGTCCCCGCGGGGTCGTCGTGGTAGCTCGAAGCCGCCGGAGGACCCTACCGACCCCTCTCTGCTGAAGGACATTCCCAGCTGGCTGAGATCGCTGCGTCTGCACAAGTACACGGAGAACCTGAAGGATCTGAAGTGGACGGATCTGGTTGAACTGGACGACAAGGCGCTGGAAGACCGCGGCGTCAACGCTCTGGGCGCGAGAAACAAGATGCTGAAGGTACGTGGTGTCGACCCCGTGGGAGCGAAGTTCGACGCGATGCTAATCCGACGCAGGTTTTCGAACAAGTCCGCGAGGCCAAGGCCGATGGCAAGCTCGACAACGTTGCGTGACGACCCGCAAGCATCGCTGCTTCATCTTGACTTACGTTTCTGCTTACATTCTCTCTACTGCATTAATTGACTAGATTGGCTTTGGGCATAAGTGGCAGGATCCGAAATGAACCTATGAGCGATCTCATCGGAATGAATCTTGGGAGGAGGTTGTCTAGTTAATGGATTCCAGCCCCGTTGGGCCTGTTGGATGAGTGACCGACTGACTGACTTACTGTTTGTATGGATGTATTCACATGTTCATGTAGGCATGCTTGGGGCTGTGTCTCGAGCATGTCGATGTTATGACGGCTAGGATGTTAATGTTATAATTATCATGGGTTGTTTGAAGTGCTACTGCGCGTTGCACTCTGGAGTAGAGTTTCCGTAGTACTACTATCATTGCCACTTACTCTGTAGTAATGGTGGTGAGTTCAACAACAGTAGTTGCAGTAGTTGCAGTAGTTGCAGTAGTTGCAGTAGTTGCAGTAGTTGCAGTAGTTACAGTATATGAGTACGAATCCAATCCAACCCAAGGCGGAACCAGACGGCAATATATTCGACCTCCGAATCCGACCTCCGACATCTCACCACCACTACTCTACTCTACTCAACCCAACTCAACTCTCCCTCTTCTCACCCAGCCCAACCATCCAGTCCAGTCCAGTCCAGTTCCATCCAAAACACCCCGGCGCCAGGACAGACTCCAACTCACAAAAAAAAAATGCCGCTCACGAAACAAGAAATCTCCCTCCTCATCAACCCCCTCGTCCCCGAATCCGTCCAACACAACAACCGCGTACGTTCCAACCCATCCCATCCTCCCTCCCTCCCTCCCCACCCCCCAACCACCAACCCATATTAATTTCTATATAATAATAATAACTAAAAAAAAAAAACAAAAAAAAACATAGACCCTCTCCTCCCTCCACAGCCTCACCTCCTTCCTCCTCGGCCTAACAGCCGGCATCCTCTCGCTGCAATCCGCCACCGGCTTTCTCTTCTACCTGCTCGGCACGGTGCTCGTGTCGGCGCTCTTCCATGGTTTGCTGCTGTATCGCTCGGGGGGGATCGGCGCGGGAGCGTTCTTTGCGGGCTCGAATGGGGGCGAGATTGAGGGGATTGATGAGAGGGGGGTTGTGGGTGGAAGTGGAAGTGGAAGTGGGGATGGGAAAGGGAAAGGGAAAGGGATGGTGAGGAAGGGCGCGTGGAGAGATGTTTGGTTTGGGGGGGCGTGTTGGGTGAGGCGCTTTCGGGGTTCGTGTTGGGGTGGGCGGGTGTGGGGGGGATGTTGAGGTGAATGAATTGCTTGCTTCTTTTTGGATTGGGGGTTGGGGTTGGGGTTTGGAGGGGAGAGGGAGAGGGAGAGGGGAGGAGATGGAGGTATGTAGGTATGTATTTATTAATCAAAATGTCTATGTCTATGTCTATGTCTATGTCTATTATTTGCTGTGGTGGTTGGTCTATCTGGGTGGGGAGAGTTGGGAGAGTTGGGAGAGTTGGGGGGGGGAGTATAGGTTTGTCACAACTTGGGGGAAAGGGAAGGGGAAGGGGAAGGGAAAGGGAAAGGCGAGGTTATGTGGTTATGCGTTGGATGGGCTTGCTGATGCGTCTGTGGGTGTTGATAGATCCCTGGTGGTGGTAAGTCCTGCGTTAAACTTCACGACGCCAGGAAGGAAGGACTGGTCAAGTCGGACGGAACTCACCTTATAAAGCGCCCACAGATACGGGACATGAATGACCTCGCTCCGTCCCTCATCTCCTCCACCGACACTCTCCCTCCCATCATCATCATCATCTCCATTCCTCTTCGTCATATTTACCCAAACATTCCCCATAACCAGCGCCGCAACCAGACTCACCCCCATGATCGGCAAGATCGATATAAACGCCCACATGATCGCATTCTTGCCCGCCAACTGCACACTCTCCTTCACAGCCGGCGGCAGATCATCCAGGAACGACAACGAGTTCGTATCGTGAACGTTCAGGGTACTATCCACGCCCTCCAGGCCTTTCAGGGCCTCCGAATTGCCGAACTTGTTGTTGAACACGCTGGTCATGATCGTCAAGCCGAGGGTGCCTCCGAACGGGAGAGCCACTTGCATCAGGGACATTGCGGGGGCGAGTCGCTCGGGCCAGACGCCTGCCGTGTGCAGCGAGGATGGCATCATGCGGAGACCTACGCCTGTGCCGGTGATGGCGAGCATTCCGCTCAGGATGCTGGTCTTCTGCGCGCTGATGGCGTAGGATACCAGTGCTAGGCCGATGGTGCTGAGTATGGCGCCGATGTTGAGAGGGAAGAAGGTTTGACGGGGGAAGGCGTTGCACATGTATACTGCTAGGTATACGCCGCCTGGGTGTATATTGGGTGTATCGGTTAGTAAGGTCTGTTTTGTTGTTGGCGTTCTGAGCCGGGGATGATGATATACGTACCCCCCAGTCCGGGGATGTAGTACAACAGCTCGAGTCCCGCTTTCGAGGTCGAGTATCCCGCCACGACGGTGTAGTATATGCTGATGAAATAGAAGATCGAGTACGACGCTGTCAGAGTCAGTCAGTCCTACACAGACAACACCGCCTTTCCAAAGGACAAAGAATGAACGGGGTACGACGACCTACCTGCCCCCGTGGAAAAGTTCAAAAACGCAAGCCAGATCGTATCCCTCCGTTCGAACAGACTATACGGAAGCATGGCCACATGTCTTGGGAAGATGCGCGCGAGCAACCTTCCCGGCTCAAGCAGGTACTCATACACGAAGAACGCGACGAAACAGATCACACCCAGAATCAGCGGTGCGAGGACTTGACTGGACGACCACGAATATGTAGCTCCGCCCCAGGTAGCGGCCAGAATGAGCAGACCGACGCCGAAGATGAAGAGGAGGGATCCTCCAATGTCGACTGTGGCTAGAGCTGGCAGGATGGAAGATGAGCGTGATCCTTTCTTGAACATGGTTCCTTCGACGAGGTCGTTTCGCAATAGCAAGAATATCATGATGTGGCTGAATACGGCGATCTGATGCGTATTGGGTATTGTTAGGGAAAACAGCATTCCAAGAATATTGAACTGCAGGCTTGAACTCACAGGTATAGGCACAACGAAACAATATCTCCAGTTGCTCTAGTTCCGTCAGTATCAACCGCATGCACCCACTTCAAAGAACAAACAACACCACCCATCACTCACATCAGCCAGGTACCTAGAACCAGCCAACAATCAGCAATCAACATCAACACCAACCATCCACCAACCGATTCCAAAAAAAAAAAAAAAAAAAAGCAAAAAAGAACAACCTACCCCCCACAATCGGCCCAACCGCATACCCCACGCCCCCCACCAAGGTGAAAAAGGACTTATTCCTCGCATTCTCCTTCAACGACACCCTATCAGCCAGAATAATCATGATGAGATTCCCGATCCCCGCAGACCCTGTGCCCTGCAACGCGCGGCCCAGCAACAACATCCCCCACGTCTGCGCCGCCGCGCACAGCACACTCCCCACCAGCATGAACAGCAGAGCCACCTGCAGCACTACATGCCGTCCAAAGACATCCGAGAGTTGCCCGAATATCGGGATGAAGGTTGTCGAGGTGAGACTGAAGGCTGTGATGATCCAGTTTAGTTCGCTGAATTGGTCTGTATATATACGAACATACAACGAACACAAATATAGTTAGCCTGAATAAATGGATGGATGGATGGATGGATGGAAAACATACCAAACCGCGACGCAATCTCCGACGTCGCCGTCGCGACGATCGTCAAATCCAGGCTCGAAAGAAGAAACGGCAGCCCGAGGCCCGCGATCAGCTTGAGTCTGTATACGCGCTCCGCACGCTTCTGTTCCTTGCAGAGACTGCATGCCTCCGTGTCGGGGACGGGGGTTAGGGTTGTTAGGCCTTCCGTGGTGCAGCTGGTGGTGGGCCGTTCGAAGGGTTCTTCTCCTGTGGGTCGTCGGTTTGCGGTGGGAGTGGGAGTGGGAGTGGGAGAGTCGAGTTCGTACCAGTGTGAGCGGTGGATGCAGGGTCGTGTTGGGGCGTTTTGCTTCTCATTCTGCTTCTGCTTCTGCTTCTGCTTCTGCTTCTGGGAGATGGATTTGATGGCTTTGAGCATTTCGGGTATTTCTTTTGAGTCTCTGAGTCTTGGGTTTGGGGGGGGTTCGTGATTGGGTACTATGTGAAAGGGAACCAACCAAGGATACTAGGTGGGTGTATAGACTCGATCTGAAGTTGAAGTTGCAGTTGAACTGAGTGATAGTATACTAGAAATACTAAGGGCAACGTAACATGGGATTATATACTACTAGATGGATGCAACTGAAACTGCAGTCAAGCTGGAGCCTAACACCAAACGACTATCTATAGTTCGCCGAACCGGCCAAATCCAGCCAGCATCGCGGAAGAATACGAGCGAGGGAGCGAGTCCCCGTGGACGAATGTTCAGCCACAGGGCTGGAGAAAGGTGATGCTTTTTTACCTGATTGGGCAGACCACGGGCCTGCTGGCCAATGGCGCGGTGCCTTCCCGATCCGGTAATGAGTGCGACAATGTCCACAGGCCACGCTACTCCGTACTAGGACTAGTAGGTATTACTTGCTATCGCAGACCCATGCATATGATATTACTATATTGGGATGAGTGGCTATTATCAGGCTTCAGTGGTTTGAACTCATTATAAACTATATACTATATACACGCAAGTCTAGAATACATCAGGGGTATAGCTTCAATCCACAGTGGATGATTTGAACTGTTGAGAAGATAAGACGAGACAAAAGAAAACCATCAATCAAATGCAATCAATCATCGAGAGGCTCCAGCCAGGGAGGATCATCAATTCTTCATAGGTTCATTTCGGGCTCCGGGATGGGCTCCTCCGGGGGGGAGTTGGCCAGGGAACTCTCCAGCGCACTGGTCAGATCGATGTGGAAGAAAGGCCGGTTGATGCCCTGCACCACGGCCACCTTCCGCCGATTCTGGTACGCTTTGCTGTCCTTGAGATCCCGGTGCAGCTTGTCATCCTGAGCGCTGCTGTTGTCGGACGACGCTTCGATATCGATGCCGTGGGTCTCGTGCTCCGTTGCGTGCGCGCCCTGCTTGATGCCGTCCTCCAGGTCGCGCTTGACGGCCTGCTGGTGAGCCTGCTCGTTGTTGACCATCTCGGCGTGGGCCGCAGCGGATGCTCGGCCCTCGATCTCGGCCACGCTGAAAATCGGCTTCCACCGGTGGAATCCGTCGTCGGAGGTCGGTGTCGGGTAGCCGAAGCCCGCGGCTGCCAGCGCCCGCTTGGTCCAACGGTTGTTGATGTGAGCAAAGTGCCACTGCACAGTGCGAGGAGAGGCGTAGAGGTCAAGCTGGTTGCGGACATCGATCAAGTTTTGGATGGATGTCACATCCACGTTGTTAACCGACGAGAAGTCGAGAATGATGGCCCGGAGGATGGGGCGTTGCGAGCGGGCCTCCTCTCCCTTGCCCTTCGGAGGGGCGGGGTCATTCCATGGCCGATCACCGGGGCGTTGGTAGGAGAAGGGGTTTGTGCGACGCGTCTGTCGGAAGACTGCCTGGACCAAGGAGTCCGTGTAGTGGTTGGCGTTCGGGTAGTTGAAGCCCTCGGAGAATCGGTAGATGAAGATACCGGGGTGCGGCTGCTCCACCTCAACTTCAGGGTTCGATCCATCGGTGTGGTTGATCGGAAGGAAGATGGAACGGCGGTTCTCGTCCTCGGTAGGCGCATCGGGGGAGTTGCCAGGTCCATACTTGCCATCCCCTTGCACCAGATGATCGCCCACAACGGAGTGGATGGTAACGCGTCCAAGGAACTGACCGCGGGCCTTGGCGACACGGAAAAGCAAGACGGCAATTGAGATGCAGATGGTACAGTAGATTCCATCCTCGATGGAGGTGAACACAGTGACGAGGACACCGACCATAAAGATGATCGCATCGAGCGGAGAGACGCGCCAGAACTGGTATAGGGTGTTAGGAGGGGTGATTAGGTCTCCAACTGCGTGGATAATGACACCCGACAGAGCAGCTTGGGGGATATAGTAGAAAACGGCAGTCAAGGCGTAGATGGCCAGCAACACAACGATCGCGGTAATACAGCCAGCCAACGGGGTCCTAACACCAGCCTTCGACTTGATGGCAGTCCGGGAAAATGATCCAGTAGCAGGGTACGCGCCCAGGAACGGTCCAAGCAGGTTGGTGACACCGATACCGACCAGCTCCTGAGATGGCTCGATAGTGTAGTTGTTAACGCGACCAAACGACTTGGAAATAGCGATATGCTCGATAAGGAGAACAATGACACAGGCGGGGAGCTGGCTGGCAAATGTTTTGATGATTCTGGCATTGACGACCGGCACGGACGCATCTTTGAAGCCCCGTGGAACACTACCTAAGACATCAAACATGGGGTTGTCCTTCCGGTGGAGGTTGACCGCCGCACTGATCATTGTGTAGAAAAGAATAACGAAGACGGTTCGCAGAGTCGACGCGAAGAACCAAAGCTTAGCCCTGCGGGGGTACTTCCGCGCACCATAGTTGCAACCGGAGCGGATCATGTAAAGCATAGCCAGGGAGGTGACACCCAAAGCAGCATCGATACCGGCGGTAGGAAGGTATTTCAAAGAGTTGATGATCATCATGTACGTCGAATCTCTCGTAGAGAAGTCGGCTGACTCTCCGAGCAGCTTTTTAAATTGACCGGAGGCAATGTTGAGAGCAGAGCCCGTCATGAAAGCCGAGATTGCAGGAAGAGGGATGAAGTCAACGATGAAACCGAGTCGAAGGAGGCCGAGAGCACAGACGATGGCCCCGCAGATGAGGGCTAGACAAGATGCAACCACATGCCCTGGGACGTCAGGAAGATCTGCCTCAGCCTGGAGGACGATCGTTCCGGTCAAGGTGGACATTACAGCGACAGGCTATGGCATAGGCTGTCAGCACATAATCGATCGGAAAGCAACTTATATCGCGATGTTACTTACACCAATGGTAATATCCTTGGAGGTGGCGAAAAACCAGTAGAGTAACACGCCCATGAAAGACGAGTAGAGACCATACTGCACAGGCAGCTCTGCCAACTTGGCGTATGCCATTCCTTGGGGAATAACAACGGCACCGACAGTTACACCTATTCCATGTCAGACCGCTGTACAGACTTGCATTTCACGCAGCAACTTACCAGCGACAAGATCACCCATTAACCACTGCATGTTGTACCGTGTGATCCACGAAAGGAAAGGGAAAAGGCTGTAGAAGTAGACGCCAGCATCGTGCCATGAGGGCCAGATTTCTTTAAACCATTCGGCGGTGGTGGGTTCCGGTTCGAGATAAGAGTATGTGTCGACGGTGCCATATGAGAATGTCGACTCGCCCCTGGTGACGGGGTCGGCATGAGCCCCCAGAGGATCACGGTAGGGCATCTTAATGCCCAGGACTTTGGCCAGCCCTTGGCCAGCCCGATTCCTTAGATCCTGAGACATTGTTGTCTATGTGTATGTATCTTCTGAGTGGCAAGGCGGTTTGGTGTAGGGCAAAACGGTGCCCGGTGCCGCAAAAAGGTCCGTCGATGAGAGGCAAAGTCACGTCGAGGTGATGGGAGCGTTTTTCGAGTTCACGCTGATCATATATGGTCCGGTGGTGTATCTAGGCAGATCCCATTTCAAAGTTGATGGCTGACAATATATGGGTGGATGCGGGAGGTAGTGTGGTTTTAAAATGGGTATGCGGAGCCAAGAGCCGATGTCGTGATCGGGAGCTATGAACGCGAAATATCAAAATTCCCACCAGCGTTCTGGAAGCCTTGAAGATTCAAGGCAAGATGAGGCAACGCAATTCAAGATCAAACGAGTTCAAACGACGTCAAACAACTTTAATTTAACAGAGATGATAATGGATGTGGGATAGAATAGGGGGTCAAGAGCACACGCGGCCCCAAGAATTGGGTGTAGACTATATAGTCGGGGTGGCGCCCGGGAAAAAAAGGTAGTGTTCCGGCGGGATATGAAGACCGGCAAATTCAACCCACAAAGCAGAGATGCAATTGGGGAAAGGGTAAAGAAATGCAGGAGAGGGAGAAGGGGGAACAGGAGGTCCAGGAGCGAGTTTAAGTGATTTGTGTTGTCAGAAAGAGTATGGGTACATGGAACTCCGTGGGGGGGGGGGGGGGAGCGGACGTTGCCAGCGGACGTTAATGCAGGCCGATCAGAATGATATCCTGCGCCAAAAGGCCATGACAACGATGGACCATCATTATTAACAGGGAAGGGAGCACCGGGAGGAAACGCGCAGCGATGGGGCAGCTGATCCACTGGGGATCGCCAAGGGCAAAAGCACACCGTCTGGAACCTGCAGTCCCCAAGCGGCGCCGCTGCAAAATCCCTAGCCGGCAGAGGCCAAGCTTGCCGGAAGGGCTGGCGTAAGAGCGCCCGTCTGGTGGGTTCTTGACGGGGGTGGTCTGGAAGCGAAAGATGACGATGAGCCGTGGAGCAGGAGAGTCCGCCCATCGGCTGGGCCCATGGTTTGCGGTTAGTCCTGGGCCAGTTCGAATGATAATGCTATTATTATTGAAGGGTTAGCCTCCGGGTCTCGGAGTCGTATGTGATCCATCCATCGTCATCAGAAGAGCCGAGAGGAATGGAGTCCTGTCTCGGTATAAGCGTTCGACTTTACCCACCGTGATGGAGGGGAGGAATGGGCTTGTGGTGGAAACGGTGGAAAAGGTGCAAAAGGACGGACACCCGCCATATTGCCAAGGCACACCGCCCACTGGAATCGGGGCCTGGCCAGGGCTGCGGCCAATCAGGGCGGCCCCTGGGTGCAGCAGCGCGACCCCCGCGGCGGGCAGGCGGCGGCCAATGGGAAGGGCGGGAGAACACGCCATCGCGGCGACTGATGGTGAAAGCCGCCCGGTCCACGTGTGGGCTCTGGGCAGCGCGGTTTCGAGTCTTTTTCGACGGTTCGACCAGCTGGGATGATCGGCTGGCTCGTTTCCCCCCCCTGGCTTTGAGTTTTCGTCTTCTCCCGGTTTGCCTCCTGCCGGCTGCCAAGGTTATCTCCGACGCCTGATGACGAGTCGATCTCCTCGCGCTGTATGCTGTATCCGGGCTGGACTGCCACAATCGGATCGGTTCCATGTCTCGAGCGGGATCGATTCAGGGCAGTCATGAGAACATTTCCCCGGTACGGAGTAGACATCTAGGTCCTCATCGTGTACAGCACCGCATGCTTGAGCAGCATGATGTTCGATGTTTAGATGGGAGATGCACGATGTGAAACTGCGGCAGCGGGTGGACGGACAGGGCTTTGCCGTTACGTACCACCCGCGATCTCCCACTTACTCTGTAACTGTGGATGCAACAGATGAATGGACGGGCAAAATAACCATGTCACTAGGAAAGATTTCTGCTTTGATTGCCGACGCGGCTTGGCGCCATGGTGATCCCTGAAGCTTGACGCTTGTCCTGCCAAATACGGAATGCTATGTAGACAGATAAGTCGTGGTCAACAGGATAGGCTCTTGCTAAGTGCTAGTACGGTGTGCTAAGCTAGCGAGTCCGACCACAGAGCATCTAACCGACTGCTGCCGGTATGGATTGATGGTTCAGCACAGCCAGTTCCCAACTTCAGTTGGAGAGAATACTGGAATAGGTGATGTTGACGGGGAGCTTCAAGAGTCAAGACATTAGACATTTGCAGCGGCATTTATGCAGCAATTCAACTCGCCGGTCTGCATTATTCTTAGCGACATGAATAATAACTATTGGCTTCGCAACCCAACGCTGCATCTGCATGGCGCCTCGGACGAGCAGAGCAGCCTGCCGACCAATAACACCAGTGATATCAGCCAGGATTTTGTTGAAATTGCTGCATTGGGTATCGCATATGTACCTAAGGAGTAGCTGGAAGCTAGGCAGTTCCCCAGGATTGCGCCATCAATCTTATCGCTAGCCAGCTAGCAGCCTAGCACTGGCTAAGTACTAGATAGATACTATATCTACCGTAGGCGGATGCAATTATTAGAAGATTATTTGTTTTATGGCTTGATGTTGCCCATCAATCGAATGATTCGGTCACAGCACGGTCTCCGGACCGTGTCCAGAACAAGGGCTACGAACTAAAGTAGTCCTGCAGTAGACACTCCAGATGGAGTGCTCCATAGATTTAGATTAATTAATCTCTCATTTATTCTTACTAACAGCGGGATGCTCTTCCGCGGCATCTGCCTCATTGAATAAGAAACCGACCATGGGATATCTAGCAACCCCCTGATCGTCTACTCCGCTCCTCGTATCCAATCCAGTCCGTCGCGTTTCTTGCAAAGTACATGTCTATCAAGTCTCCCACACAACAAGAACACCCCGCGCAGCAGACACCGAGGTACGGAGTGAGTAACCTTCCACATCAAGACAGACGCTAGCACCAAGCCAGCGCATCCTGCAGGCTGACTTGGGTAGATCGACATGAACCAGAGCCTATCTAGTAGATATCTATCTACCAGTCCACATACAGTAGTAGCACTGACCCAAAAGAATCTCCGACACGCAGGAAGAGCCTCCTTTCCCCGATCAACAAAAAACAAATACCCAAGACAAATCAACGCAGTTGCCTCGTGTGCCAAATCTAAAGAAAAGGCACATGGCTTTGGCACAGACCCCGAATTTGATTGTGACACCACCGCGATCTGCGAACCGTACTTAGTACTCCCATCCTTCAAGTTATCCGAAACCCTGACTGGCTCTTACGTGATATCCTCGCCTTTTAACTAGTTATACTCCAGGGCTGACTGAGTGCGGTTGTCCTGTCCTCGTGATACATACATTAGTACCGTAGTCAGTCCGTGCAGCATCTTTGTCTACTAGTACGACGTATTGTGATCGCAAAAATAAGCTTTTCTGATCTCAGTCTTTCTTTTGGGCGGTTCTATAAAGAGATCACACGGTACTATACTGCGACCAGCGAGTAAACCACATCGCTTGATACATCCATCTATCGCTCGCCCAGATGGCCATCTGGTCGACTCTCGCTCAGAACCTTGCTCTGGGCTGAGAGTGTCCGTTTGATGGTCACCTGACTGCTATTTCTGTTTTAGAACACTCTCGCCCAGACCTCTTGTATGAGATTATTCATTCAAAATCATCCATGAGCCACCCCATCTAGGCCTAAAGAAATTTCCAAAATGTCTGGTGGTGTTTTTACGAATCCCAGGTCACATGAGCGGCCTATTCGTTCAAAACCCACATGAGGAGCTAGTAGAAGAAGAAGAAACGCCCCGCGGATACTGCAAGCCAGCAACTTTGATAATAATACAGCGTTCAGCTCGCGTGGATCTGTCCCATGATGTTGTTTGTTCAGCTTGGGCGTTGTATACCACGCCATAATAGCTGTAGGACATGGTTTGGGGATATACATACAAAAGGCCGAGAGACGGTGCTGGTGGACTGGCTGTTTATCACAGGTTGGCTACAACTGACAAGAGTAAATGGTTTGGATAGATGGGTTTGAACTCTGTATAAATTGGATAAGCACAGTAGACTGGCCACCTGCCCTTATGGGAATATTGTTTACTTTGTAGCTCCTGCATGGCTCATACCACGATATCCTGCGTCGAACTGGACTGGATTGTCCTCTGGAGAAAAATGGGTTTGGATTGCACGCTCAGAGAAGATGTTGTTCGGGGCCAAGTAACTCATCGATATATACATCGCTCCCAACGGGGAGATTATCTATTGTGAAAAAAGAAGAGAAGAAAAGAAAAACTTTTTACTCATCCTCTCCCTTCTTCTTCCGGAGATGACCCAGGTTATACAGCGAGTCATTCAGCTCCTTTCTTTCCTTCTCCGTAGTAGTTAACGGCACTTCCGACGTGCCGGTGGAGTGGATCTTTTCTAGCACAGACGCCGCGGTCTGTTCCCATTCCAGGCCTGTGTCTGACTTGACGCGGAAAGCTTCGATCAGGGCCGAAGGAGAGGACGGGCTGGCTCTCCATTCGTGGGTGGTACCTGGCTCGCGGATGCAGTCGACGGAGACGAGGATGGTGTTGTCTTTCTCAATGCTTGTCAGGCCGAGGGCGTTTCCGGAGAGTTGAATGGGGGCTTGTGACGTTAGCGTGCCGTCGGCTTCTAGGGTGAAGCATTGAAGGCGAGGGGATCTGATTATAATTAGAATCTCGGAAAAGTTCTCTCAAGTGCAAGTGACTACTCACCCGTGAAGCGCGACAAGGATGGCCCGCTGGCCCCCAAGCGACGTTGCCCAGATTCCATGGACAGCCACCTCCGCAGTCTCAGATGCTTGGTCGACCAGAGGAACTTTCTGGAGAATACGACCTTCGGCCCATTTCCAGACAAGGAGATGCTTGTCACCTCCGCCGGAGACAAGGTACTCGGGTGCCCACTGGGGCACGCAGAGCTGACTGATGAATGAAGTATGGCCTAGGCAGTAGTTCTCAACAATATGGGCCTGGGTAAGACCACGAGAGACACGGATATGTTCGTCTCGATCGGCAGTTAGGATGTAGTTGCGCTTCTTGGTAGAAGAGGCATCCGGAAGCGACACATAGGCTATATCTGTAAGAAGAGACACGTGACCGAGCAGAAGATTGTGTTCGAAAGCAAGACCGGGCTTCTCTTCCGCTTTGGCTTCGTTGGATAGCTTTTGTTGCTGCTCCAAAGCCTTAAGGTTGCCCTTCGTATGCACGGTCAGGTTTGTTGCTGCCGGCTGGCTGAGTTTGGCGCCTCTGGGAACTCTGGTAGCGACATGGGGTTTATCGCCGGGAATCAGCGGCAGGGAGTAGACGTCGCCGAACTTGTCGCCGCACAGAATGGTGTTGTCGTCGCTGGTGATGGTAATGGCGGATGGTCGCTTGGGCATGGTTCTAAGGGCATAGGAGTCAGTGATGGCGCCTGAAGCAGGTATGCCATTCGACTTACCTCTCGCTCAATTGAGTGAACGAGCCATCCTCTTGAAACTGGAAGACGCGGATGCATTTGTCTTCCGCGGTCAGCGCAACCACGTATTCCCCATTCGCGGTAGTGGTGAGGATGGGGATGTTTGACCAGGCAGGAGAAGCCTGAGACTTCTCTGGCGTTTCGCTGGTAGGGCCGGAGGGTTCAGCTGTCTGGGTGTCTTCGACCTTCCTCTTCTTCTCCGGCGGGCCTTGTTCCAGTTGGGCTTCCGCACCGTTACTCGACTCTACAGCTTGCGGCCAGATCGCAAGCTGCTGACCGGTTTCTGCAGAGTAGGAGTAAAGCTTCGAGCCAGCCGACCCGATCAGGAAGTTCGCATTAGGCCTCTCCACGAATTGGAGACATTGGAACGGATGCTGGAGGTTCGCGGCCATACTGGACGGTTGCCAAGAGGCTGTATATGGAGGGTTTTCCCGGTTATATAGGGTCCAAGGGAAGAATGAGGCAGTCCAAGGAAGTGTAGTATCCTGTCCTCAGTCCAGATATGAGCGTAGTGATATCGTTGCCGTCGAAGGAGGGAGACAATCCACAGCAGTCGAGGTTATCGGCATGCGATGACCGTAAAAAGTCGATATCCCGCCGCATCGGCGCATCACCGCACACCCGACCGCCTTCCAGAAGGGGCCAACCGCGGGCGGGGCCCACGTGACCGCTCGGCAAGCGAGGCCACAACTAAAGATTTCCCAAATTCCGCCGCGACCTTTTCTCTTTCGAACTTCAACGTCACGATTTAAGTCGGACATCACCCAACGAACAATTCCACTTGCCCTTAAACAACCTATCTTCAGCAATTTAAGAAGAAATGGGGGGCAAGTCCGCTACCAAGGCCGCTTACTTTGATAAGCTCAAGGCCCTTCTCGATGAGTACAAGACCGTCTTCATTGTCGGTGTCGACAATGTCAGCTCTCAGCAGATGCACGAGATTCGTCTGAGTCTCCGTGGAGAGGGTGTTGTCCTGATGGGCAAGAACACCATGGTATGCCCCCTTGAACTCCGTTGCTGTGGGAATCGCGTCTAACAACCCCCCAGGTTCGCCGTGCCATCAAGGGCTTTGTCAACGACAACCCCGAGTACGAGCGTCTCCTCCCCTTCGTTAAGGGTAAGTCGATACAAACGGAAATATCTTGAGCGGAGCAATTGGCTGACTCGTTATTCACAGGCAACGTTGGTTTCATCTTCACCAACGGTGACCTCAAGGGTGTCAAGGAGAAGGTCCTTGCCAACCGTGTCGCTGCTCCCGCTCGTCCCGGTGCCATCGCCCCTGCCGATGTCTGGATTCCCGCTGGTAACACCGGTATGGAACCCGGTAAGACCTCTTTCTTCCAGGCTCTCGGTGTCCCCACCAAGATTGCTCGTGGTACCATCGAAATTACCACCGACCTGAAGCTCGTTGAGGCTGGTTCCAAGGTCGGCCCCTCCGAGGCCACCCTGTTGAACATGCTCAACATCTCTCCCTTCACCTACGGTATGACCATTGCCCAGGTCTACGACCAGGGTCAGTGCTTCAGCGCCGAGGTTCTGGACATCGAGGAGTCTCAGCTCCTCGCTGCCTTCACCTCCGCTATCACCACCATCACCACTATCTCTCTGGCTGCCAACTACCCCACCCTTCCCTCCGTTCTGCACTCTCTCGTCAACGGTTACAAGAAGGTTCTTGCCGTTGCTGTTGAGACTGAGGTCAGCTGGCCCGAGATTGAGGAGCTCAAGGACCGTATCGCCAACCCTGACGCTTACGCTGCCGCCGCTCCCGTCGCCGCCGCTGCCGCCCCCGCGGCCGGTGATGCTCCCGCCAAGGTCGAGGAGGAGGAGGCCGATGAGTCCGATGACGACATGGGCTTCGGTCTCTTCGACTAAGCGTCTCGCGTCAATGTTACACGAGATACGACTGCCATGTATTAGATATTTTTCTTCCTGGTCTTGACGACTCGGTCAATGAAGATGATTGTCATGGTCATGGATCAGTTTCTTTTCATCTAGATATGGACGTAGTTACGTTCCATTACCTGATGAACTGAAAAAGGTGAGCTCGATTTTCTTCTGTCTTTTTTTTTTTTTGCCCACACTTCCCCTGGTGAAATGATGAAACAATTTTTAACTCGGAGCTCTTTTGCTATGCCGATGAAAAACAGCAACAACAACACTCTAATTTTTTGCTGACACCAACCTGTTATTTTTTTTTTACGTTGCCACACCATTGCTCTTGGTGATCTGATAGCTAACAACTATTCTCAGGTTCAATTAGTATATTGTAGGGTGCAAGGTCGATGTGCCAGTTGAACCATCACCGCGCTGTCTGTTGTCCTGTAAAAAGGATTCTGTAGTGCTCGGTGGGACGTAGTAATTGCTAGGTCATTCAGTCTAGTGCTATGTTCGGCGTGGAGATGGGGGAAACAATACAATTTACTATAGCCCAAATGGAAATCATTTAGGCTGTCTTTTGAAGTCTCAATTGCTCAATGCTCGTAGCCATGCTTAGACCCGACAAAGTAGAAAGTGAAAATTAAAAATGATCCTACGCAGCAGAACGTACCCAATTGGAAGACAGTGAGCTGACGCGCCGAATGGCGGCCCGAGGCGCCGAACAGCAGGACTTGCGCATGTCATGGGCCCCTCCTCCGCAAGGTCCCCCTCCTCTGCAACTCCCACATCCCACGTCAAAATGCAGCACCAATTCGAGCCATTGAAGAACGACCTCTTGCTGAGGGCCGCCCGAGGTAATTATCGACAAAAGGATAATTACCTGTAGACGAGGCTGATGTCATTGCAGGCGAACAAGTGCCACGTCCTCCGATATGGGTGATGCGGCAAGGTACGCAGCAACCGCCCCTCTGGATAAACCCCAGACGATGCCACCATTGACAAGATTTAATCGCTGACTTTGCTGTTGCTTTTGAACAGCTGGTCGCTACCTCCCCGAGTACCATGAAGCCAAGGCCGGTCGCGACTTCTTCGAATGCTGCCGTGACCCCGAGGTCGCATCGACGCTGACCCTCCAGCCCATCGACCGGTATGAGGGACTCATCGACGCCGCGATCATCTTCTCGGACATCCTCGTCATTCCGCAGGCAATGGGAATGCAGGTGGAGATGGTCGACAAGAAGGGCCCTCACTTCCCGGAACCGCTGCAGTCGCCGGACGACGGACAGTACGAGAAGGTGATGCAGAAGGCGGTGGACGTCCAGGCGGAGCTCGACTACGTCTACAAGGCCATCACACTCACCCGCCACAAGCTGCAGGGCCGCGTGCCATTGATCGGCTTCTGCGGTGCCCCGTGGACTCTGCTGTGCTACATGGTCGAGGGCGGCGGCTCGAAGTTCTTCGTTCAGTCGAAGAAGTGGATCTACAAGTACCCCAAGGAGACGCAGGCTCTGCTGCAGAAGATTGCCGAGATCTGCGTCGACTACCTGGCTCTCCAGGTCGCGGCCGGTGCCCAGCTGGTGCAGGTGTTTGACTCGTGGGCTGGCGAGCTGTCTCCCGCCACTTTCAAGGCGTTCTCGCTTCCATACCTGCGTCACATCTCGGCCAATCTGCCCAAGAAGCTGCAGGAGATGGGGCTCGAGCCTGTCCCCATGACGGTCTTCGCCAAGGGTGCCTGGTTCGGTCTGGAGGATCTCTGCGAGTCCGGCTACAACGTTGTCGGTTTGGATTGGCTGCATGATCCCGCTGAGGCTTACCGGATTGCCAATGGCCGCGTGACTATCCAGGGCAATGCTGATCCGGGCATCCTGTACGGAGGTCGTCAGGCTATCACGGAGGCTGTGGAGAACATGGCCCGCGGCTTCCAGAAGGGCAAGCGGGGCTGGATCGCCAACCTCGGTCACGGTAAGCCACGCCAACGGCCTGCCTGTCTTATACCAAGTGCTGATCTGAATAGGTGTGACCCCCTTCGTCAACCCGGACGACCTCAAGTTCTACTTCGAGGAGATCCACCGCCTGACGGTCTGAAAAGGTGGCTTAACGTGATGATCATGGCTGGCGTATGATTTCTGACTATATACATGAACACTACTGCCCTCTACCCCTTTAAAACGTCCGCTTCTCCGTGCGATCATACGATCAATCAAAACTTAGACAGCAATATCCTCGTTCCTGCAATTCAACGTCGTGGTCAGCTATCAAAAGAAATGAAAGCAATGCAATGCAACTCAACTCACCACAGCTCCGGCTTCTCCTTCATAAACGTCTCCATCAGCTGCTTGCACTCCTGGTTATCGAGGACTACGACCTCCTTCCCCCGGTTGGTGAGATACTCCTCCCCGCCCATGAAGCTCTTGTTCTCTCCGATGACCACGCGCTTCACCTTGTAGAGGATGCAGGCGCCGGTGCACATGTCGCACGGCGAGAGGGTCGTGTACATGGTAGCGCCTTCGTAGGCGGAGGCGGGCAGACGTCCGGAGTTCTCGAGGGCGGACATTTCGGCCTATCGTATCGAATCGAATCACCAAGTCAGCACCACGGAATCAAGAGTAGACATCATCATAGATAGAATGGGGGAGGGGAGAGGGAGTGGAGTAATAAACGCACATGCAGCACCGGACTACCCTTCTGCACGCGCATATTGTGGCCCCGACCCAGGATCTTGCCGTCCTTGGAGACCAGCGCCGCTCCGATGGGCACGCCGCCCTCCGCGGCTCCCAGCTTGGCCTCCTCCACGGCCGCGATGAATCCGGGGTCGGTCTCCATGTTGTGTGGTTGTAAGAGTCGTGAGGTAATTCGATTCGGACCTGTAGTGAGAGATTGGAAACGAAGAGGGGGCGTAGAAAGATAGACCGGTAGAAGTTAGATAGCAGTAGCTATCGAGACGGAGCAAACTCTGTGGTCAACTGCCGGATTTGGTCGGATGGGTCCCGCATCGCCCGGTGGGGTGGATATTACGGAGTAGTAGATAGATAGTAAGTAGGAGATACTAGATAGATAGATTGGTATCTTATATCTATGTAGTATGTATGAGGCTGCGGTCAGTGCTGATGGGGTCCGACCACTAGTTATCTTTTATCAATCTATCTTTTTGCTTGTCTGGCTTCCGAGACTGTCTCTGATCGTGGTCTGTCTGTTTCGGTGCGGGAGTCACCTGTCTTTGATAAACTTCCTACACAGTAGTTAGTAGATAAAGTACAGGGTGGTATCGGTTATCTGGTACAGTAGGACGTAGTACATAGTATCCTCTTGGACCCCTGGGAACACCAGCAGGGAAAGAACGACTCGGCGTCCACGGATTCCTCCCCCTCCTTCCGCATCGGGCACCTCGTCGACTTACTTATCGATAAGCCTGCCCCCCAGCCACCCGCCGCTCGCCACATCCCTTGTGCCTGAGGCAAAGTACCGTCCTCCAGGCTCCGAGGCTGTGCCACTCGCCGAAGATTCTGAGCGCATCAAAGTTAGTTTATGCGCTGCAGAAGATTCGCCCTCTTGAGTCCGGTGGCATATCCGCTTGGGGTTTTTTTACGGCACGGTAAAATATCTATCTAGTGGAACGAATCAACATCCTCTGTCACGTTGGTCCACCGGTTCTGCGTATAATTCGACCGCAATTCATACCGAGGCAAGCCAGCCAGTCAGCCAGCCAGCCAGCCAGCCCGTATACTTCAGGTGGAAGAGGATGGAAATGCCTGACTGATGATGGGCCGCGCGCCGGCGATACGCCCGGTAAGGCACAAACCTACAGCCCCCCAGCGGTCCAGCAGGCGCGGCGGTCACAAAACCCAGTAATTACCCAAGCGATTGTCAGCCGTGGAAAGGCCGCGAAGGGGATGGAAGAGCACCGAATTCCATCGAAGCAGCCCAAAGTCGCGCTCGGGCCATGACGAGCAACGAGCAGCACCACCACCAACCACCACAGGGCCAGATGGTCCGGCGAGGTCATCGATGCGGAGGGTATCGCAGCTTTGTTCAAAAGGCAACGGGGATCTCGGTTTTTCTGCTGGGGATTGGGTTTTGTTCGTTGTTTTTGTGTCGTGCCCCGTTTTATCTTTATGTGGCCTCTTTGTAACCTACTGGATACAACAACGTATACTTGTTCGTTTCTGTTTCTACACAAGTAACCACTACTTTCCATCCATCCATCCTCCTCCCCGGAGTTTCGCCCCATCGTATCTCCGGTATTAAATACGGGGGATCTGGAAACACTCGGCGGGCAATTGGCGGGTGGATTGGTGCCTGGTGCTGTAATCTGATTACGCAGATTCAGACTCAGACGGACTGTCGCCGCTCTGATAATCTCCCGGACGGGCCCTCATCCTTCTCCCTCCCTCCCCCATCCACATCGAACCCTCCCGCCAGCGGCTTTGAGGTTCTTCTTCCTTAGCCTCCCCCCCCCTCCCCTCTCCTCCTCCTTCTCTCCTCTCATCCTCTTTCCTTTCAGGAGTCTCGTACTCTCCCTGTCTTGTCGCTTCTTTGTCACTTGCTACATTTCCTGTAGTCAAGTTCGTTGGGGCTGATTTCTATCTCCCTCTCGTTCCTTCGGAAAAGTTCTTGTTTCTATATTGGTTCCTGACTTTTCATCCCTGCTCCAACCTCTTCGCCTTCCCCTCTTCGCCTCTGAATTTACTTCACAATGGTCAAGGAAACCAAGTTCTACGATACCCTGGGGGTGAGTTATTTCCCCCCCCCCCCCCCCCTCTTTTTTTCACTTTTTATCTCTTTTTTTTACCCCCTCCCCAGCACTGCCTGGATCTGCCTAGAAAGCAGAGCAAAACTGACGGTGAGGCGGCTAGGTTCCCCCGACGGCCACCGAGGCCCAACTCAAGACCGCCTACAAGAAGGGTGCCCTGAAGTACCACCCTGGTAAGTGTCAATCGGCCCCGCTCGATCGGAGAGCCCGTCCGCTCCGTACAGCGTACAGCCCGGTCGGTCGCTAACCCGGTTCTCGCCATGCAGACAAGAACACCAACAACCCCGAGGCGGCTGAGAAGTTCAAGGAGCTGTCCCACGCTTACGAGACCCTGTCCGACCCCCAGAAGCGTTCCCTCTACGACCAGCTCGGTGAGGAGGGTCTGGAGCATGGCGGCGCTGGCGGTGGAATGGGCGCCGAGGACCTCTTCGCCCAGTTCTTCGGCGGCGGCGGCGGTGGCTTCGGCGGCATGTTCGGCGGCGGCATGCGCGAGCAGGGTCCCAAGAAGGCCCGCACCATCCACCACGTCCACAAGGTCAACCTGGAGGACATCTACCGCGGTAAGGTCTCGAAGCTGGCTCTGCAGAAGTCGGTTATCTGCTCGGGATGTGATGGCCGCGGTGGCAAGGAGGGCGCCGTCAAGTCGTGTACCGGCTGCAATGGTTCCGGTATGAAGACCATGATGCGCCAGATGGGTCCCATGATCCAGCGTTTCCAGACCGTCTGCCCCGACTGTAACGGTGAGGGTGAGATCATCCGTGAGCGTGACCGCTGCAAGAAGTGCAGCGGCAAGAAGACCATCGTCGAGCGCAAGGTCCTCCACGTCCACGTCGACCGCGGTGTCAAGAACGGCCACAAGGTCGAGTTCCGCGGCGAGGGTGACCAGATGCCCGGTGTCATGCCCGGAGACGTCGTTTTCGAGATCGAGCAGAAGCCCCACGACCGCTTCCAGCGCAAGGACGACGATCTCTTCTACCAGGCCGAGATCGACTTGCTCACTGCCCTTGGCGGTGGTACCATCAACATTGAGCACCTCGACGACCGGTGGTTGACCGTCAACATCGCCCCCGGCGAGGTTATCACTCCTGGTATGTACCTCTTCAACTGGCTTGCACCGGAACGCATCGAGCTAATGTGACTTTTCTCCAGGTGCCATCAAGGTTATCAAGGGCCAGGGTATGCCTTCCTACCGCCACCACGACTTCGGCAACCTGTACATCCAGTTCGACGTCAAGTTCCCCGAGAAGGACCAGCTCAAGAACCTCGAGTTGCTCGAGCAGGTCCTGCCCACCCGTCTGGAGCAGCCCCAACCCCCGACCGACAGCATGGTCGAGGACTTCGAGCTGGAGGACATCGACGGCAGCGAGGGCTCCCAGGCCCGCGCCCACGGTGCCGCCAACGCCATGGACGAGGATGACGACGACGTTCCTCCCGGTGCCGAGCGTGTGCAGTGCGCGTCGCAGTAAACGGGGGTAATGAGAGAAGTGGTTGTGATGTGACGACGTGCTGGGGCTTGACGAAATTCGCTTTTGATACCATGTGAGGGGGTTTCGGCCCCGGTACTGCTCGGTTCTGTTTATTGTTCACGCGATGATTTATTCCTGCGATGGCGTTTGCACTGAAGATTCGGGAGATGACAAATGGAGATTCTTTTTTTTCTTTTGTGCTGTGCTGCTAAAGTTGCATTGCCACCATCATTGCCCATGATTCCCATACGGTTAATGTTCTCACTCTTCCTCTCTTTCCATTTTCTCTTCTCGCTACACTATGGGAATGAGGCGGCTATGGGTTATGATGCGTGGCTGTGGTTGAGGATGAGCATGAGGATGAAGATGAGCATGAGCATGAGCATGAGACAATGCTATACGAGTCAGGTCAGCTTGATACTACTTGCTACTTGCTACTCGCCACTTGCTACTAGCATGAGCATGCTACTTTGTGCTTCTCCGACTGTCTTTTGTTGGGACGCCCGGTGGGATCATGCGCGGTGCGGGTGCGGACATGGGGGGTTGAGCGTTTTCATGTTCACTTTATAGACTAAATAGGCTTTGGGTATTACATTCTTTTTTTTTTTGAAATCTTTGGATTGGATGTGTAGTGTATTGTAGTGTAGTGTGGTGTGGTGGATGTGCGGCAGCATGCTATATTGCTATTATGCTATCAAGGCTGGACTTGATTATGATTCGTGAGGACTGAGATGAGAATGGATTCATGTGCCAGGCTCTAAGGCACGTATCCTACGGAGACAGATGAATCTTAGCTAGACAGTAAGTACACGTCGTGCTTAGTTGGACCGAGCTACGCAAACAATTGCATTGAGAGTACGGAGTTGGAGAGGTAAGTAAGTAAGTGTACCAAAGATCGCACACTCCCTTTCTTTCTTTCTTTCTTCCTTCCTTCCTTCCTCCCTTCCTTTCTTCCACCCTATTGCCCAAGAAGCAAGCAATTAGACGCTTTCTGTGTTGCAAATCATACATTAAGCAAGTGACTCTAGTGCAAATAGAAAAGGAAAGGAGGAAAGCAATAATCAGCAGGAGAATATAAATACAAAAAAGAAAGAAAGAAAGAAAAAAGGAAGAAAAAGTGCAGCCAACCAACGCAAAAATGAACAAAATAGAAAGAGAAAAGAAAAAAAAGACATGTCCTCAGGGAGGTTCGAACTCCCGGCCTTGGGATATCCAGAAAGTTGAACGCTTTCTAGTCATATTGAATGAAATATGAGACCCACGTGATAACCAACTACACCATGAAGACCTTGTTGTTGAAAAACGGGCGAGGTTATGGCTATATAACCCTTCACGTATACTTCCACTCCATGTCCTGCACAAAAAAATATGTCAGGAAAGAATGGTTTGGTAAGCGGGGCTTATCCACCCACCCATCCACCCATAAATTATTATTTTTTGTGTGGGTGGATGAATGAATGAATGAATGGTTAGATAGATAGACAGAAACGAAACAGAAAGCAAAAAGAATATACATATAACTAGATAAAAACAAAAAGCAATGTCCTCAGGGAGGTTCGAACTCCCGGCCTTGGGATATCCAGAAAGTTGAATGCTTCCTAGTCATATTGAGATGGAAATATGAGACCCACGTGATAACCAACTACACCATGAAGACCTTGTTATTGGAAATCGGGCCGTATTTTGGCGCTATCTTCGGGGAGCGCGTTCCCGGGCTGTGCGTGACGACTATCTACCTACCTACCTACCTACTTATAGTACCTGTACACGGAGTAGGTATTGGGTACTCCGTAGAGTAGAGGGTTATCTATAAGGATAAGAGAGTTGGGTGTTTTTTTTTTTTTTTTTTTTTTTTTTTTTTTCTCTAAATCAAATCAATTTTTCTACTGTCTTGAACTGTAAAAAAGGTGGGGATTTTTTCTCATCATGTGGTTTCTGGGGGAGGCTGGGCGTTTTGCTAATAATAACAAAATTACGGAGTACTATCTACCCATCTCTATCATGAGAGATGTACAATTGGTCTGGGTATTCATATCGCTGGATTGGTAATTGGATTGGAGTGGTGGCAGCTACTATATCACCCATATTATTATTTATTATTGACAAGGATCACATACATACTAGTACTATACTTTACGGATGGCTATATATCCGAACCCCAACCGCCCTCTCTCCGCCCCCCCCCCCCCAAAAGAACATCATCCAAAATCTCAATCAAGCCAATCAAGCCAATCAGTAAATAGGTATCTTACACACCAAGAAAGAAAAAAAAATACAATACAGATAGACAATAAATGCTATATTCGCTTTCGAAAAAATATATACACACACACATACATCAACTCGCATCATCACCACCCCGCCCAAATCTCCCCCCAAAACCACCTAGATCCCTCCGGAAAAACTTCCCAATATTCTTCAGATTCTCGTTAAGATTTCCCGCAGAGGATATGGAACTCTCTCCGGTCTGGGTCTGTCCCAGTCCCAGTCCCAAGGGTCCAGGTGTGGATGAGGAGGATGGGGAGGCCGAGGCGCCTGAGATGGAGACGCCTCCGGCTCCGGGGGGAGCAAGGCCGGCGATGGGGTTGATTGATGAGGAGCCCATCGGGGTGCCGAAGCGGTCGACGCCGTCTTTGGCGGCGGAGATGATGGCGGAGCCAAGCATGGAGGGGTCGAAGCGCGTGGGGAGGGTCGAGGCGCCGATGGACGCCGCGGCGGTGCCGAGGCCGAGGCCCTGGGAGACGGAGCTGGTGGTGGGGGCGGTGGAGGTTTGCAGGGCGGTTAGGATGGGGTTGCTCTGTTGGAGGTTCGGTGCATAGCGATCGGAGGCGCGGTGGAGCTGGAATAATTCCAGGAGGTGGTTCTGCTCCTGGCGGCTGCGGATGCCTTTGAGGTCGAGGATCTTGCGGAAGTTCGTGTTGCTTTGGTCGGCGATGTGGATGAGGTAGGCCTGCACGAGGGCTTCGGGGGGAGACGGTTGCACTTGGAGGGTCTTGAGGAGGGCTTCGATCTTCGCGAAGCTGGCGTTGACGCGCTTGACGAAGCTTGCTGGCGCGGGGTTGGGGAGAAGTGACGAGAGTCCGGTTTTGAGGGTATAGGTGTCGAGGAGCATCTATGTCGTGCGTTAGTTGGCGTGTTGGGATGTGAATATTAAGAGACGTACCTGCTCCGCTCCGGTCTCTGAGACCGGCTTGCACTGGAAAATGGTCGCGATGAATACGGTTGAGATCAGCTCGACGACATGGTCTGCGAAAGCTCGGGCGTACTGCTGCTTATGCAGAAGCTGCAGGAGTTCCGAGGACCTAGTTTGTGTCTTGGACATCAGCTCGCCCACGTAGGAGCTCTGGTCGCTCACGCCCTCCAGCCGGTTCCAAGGCGTGTTGCGCATCTCCCGCCAGCAGGGCTCCAGATCAACCTCAACCTTCCGCACAAGCCCTCGAACAGCCGCAGACGCTATGCCCATGAAAGAGTCCGCCTGACTCTGCAGGTCTACGGTCTGCTTGAGGCTCCTGTCGAGCCTGCCCTTGATCTTCTCCTCCAGCTGATTGCAGGTCGTGTAGCAGTAATCCGCGGTGTTGAGAACCAAGATTAGGTCTTCAGTATCCGGCACCTTTGACGGAGTGTGACCCGTCGGGCGCTCGCTGATGTAGGATAGCAGGACTGTTTGCGCGTAGTGATCCAAGTACTTCGCAAAGACCTTGGCCAGGTCTGCCAGACTTGCACCAGTAGATAGCTTCGCGCATTGCTGGAACGAATGCCGGTAAAATGTGAAAAGGTCCGTAGAGGAGGATATGACAATATGCGAGTCGAACTCCTCATCCGGAGGCTTAATAGGTTGTTGCCGATATTTAGGCATCAGCGCAGCCAGCTGCTTGTCCTGAGCCTCCACCCATACACTCAGATAGGGTTCGAACGCCTCCGAGATGGCCTGGCCAAAGACAGTTGCCTCGCCCGAGGCAAACGTATCCGTCGAATGACGGGACGGGTTGATGAACCGCCGTTCCAGGGAGTGTTCAAAGTCCAGTGTCTCCTGCAGACACGACAGCAGCAGGTTGACATCGATCGTCTGGCCATTGCGCACGGATCGGGAGAGAATGCCCTTGAAGTCCTCCCGTGTCCCCTCACAGAAGACATTCGCCAGGATCTCATTGACTTTCCAAGCCGCGGGAAATATGGCCCCGTACTCCTCATCGTAGATCTTCAGGATGCGCCTAAACCATGCGTACCGCCGCGAGATGTTGTCCAACGACCCGGCCTCCTCGTTGTTCCGGAACACCTGCCTGTACTCGCGCAGCTGGAAGTTGCAGTACCAGGTCACCAGCCTGGACTTGGCATGGTCGCCCAGTGCCTCTATGACCAGACAGCCTTCCGAAAGAACGGGTCTGCTTTGGCCGACTTCCCCCCTGGCGAACGCCATCTCGAAGTCCTCGCAGACCTGCTCCAAAAGCTCCCGCTGTATGTCCGCAACATTCCTGCTGAGAAGAGCGATCTGGTCGATCGAGCGGTACGACTTGAAATGCGCCATCAGCTGGATCACCGCCTGCAGCAGCTGGGCACAGTCCCGGTACTGCCGCGTCCGACCCAGGGCGCGTAGCTGGTCATACGCCGTCGTCAGCATCTGCAGCCTCTTCAGCACCGTCATCGACTGTGTGAGGTTCTTCTTCGCATTGTCCAGCTGCTTGATATCCGCCGTCATCTCCGTGATAGCCGACTCGGTCGAGGACGCGCGGTCGCGCACGTCGTCGATCTTCTTGAACAGCTCCGTCAAATCCGCCTTGGCGGCCTGGATGCGCTCGACACTCTCCGCATTGGATGTGACCTGGTCCTCCACCAGTGCGCCGATATCGTTGTCGAGCTCATCTTCGTATTCGTGGAGGGTCTGGGAGACCCGGGACACGGACGACAGCGTGGAGGGGTGGGAGAAGATCGTGTTGAGATGATCGACTGGATCGTAGTCCGCTGTGAGTTGGATATGTTAGCGAGGATTCCGGCGAAGGCGTCACTCGAAGGGCCTCCCTCACCTGCATCTAGAGGGTCGACATTAGCCGCTCCGTTGGGGGGCATTTGGCCGGGGGGGTTTGTGGTGGTGGTAGTAGTGGCGGACATTCCATTAGCTCCTGAGCGTGGTCAACGCCAGACACATGCTGCAATGCCAGCTACGGGGCATTCGCCAATTCACCGAGTAAGCATAGACACGCGCGCAAGAAGGGCCAAAGGAGCGAAGGGAAACGAAAAGCTGTAAAGACCGGGGGGGGGGGGGGGGGTGTTTGGGTAGAGCTCGAGTCCGAGCCGGAGAGTTGGCGACAAGTCAGTCCGTCCGCCGGCAGTCACGGGCAGCTCTTAGCGCTGCCGCTTGGCGGGATGGCGGGCCTCGTCATCTTGCACCTGCCACCTTCACCTTCCTTACTAGATACTACAAGTCCACCAAATGGCTACTCAATGCAAATGTCGCTGCACAGGCTGCTCGGTATCGTGTAGTGGTTCCTGGTACCGCAGACCCCCCCCTCTATATGGACATGAAGTTGTTCGTCGTCTTTAAAAGTACAAGAATTGAAAGCTGGTCACCAGCCCTAAAGCCATTCGCCCAAGCCATGCATACATCAGCAAATCAAACAATAAAAGGTAATAGACTCCAAGCAAACACCACCAGATCCCCCCACCCCACCCCCACGCGCAAAAGCCAGACATGCAAGGACCAAATCGGGATCGTGGGAACGAGTCGCTCATGCGAAGGTTCTCCCGGGTCCATTAACGTATTTCCATCCCCTTGATTCCTTCCATGTTCGCCCCCCATCTGAATCAAACAGGCAGAAAAGCATCGGGAGGCAATGTTCCCTGCGTCTGCAACTAATTAGCTAAGCCTACCAAAGAACTTGAGAGTCGAAATGCATACCTTCAGTTCTTCGAAATTCTTCAACGCCGCATCGATATTCCAGCCATTTCCAGAAAGAGCCATCTCGGAGTATGGAAGGGTCATCCGAGTTTTGGAGCTCATCTGGAGAACCAGCTGCTCTTGCTGTACCTGCACGTCCGGTTTTCCAGGTGTCGGCATGCCGTAGCCATCTGGAGCGCCCGGTACTACACCTGGCACTGCGCCCGGTACAGCTACCGGCTGAGGTGCCACAAGAGGAGTCGCCGGAGCCGCTGCAGGAGGGGCCGCTGGCTGGTTTTCCGGGATCCAGGCCTCATGTCCTCCGTAGGCTCGCAGACAGAGGATATCGTTGATGACCCTGATTCCCCCCATACCGCCACCAGGTCCGAGTATGAATGTCCGGTCGAAACTCCGCGTTTCCACCCGAGATCCGCTGATCTCATCAAACTTTCCATGCACCATGATGAGAAGTCCACCAACGCCCGTGGGGCTCTGTCCCGAAGGGTCGGGAAGGCCTGGGATCGGGTAGCATTCGATAAGCCATTGGTCTGGGTGTGCTGTTATGTCGGGATGTCTCGTTGCGGGGAGACTGGTCCATAGGTCGCGGATCTTGTCTGTACCGTTGTATGCCCGAGACATCCTTGCAGGGAGATGGTTGATCTTCAGCAAGTTTCTGCTCTTCTTGATATACGCATCCCAGGGAGCGGTTTCAGTCCCTTCGGATTTCGGAGCGGACGTGTTGATGTTTAGTGTGAAAGTGGAAGACTTGTCGTAAACGCCGTTGATGAGCTCGCTGCGGTCGTTGTCATAGCCTGCGAAGAAAGCCCTGACGAAGTTCTCCGCGATCTGAGACTCGTCTCGGAAATGCGGCGGCTGCACGGGGATTGGCGTCTTCTTCTGTGCAGCCAGTTCCTCCGCGGTCCGCACCTCAACATTGTTGAGGAATCGGAGCTTGGGATACCACTTCAGCATGGTATCCTTAAAAGTGGGATCGGAACTGAAAGGCGTGTTGGAAAGGTCGAGGAACTCGAGGTTCCGAAACTTCCAACGCCACCCGATCAGCGCCTGGGCATCTTTGAATTCGTTGTTGGAAAGGTCGAGGTTCTTCAATTCCGGGATCGTTTGGGCCAAGGTCGTAACAGCCGTGATGTTCGCAAGCTGGTTGTGGGCGAGACTGACACTCTCCACCGCCTTGCGGCGGGCCGCGGAATCGTCGAAATTGAGCTCCCAGACCTTCATCAGTGCCGGAAAGAACTTCGATTCGGTGGAGGTGCTGCCGAAGATTCCCATGGATACCAGATCGGGATCGCTTGCCAGCCTTGAAAGGTCGAGCAGTTTCGTCTGTTGGGCGTAACGCCTGCCCAAAACGGCAGTCATTTTAGCCTTCGTGTCGGCAGCCGAGGGTGAGCTGCCATTCTGCGACAGCATGGACTGGTCCAACAGCCCGTCTGTAGATCGATCATATTTGTGGACCGTGAGAGGAGCACCTGCAAAAGAAAAACCATCGAGCTTAAGCATCCTATCCAACAACTCTGGTCGGACAGAAACTATGAGCGCGTCGCCTTCAACTCGCGACTAAGGAACGTTAGTAAGGCGTGAGAGACTTTGAAACCGCAGTCATCCAAAGGAACAAACGCCAGTAGAGCCTAAGCAAGTGCCGATCGTTGTTCTGAAGCTACCATCCCTAAAAACGAAGGCACATCGGAGAGGACGACGCTGGTGATTCATGTCGGTGACCGCCAACTCTGGTGTTGCACATACCTTTGTAATCCTTGCGCGTGTGCCAGCTTTCGAGTCGGAGGGGCTGAGTTTCTTCTCGAGGAAGGCGATCAGGCTTTCGAGGCCGCCGTCGGGGTTAGATGCGGCCTTGCTTTGTTTCCAGCCACGGACGATCGCCTGCTCCAGACCACTTCCCCGGCCACCTTGGCGGATATTTGCCTGTGAGTCGTTGCTGGAAATGGCTCTCTGGATCGCATCCATGGCCTTGTTCGCGGCCTGTGACCGATTCGAAGTGTTCGATCGGCCCGACTCCCCACGAGCCCTCTTTCCACCACGGCTGCGAGCGGCGGAGCCTCCTTCCATCACCATATCACCTTCTCGATCGACCCGCGTAGCAGCGCCCCGCTTGCGGATGCCCCCGCGATCCGAGCCACCCTGGCGGCCACGAGAACCTTTTCCGTTCTTCATGTTGAAAACCGGGGGAGCTGTCGTACCCGTCGCGGAGGGAGAGATAGGATAGAAAGGGGGAGGGGAGGGGTCGAGGACCGGAGGGGGTGAGGATCGGACTCGATATGAAAAAGTGTTGTTGGGAAAGCGAGGCGGACAAAGGCTGCACGCCTTAGTTGTTCGGGATGGGATCAATCGGCATACGATGAAAGAACGGCAGATTTCCCAGAGGAGGTTAAAAGAGAAGCTTGAAAGGGGAGGGCGAGAAGTAAGCGGAGGAGTGGACGGTGGACGGTGGACGGTTCGGATGAATCAAAGCAACCGCCAGCCTCGGTGGGTGAGAGGTGGGATATCAGGTGAATGGAGGAGTCAGTCAGTCAGTCAGTCGGAGCAGAAAAAGTGACGTGAACCGCCAAAACCCAAGCATTTCCCGCCGGCCTGCAGCATCACGTGAGCGGTCGGGGGCGTCAGTCGCACGTGATCTGGCGCCAGGCACGGGGCGTGGCCAATCAGAGCGTGCAGTCTGTCCTTTGGCACGGACGGTAATACGCAATACCGATGCACACAAAGGGGCAGCCGGTATTACGGCGCTAGACCCGAGCGGGCCATATTGCGGTCCCGCTCGGCGTAGTGCCGCTCCTGAGTGGTTCTCCGCCTCATCAACAGGACAGCTTGTTCCAAAGGCCCCGAATCCCTACGAGAAGCCACGAGACGCGCGCAATTCGCTGCTGCCAGTGGCTTGCTCATTTCTACATTTCTACATCCGACTTCGCTTGCGTACGTTCCCCCCCCCTCTCTACTCTCTATCCAGCCTCTTCGCTCCTTTACTCGCTTGGTTCCAACTACCAGGACTCTTCTTCCCAACTGAGGCTTCCGCTTACTTACATACTATCCCATCCTCCAACAGGCTTCATTCCCGCGGGCACTAGCTGGTCTTTAGTCGGTACAAAGACCACCGTTGAACACCACCTCTCGGCGCCTTCCGCGTATTCATGTCGATCCATTAGAGCAATGCCGGCGAAATCGCGATTCACGAGGCTCGATGCTTTCGCAAAAACAGTCGAGGATGCGCGCGTCCGAACGACGTCTGGCGGCGTCATCACCATAGCCTCGTTGCTGGTCATCATGTGGCTTGTGTGGGGTGAATGGCTGGACTACAGGCGTGTGGTCGTTCTGCCAGAGCTGGTCGTCGATAAATCGAGAAGTACGCTTGCACACGCAGACAAACAAATGCTGCACCGCGAGACAGAAGACACCCTTGGCTAACGGTCTCTCCTTCGTACAGGCGAGAAGATGGAGATCCACCTCAACATGACCTTCCCCCGGCTTCCCTGTGAACTCCTGACTCTCGATGTCATGGACGTCTCTGGAGAGCAACAGACGGGTGTCGTCCACGGTATCAACAAGGTGCGCCTCACCTCGGCCGCCGAAGGGGGCCGTGTCATCGACATCAAAGCTCTGGAGCTGTAAGTCACCCTCAACCCCCCCTCCCCTTTCCACTCTTACTCACAATCCATCTCATCCAGCCACTCCGAGGACGAGAGCGCCAAGCACCTCGACCCCGACTACTGCGGTGAATGCTACGGAGCGTCCTCCCCCCCGGGAGCCAGCAAACAGGGATGTTGCAACACGTGCGACGAGGTGCGCGAAGCGTACGCGCAGCAACAATGGGCGTTCGGCAAGGGCGAGAACGTGGAGCAGTGCGATCGCGAAGGGTACGCCCAGCGGATCGACGCCCAGCGGCGCGAGGGCTGTCGTCTCGAGGGCGTCCTCCGGGTAAACAAGGTAGTGGGCAACTTCCACATCGCGCCGGGCCGTAGTTTCACCAGCGGAAACATCCACGTGCACGACCTGGCCAACTTCTTCGAGTCGGACCTCGCAGACGCTGAGAAGCACACCATGACGCACCAGATCCATCAGCTGCGCTTCGGTCCCCAGCTCCCCGACGAGCTGTCCGATCGCTGGCAATGGACCGACCACCACCACACCAACCCCCTCGACGACACCAACCAGGAGACCAACGAGCCCGGCTACAACTTCATGTACTTCGTCAAGGTCGTCTCCACCTCCTACCTGCCCCTGGGCTGGGACCCGCTCTTCTCCTCCGCTATCCACAGCGCCTACGACAAGGCTCCCCTCGGCGCCCATGGCATCGCCTACGGCGCTGACGGCAGCATCGAGACCCACCAGTACTCCGTCACTTCGCACAAGCGCTCCCTCATGGGCGGAGATGCCTCCGACGAGGGCCACAAGGAGCGTCTCCACGCTGCTAACGGTATCCCCGGTGTCTTCTTCAACTACGATATCTCCCCCATGAAGGTCATCAACCGGGAGGCCCGTCCCAAGACCTTCACCGGCTTCCTGACCGGTGTCTGCGCCATCATCGGTGGTACGCTCACCGTCGCTGCCGCCCTGGACCGCGGTCTCTACGAGGGTGTCAGCCGGATGAAGAAGCTGCACTCGAATTAAAACTCCCCATGCGCAGCATTATTTCTATTATCATTATCATTAGCAACCCGATCAGTCTAGGTTACATCCCTAGAGTGAGAGCAAAAAACCGAGTCAAAGAAAAGAGAAGTTAAAAAATGGAATAGAACCCAAATTCCCAAATCCCGGGACGAGTGTGCGTTGTGCGTTGTGCGTTGCATGGAGTAAACAAACAGTTGGTCGTGGACAGACAAGACAGATCCTGAGTGAGCGAGCGGTATACGAAGTTAGGCGAAGTTAGGCCAGGGGAGTGAGCGAGTGAGTGATCGAGGAAAGGGAAGGAAAGGGAAGGGAAAGGGAACTCCGGAAGTTCAGGCGTTTTTGGGGTTATTGATACACCTCTCTTACACACATCATCATCATCATCATCATCATCGTCATCATCATCATCGTCATCATCATCGTCATCATCATCGTCATTGTTTTGCTTATCATCACACCTAGGTATTATACTACAGATTTATTGAGGCTTTGGGGCTTTGGGGGAGAGGCTTTTGGGTCTTTCTGAAATGTCACTGCATAGTATTCATCCTTGATTTTTTCTGGATTAGATGGGGTTGGATTGCATTGTATTGGGCTGGACTGGAGTAGACTGGAGTAGACTGGACTGGTGGCTGGCTTCGTTGTGGGGGTGTAGTGGTATCAAGTGTAGTGTGGTGAGTGGATGGTACTGAATCAATGGACCATGCTATGCTGGCTTCATTGTTTCGTAGTCTTGGTTTCGGATGTTCATAGGTACTCATAGAACATTTCTGCTGGGCTGTGGTGGTATGCATACGTCCTCCTATCTAGTCTACTCTGTACCACTATGAACCAAGGTACGGAGTAGGTAGCCCCAGTATCCATTTTCTAGACTCAATCGATAGTGTAAGCAATATCAATGTATGATAAGCAAGACACCATCTCAGGAATAATACCTCGAAAGATAAAATAGCTACCCAGTACTGACGGACGACCTTTCAAAAGAGAATAAAGGATATTTTGCAGGCTATGTTTGCAGAACGAAGAGACGTTTCCAAACAATTAAGACTCCGTAGACCCAACGAGATAAAAACAAAGCGCTGCAAGACCGCCAAGCCCAGGAGATAGATATAACAGAGAACTTTCCAGATATCGAGAAGACTTGGGCTCTAAAATGCACTGAAAGCTCGCGGGCCGATGCAAGGACGAGACAAAGCGAAGAGGAAAGAGAAGATCGGACCATGAGGTTCACGCAAGGGGAGCAAAAGGGATAGATGGATAGATAGATAGGACGGGATAGGATAGGATAGGACCGGGTAGGATAAACATAAGGAGATTGGATGAGAATAAGGAGAGTACGGCATATAGCTAATAATGCATTGCGTTGCCGTTGGCGAAGTAGCCTGGGTGCTGGCCAAAGTGCTGGTTTTGCTGGTAGGCTGGGGGTGACGGTGAGGGCTGCGACAGTTGGCCGTACCAAGACTGGCGCCGGGGCTCGGCTGGCCGGTAAGATTGGTTGAGAGCATCCCAGGTGCGGTTTGCGGTGGGCATGTTATAGACACTATAGTTGTTCGCGGCGCCGTTCGCCTGCGCGGGTGGATTCGCAGCCACTTGTTGCTGCTGTTGCAAGTGCTGCTGGCGTTGTGCAATCGCATGCTGCACCATTTGGTTGGACATCCCTTCCCGGATACTCTTCCGCTCACGCTCTCGAGCATCAATCGCCCCAACCAGTCCCATGGGGTCGACTGGAGGCGGTTGTTGGCTTTTGACACTACCAGAAAGGTCGAGGAGCGGAGCACCCGTCATACGGGCCACATGCTCCTGTTCGCGGGCAGAAAGATGGGATGAAAGTTCGGTGTAGTTCAGGGTGCTGCTGGCACCACGAGAATGAGGGCGGGCCGGCGCATCCCGAATGCCTGACAAATGGGACAGGGGCCGGGTGTTGCCTGTCCAGTCACCAGAGGCAGGCCGCGGGGGTGGTGGTGTCGAAGAGAGGGTTCGGTGGTGAGCATGGACTGGCGGGCTCGGGGCTGACCGTTGCTGCACAAACTGTTCCGCAGTGAGCCTGCCCGGTGTGGTCGGACGCGGAGCAGCCATGCCCGGCTGCCACATGAGGTTGCTCGGAGATCTCGAGTGTTGACGCTCCATCTGATGCGGCATTTGCTTCTCCGTCGCGGTTGAGTCGCTCCTTTGGTGTGCTGATTTCCCGAGAGTATCTCCAGTGCTGGGGCGCCCAGTAGTAGGCAAATAGGTCATGGTCGGTCCGAAGTCGAAACTGGGGATTTCTGAGCTGAACTCCAGTGGCGGCTGCTCAACGGTGTAGCGAGCATCCCCGATAACTAAATCCTGCTTCTGGGGGGCCGTTCCCACGGTCTTCATAACACCCATTCTCGGCCTAGGGATTGACTTGACAGAGCGTTTGCTGTAGATGGATCCGCGAGTACTGGCGTAATCGGGGGAAGCTGCGGAGGCGTCATCATAGACACTCTCTTCGTCCTGACGGCTCTCCTTATCAGGAGAAGTCAATGAGAACTCGCGGGAACCAACCCAGTTCAGAACTTCTTCATCCACGGTATGACGGAGATCTTCGTAGCTGGGCTCACCCACGAGGCTGGCAGCATCATACTCGCGGCTTTGTTGTAAAGGCACGGGCTTGCGCTTAACAGCCTTTGTGGTATCAACCTGGAGACTCTGTCTCTTCGGTATAGTCAATGGCGGGCCAAATGCACTCGGACGGTCTTCAGGTGTCGGTGGGCCTTGATCCTGGAGCACGGCTCTCCTATCGCTATTGTCCGATAAAAGTGATGGTGCGGCCTGGTTATCAGAACTGCTATTCGGTGTCACTGGACTAGGTTCGTCTTTGATCGTTTCGTGGCTTCCCGACGGGATAGAAGCGCCCAGTAGGTTCATGCTCCCAGAGGCTGCGAGAAGCTGCGAGAGGGTGGCGTCAGACATCCTGTTGTTGACCTTCCTCATATCGGTTGAAGGTTGAGGTCGGGTTAGAGGGATCTCTCCTGGTCCATGCGTGAAGGCAGGAGGGTGAGCTACAGGAGAGGGAGGAGTTGGAGGAAGGAAGCGTTGCTCAAGCGCCTTACCATCGGGGCCGGTTTGCTGTTTCCCATCGCCTTCAGTGCTGCTATGGTCCATTGCCTCGCCAGAGCCACGGCGCCCACTACTGCGAGGCACCACCAGCTCCTGAGCGGACGATGATGGAGAACTTTCAGCGAATGAAGTCTGCGCTTGCTCTCTCATAGAAGAAAGCCCAGCAAAATCGGAAAAGCCGCGCGCACGGCCAATCGGCGAAATCGAAGAATCACTAGGTGTCTCACGCACAATAGCATCACTCGATTGATTGAAATCCAGCCGGTTTTCCGGGGATGTGCAGTTGCGCTGATGAGGCACGGTGCGCATATTGCCGTTTCTATTCGGAAGACTGGCTCGAAAACGTGGCCTACTGCCCGAAACGCTGCTGTTCCTGCTTCCGCTTCCAGCAGACGCCATGCGGCGAGCTGTTGCCTCCTTGAGCTGCTTCCTCCATTCTGCCTCGCTCCAGTCCTGACTGCCGGGAGTCTGCATCAAACCGGCAATGTCTAGAATATCAAGGTAACCATAGCGCCGGTTATTGGGGAAAGCGAACATGATGCTCTTGATGTGGTTCGTAGCGGCAATAATGCGAGTTGGGCGGCCGTAGAGATTGAAGGTATCAAAGGTAGGTACGAGAAATCGGAGCATCATTTCAAAACCGGAAATGGCCGGACGAGCTTCGGGCATGACGAATACGAACCCATCTGTAGTCGAGTCTGTCTGGGAATGAATTGTGATCCTTCCTTCAATCTTGACCAAGGTCGACTGGTCGATCAACGCTTTTGACTGAGGGTAGATGGCGTAGGCAGAATACGCATCCGTAATGGTCGCTATAGGCCTTGCTTTCTTGGTCTTCTTCGTATCGTAGAACTTGATGTCGCCGGTGACCAGCTTGGGCGCTCGATCATAGGCCGATTTCTTCTTGATCGACTTTTGCGCTTTCTGGAACTCCTTTTCATTTGGAGGGGTGATAACGAACCAACACCGTCTCCAGGGCGTGCCTGCCCCAAACCTCACACGGGCCCAATCCTCATGTCTGTACCGACTTCGATCCAAGATGGAGCGGATATTATTAAGGCTTTTGCCCTTGCCGGCAATGATGGAGCCCGTATACGCTTCGTACAGAGACGTGTGCTCAAACAAAGCGAGTCGGATGGCTGCCGCCCACTGCGTCAAGGAATGGAAGGAGTTGAAATGCAGGAGATATCGGTTTTGGCCCGCGGAGCATATGCTCAGGATGTTTTTCAAGGCCTGTGCCTCTTGGTTCCTTGTCGGCAGTGTTTCGAGCTAGATCGGCAATGGTTAGTGACACGTCGCAAACGCCGCAAGGGTTCCAATCTAAGAGAGTCGTGATTGGGCATCTCACCACCTTGATTGAAGCATCTGCCAGGTTGATGAAAGTCGGACGGACATCTTCCCCCTCTTCGGCGGCGTCCAGCGCTGCAGCATCCCATAGAGAAAGAGCGGTCCCGACAAGCTGCGCATAGCACTCTACCCACTGTCGATCATGACAGGGCCGGCCGTCTGCATTGATTAGTCCATGCCCATCCATACTTAGTTCTCGAGCACTCACGAGAATCCAAATCATTGAGTTTCAGGAAATATCCTTCATGGTATAACTTATTGGCGTGGCTGTTCAGATAAGCGAAGATAGGCTGGAGCTCTGGAGGAGTATCTTGCGAAAACTCCAGCAGCGGAGGGTTGTGCGAGAACAGTGCCGAGTCAGGCCGCGACAGCACTCGTCGTTCCCCATTCGGAGTCGCGCTGATCGGCGAAGCGTCGAGAGGCGAAGGGGCATCCGAGGAAGGTGTATCTGCTCGTAGCGGAGGATTGTTCAGCGTGAGGGAAGCCGACGAGGTCCGATGATGCTGTCCGAGGTTGTCTTTACGGGATGAACCCCCGAAGACGGACATAAGAGAAAGCACTGGTAGCGCAAGGGATGTCAATCATCAACGTTCAAATGCCCAAGGAGAAGAAGGGATATGTCAATCCACGACTTACCACGCGAGCGACCCATGATGGCCGAACTTTGTTATAGCCCAGGCAATAAAACTGAAGACCAGCTTTCAGCTCGCTCAGATTGTAAGTAAGTAGTAATAGTAGTAGTAGTAGTAGCCGTACGGTTGTTACACGGCGAACATTCAGCCCAGCGCGCAGACGAATGGAGCTCGAGCTAGAAAACGCCGGTGTCGAATAACCGCAAAGAACGAGAGGCAGGAAAGGAAGGCGAGAGTGGGTGTATATTGAGTCCAGCTCCTCCGCACGGAGATAGTGACCAAGTGTCAGGACCCGCCAAGACTAGATATGGAAGTTTGATTCCATGCAGTTTCCGGTGGAAAGTTTGAGACGCCCGAGAGCAAGGAAAGGAGCGGAAGGGCAAATAAGAGCGAGGCGGCGCTGGAACGACGCCAAGATAGCGGATGATGGCGCAAAGTCAGCTTGCAAGCGCCTGACTAGGCCACTTGATGTCTCAGGTCCGCTTGGGCGAAATGCGCGGGAAGGAGAGGCCGAGGAGACAGGGCGGAAAGCGAGGGAAAAGAGGAGGAGGAGGAGGAGGAGGGAGGGGATATTGAGCGAGTGAGGCGAGAAACGGCAAGGTGGGAGAGAGAGAGAGAGAGAGAGAGGAAGAAGAAGTCAAGAGGATAAGAGCGCGGAAACACAAGACGGAGAGAGCGTTGAAGGTGATACTTACCTAGCAGAGACCGTGGGTCCCGCCTGGATGTAAGTGTAACAGGGTAACAGGTGTTACCGGACTTCTTGTCGGCCTGTGTGGCCTGGGGCTTCTTTTTTCTGAGACAGCCAGCAGTCGATCGGGTGAATCCTGGAGTCAGTGTCTTCCTTCCCCTTTTCAGGAGTCAGTGATATTCATCGAACGTGGACCAGGTAGATGCAGAAACACCCCTCCAGAGTGAAGGATAGATGGAGGATATTGAGCGCGACTATTCAATAATCCATCAGCTGGCATCCATCAGGATGGAAGGAATCCGTGATGCCGCATGATGTCTTCCGGATGTTGTACTCCGTACCGTACTAAGGTATTAGGGACAGGCACCTTAGACTCCAGAGGCCACAGTGGAGCCGTACCGTACGGTGAGTGGTTCTGGCCCGGCTTGTCTGCCTGGCGGCTGGCGTCATCGCATGTGGCTAGTGGTTAGTACCGTACCATAGGGACGGGCCAGCAGCACCTTCTTTTTTTACTCTTTTTACTGTCTTTACTCTTTTAGCAAAGCACCCCTGCTAGCCTGTCGCCGGCTGCCTGCTGGTCTACCCCGAATTGATCGCTTCACCTACCATCTCACTCCCAGTGGATCGGCGGGGATCCGAGGCTGCAGCTCAACTAGTATCTATGGGGTACTTGGGTGTACGGAGTACATTCGGAGAACAATTATCTAATACTATTTGGCTCAATTCTTCTCTTCATCCTGGCCGGTGAATTCGCCCCAGCCACATACCAACTACCTACCATGACAACTACCCATACTCCGTAACTAGGGAACAAGCCACCCCAGCCGACAAACAGAAGAAAAGAAAAAAAAAAAAGCGCGAAAATTCCAATAATAATTGATGGTACTACTCCGTAGTCCGGACAGACCGTATTCTTGCCGACCAACTGGAGGAGCCCGTCACGACCATGCCATGGATGGCCGGGTGGGTTTCAGGACTCCGTCCGAATCCCCCGCGTAACCAACTTGCGCACTGCCCCCAGGGATCCAATCACCCTGATTCCGTGAATCACATAAGCCAGGCTGATGGTGGTTGTGGTTATCCCACGTATTTACTAGCCAAATATAGAAACACAGGTCCTGCATGTCTTGACTGGACGGCCAATCACTGGCCAATTCCCTTTTGCTGGTCCGCTGTCTTTACTACACTTTAAGTAGTAGTGGTAGTAGTAGTAGTAGTAGTAGTAGTAGTATAGTATGTACTCCGTACTTCTACCTGTCTCTCGCCCACGAGGTGAGGAGAAGAGACCACATCGATGCCAAGCAGCATCGCAGTACCCATTGGCCCTTCATTTAGCAGCCATTCAAACCTAAATTGGCCCGGCTAGGGTGGATGCGATGTTTGGGTCCGTTACGAGTTGATATTATTACTTATATTTTTATATAATATTATCACTGCCTTATTATTAGTATTTTTATCGGAGGATGAGGAATGTAGCTAAGTAAGGCGTCATTTCATCATGGTCCAGGATTCAATAATATAATACCTACACGGGTGCACTGCCACAGGCCGCCTGATTCCCTTGAAGATAAGCCACCATTCTGTAGATAAAAGGTCGCACACTACCGTGTACTACTATCTATCTACTAAACGGCAAGCACAAGGCTACACTAGTTTGCATCAAGTGATTCATGCAAGGCGATTCGTCCCGTGGCAATTGGTCTGACCGATAGAGATCAGAATTCAAAGACCAAACCCTGCTCGGGTTCGTCTCTAAGAATAATGTTTTAGCCCGGGGCTAATTATAAGTTTGCACTGGGGTGGTAAGCCACTAGATACCATAGATATCCCAGGTATGACAGGGGGTTCCTTCGGTGCTTGGAAGCCGGGGTCGCAAAAAAAAAAAAAAAAAAAAAAGTCTTTGATTGCGACTGACTATCAGGCATCTATGCGACTTACGGAGAGGGTATCATTTGTGTACCCTGTACGGAGTACCCCATCGTATCTGGAGGGACGGTCTGGGAGAGGCTGGGTAGCACAGACAGCATCAACTTTATTCATGGTTGCTGCAGGTTATGTAACCTTATCCGGGGTGTAAACGGTAGTTACTGGGTAACTGCCCTGTTTATAATACGCCACCTGTTGTTTGCTGTCCAGATGGGTCAAAGAGACCCTCCGTCCTCTGATGCTGGAAAACTGTGTATATTCGTGGTGAGTGTCTTAAAAACGATCAGAGTATGTCCTCCATCCCTACACGGAGTACTCTGTACTTTGTAGGTGAAAGCGCCAAAGTACAATAAAGTGTAAGCCCCGACTGACCCACTATTTCCCCTCCCAGTCTAAAGCGGCGGAGAACGTCGCGGGTTTGACGCGCAAACCCCTACCAGCGATCATTGCTGCTTCAGAGGAAGCTCGGCAACTGTGACCTCACTCACTGATGGGCGGTGGAAATCATCGCGGAAGCTTCTCTTGCCGTTGTAACTGCATGTTCTCTCCAGTGCTCTGTATCCACGTACCACCGTACTCAGCACTGAACATCTCTGTCCAGTGTCAACCAAACCAGTTTTCTCGTGGTGTCGCCGCACCTGCAGATTCCTGTCAGTGTATCTCCGTTTTCTAAATACCTTATGGGGACACGACCGCCGGATCAGCCTCATTGCTGTCATGATGCAGTTCTGATCGATGATGCCTATGCGAACGTTGTTTTCTCCTTTTTGGTCATGGTCCGCGGCATCAAAGGGGGCAGTGGACACGAGAGGGAAATGGCAAAGTGAAGATCATCAATGACTCGGTCGTACTTTTCCCTCTCCCACATGATTCTTACAATGTTTCATGTCCGATGGAGACGGTCCCTGTCCCCACTCGCTCGAGAAACCTCCCCGGAAGACTGCTGCAATTGGGTTTTAACCATGAGGATACATCAGGCTGCGACGGATAATACTTACTCAGTGTGCACCGTGTCGATTATCATACCTGGTCCGACCATCGCGAAGTCAACCACATACAGAGTACATAACCCGGTGACAGGTCGGGTTCGCAGATGCAAGTGTCCATCTAAATGACACAATATCCGCCCCACCGTGGGGGCTCTCTTTGTGACAGATATTCTGCAGGGTCCTCTCATCTGCCGTGACCCTAGCAGATAATATAATATGACCGATATATTGACCACGCCTTTCAACCCCCCCGGATTCCTCGTCCCTGCCAAGACCAGAAGGATTCGGCAGCTATCGAACGAACGTCATGTGCCCTTCCACGATCTCGAGTCACTCAACTCTCCACAAAGGTCTTCTGACCTGGTGAGTCAGGTCTGGACTCCTGTGCTTCCGCATCGCCACAGCCACCCGATATATATTATAACAGACGGTCATTCCGCCCGATCAGATTCCTGACTAGGCATCAGGGATTAGCTGCTTGTGACCAGCTAGAATAACGAGGTGACTACCTGAATTGAAGGTTGAGATAGCTTGCACGGTCGACTCAATGGGCTGTTATATGCGTAATTGACCTCAGAGCTCGCCCACCGGGCCTAGTAGGCTGATGGCGATGATAGCTTTACATACAGCCCCGATTCCCTTCTTGGATAGATAGGTCTTCCTCCCATGAGTCAGTACTTCTGCGCGCGCTTTTGTGGACTTGTTATCTCGGATGCCTGGGTCATGTACTGGATGTCTCAGGTGCCGCTGTTGCTATTATAAGGCTCCACTTGTCTTGAGCTTTGCCAATACTAGAGATTATTATATATGTCGGCACTTCTAGACTGAAAGTATTGCGTTAACATCCTCTTATCAACATAGTTAGCCAGGAACTTACAATCCGATTGGAATAGATCTGACACGGGCTGAATGTCCTGGAAGCCATTGTGCTGTTTGGATGATTAGCTCGTTGAGGATCCAGAAGTTTCCCTGCTATCCATATGAGATACGCCTACTTACTGCTTTATTTTGAGTGAGGGCTTAGTCTCATAGCTTTCTTGGGAAGGTAAAGGATTGAATTTATGTGGCACTGGCTCACCCTCACCCGACAGCAGGTCTTTGGATATGCACTGTTCTTGATGGCATAATCCCAAGCAAATGCCAACCTGACCCCGGATGAGTTCCATTAGAAGCCAGATGGGCAACAGTATGTGGTGGTGGTAAAAAAACAGCCGGGTGGGAAAACCAGCGCGGCCTGAGCCATCAATTTCCACCCAAGCAAACATCTGATATTCACTGCTTCTCGCCGTCCATTCACTCCCCAACAACACTCCCCCAACACTCCCTCAACACCCTCCCCCATTCTTCTCCCCTGCCTTTCCTCCATCGTTCCTAGCGATGATCTACCATCTCGGACTTTCGCTTATCTCCGAGATCTCTTGTCCTACCATCATCACCAACCCTAATTGGAACGTGTATCTTTCTGTGACTATCTTGGGCTTCTCACTAAGTTCGCATAGAGACTCACGGCTTGTCTCCCGGCCCCTAGTTGGGCTTTTTACACGTCTCTCAATTCTTCTTGGTTCCCCCTGTTTTGTTTTGCTGCTACCTGTTTTCCTCACCCGCAAAATCAACTTCTAGCACTGAGATGTAAAATCAAAGCACCTTGCTCCAAATTGTCACGATGATCGAGTCCAGCTCCTCCTCCTCCTCCACGGCCTCCGAGCCTATCCAGGAGAAGAAGGACACGAAAGGGGTCGACATCATCTTCGATGAACCCACTGACACTGGTGCAATGGCCGAAGAGAAAGCCGAGGAGATCATCGAGGCTGACAACGAGCGGATTGAGCAGCTGATGGCCGAACTTACCAAGGGCTTCGATCCGAGCAAATTCGCGGAAGACGTGTCGAACTCGCTCCCCAAGATTCTGGAAGATGCCTTCCCTGGCTCATTTCAGCATCTTTTGAGCTTGTTGCTTGAGAGCGATGACAAAATGCATGATACTCAGGTGAAACTCGAGAGATGGCTCCTAGACCGTTACCCCCAGGTTCTCAACAAAGTCGTCCAGCGCGAGGAGATTAATATTTCCGATGAGACATACTTTGGGGCGGAAATCGAGACTCTGAGAAAGTTGGTGGAACCTCTTCGTGACTGGTCCAAACAGGTCTTCTGGCTTAACTACCGACGTGCAAGTCCTGCCAAAGCTCGCCAGCACCTTGAAGCATCCGTCCTGGCAATCGAGCTGTTCAAGGGCCATATTGCAACCGCGATGGAAAAGGATACAGAGGACCGTAAGTGGTGGCTGACTCTAGCCCAGCACGTCTAGGTTCGATCAGTCTAACGAAGAGCAGGGATGATCTACAACCCTCTCCCCATCTCCGTTGAACGCACTACCCTAACCAGCCTGAAGCAGCTTCGTATCGACGCATGCAAGACTTCGCTTTCCTGGGACGGCTACATGGACTCTGATATCGTCCTCACCAGATTCTTCCATGCCTACAAGGAGCTCACTTGTCAGGTGCGTCCGGAGAAAGCACGCGAATGGGGATGGCTTCCACCCGAGGACCTCGAGGCGCCGCTCCCCTCCGCACCCAAGGCACGTAAAGGCGATCTCACCATGTGGCCCTTCAAGCATGCCAAAAAAGGAGCCCTCGATATGCTGCTCAAGACCGCGCTTTGGCTTGCAATGGCGAGAGGCCTCCCAGCCGTCCACCTGTACTGTGACGTTGCCAGACTCTTCACCACCCATCTGCCCAGCAAAACGGCCAATGAGGCATACATTCGATTCTTGCGTCATCTAGCCCAGATCCGCGTCTCGATGGATTCAATCAGGTCCGCGCCCCCCACGCCCATTCCTTACAAGTCCGAACCCATCATCACCTCCAACTACGATTTCTACGACGACGTGTTCAAGTGCGACAGAAGCCTCACGACCGACCTGATGACAAACCTGACTCTCTACAACATGACCACGGCCAAAGAAATCAGGCGCGCCACCGCCCGTCCCATCGTGATGTCTGCCCGCAAGAGAGCCCAGATGATCGAAAAGGCTTGTGCTGTTGAGGAGAATAAATACAACGAAGATTGGCCTCAGACTGATTCGGCAAGTGGCTCTCCCTTCTCGATGAATCACATCAGCTAACAAGATGGTATAGGGTTATGTGCCTAAACCTCCAATCCCCAAGCTTACCCTCGGCCCTCCCCCCCCTCCTATCGAGGAGTCCCCTGATGAATTCGGGCAGGACGATTACTTCTCGGCCCCCTATTGGTGATTGCTCATCTGAAGTTCCAGGTCCCGTCTTGCCGTTCAAGCTTGGACACCATTCATCGCGAAGACGCTTGTTTTCTCTCAGTCTCATCTAAAATGCAACACCACCCACCAGCACCAACGAACATTCCATCTACATTCCATACAAGAAGAACCCTTTCCCTAGGTAGCCAGAAGCACCAAAACTACTCTTATTACTCAAGCGGACAAATACACACAAAACACAGAACACAAACCACAACCACAAAAAGCACATACAAAAAGCACATACAAAAAGGAAAAAAGAAAACCCCCACTGCAAAATCAAAATCCAGGTAGATAGATAATTGGTTGGTTGATCTGGAGAACAAGATACAAAAACACCATCATCAAATCGCCACATAAGGATCTGACAGAACAAATGGGATTGAATCTTCTAGGCTTCTTTTCTTCATCATCTTCCTCTTCCCACCCCTTTTGTCTTTTGCATTTTCTCTCTCTCTCTCTCTCTCTCTTTTCTTCGCAACGAAGCAAAGAAATAATTTCAAATCTCAATTCTTCCAGGATTATCTCCTCGACATTTTGAACGGCCTTGCAGTCATGCACCGCATCCATCGGTTGCCTGCTTGCCTACCTGCTTGCTTACTTGCTTGCTTACTTGCTTATTATGTCCATGCCTACGCCTCAACCTAACCCAACCCAACCCAACCGCACCAGACGCTGGTCGTCAGTGCGTGCGTACAGTCGGTGGGTACTAGGCGGCAGCAGCAGCAGCAGCAGCAGCAGCGACAACGACGTCTTGCATCCTGCGAGTGAGCCGGACACGAGTTGAGTTGAGTTGAGTTGAGTTAAAATAGAGCAAGCAATCTGAATCTGGGTTAGGATTTTTTCAGAAAAAATGTCCTCTCTTCTTTACTCACTTTCTTTCTCGCTTTCTTGCTTTCCTTCCTTCCTTCCTTCTTTTCTTCTTTCTTTCCTTGATGTATCCAACCAAAAAAAAAATAAAAATAAAAATAAATAAACATAAACATAAAAAAAACACACGTAAAAAGAGAACGAAGAAGAGAAAAAAAAATGTCTTACAGAGGCACCAAAAAAAAGGTTTAAAATAAAATTAAAATTTTCTGAGAATTCCCCGATAGCTGTGAAAGGAGGTTATATAGTAAGTAGTGGGTGGTGTTTTACTACTGTCCACCTACCTACCTATCTACTTAACTACCTAGACATTTACTTTCTCTCGAGCTCGAGGGTGGTTGTAGATACTAATATTGTTGCTTGGCCTGTTTCCAGGCAATAGTGTTTATGCATCAATATCCCCGAAAGTCACATAACTACTTAGTCATTCTTTGTTCAAGACCAAACCGCCACAAGACAAGATGAAGAAAGAGATAGAGAGAAGAGAAAAAAAATAGTAAATAGAGAATATATCATTGAGTCCGTATCAGTTCATTCATCATATAAAAAAACCCGAAATGACAAGGGGGGGAGGGGAGCATGTACAACATCCAAGCTATGAATCCTCCATGTTATAAGCCAACAAAGGATCAATCATCGCCAAATCGTCAGCACTGGGTATCTTAGAATCGACATCTTGCATCATAACATCGGCGTACGGATCGGAGAACTCTCTGGGATTAGCTGAGGCGTCGGCAAACGCAGACATCCCGGGGTCATGGGGGGGGATGATGGTGGTAGGCTTTGCGTCCATGTTTCCTAGTATATACGGTTCATAAGGGGCGGAATCGTCGTCATCGAACTCGAGACCATAGATACCAAACATATCGCCGGTGACGGGCTCGTTGTCGTCCGCCAGAAGCGCTCGCTGCATGAACATATCCCGGATCTCGTCCTCCGTGCACCCGTGCTTGCTGCCCATGTGGACCCACAGGTCGTAGTTCCGGTGGAAACGGTGCGGACAGCCCTCGACAAAGCAGGCGATCTGTCGGCCTGTTTCTTCGGCGTAGCCCTCGCCTGTGAGGGCGGCGAGCGCGGAAGGCCCGCTGGGGTGGTTGGACGTCTTGCCCAGACCGAGACGCTGTCGACGCTCGGCTTTGGCGTTCTGGAACCCGAGATGGGCGGTGCGGATGTGCTCCTCGAGAGCGAGCTTGCTTCCGTACCGTTTCCCGCAGCCGTCGGCGCCGGTCCAGCCCATGACCCGTTTGGAGTTGGAGAGGTCGGTCTCGCCGCAGACGAACCGCTTCTCGCCTTGATGAACGGTCCGGATGTGCACGGTTAGGTTGCCCTTCTTGGTGAAGCTGCTGTCGCAGCCTGGCACGGTGCAGTCGAAGACTTTGCGCTCTTCGAGGCTCACGTTGCCGTGGGCAACTTCGAGATGGCGGCGGAGTTCTCGGGCCGTGGAGCAAGTCATAGCGCAGTTGGGACATTGCGGAGGGTGGACGGACCGGATGTGGGCTTGGAGGAGAGCGTATGTGGGAAATGTTGTCGCGGTGGGAGGGGGGCCGAATGAAGGGTTGGCGTCCGGATGGTTGGTCTGGATGCACTCGGTGCAAGTGAATCGCTTCTCGGCGTGGACTCGACTTTCATGGGCTCGGAGGTGACCTGCGCTGTCGAATGCCATGGGACATTTCTGACCAGTGGTTGGGTCAACGTGCGGACAGGCAAAGGGCTTTTGGTTCAGATGCGCGCTCATGATGTGTTTTTGGAGGGTCGAATGCTTTCGGAATGTCTCGTCACAGGGCGGGTACTCTGTGCAGCGGTATTTGTCTCTTCCATCGTGAGCAGCCAGGTGCCGACGCAGACGTGAGCCAGTGACGAAACTCTTTCCACACCCTGGACGATCGCATACATAGTCCCGGACTCCGGTATGGGCGCTTTTGATGTGGTGGTTCAGATGCGATGCTCGGAGAAAGGTCTTGTCGCAATCCTCCTGGGGGCACTGAAAGAGTCTCTCGTTGTTGTGTGAGCGCAAGTGTTCCTGGAGCCGTGCTGGACGGTTGAAGGCCTTTGTGCAGCCGTCGAAAGGGCAGCGGTGAGTTTTCAGCTCCGACGGATATCTGGCGGAGATCGTCGACATGGGAGTGGCCGGTGTCTCGTGGAGGCTGCCACTGGCGATACTCAAGTCATCCGAGGAGGCGTACTCGGCGTCCGAGTGCCTTTCTTCGTAGATTAGGTCTGAAAAAGAAACATCGATGAGCACTGTGCGATTCCAGACTCGGGCGTGAAGCATCAAACTTACCGGCATCGTCCAGCGGTGCCTGATTATGCATCCGTTTCGGATGGGGGAGGTCCCCCGAGGATTGTCGCTTTTGACCCATACCTCCGGCGAGCCTCTGAACCCAGAAGTGAGAGGGCAACGGGCACCAGGCAGGTGATGGAGAGGAAAAGTTCAGATCGACAGGACGACTCGAGACGAAAAGCTTCGAAATTTTGCCGAAGCGGTGAGCAGGGATGCCCGAAGCGGACTAGCGCCGGTGCCGCGACAGGAACTTTTTCCGCCTTCTCGAAGTCGCAACATCGATTTCTTTTCTTCACGAGGAGAAAAAGACCCGTTGTTGCGCAACGTCTCGTCCCCACCTCCCCCCGGTCGCGGTGCTGTCCTTGCATTCGTTTGCATTACTTTCATTTGCCTCGTCTCAGATCCGATCCATCTGAACCGCCACGATGTCTGACTACGGTGATAACGACGCCGAGGAAACGTAAGAGACCGGTTCCCCACAAGAGCTTGCAGCTGTTGCGCAGGTGGCGGTTGAATGTTCACGTCGCCTGTCGGCGGCTGCTCTCTTACCGGAAGAAGGTCCCGATGTTCTGACCTGGCTTGCCTTACAGTTACGACTATGAGCCGGAGCAGTACGACGACGCCGAGCCCGAGGACTTCATAAACCCCGAGGATGTCGACGTCGCGGAAGGAGGTGCCGATGAATACGGCGAGGGCTCGTACGCGCCGGCTGCCAACGGAGACCGCGTCGTCGTTTCGGGCGACCCGAATGCGGGGTATGGAGGCAAAGTGATGGAACAGGCGCGGGAGAAGAAGGTGCCGAACGACCAGCGCACGACGACCCCATACATGACCAAGTACGAGCGCGCGCGCGTGCTGGGTACCCGGGCTCTGCAGATCAGGTTCGTTTGGGGGATAGACCGGGCAGGATGGTGTGGATGAAGTGGGCTGGATGCTGACCACGCTTCCAGTATGAACGCCCCGGTACTTGTCGACCTCGAGGGCGAGACGGATCCCCTGCAGATTGCCATGAAGGAGCTGAACCAGAAGAAGATCCCTCTGATCGTGCGCAGATATCTTCCCGATGGATGGTAAGCAGGTTTCCTTTCGTGGGTTGGGGCTTGGAATGGCCGGTCTAATTGATTCGTACAGGTACGAGGACTGGACATGCGAGGAATTGCAGTAGATGCCGGGCGGATGTGGAGGGCTGTATATTGACAACTGCTTCTTGTTCTATTATTTGTATGTCTTTGGTCTTAGACCCTTTTCCCCTGGGCAGCATAGCGTTTGGAGTTTGGGAGTAGGGAAGGCCACATCGGCCTAAGTGGCCCCTAGGTCACCGGGGGGCAAAAAAAAAAAAACCCTCAAAAGAATAACGCAGTGCAGTCTATATCGGTAAAATCAAGAAAAAAGTTTGATGTTGACATGTTTGTCCGATTATCTAGATGCCTCAACTCCACGCGGTCGGTTGAGGACATTCATCCAGGACTGGGAGAGGGATGTAAAGTGCTTCACGGGGTCAATGGCTGGATCCGCTTCCCATTATCCCCACATGCATCAAAATAGAGCCGTCTAATGGTGTCTCAGTCATACGGTTATGTCCGTGTTCATCTTAAGCTGCTCTATGAGCCTTCCCCCACACAACGTACCCCGTACTTCGGATCCCATACCGGACCGGTCCAGGCGTCTGCATATCTTTCCTTCTGTCTAGTCTGTTGGAAACCGATCTTCATTTTGTGCGTGTGTGTAGGCGACCATGCGTCAATAACCTTGATAGCTCCTTTGGAATTCCTATCAATCTGACCGGTATTACCCCGTACCTGCCAAACAAACAAAAAAAAAAAAAGGAAGGCGGAACCGGACGTTGCTGAGGATTTGTCTCTGCAGGCAGCAGATGGTGCTATACCCACTATCCACTGTGGAATCAGAATGATAAGATCACCGATCAGTGCATGAGATTGCAAGAATGAGAGCGCCCGACTCCCTTGCATGAACGTCATCTCGACACCTCGAATAAAGTACACTTCCCCATAGACTAGTAGTGCAGACCGACGCGAGTCCAGCCCTTCTGCTACTTAGTCCGGCTAGTGCTGCCGGCCACAGAACAATGCCAGATCCCCCGGCTTTGATTGGCCGCGGCTCCTGCCCATTATTGAGGATTCGATGGCCGGGACTCTTCAGCTTTGGGGATCGGATTGCTCTGCTCTGAACGAGGCTCCCCTCATTTGTGGATTGTCAAGGGGAAGGTCATTCCGAGATCCATGGTTGATGCCTTAGGATGAGTGGCGGCAGCCACGAGCCACGGAGTTCGGCCTTCCCTCCGATCCCACGTTGTAAGTATCGAGGTACATCTCTTCTACATCATTCGTAATTATTCACCCTGTTCTTGCTGCAATGCTGACCATGAATCGGTACAGGAATCTTGATCCGCACTGGATTCACCAGAATTCCCTCATCCCTCATCAGGCTGGGTTGCTGGGATGACTCATTACCATGTCCCAGGATTAGGAACGAAATGATGTGCAGTCCGCCTGGATAAGTCGGCACGGCACGTCGTCACACTTCGGACACGCTTGGACCAACCTGCCCGCCATGCACTCAGCGCTTATGCAGCCGACTCCCGCAATAACAAGGCAGCTCATCTTTATGTCTGCAAACGCTCTCCTACCTGAATTCCCTCACCTGCCTGGCAGGTGACAACACACTGGATCCGAGTCGGATTCCTGGGGAAAAGAGGGAGGCCCTCCCCTCGGCAAGCAACTCCATCGCAGCACCCGGGTGTTGGAACCCACTCGCTGGGTGGATGTCCACCCTCCCGCCCAGTAGGGTATCTTCCCACGATGGGGCCCTCACAGGCTCATCCAGGGCCCGGTGCACTTGACTGCCTCGATGCCCACTCCCAGAGAAATCCGTCAACGTGGATGGCCGCCGCCGAGTGGATCCCTGCTCGGTCTTCTACTTTTCTAGCTCCTAAGCTTACTCTTAGCCGCGCTTGGGAGGGGCCATAATGAATTTTTACTCGGTGCCATTAATAATCCTACTATATATCTAGCTGGGCCTCCTCCGCCTTTTCAACTTCCCCCCCCCCGGCTCCAGACTTCGACTCTGGGGAATAGTGTATCGTAGGGACAAGGTTTTTGTGGGCGCACGTTGACTTCCCCGGGTTTGCCTGGATCGCTGTCGGTTTCGCCCTCCAACCCACCCCCACGCCTTTGACTGCTTGTCCACTCTACCAGAGGGCCCTCCAACCGGATCGCTTCTATTCGGTTCTATTCGGAGTGGAAATGGGGACCAATGCTGATTTCGAGGAGAAGGTCGTTGCGGAATCCCTCGCCGCAAACAACCATGCCGACAGCAACGGACGCTCTCCTGCGTCAGAGGAGAAAGCCCCAGAACCGACATACGATACCGGCTTCGCATCATGGATCCAGGTGGTGGGCTCCTTCTTCCTGTTCTTCAACTCATGGTATGTTCAGACCCACTTGTCATGCCAGGAAGGATGTTGACTGATATCGCGAAGGGGCATTATAAACACCTGGGGCGCGTTCCAAACCTACTATGAGCAGACCCTGTTGTCGGACATGTCCTCGTCCTCCATCGCCTGGATTGGCTCGCTCCAGGCCTTTCTTCTTATGCTCTTCGGGGTGGTGACGGGCCCTCTGTTTGATGCGGGTTATTTCCGTGCCCTCCTCACTTTCGGGACCATCGTGCTCCCCTTCGGCCTGATGATGACCAGTCTGTCGACGGAATTCTGGCAACTGATCCTGGCGCAGGGAATCGTCATTGGCCTGTCCGCGGGATGTCTTTTCGTCCCGTCCGTCGCCATTCTCCCCCAATACTTCAAAAAGAGACGAGGCCTGGCCAACGGCCTCGCCGCGTCGGGAAGCAGCATCGGCGGCGTGGTCTACCCGATTATGTTCGACCAACTGCAGCACCGAGTAGGCTTCCCCTGGGCGACCCGGGCTATCGGCTTCCTCTGTTTCGGGACCTGCTGCATCTCCTACAGCATCATGCGCATGCGATTCCAGCCGACGGAGAAGCGCAAGCTGCTCCAGCTATCCGCCTTCAAGGAACCGGCTTTCGTGCTGTTTGCCATCGGAATGTTCCTGGGCTTCCTGGGCTTCTACAACTTCCTCTTCTACATCCAGTCCTACGCGATCGACACCGGGATCGTCAGCTCCACCCTGGGCTTCTATCTCCTCTCCATGCTCAACGCGGGGTCCACCGTTGGACGTATCTGCCCCAACTTCATCGCCGACCACACAGGACCCTTGAACGTCCTCACCCCCGCCGCCACCTTCACTGCCATTCTGGCGTTCGCCTGGATCGGCGTACACAACGGGCCCGGCGTCATCGTCCTGTCTGTGCTATACGGTCTCTGCTCCGGAGGGTTCGTCTCCCTCCCACCGGTCGTCATGGTCTCCCTGACCAAGGACATTCGCGACTTGGGCACCCGCCTCGGCATGATCTTCGGGCTCACCTCCGTCGGCCTGCTGATCGGCACGCCCATCGGTGGCGCAATCTTGAGCGACACAGGCAAATACCTCGGTGTGCAGCTCTTCACCGCCTGCTGTCTCATCACGTCCGCATCCATCTTCGCGGCCCTGAGATTCTCTCGCTCCGGACCGAGGCTCATCGCCCGAGTATGAGACAGACGGAGAGATTGCTTGCTTGCTTGTCGCAAAACCACACAGGAAGAATATTCCGCTGTGGTGGATTCTTCGCTGTACGTGCTACGTCATGAGCATTGACACGTCTGCATGGCATGAAACCGAATTTAAATTTAATAATAGTATACTTACTAACTATCCGATCATCAACGTGGTGCATGCATTTTCGTTTCGACATCCAGCCTTTTTTTCTTTTCTTTTCTTTTTTTTTTCTTTTTCCTTTTCTTTTTTTTTTTGCATCAGGAGGGAAAAGCCGGTGTTTTGTTTGGTTTTGGGATGATAAAAGTTTGATCATTTGATTTGGTCTGTTAGGGACTTACCTACCTACTATCTACATAAATAGTTAACTCTACTAGAACATAGACTAGAACATATTGCTTAATGCATATACAATTGACATTGACATTGATTGGCACTGCCATTGACCGTGACCATAGCCATAGCCATAGCCATGGCCGTGGCTGGATCTGAAATGCATGCATGCACGCATGCTTACAAAAACCAAACCATCAACAACAACAGATTCAAAAACTCCATAACACCAAATGCTAGATACATACATCTCGACCGCTATGCTTTTTTTTTTCTCCTCGTCCCGACTCGTCCCATCGCGCCATCCTATCTATCATATGTACTCCCCCCACCACCAAACAAACACATGGTATGTCCAAATCCAATCCAATCCAATCCAATCGAATCGAATCGCGCATCACATCACATGACATCACCGCCTCGCGCCTCTATTTCTCTGTCATGAGACATCAATGGGATCCACCAAGAACGTCTCCCCATTCTCCCTCACATGCTGCAACTTCTTGTCGCGACTGCACGGTTTGCGCATGTCGAACGCGTCCTCCCCGGAGTCGGACATGCCTGTGGGATCGTCGCTGTAATAGTGGACGACGCGGCGGAAGACGGAGTATCTGTATATAGATGATGAAGATTGTTTAGTTAGTTGGTTAATTAGGGGTTTTTTGATGGGTTTAGATCGCTCGCTCAATTCGACTTTCCAATCGTAAACGGAAAGAGAGAGAGAGAGAGAGAGAGAGAGAGATGGGTAAGGAATAGAACGGAGGCAGGAAAAGGCAAAGATGGAAGGGAAAGAAAGGGTTAAGAAATATTGAACGCACCCCATCCCATTATACATATCAACTGCCACCTTATTCCCGGCGCGCACGTATAGATCGACAAACCAGGCGTCGTTGATATCGGATCCCTGCTCGAGGCGCTCGGTGAGGCGGCGCGCGTGTCCGAGTCGGCGCCATGCGGGCGCAACCGTTAGCACGGTGATGTGGCCGTGCCAGGGCGTGTAGTGTTCCGAATGGCGCATGTTGGCGGGCTGTTCTTCGAGTTTGCCCATGACTGGGGGGGGGAGGAGGAGGAGGGTGGAGGGTTAGTTAAATGGGGTTGGGGTTGCTTGAGGTGGGTGGCTGTGGTGGACGTACTGTAGCCCACGATGCCCTCGTGGCGGTCTTGGACGGTGCTAAATAGTGAGGGCCATCGCATCAGGTAGTTGAGGTAGAAGCCTAGGTCGTAGTTCTCGGTCAATGGGTCGAGGTTCGTGAGGTTGAGGGAGAGGAGGTCCGTCGGGGACATGCGCCGGATGGAGCTCATTGTTGGGGGTGGGGAATGGGGGGGTGGAGGAGACTCCTGGTCGAGAGGTTGGTTGGGTTGTTTGTGGAGGTGGTGATGTTGACGGCCGGCGAAGGAGGGGAAGAATCGGGGCTTGGGCGGTCACGGGAGGGGGGGAAGGGAAGGGAAGGGAAATCAATGCACGGGGCGGGATGATTATTTGGGATGCTTTCTTTTCGTCACCAACTCCCCAACTCCTCCTTCTCCTTCTCCTGCCTCTCGCTCTCTCTCCCGCCTCGAAAGAAATTTCGATTCTCCCGTTCACTGGGTTGCCGGTTTCGAACGCTCCTTTCCTTTCCGTTCCCGGTTCCTTAAGATTTTCCTTGTCTGCGTTTTGGAGCATCCTGGTGATGCCGTCGGCGGTCCACCATTGATTCCCCTGTCCGTTGTTTGCATCGCTACAGCCAATTTCACGACTTGAAAAGACCCCCCCCCCTGCTTTCTTTTCAGACCCCGTTGATCGCCCACCGTCCTCTCCGATCGACACCCTCGAACCCCTCCCCCCTTTCTAGCTATCTCCGCCCTGCAACATGCCGTCCATCCCACCTCCCCTGACTTTATCTCACCGCCATACCCGGAGTCAGTCCTCCAACATCGACTTCGACCCCAGTTCCCCCAGTGCCTACGCCCCCAACGGCTACTCGTACAGATCGCCTCGGTCGCCTCACACGCCTCGTTCTTCCGCCCCCCCTTCGCCCATGGACGCCCGCCCACACCTCACCCAAACCTTCAATGGCTCCCATCGGATGTCGGGTGACTTTGGCGGTGCCTCCGCCGAAGGCGGTGGGCTAGGCAATCTGGCAGACGAGCTCGCCGATGCATGGGAGGAGGAAGAGGGAGGCTACGGATACGCGTCGGGCCAGGATACCGGTGTCCCCGAGGCACAGTATGTGGACCGCAGTGACGATGAAGATGCATACCACCGCATGGACACGGGCATCCGCTCACCCTCGTCGGCCTATTCCCCGGAGCATTCCTCGCTGCATCCGCCGAAGCCCAAGACCCGTAATGGTGCCCATCGGCACCGGCGGCACGAGTCGCAATATGACGGCTCCGATTACGGCAACGACTCGGATTTCGAGGAAGCCGACATGCCGCCCAGCCTGGAGATGCAGATGGCGGAGATCGAGAGTCTCGCCCGTCGCGGACTCGAGAACAATGGCAGTGAGAACGACTTTGTCATCCAGCGTGCCGTGGAAGCGCTCCGGGATCTGGGAGGTCAGAGTGGGATTGAAAACAACGCTATGAGGTATGTGCTGTGCGGTGCGGTCCGGTGTTGACCTGTGGCCCTGCATGGATGGATCGCTGATACTCGACTCTCTCACTCTAGACTCATCACGGCACACTCGTCCATCACTTCGCATCTTACCCATCAGACGCGGGCGCTCCAGACGCTCACCCACCCTCTCCTTTTCTCGCCCTTCCCGCTCCTTTCACCAGACGCGATAGATGCGCTCATCCCCCTCATCGACGAAGAACTCCTGCCTAACCTCCCGTATCCTTTCCCGGACCAGCCACGTCACTCGTCCAGACCCACCACTCCCCAGTCCTCGGCCCTCGATCCCCTCATCTCCCTGCAGACCCTGATCTCGCAAACGTCCGACATCACCCTGTCGCTCCGCGGTCTGAGCGACACCCTGTACGAGTCGCGACAGCTGACGTCGACGGCCTCGCGGAGACTTCGGTCGGCGCGCGAACTCGTCGCAGACATCCGTCGCGAGGAGGAGGGCCGGGAGGAGGGCACGCGGTGGATCGAGCGCGGCGACTGGGACCGGCGACTGCGCGACCGGGAAGCCGGCCGGGTCTGCGGCGACGTCGTCAGCGGCTTCGAGGCGGTCTGCGGCCAATGGCGCGAGAAGCTCTTCGGGGCCGCCGCTGCCGCCGGAGCCGAAGTCGCTGCCGCTTGATGACACCGGATACCTCCCATTTCATATGAACAGAAACAGTGGAAACAAAGCAAGAAGGCAGGACTCGGATTATTTCTCTCTCTCTCTTTCTCTCTGATTGAAGCCATTTTCACGAGATCGTTTCTTTTTCCCTCTCCTCTGGATGTCTGGCGCATATCATATCATATCATATCATATATGTGTGTGTCTGAGATATCGGTGGAGAATTGCGGCATACCCCCTTTTTCTTTTTTCTTTCGCGTATATAGATTTGCTTTTTCTTCTTTTTCTTCTTCTGTCTTTGTCTTTGTCTACATCTACATTTACATCTACATGACAACATCTCCAGGACAACATCTCCAGGACAACATCTCCAGGACATCTCGTCTGTCTGTCTGTCTGTTCTGTTTATCTGCATGAACCATGCACACATACATACCACACACACACACACACACACACACACACACACACACACACATACATACATACACACAGTCCAATCAACCAGACTGTTTCAGACCCTCCAAAACACTTCTCCTATTCACTTATCACATCTCTTTCTTTCCTTTTCTTTCCTTCCGTCTTCGCAGGTCGAGCTTAGATTTCAGATTTCAGATTTCAGATTTCAGATTCCAGTTACACATACATGCATAGGTACACCCCCGCAAATTCTTCTTTGTTCTCACCGTCAGAGTAATTATGAACATGGTTGGTTGGTTGGTTGGTTAATTGATTAATTAGTTAATTGGTTAATTGGTTAATTAGTTGATTTGATTGGTTGGTACAGATACACAGATACAATACATTGAGTGCAATAAAAGCATACCCTCGGCCTTTATGTCCTCATGTCCTCATGCCCTCATCCCCTCATCCCCTCATGCCCTCATGCCCTCATGCCCTGATGGGGTATTGGGAGGGGGGGCAGGGGGAAGAGGAGGATTAATAAGAATGTCTTTATTTTGAATTATTCAGATCAGCATCAACATATTCAGAGAATGTATGTTTGAGTTGACCGCGAACAGAACAGAACAGACGCTGTTGAGCATGTTCAGGGATAGATAGGGAGGGGTGGGTGTATAGCGTATAGCTATCTACACATAACCAGTAACTAGTAGGAGGTGTGTTTGTGCTGTTTGCATTGCTATTTATACTAACTATACTAGCTAACTACAGCATAGTTAACTGTTCAAGAGGATAATTTATCCATATCCATAACTAGTTATTCATATCTGTGTTTATTGTCAAGATCAACTAGTCAACTAGCCAACTAGCCAACTAGCCAACCAACTAATCAGCTATTACTAAACAGCGGTAATGAATTATTTATAGATCATATTGTATCATATTGTAGCATTTTTCTCTCTTGTCATATCCTGTCTGATTATATCCAAGTCAGGCAACTCATTAAAAGAAAAACCTTATACGAGGAGCTGGAAAGAGAACAAGAAAGAAAGAGAGAGAGAGAGAAAGAGAGAAAAAAGAAAGAAAGAGAGAGAGAGAAATATTGTGTTAAGAAAAGAAAAGAATACAGCAATTCATATTACTTCACTTCACACATACACACACACACACACACACACACACATACACATCCAAACAACCATCCATAAGTACCGAATTCCAATAGAACAGAAAATAGATGAGAAAGATAGAAAGAGATAGATAGATAATACGATATGATTCAATTCAATTCAACTCAACTCGGGTAAAGAAGAAAACAAGATCTGAAAACAAGATCTGAAAAAAAAAGAGACAATGAAGGAACATGACATGCCCAGAGAGAGAGAGAAAATTAAAGAGCAAGAGGGGGAAGGGAAAGGACTAGCTAGCTACACATCATTAATCCTATTCATCCATCTATCCATCCATCCATCCATTCATCATCCATCATCATTCATTGCCTGATTGATTTACTGACTGCCTACCCCACATATCTCGTTCATGCTCATGTTCATGTTCATTGACCAAGGACACACACACAAAAGACAGAGAGAAAAGAAAAGAAAAAGCAAAGTAAAATCGTGGCAGGAATGGGACGGGACGGGACGGAACGGAGAGAGACAAGGAAGAGGAGGAAGAAAGAGAGGGTTGGGTTGGGGGGGTTAAAGGGTGGCTGGCACACGTCTGTCTGAGAAAGACAAGGGGGAAAAAGGTAGAGAAGAAAAAAAAAAAAAAGAGATATCTTTTTCTTTTTTTTTTTTTTAGGTCTGGTTTAAATCACACGCCCTGTCATCATCAAACATCCCAAGAACTTTTTCTTCATGTCATCAAGGCAAAAGAGGGCAGAGAGGGCAGACGCTCTACTGGCCGCCCTGCTGCTTCCACCGGGGAACCCACTTGCCGGCGCTGGGACGAGCAGCCGGGTCCTCGGGCTTGTCGGCGCTGGCAGCGGCCGGGGTATGTGTGCGGGAGGGGGGCTGGGAAGAGCCGGATTCGCGCATGGCACGGGGCACGTAGCGCTCGGGGGCAGCGGAGGGAGTCGCGCTGGAGCCCGACCGGAGGTGGGGAGGCACGTAGCCACTGCCCGTCTTGCGCGCCGGCTGGGCCTCCTCCTTGGGGGCTTCCACGGGGGCGCTGGCGCTGGCGGGGGCCTCGCCGGAGGCTTCCCGGGCGGCCTGGCGTTCTCTCCAGCTGGGAGCTCCGCCAGTGCGAGGCGCAAGGTTGAGACGAGGAGCACTGCGCTCTGTGGAAGAGGACTGAGCCACGGGCTCCGCGGCTCCGCCAAACTTGCGGGCGGCACGGCGAGCTTCGGCTTCCTCCTCCCGCTGCTGCTGCTTGACGGCCATCTCGTCCAGTCTCCTGTAGGCGTCGTTAGCAATCTTCTCCAAGTCCAATGGACGAAACACGAAACAAACGGGTCACTCACTTTCTCTCTTCCTCGCGCTTGGCCTTCTCTTCGGTAAGCACGCGTCTGCGCTCCTCCTCGCGGGCGACTCTCTCTTCCTCCTCGATACGGGCACGCTCTTCCTCCTCGCGTCTGTGGCGCTCGGCCTCCTCACGCTCGGCCTTCTCACGGCGTCTGCGCTCCTGCACCTCCTTGACACGCTGCTTCTTCTTGGCCTCGAAGTCACGCTCCGCAGCCTTGCGGCGCTTCTCGAACTCCTCGTGGCGCTTCTCGGACACCTCCTTGCGGAAGCTGTTGAACTGCGGTACCAGGCGGCTGAGACGGTGCTTGAGCGCGACAGCCTCCTTGTGCTTGTCCTCGGCCTCCTTGAGGGTCTGGGCCTTGCTGGCCTCGTAGAGCTCCATGTCGCTCTTCTTCTGCCTCTCGTAGTCCTCGGGGATGTGCTTGAGTTCCTCGCGGCGGAAGGCACGCTCCAAGTGGTCAACACGCTTGGCGGTGGTGCGGACGCGGTCGTTGAGATCGTTCTTCTCCTTCTCGAGGTGGGCAAGCTTCATGGCGCGGAGGCGGTTGCCGTCCAGATCGTTCAGGTCCAGGTCGCTGATGTCGATACCCTTGACGCCGCTCTTCAGCTCCTCCAGCTGCTTCTGAAGCTCCTGCTGGCGGATGCGGTCCTGCTCATCCTTGATGCGCTTCTTCTCGCGCTCGCGCTGCTCATCCAGCAGACGCTGCTTCTCCGCCTCCTGGAGCTGCTGGGTGCGGATGCGCTTGCGGTTCTCCTCCTCACGCTGCTTGCGCTGCAGAGCATCGGTGGCGGCTTCCTTCTTCTTGTCGATGATGACCCGGCGAGCCAGGGTCTCCTCGTGCTCCTTGGCGGCACCGGCAGCGGCGCGGGCGTGCGCGTCGCGCTTGGCCTGCAGACGGGCCTCGCTGTAGGAGGGGTCGACGTACATGCAAGTGACGTGAAGGGTCTTGGCCAGGCGGGCGAGCTGCAGGCGGGCGATCTCCGCGGGGGTGTTCTGCAGGCGCTGGACGGAGCCGCCCTCGGCCTCGGCGGAGCCGGCAGCGCTGCCAGCGTGCAGGGCCTTGGCGGAAGAGAAGACATCGGTGTCGAAGGTGAGGACACCGGAGACGTGGTTGACACGGATGGCGAGGTCACCCTTCTTGCAGCCGTTCATGATGAACTTCTCGATCATGGAGGGGGTGATCTGGAAGGGGTCGGGGAACTGGGCGAGCTCGTAGACGAACTTGAGCTCGACGGACTCGTAGACCTGGGACAGCTGCTGGAACAGACGGGTGAGGATCACCTGCTGCAGGGGCTGGACGTACTTGGCCATCTCGGGGTCGGCGCCGATCTGCGCGAGGATGGGGGTGATCTTCTTGCAGATGGACAGGGGGTGGAAATCGACCTCCAGGATGTTGTAGAGGTCACGGATCTCGGGGCGGGCCCGCTTGAGCATACCCTTGTTGAGGGCATCCTTGAACAGGACGGCACGGGTGGGGGCCTGGGCCATACCGAGCAGGTTGGTCAGACGGGTGTTCTTGTTCTTGCGGACCTCGTCCACGTCGACCAGGGCGCCGCGGGAGCGGGAGGTGCTGATCACGGGGATCGACAGCGCGGACAGCAGGACGAAGGAGGCGGCCTTGGTCATGTCGGCCTCGGAGACGGAGGGGTTCTCCTTCTTGGTGCCCTGGCCGGCGGCGAGGGTGGCGGCGGACTGGCGGAGGAGGTTGTAGTAGCGGCTGAAGGCGGCAGCGTGGAAGAGGTAGTTCTCGCTGACGAGGAAGATGCGGGCCAGCTTCTCGTAGTAGTTGGCCATCATGACGTTCTTGGCGGGACGCTTGCTCAGGCTGAGGAGGGTGTGGATGTCCTCAATGCTGCGGAAGGCCTCCTGCCACAGCTCCAGCTCGACGGCGACGTTCAGCTGCTGGAAGCGGGTGTCCAGGTGGCGCTGGAGGGTGTCCGCATCGCTCAGGTTGATGGCGTGCATCTGGGCGGAGTACTTGGCCGCGTTCTGGACATGGTTGCGGAGAAGCTCGCAGAGTCTGCGGAACTCGGTTTTGCGGGTGTACTTGAGGCAGAACTGGAAGGCCTGCAGGGCGGTGGTCTGGTACATAACCTCGAGACGGGCATTGTTCTTGAGGATTTCGAGAACGGTGCGGTAGGTCTCCCACAGGAACTTCAGCCACGGGGTGACGACGGCACGGTCGGTACGGTCGCGAGACTGCTCTCCGGAGACGGTGGCGAGCAGGATGGTCTCGGGGGTCTCGATGGCCTCCAGGTCATCCACGTTCGAGGAAGGGGCGGCGGACTCGAGCGAGGACTGGATCTCATCGGCCTTGGCCTGAGCCTCGGTGACTTTCTTCTCGGCGAGCTCGATGAACTTCTTGAGAACAACCTAGACAGACGGAGGATCAGAGATTGGCCTTGGTTGGGCAGGCACCCTGCCGGGGGGGGGAAGTCTTCCTACCTCGATGGTTCCGACGTTGGTGTTCTGGGCGATGTTCTTGTACTGGTAGAGACCGTCCTTGGCGGCCTTGCCTTTGCGCAGCTCGACACACAATTCGACGAACAGGAGCATCACCGGCTCGAGGGAGACGATGGGGCTGCTGCGCGTCCTCTTGGAGGTGACATGTTCGTGGAGGACGTTGAGGGCGGCGGGGGACTGGCCCACGGCGATAAGTTCCTGAGCCCTCTGCGGACGAAATTCCTGTCAGCGTGTTTCCATCCACAACCACACCTGCATCCCATCCACAGACATCCACCAGTATCCATCTTCTATCCTCCATCCTCCATCATGTATCATGGGTGGTGGTCGAAGGCCACGGGGCGAGACGGCGTACCTTGAGGACATTTTCAGGCTTGATATGGGGAGGAGGCGGCATGGTGGGCGAGACGGCGGATGTTGAGATAGACAATCACAAACAAAGATGGACTCGACTGGGAGGAGGTCGAGGTCAAAGGCAGTCGCACAACGACGGGCGGGCAGCGGAGTCGAGGGCGAGGGGGGGGGGGGAGGGAGAAAGGCTGCCACGCGACGGTCGGCGAGAACTTGACCCAGAACAGGACGTCAGTTGAGGAGGGCGTCGTTGAGTCTGAGTCTCAGTCAGTCAGTCTCTCTCGGTTGTGCGAACCCGCGAAAATTCCGGCCGCCGCCGTTCCCACTTTGGGTTAAGCGATCACGGTCACGTGACGGTCGGGACAGCGACCGGTGCTGAAGAGTACTAGTGAGTGAGGGAGGACGTCTCGAATGATCGCTGTATATTCTCCCTCTTTCCCTATCTGCTGCTGTTCTTATTGTTGCAAAAGCATCCCACCTCTCTCGTCCAGAGATCGATCCATCGGGGGTGGTTGGTTGGTTGGGGAGGCTCGACCCGCCACTGGACGGCAGGGCCCATCTATCTATGGAGTCAGTCAGTCGTCCTACACACTCCTGCCAATCTTCCAGGGAGGGAGGAGAGAGTTGATGCATCCAGCAGGAACCGTCCAAGGCGGATCGGATCAGTCGATCAGGCCGCCGGCAACGACTGCCTGCAGGCCCCCGACCTCCGGGAACTGGTCCATGCCACTCGATAGGTCACCACCTGAAGCCGACGGGAGTCTCATGATCTGGATACGGACCTCATACCGTAGTTAGTACGACGGAGTAAGGTACAGGTATCTACACCCTGTTCTAATTACGGTACGGCCACGGGCACGTGATCCGGGCGGGATTGTCGCCAGTCAGAGGGAGCTTCAAAGCTCCAGCTCGGCTTGCCCTCTGCTCTCTGCCTTTCGGACTGCAGCAAGAATGAGGGATAGGTCCAGAATAAGGTATCTAGATAGTAGTTATCCAGTAAGTATCCAGTAGAGATGATGATGACTGCAGGTAGGCTGAGCAAACGGTTTCTCACGCTTGGACGGATCGGCCATTCTTCTCAGGGGGGAGGGACTAAGGGAAATTGGATTCGCCCGGCATTCCTTTTCCCTGAACGTTTTCTCTCTCTACAACACAGACCACCCGATTTCCACT